TTTCACTCTGAATTGATTTAGGCGTTCCTCTCTTGAATGAAACCAGTATGTACAGTCGTCTAGGTTTTTATCTAAGACGGCTCCACATTGCTTATGCTCCATCCACGCCCAGGTGAGAAGCAGGGTGGTGCTTCATAAAGCTTACAAAGTAAATAATGCCTGTGAAGTTATCTGATAATGTGGCATCAAAGCTCTCCACCGACAGTGAATGTTTAAGCTCAGGCCGCTTCTTGTTGTGGTCTTTGTGGCTTCATAGCCCGACTGCCGCCTGAGGCTCTAGGCGCTGCAAAGAAAATAAACTCAGTCAAAGTGCCCCTGAAAAAACTCTCCAGATGATCTCCGTCCAAAAACACAGCAAAGAAAACAAAACGACAGATAATACGCTGCAAAGGAAAACTTCTGGTTTGATGGGAGCATAGAAGAGATACCTGCGAACTTAGTCACCAGGTGTATTATGTGTCAAAGGAATCCCTCGCGCTCTCACATTCCCATAGAGTTGGCATCAGCAGAGTACGGTGATGACTGATTCACTGCCAACATAAATATCACACCAGAATTAAAAAACGAGTGTGTCTGCTGTGTAAACTGCTCCTCACTGCAGGTTCACGTGGAAAACTCTGCTCTATGTAAGTGGTGGAAATGTATTTTTGTCCATGATGCCAAGGCTTGTTTAGGACAGCTATAATTACTGTGATTCCAGGTATTAACTCATTCAGTGCCAATGACTGATTTGGACGGATTTTCTTGATTTGCCCTGAGTGCCATCGATGAGTTTTTTTGTTTTCCATCAGAGGGCGCTCCTTCCCAACATGCGACTTAGTTTGGGGTCGTTCTGAACGCAGAAAAGCCGACAAATACGTCATAACCATGTTACAATAACAAAAACAAGTACTCGCTAGTTAGAAGTGTGCAATCAAGTGTGCCATTTAACCTAACAGTGGAGTGTTTTTTTTCTCTATGAGGAGAGTAGGACAATGCCGAAGTCATTAGCCAAGAGCTAACGGTCTCGGCACATCGGCTCCCAATGGGCCGGTCCTACCGTCTCGGGATCCAGTGGAGATGCCAGTACCGGACCTTCACATGGTCAGCAGACAATCAAAGAAACAATTTTCCGGCGTGTCCTTGTGCCGCCGGTGTCGGTACTGGTGAGCAAGACTGAGCCAGAATTCAGCGACAATCCCGGCGAGGAGGATGCGAGCAATCCGTGTGGTTTACGTCACGGCGTCAGGTTCTCGAGCGCCAATATGACTCCCAGCCAATCGGATCTTGAGAGTGATGAGGAGTGGGGTCTGAGGAGGGAGGACATTGATGCCACCGGTAAAGTAGTTTGAGGTGAAATGAAACAGACGATCAGAGTTCTGCTTAAAAGTCTCTCCTTCGTAAAAATGTGTTTTTCCAGATCGGCAAAGATGATATAACCACGCTGCATTGAGCAGGCAATAACTAAACACAAGAGTGGGTTAGAGACTTATTTTTTTTACTGGTGAAAGAAAAGAATCACCCGTTTCTTTTGAGATATTGCACTTAATTCTTGTCCAAGCACAAGATATTCTAGTCAATGGTGGCACTGGGTGAAATTTGCATACATGAACCTGGCACTGGATGAGTTAAGAGAAAGTGGATGCACGTTGCAGAAATTACAATTTACACTGAATATTAAAGCGTTTTTACAGTGTTAACTCTTCAGGTAAAGGTCTGCACTTAAAGTCAAACATCCTGAATCAAGTGAGCAGCAGGATGTACTTTTTATTCTGTTATCAACCATCTAATTTAAGTGCCAAGACTTTCTGAACATGCACAGACACACAGTACTCTATAATTACATTAGTACATTGTGCAATGGCTCTACTTTGCTATATCTCTATGCTGTTAGAAGTCATGGTGCTTCATTTCAGGACATCCTGCATAAAGGGACTGTGAGGGTAAGGCCACTTTGAAAACTTCCTGTCTGAGTCTAGTTTGTGACTTCTGCGAGAATATTATTAAAGCGAGATATCTGTGATCTTTCACCTTTGAAACAACAGGTGTGTCGCTGTTTTGTACAGCAAGCGACAGATTAGAGGGAAAATTTAATTAACTGATACATATCTGAGTTTAAGTTATTCACAGAAAGGTACAGGAAGGATGAGAGGGCGAACAGAGACAGACCGATCGACCTTGAGTCCGATCACACAGCTGCACACTGGTCCTTATCAGTGCATTAAACTGCATCATCATTCCAGCCTCCCTCCTCTCTTTTAATCAGGGACAAACAGCTGATACTCTGTACGCTTCCTGGACGACCTAGATGCACTTAAATGCAACACAACACAAGTGTGCGTGTGTGTGTGTGTGTGACCTTCTCTCTGCTCTCTGACTCCTCTTTGACTGCATACTGACCTCAACATCCATGAAACCTAATCCCCTCTCATCAATAGTGGAGCCATAAAATGCTTATAAAACTGCATGAATGAAAGAGCCGGGAGTAAAATTTGAAGAGTGTTACGTAACAACTTCTCTAGTACAATATAGAGACTAATAAATACACAATAAATTGACTAAAAAAGTATAAACATGGAGGAGTAATAAAGCTACAAACTCAGCAGATGTAATGGAACTTGTTAATTCAGTTGAAAAAATAAAGATTTCTTTGCTTTTAGAGCCTTGAGTGAATGTTTGAGAAACTGCAGGAGCATTGGCCTCTTTTTAACACATCGATCAATCAATATGACAATATTTTTAAAGCGCTTTTCATACATGGAATGTAGCACAAGGTGGTGTCCATTCACGCAGGATATTAAAAAACAATTAAGTAAAATAAATACAAATACCAAACCCCCATTCAACACGCACAGCACGCACAGCACTCACACGCTCACACACCGATCCTTCCAGGCTGTTGCTCCCAAGCTCTGGAACGATCTTCCGCCTGCTCTGCGTTCGATGGAGTCTGTTGACTCCTTCAAAAGGAAACTAAAAACTTTTCTATTTGTTCAGGCTTTTGCCTAACTGTGTTGGGGCTGCTATGGTTGCTATAGTGTCGTTTTGGCCTTTTAAATTTTAGCTTTGTATGTACTTATTAACTGTGTATTGTTTTTGTTTTTTGTTTTTACTGTAAAGCACTTTTTGACCTTGGTCTGTTAAAGGCGCTGTATAAGTAAAGTTTACTTACTTACTTACACACAGACCAGGTGAGGACTCTTCAACTTGCAGCAGATGACTGAGGAAATGTTATCTTGAGTTTAAAAAGGATGAGGAAACACTGGATCTAGGACTAAAACTTTAAACCCATGATAAAATATAATAAAGGTGATAAAGCGTTAAAAGTTGATTAAATAAAATAGTCTTAAAATCAAACAATTAAAGAAAGTAAATAAAAAAAGGGGTAATAAAACACAAAATAGTTACTCTTGGACTAAAATAATAAATTTTCGTTCAGCAGATTAAAAGATTAAAACAAAATTCAACTTAAAGCCAGACTAAAAAGGTTGGTCTTTAGTTTACTTTTAAAGATACGAACATTAGGTGTCGCTCTCAGGTCTGCAGGTAGGCTGTTCCACAGATGGGGACTGTAATATTGGAACGATGATTGACTGTATGTTTTAGTTCTAACTTTGGGAACAATTAAAGGACCGCCGCCTGACCACCTGAGGGCTCTACCAGGCTCATATGGTTAAAGCAAAGACAAATAGGAAGGACCAAGACCATAAAGAGCTTTAAAAACTAATAAAAGAACCTGTAAATCTACTCTAAAAGTCACAGCAGAGACCAATATGCAACACATTTATTAATAACCACCACAATCAGCTGCAGTGTAAATGTTCTGTATATAAAGGTTGATGGAAATGCATGATGTTGACAGAAAAACAGAGACTCCTCCCTTTAACACTCTTCCTATTGACCACATCCACCCATCACGCAGGTTTCTGCCTCAGTATGTGTTCAATGTTATCTTGTCCTCTCCATCTGTAAACCCGAACAAGCAGAGCATGACTTTGGTGGGGCTGAACGCTCCGTCTGCTCTGTTGATGAGGCAGAAACACTTGAAGGACTTTACTGAAAACCCTGATCTGGAGCAGATTACATCAGGTGTGTTTAAGTGTCGTTCTTGTGTTGTTGGTTTTGTCCTCCTTTCATCGCAGTGGAAGATAAAAACAAAAACACTGTTTATGATCGACTCCTCTTGATAGCGCCCTCAGGGCCGCAGTCATCCCTGACGTTTGTGCGCTTTTTCCTCACACTTCCACCTCAAAGTCGTTTTCTTTATCAACATGCTTTGATGCAGCACTCTGAGAACGGACAAACTTTTGTGGCCAACCATCCTCATGGAGAGCGTCCATGAACGTCTTTTGGACAATTTTAAAGTTTGCATGTTCTAAGCAAACAAACACTAAACAAACTTTGTGTGACATCTGGGATTTTACAGGCCATACTTAAGTCATCAGTTTCCTTCCACATGTGACGTCCAAGAGTCGTGGAATTGTAGGAGGATAATTTCATGTATTTTGTGCTTCCTAATCCTCCACACATTTTCAAAGGGAGTCAGGTCTGGACTGCAGGCAGGTTGATCTAGTATCCAAACTCTTTTACTAATAAGTCACGCTGTTGTAACTTGTGCAGAATCTGTCTTGGCGTTGTCTCTCTGAAATGAGCTGGGACGTCCCTGAAAATTTAAGGCTTGGATGGCAGCACATGTTACTCCTAAACTTGTATGCACCTTTTAGCTTTCGGCGCTCACGCACCACCAGACCATCACAGATGCTGGCCTTCACGTTTGAACAGTCTGGATGGTCCTTTTCTTCTTTAGTCCCTGATTTCCTGAAACCATCTTGAACATGGACTCATCGGACCACAGCAGACTTTTCCACTTTGCATCAGACCACCTCAGATGAGCTCGGGTCCAGAGAAGTCGGCTGTGTTTCTGACTGTTGTTGATATCTGTCTTTGATATCTGTCCTGAGGGGTCAAAGGTCACGGTCATTCAGTGTTATGTTGCGTTCAAGTTGTACTCAGAAGTCGGGATTTCTGAGCTCTGAGTCGGAAATTCATCTGGAACGCCCCACTGAAGTCAGATTTCCGACTCGGAAAGTTTTACGATCCTCACCAACCTCGACTTGACGACAACGTCATAATCCAAGATGGCAGCGCAGTGCGTCAACAGCAAAGAGTAACAGTAAAAGCTCTCGTAATGTTTTATTTATTGGCACTTCTGATTTGTTTTTGTAAAATTAAATAAGTGGTTTATGTTGTTCTGCCCAACGTCTAACTGTGAACACGGTGCTATGGTGTTTGTACGAGTAGAATACTGTGATATGCGTTGTTTACCACTAGTATAGCTAACAACAACAACTAACAACGGCTAACAACAGCTAACAACAGCTGACAACAGTTAACAACAGCTTACAACAGCTAAAAACATCTAACAACAGCCAGCAACAGCTGACAATGGCTTACAACAGCTAACAACAGCTAACAACATCTAACAACGGCTAAAAACATCTAACTACAGCTAACAACAGCTGACAATGGCTAACAACAGCTGACAATGGCTAACAACAGCTAACAACAGCTGACAACGCTAACAACAGCTAACAGTAGGCGTCCATCTTGGTTTTCTGACTTGTTTACTGGAACGCCGCCTACTCGCCGCCTATTATTCCCAGCTCCAATATCCGACAGAGATTTCTCTGCATCTTTCGATGACTTTATGGACTGTAGATGATCAAATCTGTAAATTCCTGCAGTTGTACATTGAGAAATGTTGGACCTTTTACTCATGCAGTTGCTCACAAAGTTGTGAACCTGGCCCCAGCTTTTCGGGGATGCAACTTTTATACATAATCATTATTCTCACTTGTTTCCAGTTAACCTGCTCACCTGTGGAATGATCCAAACAGGTGGTTTTAAAACAGTCCTCAATTTTCCCTGACTTTTTTTTACACTTAACCAACTTCTTAAGAATGTTATGAGTGAGTAGTTGCAGAAAAAAAATGATAAAATCTATCACTTTGAACATTAATATCTCGTCTTTGTGGTAAATTTAATAAAATATAGGTCAGAGAGGGTTTTCTAATCATTGTTTTCTGTGTTTATTCATGTTTTACTCAACTTCACTGGCGTTAAGGTTCGTATCTATGTCACTCATTTCATTAAAAATAAGTCATCTTTAGTCCTGAAGTAATCCAGTCCCTTTGTCACGCGTTAATCTGGGTTACGAGCTGCCTCATAAACTTTTAAAAGCATTGACGAGTGTTGTCAAAATACAGCTGTTCATACAATTGGTCCGGAAAGCAGAGCCCCACCCAGCGCCGCAGTTCTTCAGATTTCTGACATGGCTGCTGTATGAAGATGAGGGAGTGGCGCTCGGCGTAAACCGGTCACAGCTATCCGTCATCTTGTCACACTTGACCAAACAATACCAGCCGACTTAGTTTCTAAGTATTAATAAACAAATTACCACACCATTTTCCCCTTCAGATGGACAGATTGGCTGCAGTCCCGGCGAGCGACAATAGACAGTAATCTCAGGCTCACACACACTCACACAGAGCGAGATCAGCTCTGCCCAGACAAAACCAATAACAAGAGGTCAGACCCGGGTCAGGCTGCCTCATGAAGCGTCTGCCACCTGGAAGTATTTTCTTTTACATCAACATTAGATTATATTTGATAATCTACGCCGGATTGACGCAACAGGAAGATTTTTCAGACCCCCTGGTGATGAGCGGGGTCATGTGCAGGTTAAAAAACACATTCACTCTCTAAAGAAGACCGAAGTAGGAGGCCCAGAGTGTATACTGTATTATAAACAATAAAAGGTTGGTCATTGACAAGAAAATGAACGACAAACACGATGCAGTACATGTTTGACGAATTCATCCATCCTCTTGGGCTTAAAAGGGATATTCTGGCGTAAATTTAAGTTATGGTCAAACACACCGTAACACAGAGTTAGACACCCCGTCTAGAGATGAATGTTGCCGACCGCTTGCTTCTTTAGTAATACTACTTTAGGTGAGCCCTGACGAGTCGATCACAGAGTGCAGCGGAGTTTCGCAGCTCAACGAAGAACATTTATGATTATTACTTAATAGAAATGCAATCAGACTGAGACGCTAACGGGCGAAACCCACAGGGTCTGGAACGGCTCCGCTCCGCTCCCACACAGCCGGCGGATCAAATCTGCAAGCATTATAATCAATGTGAGTCATTCCACAGAATCTGTCCGGCGACTGACTCTGCTGCGAATCAGCTCCGGCGGCCGGATCAGATACACAAGGCTTGTATTTTTGCCGGACGCCGGCGCATCAATTCAGTGCAGCACAGCACAAGTAGCAGAGGAAGTTTTATGCGGTTACAAAGTAAAATATCTGGTTAATTTTCAAAATAAAATGAAGTCAATACGTTGAACTGTTCTTCACTTGATAATGGGAGAGGCCAGGGTTGTGGGTTGTGGGATGTGGGTGTTGATGATGATTATTCCTTTAAGGAAATGATCCGCTACACTCAGTGATCGACTCGTCATGGCTGCCCTACAAACAAGCGGCTGCTGGAGGAGAGTGGGTGAGTTGTGTTTAGTCTCTTTGCTAAAGAAATGAGGCAAAGTTAAAAAGATGTTTGATGGCTAGTACTATGGGACTCTATATGTCCTGTTGATGAAGTTAGGTGCTGTTCTGAGCATTATTTGTGGCTATAGAGTGGCGTTTTGGTTGAGGTTTGTTTATGGCTGCTCAGACCACTGAGTATTGCCATCGTGTGGTCGTTACTAAAGTTGGTATAACTAGAGAAGTAAGCGGTCGGCAACATTCATCTCTACAGGGGATGTCTAACTCTGTGTTACGGTGTCTTTGACCCTAAATTTACACCAGAATGTCCCTTTACATGGTCTTTTGCTGCGCAGTTTGAAAAGACCCAGGGTCTGGTACTGGTCCATTTAAAGTGAGAACGGCGGCTGGTTTTTATTCGCTGTGAAGGAGTGCATTACACCCATCCATCCTGCTCTTGGGTACACCGAGAGCTTTAATAATCTTCACCTTCAGAAGATTTGTGACAGCCGTTTGATGAGCGCACCGCTGCGAATACCTGTTCAGAATCACCAGGAGGGGGATCGATGGAAAAATTCAGATGGATTGCTGTATTTCAAATACCTAACCTGCAAAATATGCTTTTCATCACCTTCTTGATTCAGCAGCTTTTCTAGGAAGAGCTCATGAAAGAGAGTGAACCATTAAAGTAGGTTTGAAGGACAAATATCTGCAAAATTATCGCTGGGAGTAAAAGCAGAGGTTAACGAGAGGTGGATGGTTTAAACATCAGGACGGAAACTCTTAATTTTCATCTTCACATTTACTCTAATGAAAGTAGGTGCAGCTTTTTTCAATAATGGGTCCATCAGAACCTCTGAGAAGCTGCAAATCACAGATCTTAACCCAATTCATTTTGTTACAGTCCTCCTAGTTTGTCTGCGTGATTGTATTAATGTCAGAGGACATGATTTACCGTTTTTAATATTTTAAAAGCAGCTTCCTGCCAGGGACTTTCTTTTGTTTGCCGTAAGGCGGACAGCTGAGCCTTTTCCTGAGCTTCCAAACTAGGTCATGCACCAGGTACTTCAGCTTATTTTCAGAAAGTCAGACCCAAATATCAACCTGGGTTTTTGTATCGCTACATATATAAATGTATTAAAGCTTTACTTTGCCATCAAACTGCCCATCTGTTTTAACATCATTCTCAGACGCAGCACACACACGTGTTTCAGATGTTTGGATCAGCTGCTTCAAGATGAGACGAGTTCAAGTGTTTTTAATCGGTAGCCAACAAATGTAAAAGACCTGCCAGAACAATCACGGTCAGAGGAAAACCTGCTGCAAACGCTCAAAGGATGCAAATTCAAGAACACGTGCATACTCCAAATAAAGAAAACCTGCAGAGACTTATTTGTGCAAAGACAAACAACATGCAAGAGCAGGACACAACTGCAAAAGTAAAATACAAAACAAGCAGAAGTGTCATAACTGAGAAATGTGCACACTAGATCTAATCATCTATAGAGCTTTTTATGATAGATGTAAATAACATTTATGCATCTTTAACTGAGGAGAAGTTTCTGACGGATTGATGGTTTTGTTGAACTACAGCTGAGGGCAGCGTAGGTCAGCTACTGATCCGTGTCAGCTGTTAGAAATGCTATTAGTTAGCAGGTGTCAGGCTCTAAATACCAGGGTGTGGAAGTGTTTTCTTCTCGAACAATCGCAGGGACTTTAGACCGACTGAGCTGTTTGACTTAGCGCCCTTACAGGCCTTGAGAACCTCAGCTAAAACATTTTGATTCCCAGCATAAATCACTTACAGTTGTTTTATCCTTTTGTGTGTTTTTGAATCGCCGCTTTTGGTTTTTAATTTTGTTGTTTTGGCTTTTTGAATTGAGGCATGTTTATTTCATTTGTAGGGTGTTTCCATGACTGCACTTGTTTTTGATTTTGCGTGTGTTTCGCATCTGCATTGTTTGGGGATTTGCAGCACATATCTCTGAAGCTGATGCCCTCGTCAGCTCCGGCTATCTCAGGGTCATGTGGGAAGATAAGTGCTCCAGTTTCTGCGGTGGAGAGGGAGAGCTCGACATGAAGCTCATTTACGTCCCAACACTCACTGACACCTGCAGAATGAGATCGTGGATACAAACAGCTGACGTGAGTGTCCTCTGAAGAGTTGGCTGGGTTCGGCTGTAGAAATAGAGTAAATAGAGCAGAGCAGAGCTGCTACTCCTAGTTAAAGTGGTCAAGGATCTGAGTAGGATGCCTCTCTCTGGAGGTTTTTGCATCCAGCTGTAGGGAGGGCCCTGGGGTAGACTAAATGTATATTCTCCCTGGTCTGGGAATGTCTGTAAGGGGACAGGAAAACATGGCTGGGGAGGTGGGACCTGACCCCTGATGAGCAGAAGAAAAAAGATGAATACATGAATGTTCCTACGGTGTTTTTGTAAGTGTGTGTGATTAGTTTGCAAGTTTATTCAATCTTACATGGATAAGGAGAAAGTCTTAAGAGGAGAGTCAAAGTTAATTTACTTAACTAAGGTAAGAAATAAGTGTTGCCAGATCTCAAGAGAGAAACAAGCAACCAGCTCTAAGAAAACAAGCTCAAAACAAGCCCAACAAGCAACCCGCCACATCCCACAGGATGGGCGGGGGGCAACCATAAATCTACTGACGACAACTTGCTAATACTCGGCGCACGCCCCGCAGTGCTGGACCCATGTGCGCCGCATATGCTGAAACATACCGAGTCCCAGGTAACACCTTGTAAAAACACCCTTCAAAAACTCATTTTGAAAGTGTGGCGGCTTTTATTTTGTTGTGACATTATGCATTGGCAATGGCAAAATTATAACAAACAAAGTTAACATAAAAACTTTGAATAACTTAAGGGTTTGGGTTGAATTTTATTTTATTTTTTTCATATTTTCTCCACTCACTGCCACTTATTCTCACTCTGTCTCCTTGCTCATTTCTCTGTCACTCTGGCGTACATGAGCATGACGTGATTCAGGATTCAGGATTCAGGAAACGGTGGTCTGGAAAGGACAAACTACATACCTCTCACACTTGAGTTTTGCTTTGCTTTTGTGGGGAGCTGTGAGATAATCAGGAGAAATTCACACAGACATAAAAAAAAATAAAGCCCAAATAAGCAACTCCTGAGAAAAACAAGCCCAAAAAACGCAACTCACCAGTTTTACAAGCAACTTCTGAGAAAAATAAGCCTAAAGTCGCTTACAATAAGCCGACTTGGCAACCATGTAAGAAATCCAAATAAAGTTAAAGCTACTAGAGGAGTTTGTTTTTGGTTATTAAACAAACTGAATTAATATTGTTGCTTCTATGACCCCAAAAGAGTAAATCAAACCTTTGTCAACAAGATTGTATCTGCCCACATTATTATTTCTAGCGCTGCTGCAGGAGTTTGGTGTGTCGATGAGGAGCCTGAAAAAACTGCCTTTGTTTACATTTTCTAAAAGCAAACACTCACAATGACTGGTTTGTGTTATTGCTGTAAGACAACAGGAAGAGATTTCATTTAAGAAAATGCTACTGGGCAAAATCAGCAAAAACATTAGGCATACCACTTTGTCCACAGGAGGGCGCCAAAATCACACAACTTAAAAGTTCCTCAGTGGAGCTTTAAGAAAGTGAAACACTGCGTTTTTTCACAAAAACAACCTCAATGGTGATTTGAGTGATTGATTAAATTAGTTTGAAGACATTTGAAATCAGACTAAAACTGTTTAAAGCAAAAAGGAGGAAGATTTTTTATTTTTTAAGTATTTTTTTGGGGTGACTTTTAGCCTATATTGACAAGACAGGGTGAAATGTGGGAGGACATGCAGCACATGTTTGGGGCTGGTCTCAAACCCACAACTGCTACAGGGGCCGTGGTCCCAATGTATGGGGCACGCCAACTGCACCCCGAAGGAGAAAGATTTTGGTATGATTTGGGGTACTTTGGGTAAGATATTTAAAGCTTCTATAAGGATTTTTTTTTACATTCATGACATAGACTGAAATTCACATTGATGACTTTTTATGACACCCAAAAGCAAACAAAACCATCTGCAACAAGACTGAGGATTTTTGTGTTATAACTTTTATACTTTTTAAACCTGCGCAACACAAATAAAAAGTTCCTCACTGGAGCTTTAACAAACAGGTCTGCGGTTTTATGGCAGCCTTCTTCCAGTCACTCAGAGAGATTCAAAGGGTGATGATTCGACCTACATCTGCTTCATACTGACATTTTACCTTTTGGTCCTGTTGTGAGCCTTCGACTCAGCCAACAGTGAAAGAAATGATGAAAAGCAGACGTTGTTTGGGCTTTAGAGTTCATCCATCAAAGGCTGACACACTGGCATCTTTAACTTTTTCCAGCATGTGCGCATATTTTTTTTTTTTTTACTCCTATCTAAAGTATGATTTCAGAAAGCATTCAAATTATACGGCCATACAAGGAGGTGCATTAGTGTTTGGGGGAGATTTAGTCCAAAGTTAAAATCTTTGACATTAAGAAAACAACATGTTTTCACTGGATGATAAATGACGGGACATTAGTGTTTGAAACAGAAAAACAGAAAAGGGAACGGTTGGTCAGACCCCGGCGTACTTTCAGACAGAAAACATTAAATAGTTCATTTAATAAAAGTTATTTTTAAGCAGCAGGGAAAATGGAATTAAGGAGTTATCCGGCACATGCACATTTTCCCCCGGCTTCAGACACACAGAGGAAATCAATAGACATGTCAAAGCTGAGTGTTAAATCCTATGATCCATATATGTGCGGCTTTAGTGTCATGACCCTCAGCGTGAATGTGAATACATGAACATGAAACCGAAAGGATCCTTTTCACACTCTGACCTTTAGGGTTTCTTTTTCTGTCAGTCAAGATTCAGGTTTCTCTTTTTGTCCTGAAACCGGCAAACACCCAGACAGATGTTGGCGAACGCTACAAACAGATTTTTCAGGTTGACTAAATGAAAGCAGACTCTTCTAATCTCTGTCACATGCAGCTGCTTACAGACAAAACAGAAAACCTCAGTGAGAGAGAGAGCCATTAAATAATCAAAGAGTCATTACTTTGATTTAATATGAAGCAACACTCAGCGGTGTGTGTGTGTTTCTGCGTGTGTGTGTGTGTGTGTGTGTGTCTCAGGGTCATGTTTTCCTCCCTGCAGGTGACTTTGCACCTTCACTAACTTGAACCCCGACCCTGGCTCTGACCCTGACCTTTGACCTCTCCGTGGCTTTGATGCATGCTCAGGGAGTCACCGACCCCGGTTCACGTTTCTGCATCGCAATTACATATTCAGCGGTGTTTGTGCACATTGGGTAGAAAGTGGGTGTGAGGGCCCAAGTGCTCCATTTAAAGAATGTAAAACATGTAAAACACTGGCATCCAGCACGTCCAGCTTCCTTGCTTATACTTTGCCTCTACAAACACACAGGTGAGTATAAGAGTTATGTTGATGCATGGAGATAATTCAACGTGTTCTTGACATACGCAAAGTCTTCTCTGAAAACTGTATCATCTGGATGGCAGCTTACTGTTCAGTGTGAAATATGACTTCCCAGATGTGCAAACAAGACATGCAATGGTCACTTATGCATCTCCCTTTCCATAACAATTATACTACTACTACTACTACTAACAATAACAATAATAATAATAATAATAATAATAATAATAATAATAATAATAATAATAATAATAATAAATAATAAATTTTATTTATAACACGCTTCAACAGGTGCTCAAAGACGCTTTACAAAAATAAACACAATTTAAAATACAGAAAATGTTTAGTAATAAGACCAACGGTGTAGAGGGTTAAAAAAAAGACACAATATGAAAAGACTGAAGCTGCCTTTTAAACTGTGTGCTGAAAACAAGCTGGGTAGAATCTCCTTTCTTAAAAGGGATACACAAGTTACACACCCGCTCAAGAGATGAATGTTGCCGACCACTTGCTTCTTATAAGTTATACCAGCTTCAGCAACGACTGCACAATAGCAATACACAGCGGTCTACCTCGACCAAAACGCCACTTTATAGCCTCAAATAATGTTCAGAACAGCACCTAACTTCATCAACAGGACATATAGGGTCCCAGCCATAGTACTAGACACCAAACATCTTCTTAACTTTGACTCATTTCTTTAGCAAAGAGACTAAACACAACTCAGCCACTCTCCTCCAGCAGACGCTTGTTTGTGAGGGGAGCCCTGATGAGTCGATCACAGAGTGCAGTGAAGTTTCGCAGCTCGAGGAAGAACATTTATGATTATTACTTCATAGAAATGCAATCAGAGTTTTTGTGCATCTTGTATGTTCTGGTAGTACTTCTGCCTTAGTGTCTTGACCTGATTGCATTTCTGTGAAGTAATAATCATAAATTTTCCGCTGCGCTCAGTGATCTATAACTTAAATGTCCTACTTTGTCTGACTGGGATTTAGCTAAGGCGCAGAGGGGTCACCAGGAATTCAGGATCCACTTCTAACCTTCATTTGTGGATAAAATGACACACTCTGTTTAGAGATGATAATGTAATCATGGATTAATTTAATCCAATGTGGGGATTTCCACTCCAGAGTTATGCCTTTTTTATGAGAAGTGCCACCAGAAGGCAAAGAATCCTTTTTATGCCGTTATGAGAGTGGATATGACACGCAGCAGATCATACCAGGACCAGGAATCCTTCTTATGACCCGTGCAACATGGACTACAGCCTCAATCTTCGACTTCTACTTTTCTATTTTCATTTCTTCCCACTATTAAACATTTGCACGTTGAATTTCTGCTCCACCAACTTCTCTCTCTCTCTGTTTTCCTCCTTAAGTCCCTCTGTAATTTCCTCCTCTCTCTCTCTGTCTCTCTGGTTTTCCCAGGGGATGACCCTTCCACATCCCTGATTCAGAACAAGAACAGCTTTAACCCCGGACACACACACTTGTCCGCGCACACACGGGGCAACCTCGGCGACTACGGATCAATTACTGAATTAGCATCCCAGACTGGAGAACCAGGAGGAGAATGAATAAGAAAAAAAAAACGAGTTATTTTCATCGTTCGCTCTCCTGACGACCTCTATATCTCTGTCATCGATCTCCACTGTCTGACCAGATTTCGCTCGCATTGTCTGAACGTCAGCCGCAACAAAATCAAAACAACAGCTTGTTCCAAACTCATGTTCATTCATTACTTTTGAGGAGATGCAGAAGTTTTCTTGCTCAAGAAAAAAATGTGGATTTTCTTTTGCAAAAGTCGCCGACATTCCTCACCATAAATAGACAAAAACCTCTCTTATTTGAGTCGTATTCACACACACAAACACACACACACAAACACACACACACTGAGTTGAAACCAGAGCCATGTGATTTTTTGACGGTAACATGAACCTTTTCTTTTTAATCTAATGCTCTCATGCCCCTACAGGAACCTCACCATGGTAATCTTCACTGTGTCTGTGTGTGTGTGTGTCTGTGTGTGTGCGCATGTAAAAGGAAGCAAATGCAAAACCAACACATTATCTTATACATCAAATACCTGACTTGTCTTTCACATTCCTGCGTTGTAATGGGATTAGATTGTAATGGGATTATAACCGACAGCTTCCTGATCACAATGGAAAAGGTCCTGAGTCTTGAACCTGACGGGGGCCCGAAGAGGGACCAACAAGGACCAACGAGGGGGGAGAGAAGACCTGTTTTCACCTAATTCAGTCTAATTTGCATAACCACCTGATCTGCACTGGCTGCTGCAACTCCTTACTGGCAGGCCTCCCTGCAGAGGATTCAACATGCAGCAGCCTGTCCGGTTTTTAGTCAACCCAAAACAGCACACCTCATATAAAGAGAGTCGACACTTTCTATTCAAGGATGTTTGAAAATTTTAGGGAGTTTACCTAAAAAAGGCACAAAACTGTCTACTTTAAAAGGGAACATTCCAAGGTGAAATTAATTTAGGGTCAAACACGCCGTAACACCGAGTCAGCAACCCCGTCAAGGGATGAATGTTGTGGACTGCTTGCTTCTCTAGTTAAACCAGCTTTAGTATCGACCGCATGATAGCAATACACAGCGGTCTATGTCTCCACACACAAACCTCAACCAAAACGCCACTCTATAGCCACAAATAATGCTCAGAACAGCAACTAACTTCATCAACAGAACATATAGGGTCCTAGCCAACAAATATCTTTTTAGCTTTGCCTAATTTCTTTAGCAAAGAGACTAAACACAACTCACCTACCCTCTTCCAGCAGCCGCTTGTTTGTAGCGAGACCTCAGGCCAGTCCATTACGAACTACAGCGGGGTGACACAGCTCGGTATTACAGTGTGTTTGACCCTAAATTAATTTTACACCGAAATATCCCTTTTTCTTGCTGTAGTATCCCCATCCAGCCATCAATGGTTTAACTCTTTACTAATGTCTCCTCAAAACAAGAGCTCCACAAGACCAGACAAACAAAAATCAAGCCAAAAACAAACCACCGCATACATACAAATCAGATACGGTGAAGATGGTCAAATATGGTGAATGAAGAAGTAAATTCATTGAGATACTGAGCTGGTAAAACCTCAAGCAAACATTCAGCGAGTAAAAAAGTGAGAAACAAACATTTTGGACCCAAAACACAAAAAGCCAACAACAAACCAAACATTGGTGTCATTCAAATGAAGCAGCACAGGCCTCACTCAACACCAGGCCAACAGCTAGCATGGCCGCCTTCATACCAGATCCTCTCAACAAACCAAAGCCTCATTTCTTGATCGAAACACAGTCCAAGAAAAAAAGGGAAAACTTACCTTAACACCAAATCCAGCTGGGTGTTGTCCATGAGCAGCAAGAAGATTGTCCCTCAGCAACTTTCACACCTTCTGCTCCTACCTTCTTCTACTTCTTCTTCTTCATTAAATTGGCAGTTGGCAACCATCTTAAGGAGCCTTACTGCCACCTACTGGACTGGAGTGTGGCACAGGAAATTAAGCAGAAAAAAAAGATATATGCCTATACACATATATTCTCACATAGCTCCAAAGTTAAACTCCTTACAATGAGCCAGTCTCCTTCAAGTACTTCATCTATGACTTGAATACTTTGTCAGATTTTGACCCTAACAGATTCTCCACAGTGATTTTGCCCCTACCTGCCACCATTTCCCATTTACATCCTGCTTCCTGTCACCTGAGCAGCAAACCTGGCTTCAAAATAAAAGCCCAAACCTTGCATCTCCAAAAATCAACACAAAGAGGAGTAAAATACCGAAGAATGAAGCATAAGAACAAAAACCAACCAAACAAACAAACAAAAGGGTAGATTAAATACTGGAAAAGTAATTTTAAAAATTACAGTATACAGTATTTTTTTTTTGGTTATGTTTTTGCTTTGTTTTTGTTTTTATTTGTATTTAATAATGAACACAATTATGCCTCGATAAAAGATCATTGTTTCATCTCCATGCCCTGAGTTTGGGTGTTATGTTCAGCGAGGAGGAGACCAAGTTTTGACAAGTCTCCCTTCATCCCAAACACATACTCTTTTCACACTCTGCCTCACTCTTTCACTCTACACATCCTTCTCTCCTCCTGTCATCCCCTCCTCTATTTTCAGACTTCACTCTCCACCCAACTCCTCTAGTCCCAGACATGTCGACAGCATTTTTTCCCAGAGAGGACGGACACACTGCATAAATTATTTCAGAAGTCCTGAAAGAGGGATTGAGGACATCAGTGAAGAAACATCCTCAACCCAAACTTTTAAGAAATCAGGGTTTTGGTTTTCGTGCTGATGCAGAAATTCTCTATATCGTGGCAAAAATAATAAGATCTTTGCAAACATTCATTCTAGGTTTTCATTTATGAATTTAGATTTCCAAAATAAAACAATCTTAAAGGATTTCCCTGTTTGAAACTGCATTTTCTGACAATCTCACTGAGCTTTCTGTGAGAGAAAACAGACGCCCTGTGGTGAAAGTAAATCAGTACAGTGAAGAAAGACAGACAGACGATGAAACTTTAAGTAGACCTGAAGGAAAATACTGTATTCAGTGGAAATCATCTGTGAAATCTGCACTGCAAGTGGGAGAATTTCACAATAAAAGTTTGTCATGTTTCCATAACAGCATTTTGCACCCAGTCGTGTATTTTTATCATTTCACCATTGCAGTTTGTACTTTTATTAATCCTGATTTTAAGGTATGAATTAAGACACAAGACCTGAACTTTTAGTACTACATAAAAAATCAAGCATTTTCACCCCAATGCTCCACTTTAAACCCTCTCTTAATTTGGCGAATAAGCTCTTCAGAAGACTACATTTTCCCGCTCTAACATGTGCCGTAACAGCCTGGGTCTTAAGTTACCTGTGGGGTCTGTCACCATGAAAGAGTTTGAGTGATAAAGAGTCAGAGAGGAGCGAGTTAGACTCTGAGTGTCGACATGATGAAGGAAGAGAGAGATAATGGAGAGGAAGGGAAGTGTCGGGGCGATGAGCTGACAGCGATGTCAAAACTTCGTCTGGCAAAGAGGTGATGGAGAGAGAGAGATGAAGAAGGTAGAGTTATTGTGACCACTCTTCCAAGGTTATGGTCATCCATCTTTCATTACCTTTCACTTTTCTTCCCAGTTGTGTTTGAGGAGGTGTTGAAATTCCACGTCTCATGAGTTTAGGGTCCCACTAGTATTATGTAATTGATTTCTTTGAGTGGGTACAGTTGGAGTTTCCATGTGGAGTCAGCGTGTTTGTTTGACTCCATGTAGCCAAGTGCTTCTGCAGGCCATGTGGTGACAGATTCAGGGTTTTATTTCAGGTCACTGTACGGAGAAGGGTCAGCGACTTCAACATGTCGATTCCATTTACAGCGAAATGAAGGTAGTAGAAAAGTTAAGCAACTCAGACCCAGTCCTGCAAGTGAAATTACAAAACCAGCAGGTGAACAGTTTGAGATAAAGATGCTTATATCCAGTTGCAGTTTGTAGTGTTTTTTGCTGCCTTCCAGTTACCTCAGTAGTCGAAGCTGGCAATGACAATACACCCAAGTTGACGGTGTTCCAGTAAACAAGTTGGAAAACCAAGATGGACGCCTACTGTTAGCCGTTGTTAGCTGTTGTTTACAATTGTCAGCTGTTGTTAGTTGTTGTCAGCTATACCAGTTTTAAACAACGCATAATACAGTATTTTACTCATACAAACACCATAGCACCGCGTTCACAGTTAGACATTGAACAGTACAACACATACCACTTATTTGTTGATGTAAATGTCAGCTTTATTTATAGAGCACGTTTAAAAATAGCCAGTGGCCTACCAAAGTGCTTTACAGTAATATAGCCAGAAACAATAAAAACGAAAAAAACAATACAAGCATAAAACATATGAAGACGTAAAACAACGATAGAGATAAACATAGTAATTAAATAAAAGACACAATAAAAGAAGCTATGCTTCCCCAAAAGCTAAAGTGAACAGGTGCGTCATATTAAATGCGTATTTAGTTTAAAAAAAACAAAAACAGGAGTGCTAGTAAATAATACATATGAAGACGTAAACTGTTACTCTTTACTGTTGATGCACTGTGCTGCCATCTTGGATAATGACGTTATCGTCAAATCAGGGTTGGTGAAGATTGTCCAACTTTCCAAGTCAGAAATCCGATTTCAGGGGGGCATTCCAGATGAATTTCTGACTCGGAGCTTGGAAATTCCGACTTCAGAGTTCAACTGGAACGCAGCATTTATGTCTGTTTTCTTCAATTTGGTTGATGACTCTTTTGTGCTTTGACATCCATCCAGAGGTGGGAACAGTTTATCAAAAGTTTAACTCTGTTCACCAATAATCCATTAACAAAGGCATCATCTTCACTAAGTTCACTAACAATGTTTAAAGTCAATGGACTTTTACATTATCCCCTCCCCTACCCAGCTGCAATGGAGACATTCCCACGATCCAAATCCAGTAATAGATCCAAATTAAACACATTATCCCCGTACAGATCTCATGGATTTCTCTGATGGTACAAAGACACATGGTGAAATAACATGTTATGCAAAAGTCAGGAAGTACACGTAGTCCTCCTCGCTGACCCCTTAGCATGTGCATGTTCTAAATAACCAACGATCCTGCACCTGCTCCCCTGCACTGCACAAAACCACATCCATCTGCTTTATCGCTGCGTAAGGAAGTAGCCTGTTTTGTGTCCGTTTACACGAAAATGACAAACTCGTATTTCCCACGAGGGGTGTATTTGTCCAGCATGCATCTTTAATTGAAGCTATGGGACTGAGAGCTAAAGTTAGTCTTTATACCGTTCACAAAGTCAGCTGGAATCCACATTAAAACGTCTCGGTGACGTAAAACTGCAGAAAAACAGCCTTTTAAAATACTTCATATTCATTTTTTCTTCTAAATACATACGAACTTTTTATTGGAGCAGTTAAATGCAGAGCCTGTCTTGGTTTTATTCGGTTGCAGTCACCCTAGCTGGCCCCCGCAAGTTGTGTGAATCAAAATCTGACTGATGGGAAAATGAATTACTCAGCTGGGAATCGCCGCTGAATTCTTTCCCATGTAGATGACCTGCGCGGGCCGCTCCGCTGCTCCCCAGCTTAGCATGCTAACGCCAGCGGAGTGTGTCGGTTGATTTGTGTGTGCAGAAATGCGCGGGACCTCGAGCGTTTGTCGTGTGTGTGTGTGCAAAAGACAGAAATCACTTCCAGATTTCTTCATCATTAATCATGCGGATATTTAGTCACCAAGAGTTGAGTGCTTTCCCCTTGAGCCAAAATGTGGGATTGATATGAGAAAACCAGTTTTTTTACAGTGTCCAGGCTGATTTTCATGAAAACCATGAGCTGATTTTCTTTAAAAGTCTTCCACAGGCTGTCAGATGGTGTTCAGGGAGATGTAGAACATTACAGCTGGAAGCAGAAGTAGACGAGGAAATTCAGATGAAGCCAGGGACAAAAACGTGATCAATTTAAAGGAATGCTTTGACATTATTGAGATCTGTTTGTTTTCAATCAAAATATCTGTTTTGTATTTCACGATTACATAAATGTCTACAACCAGCAATTGATAAGTGTATTTAAGCCGAAAGAGTGGAAGGATGTTGAATGCAGAGGAAAACTCTTATGGTATGAACAGATTTTCTCCAGATTCAGTCCTCCGGGGTCAATAACTCTTCAGCGAATCTCTGCTTTGATGGAGTCAACACTTCTTCTGCAAATGATTCTGCGCATGGCTTGCAGAAAGTCCAATGTGCAAACTTTTTGCAGGATTGTGCAAAGGATTGGTGGCAGTAGCTCAGGAGGTAGAGCGGTTGGCCAAGAACCAGAAGGTTGGTGGTTCAAACCCCACCCTATCCCTCGTCTGTCCATTGTGTCCTTGGGCAAGACACCTATCCCACCTCGCTCCCAGTGTTTGTCCTCCATAAGTGTGGGTTGTGTGGTGGTGGTTGGAGCGGCCATTGGAGCAAACTGGATGCCACGTTTCCATCAGTCTGCCCCAGGGCAGCTGTGTCTACTGAGGTAGTTTTCCCCCACCAAGGTGTGACTGTGTGAGTGAATGAATGATGTATCCAATGTAAAGCACTTTGAGGTACCTGACAAAAAGTGCTATAAAAATCTTATTCATCATCATCATCATTTTTCTGTCATATCCCCAAGGGTTAGGGTTCCAGTCCAGCGGTTCAGCTAATGCACAAATCTTTACAAATCTATGCTGATGTAGGAGGTGAAAAGAGAATGCTTAAATAAAAATTATTCAAAATTTCCATCAAATTTAGGAACTGATGAGCCTGAGCCCTTTTCAGAAATGCACAACTCTGCTGCAAATGTCCTGACCTCACCCAGAGGGAGTGCATGTGTGAACAAAAACAAATACTTGGAGAGTACAATCACCAGCCTGGAATACATATGTGATACAAGAGCAGTTGCACTTTGTTTTTTAGTGTTAATCAGAGGGATAAAGGTTTGAGCTGTCAGACTTTTATTGCTTTTAACAAAGTCAGCAATGTGCAGTTTATGTGCAGATGCGAAGCACCATCTGTTTTCGCCGTCCTGCTGGCTTAAAGGACAGTAGTTAAGGTCAGCGGAGGTGGTGTTTATAGTTTTAAGGCGCAGACCTGGGCTCCAACTGCGAAGCATATGAAAGTTAAGTAATATCGAAGTCTGCTAACTTTAATGAGTAAACAAGCAGAAAAAAATCAGTCCCAGGCCGGAGGAAACGTGACTTTGAACTGAAACGTGACTTTGAACTGAAATGTGATTTTGTTGTAGCTCCAGAGACAAATACAGACAAAAGCGGTTGCAGATGATTTTAAGGGACGGGTACTTTCACATGTAACATGGAGTTCAAAGTCTTTGTTCTGCGGAGAATATCGGCGCACATTATGTCTCTCTTTAGTTTTCAGCTTATAATTTTTCCCATTTTTGATCTTTTACAGGAAAAGACACACAATCTCAGTTGACAACTGTTTTATGACACTCACAAGATGCATTAGAAAATAACTTGGCTCTCCAATAAGCCCCAAATCCAACACATGCTACATCAGTAGAAAATCCCGTGACAGCGAGGGCCGTTAAATTGCATAAAAGTCTTGATTGATGTGAAATTTAAGTGTGTGCTAATAGATACCAAAGGTTTTATTGTCCCCCGCCCCGACATCTTGGCAATTAAAGAGGCATAAGATTTTGTTTTGCAAATCCTCTGGCTGGTCCAAACGCTGTTATGTAATCAGACTTTTCATAGTGAATGTCTTTCATTACTACGTATACAGCAAAAGAAAAAAAAAACCCTGTGGGATCAATTTTGTCTGCTGTAAGAGATGAAATAAGGTTCAGACTATCAAAAGAAAAAAATAGCTTGACATACATTATCTGTTGTGACACAGAGCCAGTTTTTTGCCCAGAAGGTTGTAACGGTCAAATGCGCCAAATTACGTCGCTAGGCACAAAGTTCATACGAGGTTGTGGTCAAATCAGGAATGTAAAATCTCGACGTGTAATATTTTATACATTAGTCATTGTTAATTTTAAGTTTTTATTGAGACATTGAATTAGATAGTCAGATTTGATTTTCAGCATTTTTTTATGTCTGTCCAAGTGCGCCATGAGTGCTTAAGAGTAGAAAGATAAGGACAACCAATAAGGACAATGAGACCTTAACTGAACATCCTGGACCACTACCTGAAACATGGAGTGTTTAAAAATGGACATCATCCCATTTGTTGATAAGGCAGTCTTGAAGCTTATCAGCAGTGGAAATGCTGACCCAACCCAACTTTCAGTCAACCTACCAAAGGGCGGGTCTTTAGCCACCAAGTAAACAGTTGGAGTACGCCTGCATGTCAGTCAAGTCGTTGAGCATCTGATTCGCCGATCTTGTAAGGCTAATATCTTCAAAATGAACGTATTACAAACACATTCACTCCCCGTACAGTTAGCGCTGTAGGAGCCTTGAGCGAGTCAGACTAAAATGTGCTTTTATTCGCTCTAAAATTGACTCTTTTGGCACAGTGTGTACTTCTGCGACCGTCTTCTAGTGGGCACACATGGAACTACAGTTTTTCGCACTTCCACGTTAGCTTTATCTCTCAAGGCTGGAAGTTTCTGCCTGATCAGGAAGCGAGAATCTGCAGGGATTATCTTGCAGCTATGTTCTTTTTCAAGTGTGGACAGATCCAGTATTGTTTTTTTGTTTTAAATGAGTGACGAACTACATAATCATTATCACTCATTGACGATGCCGTTTTTCTCATACTGCAAATGAGTTGATGTTGAAAAATCAACATATCAGACTCAGTGTGAGAAGTTTCTGTGTGGCATTTTTTCTTAGTTATGGACCTGAAAAGCACGTCTGAGAGACTGCAGGCTCCAAGTGCGGAGACATTTAGCATTTAAGTTTACTTCTCTACTCGAACTAAACTAAATTTAAGTGAGTCGGATTGTGAATTTGCATTATGGTGTAGTTTTTCAACAAGACGTTTTAGCTGTGGTTAAAGTCATAAAAAAGAGAAAACCTCAGATGGATAGTGTAAATCAGAAGATGGGTGACCTGTTGAGCTGTTACAGTAACTCTCTGTGGTGAGACGCCGCCGCCGCCGAACCTCGTGAGGAGCATACCGAGGGTGGCAAAGAGACGCAGAATTACATAAGAGTGAAAAACAAAAAAAGGCCCCAAGGAACAAAACAATAAAACCAAATGATTACCTTGTGATGACTTTTAAACCCGATTGCATTAAATTCTATAGTCCAGGATCAGCGTATTAAGGCGCATCAAAGGAGTCTTTGCATTACAGCGGATGTTTACCCTCTGATGGCTTAAAAACACATATAATAGCTGCATTATACGAATTATGCAACTTATTCCTCCATTAACCCACCTCATTCTGAGAAACAATTTGGAGCAAACTCATGCCTCCTGCTGTCCTGAAACATTAAGAGAAACTAAAATGTGCCCCGAAGCGTCGCTGGAGTTCTGCTTTGATATTTTGAGCCTAATTTCATTACCCTTAAATCTGTTTATTTCTCTGAGGGTTGGAACACTTGTCAGAAAAACTTGTTAAGCTCGTAAATCCAGATTATATTATATGCGATCAGCACACCACATGAGCTTAATGGAGTTATTTTGCCAGCCCCTGTTAGGTTTGGTTGACATTTACAAGTAAAAAGAAAGTCTTTTTTTAACTATAAACTGATCTTTTAGTGCTTTCCACCTAGCGGGGTTATGTACTTCTCAATATCTGTGAAACTTTAAAGTACGTGTAAGTTTATCCATTTACGAGGGGGATACTGACTTTCGTTTGTTTTTTCTGCTCTCAGAAAGTAGTAACTTTGACTCACGTCAGAGCTGCAGGCATCATTAATCGAGAGCTGGTTTCTGAGAAGACATACCGGAGTCCACCCTTTCATAGTTTCATTGTCGGGGGGTAAAATTGCGCCTTTCATGAACACAGTACTGTCCTGAGGCTCTGAGTTTACCGAAAGCTTTTTTAAAGACCGAACTGCAATTAAAATTTTGGTCATCAGACAGCTTGCTGACTGCACTCATAAATTCCTAAATTACAGTCAGTGGAGATGAAACAGGAGTGTGATCGCGTCCCGCTAAAAACTTTCCGATTTTCTCTTATTCACAACAACAGAAATTTAACAATAACCTCTGATTGCAGGTACATGAAACTCATGCTGCGCTCCAGTTGTACTTGGAAGTCGGAAATTCCAAGCCCCGAGGTCAATGGAATGCAGCATTAGACCTTTAATCTGCTTGATTCGACATTTGGTAATGGTACAGCATCACCTGATTTGAGTGTATTTTACTGTAAGTGGACCTGTAATAGGAGGTTTTCACTTGACGTCACTTCCGTGTTACGCGGCACATGCGCAATACAGATGGAGGGCAGGAAGTGAGTTGCTGCTATAGAGACCAGCAACAGGCCGATGTTTTGCTCCGTTTACGGCTACTCGAATCGATCGAACAGGGAAAAAAACAAAATCTTTTATCGTGTGCCCAAAGTAGTGTTACACAAAGGGGAAAGAACACACCTGATTCAAATGATCAGCTCGTTATTAAGCCATTTCAGAGCTTGATAACGAGCTGATCATTTGAATCAGGTGTGTTGGAGCAGGGAAACATTTCCCCCGACTACGACCTCAGATCAGACGAGACGACCCGCTGAATTTAAGCATGTTACTAAGTGGAGGAAAAGAAACTAACCAGGATTCCCTCAGTAGCGGCGAGCGAAGAGGGAAGGGCTCAGCACCGAATACCATGGACGGTGTGAGGCCAGTAGCGGCTCCCGTCGCGCCGGGGTACGTGCTTCTCGGAGTCGGGTTGTTTGGGAATGCAGCCCAAAGCGGGTGGTGAACTCCATCTAAGGCTAAATACCGGCACGCATCTAAACCGGCGCATCTCCTCCATTGCAGTCGGTCGCTTCCTGCCCTCCATTTGGTCCTCGTGTGAAGTCAGGATCACGTGACTGAATACAGCCTATTTCAACCGTTTTCGTATTATACATGAAAGCAAGCAATAAGGCAAAAAAAATATACTTAAAATGTTTAACAGATACATAAACCATCTTGTATGTAAACATAGGGTCATTGTCTTGTAAAGTCTGTTACTTTGCTACCAGTGAAGTCGCCCTCTGCTGGCTGTAAGTATATGTGCATGTTTAGGACACACACACAAGGCACTTAAGTCTTTGTGCAATATTACAAATTACGACGCAGGGCTGTTTATTTGAGTCTCATCTCTTAAAAAACAGACCGTCCTATTGGGACTTTTATCTTTTAACACTCATTCAAACAGTCTCTTGGAATTCTCCCCGCATATTAAAGGTTTTACGAGATTCGAGGCTTCTATTCATATCTTTAGTCTGAGCCTCAGAGTAAGTTTTGTAATATCCTAACACGAGATCGGTGGTTTCCTTTACAAGCTGTCCAGACAAACAAATTTAGTGCTAAAGGTACAGTCTGTTATTTTGTAACATTCGGGGAATACCTCTCCCTGTAAGAAACGTACCTTGTGTGGATGAAGTTCACTGCAGACATTAAACAGACCCCCAGGCTCCAGGCTCTGCAAGGTCTTCCCCGGGCCCCCTTTTTATGAGCCCTGTTGTTTATTTGAGGTTCCCAGCATGAGACTGTTCGTGCATGTCCAAGTGATGACAGACACTTTAAAGATGTGATCACCTCAGATTGTACTGTCCTTTACAGGAAAAACCAAGAAGTGATATCAGGGGCAAACATCTGACTCTTTATACCCACCAGACTTTTATTGAGCTATCTTTGGCAGGATCTAAAAACCATTAAATTGAAATTTCATGGCCCGTTACTCAACTCAAGAAAAGGGCTTCAGTTCAAACATGCATTGGCCCTGAGGTGGGACACTGTCCCGACAAAAGGTTGCAGTTTTCTGTGATGACACACGTAACCCTCGTAGACTTATCCAGCAGGATGTAGATATGAGGGTAAATCACAGCGCCTGTGTCTGCACGCACAAGCAACTGATGAAAGAGGACATTCTGATGAAGCTAGCTATTAACAAATCAAAACGCTGGTTTGAAAGTGTCCAACAAAACCGCAAAAAGACGGAGGGGAGACAACACAGAGACTAAGTAAGGACTATCATCTGTGAGGAAATCCAGTGGAAAGGTTCAATCCCTCTAAAAAAGAAATTGGATAGACATTGTTAAATCAACGGATTTTCACCATATGAACTCATGTTCAGACGACACCCACATCTCCCTGAAGACCCGGCTTCTGGACTTCCTGCTATCAACATCCATCTCATTTACCGCATGTCCAGGGTCTTCTATCTCACTTGAAGGAAAGTTACAAAAGTCCAACACGAAAACTCGAGCAGAGAAATAAACCGAGTCCAAGTCAGGTCTAAAATCACGTCAGCGCCTCGAGTCCCCATGTCAGTAACATTAGTAAATAGTACGTGACGTGAAGGGAATCACTCCGAGTCCTGTGCTGCGTCCGAAACTGCCCGCTCGGATACTACATGCTACTGCTACGTGCTACTGCTAGATCCTACTCCTACATACTAAAAACGTTGGCCCAATTCGGACACACTAGACGAGCGGTGGGGAAAGACGACCCCCGCAGGCAGAGAGTAGGTACTGCGCCCGTGCAGACAGTGGTAACTGAAGCCCCTCATCTGCGGGCCTGGCTGTAGTACTGCAGCTGTGCAGTTTAATGATGGAATAAGTGAGCTTTACCTCCATGATGTCGCCACTTGCTCATAAAATGATTACTTGGGCAAATATGACACCATGACATGACAAAGAGATACAACCGCACATTTTTTAGGACAGTGTGTGAAGTTACATGAAACTTACATCTGTACTGCTGCGGTCCTGCCTGCTGCTGCTGCTGCTGCTCCGCCATGGTGCGCGCTGCTGTGGCCAGCCGGCGTTCGCGACACTTTTAAATAGGCAGAGCAGCTGGTGGCGCTAGCATCACATGCGCTTCTACAACTTTTAAGAGGACGAAGAAGAAGCCCGCGGTGCATTTTGGGTCAGTAGCATGCCCGTAGGATGCACCGAGACCAACCTACAATGTGGGCGTGTCTAGCATCTGAAGTAGAATCTGAAGTAGCATGCTACTCGCTCCGGTGGCCAATTCGGACATGCTAGATACTACTTCGACTACTACTTCGACTACTACTTGGCAATTCGGACGCAGCTCTGATTTGTTCTTTTCTCAGTTCAGTTGAGCTCAGCCACGAGCCTGGCGTGCCGGTCGGGAGTGGAACTGCCGCCTTTGACTCTTTGGGGAATGACACACAGCCAGCCAGCGAGTGGGCGGGCGGGCAGAGTCTCGTGAATGTATCGGTCAGTCTGTGAACAACATGGTGAACGAAACGAATGACTTCCGAAAGACTTAAGACAGGCAGAGGAGCGAGGGGTGTAGTGTCGTTAACTCACTGCCGAGCACCGGTTCGTTCACTGAGGCTAAGGTATGTAGTGCCCTAGTAATTTGAGTTCATTCTTAAAGTTGTTTGATTCTGTGATAGCTCTTATTTTTCTTGTTGATTATGTAAGATATCACCTCATAATCTCAGGAATGTAATTTTTTGGTTAAAGTTTTCAAATATCCCGCAGTTAAGGCAGACCTTGAACGCCTCATGTCCGGTTGTCCCTGTATTGCGTGATTGACAGGCATCACGAGCGTATCGCCAATCATTGTCAAGTTTGGGTGAGGAGTGGGACCTGTCAGTTTTTGGGAAGGCGGGGTTTTCATCTCGGTGAGAGAAGCGGTGATTGACAGAGCGGAAAAATGCCGGCCAGCGATGCCGAGAGAAGGCGAAATAATAGTGTGAAAGTTTGTTCTTTCGTTGTTAAGTGTTAAATGAAGACCCGACAGGATTGAGGCTCGGTGTGTTGGATCGGGGCGGTTGTTTCGAGACGTGCGGGTGAGTGTTGTTGGTGGATTCGTAAATGTGCTATATGCTAAATTGTTAGCTGACTAGCATCGACTGTGCAGGAGCAGAGGAAGACTGGAGTCAGGATGCATGTGCGAGGTCGGGTGTTAATTTCAAGTTCCTGAGTGAGTATCAGACTGCTTATTGTTACCTCAGGCACGTTGTGAGTGAGTACGTGTATGTGAAGTTTTGTTTTTTTTGTGCTGTCAGTGTGCTTCGGATACTGACCACTCGTGCTGCGACAGTAGAGGTGCTCCGGACTTGCCGCGCCAGGGACTTCGGCATGCGGACCGACTTTCTCCTTCTTCCATTCTGTGCTTCAGTGATGGTTATAACAACACACTAAATTTGCAAGTGACCGTGAGTACAAACGACTTGGAAATCACACCCACACAAGCGCTCCAACAGCGCGCCAACGTACGCGGTACCACAGACTGATTTATAAAATCCCGGGTATTAAGAACTATTTTTTTCTTCTCTTTTTATTTCTTTATCCTGTGAATAAATGTGAACATTAGTGAATTTAAACGTGTAGTTCCTGTTGATTGATGTGCACATTTGTGGGGCTATCTTAAGACATGCATGGGAGTTAACACTCACACAGACACATCACACAATTCCCTGGTTTATATTTTGTAGCATCACCAATTCCTCTCCCATGCAAAATACTGTGTGTATGATCCGGTAGGTAATAGTATTTTGAAAAAATTAGGAATTGAGTGAGGGGGCTACAGGTAAAACAGGTCATTATAGCACCTTAACATTAAAACACGTGTGTAAACTTTTCTGAAAAAAGGATTTAATTGTAGCCGATTTAAAACGATACGTTATTTGATATCTGTAAAAGTAGCAGAATCCCCGCTACAACTGCGATGTTTATTTTTAATCCCTCCACTTTTCCATGATATAAAAAAACGGCGACTTGCGCTCATTTAGCGGATGTGCTGCTTACTGCTGTGTTGTTTCCGCCGACAGCGACACACAGAGAGGTGAGTTTTTCAGGGCAGGGGAGTGATTCTTCCTTTAGGACTTGGCGAATGAACGACACGTGTCACCCAGTGAACGATGCTGTGACTTCAGCGGGAGGGGAGGGGCTCGTTCAATGAACACTTGCAGCTGTGTCACTCACTGGTGTACCGCCCCAGCAGGACAGGGCTCTGAAGCACTGACTGATCAGTGAACTAATCTTTTGAATGAATCGTTTTAATGAATGGATTCTAAAGATTCAGTACAGTCAAAAGAACTGTTCTTCCCATCACTAATAACTACACCCTACACCCTACAACACTTTTCTCTGCACATTGACATGTTTGGATAAAAAATGCACAGCCACATGCTGATAAAAATGTAAAATGTTGTCCCTACACAGGACTGGCACTGAATAACGCTCAGCTGCACCACATGGGGTTAAAAGTCAGGTCGTTTTTTTCCCCCTCTCTCTTCGAGTAAATGCAGACATAATCCAAAGGTCGTAATCTAGCAGAGAGGTGGCTGCGCAGGCTGTTAATCCTCTCTCTACATCATCATCAGGGAAGCCCCCCTGTCATCCCCGCCCCCGCTCCCCTGCTGGAGTGAACACATCCGCTTGGGCTTTACGTTAACTCTCACTTTCCTGATGAAAGTCGTGTAGCGAGGAGGGGCAGACCGTGAGGAACAGAGTGTGTGGAGGACGGAGGAAGAGAGGGATCAGATGTGGGCGGGCTTAGTATCAGATCTGTGTGGAATCAGACATGTGGATTACGAGGTTGTTTCATTCATGAAGTGGTTTGCACGTCAAAGTAATATCCTTCAGGGTATTTGTCTCTGAGGAAGTCTGGAGGAAGTGACGTCAAAGCGTCTGGACCAGATGGACTGATGAGTCCCATCAAGGCAATGATACAGGCGGAGTAACTCATCAGTTACTAATGTATCTATCAGGAGTAATGAAGTTTATTTATGACTCTAAGGACTTTTCAAACCCTCTACAGTCAAAACGCCATGAGCAGGAAACGGTATTAGAGCACTTTTAATTGAAAATGAAGGTTCAATCTTGTTCCAAACTAAGACTAAAATCCCTCCTCAGCATGGGAAGTGCTCTGGTTTCCTTCAGAACAGACTAACTTGGGTGTATGTGGGAAAGTATGCTGTGAAGACCCTCCAGCACACATTGACAATGATTATTTGATCCGTTCAAACAGACATCTGTGTGCAAGAGCAGCTAACAATCTGTTTAAGGTCAACCCAGCGCCACATTTTATGACTTGTATCGTAAATGAGCTACTGAAGTGAGAGTCACCAGGAACAAGTTAAAGGGCGCCACCAATGCCTCACAGAGAAAGGCGCCTTAGTTGGGAGTTATTTAACACCACTGAAATTAAAGCTACTTTTCACGAGCATATGTCAATGCCAGATGTGAAAGAGGTCCGGTGAGACCTTCTGATTGTTGCAGAAGAGAAAGGCAGTAAGGTTAGAGCTCTTGACCTGATAACCGTCAAAGTTTTCTACTAGCGGCAAACGCATCTTGACATTAACATCACTCGGTGCGTTTACATGCACAGCTTAATCGGACTAAGCTCGTAATTCGTTTTTTTCTCCAAACTGGACTTCTTTCATTGTTCGCGTAAACATGCAAGCTGAGAATGTGTCCCCCTCTCCAAAACTAGGGGGCGCTGTTTTCGATTGACCCCATACAACTGTCGACAGCAGGTCCGTGCCAGACGTCAGAAGTGGCTAGAACTGCTGCTGGGCATTTTCAAGCAAGAAGATGGAGCATCGTACGATGTTGTTTTTGTCGTACATGATGTACGCGCTACTTTTTCTGCAGATGAGATGCAACTACTCCTCTTCTCTGGTGTTTTTGTTCTGGAGTTACGGGGGCGTGGCGCACACGCATTGTCTGAGCATACTCTGACTTCGCTGGTTACATGGTACAGAAAATCGAATTACAATCGCAGTATCTGAGTGTCTTAATCGGAGTTCTCCGACTTCAATCGGAGTTCTCAAACTACGATTATAGTTAGACTAAGGTACTTCACTTCAGTTGTCCGGTCTCAATCGGAATAAGGCAATAATTCGGTTTTCGGAGTGTCATGCAAACATACTGACTGTCAGCAATTTTTATCCAATTGTGGAAACACCAAACTCATAACCATGACTATTTTTGGATCAATGGGGCCATCACAAGTATCACTCACTGGTGGGTTACCACCAAGAGATCTATCATTTAGTGTTTGGAAAGGTACTCAAGTAACTTAGCTGATCCGCCCTAGATTTTGGCTACCCTTCTGTTGGGTTGACCAAGCCTACTAATCCAACCCTGAACTGCAATGACTGAGAAGAATCGATACGTCATTTATTTGCACTTTCATTCAAATCATGCTTAGGGGTGTTATGGCTTATAAGGAGATGCATTGCTAACGTTGATGAGACAATATAACTGGTCATCTAGAAATCAGAAATGATCAAAACGGCGAAAGTTTTGAAGCTTTTACAACAACTGGGCAATATCTCAGTGCTTACAATACACTCCAGAATTTGGGGTCTCAGGGAGATGCTTTGATTCGGAATGTTAAATGGTGGCCCAGTCCCTCTTGAGTTTTCTTAGGGTGCCAATGACGAACCAAGCACCTCACAAGGCTGATCTGTATGGATATTACTCACCCACAAGCTATCCATTAGCTATAATACGCTAAACTTCGACACCAGTATACTGCTGGACCTTAAGGGTTTGTTGCACAGACAAAGCAGGGTCTTGTCCAAACAAGATGTAGGGCTTTTCTCGCTGCAGGCATTTGGCTTTTGATAAACTGTGATGGTTAGCAAAAGCTACAAGAAGTGTCTAGAACTGCGCAGAGCTCCGAGTTACATAACCCATCATACGCTTGGTAACTGGCAGTGCCTTTTTGAAAAGCATTGATGTTTTGTGGTTGAACCAGCTGATAAACAAGTCTCATTTATTTATGGCCGGACCCTCCAAACTCCCTCAGTTTAGAGGGAGAAAGTAGAGGACAGAAAGGCCGCCTTTGTTGAAAGGGGGTTTCCGAGTGAATGTAATGCATCACTAAATAAATTCAGACTTTAGTTGCTATGATTTGATAACAGTGATACAGTTTTATTGGATGTTCTCACTTGCTGACAGCCAACCTTAATTTAATAGGTATGTTTTTCAGTTGCTTTTTCTTTAAATATCTGTTGATATCACATGTACGGCATGCCTCCATGAGAAAAGCCACCAGCAGCATGCTTCAGTTGGAGGGCCAGTTTCCTGTATCTCATATTGTTCTGTACACATCTGTTTTTCTCTGCTGTCTGGAGTGATACCAAAAAAGCTGGGGCACCACGATGTAAACCGTCTGTTTTCATATCAGTGACTTCAACTGAAACCAAATGACACCACTTGTCCATCCATATCATGTGAACTCGACAGCCTTCGACCCTTCTGATGTAAGCAAACTGTCCTAATCAAAAAGGTGGCGAGTTTCTATGACCTTATTCCAATTATAGTGTGCTCTCGCTTTATTGACATCTGCCTTGTTCACATTTCACATTGCAGCTATTCCTGGTTTGCTCTGTTCACAGATGTATAAAAGCCCAGATATGGAAAATATCTTTTTTTGGTCCTCTTAAATGAATTTAACAGACTGCTCTTGATTTTCCCTGATTTGTTTGGGTCCCTGTCCTTGGGCCCGGTCCACTCTGAAGAGATTTAGTCCTCCAGCTATTTCTGTTGGAGTGCATTCAACTATTTCTGAGTGATTGCTACCAAATAGGAACATAGTAGGAAGCTGTAGGAAGCTCAAGGGGGGGCTGAGAGCCAAAGGCAATACATCTGTCATCAGACCAAGCCACTTAATCTTTGTATGAAGCAACGTATCAGGAAGATACTGTGCTCAGCTGTGTTGCATTTTACAAGTGGGCCTGATACCAGCTGAAGAGTTAAAGGGATATTCCGGTGTAAAATAGATTAGGGTCAAACACACCGTAACACCGAGTTAGACACCCCCTCGTTGAATGTTGCCGACCGCTTGCTTCTCTAGTTACACCAACTTTAGTCATGACAGCAGGATAGCCATACACAGCGGTCTGAGGAGCCATAAACAAACCTCATGATCATAAATGTTCTTCCTTGAGCTGTGTCAGCCCACTGCAGTCCGTAATGGACTGGCCCTAAGTCTCGCTACAAACAGGCGGCTGCTGGAAGAGAGTGGGTGAGTTGTGTTTAGTCTCTTTGCTAAAGAAATTAGGCAAAGTTAAAAAGATGTTTGGTGGCTAGTACTGTGGCTGGGACCCTATATGTACTGTTGATGAAGTTAGGTGCTGTTCTGAGCATTATTTGTGGCTATAGAGTGGCGTTTTGGTTGAGGTTTGTTGATGGCTCCTCAGACCACTGTGTGTTGCTAACGTACGGTTGTTACTAAAGTTGGTAAAACTAGAGAAGTAAACGGTCGGCAACATTCATCTCTCAAGGGGATGTCTAACTCGGTGTTACGGTGTGTTTGACCCTTAATTAATTTTACGCCGGAATATCCCTTTAATTGGCTCTTTTTTAAAGCGATGGCATTGAAAAAAGTGGGATGAGGTTAGAATCCAACATCAATATACAATACCATACAATATGATACAATACCACATTTTGCGATAAGATAGAATGCAATACGATACAACACAATACGATACGTTACGTTACAGTAGGATACCATACCATAGAATACAAAACAATAAAATGTGATAGAATACCATACGTTACGATACAGTAGAATACCATACAATACTATATGTTACGATGCAATACAATACGATACAATGGAATACAATACAATACGATAGAATACAATACAATGTTATGTTACAATATGATAGAATACAATACGATACTATACATTACGATACAATACATTACAATACGATAGAATACAATACAATATGTTATATGATTGAATACGATACCATACGTTACGATACAATATAATACAATAAATTATGAAACAATACCATAAGTTATTAAAGAATAGAATACAATTTAATACAATGAAAAACAATAGATTACAATATGATATGACACGATATGTTATTATATGATAAAATAAGATACCACAACATACAATAAGATGCAATAGAATATAATGGGATACGATAGAATACGACACAGTTGGATAGAATACAAAACAACACGATAGAATGGGATACTTTACAATACAATAGAACACAGTACGATACTATGCACTATGATGGAATACAGTACAATAAGATACGCCATAAAATGATATGATACAATAAAATACAACACGATACAATAGAATATGATACGATTCAAGAGCTTTATCTTTGAGTGGAGTGGTACCAGTTTCCTCATCAGTCAGCTACACCACCAATAATGTATTCCTCTTTACTGTTGGACATTACAGCTAAGGAGTCTTTAATTCTGTATCCATTAACCTTATGAAATCACAGATAAACATCTATTTTATCCTCCACCGAAGTCGGTTTATGTTACTGGAGTGTCTGAGAGTAAAGAGGCCCCTCTACTCCCAGCCACACATGTTCATGTATAACATTGACTTAAGTTGTATGATGCCGGGGAAACCATCAGACTGTATAACGATCCTGTGGGGCAACTCAGTTTTCCCACAGTTACATCTGTAATAGTGATACCTAATAAAGACGGAGACTTAACTGTCAGCAGAGACATGTTTATTATAAGTTCAACAGTTCATGTAATGCACACACTGGCTCTTGACATAACAGTAAGATGATATACATAATAACAGTCTTATATCATTTGTACTTAATCCCATTATGTGTGGTGTACTTATTTAAGCATTAATGTCTTTCCAGTGGAAAGTGACACACAGATTAGTAAGCGCAGTTCATAGAGGAAAGCATTTACAGGATTACCATGTGGAAAAAAATAGAAGAAATTTGCTCTCAGGGTGAGAAAATAAATAATGCAGGTGAATGAATTGTTGTGTAAAGGCACAGTTAACTGAAATTTTGATTTATTTAATTTTTAGCTCCTTCAATGAGTTTTTCACTGGTTGTGAAACAGAAACAAATCAATATTGAGGCTTTTCTTTAACATATCAAACAAACGGGACCAGCATTTTTAATGCTTGTTACAACGGTGATGGGGTAAGAGTCAGGCCAGATGATTAACTGCACACTGAAGAATTAGCTGTTTGTTTTCAGCAGCAAATACTCACAATGGGTGACACATTTGAGCATTAAAAAGAAGCTGGACGAAGTTTGCTGTCTACCTCAGGAAGCACAGAACAGAATCAGCCAATTGGTATCCATAGGGGGCGCCAAAATCAACGCAAAGTGAAAATTCCTCACAGTAGCTTTAAAGTCCGGTAGTTAGGGGGAATTTTTATTAGACAGGAAATGAGTGAGTTGGGGAGTGGGGGAAGGCATGCAGCAAAGGAGGCGTGGCCAAGATTCAAACCAGCAACCACTGCAATGAGGACTAAAGCCACCATACATAGAGCACTTAGACCTCTGGGCCACTAGTACCTCAGCAGCAGCTAGTTTATCAGACTCCGTGTTATAGATATTCACATATTCATATATATTTGAATTCGAAAGCAAGATCTTTAAGATTAACAAAGATATTTCTCTAATTTTCTTACCATCTCATACCCATCAAAGGCAGCTAACTTCATTCAAATCGATCCTAACCTAATCAAAGTGCTTTTTCCAATGTACTTTGTGACTTTCTATGATTATTTTTACTTCACAGCAAGCAACAGGTTTGCTCCTTACCTTCAATGTGACACGTGAATGATTTAGCAGCCTGACTCTGTCCAGTCATCTCATGTATGCCAACACTGCTCACCTGTGATTGACTCCAGCACTAAGAGCGAGTGTCCTCATGTAACTTCAGACATGCTTCCAAACTCAACAGCGCTACACTGACCATACCTGCCCTACAATCAGGAAAACACAGAGAATCAAAACATCATTATAAAACATAATATGCTGCACTTACATTCCCCCGGCGGGAGACTTTCAACATTGTTCTCACAACCTAGAACTTGTGTGCTCCAATCACTGCAAAAATAGTACGCTCATTTATTTTCCTGACAGGCAGAACAATGTTTTTGACCCCGTCGCCCACCGTGCGTAATGTTCCCTTTTATTGTCCGGTTGGAAATGAACCTCTTGAGGAGAAGGATTAAAGGTTCGCAGGGAGCCAAGAGACAGTGGCGTGCCCAGAAGGTGAATCTACGTGACCACTCCAGAACTATTATTGGTTTTCCCAGTCAGACATGGATCTCCGGACACGCCTCTACAAAACAGGAACGAGTATTTTCTAAACAATCTCAAAATTTACTTTAAAGTTCCTCTCGTTCGGTTTGAACAGCATTTCAGACTTCAGCCAGAGAGCAACCTGCTCAATGACTTCAGGTTTAAGACCACTAAGAGATTACTCCGGTACAAAATAAAGAGAATAACTACATGAAAATAATCACTCAGGACTTAGTTTTCTGCGCTCTATAATCCACATGTACTGTATGTTTTGAACTCACTGTCCGGCTTTACATCCGGTCTTCAATCCTGCAGCTCCATCTAGTGTGTACTGGCAGTAAAGGTTTGTTTTTGCTTCACTTAAATGCTCATAGAACTACAATGAATCAAGTCAATTATAGCTATACAGCTGTATGTAAATGACTAAATATGATATATTAATGACTAGTCTTCTCTGGACAACAATTATAAAAAATACTGTAAAGGAAACTTTTGACAAATATTTAGTATTTTTACTACTAGTAAGCAATAAGTGGCAATGAAAAGAAAAAGAAACTTATTTTCACAGGGAGAAACCTCAAGAGAGACCGTACTTGAGATTTGTTTTCTTCTTAAAAACTTCTTAACTTCGTGACCGTCGGGGTTAAGAGACAGAGATGAAAAAAGAAAGAGGGGGAGGCTGTCCAAAAGTCAGCAACAAAGATAACAACTCTGATAGAGATACAGATAAGACTAAAATGATAACAATAATATTGACCAAAATTCCCAGGCAGTTGCAAAGTCATGTCTATAAAAAAATAAAGATCCATCCAAAGTAAACCCGATCAAACTTCAAGTAGAAGTTTTATTAAAGTTGAGGTATCAAGCTGAGTTTAGAAGCTGAGAGGGGTCTACCTCCCAGAGCAACAACCCAAAACCCAAATCCTGCAAAATAAATAAATAGAAATAATTCAGTTACTGAAGGATATTAGTCTGTAAGGGTTATTATGATTGATTTAAGGTGAAGTTCAACTCATTGGTTTGTCTGCAAGACAAAAAAGCACGTGGGAGGGAGCTTCAATCCAGAGTTTTTATTTATGCATTCAGCTGGTTTCTCTGGAGAGGTTGAGAAAGGAATAACAAAAGTGAAATAAATTAAATACAAACAGGATCAATATCATTATTTCCATCAATAATATCAGAGCTTAACCATATCTTAGCTATAAAGTTATATATAAGTCAGAATAATAAATCAAAGATGAGGTGTATAACATTTTAAACAAAGCCAACTCACTGGATGAGCGCACAGCAAATGATACTGGTGGTGCCTCTCCAGCTCTATTGTCTCCAGAGTTCCCAGAAAGAGTTTCCAGCAGGTGAGCTTGCTGCCTTTAATGACTCTGGGGCTCCTCCCATGAAGGGAGCCTGGAGTCAGGTAGGAGAGTCAGGTAGGAGAGTCAGGTAGGAGAGTCAGGTAGGAGAGTCAGGGAGGGAGGGGGGATTTTCCACAGTTTACCATGTTTTCTCAGCTTGAGTTCAGGACAAATGAAAGAATCAGAAAACAAACATTTTCCAAGTTTTCCACATTTGAATTAATTTACTCTGAATGAATGAATGAATACTATCATTTCAATAAACTCTAACTCACATTGAGTGTCTACATTGATGCTGAGTTCCAAATCAGAAACACATTAAAGCAGGGGTGGGCAATCGTGCCACGGAGGGCCGAGAAGCTGCAGGGTTTCTTTCCAACCCAAAACTCCACCAGGTGATTTCACTGATCCATCCCTGCTCTCTGCTTGGAGGTAATCAGTGAAATCACCTGGTGGAGTTTTGGGTTGGAAAGAAAACCTGCATCCTCTCGGCCCTCGGTGGCACATGATTGCCCACCCCTGCTTTAAAGTCTACCCAAAATAAAGCACATTATGTATCACTGAAAAAATACTTTTAAAAATAGTACTGGGTTATGGTTTTCTTATCATGCACTAATATCATTATGTCAGACTGTCCTTTTTTAAACACAGTAAATGATAAAATTGCGAACAGACCAAATGTTTTGTAATGTTTGTATGTTTACTGGATTGGATTTCAGATTATGTGCATTATGTTTCTCCTCCTGTGTTTTGGGAAATCAAAAATAAATCTCTGCACTCTGTTAATCACATGAGTCTCCAAAACATCATCAGATTATAATATTAAAACCCGGCACTTTAAACTGCAAATACAGATGGGAGGGTTTTGGGGGGAGGACTGAATTTGCTGTTGGCAGCTTTTCCTATTCTGCCTTTTTTTTCTACCATCATTAGATTTTATCCCATTTAAGCTCTGGAAAACAGAAAATGTTCAGTTTAGTTTGACTCCATCAGAAAGGTTGAATAGATTTAAAATGTGTCATCTCCCCCTCCAGCAGGTGGCAGACTTGCTACAAAGTTGAGCAGACTCACTCTGTTAGGGAAGGGTCACTGGGTTCACATACAGTATGCAGTGTGCAGCTCCAGTGAAATTCAGGAAATGGCTTTGAATTCTTCTGAGGCATATTTCATCTTGCTGTTTTCCAGCATTTCATGTCCCAACTATTGAAATAAACACAAAAACTGCAGAGTCACACACAAACAGACATTTCTGTAAATGTTACACGTTTTCCTCCTCATAGGTGAAGAAAAAAACACCAGCTATCCTCATACTAAATACCGAAAGTCATCCTCACATGGATCAGCAAACAACATCCACACACACACACACACACACACACACACACACACATCACTTTGCATTATACTGCTCTCTGCTCCCGTCAATGTGCTGACTCATAATCCCATTAGTTAGTACATTTCCTGTTTATATTCTCGTCCGCAGCAGAGGTTGAACACAGTCACCTTGGTGCTGAGTTTACATGCTGACAGAGTGTCTAACCAACACCCTGAGGATGTGTCTTAGCTGTGGCATGAAGCTAGTGCAGCTACAAGAAGGTATGCATGAATGAAAATGTATGAAATATCCATATATTCCCAGCAAATTGCAGGTAATCGATGGTTAAACAATGACTGCAGCTGCAGCTTTCAAGCAAGGAATTCTTTTTTTACATCGAGTTTTGTTTCACCAAATCTGTTGGATATGAAACTGGCGCAGCAGTCTGGGACAGAAGTAACTGCAATTGTAAAAAAAAAAAAGGATTAAAATCAACATGCACATACATCAGGACTAACATTGAGAGCATACCAGCTTTCACAAAATAAATGAACGTCTTGGCAGCAACACAGATTGAAGATTTTGGATAATAAACCCCCTCAGGATCCGTAGGAAACCTGACAAGTTGTCCCCAACAGAGCTGGCCCGAGGCCTGAATGGGGCCCTAAGCAAAATTTGATTTAGGGGCCCTCTATTTCTGCCAATAATATTGATTATTGATCATTCACACACCTTCACAAATCCCTTTGATGAACATTCCCTGACATGCAAACATACCTTTATCTTGGCGTTTTTTCTATTCTTCCTCTTTCTTTTCTCCGCTCCTGAAAGATATGCCCTTCTTTGCGACATTGTTTTGCCCCACAACTACCTGAGCTTTGGATGCACAGTGCACATTGCACAGCAGGAGGAACATAACGGTAGCAGAGCTTTGACATATCAGCAGTAAGAATCATAGGCCTACATCAGCAGCAGCACTGAAATGTTTTTACTTTATTTTATATATTTGATCATACAGAAAGCATCACTCATACATGCAAAAAAATACAAAATATTTAACTTTTTTTTCTCTTAATGGTCTTAGGGGCCCCATATTGGCCGCGAGGCCCTAAGCAGGTGCTTAGTTCGCTTATGCCTTGAGCTGGCTGTGGTCCCCAAACACCTTTGCACACAAGTGGCCAAAACAGTGTGTCTCTAAACTGGACTCATGCAGTCGGTTCTTATCATGCTCCCTTGATTCTGCCTTCTGGTGTCCAACAGGACTATGTTTTGTTATCCTTGAGATCGTCTTAATATTTATATATTTAATATTTTGGACCAAGACTTTAACTCTACATCTGATTTTTGCTGAAACGTATTAAATAAGTGTATTTTATTTGTTTATTTACATACTTTACAGTGTGAAGCTCCTCCACTGATCTTTAAGTCCAGCTGGCACATGTTCAGAAGTGTAACACCAACCTCACATTGCAACAGCAGCACCGATTGAACTAAATTGCATCATGCTGCAGCTTGGAAACCAGCAGTTAGTGTGAAACCACAACTATGAAACTCCCAGGATTACAGATCTTAGAAGTATTTCACTACAATCAAGCTGCAGGGGGTTTAAAGTCAGGGTAAAAACATTAAATTTCCAAACATTTGGTTTTGATTTCTCCATGAACAGATGATGCAAATTTTTCCCCCTTTTCTGTTTTTATACTGTTTGCCCTGAAGAGGGCGTACATTCCTTTCATTTCATTCATAACTGAGCACCTGGCGCCCCTTCCTGTCACATGAGTTTCTGACTCACTCTTCTGTGTGGTCAGTGAAAGTGAGTCATGCCATGAGATTCTTTTCGTCATGCCTCCAGTGTGAATGTTCTGCATTTTTTAATGTAATTTATAATAATATTAAGAATTAATCTGAGCACAGGGACCAGCAAATATGAGAGAGAGGGCTTTCACGTCAGATTAGAAGGCATTATGCTCAGAACAGGACACTCTGATCCCGACACAATCGGACCTCTAGACAGTCAGAGGCACAGATTAACCATGACCACTCCTCTAGACGTGCACATACCAACATACATGCAAATGATTGAGGTCAGAGATATCGCACACACAATGGTTTCTTGTTTGGTTTCATCCCCATGGTGAACAGGATTCTGATGCAACAGGGCAGCAGGTGCAAAGGTTATAGAACATCCAGCTGTGAATTAAAACACATATTGTGTTATTTAATTCAATGTTACCTGGAAGTGACACAAAATCTATGAGGCTCAATAAGAGATTTATTGATTTATGGGGGAATTTTGCGCCTAAATAAGTTAAATGTTTCTCTTTTATCCTCTTTGGGAATGTTTTTTTGCTTTTAATCGTTTTCACATAGTCGCACGCTCACTTCACTTGAAACTAGCGTTTAAAAATGACGTCGACTAACACTTTCTCCTCTTTCCCTGTTATTAGGTCCAAATTACAAAGTTTTTTCCAAAGAGCGCCATGGCTGTTGAGGTAAGTGTCGGTTCCACCAAATTGTGGTGAACAGAAAAGGCCACGAACTGTGGTGATTAACTTGTTAAGGATTTATTTAAAGCACTTTTATTGTAGCGTTTAAGTACAAGAAGTCGCCACATGCAGACCAGAAAAAAAGAAACAGGTCATGGTTTTGGTTTTCCAGCTATTGTTGTGATTAGAAATCCATCTGTGAATGCTAACTTTGTAACTGGAGCCAGTTAGCCTAGCATAACAAACAGTAAAAATAAGATGAAACAGCTGTGGATAACTAGATTTTAATACCAGCCACAAGACACTGGCATTTCTGAACCCACATACGTTTTTTTATGGTTTCACACTTTATTTTTTTAGTACAGATTAAAAAGGAAACAAACAAGCAAGTTAGTTTGTAGCCTAGTTAAAGTTTGTTTTAAACCAAGCGCTGCTAGCATTAGTTTAGGAATGACAATATAATCTGACTTTGGGCCAGAATTGATCTTTTTCTTAGCTCCCATGTAGCCCAGATGCTAACCAGGATAAACAAAACATGCCATGGTTTTGGTTTCCTGCTATAATTGTGATTAAAAAATACATCTGTGAATGCTAACTTTGTAACTGGAGCCAGTTAGCCTAGCAAAACAAACAATAAAAATAAGATGAAACAGCTGTGGATAACTAGATTTTAATACCAGCCACAAGACACTGGCATTTCTGAACCCTCATACAACACTTTTTATGGTTTCACACTTTATTTTAGTACAGTAGATTTAAAAGAGAAACAAACAAGCATGTTAGTTTATAGCCTAGCTAAAGTTTGGTTTAAACCAAGCTAACGAGCTGTTAGCATTAGCTTAGGAATGACAATCTCATCTTGCTTTGGGCCAGAATTGATCTTTCCCTTGAGTTAGGGGTAGGGTTAGCTTCACACATGAGGACTTATCGGAAACTAATATAATTCTTCTGGGATGTAGAAGTGAAGCTGATGGACTTTTAGTTTCGATATTACTTCTCTGTCAGGGGCCGCAGGTCAACAAACATCCCGATGAATGACTCATCCAAGCTTTGGTCATTCAGATCTCACAAGTTAATCACAAACACCAACCTGTAACCATCCCTCACAAACAACTAACCTCTGAGAATATCATAATCAAGAAGAACATGACAGCTTCTTAGAAACACTTCCTCTTCATCACCACCACCCACTGACCGCTGTTACATAATGCTAAAAAAAAACATGAGACGACTAATGAAAGTGAAGGACAGAAGCATATCAGCGTGATGGAAACAAGACTGAGAATGACATGAAACCTCAATCTGGACTTTGATAACACGGTCAAAAATAGTGCAAAAACAGGTTGACACTAATGGCCTTGAATCTAAATTTTGTCTTGGGTAACAAACTGGTAGGATGGGTTTTGCGTGGATGCAGATGATGAAGAAAAACAGGTTAGTTTTGTTTGCTTAAGTCAATCTCATCAACAATAACCGGAATAATCATCAACAAGATCAAAATACTTTTGCAGGATTGGTGAGACTTCATTCGAATTTCCAGTTGGTTAGAGAGGGTTTTCCCTTTATGACCAAACTCTCAGTAATGTTGCTCTTCAGGCTACACCCTCAGCAAGAGTAAAGGTGTTGCCTCTGACTGTTGATGCTTGAGCACATCCACACAGAAGACATGGTACCTGAGGTATGCAGCTGTGGGCGGGACAGAAATGCTGTCATGCCAGGATTAGGTATCTGATGCAGAAGTTTTGAAAAGAAATGCATTGGAGTCTACACTTCTGCACCTAAACGCATCATTTTTGTCTGATTGTTTATGAAATTGCTATCTGGGTAACACTTGACTTGACGCCTTTCTCTATAACGTATTGTAAATAAATGTATAATACGTTATAATCGTGTTATAGTGCTGTATAACTACAGTTATAAACACTCATAAATGATCATAAAGCTTTATAGCAATAACACATTGTCAAGCATTTTATCATGACTTACAAGGTCAGGTATTATAATGTATATAATGTGCTTATTGTTATAAAGCATTATGATAATTAATGAGTGGTTATAATGATAGTTATACAAGTTTATAAGCAAATTATAACACATCATAAATATATGTATAATGCATTATCTATGTGGACATTGTCAGTGAGTTGTTAACAGTTACAGCACATTATAATACATGAGAAAATGCTTCATAATGTGTCATGATTACTGCTATAAAGCATTATGATCATTTATGAATGTTTATAACTATAGTTATACAGTGTTATAACATGATTATAATGCATAATACATTTGTTTATAATGCATTATAGAGATAGGCGTCAAGTAAAGTGTTACCCAGACAGCAATTTCATAAACAATCAGACAAAAATGATGCATTTAGGTGCAGAAATGTAGACTCCAATGCATTTCGTTTTAAAACCACTGTGATTATAACGCATGATACATTTATTTTTAATGCGTTATAGAGATAGGTGTCAAGTAAAGTGTTACTGCTATCTGCATATTAATATGAGATTGTACAGTCTATGGAATAGACATCTGCAGATGTCAAGAGTTGGCTGCAGCGTAAACGATGATATCTAATGTCAGATTCATATGATCCCTGAGCTGCACGCTGTACTCGCTGTACTTAATTCCTCATATAGAGATCAGGGTAATGTTAGTGGGCCATGTAACCTTAGAGTTAAGAGGATAACCAGCAGCTAAGAGCAGAGACAGTGCTGTCATGATATGACATGGATTAAGGAGGTGGTAACTGCAGAGACTGAGACCCGACACGTAGACAAACTTGATGCTTTGGTGCAGAGAGTCATGTCTAGTTGGAGTTTGTTGGGAAGTTTCTTTGGCCTTTATACGTGTCCATGTTTGCTTGAACAACCGCTATAAATAAAGACATGTTCAGATCACCAAATTAATGAGTTGATTAATTGGATAGAGGATAAATCAATGGATTTCAAAGGTTACAATAAAAACACATGAATGAATTTGTAGAAGAAAGCGATTTAAAGGCAGGTTTCTTTTTTAACTTCAGTGTCAATGACTGTTTGGATCTCAAGGTGGAGAAATGTGTAGAAAGTCCTGAGAGGGGACCAAGATAAGACCATTAAAGTTCCTGCAGAGAGGAAGACAGCGGGTCAGCAGGGTTAAACGTTTCCTGGAACAATAGACCTGCTGTGACGCCAGGTCCTCTCATTGACAAAAAGACTTAATGGATCCATTCATGGACCTGCAGCTACATATCGTTTTACTTTCTTGAATCCTGACAGAAGTTTTACAGTGTATACCAGCAGCTCAAAACATTTGCAATTAATGAAACTGGTTTTGGAAACTGTGATGTTGTCTCATGGTAACTCATGTGAAAAGTCATTATAAACTCATTAAGGGTCACGCTGAGTCAGAACAGATTATTTTATGAGTCTACATTTGCAGAAGTGACCTGCTGCAATCCTGGGAACTCAACAACTGTATGTCAGCGTTACGTAAGAAAGCATACTGTTCGAACCTTCTGCAATTTCAGCATCAAAGAGATTCAGCATTTTTCACACAGTTTCAAATGAGGAACTTCCCTAAAAATATTGTGCATTGTAATACGGAACAATGAGACTCTTTCGCAATGAATCACATACATTTGTGGACTGGTTCCTCTGACGCAGGCAGAATTGGGAGTCAAGCTGAGTATCATGGATTGTGGCGTCAGACATCAAAGATCAGATTTCACAAATCTCGACTTTTGGAGACAAACAAAAATGACAGTAAAGAATTTCTGACGCCTATTAGAAGTTGTGTGTGTCGTTTTAAGTGTTGCTAAGGAAAGCCAAGTAGGCAGTCTAGTTCACTATCAAGTTAACAAGCCAGTAGTTAAAAGTTCAATCAATATTGTTTGAGGTAGTTAGCAAAAATACAGGCAGGTAAGTAAGCTAGCTAAAATAGGGTGACCATATTATGAATCCCCGAAAAGAGGACACGACTAGTCATGGAGTTGCACTTAGCAAATTTTGAGAGTTTGTTGAGTTGAGTGTCTTTTATATGCTTCTAACTCAGTAAATCCATGCAACACAAACTCAAATCTTCGGTACAAAATCTGGGACATTTGAAAGATTTTATAAACTCCCCCCGACAAGGCTGAACAGGCCCCAAAAAGAGGACATGTCAGGGTAAAAGAGGATGTATGGTCACCCTAGCTAAAAGTTTTACTAGACAATATCAAGTTTTGCAAATTGACAATATATCAATGGTGAAAGTATTAAGGAAAATGTGGTCAAGTTTTAAGATACAAAACACCACTAAAGACGTTTGACAAAGTTAGCTGAAAGTAACTTATAATGTTTACAAAGCTAGCTCAAAACGTGCTTTTAAAGCTAGCTAAAAGTAGCAGACAGTCTTGACATCATAGGGTCATGATTCCTCAATGATTTGAGTAGTTAGCAAAATATCACTCAGGGTCCTTTTTTTATGCAGAAATTGAAACAATTTGAAAACAGTAAAGTATTGTTGCGTTTCAGCCAATCGTCTACATGAGGTCAGGAATTTGGGCGACTCAAAACTCAAACTTTTGACACCGGGCTGCAGCTTGTACTCCTTCGTAAACACTACCATAGTTTATACTCACTGCTCTTTAATAGGTAGGTGCATCTTTGGTGATGTTTAATTACACTGCCAGCAACAGGCCTAGCACTTTGGATGTTATGAACATGCTAAATACTTGTCAGCTGTGCTAACTCGTCAACATGACGTAATATTAAGACAGATAGCACTATGGGAACACTTGATTGCTCTGCTGTTGCGACAAACTGCGTATGTTAATGTCCTTCCAGCAATGTCAGATTCAAATGACCGACTAAGACAATCACTGCTTGAACCTCCTGTTGCTAAACAGTTGCATAAGATCATTATCGAAAAGCCTCAAGTGTAAACAGCCAGCATTTGTTGGTACACAATACAACTCATTGCCAACCGGGTGGCACATTTGGCTCCGTGGGTGCTTTGGACCAGTGACATAAGCCAGCTCATTGTTGAATCTCCAAAACCTCTGAGTGCTCTTCACCCTCATCTGTAATTATAGTCTAGGTTAGAGGAAAGGCTTGGCAGCACCGCTGACAGGAAAGTGTAGAAAGCTCTCTATTATCGCTTTTCAGGTGCAAATGCCCGACATCCTGAGGAGTCAAATCAAAGCAAAATTAAACTCTGAAACTGAACTTTATTATTTAAGTTTTCAAAGGAATGGGGGACCTTATCTGGACACAAAGAAATTAAAGCAAAAAGGTTGAAAATGTTGGTATATTGTATACAATTTACAGCCAAATCATCTCTAGCCCTCATGTCATGTAATCCATGGATTTGGCCTCCTAGTGCACTTTGCAACTGGAATTCCTTACACACACACACGGACACATACAAAAACAATAGCTTGAGGCTACTCCGATTCAATAAACTCTCGGTGCCCTGAAGAAATGTTCGTCTGGGTCGTGAACAGAGGCAGATTCAGTTCATTCCGATGTTTTTCCTCTCACTGAGCACACAGACGGTCCTGTGCAAACATTTATTAGTGCCCACATTTACTCTACATGCCTTGACTCACAGTCTAGACCATCCGATGATCCTTTCAGGGCAGGTGGAGCTTTTCCAGTACGTCTCTTCATATGATTTCGCAACACGTCCATGCCAAATACAATCCAACGAAAACCTTGTGTAAGGTGTGGCATTTGAGAATTTTCAGTCTGATTGTAAGGTTAAAGGTTATATATTCGGTGGTATTTAAATGTTTGCCATTGGACCACAGGTTGTGATATGAACTATACAAACATTCCCTGAGGCAGAAATATTCTCGGAGGTTGGGTAACATCCATCTGAACTTTTGGACCAAGAGATGCAGCAGCAGAAGCATCTTGGAGGCTGATTGGCCACTTTAAACTTGGTAAAGTCTAACATCAGCACATCAGGTGTATATAAAGTATATGAGTGGTACGGCAGCACTTGGGACCACAATTATAGAGTTGCCCAATTTGTGTTCTTTGTTGTTTCCCATGGCAACAGAAAGAGGAAGCAGTCATCACCTTGAATCATCAGTAAAATTTGTCATGTCATTCGCCGTTCCTCATCCTGCCAGAATATATTGAATTTCTGCAGAAAGCAGAACTTCTGTGCCCTTCTGGTTTATATAATTGATTTAGGGTCTAAAATAGGACCAGAACTGACAAGAAGAAGCATTGTGCTGCTGTTTCTGCTGACCTGTTAGGCTTTTGATACTTTTGGATCGCTCTTCTCATTAAGAATCTTAATAATGTTGGTCTTGACTTCATCTCTTGGAAATGGTTTCAAAGTTATCGCTGTGGGAGGTTTCACGGTTTAAAAGTGGGAAATATTCAATCAAAGATTCTACCATTAATGAAAGTTGTTCCACAAGGATGAGTCCTGGGTCCTGTTTTATTTTCTATCTTTATCAATAAAACTGTCTCCTATATGACAGACTGTAATATCCATCTTTAGGCAGATGACACTGTTCTGTCTTCTTGTGCTGACTCTGCACAGGTCATTTTTGAGAAGATAGTTTTGTTTTAATGCTCCATATAAAGCACTTGTAACTGTCTCCAAACCCTAAGCGTGGGTAAAAACATTCGCACGAATGAATTACATGTTAAGTCAATGCAAAGATGCTCCTACTACTCTGGCGGTGCGAATGACGCGAATTGGGCAGGAGCTGAAAATGTCTCAATTTGAGTGGTTATTCACGTCGCGATAACCATCAGGACAAAGGTTGTTGACATTGTAAAAAAAAACTTTGTCTATCACTTGATCCCACTGGTTGAATTGGCAGGGATTACCATTGACACGCGAATGAAGCGAGTAAATACTATTCATTTGCGCGAATTAAGCGAGTAGATTTTGCTCGCGCTTGGTGTGAGCGCCCCACTAGTCTTGAACTCGTACTGAATGCAGGCAAAACTAACTGAATGTTTTTCTGCAGGGCAAGAGATATTTTAGCTGTCTGCAAGTATTCACTCTGAATAAAAGAGTCCAAGCATATAAATAAATATCTTTGTTTACAGCTTGATGAATTATTTGCATTTAAAACCCACATTGAAAACCTCATTGACAAACTTTGGCTCAGATTTTTTATTTTTTTCATCTTACATGTTGAAAATGTTTTGTTGAAGTGGTCTTTCTTTCATATCTATGTGATGACAGTATGCATAGACATGCTGCAGCCTCCACCCTCTAATCCCTGGACTCAGTTTCTCTCTCTGCTCTTAGATTCATAACTACATAAAGACTCCTATGAGACTCATTATTGTACACACTGAGCGCAACACAGCAAACTGAAGGCTGGTTCAGCACAAACCAGCTCAGGCAAAGGTATCCAAATCGGCAGGCAAAACAGAGTCCAAAAAGCAAACAAACTCTGATCATAGAGAGGGGAACTTGTGCGCTGTGACCAGGAAACATGACAAACTGGCACAGAGGGAAGGAAACACCAAGCTTAAATACACACAAGGGGATAACAAGACACAGGTGAGACTCATTAAGGTAAACAGGTGAGCGGGAAACACCGGGAATAGGAAGTTAAGACACCTGAAGGGATACATTTCAAAATAAAACAAGAAACACGAGACATGAATCATGGAGACACAGCAGTTTATATACTTTACTAAGGTCCAAAATCAAGACTCCTTTAATCCACCATAAATGTAGTGGAGTCACACACACTTTTGTCAGGTATAAACCTCGAGCAGAACCAGACATATGTAAGACAGCCATCTGCAACCAATGTGTTGAGAGACGGGTGGATGGGGACAAACATCATTTTCAGGAGCAGCAAACTAATTAAAATAAACTGATTGTCATATTTATGGTTCTCAAAGTCAACAGTTCCATAAAAGTCAGGACTAATAAAACTAATTATGGTGGTTGATGCCAAGCTGGAGACAGTTGGCATGACGACGCTGATAATAACACTGAGGTTGGTATAAGATTATTATAAAACAGTTGGAGTCAGGCAGGTCCACAGTGGGAGGCCATCTGTAGGAACACAGACGACAAGAGAGTGGGGTAACACTAAGAGCTGGTTCAAGCCTAAACCAGCCCGAACTAGCACCATGAAAGCTTGAGTGAATCGCACTGGTTATCTCATTACAGGAGTGCCAGTAAGTGGGCTGTTAAAGGTTGGCGTGTTAGAACCAGAATTAATAGGGATGAGGGCACCAAACTGTGATGTCTGGACTTCTTAGTCAAAGCTTTACTGGTCTGAAGAGGTCTGCACCCACCCAAAGTGCTCCAAGGGGGGGAAAAAAGTGACAGCAACAGGGAGCCAGGAATGGTTGTGTGGTCTTATACAACAGATGAGCCACTGGAGCTGAAACGGCTGAAAAGGGAAAGTTGGCTCTGGTGGAAAGGTGTCAGAACACGTGATGCCGAGAAGTTTGTGTGTACAGTGCTGCAGCAGCCAGGGTGTCCATGCTGACCCCTGTCCACAGCCAGAAGAAACTCTAATGAGCATCAGAGCTGGACCTGGAGGAGCATGGCAAAGACCTGAAGTTAATGAAAGTCCTCAGGTCTTAATCTAATCAATTATCTGATGAATTTTCCACCTGTGCAGCCTTTCCTTTGATTGATTGTTTGTCTCTGTTTGGCAGATTAAAGCTCCTGTGAGTTACTTTCTGTTTGTGTAAATTCTGGCGCCCCCCTGTGGACAAAGCTATCTTGTCCATTAATTTAAAGAAATAGTAATAATGCTACAGTGCCCCCTCACATCAAAGATTAATGGTCTTGTTTGCATATTTAGGTGAGAAGATGTTTTACAATCAATATTGGTACGTTCGATAATCACTTAAAACGTCCCCACAGGAGCTTTAAAGAGACTGATTTTTCCAGAAGTAGACAATAATGAATAGATTTTGATATTTATCAGTCATCAAAACACCAGTTATGTGTTTTTTTAAGTTTGCTAAGGAGTGGTTGAGGTTGGCCTGGCAAATTCAGAGGAAAAAGGAACCTCGGTGCAGATGGTGTTTGTAGGGGGGGCTGAATCTGGTAGAGTTGGCAACGACACTTCCTTTTAACCACAAGCCTCCAAAATTTACTCCTAATAAAATTCTGGGAGTTTTTTTCCAACTGACAAACATGCTGAGAAGTTCTTGTGTGGCACCTCAGTGTAATTGACCTAAATAAAATAAAGGTTTTGTTTGTGTAAAGCCGGGAAACACAATAAAATTTTGTTTATTTGGTGTCAAAACAAAGTGGCTTCGACTGAAAGAGGAAGGAGAGGAAATAAAGTTGTGAAAAGCCTTTGAATTTTGCAAGGTCGTATGATTGACTCCACCCGATGATGCTCATGCCAACGAATCACATCTGTCTCTGAAGGGTTTTTTCAATTTTACCATGAATGCTGTTGTCACCATCTCCTTCGTGTCAGGAGGAAAGAAGAGATGCAACATGTGCTTTTAATAACTCCATCTCTGCTGCTGCTGTTGCTGCGTCTACTTCCCTGCCCACTTGTGGTATTACTCCACCTTGTTTTTTTTTCTCTCCGTCTGTCTTGCTGAGACTACGTGAGTCTGTTCACATCACCATCTCGATTATTCATGCATCGGGGAAAAAGTAGAAGCAAGGCAGGAGAGGGAGAAAGAGAGGAGGTTTTGAAGGAGGAGGGACTTAGAAAGGTGGACGTGACTTTCCTCACCTTCTCTTTCCTCCTTTTTTTCTCTCTCCTCCTCCTTATCCCCTCTGTTCCCTCCATCCCTGCTTCCTAATTTCTTCGTCTGACCTCCTCCTCTCCCATGTCTTCTCATGTTGGCATGTCTGCCGTCCAAGACTATCCTATTAGTCCGCTCTCTCTAACCCATTAACTTGGCGAGGCATTAGGAGGAGTCAGGACATCGATATAAGAAGAAGTAAGCCTCTGTTGTCTAATAATGTCGGACACTCTTTTCTTCTTTGGAGATTTAGCTTCTTTTCAATCGAGTGTCTAATCTCGTGTCTATTTGGGCCTTAAGGTGAATGATCTCAGTGTGCTGACTGCCAAGACGACTGACACCGAAATCTGTCTGCTTTAGGCGGTGATCACCTCCTTAGAAACAGGTTTAAGGCTTCAGTATTGACAAGCAGCGAATAAGAGGTCACGGGACATCTGTTGGCATGTGCATGTCATTGTTTGGCATGTGCATGGCAACATCAGCAGCCGTCTTTGTCCAGCCCTGAGGCGATGGAGTATACGCCAAGTCTTTGCACAAGTTCAGACTTGCAGTAATAGACAGTGTGGATAAAAGTAATGACTACTGCTTTTAATCTTCAAGTCTTTAATATCAACCCCTTCATTTAAACTAGTCTCAAATATACGTGCCTAAAGCCTGCAATGAGACCTTCCTCCCCCTTGTTGCACCCAGTCAACTTTTCCAAAATTAGCTGTTTTTCATTCGAAATTCTCTGGAGGGGACATCCTCAGCTTCCTGCAGCGTCAACCACAAATATTCTGGTTTCAATCCAGACAGAGTGAAGTCACGTTTTTTCAGACGACTCCAAAGCCATCAGAAAACTTCCTGTTGTTTCCGATCTCCTCTGCGCACTCCTATTTAAAAATCAAAAAATGATTTAATAAAAAGAACTAAATGGAAAAAAAACAACAAAAGAGAAAAATACACAAAAATCACAGGGAGCAACAGGAGACACAAGCATACACACCAACATACATACAATGAACCAACAAGGTCCGAGGGGAAGACAGGGACTATATGCACACTGGGAAACGAGCAACAGGTGAGACAGACGAGACACAGGTGAAACTCATGGGTGATTAACGAAGGAGGCAAAACAAGGGAAGGAAAACTAGACTAGAAACAGAACATATGAAAAATTAAAAAGAGTACAATAAAAAAAAAGAAAAATAATCTTTGATGAATTTCATTCATTAGTGTCATTTTAAAACAGTATTTTTTCAGGTTATTTTTCAACCTAGAAAATTAAAAAATCACACTATCTGTGATCTCTCTCTGTCTCTCTCAGGTATTGTTGTCCACCTGTCTGTCTGCTTAGAGAAATTTAATGGGGTCAGATGTGTATTTGCCTGCTGCCTAAACAGGTCAACAGATAAACATAAACCACTTAAAAAAATCATACTTTTATCAGAAGTAATTGATAAAGCGGACTTCCTCCTGTACCTTCATGCTCTGCGTCTCTCTTTCAGTTGTAAGCTGTGTCATCCAATGTGTCGATAAGAGAGAGGGTGGTGTAGAGGACAGCAAAGCAGAGCAAAGATGTTATCAGTCTGGAACTATGCCCAGATTTAATATCACACACTGGGAAACACTCAGGGTGTTTTGAATGCCATGCCAAGGTGAAGCCCTTACTTCACCTTTACCTATGTGGGCATACACAAACGTCTCAGATAACTGGAGGAACTCCACGGGGGAACGGGGTCTTAGGGATACAGACAAAAGTTCAATGTCAAGCATGCACAATTGCAGCAGCAGTTTTTGTTAGTGACATACTGGCCACCAAGGAGTCGCTGACATGGTGAAGGGGTCACTCAAAACCAGAAAAAGTTTTGCTCTTGGATTCAAGTTTTTCTGTTAAAGCAAGAAGACAAGCACTGTCATGCTCTGACACAAACTTGACATTAGCCTGAAGCTGGACTGAATGTAGGTCATGGTGACTGAAGAAGGGGTGATCTGAAGGTGGCCCCATGCATGCCACGACATCTCCCTCTTATCCAAATATCCGTAGGCCTGGATGTTCTGCTCCAGTTCCCCCCTGAATGGATCCTTCTGGATCATCTCAACAGGAAGAATGGTTGAGTGATCCGTGGTGCCCACACTGGAAATGTGAGAAACTCCAAGTCACACCAAAGAGGCCCACAAAAGCCAGTCATAAGGAGGCTGATGATAACGTACAGATGGGTGCATTTTGGCTGTTTGCCAGGAGGACAAAAGCCCACCTTGGTGCCACCTCTCGGTCCGTGATTGTGCTGATCGTAGGCGAGGTTGAGCAAGTATTTCCAATATGGCACCCATCTGTACAACATCATTCAGGTGATGTAACTTGGTTAATTTCTCACGGCTCCCTTATTTCTGGATCATAACTCTGAGTTATTAATAGACTGTCATCAAAGCCCTGAAAATAGACTCCATCTGATAAACTGCAGGTGACATATGACACAGGACAAAACATTGTGACTCGCTTCACTGGGACGATTTTCTCAACGACAAAGGAACTGTGCGAGGGATCACGTAAAAGGGCTTTTATTTCAGCGCCAGTGTAATCAGGGATAGCACATGGTCTATTTAATCTGCTCCACTCCATTCAAGGCCCGCTGAGTGACTTATCCCCTCCATTCAGCGAAGAATCTCCCCGTCAATGGCCTCTGCACAAAGACAGAGGGATGAGTTTTCACTCCGCCGCGCTCATAATGAAGGTAGTACACTCTTTACAGGGACGCAAGGTCAACTTAAGCCGTTACGTAGCTCCGTTCTATTTGTGGAAACACCCTTCATACTCATAGGCATAATAGACTTTCACAGCTCAGGGACTGGAGACCAGGGGAGTGTTGACTGGGGTTTTTTGGATCTTCCCGTAAAACAACCATCCTTCAGTCATAACCCCTTCAGCCATGTAAGAATCGGAGGGCAGCTGGCAGGTCTTGAGGTCTTGTTGGAAATTCCAGTTTAAACCAGCTTCATGAGTCTTTCTGTTGCTGTTTGAACAGACGTGTTTAACTAATACTTGGCAAGCGTAGTCATAAAGACATGACGCAATACAGGTGACAAAGGCATCTATATAGGTCAGTCCCATATAGATATACTCCATCAGTGCAGACTCGCTCACGTTTCCTGTCAGACAAACCCTCTCTGCCAAGTCACATGAACCAGAGCGGCTCTTATCAGTCATCACGTTCCCAGCATGACAAATACAGTTTAAACCGCTGGAGGTGACGGAGCAGCTTTCACTTTATGAAACAGACATGTGGGAAAAACAGCCTATTAATAAAACTGAAATGACTCTTTGTAAGCTTTTGACACTTAGCAATTATAACAGTTAATCCTTTGTTTATACAAAACTTAAAGCTAGCTTGATTCGCTTAACTTTAACTTGTTTTTTGAAAATTTTATCAACAACTTTTATTTGGCTAAAATAGTGTGACCTTATTCTGACTTCCCAAAAAGAGGTCACGACTACATGGGGGCGGAGTCACAGAATCACATAAAGCAACTTTTAACAGTCATCACGTTCCCAATATGACAAATTCAGTTTGAACCGCTGGAGGTAACAGAGCAGCTTTCACTTCATGGACCACACCTGAGGGAAAAACTGTCTTTTAATAAAACTGATATGACTGTTTTTAAGCTTTTAATATTAAGCAAATATAACGGTTAATCCTTTGTTTATATGATACTTCAAGCTAGTTTAATTCACTTAATGTAAGCTAGTTTTTTGATGATTTCATCAATAACTTTTACTTGGCTAAAATAGGGTGACCTTATTCTGACCTCCCAAAAAGAGGACACGACTATGAGGGGCGGAGTCACAGAGTTGCACAGTTGCATAAGTTAATTTTGAGAGTTTTTCGGGTCTGTCGTCTACGCGCTTCTAACTCGGTAAATCCATGTGACACAAAATCAAGGATTTTATAAACTTCCCTGGACAAAGTCGGACATCCCCCCAAAGAGAGGATATGTGGACACTGAAAAAAGAGGACGTATGGTCACCCTATCACCCTATAAAAGCTAGCTAGATTCACTTGATGTTAGCTTGTTTTTTGACAATTTTATCAACAACTTTTTAGCTAAAAGCTTTTAATCCAGATATTTTAACAAACTAACCATTAATCATGAAGTGTATTTTAACATTTAATGGTAACTCTAGTTACCAGGCTGACCAATTAGCAACTATTTCTATTTCTTTATCAGTTATTCTAAGCTAATGCTAATGCTAAGTTTTAAGTTGATTTCAACTGAATTAGCTTCACCTTTCAGACTATCCATTACCTTTAGCTAACTGTTTAATGGGCTTTTACCTTTCTATTTCTTTCTTTGTTTATTCGTGCGTCTGTGTGTGTGTGTGTGTGTGTGTGGATGAGTGTGTACCAATCAGCAACTACTTTGTATTTTTTAGCTACTTCAACTATTTCTTTATCAGTTATTCTAAGCTAATGCTAGCTAACGCTAATGCTAAGTTTTAAGTTGATTTTAACTAAGGTAGCTTCACCTTTCAGACTATCCATTACCCTTAGCTAACTGTTTAATTGGCTTTTACAATTCTATTTCCTTCTTTGTTTATTTACTGTGTGTGTGTCTCTGTGTGTGTATGAATGAGTGTGTACGTTTAGGTGAGATTACTCTTAGCTAAAATGGGACAGGGACACATGGTCGGCTAATCAGAAGAGCTCAGCAGGTAGGTGAAGACAAGCTGCTGAGTCAGGTTAGCGGAGGGACAAAGATAGAGACCGAGGCGGGGAATAATCACAAAGGTCCATTTGGTGAATCAGTTTATGGAACAATCTAGAGAAATGTCCCCCTAACTGACCAGACTTTGTTTACCTGTAACCTGAGGGAATAGCAACACACACATGATCTGTCATCTGGGCAGAATTAAGCAGCTATTTATGGAGCTGCAGGCTTAAGTGTGCATGTAACATCAAGTCTAAGTACTGTTTGTATGTCTGACACAGCAACTCCTCTCTCCCACAGAGATTACAGCCACAACAGCAACAAAACCACAGATACCAGTGCAAGACCACTCAAAAGTCAACTTGAAGTTTAATCCCAGAACTCTTTTTTTGTTTGTTTCATAAAGTTTGTTTTTCATATTCAAATCTGATTATAAAAGCAATGAGAGGGCTTATTCTGCATAATCAAAACTTGCATGTAAGTGGCTTAATATGCAAAGTTGAAATGCAAAGTAGTTTCATGAGTGCAGAGGAGAAGGTAAACGTGTCCCAAGTCACATCCACAGGTGTGTATTCCTGAGTGTGTGTGAGCGAGTTAGTTATAAGTGGTAAACCTGACAGCAGTCACATAGTCAGTGAGCCCACAGGACGACCGCGAGTGAGCCAAGACACTTAGTCTGCCCATGATTCACACTTGAGGAAATACTCTGCCCTGCTGCCAAATACAGTGTGTGAAAGAGTGAGTGTGTGTGGAAGTGAGACAGAGGGAGACAGGGTGAGGGAGAGATGGAGGTCACGTGTCAGGTCTGTGCTTTATGAATTGCTCTTTTTGTGATGAGAGGATGAAGGTCAGAGAGATCATCTGCAGAATAAATCCTTCAATTTGACAGAGAAGAAAACCCTGCAGGCTGTCCGCTCCTCCTACTCCTGATATCAACATGTTAGTTTGTTTTTTTTATGGGTGTAGTCATAAAAAGGCAAAAGCAACCAGTGTGAACCGGCTAAAGGGGAATAACAGAAGTCATTCCAGAGTTTTCTGTTTGTTTACATGTGGAGCTTGATGTTAATGCCATAAACATCTCACAGCTAATCCACAGCAACATCCACCTATCGGGCTGCTGATTTTTTAACAAATCTGCAAAATTTCTGCAACGATGAAACTAAGAAAAACATGCATGTCCCCTGTGGGAGGTATGAATGTAGAAAACATCACTGCAATCCTTAAACCACGTATATTATTTATATTAAAGTGACAAAAGTTGGAGGAGTTTCAGAAATGTTTGAGGCTCAGTTCAGATCGTCTCTCTTTCCCTTTGTTTTCGAACAGACAGGTTATAAAAACTTATGATGTTTATGATTGTGGTCTATTAACAGGAAGTTATTTTTTTTTCCTTGTTTATCTCCACTGATGCAATTTCACAGCAACTTCCTGCGTGCACCAGTCACGATCGGCCTGATAAGCTGCATGCGACTCATGGTGACTAATGGATCTTGTGAGCGATAGCTAAAGCAGGAGTGTCCGTGCTCAATGTTTACACAGTGAATTAGCTCCATATAAGGAAGTACAAAGAGCAGATGGGATATTGTTATTGGGGAATTCAAATAAAGCGATCAACAAGCTCTGTGTGTTTTCCTGGAGTTCATTTATTGGTCCAGCAGATGAAAAATTAACCGTTCAACATACTGTACTCTCATGCATAGTCTTCAGATTGAACCAAGGTGTGCCTTCACTCATCCACCAGTCATCCAAAACTAAATAAATATAAATTAAGAATATAATAAAACAGATTTTTACAAAAAATTTCAAGTATCTCAAACAAACATGTTAAAAGTTTTACTGAGAAAGGTGAGCAGCAGCTTCCTTCTCAACAACAAACATCACATTCAATCCCAACAAGTTATCAAAAAAAACACACGCTTTTTCATTCAAATACTTCCAAAAGAGTTCCATGCTATCTCTCATCCGTCTCCAGTTATACTGTACACTGACATTTACAAAGGTATTATTACAAGCACGCGTAGTTTTAACAAAAATAAAGGTGCTCACATTTGTGCGTTTTTCTGACATTGACAGCAAAAGAAAAGAAAATAATAAAAATGAAGTTTTTCCATAAGCGGAGAGAACTCTGTTAACTGATGAAACTACGAGTACCTCTGCTATGAGACTCTAAGAACCGTGAGGGTTAAACATGTAAATGATATGTGGAGTTATTAGGTGAAATGTGATGCCTCTTCTCAAGCAATCAATTCCAGAGAAAGAGCAGAGAGAAGCAGCACTACAGGCACTCTACGGCGTAAATCTCCTCCCTCACCGTGAAGTTACATTAAAAAAAAAACAGTGACGATGAAAAAAAACAACAAAAAAAAAGAGTCAAAATTTAGCCCCAATCCAACTTATTCTGTCATCTTAGAAAGGAGTGAATTAAATCAGGACTGTTTTAACATTGTTTTTAAGAATAAATCCACTTAAAATTGCCAGTGCTGTAAAATGAAGGTGTTTTTTGATCATCAGTGCAACCGAGAATAAAGGGTTGGTCTTTGGTCTCTCTCTTAAATAACAAACCACAACAAACTGGTTTCCCAGAGAGCCGTCTGAACCACATAATCAACTGACATGAATTTCAATGAGTCACAGTTTGCCTCTTTCAGTCTTAAATGATGTACAAAAACAGCAGATTAAAAAGTCTCAGTGAGAGAGACGATATCTGACAAAAGCAACAAAGGGAGAACTTTTGAAATGATGTAGGTACGAGATAGGACTTTCAACAACCATGGCCCTTTTTGAACAATTGAAGTTGTTAATGTCCTTGAAATATTCATCCAACTGATCATTTTCTTCGAGGAGTCTGACAGCGATCCACGTGACGCGCCGCTTCACTGGCAGGGCTGCAGGATGTCGTGCCGAGACGAGTTTCTCCTCAAGTTCTGCAAACAGACAAAAAAAGGAAAAACAAACAAGGTGAGACTTGAGATCCTTCTGTATTTCTTCAGAGATTAACTTTGCAACACAGATCATTCAAGGGTCAGGAGTTTCACATCAGAACACGACGCTGTGCTCTCGTTTCACCAGCTGTTCTTTTCTCAAGCTCTCGTTTCCTCTGTGATGTTTTTAGAGGGCGTGAAATAGAGCTGCGAGTTTGTGAACAGGTTGCTGTGTGCAGGATGTGTGGGAGTGAGAGGCAACTCCGAGTTAATCCTCAGGTGATTATGAATGAAGCTGTCCAGATATACACACGCCCAAAGGCATTATCCACTGAGCTAGAAGAGCGAGCGTGGACATGCCGTTTCCCCTGATGTAATCAATGAAGCTTTCTGAGCTCTTAAGGTTTTTTAAAACTAGCAAAGGACGGGACCACCATGAGAGAAATATTTATACGGTTAGCAGGAAGGGTTGGGATGACACACCAAAGCATGCTAAAACACAAGACTTAAATTATCGTCTATTGCTAGCTGGCTACACATTAAAGCACATCTAACAGGAGCTAGCTTTAGGGTTGAACGTGAATATGCCGATAACTTTTTAAATATGTTTATTTCTTGCAAGAAAATGATCATTTCTCTCTTAATCATGATCCTTAAAGCTCCTGTGGGGAACTTTCGGTTTGTGTCGACTTTGGCGCCCCCTGTGGACAAAACACTCCTTGCATCTTTTGACTAATAATCTCATCCTGCTGACCTTTGACCGTCTAAAAAACATTTTTTTCACATTAGATGCCGCATTCGTTGTTGTAATGTGAACGACCGCCCAAAAAGATCTGATTTAACAAAAAATCTGAATTGTGTGAACGTAGCCTAACGGGAGCTAGCATTAGGGTTAGACGTGTCTTTGCGAAAGAATCTGCTGACAGCATTTAAAATATGTTGTTTCTTGCAAGAAAATGATCATTTATCTCTCAAACATGATTCTTAAAGCTCCTGTAGGAAAATTTTGGTTTGTGTCGACTTTGGCGCCCCCTTTGGACAAAACAGTCCTTGCATTTTTTTTGTCATCTAAATCTCTAAGTAACGTCTTTTGACTAAAAATCTCATCCTGCTGACTTTTGACCGTCAAAAGTATAATTTATTGTGAGTATATTATGTGCATGGCTATTTCTTCTGCTGCTCACACCAGTTTCAAGAATTAAAAATTACAAATTGAAAAGTGCTAATTTTGTCTCTTATTTACTTTTAGATGTCACGTAAAGTCAATATTATAAATTCTAGTTTATTTTATTAACACAAAGAAACTCCAAATAAGAGCTTTAAGCTGATTTTCTTAATTGTTTATTTAACTTATTAAAAAATCTCCTGATTGTGACACAGAGACATGGTTAAATCTGACAGGCTTATATTAATCCAAAGTTTTGATGTGTCAGATGTGGCCGCGGGCAGATCTACGAAGCCTCTACAAAGCTTCTACAGTGTGTTTACCTTTGCAAGACTAAGAGTGAAACCACTTTGAGATATTGGAGGACGGTTCGTCTTAAAGCAGGACAAGAAAGAGCCAAAAATAGAGCAAACACAGAGACAAAAACAAGAGTCAGCATACAAGAAGCAGATTATGGTGACGTCAGCAGGAAAGAATTACAAGAACGTCAGCTAGGAAGTGAGAGATCCCCGTGACCAAATATGGAAGAACCCCTTTTTTTTTCTTTTTCCCTCACGCCCACTTTTTACTACAGCAGAATTTCCTATGAATCAGGCCTGAAACAGCACAGATTCACAACGTGCTGGGAAGATCCGGGCATAAATGATCAGTTTACAGCCATGTGATTCAGTATTCATAGCTGCTGCTGCAAGTTTCCAGGGCAGTCCGGGAAAAGAAATGCTTCCAGTTAACAGAATGTAAACAAAGTACAGACAGAGCGAGGAAGTGAGTAGAGGAAGTGACATGAGCAGATACTTACAGGCAAACTTTGCCCAGCCAATGCTGTGAGGTGCAGAGCGGAAGAAGGCAGCAGAGGAAAAGAGGATGGGAAATAAGTGAGCAAACAAACATGCACGCAGACTTCACAGGAAACCAGAAGAGGCAACAGATGAGGACATGTTTTTGTCTATTTTTGGATTTCAAGAGCCCTGCTTCAGAAACCTGGTGACTCTACGTGGAAAATGATTGAAGTGCGTCTAATAAAAGCGTACCTGTCCAGCCAAGGAGAGTGGGAGGTGTGAGGGGCTGCAGAGAGCCAGTGAGGCAACAGATGGAGGCAGATCCTGGATCGGAGCCTCATCCAGGTCATCGATTCGAGGTTTCTTTATGTTCGTCTCAGGGCTGGTCAGAGGAGTCACACTGTTCCTCCTGATCAGGATGCCAGGACCTCTTTTCACCTCCTGCAGGAGAGGAAACATCACAGACGTGTCACTATGACTCAGGAATCAAGGCCGAGTAATATCCTGTTGAGTTTGACTTTGACCCAGTTTTAATTTACAAGATGAAACATGAAGATTTAAACTCATCAATAATCATAATTATGAGGCTTTACCTCTGGTCTGTCTCTGTGGGTGTTCACTGCCTCCACATTCAGAGAGATGGACTCCACTTTGCAGCCGTAGGCGACCGGGGTGAGCTTCAGTACTGTGTGGAGGGGACACTTCAGGTAGGGCATCTCATCTGAAACCAAAGGAAGTCAGATTTTAACACCAGCTCTTTAGTAAATCAAATCATGTCAACAAACAAGAGGGATTCTGGGAAATGTAGTACTGACCAGCACTCTTGTCAAGGAAGTAAGCCAGAAGGCAGCGCATGACAGCCTGGTGGCAGATAACCAAGACGTTCTCCTGCCTCTCGAGGTCCATGATGACCGGCTCCACCCGCTGGACCAGGTCCTGGTAGGACTGGAATAAAGAAAGGAAATGATTGATTATCATGTTTGAGAAATCGATCGAAACAAAACTTCTGAATTAGATCTGTTTTAGTATCAATGACTTTTTAAAAACGTGTGGTTAAATACCTCTCCAGCAGGGTAGCGGTAGTAGAATTTGTCTTCATCCCTCAGTGCGAACTCCTCTGGGTATTTCTCCTTCACCTCTTCGTACGTCATCTCTTCACACACTCCCTATAAAAAGAGATGATGTTTAAGTTTGACGGCTTTTATAGCAGTGTAACATGGTGTGAAAAGGGTTAATGAAGGTGATACTCACAGCGTCTATCTCATTAAGAGCCTTCCTCTGTTCATACGGGACCCTCAGGTGCTCTGCGGTCTGGATGCTGCGACACAGCTGACTGGTCCAAACTTTCAGATCATTCAGTTTCTGCTCCTCCACAAATCGAGACAGGGCGGCTGCGAACTACACCGAGAAGGAAACCGTATAAACCACCTTGATTTAATCCGTTATCATGTTTTAAGTCATTTCAATCGTCTTTCTTTCTGAGGCCGTACCTTTTTGCCCTGCGGGGACAGTCCTGAATCACCGCCCAGCCGTCCCTCCAGGTTGTCGGTGCTCTCGCCGTGCCGACACAGGTAGATGGTCCTGGGCTGGACATGAATGTTCATCAGGTAGTAGACGATCTTACTTTGGATGTGATCCTGGACGCGGTTGACGAGGAAGCGCCGACCGACATCTATCACCTTGATGAAGGAGTTCTCTCTGAAGGAGGAGAGGACGCAGGATATGTGTTACATGGTGGCGTGGATCACAAACTCCAGAATAAGAGAGGAAAGGTGGTCGTTTACCTGTCGTACTGATCAGGGTCCAGAGGTTCGTAGCTGGATTTGTAGCACTCAATCCGTCTCTGGAAATCCAACATGGCGTCGGTCTTGTTGCAGTCGCGGTAGTCCGGACAGGACACCTTCACTTCCTGCACAGGGAGGGAAGACTGTCAGACGGCAAACAACACGCCTGATTCCAGAGAGGTGGACATGTTTAATTTCTTTCTCACAATCAAGGGAATTTTTATAACATCGTATCGGTCACTCACCATGATGTTTGAAGCGATCACGCTGGGATCGTCGCACACAGACTCGATGAAAAAGATCTGCAAACAGAAATCAAAGCGGGAGTTAAACGCCGCTGCCTCACGCTAATAAGCTACTCTTTCTTCCCTCAGGTCGCCGTAGAAACACTCACTTTGAAGCCGTTCTCGTTGCCAAAGTTGAGGATCATGTCTCGCCTTTCTCTTGTCGTGTTGGTGGCATCAAAGACCTGAAAGAAACGGCTGAATGAGACAAAAGCCGCCAACTTTTGAAGGTTTACAAAGAGCGTGCATGATGGGAAACTTACAGCGACTTGGCCTCCTTCATCCTTCAGATACGACCTGACGTCTCTCAGAGCAGCTAAGGCACATTGCCTATTGAACACAGATAAATAAAGGTTAATTTGAGTTATTGCAAACATAAATATACACAGTAGATCATGTGTAGTTGTGTTTGTGTTGAACTTACTGCCGGATTTTTACAGCACACTCATTATCAGGCTTGAAGAAGTCATAGGAGCTGTAGTTCTTCACCGCCTCCCTGCGATACTCTCCAACATTGAAGACTACAAAGTAAAAAATAACATTAACTTCATCAACAAAATGTCCTGGAGTTGGAAATATGAACGTCACGCTGCCACTGATAAGCAAATATACACACAGTCTGTTCACGTCATTGAAATGATCGTGGTGTACCTTTGGTTGGCATGCCGATCCAGTTGAGGTAGCGGGTGAGTTTCTTCGACATGTACGTCTTCCCCCGAGCGGGGAGGCCCACCATCACGATGACGGTGGGGGGGTTGGAGAAGTGGGGAGCGCATGCCGCTGCAGAAAGGGAGAGAAGAGGCGTAAACGTCAAATCACAACCAAACAGCTGCATCCCACCCAGATTATTTATTCAAGCCAACTCTGCGGCTATAATCTCCATGTCTCCTCCTCATGGTAACACACTCTCAGCACGCACGTGGCTGAATGCTGGCGCTAGACTATAATTTCCACCTCGCTGCATGTTGACCCACTTCTGCACGCTTTGAACCGGATCACCCGAGTCAGGGTGGGCTGTCATCCCTCCACCGAATGTAAAGTCACCCCACCCCTAAGGCACACTGGAGATTTTAGGTCGAATGACATTTTGCTAGAGGATCTGTAGGTCACTGAATACTTGTGAAAATTACTTAAAAATGGTTGGAAGAGACTGGACAGGATGCTGCACAGTGAGATGTGGTGGATTCAGGGATGACGGAGGAGATTTTTGTGGTGATTTCAGAGCGCTGCTGCAAAATTGCAACGAAAAAGATCCTGCACATCTGGTGGAAAAAATGCCCCTGAAAGATTTACATGAAAAGTAGTCGCTCGTCACCTCCAATAGCCTAAGCACCGAACCTGGGGGGATTCTCCACAGTTGCCCCTACCCTCTGGAGCTCCCTACCACCCTCAATCAGACACTGCCCTGACCCCACTACCTTCAAATCCCTTTAAAAAACTCACTTATTTAAAATTGCTTTTAATATTTAACTGTTTTATTCATTTTATTTCTACTGTCTATATATCTTTTTTTTATTACCTTGGGTTTTATGTACTATGTAAAGCCTCTTTGAGTGTTATTATTATTATTTAATGCCTGACATCACAAATTATGGCCAGAAAATTCAACTACTTTTAGAGCTGAGATGTTCATTTCACTTAAAATTCAACAAATATATTTATCTATCTGGTTTGATACATTAGATGTTTTTGGAAACTGATAAATGATCATTTATCGGACTGTATTCAGGTGTTTTTTAGTAATTTGTTGATCATTTTGATTCAATAGAAGTATACAAAAGTATGCATCAAAAGGCATTTTAGGGTTGAGAAAATTATTATGGTCACAGCTAAGACAAGATCTTCCTTTTGTGATCAGGTTGAGTACCCTAACTATAGGTTTGCTCGGTTAATTCCCCATGGAAAGTCAGTGATCAATAAGAGTTCAGAGCTGCAGATGAATGCAGATATGCTCAGTTAGGCGCTTAAAACAAGAGGAGAGCATTTTTTGTTTAAATTTACATACATATTTGACTACCATCCACAGCTTTGATAAACAAACATAAAGGAGGCAGCAGCAGCTCATTCAAAGTGGTGATAAATTCCTGCATCATCTCTATAACCTCCATTTTCTCTCTCCTCTGTGTTTTCTCGAGGACAGATGCAGACCTCTCGCCACGCACACGCGTTTCTCCCCGGCCAATAAGAAGCCGGCACCGGCACAAGCGTTTCTGATACAGGTTGCGGGGCTGCTGCTGTAACCATGGTGACGGGGGCTACGACTGCATGCTCTAGTGGAGGTGTGTGACGTGCTGCGCGTGCTGATGGAGACCCTGATCGATCATATGATGAGTCAGAATCAGAGTGAGAGACATGTGCACGGGATTTCCACGAGCAGAAATGAAACTTTTACGGTTAATTTTGTAAATTTAGTCTATTAAACGAAAATAAACGTGTATAAATCAGTGTTTAATTTCATTTTTTGGTCTTATTGTGGATGAAATTCAAGAACAGAGGCAGAAACATGAACAACCACTGACAAAAACATCCTTATTCTATCGTAAAAGACGAAAAAAACGGTCAATCTGACGATAAAATGACGAGAAATAATGTAAATTTAACAGTAACTGCCTATCTATTCAATCTAATATGAGAAAACAGGCGATAATCTCATAAAAAATTATATTTAAAAGGTTTTTTTTTTTACCTCTCCGTGGTGACGGTTTGTCATCCTTTGTAGGAATCCAGATCTTTTGGATCTTGTTCTGGGTCAGCTCTCTGGGCATTCCTTAGAAACTGGAGATACGCACAGAAAACGGGAACCGAGCCGCTGAAGTCCCGGTAAAATAATAATGTCAAATAAAACAGAAGAAGAAGACTGGTTTCGTTCTTAAAGTAAAGCCTCGTCCGTTCTTTCGTCCGTCTGACCGGTTAGTTCTCTAAAAATGTCTGCACTGGCAGGAGTAGGACACTCTGAGCCGGGCTAATCTGCCGGTTCTGCGGCACACATCCGCTATTTAACCTCGCTCGAGCTCGGCCGGGAATCAACGTGACAGCGATGACGAAATACACACGCGCGCGCGCTCATACACATGAACACGCGCGCAAACGGGGCAGCCACAGCGCCCCCCTGTGGTAAAAAGAAAACACGGGTGATTATTTTACATTTGACGAGTTAAAGAGCATCAATTGAGGTGTTTTAATGTTGCCAAAAAGCTTCTAAAATGTTTTATTCTTCTCTTCTTGAGTCCCTAACCTCCTCCATCTTCTTCATACAGAATTTCAGCTTCTCCCGTCAAAGAGAAGGTTCACTTCTAGTAGAGCCAAATCAAACAGGTATCTCAAATCCTTCCTCCCAACAGCCATTGGTTTTTTGAATAAGCTGTAGGTGAGATTGATGGGAACAATGCACCTCTGAAACTGTGCTGACTCTACGTATTCACATGTATTTATTTATCTTATTTATGCTGTATGCTTTCTTTCTGTGATGTGAGAATTGAGTTCTCTTTTCAATCTGCATTATTACAGTGGCAGAGCTTGGTTTAACTTTTTACAAAATTACATTCATTTTTACAGAATTATATTAAAAGTGAGTTACATTAAAACATCTCTTTAGAAGAATAAAGGTTAAGAAATACTATTTTTATACTATTTTTTGACCTGTAGTGTGTAATAACATGAAAAAGTGTTGTATTTGTTGTTTTCTGTAGTCCTCAGTCTGTTAAACTGTCTGTTAATAACTCTCATTGACTGTCAGGAGAGTAGACAAAGCTCTGACTTCACAAAATCAAGTTCTCAAGAATCAAGAATAGAAGTTGCAGTTCTTGGTGTTTCTCCAGGATTCTGGTTATATTCTTTAATATTATTTTTTAAATAATAATAAGAAGAATAAAATCTTATTTATAATGTGCTTTTACAGGTGCTCAAAAACACAATTTAAAATACAGAAATTTTTGAGAAATAAAACCAATAATGTAAAAGGTTAAAAAAGACACAATATGAAAAGACAATAAAAGAATAGTTCACAGGTTAAAAAGGTGTGTTTTTAGGAGTGATTTGAAAGTATGGGGGTCTGTACAGTCTAGGATGGGTTTGGGAAATCCAGCAGAGAAGGCTCTGTCCCCCCAAGTTCGGTGCTTGAAATGCAATTCTTACTGTAAGTTGAGATTGGATCCTAACTTAAACATTTCAACACTTTCTCTACCTGCTGCGCCGAGATAAAGCTGGCAGCTCTTTGTCCAATCTGAGATTACAGTAGGAGAGAACGTGCAGAGAGTCACATCTCCTCACTGTGCCTCCTCACACTGACTCATGTCGAGTTTGATAAATATAGACCGAGTGATTTGGCACTAACAGAAAACCCACTCTGACCAGCCGTGATTTGAATTAGGGAAACAAAAAAAAGGAAAATGTTGCACAGGAACGTGACTCAATATATAAACGTAATTCAGAGGTTTGCTTTTGTATCATTCACTGAAAAAAATAAAACTATTCTTGTATCTGCAGTCTGACTATGCAGCTATTTGGACAACGCCTGAATATAACATGTAGATAAGTGTCTGCAGGTTTACAGTTTCAGCCTGACCCAGCTTAATGAATGTAAATAATGAGTTAACATAAAGAGAGATGTGTGCACCAATCCAAGTAAATTAATACAAAAACACGAGACACGACTTTCAGTAATTCGGTATGAACTGGAGAGAGAGAAAAAAACTTGGTTTAACTTTTTACAGTGTGCTGAATTTCCCGTGTTGCCTCAGTTTAGACTTGTTCATTGCATCCGTCTGAACTCTCTCCAACCTTTTGCTGAAAATTTACCCCCTCAAGGCTCTTTGGCTGCTTTCCTGTTTATTCAAGGATTTATTCATCAGACTGATGAACTCTTTCCTGCTGATCACCTGAACAAAGGGCAGCAAAGAGACTCGAAAGGTTCGTGTTGTCGTTGTAATGTCCATGTGATGAACATCCCTCTCGTTCATCACTGCTCTTTCTTTATTTTTTCCAGAATCTAAAGAAACACCTTCAAGGTCAGGGCTGATTTTTTTTTCTTTCTGACCTTAAACGTGTCTCTCTCTGAACTCTGAATGCTTGGTTGGAGAAAATGTGGTTGTGAAACTAAACCTGGTCTCTCCTGATAGTGATTTTATTTCACTTTTCCCCTCAGAAAAAGAGAGCAGGAAAGATAAACAATGATGCAGTTCGCAGGTATTTAGTCGATAATCTTATCACCTGTTTTCAGTAGAAACCGAGGTTGATATTTTGATTGGATTGACTGACAAAAGAAAACAATCCTGCAGGGTAAAACCTGTTAAAGACCTTTTTTTTCACTTTAACCACAACATCCTCATACTGTTGGAGGTTTAAGAATATGTCTCAGCTTGTTTTAGTGTTAATGTCTCGGGAATATAAACTGCTTTTCCATCTGCGACAGGATTCCCAAAATAAGCTCCACAGAGTGTAATTAAAATATTTTTGTGGACAACACTTGATTAAACCTTCAGTCTGTAATGAAAACTACTTTAAAAGACACATCCACTCCCAAAAGAGACCAGTTGTTGTCACTTTAATGCCTGTATGGGACTGTAGTGATGTTTGTATATGTATTATTTATGTTAAAATGCGTATTTCAGGTCATATTTTTTCCATACCCTCTGATGTTCAGAAATAAAATGGGAAAAGAGTTCAAAGCGTTTGGCCGGGACACTTTTAAAAAGACATTTACATAGTTTTTCTTTGGGTTGGGGGTGCTGAGATCCTTGCTGTTTAGATGCCCCCCACATACAGAGGTGACTCATCTTCAACCGTATGAGTGAAAACCTTTGTCACATTTATCAAAATACAGTGGAGAGGAGAAACTTCCTTAGACCGACAGAAACCCTGAGCAGAACCAGATCCATGATAGACAGTCATCTGCTGCTACTGCACTGCGTTTACACTGTGTCCAAATTATTATACAAATTGTATTGAAGTGTCATAAAGGTTCAATTTTTTGTTTTTCAATTAAACTCATGGATGGTATTGTGCCTCTTTGGATTGCTGAAATCAATCTCAGACACCTGTGATGATTAGTTTGCGAGGTGAACCCATTTAAGGGAAAAACTACTAAAGAAGGATGTTCCACATTATTAAGCAGACCAACGTTTTCAAGCAATATGGGAAAGAAAAAGGATCTCTCCAATAGTTGAATGGACAAGGTCTGAAAACCTTTGATATTTCACGAAAACTTAAGCGTAATCATCGTACTGTTAAGAGATTTGTGGCTGATTCAGAGGACACATGGGCTCGCTCTCTTGTCAACCCCTTAAAATAATGATAAAATTTGGAAATGAGAATATAAATCTATAAACTTAACAAGGAATGAACCTGCGTTCAGGAGAAATAACAAAGCCTGAGAAATTATTGCTGAAAAAGAAGAAAGGACACAGAGCGAACGTGGAGTCTACCATGACAGACAAGTTGCAGCAATGATTTGCAGACTTGAAGGCGACGTTCCCTAAAGAAATCACAGAGTTCAGAGATGATTTCAAAGCCGTCCAACACGACACAAAAAAGGACATTAAAACAGTTACGGAACAAACGGCAGATATGCGCAAAGAAATGGAGAAAACAGCAAAGCAGGTGGATCACTTAGAGACTAGAGTGAGCGCCTTGGATGACGTGCTCTAGGTTATTAATATGTTTTCTAATGTCTCTCCAGTTCATCACTGTATGCATTGCAGTGGTTTGGATTAGTGATTCCAGTATGTTCGACATAAATCAGGATTATCCTTTGACTTCAGTCCTGCTTCTGCTTCTCTAACCTCTGGAAACATATCCAGGCCAACTCACACAACTTTCCAACCAAACACATAGTAACCCTCGCAAGCCCCCCCCCAGAGCCATCCACACCGTGACCCCCTGACCTCATCTCAGGTCACACCCTCTGGTATGTAGGTTAACGTTAAATAGGCTGCTTGTGACCAATCACAACACTCTGCGGTGCTGTGCACGTTCAAGGCACGCCGAGACCATCAGTTTGACACTAGGTCACGACGTATACACACAAACACACACATCTCTGCAAGTCTGGTTGGAGCCATAACAAATGTGCTGATGACCCTGAACCCAGCAGCATGGACTCATGCATACCTGTGCTGCAGATATAGGTCTGTGGAAGCACTATACTCAAAACTCAAAAACGATCACAGTATTTTTACTCGAGCAGGATTATTTGGATTTCTCCTGATGAATCAAGCGTGTGGAGGTATTTTAGGACTGAATTTCGTGTTTCTGTCTGAAACCCGCTGCCTTGATCTGAACTAAACCTGCTCCAGAGGGATTCTCCCTGACATTTGATTTTCCTGTAGCCTCAGGGGTTCTTCTAGGCTCACTTACATAAGTTCTCAATGAGGCTTGGGCTGTGTTCGCAGTCCCGGTCCCCGACTCATAATCCACCAGGGCTAAATTAAGACTACAGAGCTCAAGGGATGTGTTAACGCCGCTGTGGAACCGCTGTTATGTCAAGAAAATTTCTCAGGAAAGGAATCCAGGCTCCATGGACATCAGAGGGTGGTCTACGGCAGGATGTCAGAGAGTGTGGAGTTCAATGAATGATTCTGCTCAAGTGTTTATACAGGGATGTAATATTTCACATTTTGAGGCTGGAAAACAAGTGGACTCTAGTCATCATGACTCTGCTGAATTCCTTTCCCATACTAAGCCCCACAGCTTGCATAGAAATACAAAAACAAATCAGTTTGCAGCTTAAAACAGCAGATAAATGAAGAAATCTGATCAGTGGACATCAATGTTACCTTTTATTTTGTCTTGACATAAAGGCATCGCACCAATAATCTACATGATGTCTCTTCACTACAGACGCACGCTTCACTGCTTCTTCTGGAAATATAAAAAAAAGGTTCAATATGTACAAGTGAGAGGGTAATGATGTATTCAGTGGGGGGCCTGGTGTCACACCTGCTCGCCCAGGTCCAAAATACGAAACTTGTCGAGGTTGTAGAAGCAGGCCTTGACGACTCGCCCGCCAAAATAGCGCCCGTTCAGATCCACCACGGCTGCGGAGGAGAGAGACGGTCAGAGTCAGACTGTGCTGGAGAACACTGATAAACATTTTCAACACAAAGATACTAGAAAGAGAAAAAACAACATGAATACAGACACTTTCTGCGAGGTTATACACAGTGTGATAAGTGTGTTTAATTTCTGAGCAGGGTCACAACGCCCTTTCTGTTTTCTGGATTGTTATGCACACGCAAAGTCAAACAGTATTTGTTTTACAGTGCTGATACCGATACAGATTATAAATGATTCATGAGACTGATAAGTGATATTTGGAACCAATATGAATTCACACTAAAATTAAAAACTTTTCGGTCTGAATCTTGACTTTGGGATATTACAAACTCAAATGCAAAACTTTGCTTAAATGCGCCCATGAAATATTTAATCAAAACTGAAACATCAAATTTCATGTATAATGTTGTGTGTGGTCTAGCCAATCAGAGAGTGTTGTGGGCGGGACATAAGGTGTGACAAAGTGGTGTAAAGAGAAAGACAAGCAATCATAGCGCCAAAAGAAATCCCTGTTTTAATCAATTAGTGGTCGTCTATAAAATAAAATGCCAATGTGGATCCAAGTCACCGCCTTAAGCCAAAATACCACCTTTTACTTTCCAAGACGAAGACCAAATATAAAGATTAAGCTGCTCTTTCAGCTACAGTTTTTGGCTAAAATAATGGGAACTTTTTGTTGGATTTGAAAACACATTTGCAATTTCAAAATGTTCCTCCTCTTAGTTATTTCCTCATCTCTTACTGCCACTAACTCTTTTTAAAAAATCTCACAACTTGAGTCTCTCAGTGAAGAAGATCCTCCATACTTGTGCTAAAATGTGCATGTTCACTGTTATTCTTCAAATGCGAATCTTTCCCTATTTGGATGTGAAACTACAGTTCAAAGTTGAATCGATGTTTATCGTAGTTGAAGTTACAAATGTTTGATGACTTGTTTTCTGTAACCTCCTGAGCTGTGGCTGTGTGTCTTTATTAAAGGAGACAACTTTTAATTTGTGGAACAAACTGTTGTGGCAGGCGGCTGAGTAATATGAACACTCTGCTCTGTGTGTCAGTGATAAAAGCCTCTTAAAAGACAAACAACTTTGTACATTTCAGAGGGAAAAAAAAGATTCTGCACTGTGCCACAGTTAACTGACCTTATAAAAGCAGAACTGTGCATATATCTGAGCATTATTTCTGCTATATCTTTATGTAGGGTTGGGTATCGTTTGATTTTGAACGATTCCGATTTTGATTTCAGTTCCTCGTTTCAATTCTGATTCCTATCGATTCTTTTTTTCGATTCTTTTAAAAGGCAGGATATAGAAAAAAATTCTATAAACTTTTTAAGAACTTTACTATGAGTTTCTCACAGGGATATTTTCAACCAGTATGTAAATATCAATTTTTGTTGTCAGGTCGTTTGTCTATGAAAAAGTACAAGGGCTAACGTTAGTTGGATAGTTAAGTTGACCCACCGTACACAGTGCAATTTGTTTGCCGCTTTAATGTTAGCAGAGGACAGAAGTAATTTATTGTTTCACTTGATCCTGACTGGTTAGCGGAAGACCGGTGTTGTGCTGTAGAATGCACCCCTGCCGTAGAATGCCTCCCCTCCACTCATTAGCTTCTTAAAGTGGAAGAAATATGATCTCATATCTAATAAAACACGAGTATTAGATCATGACAACATGTCAAATGGAGCAGTAAACTTTCGTTTTGTTTTTATGTGTCTCAAAAATGCACACATAGAGGTGTACTTGGGTATATAAACTGTACAGTAAGCTGTTAAGGTAGAGAACATTATATTTTCGGGACAGTAAATATTCCGAATCAGAGGGCTATTGTTTTCGGCATATCTGAATAGCCTGAATGAAATCATTAAAGGCACACGCTTTAGATCAACGGTAAGAAAAACTTGGATTATTGCGCCTTGTTAAGTACTTTCAACAGGGGTGCATTCTACGGCATAACACCTGCGAAGCGCGTCAAAGACGAGCACTCGGATATTTCTCCTCCATGAATCCTGAGGTGTTTAATCATGTTGGTCGTTTACCCTCCTTTGCATGATACAACTGTGTTGCTAATGTTGCACTGAGATAAGAGTTCGGTCTTCCTGCTAAAGTTAGCCAAACTTTTGACCAACGAAGAAGCTGCCGAACACCAGCGAGGACGGAGCGTATGAGACAAAGCCACACACAGAGAGTGAAGAGAGACAGAGAGAGTGCACTGTAACCCACAGCGACTGCATTGCTGTGGGTTGCAATGTACTCTCTCTTGGTTCTGAGTTGTTTGAAGAACTTTTCACTCATGGACTGAACGTGCAATTAAACTCTAATGTCCTGACACGAGGCGTACAGAGTGTTAAATGTTACACTGATTAGACGATCCCATCATACTCTGAATCACTTGCAGTAAGTGATAGGGACAGAGTAACTGAGGATGTGATCGGCATCAGAGAGAAAAGCGGGAATACACCTCCCCTCTCTATTCATTTACTATTGCAGAGAATGTGAAATGATCATTTCTCTTAAACCCGAACAGAAAAAAAACACAAATTAAACTTAATTTTAGTTCAGAATATGGTTAATTTATGTCACAAAACGACACAGGCTACATTTAAGTGATGACAATTAAGACATGAAAACAATGTGAATGCAAAATTGTCCTACCCTACCTGGCGTTTAGGGCACACGGCTTACAACAGAAGACGCAGCGTGGGCAGAACGGCTCGCAAACAAACAGCTCGCCACTGTGAACCGGTTCACATCGTTCACTTAAAAAAAGAGCCGTTCAAACGACTGACTCATTCGTGAACGTTACATCGACAAACGGACGCAGATCAACCGTTGAGCTCCATCTCACCACGACTGGCAGACTGACGGCGTTCAATATTTTATTCTGTAAATTAGCGCATTAGAAGTAAAATATATAAACCAAGACCTGGACCTTAACATTAAATTTCATACAGGGTTGGTCGTGAAGCGCGAATCGTACCGGGAGTGTTTTAGCTAGCTGTACCGCTAGCTAACGGCTAACAGAGCTTACAGGTGTATGCGGCCTACACAGCCTGTTAGCAAACACAAAATAAAACAGGCTGAAGACTTGATCTACACGAACACTTAATGACTACTTAAAAGTGGAAATATCATCACATTCTTGCCTTCAGTTATCCTATTATTCGCCCGCCTTTTCATTTAATATACTACTTTCAACTTTAGCGCTGTGTATGATTCAAGGGCCCCTTCTTTTGCTCGGAAAATCTGGTTTCATTGGATTCCAGGTTATCAAAGACTTCAGTAAAACAAACAGTTGGGGAAAAAGCCAAGCTTGTTGTTTTATTCTGTTGTCAAAGTTAGTTTTAACGAGGCTAAGTTGTCTTTTAGTCATAACTTCATACTTAATAACTCACAAACATAAAAGTCAATCTTATTTCCTACTTTTCCTCACAGCAAGATGGTGTTCGCAGAAACTATTCCTCAAGTGTATCCCAAGTTTCCAAGCAAAATTTGATCTCCAAATAGAATTTCTTCAGAAATATTTACGTCAATTAGATATATTTTCAAAAACCAAAGGTATTTTTTTCTTCAAATACTTTCGTAATCAAATTTTTTAAATTAAGCATCGATTCAGATGCTACCCCATTGCACTGACAATCCCCCTAACCTTGAATGACTAGAAAGAAGTCAAAATTTCACCTTTCACTTTGCAGAAACTGTGTTCACGCTCCTGTTTGCACAAGATTGTGAACTGGTGCAGCTGTTTACCTGATCGTCCTTGACCAAGACAGTAATAATAATAAAGGTAATCTCTAATCTGTTACTGTGTGACCCCTCACCTCTGCAGGGGTCAGGAGGCAAGACACTTTCCCTCTTAAAGAGCATTAAAACGTTTCATCAGTGTCGACAGAAACCGATCGCTCAGTGTTGAATAATTCTGCCTCTTTTTTGTTCTTAGAGAGTTTGTCCTGCTTTCACAGAACTGAGATGTCCGTGTGGTGCTGTTGGTGCCGCAGGGAGACGGCTGGGTTCCCGGGCCATGGATGATGTAACACCACAGGGAGTCAAGTCTCACCTTGTTTCTGATCTGGGCCAACCCATTTAGGAAAGGGACACACTTTCACCCACAATATTAGAGCAGTTACACAATAAGATAAAAAAAAACACGATTATACAAAGATGATCATTTATCACCTGGTTCATCCTGCTCTTTATGCAAAGAAAGCTGCTCTGGTTTAAATGGGAACGGAAAACTGAAGGTTGATGGTTTTCTCTGGGTGAGTTGTCACTGACAGCAAAGGTCAGGTTTGGAGCGTCAACAAGAGGTCGGGGTCTTTCTTTTGCACACTTCTTTCTTTCTATGTGGGTCATTTTAAACCGCGCATAAAACCACAGTTGCGTATGAAAATTAGAGGTGCAGCGTTGATGGTGTTGCTCTGCTGAGAGAGCTTGGAGTGGCACAAGAGTGCAAACATCTTGTGTCTTGAACAGTGCAAAGACAAATGTGCTTTCTCCGAATATAAACGATCCCTTCCATGACTTAAGTGACTGAATTCTGAGTCAGGTGCAGCTAAACTCTGTCAAGAATCAGCAAAGGCTGCTCTCAGGATTTTGCCACAGGCTGACACTGACCTTTGATGGCTGACTCCACCCTCTCAAACTCCAGGAATATCCGGACCGCTTCATCATCCAACACCTCTGCGATCTGAGGAGAAGATGTGTTTTATTTTTGTAACTGCTCACAAATGTGCTTTTCACCTCAGGAGCCCCAAACCCCTTTACCCTTTTACAGACTCTCACCTCAAAAATGACACATTTCACCACTTTGCCGTATTTCTCACACTCCTCTTTTGTCTCCCCCTCCAGGTCTTCATCCACCTCTCCTCGGCCCACCATGTTCTAAAGACAAATCCAGATTAGAAGATAAGCACATGATTTTAACAATTTCTTGCCACGATCACTGTTTCTGTAATAGGAGGATTATTTAATAACTGCATGTGCAGACATACCCTCAGCAGGACCACTTTGGTGGGGTTTTTGAGGATCTCTGTAAGCGGGTTGGCCTCTGACTTCTTGGACGAATCTGCTGCTTGGATAGAAAGAGAGAAATAGGTCAGGTTTTTCCCCCCTCCTCTAAAGAATTGCAGCAGTCTGCAGCTGAACTGGATGAAGCAACAAAAGGTGAGTTTCATTGTATTGCACATGTTCAGTTCAACAAAAGAGCGAGTCTTTTGTTGAGAAATTATTGCTCTCTTTTCTGATCTGAATTGAAACCCTTTTTTTGGTCAAATTTGAAGCTTTTTTAAGCTCCTGAAACCATTTTAAATGGGTCAACAGGGCTCGACAGTGCGACCGTGTCACTCAAAGACTAAAAATAGATGTGTGCGGATTTTAAAATGTATTTAGGGACATGTGCGCATAAAAATAAATCAGCTAAGGCAACAAATGTTTTTTCATGTAAATACCGCTGTGAAGTTAGTTTTGGGTTGGCTATTTGGACATTCACTGCGGATCTACCGGTGTCACATGACCAATTGACCTAAACTTGATTTCAGATAATAGTACTTATGTCGACCAATTAGACACACGTCTTTAATTCCCTAATTTTTCCTCTAATATTTTGTGTTTAATTTAAAGGCAAATTTTGAATATTTTCCTCAATAGCTTCCATGTCATGTGACCAAGAGATGTTCATTGTGCCCCTTAAGGTCTTTGTGCTCCTTACTTTTTCAACTTAGGAGAACATGTGCTCCTTGTGAAAAAAGTTTGTGTCAAGCCCTGGTCAATCATGTGCAATACGACTGGAGAGTTAGTTAAAAGATGGATGCAAAACGTCCTTCTCAAAGAACACTAAGAGTGTGCTTATTCACGTGCAACCTTCTTATTCAATCTGATTGTTTCAAACAGTCCTCTGACAGAGAGACAGATTCTTCCAGGACAAGTGCTCGCTTTATCAAGAACAGAAAACGATGATTCATGCTGATTTGGAGAATACGACGAGTTTTTCTGAGCAGTGGCCAAAAGCAGAGCTGTAAACAGGAAGACCTGAAGTTTCAAGACTGCTGTTCTCAGTCTGAACCCAAAACTACCCCCACACTTTGTTTCACTTCATTTCATCACTCGCTTTTGTACACTGACACATCTTGGTGCTGATAACTGGAGCTTTAAACAGAGTGGGTTCCAATCACAAAGTGAGAAAGCTGACATTTAAGCAAAAAGGGATCCTTGTCTTCTAGTTGGAGGTTAAATTAGAGGAGTTTTGCCACTCTATTATGAAGCTGAGTGGACTACATTTGCAGTGTTAATTTAAGGTTTAAAACAGTCTAAGGTTAAGGAGGAGCAGGCAAGTCTACAGAGCACACAGCTGCTAGAGATGGGCATGCAGCGTAAAACAGGAATGGAAAAGTATGTGAGGAGCCAACACTGAGCAGGAAAACCATGCAAACTTTTACCTGGGTATGTTTTAAAACAGCAGATAAATGAAAGCCATGCAAAAAACACACACATACTCTCTTCTACGATAGAAGATTAAGAGAGGAGCACACTCTATGAGGAGGAGAGAGAGAACAAGATGGAGGCCAACCTGCAGAGCCTCCGCTTGGCGCTTCAGCTGCACCTGACTGGCTGGACCCTGCTGCTCAGTCATACAAACACACACACACGCATACACAAAATGAAAAACACAAATGTGCATTCAAAATCACAGTAAAACATCGCACTGATTCAGGAATGATGGTATATTTCTCGACGAATGAGCAAAAACACACACAGAGACTTCAAACACGAAGACAAAAACACACACGCAGAAAGCCGACATGCAGTACAAAGATAAAAAGATCTTGAATGGAAGCACGATGAGAAGACAAAAAAGCTCACAATGACAAACGGCACCTGGGACACAGATCACGAGAGAGGAGGGACCACAGCGAAACAACAGAAACACGATACAGGTGTTCTTACGTTTTTCTGCAGCGTCGCCGATGATGATCTTCCCGCCTCTCTTGCTGGTCTTCTCCACTGACAGCGCCGTGCTGAGGCCCTGCTCGTGCTTCCCCAGGCCCTGACCCTCTTTGAAGCCGTACTTCTGCATGATCTTATGTGCCACCGTACCTCTGCAGGAGTAGATATCAAAGTGTGAAATGTTGCAACACTAAAGCTGTTTATCCAAAACATCTGCACAGATGTTTTAAAAAAAACTTGGAGGTTATCAATGTCTAAAAACTGCTACCTACCTAAAAATATCAACCCAACAGAAAAATGAATATAATACCCCTTTCTATTTGTCTGAGATAAGTGTGAGAAGTGATTAGAAATATTAGTTTTGAGTGTCTTTCTCACCCCATATTAGCCAGGAAGGAGCTGGTTGGTCCGGGCGGGGAACGTGGACGGTCTGCGTCCTCATACATGGGAGGGGGGATGGCGGCCTTTGAACCTCTGGAAGGACGACCTTCGTCTTCATAAGAGTATGAAGAAGAAGAAGAGCCTAAAAAGGTGAACAGGTTACTGAAGGGCCGCAGTTACAACAACACTGACACTATAACAGACACACTGTCGTCTCATGAGTAAGACTTTGCTGCCCTCTAATGACACACTTCAAACTTACAACTACAGTCATGAACAGAGTCTCTCCTAGTTTGTCAGTAAGTAAATCAAGTGTCAGTAACAAAAAGGAAAGAAAATAAACACAGAATTGGACTGAAGAAGAGTTTAGTCGTTCTAAACAGAGGCAAGAGTCCTTGCTCTTCCTTCACTGCTGTATTTTTCATTTTTAACTCCCACAAATTCACACAAACTGGTGGCTCAGAAGACTTACCATCTCTGTCAACTAGTGAAGATGGAGGGGCAATAGCTGCACCGCCCATACCTGTGAAAGAGAAACGCAGTTGTTCAATTGTGTTAGAGAGCAAAAGTCATAAAGTTTAGGGTCTCCTGTTGGTCCCCAATGGAGTTAAGCCGCTATTCTAGGTTGAAATAGTCAGTTTTTCTTGACTTAGACATGTCAACTAAATGAAAAGTGAAAGACTAACTTGCAAGAAATAATGTCTCATTTATCTGGGCAAGGCTGGACTTCAAGCTCCAACTCTGATGCCAAGTAGGAATGACTTATTTTTTTAGCAACCATCTAAATTTTGATCATTTTGGGGATTTTTCAAAAATCACACTGACTGGCAAAGTGGAAAAACAGGAAAAATGTCCCAACATGGGATGCATTACTACAGGCACAGCAGATGTAAACTCACTTCTTTTCCTTCGCTCTTTCTCGTAGTCTTCGTCCTCGTCTGAGTCACCCTCGGCTGTAGGGAAACGAGAAAAACCGCTAGGCGCTCCGCTTTCATGCCGATCTTTCCTCTTCCTGCGTCACAAGAAGTTTCAGATCATAAGAGGAGTCTGGTGTTCATGTAGACGCCCGGCACAGTCCACTATCACTTCAACGTTGGAAGGGATTTTTATGATTACTCTACCCTGAAGTGTTTTTCACAGCTACAAGCAAATTTGTTCAATAATTTCTTGTATTTAAAGGGACAGTGCATAAATTCCAGGTTTTGCACCTCTTAGAAATCACCCCCTCGAGTTCAAGCTCTTCTTTTGGTTTACACTGCAATGTGAGAGGTGTGTTGTCATGATCATACTTTTCCCTCTCCTCTATCTCCTTCTGTCGCTCCTGCTCCCTCTGCCGCTGTCGTTCTTCTCGGTGTCGCTTCACCACCTTCTCGTAGTCGTTGGGGAACATGGGATCGTACTCATCTGCCAACGGGATCAGCACATCACCAGAGGAGAAGCCGCTGGGTACTGCATCCTGGAAAACAAACAAACAAAGAGCGAGCGTCTTTAATTCATGAGTGGGACAGGGACGGCATGTGGCTGAGAAGTTATCGACCTATTTAAACCTGGACAGCATGAATGCATTTCAACCTTCCAAGCGGGGAGAACCATGTACGCATTTCTACCCTTTCAACTGGGAGCACGGATACGTCGTTTTGTAACATTCTGTAGTTTTTCAAACATTTGAATCTGATAGGCTAATAAAGCTTAATTAAGCAAACAGATTCATGCTTGGGTCTTGCATCGCGCTTTGTGAGGAAAGTAAATAATGGAAGCAGAGAGCAGCTTCGGCGGAGAAGTGTCATCTGCTACAGAGGCCGAGATATCAGCTTTTTTGTAAACCTCAACTCTTCAGAAAACCTCAGGATCTGGGGGCCCTTCTCAAAATGGCCCTCAGGATTTCAGAGGCGTGGCTCAGACAGGGTTCAGGTCTTAATGGGTTAAATTAGAGTGAAAACTTTAAGTCTATGCTGTTGAAATTCAGTAGTAGTGTGGTTGCTTATTACAAAACTTTGAGAGCAGGTTCAGTGGTTGAGACAGACCTTAAGCCCAGCTGCAGCATGTGGAGGAGTGTCTGAGATCTGTCTGTCATCCCCGGAGCTTCCTCTCTTCAGATCGATGACTGGAGCCAACACAGTGGTCTGCTTCATCCGCTGGGTCTGTAAAGGACAATGAAGACACTGATCAGAAACCTCTGCAGATCTGGAGGACTCTTTTGTTCTGACTGTGTTTGGTGTCTTATTAAGAAGTTAAACCTAAAACATGCCACAACAGCTATCTAGAGAAAACCATGAGACTTACCTTGGCTTGGGTCAGAGCAGCTTTCTTCACCTTGAGCTGGGACTGCAGCAGTTTGAAGTTTTTGGACCAGCCCTCTGTTTTGGTGTCACTGGCCCCCACACCGAGGTCATCGTACAGAGACATAGCTGCCCGTCACAGACTCTGTTTCCTGCAAATAAACCAGCAAAATTACTGTGGATTCATGTGGTGCCGCTGCTCTGAAAGGTGAAGTCTGAGCTTGAATAAATCAGATGGTTATCCAGCTGCAGCAGCCTGTGGGCCTGACACTCTGTGAAGACTAACTTAGCTAACGTTGGCTAATGCTAACACAGCAGCTCTACAGCTGTCCTCTCATACACAAAACATTCTTGTACTCAAACACAGGATTATTTTAATTATTTAAACTTACCAGTTTTAGAAATACCAGGACATTAAAAAAAGATAAGCGCCTGTACAAAGAGAAAGGTTTTAGCCACACATGTACAGTTGGAGTTAGCTCCGAGCAGCAGCAACACATCAGACCAAAACCGGCGGAGCTGAGCGATACTCTGTGCTCTTGCGCCACCTAGCGCCTGGATGACTTTTCAAACGTTTTATTTTATTATGTTTTTTCAGTGAACAAAATTACAGTTCCGAACAAACAGAAACAGTTTAATACAGCAGTTTCAATATTAAACATGTCAGTGAGAAATACTTAACAGAGACAATGAATGTTTGGACAAGGAAAAAAAACAAAATAAAGTAGATAGTGAAGAACAATAAGCAAACAGAAACATAAAAGTAACTTAAAATAAATAAAATAATTTCTACTATGCAAAACCTTTAGCGGTCCATATTAGTGGGAAAATTCTTTAAGTCATCGAGAGATGAATGTTGCCGACTGTTTGCTTCTCTGGTTATACCAACTTTAGTAACGACCGCAGATAGCAATACAGAGAGCCATGTGCTCAACCAAAACGCCACTCTATAGCCACAAATAATGATCAGAACAGCACCTAACTTCATCAACAGGACATATAGGGTCCCAGCCATCAAACATCTTCTTAACTTTGCCTAATTTCTTTAGCAAAGACACTAAACACAACTCACCTACTCACTTCCAGCAGCTGCTTGTTTGTGGCGGGGTGACGCAGCTAAAGGACGAACATTTTTAATCATTAAAAGAAGAATAGGTCTCTCTCTCTCTCTCTCTCTCTCTCTCTCTCTCTCTCTCTCTCTCTCTCTCTCTCTCTCTCTCTCTCCCCAAACCCTCATGTACCTCTAGGTGGCGGTCTGTACCCTGAAATTCGTTGCCTACACCGCCTGCAGAAAAAGAAGAGAAAGTGAAAGAGCAGAGGTGTTGTTGTGTCAGACTGTTGAACCTCTCGCAGTGAAGATTTGAGGATGGTGTTTACGGCTCTCAGTCCAGTTGATGCTCATGTTTTCGGTCTTTACAGAGCTGTCAGATGGATTGGTGTCCCTCTTTACTTCTCTCTGTTTGTCTTCTGATCATCTACACCTTCGGAGCTGTGCGCGCCTCCAACAGCGGTAAGCCCAGATAATAATATCGATTTAACCATTGATTTTGTGTCATTTCAATATTTACAAAACAACAGTTAGGTATGCGGTATGTCTTCCTTTTTTGTCACTTTTTGGTTTAATGTAAAAGGATTATTCTTACTTTTATTTAGTCGACTTTTCTCCCAACTTAAATTAAACCTAAATCACTCTAAAAACTGGCTTATAACTTTGTTAAAAGGGTCATTTACTTGTCTTTTCACGTATTAATTGGTGGGTTTTGTCACAATAAACCTGGGTGGGGGTTATAAAGTCAGTTCCAATACTGCCGGCATTGAGTTGTTAATGATTAATCTGGTGACTTTAATTCAAACTGCCATTCAGAGTTCAGGTCAGTAAACTCAACCACCTTAAAGAGATTTTCATCACTGAAAGCCTTTACAAGATAAGAATAACTCTGACATAACCTGCATTTTTTCCTCCCACAAGCATATAATAGGGGACAGTGGGTTAAGTTGAGCCACCCCATGTTGCTTGGAAATGGTCAAAGAAATTGATCATGTGACCAAATATTTAGGACAGTGGCTTTCAACTGGTCTCACTCTGGGACCCACTTTTTTAATATGGACATATGTCACCAGGTTCATTCAACAGTGTGACCTGCTGATTATGTCCATTTATAATTGTGTATGCTTTTTTTTTTTTTGGAATTTTTTTAGCCCCTACTCATTAGTGAAAAAATCTCTGTGATGACAAAAACCTTTGCAGATTCCACATTTTTTAGAAATTAGGCACAGCCATAATGTTGTCGGTATCTGGATGACTTTTTCTGTTGTTGTCGTTCACTGTCATTGTAAGTGTGTGTAGTTCAAAATACACAAAATGAACTTTGGATCATTGTTATTAGATGTATATTTTGATGATAGATGTGCCCTTTTGTACTAGATATGGAGAATTGCTCATTAAATATGTTTGTTTTTAACTTACAATGTAAAATATTTTAAAATACTGATTTATTTATAACCGATTCACTATATTATGGATTTCTCTTATGGAAATGCGGGTGTTACTTTAGATTGATGTCACACAAAGTGTTTTGTTGTTTATTTGCTGTCTCTTTGGTTAAATTACCCGATGATGATTTTGTCCCTTTGTGTTTACATCATGAAGGAACGACCACTCCCTATTTAAGATGGCTTCTCTTGAGCAAAAAACTGTTTGCCTGATGAAGGTCTAGTACTGAAACGTTGCAAATAAATGATTGATTGCAAGTTGGACAGTGCGCGGGAATCCCTTTGCGACCCACTTTTATAGAAGTTAAACCAAGCAAATTTATTTCTTATTAAAAAAAACCTTTAAAGACTTAATCTTTGACAGAAATACACCTGTTTTATTGAGTAAAGTGCATTTCAGAGCACATGAAGTGAGGACGACACCTACTAAAGTTGCATATACAGAGAAATGAAAGCAAAATTAAAAATTTGACTTATTTGCATCTCGACATTTAGAGCATATTCAGAAGAACCTGAGGAGGACCACGCAACAGCAAGGACAAAAGTGAATAAATATTGAATTGCACAAAATAAAGACCATAAAAAAACATGTAAACATGCTGTATTATCAAGACAGTTCTGTTTACACTCATTCTGTTGCACAACAGCCTGAAATATACACTAGTTAGAGACAAAACTATGATTGCCTTGATGTAATGATCTGTCATATGAAAAATGGCTCATCTTACCCCACTCTCCCCTATTTACTCAGTATAGAAACTGAAAGGGTTGGCACCAGCATTGATTTTCCATCTAATACTTTGTTTCTCTTTCAGTTCAAATCAGCTGTCCATGCCCGGAAATACCCCCAAGACCTTTGACTGAGCTTCCGCCTGAGACCTGCTTCCAAAAAGACGCCACATTTCGCTATATGTGTATCCAAGGTTATGTGAGGAAGGTGGGAACCTCAAATCTCATCAAATGCAGGGGAACTGATGGTGTTCCGCAGGGTACCTGGTCGTCTCCCTCCCTCCAGTGTATACGTAAGATTTATTTACTCTTGTGTTCTTACTTCACTTAAAACATCCACACTAGTTTTTCAAAGAATAGAGTCAGATACTATTTGGTTTAGAGTTAAAGCTCCTGTGAGGAACTTTCAGTTTGCCTAAATTTTGGCGCCCCCTGTGGACAAAGCAGTCTTTGCGTGTTTGGTCCACTACATGTTTAAATAATGTCCTATGACAAAATATCTCATCCTGGATATTCTAAAAACACGTCTGTTTCTGACATCTACCTTTTCTCACTGGTTTTAGGCATCAAAATCTTTAATATATATTTTTTATCTTCGCTCGTGGTGGTTTTGCTAGATTTTGTTTGGCATAAAAACGCATTAAATTATAACTCGGAATTTCTGTCTGTTTCATAAACAACATAAAAACTCAACAAAGGAGCTTTAAGTCAACTTAATTTCACTTATAACTTCTCAAAGATCTTCATGTCAGTGTTTGTTTTAAAATGTGAACCTTTTTTTTTTTATATGAAATGTTTAGAAAAACCGATTAAATTTCTTTGGGTTTCTGAAGATTCTTGCTGACAGCGCATTAAAATCCATTATTTTAAGTGTGTTTATCTGCACAGTTAGTACTTAAATTTCTGCGTCAATGTGGCATGGCGGTGAGATAATCAGCCTGTGGCTTTGCTGAAGTGTTATTGAATGTCAGGTCGCTTTTGATAGTCTTCAGCTGGTCTGCATCTTTCTTCCCATCTTCCCCTTTACAAATATCCCACTGATTGTCGTTGAGTTCAGGTCAGGTGGACTGGTTGGCCAATCAAGCTCAGTAATAAACCAGCAAACCATCTAGTGGTAGTTTTGGTGCCATGGGCAGGTGCTAAGTCCTTCTGAACAAGCGAATTGCCATCTCTATAAAGCTCTTCAGCAGGCAAACTCATGAACAGCTCTATAATCTCCTCGTAAAAAGCTGTGTACACTTGAGACAGGGTACCTTGAGTGATCACAGACTGTGGAAACTTTACACTTGGATGCTGTGCCTCAAAACGCTCCCTTGATTTCCATGGAAGAAGAAGTGGCTTGCTTTCCTCTGAAAACAGGACTTTGGACATCTCTTTTTCCCTTCGGTCTGGGTGAGACTTTTTTGGCGCTGTCTGTGGTTCAGGAATGTTATGACAGTGGTCGCTCCTTACTTGAGAATGTCTGTTTGTGTTGGCTCTTGATGCACCACTGATGCCGGCCTCACTCACCTCTTGGTGAAGCTCCTTGTGAAGTTCTTGAATCGGTGTCATCTTACTTCTAACTTCGATGCAGGAAATTTCTGGTACACGGCTTGACACAAACTTTTTTCACATGTGCTCCTAAGTTCAAAAAGTAAGGAGCACACAAAGAACTTTAGGGGCACAATGAAAATTCATCAAATAATGTGTGTCTTAGGTTGCTTTCACACCTGACCAAGCACCGAACTTTCCGAGCAGCATCACGTGGTTGAAAGGGGCGCTCGTTGGTTGGACAAATAGGAGGAGTATGTAACCTCATAGATTACAAACAGGGGTGGACGAGCTGTCTTGTATCGTGCTTCGTCACATTATTTCATGGAATGCTATAACGTTAGTGAACGCAACAGTTCCTATAATGCTATCGTAGCTTGTCAGGGATTGATCCTGTTATTTTTCTAACTTTGACGATCTAACACGTGAAACATATGAGCTCAGAGTTTAAGGACTGTGACTGTTGGTAGTTGTGATTTGATTTTGTTTAAATATGCCAAATTGTGAATTTATGGGTTATTGTTGTTCAGACAATTGAGCTAAGCTAGCTAGCAACTGTCTGTGGTCAGTTACTCCCTCTACCCAAGATGCACTGCGTATAGCGTCATTACGTACATTTGGTCCCGTGTTTGGTCCGGTGAGCTTTCAAACTGCATACGAACCGAACCAGGGTTCACTTGCAAGCGAACCGAGACCCACGTTTTCAGGCGGACCAGAGTTCGCTTGTTTGGTCGGCACCAGAGTTCGGATGAGCTTTCACACCTGCCCAAACGAAGCGGACTATCCGAGGAAACGAACTCTGGTCCGTTTAAAGCGGATCAAATAGCTCTGGTGTGAAAGCGACCTTATTGTCCGACCTTAGTACTATTATTTGAAATCAATTGAAGGTCTTTTGGTCACATGACATGAAAGTTATTGAAGAAAATGTTCAAAATTTGCTTTTAAATTTAACACAAAACATTTTTAAAGGACATATTATTTACATCTATTTTTCATCGCTAATGCGAGTGAAACAGTCACACCGTCGAGCCCTGTAGTAATATTTTGTCTCGGTTATTTTTCATTTTCTTTTTACTGACAATAAATATTAGACTTTTCATGGTGTTGTATTTCAGCAGATGTAGCTGTGTATCATAAATACAGATTGACTGAGTAATTGGTTGGTAGGCTCAAGACCTTCAATCCTTCGTGAGGGAGACAAGCTTTTTGTATTAGGTGTCCTGCTCAAACTTGAGATGCATGTGCATACTTCTAAGGAAAACACGAGCGTTCTTTCACCTGAGGTGTTGAAGCAGATGTAGGCTGAAGAATTACATGGACTTGTATGCAACAGTGGGTACACTCCTTGAAGCCAGATGCGCGTGTTACGGAGGTGTGAGAACTTGTCTTTGAAACTTCCTGTTGCAGTGATCCACAGTTCAGCAACCCGCATGGAAACTTGGATAACACAGGCGTGTGTGTGTGAGTGTGTGAATGGATGAATGAAAGGCAAACTGTATGTTGTGCGACTGAAACCTCCCGCCAAACACCCACAGCACACAGGAAAACCTCAAAGTGTCCAGGCAGCAACAAATTGGCAATGAATTCAATACGGCTTTCATGAGTCTGATCCTATTTGGAAGATGATGTTTCCGAACATCCCTCAGGCCCCAGAATAAATTTGGCAAACTGGTGAGTTTTACTCTTGGCAGCACCAGAAGAAAGTTAATCCCTGCAGTTTAAACTAGGTCTCTTCTGAGCTATGGGTGCCAGCTATAACATACATTTACTCAAGATGATCTTTTTTCCCATGCAAAGATGTTTTGTGTTCACTGTGCACGTCCACCGACATGTTAGTTTTCTGTTTTTACAACCTCTATTCACAGATTTGTTTTAAGAGAGTATTTTATTTGGCTTTTTTGGCTTTTATTTTGATAGGATGGCTTGAAAGACATGGAGGTGTGGGGGAGGATAAGGCTAATGGTCTTGGCCTTATGTGGAACTTTTTAGTCTTCCTGACCACTCAAAGCACTTTTAATTGACACATTTACACCGTTTTGTGTCAGAGTTTTAATAACATTTTAAGGGTAAATTCAAACATTTTTTCTTTATTGTTATCAATGCATTTGAGTTCTGAAGGAACCAGTAATTATCCAGCGCTGGTCAGCTCCTAGTTCTGTTTCAGAGGGAGTAATTTCAGTAGCTTGCCAGAGGACACAGGTGACCAACTCTACCACTGAACCACAGAACTGCCACTGATCTATCGACTACCAAACTGATCTAAATCAATCAGCACAACTTGGGCTCAGATCTGCAGAATGCTGTGACTCTTAACACAAAATTCGATCATCTGTTTCCAGCCAACATCCCATAAGTTGTTTCCAACGCCTCCTCAGGACATTCCTGACAAAGCTTGCATTTTTACATTGTACAAATCTGCACCCCGATGATCTTATTTCAACAGCTGGAGTTCTGAATCTTGACCTGCACATGTAGGCGTGGCATCAAATCCAAACCAGACTGTGCAGCATCCAAAGCGAAGACAAAAATAACTCCTCGGCCTCTGCGTGACTTCTCTGATGGTCGGCCAAACGATCAGAAGACAAAGAATTGCACATTATTGTGCCACTTTGACAAAGCATGTTATTGTTGGCTGTTTTTGGCTTCTATTGAGGCAGTTTCACAATCACAGATCAGATCTTAAAGGAATGCACCATTACTTGGATTAATATATTCTCCTTATTTTTGTTGCAAACAATGAGAAAATCGAAATGTGAGTGATTTTATTTTTTTAACACAGCTTTGTTGTTATTGGTATGATCCCAAGCAGCTGGATGAATGCTTATCTGAAATCGGTCTGTATCCAAATGGCTCTTTAGTTTAAACAAACAAAGGTTAACTGCTGACTGTGCAGAAAAGGCAACAACATGTTTTATTGGTTCCTGCTTTATAATCAAGTCTGGTTTTAGAGAGGATTTGGACTCAACATTAACATACAAGACAGTATTTTTATTATCATTTTCATTTCTACTCAAATGAGTTTTTTAACCCACAGAGATTAAATGAGTTTAATCTCCACTGTCCTCAAATGGACCGGAGTGTTTAAATTAAAAGATGGGAGCAGACATGTTTTGTTTTGTTTTGTAACCACCTCATTATTAAAATTTCACTTAAATTACCTGAACTCCTCCAGAACTTCACAAGTTTTGATTTTAGGATGTTCACTGACAGAGGCATGCTAGCGTATAACAGTCAGGTTTCCTTAAATAAAGTTTAACTTCTAACATTGACACTAATGAGGATTGACAGAAAAGGACAAACAGTGAAGTATCATCAGCATACAGTGATACATGATGCTATATGTTTCGTATAAGGTTATTATCGTAAATATTGACAATAGTGATATTATCATATTTTGTTCAAAGTAAATGGAATAGATTTGGACAAAGGGCTTTTATTACAGACAGAGGTCTTTAGTGTAACATTGACTGCACTTTCTTAAAGCTTGCTTGAAGTCTTTTTTCAAACATTTAACAACCTGCGACAACTTTTTATTCACCTGCTGATTACTAATATTCTGGCGACACATGTTTATGCTCTTCAGATATTATCCTGAACAAATTTTGCTACAAATGGTGAAAAAAAGTAAATTTTAGAAACAATTCTGATTAAGAAACCCCCCCTCTTTTGATAATCTGGATAGATGAAGCTGTTATTTAGTGAGGATGGAGAAGATCATTGTCAGGCGACACACACTGACTGTTGTTTGGAGGAAAAGTGGACAAGTTGCTTTTCCGTTACCTCAAAAGAACCCTCCGTTCAGCATGAATCCACTTGTTGTTAAAATACCACACAATGGGGGCGATTTATAGGCGAACAAGCAGGGGCATGTCCAGACCCGATGGACTCGGTTGGCCCTTTCCCAACACTCACACTGACTCTGCTGGTGTAATATTACATATGTGAACCCAAGATAAACAAAACAGTTTTTACATTTCAGTGTCTTGGTCATGTAAACTTTACTGATTCATCTCATAACGCTACATTTACAGGTCGCTTGTTCATACTAACGATATTCAAATGGTAAAAGTCAGTTTAACTTCTTGTTTATTGTGTTTCAGGTGACCCAAAGATAACCACAACACCAATCCCGACTCTAACAAGTAAGTCTGTCTAGTGCACCTGCATGAATAAATGAAGGTCTGGTGTTTGTTGCAGTAACGTTGTCATAACAGAGCATGAATATTGCTGTACATGGACTTTAGCCAATGACTTCTGACACAGTAAAGCTTATTCTATAAAGCATGTCTTCATCAAACTGTTGAGGAGAAAAAATGTTGTTGTTTTTGTCACATATGTAATGATGGCGGTCTGGTCTTTCAGATGGTCACACGACTATTTCACAAGAACCCATCTTTACCGTCACAATCAGTGAGTTCTGCGTTTGCATGATTCAGATGAACAGTAAAAAAAATCCAAATTACTAATTAACTAATACGTCACTAGTGCTAATGATGTACCTGAAACACTGTTTGGATAGTTTTTGAGGGTGATCCTACAATAATGGTAACGGTAGCTTGAAGAAGTCATATTTTAGGGTTGCCGAAACACGCCAGTGAAGGTCGGACCAAGAGTTTTCTGGAGGTAGTAGTTTATTATTTGGAAGATGCCCTAAAAACAAAAAAATACTAAAAAAAAAGTATGGGATGAAAATTAAAATATTGAAAGGCACTAAACTAACAGCGAATTACAACTCACTAACAATCTAAAGTCTTACTTTGCTAGATTTGAAACAAGGCTCGACAGTGCGACCGTCGCATCAATTGCATTTGCGACTGAAAATAGATGTGTGCGGATTGTAAAATGTGTTTAGGGACACATGTGCGCATAAAAAAACATCAGGCGAGGCAACAAATGTGTTTTCATGTAAATACCGCGGTGAAGTTAGTTTTAGGTTGGACATCCGACAGAGATTCACTGCGAATCTACCAATTTCTTCTCACTCTCCACAACCCGGAATAGCAACAGCAGCGCGGTTAAATCTACTCGGCACCCTCGCTGTCAAAGTCAGGTGTTGAATAAGGGACCATCAATAAATTACAGGTTGATTTCCTTCAACAGCTTCCATGACCAATTGACTTAAAATTGATTTCAAATAGTGGTACTAAGGTCGGACAATAAGACACACCTCTTTGTTTCCCTAATTTGTCCTCTAAAAATGTTTGTGTTAAATTTAAAGGCAAATTTTGAACTTTTCCTTTAATAGCTTCCATGTCATGTGACCGACTGACCTAAAATTGATTTCAAATAATAGTACTTATGTCGTCCAATAAGAAACACATTAATTGATTAATTTTCATCCTGCCCCTAAAGTTCTTTGTGTGCTCCGTACTTTTTAAACTTCAGAGCACATGTGAAAAAAGTTGGTGTCAAGTCCTGTGAAACCACAGGAAATAGCGTTTGATGGTCTGATATATTTAAAATGTCAAGTGTGTGTGTCTAAAAAGCCAAGGGACAGAATGAGCACACTAACAAGCTGACGACTGCCGGGATAAAAAGTAGAAGACATCGATCTGAATCACAAGAAAATAAAAGCCCTAATCTTCACGTTACAAAGAACACAAAAACAGAAATTTAGCCCATAAATACATGTGATGCAGATGTCAAATCAAAGGAAATGGCTACTAAAAATCGTGATATCAGTCTCAAACACGATAACTGTGGTTAGAATTTTTGTCCAAACAAATGTTCAACAACTTAGCTAGTTTAAACGTGTGGTTTAGCGTGGACTACACCTTATCTTAGGAAACAACTTACGCATCCTGGTCTTGAAACCTCATCTCAGTCTATAAAGTATTTTCCGAAGAATTAGCGTTGAAGGTGTTAAGGCTGTTGTCAGTATTGATATTTTTGCCCTATTTTTTGTTAGCTCATCCTGCTTTCCCTCTCTGGCCCAAAAGGTGTGTCACCCCTCTCTCTTATAGCAGTGGTATTTGGTAGTAGTAGTAGAGATAGTGTGACTCTTAGCATTAGAAGACTAAACAACACTGAAGTTAACAGTATTAACAAACTAACACATCAGCATGCTTTCTTTTTGTTTTTTTAGAAAGAAAACCTTTCAGCACAGCTCACAGGCAGAAACTGTTTACAGCAGTAGTAGTGGGAGTATCTGAGGAGATGACACCAGCAGTAGTACTTGCGGTCATGATCTCCGCGGTATCGAAAAATATATTTGTGTTTTCTTATCAGCAGCAGCCTCCACCTCCAGCCTGCAGATGACTCAGACTATTATACCCCCAACTACAGTGACTGCAGGAGCAAACAGCACAGAGCCCACTTCCCTCATGTCAGATCAATCACAGGGTAAATATTTAACAGTCACACTTACTACGCTCGCCTTTGACTGATGTGGATCAGTTTTGATGGTTTTTATCGGCAGATTAGCAGGAACTGGATCTGGGTTTGGATGAATAAAACAAAGAAAAATCGCTGTATGTGATTTTATTCTGTCTTGATTAATGAAGTTGACTTGTGTCAGCTATATAAATATTACAGAATTTATGATTTTTTTGTCGTTTATTTGAAATAACAAAAAGAGAAGAAAAAAATGGAAAAGTAAAGAGCAAATAGAAACCATAATGTTATGTATTAAATGCAGTACAATTTTATGTTTCATGTTATAATAACAGTAATAATGATACTTTTATCAATGAGATAAAATATAAAAGCAAAGCAGCTCACAGGTGTAGTTATAGAAAGCCACAAACTGACAAATATGTCTAATTTAAAGCCAAACAATATGTACAGAGCCCCTCTGGTGACATTAGAGAAAAAAAAAACGTATTAGTGGTGACGAGTTTGTATCTCATGGCCAGTATCTCTTGCTCTTGTATTACAACTTGCAGACGGTCCCTGCACACTTGCCCGTCTACCAGCTGCGCATAGAGATCAATATTATTCATCCAGCTTGAAGAACGGTTTGTTTTTGTAATAAGTCGATTTTTGATTCTTGTAGCTTGTAGTCTATGCAACTACAATGATCTTTCATTGATCCCAGAAGTCTGAATCTGTGAATATCTTATCAACTTTACCGAACTCTGTGAAAGTAAACTTGATTAGTCCCTCAGATCGACACCTGCATTGACTCAAGTGCACAGGGACAGAGGATGACGTGAAGCCGGACATGTCAGTGTTGGTAATGCTGAATGAATGAGGGGAGGTTTAGTGTCCTGGATAGGTGGGCGGCTGAGGCGTCAGGGTCCAGAGCTGCAAGAATCAAACAAACTTCCTCTAAATCCCCCCGGCAGATCCCGCTACTTAAGTTGAATTATCTCCAAAGTCACCAGAGGGGCTCCGTAAATTTGTTATATAGAAAAAATCCAAAAATTTAGTTTTCTTTTTCATTCTATTGACATGATGCTTATATGGCACCTCAGACCCCCTATTGATACTACTACGATTTTGTTTCACATGAGTTTGTGGAAACATGGAAATGTTGACCCAAAAAGTCCCCAGAACAAAGCCTTGGGGAACCCCACATGTCACATTCACGTACGGTCAATGACTCAGAGCCAGGTACCATAAAACACTTCCCAGTTTTCTAGTTCGTCAAATGCAGCATTGAGATCCGTCCGTACCAAGACTGAAACTTGTCTACTTCTCTGAAAAGCTGAATTGTGATCTCGACTCAAAATGCCACAACAGTTCAAGCAACAGCTGAACAATCAAACCTTTTTTTTCTTTCAGTTACTTTTTGTATTTTCTCTGTAAAGGTAGTTAATCTGTACTGGTGTGTTTTATCAACATTTACATTTTTCTTTTTTTTGAAACCTCTATAATGAGTAAGTTGGACACATATATTAAAGCGGCTCACTAAGGCGGACTTTGGACCCGTGCAGTTCCCTGAAGTCCCCTGAGGGCATGAGTTAACAGAAACCAAACTGGTCTCATCTGGTTCTCTGTTGCTGATGTCTGTGGGAACCAGTTGTTTATGAATTTGATCCAGTTGAAAACCCCCAAACACTGTCTGACTTTTGAAAACCTTATATTCATCATCGTTTCTCTCCTCAGGGACGGTAGAGTTTGGGACAGGAACAACAGAGGGCAAGACAACATCAACCTCAACCACTGCTGGGCCTTCCAACAACAGCACGCATAATACCCATGTGTTGAATGGTAAACTCAAATTTCCACATTATCAATGAAGATAACAGGAAAATACAAATTGACATTTTATTAAAGATATTTTTCTTTATTGACAGAACAAAGCAGTGGGACAGCCGCCGGGGTAACCTTTGCTGCTCTGGCAATCATCTGTGGTTTGGTCGGATTAAGCGTCTGGTGTTTTAAGAGGTAAACTGGAACTATCAGCACATTTTAATATTTGTACTTATAGAACGGTGTCACACAGCACTTCTATTGTTTCTATTTATTTTCCTTTATTTTTAAAGGAGGTCACAGAGCAACAGAGCGCTGCCCCCCACAGAAGAAGAGACACCCATGAACGTGGTTCAGTCTCAGTAGGTGATGGAGTGTTTGTTCTGATCGTGGAGATCTCCTGGGAATATCTCCACTCTGTGAGGATCCGGTTGTTTCCTGCGCTCGGGACCTGTGACTGCATGATTGACCTGTTTGATGTTCTGTGAACATAACCAGTGAACACGCTTTCTGAGACCTCAAGACTCTTTTAATAGGAATCAATTTCCTTACATATGATAAGGAGAAATGGGGACGAAGGGAGGATGACGTCCAGAAGACAACAGATGTTGGGTTCAAAGCCTGATCCTGCCAAAAGGACTTGGCCTCGATGGTGCAGGCTGTGTGGCATGAGCTACCGGACCACAAGACTCGAACCATAATGGTCTTAATTTTGGTGATTGACCTGGTGTTTAATCAAAGCTTGACTGATTTTTGGAAGTTGAAGGCTATTAAATTAATTTTATTCAGTACAAAGTCAATATTGAGTCGACATTCAAACTGAACAGCTCAATTAGCAGAATAAGTTTACAGTACCTATTCAGGAATTTTGGTTTTATCTGTATTTCTCAGTGTCAACCTTTCCTGCATTTTAATTCTTCGTACCAGAGTTTCTTTTTTTTATTGTTTGTAAGTATTAAAAACACATTTACAATCTGCACTTCAACTGTGTGATGACTTCTTTCAAAATGAGGATATGGGAACCACAGTGAATTCCACAAAAGCCTACAGCGTCAAGTTCTCGTGACAGACTGAACTTGTGTGTGAAAATAAACACGCTGTAGTCGTTAGAGAGACAAGAAACATGTGGAGGAAGTGGGGAAATAGCATTCATGAGATCATATCATGAGTGGGAGTTGGTTGTACAGCTAGTGTAGTCTTTGTGCATGTGGTTCCTGGGGACTCTGCAGTGTTTACTACCACTACCATGGTTAATTTGTGCCAACTTTGGCGCCCCCTGTGGACACAGCAGTCTTCACAAAGCTTGTCAGCTGATAAACTTGAGTTATTTAAGACAAATCTTATCCCGCTGACTTTAGATTCAAGATGAATTTTAGTCTGTTTTATAAACGTCAAAAAACTCCTTTAATACTCTAGAGCTGTCACAGCACACGGGTATTGACGCTTACCCGGGAATTCCACCGCATCCAGAACGGCGCCGATTTTCGCTGTACAACAACTCCTACCAGATCCGTTTGTGAGGTGAATTTTGTGGCGGATTACAGAGAGCAGGAATCGTGAGAACTTACAAGAACCCACGGAGCTCACAAGGCTAAGCAGTAGATTGTGTCCTTCCAGAGGAGGAAATCTACTTCTAGACTTCTAAAATCAGCATGTCCTCATCCATGGTGTCATCAGGGTGAAATACTGTCTAGAAGCGATGGGCTCCAATTGGTTATTCCTCATGGCTGTGAAACGTCATCGTCTGTCAGGTTAGGGTTGGGGTTAGGATTAGGATTAGTGTTAGGAGATTCAGAAGTGCAATTATGTTCTTTTCGATGTACAGAGCCGACAGGCCGCGTTTGGCTTGAGCGTGTGATGACGTTTCCAGCTTTTCTAGCCAATTAGAGGCGGGACTTTCCCCTACCATTCTAAAAAATATATATCACGTCCAGAGATCCGCAGCGGAATGGAAAGAAGCTGGTGGAAATTGACACATTAACTTGAATGGTTGCGATCAGCTACGATCTGTGGATACAGCCTTTTTGTAGCCGTTCCGGATGCGGTGGAAATTGGGGGTAACCGTCCTCTCAAAAAAATCTAATATCTTGATATTGTGCTAAAAATAAGCACACAGGAAAACCATGAGTTCATAACTTCCAATATACCTTAAGTTGTGTACTTCAAAATAAAAGCACAGTTTGACCATGCAGAAAATCTGGCGACCCAAACACAAGACAGAATAGAAATCAAAATAAAAGCTTGAAAATCATTTACTGGACGATAACTGTGAGAAGAAATTTCTATATTCTGACAGCCCTCTTAATAAGTTTAAAGACTCGCAGTTTGACTTCTACTTTAATTTAAAAAATATCACTCTTATAGGACTTAGTTAAACGTATCAACAAACCTGCTAATAAGGAGAAATAAACGCTTGAATGATAACTGTTACTATAGCCCCCTTTATTTATTCCTTACCGAGCCGTGAAAAGGTAAGCAGGTTAGCTAAGTGGCTAATGAAGTGCCGACCTCAATATTTAAGGGCCATGACTACGAGCAGTAAAGTAAGCTAGGCTAGTTAGCAGTTAGCTGACTAATTTGCCTGTGACTAATCATGTCTGACTATCTCTCTTTTGTTTTACAGTGTTTTTGGCACACAGCGCCGGTCAGCTGTTTGTTAAGCAGGTGAACTTAAAGGGCATGTTTGCTGAAGCGTTAGCAAACATTGGCCTGGTTACCGGAATAGCTATGTTCAATGATAAATAAATTTATCAGCATATGTTTGTCCAGCCTTGTCCTAAGGTTCACCTAAACCCACGTCACATTAAATATTGTACTTTGTCAATTATTAGTGGGATTTATCCTTGAAAAAGTTTGTCTGCTGAGTTTTAGAGAAGAGTACAAGACTGCACTGATTGATGGAGGAAGTGAGTTTGCCTCCAGTCATAATGTAAACCTTATATTTATTTATAGATAAACTGGAAGTAGATACCCAAAGCAAGATCTTTTATCTACTTAAAGCTCCTGTGAGGAGTTTGTGGACTTTGATTCAGTAAGCTGAAATTCATCTTGATGTCTTTTTATGACTTAAAAAAGCAAACAAGACCATCAGTGACGAGATTGACCATGGTTATAGTGTAATTTTTTTATGATAAGTAAATGGCTGCTTTGCTGGGGAATGCCTCCCACCTTTTGTGGAAGGAGGGAAGTTTTAAAGAGACAGTTGCTTCAATCTTAATGCAGAAATTAAACAAAATGCAGAGAAAATTTGATTTTTTGTTCAAGAGAAAGAAAGATGCAGCAGATGATGATACTGTGGCATCAGAGTCGGCACTTTGTTAAACTTGGTTGTGCTCCTCTTGTACAAATCCTACAGGTACAGTACCTTATCCTACTTTCACCCCTGATCTTTAACTTAAAAAGTGACAGACTATTATCAGTAGTAACACACTGCAGTCAGATCCTCTCTCCTCCTCATGATTCCTACAATCACCTACAACACACTCATGATGTTCACAGTGTTTACATCTTCAGGTCGGGTGTTTTCCCGTTCTGCAGAGAGACTGATAGCTCAAACTGACCCCTATCATAATCTGAATGATGAGTTCTCAGGCACTTAATCGCCCAACGCTCAAAACCAGGAAATCAAATCATAAACTAAAGGAGGAAACATATACAAGAAAAGGGAAACAGCAAAGACAAGGGAGTGTCCAAACGAGTAAAATCCAAGACTAAGTGATAACAGACAGGAAATCAGAGAAGAAGAGAGCGGTTGTTTTTAATCAGAGGATTTGCACTTAATGGTTGGAGGTTATCAAACATCACAGGAGCTTCTTCTACCGTCTTCTCACACAGAGGATTTTGATGTAAAATCTGACTGCTTGATGTCTTGAATATTCCCACGTCTGCACAGTCTCATTACGTTAGCATCACACAGCTATCTTGAGTCATATTGTTTCTCATCTTGAGTGTTTTCCTGACTCCTTTTCTCCTTCCTCTGTCACTTTGTTTTTGTTTGACTTCTCTATTTCTCCCAGACATGAGACTTCCCGTTTAACCTCAGACACTTGGACACACAGCTGCTCATGCACAGGGGGGTCGTTTGTAAAAATCAGGAAACACGTGTTGGCGCTCAGAGTCAAAAAAGTGTTTTTGTTTTTGCTGGAGTTTTTCTCAATGTGACAGTAAATCCTCACAAAAGATTTTTCCAGAAGGACGGTGTTGATCAGGAGCAGATGTTTGGCAGCGAGAACTCAAACTGACCTTAGCCAGTCCTCAGTGTTTGTCTGGCGCAATGTGGGGGAACGTCAGCGCCGTGAGACTGAGAGGACTGTCAAACAAAGCAGATTCAAGAAGTTTAGGGGAGTTTTACAAGGAGTGGAGGAGCTAAAAAAATATGACTTTTTTCTCAAATATTTGAACTTTTGTCCCATCGGTTCAAGTTTTATACTCTCTCAATATCATGATTCACTTTCTCAAACTTCTTTTTTCGTGTTATTTTGACTTTTATTCCTCATGATAACAACTTTCTCAAAATATTGACTTCTGATTTACTATCGTGTCATTTTGACTTTTGATCTAATAACCATGAATTTTATCTCAAAATTTATGACTTTTCACCAGTACTTTTACAAATTTACCTTTTAATTATGGCTCATAATGTTTAATAATTTTGATCGATCTCATAATTTGAATTCACGTCGTAATTTTAACTTTCAATCCCGAATAATAACTTTTATGTAGAATTTAAAAAATGACATTTTTTCCTATTTGTTTAATAAAAATTTGACTTTCCCCCTCTATTTCTGAAAATGATGATTAACTTTTTCATAATTCTTTTATTTTTTATAATTACGACCATATAAAAATTGTTCTTTTTATCTTATTGCTTTAAATTTTGACCTCTCTTTTCAGATTCATATCTCAGAATTGTAACTTTCGATCTCAATTATGACTTTTGTGTAAAAACAAAAAAAATGACTTTTTTTCCCCAACATGTTTCATAAAAATTGATTTTTTCCCCCTCACTTTTCACCTCTATTTCTTAAAATTATAATTCACTTTTTCATACTTCTTTAATTTCTTTTCATTATGACCATCTAAAAATCGTTGACTTTTTATCTTATCGCTCTCTAACAATTTTGACTTTTGTTTTCAGATTGTTTTCAGACTCATAATTTTGACCTTTTCCTAATGCTTTGACCTTTTAATTACAGCTCACAATCTTATTATTTTGACAATTTATCTCATAATAATAAATCAATTCAAATTGGTTTCATCTCAAAATTGACTCACTCTCTTATTTTTGACTATTTTCATAATTATTTTGACTTTTTATCCTATAATTTTAATCTTTCTCTTATGCTTTGACTTTTTACCTTGTAATTATCACTCACTATCTCATAATTGAGACCTTAATAATACATAAATTTTTTTAATTACTGAGTAGCATTCATTTTTCAGCAAATTGCAGAATAATCTGTGTTTTACATTCATATTGTCAAAAACCCTGATTCCTCCTGTGTTTTCAGCATCATGGAAATCATAAGGTCCCACTTAAGGTCAGGCCAGCCAGCAGTTCTGCCATCATATTTTAATACACAGCAATTTCACACGTTCAAACAGCGCTCTCCGGGTAAACCTCGGGTCTGTAAATCTGGTTTCTGGTTGTTAGTAGTTGTTAAAGGTTAAGAGACTTTTTAGTTCCAATGACAGCACCGCATTATATTTTTTATCAAAACGTACAAATGATTTAGAATCACGTAAAAATATAAGACAACAATCGTGTTCTTTTCATTCTCTCATAAGGTTCAGTTCACATCCTCCTCAGAGTTTGTCAGATCAGCTGAAGGTCCTCCGCTGTATTTAGGTTCAGAAAAGTCCCAGGAGCATCAGGTGGTGGACCTGGACACCGAGTCTCTGCGGGATTTCAGCCATGGAGAGCACGCCATCGTTCATTAGGTAGGCGATGGGTCCGCTTCGCGTCCACACACACCTCTCGCACAAAGGACCGCCAGCAGATACACAGTCAGTCTGGACGGAGACAAACGAGGAAGAGTTAGAAACCTCAGAGGAAACGAGTCTGAGGCTTTTACAGCTCATGTGTGTTTATATCTTCAGCTGAAATAAACTAACCCTTCAAGATTTACAGCACAACCGTCACAAAACGATATTTAGATTGAACTGCTGATACTCTGGGCAATAAAACACACCGTACTCTGATAGTACAGCTCATCAATCTGGATTACAGCTTTGCAGGCAGAGTAACTCGACATGTTTAATATTTTCTTACACATTTCAACTCCCGTTTGCTCATGATGAATGCTGATCCAGGCGTGGTGCAGTTTGGACACTGTGTCACGCTGCATGGGAGAGGATCGCCTGTTTTCATTAACGACGCAGGCATGTCTGACTTTAGGAAATATTCCTGGATGAAAGGAAGAGAGGAAAAGATCAAGACTCTGGTTAGTTATACATCAAAACTGAGAGTTTGATCACATTTCACTGTTCTGTTCTTAGTTGTTTGTCATAAATCTGCAAAAATATTATCAGCGTTACCTAAAATATACTCAACATAATCAAGGTAACCTGGTGAGGTGCAAACAGGTATGCAGATGAGAGTCAGTGGTGGTAGTAAGTAAAGATGAAAAAAAAACAATACAAACAGATATGTTAAAAAGTGGCCACAAAATAAATAACTAAATAGATAAATAAAATTGACAATGAGGTAAAAAGTTCTTTGAACTCTTATAACTTCTCAATTTTCTGGGATTAGAGTCAAATTTCAGAATTTTTTCTCAGAATTTTTTGGATTAAATAGTGTAAATTCAGATTATTTTACAAAAGACAAAAATGTTCCTTTTTCTGGTTACATTGATATCAAGGATATAATTCAGACATTTTTTTCTAAATTAAGATTAAAGCCATAATTCGGACCTTTTTATCAGATTTTTAAGATTAAGAGATTCCATTCTTTTTTCATAAAAATCTGACATTAAGTCAAAATTCAGGCTTTTTCTCCACATTCAATATTTCCTCACAGAAAAAAACGAGTTTAAAATCAGAATATAAACCTTAATCCAACACTCAAATTTCTAGAAATATTGAATTTTTAGATTAAAGAATTTCATTTACAAATTCAGTTTTTTCCTCTTAAGTCAAACTTTTTTAGATGAATCTATAGTTAGAACTTAAATAAAAATTAAAAAAAACAGTTATTTTGGAATTACAGTCTAAAAATTGTTCTACAAATTTTGAAATTAAATACATCAAATTCAGACTTCAGAGATTCAAGAGATTAAAATCCAGTCTCTTTTAAAAAAGTCTGACTTTAAAATCAAAATTATGGGCTCAAAGTTAGAATTCTGACTATTTCCTCACAAAATGTTGCTTTTTCTAAAATTTTCACTTTTTCCCAGAATTCTAGGATGAGAAAAAAAGTTGTACATCAGAACTCATTGATGAGTTCACAAAATTCATTTGTGGTCCTCATCTGCTTTAGTTTGTAACAGTGCAGTTAGTAATAATAATGTAGGCGAGTTTAAAAATGTTACATGCGTAGAAAAGCACTCAACATAAAAACTGAATATCAAACTCATAACCACGGCTCCTCATTAAGCTGATTGATAAGTTGCAGCCGGCACTCTAAGCTTGCAGAGCTCAGACAATAATGGAGGGACAGAGAGGAGCTTATTCCCAGCGGTGCATCCAAGAGATAACAGAGCAGCACTTCCATCCCACTAACTGTGGGTACAAAAACAATGCAGGTTTTTTTCCCTCCTCTATTAAAGCAATTTCCTCCTACCGTGCACAACAGAGAAAAGCCACAATTCAGACAAGAATGAGCTCATGACTCCCTCTATAGTTATTTGATCTGAAGCTTCAAACACTCTCTGATCTGTTGGCTGCAAGCTTTTGAATCTTACTGTCCTTTTGATGCTGCCGCCTGAACTGGACTCAATTCACCACATGTGCTCAACAGATACTGCCTATAATAAGGGTCAATTGTATGTTACATAATAGGCTAAACTATAAGTAAAACTGACTCTGTGTTTTGCACATCAAGATCAAAAATGTAGAGTTTGAAGGACTAGAAGTGAAACACGGATGTTCAGAAAAAGAAGTTCAAGATAAGGGATTTGAGAGCAGGCAGCTACAAGTCTTGATGAAGCAGAACAAACTCTCCAACTCTCTGTCGTAGATGTATATTCATGCAGATATCCTTACTGTGAAAGAGTGAGAGACTTAAATCGATAACGTCTTACCCCTGCCATTGTGAGGATGCGGCGGATGTTGTTTGTGATGATCAGTGAGGTTCTGGCACGAGTCACCGCCACGTAAAGCAGGTTCCACTCATCGTCAGGAAACTGATCTGAGCAGGAGAGAGAAGTAATCGAGAGTCAAACACTGGCTGCTTATCTAAAATTTCTCCTCAGGGCTTCTCGGTTTATTTACAGATTCAGATTTATCCATAAAACACCTTAAAAAAGTTACAGAGCAGGACTTTTTTTAACTTTTCAGAGCACTTTGAGGAACTACGTCTAACAGCTTTGAGCTCCTCCTGTACGGGACAGAGTGAGAGGGTCTGCTGACGGATGTGGACCCACCGAAGGAGAAGTCTTCACAAACTGTGTGCAGATGGTGTCTGGAGGAGGGAATCTTGGCAAAGTCATCGGTGACCATTACGGTGTCAAACTCTAGACCTTTGGCTTTGTGGACCGTTCCCAGGATGAAGTCTGGAATGAAACAGGACACATCAGGACAAGACAACAGATGACAGATTCCCTTTTCTTAAGCTGCCTCCAGGGGTGTCCCCAACTGATATATGATACTGATATCGGCACAAAATTGCGCGTGACAAGTTTTTCACTCAGCTGCCACGTCTTTTTCAGACTTAAACAAAAAATACTGTCACAAGGCCAACATCACTCTTACTCCTTGTTGCTTTGTTCGTACCTTAGCTCACACTGTTGTTGTGATTTTGTGGCCTCAGCTTGCTGGATCAGGGTGCTGCGAGATAGAGATGCCGGAGTGGAGTCTGGAATGGACTGCTTGTATCGGAATGCTGATATTGGAAATTTTAGATGCAGGCAGATGTAATCCGATATTTGTTTTTTTGCTGATATCCGATATCAATATCTGATCGGGACACTCCTTGTTGCCTCATTTTAACACCAGGAAGCTACTGCCGTACAATTATCTCTGTCACATCAAGCAAAAGCAGGCCAAACATTCATCCAAGTATCCTCCTAACGTCTTTCTAAGATACCAGTGCACATTAGCCGATAATAAACAAACCTGTGATTCTGTGAAAACTCCCGTAACAAGTTTTTTAACAGTTATGAAACAGACTGAAATTCTACTTTATTCCCATTTATGACAAACAAGGTCATCATCGACGACATGTGCAGTTTTCATACTGTTATCTTGAATGTCTGTTAAGAAAAAAAACGACTGTTTTTCTGTGACCTTGAATGACTGACAGCTGCTGTGGATGAGTAAGAAGAGCAGCTGACAGAGTGACATCAAACCGAGAGAAACCGCTGAGAAACAACTACACACTTCTGTCCCGGGGCCAGGAAAAAAAAAAAAAAAAGAGGATGTAAGAGTTTGGAAATTCCACTGAAACTCCACACCCCCTCACATTTACTGACAGTGAATGTGGCATGGTAACAAAAGGACGGGAAGTTTTAGGAGGAGCGGTAAATACATAATTCTCCATAGATGTTTTTTAAAAATCCAGAAAATTTCTAAAAAAATGTTTACATTGTGTCAAAGATACTTAACAAGGAAGAAGACACCATAGTAAATAGAACAAGTGGATTTTGATGAAGGATTTGGACTTTGATATGTCAGTGTAGTCCTGGATTTGTTTGGGGAGGGAGAAAGCCCGGTCCTCCTCGGGTTTGGTTCTTGGTCCTCAGAGCCGGAGGGAGAAGGTGTGTAAGGAGCGTAGGGGTGGAGCAGATCAGTGATGTAGGAGGGGTCCTGATTATGGAGGCTGTGAGGGGTTTTAAACTGAACGCATTGGTGAACAAGGAGCAGATGGAGGTTTTGGAGGACTGGAGGGATGTGTGGAGGAGGCGAGCGGCAGAGTTTGGGATCTATTGTAGTTAACTGATAATAGATCTGTTTCTGGGAGAGGTGTTTGAATAAGTCCTTAAGCACAATATTGCATTAATTTTCTATGTTATAATCTAAGAATTCACAAACTCCTTATTTTTCCTCACCTGCTTTGGTAAAGTCTTGTTCGTGGCACTGTTCCAGACGGTTCACCAGCTCTGGGAATCGACTTTTGTATTTTTCAACAATGCTGAGTTTGGAGTCCAGCTCCTTGTCGTCAGTCTGCTTGGCGAATGTCCTCAAAGCCCAGAGGCCATTAGTGTCTTTCTTTTTTGCAAAGTAGCGGATTAGAGGGTCCTTGATGTCTGAGGACGGAGAAAATGTTGTGTGTCAGAGAAAAGGTGTTTCTAAACGAGACGAATAAAAAAATAACTTGAGAGTTAGTTTTGTAATTCTCACATCGTGGTCGCTGCCCTTTCTTTTGGGAGGCGTCCTTTGCCCCTTCGATCAGCTGCCAGATGTCCAGGATCTTGTTCAGGCCGATACTTTGGACCCCCTGAAGGAGAAGGGAGATATGTAGCACAGCTCACCAAAACCCTGTTCTAAACCCTGTCGCAGTGTACGGACTCGGAAACAAGAGCTTTGATATTTTTGCTTGCTTACTATAATCAGCCAATATATATATATATATTATATTATAATATATATTAGGCTAAATGGGACCTGATGAGTGTAAAAACAAAGAATGATCTTTTTACATGATGTAGTTTCTGAGAAAAATGATGTCCACATATGAGGACATTCGTTTTAAATTTTGAGAGAAGGCCCTTGTGAACAAAATTTAATATTGTGTTCCTGACAACCAAAAGTGTGATGTCCACACATGTGGACGCCAGGTCTTAGGAGGTTCAAGCACAAATAGAGTCTGTAAACAAACACTCACTCCTACGAAGTGGAGACGGCACTGCTGGTTGGCATCAATGAGTCGGACGGCTTCGTTAAACACGCTGAGGTTACATCTCGACAGGATGGCAGTCTGCCCCGGAGAATGACTGACGGCCTGTCTTATAGCTGCCGCCGCTTGTTCTGCGGTCTCGTCACACACACCGCCTACAGGATGCAGGAACACAACATCTCATTAAGATTACGTATCGATTTTAATCACCTTTGATGCATATGGTGATGTTTACCTTTCTGTCTTCCTCCCACTAAGATCTTCTTCACCCCTTTGCAAACTTTGAGGATGGTGGCGCCCACATAAGCGATCTCAGCACCAAACCGAAAGCTCTGGATGAACACATCAGCGGTTTAAAATTTAGACATGCAAACATATCTACAGACCAGTGGCGATTGCTCTAAGACTGCAAGGGAAGCTCGGCTTCCCTTAAAATGTCACCCCCCAAAAAAAGAAAAAGTGGTGAAATACGTACGGCTGTGTGTACATTTCATTAACTAAATACGCACTAGAAAGCCTTCATCTTTTGTTCAGACACTGTGATAAGAAGCTGATAATTACAGGTAACCGGCATAACTTCGTTCTCATTCATCCTCGCAGCGCCTCAGCGCTTTAAACAGCCGGACGCTGGGCTTCTGCTGACTTCAATGTGGAAGCTCAAAGTGGGTTGTTCCAGCAGCGAAACTAGACGCTCATTGGATAAATGCTGGGCTTTGTCCCGCCCATCGGAAGCCCAGCTTCACTGGAGTTCTATGGCGAGAGGGCGGTCCCGACTTTCTCCCGGACTCCAAGCTTCTGCATCCATGATTGGATGAGCTGTCTGAGGCGAAATCCTTTTTTGATTGACAGCTAAACAAGCGAATCAGCGATCTTGAAGAATAAAACATCTACCAGAGCATTTTCCTAGTTATTCATTCCGTTGTTCTTAACTGCTCCGGAGACCTTACCGATCCTCAGCGACTTTTGTCTTTGTTAAAAACGACTGCCGTTGTGTTTGGCGACTCTGTTCTGTTACATACTAATAAACAAATACAATTATGATGTAGGCCAGAAAAATGAGCTTCCCCTCCTTGAAAGACCAGCAGCCGCCACTGCTACAGACCTACACATAGTAAACACAAAATCGTATGTAACACTCGTTTGTCCCACTTCTGTGTTTGTATTACCTGTGTCAGGTAGTAGATGTGCGTGTGGTCGACGACTTGCAGGGCGTTGACGGCTCCTCTAAAGGTGTAGATCTGCTGGTGAGGATCTCCGACCAGAATTTTCCCGCAACGCTGAGACAAAAGCACGTCCATGATGGCTGCGAGGAACAGAAGATGAAAGTTGACGCAATTAACATCACAAATTAAGACCCAGTACAGCGTGAAACAGTCCCCTACCAGGAGTGCAGTCCTGGGCCTCATCAATGAAGATGACATCGTACTGGTCGGACAGCTGTGGTTTAGGGTCACTGAGCTGCCATAACTTCAAGTAACCTGAGAATGAAACAGAATTCCTGCTCAAATTCGTATTTCCTCTCAAAAACTGATTTTACTCACAACAGCTGGCTTACCGTCGTGGGTCATGTGGTAAGCGTTTTCTTTTTTCTCATCATAATCCTTCATTTTGTTCCAGATCACCCGTGCATCAGCCACAAAATACTAAGATTCAACATAAAAACACACAGCTTGAATGTGCTTTCGTCACGTTCATGCTCCTGCGGATTATTTCTCGCATTAATGTGTTCATACCGGTACTTCTCTCGGGTCTATTTCCGTCTTGTTGCCCGTCTTGCTCACTGTGGAGTGGGGGACGTGGCTGGGATCGATGGTCGGGTCCGCTGAAGCCAAGAAGGTGTTCAGAGTCGTGGCCACCACTTTGGCTTTGATGAAGCCGCCGCGGCCTTGAGGAAGAACGGAGCTGAGGGCCAGTAGATTCAGGTTGAAGGTCAGCTTTTGACGAATCTGGTAACTGCGAAGAGGAAAATCACAGGAGGGTGATAAGTTATCATATATTTATCAACCAAAAACATCTCTTTAAAACGTCTGAGGGGGAACGAAGGGTTCTCACTTCTTCCCCACGTCACTGAAGGCCAACGAGTGGGCGGTCTTACAGTCCACGTTTTTTGGAAAGCGGCGCTGAGCCTCAGTGGCCACTGACTTATTGAAGGCCACATACAGGAAGCGGAGATGCGGTCGCTGCTCGGCGAATTTCACCAGAGTGGTTGTCTTTCCTGTACCTATGGCGAAAAGCGATAATCTTTAAACTCTGACACTTTAACTCCACATCTACGAGGCTGTATCTACACTTCAACTATGATGCTGATTGGATTACTTGTTCAGATATGAATCATGTGGGTTTGAGTCAGTGGTTTCCTCTCTACCTGCAAAAGCCACGATCTTCACAACGTGGTCAGGCTGGATGTTGTGGCTGAGGATGTGCTGCTGTTCACCTGTGAGCTGCATTTGAGGCCGCCTAGTGGTAAAAAATGAAACAGAAAACAGTTAAAAGGTGGATTTCTACATAAACTCTTTGCATTAAATGAGTCGATTTTCTGAGACTTTTTTATCTTATTATTCCAATGAAAAAGATGTGTTTTGATCCTCACCCGCTCTGACCAGAGTCGACAGAAAACGGCCCGTTCTCCATCAGACGAAGTACGTAGTAGATGTTGTAATGCAACCTGTAAGGAGAGAAAGAAAACACTCAAAACAAGGTGGACAAGAAGTAAACAAGAGCTGAAACTGACCGCTTTTACCTGTCGCTAATCTGGATTTTGTTTCTCCTCAGTGCTAGCAGCATCATAGCCATGTGGTTAAGGTATTCAGTGATGGCGGTGTGTGACATGCAGACGGCGAGCAGGGACACCAAAGCCTGCACGTCTTCTACACCCTCGTTCAGGAGCAGGATGACTGCCATGGCTGCATAGGGGTTTGTACCCTGGAGATCAGACAGAAATGTAAAGACTTTATTCTCTTCTCTATATGATGACTTCTGTGTGTTCGTGTTAGCATGGCGTACCTCGATGCCAAGGTTAAAGCTCTTCTTAATGTCAGGAATGCACCGTCTGATGGAGGCCTCGGCCAGGGGGAAAAGACGATGTTTCTTAACGCGCTCCAGAACGTCCTCCGGCCTCACTCGCTCTACGACCTTGTACTGCGCCATATAACTGAGCAAAACACACAAAAACACCTTCATGACCAAAGTAGAAACAACCAGAAAGTTCCTCACTGGAGCTTTAATATCCAGTATATCAATAAGAAAGAAAAGACTCGGACTCACATGACAAGATTTCGTGCGCTGTACTCTCGTAAAACCGGATTTGTTATGTTGCTGTTTTTTAGGATTGAGAAAACCTCCACGACTGTCTTCTTCTCTTTCATCACGTAGCGGAAGTATTTCCTCTTAAACGGGACAAACTGCAGAAAAAGGAAGACAAGAGCACACTTTAAATTGATCCTAAAACTCATCCGCTCAAACTGAATAAAGTTCTGTGTTTCACCTTTATGTCCTCCACAATGTTCTTCCAGCGGTGGCAGACCCGGATGACACAGCGGTACAGGTCCTGAGCAGGGACAAATCCCAGTACGTGTCTAAGCACCTCCTCTGGAAGGTCATCCATGCAGCCCCGAGGTTCCTGCAGGACCTTGTTATCTCCCAAGAGCCCAAAGTGCTTGTCAGGGAGAGCCTCCACCACCTCATCTTCACTGTGAGTCTTTCTGTCGCCTTGATCAAAGTCCTCATCGTCCTCAAACATCTCCGCCGTCACTCCCTCCAAATAATCCACCTGATTCGTCTCGGGCTGCAGCATAACCGCTGCAGCTAACAGGCTTGCATCGTCCATCTCATCCTCCTCTTCTTCTTCTTGTACCACTGCCACTGCAGCGGCTAAAAGGCTAACGTCATCATCCTCATCATCATCATCCCATTCTTCTCTGGGAAAGAGTTCTGTGTGGGTTCTGTTTGTGGATGTGGAAGAGCAGGGCTGAGAGGATTTGTGCGGGCTGGATCTCAGGACCCCTGTCACTGAGAAGAAACTGTTGATGCTCTTCTGAGGACTTCCTGATGTGGACGCTGATGGTTAAAGAAAAAAAGAGATTAAAGGGAAATTTCAGTGTAAAATTAAGTTAGGGTCAAACATACCATAACACTGAGTTAGACACCCCCTCCAGAGATGAATGTTGCCGACTGCTTACTTCTCTAGTTATACCAACTTCAGTAATGACTGCAGATAGCAAAACAGAGAGCCAAAAAGCCACTCTATAGCACCTAACTCCATCAACAGTACATATAGGGTCCTAGCGACAGTACTAGCTATCAAACATCCTTTAATTTTGCCTGATTTCTTTAGCCAAGAGACTAAACACAACTCACCTACTCTCTTCCAGCAGCCGCTTGTTTGACCTCAGGCCAGTCCATTACAGACTACAGCTGGGTGACGCAGCTCAAGGAAGAACATTTATGATCATTACTTTATCATTTCCTTAAAATAATAATCGGGCAGCACAGTGGTGTAGTGGTTAGCACTGTCGCCTCACAGCAAGTAGGTCCTGGGTTCGAATCAGTGTCAGGGCGTTTCTGTGTGGAAACGCCTGTGTCTGCGTAGGTTTACTCCAGGTACTCCAGTTTCCTCCCACATTCCAAAAACATGCCTAAGTGGGGTTAGGTTAATTGGCCACTTTCAAATTGCCTGTAGGTGTGAACTGGCGACTTGTCCAGGGTGTCCCCTGCCTTTGCCCGAAGATGCTGGGATAGGCTCCCGTCCCCCGGGAACGGAAATAAGCGGTAAAAAATGGATGGATGAAGTGATAATCACCACAATAATCATTTTGCACTGCAGACGTGGTAGTTGTTCTGCCTTAGCGTCTCGCTCTGATTGTATTTCCATGAAGAAATGGTCATAAATGTTCTTCCTTGAGCTGTGTCCCCCCGCTGCAGTCGATGGACTCGCCCGGAGGTCTCCGTACAAACAAGCAGCTGCTGGAGGAAAGTAGGTGAGTTGTGTTTAGTCTCTTTCCTAAAGAAATTAGGCAAAGTTAAAAAGATGTTTGGTGGCTAGTACTATGGCTGGGACCCTATATGTCCTGTTGATGAAGTTAGGTGCTGTTCTGAGCATTATTTGTGGCTATAGAGTGGCGTTTTGGTTGAGTGTGTGGCTCTCTGTATTGTTGTTGTGCGGTCGTTACTAAAGTTGGTATAACTAGAGAAGTAAGCGGTCGGCAACATTCATCTCTGGAGGGGGTGTCTAACTCTGTATTACTGTGTGTTTGACCCTAACTTAATTTTACACCAGAATATCCCTTTAAAGCAAGTCCAGACCTTTTAATCTATCAAACAATAACTAAGAACAGATATAATCTAATTCCTTAAAAAGCCTTTATCAGAAGGATAAACAGAGATTACCACACTTGGGTCTCTTTCTGGGCGACCTGGGGTAAAGTCCTCGGTTTGGGTTGCAGGTACCCCGAGTCTGGTTGATGGTGTTGGGCTGGGTGAGGGGTCCAGTTCCCCCTGAGCTCTGTCCCAGTTCAACACACTCTGCTGCATCCAGGTGTCTGCGTTTGGCCTTTCCTAGGAGATGAGACAAAAAAAAGTTATTCCAGGTACCGTCCACAGATAGTTAAGACATGTTACACAGAGTTTAAAGGAGTTTGGCACCTCTGTAGTTTAATTCTGATTATTTTTCAGACACTAACAAGTGTCAAAGTTCACTCACCTTTGGCAGCCACCTCCATCTTTGTGTCTAGCTCATCCGTCTTTCAATAAAATCCTTAACTCGACGTCAAAAACGCTAAATTTTGTTTCCTTTTAGAGGAGCTGCTGCTGCTCACTTACTTTCATCAGCAAACGAACAAAACAAACAACTGAAAGCAGGTAAACGACGACTGTTGCTAACGGTATGTTAGCCTAACTGCTTCTTCTTCGTGTTTAAGTGCGGTTGGCCTCCAGCAGCCTAAATGCTAAACTAACAGCATTCTTTTCTATTTTACAGCAACCAACCTTTACCTTTACATCTCCAACGTGACAGAAAAAAACCCGAACATTTTGAACTTTTGTGGTTAATAAAATAGTTATGTTTTCAGTAGAGGTTCCGAAGTTTGTTTTGGTACTGAAGCGAAGTGATTGGGCGGCCTTTTCTTCGTCTTTTTCTTTTTGGCGGTCAGCAATCCAGCTGAAAGGCGCATTACCGCCGCTTACTGGACTGGAGTGTGGCTCTGGATTTAGACAGTTGTCCTTAAATTCTGTTAAATACATTTGTCTCTTTATAGTGATGGGCACGGCAGTTCTTTTAGATGTGCTGAATCACTAGAGTCAGTTCACTAAAAAGATCTGTTCGAAAGATTCGTTCACCAAATCACCTAATCATTAAGCAGGAGAAGCCTGTGACTCCAACCTACTGAACTGATACACAGCTGAACGGTTCAGGATTCAGTTCAGTTTTCTGCTTCTGGGACTCGGAGACGAGAGTGTTTGTCTGTGTTGCTTTGGCAAACAGGTTCGTAGAAATGAAGTTGTTTATAAGTCATGATGTTTTAAGTGTACTGTCCTATGGTATTGGGGTCAGTAAGTGATTCGTTCACTGAACGGTTAGAAGAATTCACACTGAACATGGACCGTTCCATCTCAAACCACTGCAATGATAGGATGCTGCGGGTTTAATGCACTACTTGTTACATGTTGTGTCATATTGTATGCAAGTTGTTGTGGTGGCAATGAAGCAGTTAAAAAAAATAAATAAATAAAAAAACATTGTTTTGTCCGACAAAAATGATTCCAGAGAAAGTGTAGTTCAATGCGTGATTCGTTCACCAAGTGATTCAGGCGTCGGTGCATGGACTCCCTCGTTCACCAGCTGCTCGACATGCAATGCTGTTCTCACTTCAGCTCAACTGAAGTAAGAAACGAACAAATCACTCAAGGAAGTGATTTGGTTCAGTACATTCACTTAAAAGATTCGGTTCTTTTGAACAAATCGTTGATGATGGTTTTGCGACTCAAATTATTCCTAAAACAATCATGAAATCATAACTATAGATCATTAATGTTTTTTTTAAACGTTAAAAATATTGTGTAATAATAATATTAACTCCTGCTTCATCTACAGCCAGGATAAACATTAAAATGTGCATTTACAACTCTACCTTCTACCTTACACCTTTCCTAGTTTAACAAAGTTTATCTATTTGTTCACACCCTGTAATTGAGAGCTACAAATCATGAAAAAATAGTGTTGATTTGATAGTCTCTTGGTTGTCTGTGAAATCTTGTTTCCTTAACTGTCAGCTAACCTTAGCCAGCAAGCAGCGCCCTGTTATCGCACCAACAGACAGCTGTTTTTTATTGTTTGTCACTGAAACCATTTTGGGTAAATTATGTGAAGAGATGAAACAGAAAAGTAAATAAGAAATACGTTAGGAGTGACTGACTGACACTAAAGAGAGATTTTTTTTTTTTAAGTCATCTCTAAATGTAAAAACTGTTTTAATTAGTATTTTCTGTGAGTGTGACTGAAACCTGACGGCTCTGCTTTTTGTCTTTTTGTCTGATACCACATAAATACTCACCTTAGCTGTGTTTGAGATCGATTTTAAAAGGGACAGTATTGGTTTTCCTAAAATGTGGCTCCCTTCAGTTGTAGACACACACACCAGCACACACGTTGCTCACACACACTCACTCACACTGATGACTAATTCAGGTGGAAACACCAAACTAATTAGGTGTCTAAGACAAACGTCTCAGCTGCAGAGAGGAGACTAATGCTTCACTCTGACACAGAGATGGACACCCTGCAGATCGTGAGTATCTACATGTTTGGACTATTTTAAAACCTGTTTGACAATTTTAGTTTTGACTCGTCCAGTTAAACAGATTTGTATCTATTTGTATATAAATTCAGGATCTAAAGGACTGTGTGCTTTTTCTAGTAGGAGGGAGGTTAAATTTGTCGGTTCAAGCTTGGTGTATTTGAGTCAAATAGTTGCTGTGTAAAAAGTAGCACCCCTGCTGCAGATACACCAGACTTTTGAGGGAATTAAGGACAAAAAATTAAGACTTGTTTGCTCAAAATGCACCTAAGAATAATTAAGGGAGTTCATCCGACTTCCAACCTCACTTTGATGACAATAAATGTAAATGAAGTCACTCTCTGCTGACGCTAACCTGGAGTCGGAGGTTTAAGGATTTAATCTCTTTTCTGTATTTGAATCTGTGAACTGTATATCATTACTCTGCAAAGTACAAGTGTAATGTTCCCAAGCTGACTAATCTCTACTCAGCTGTCCATGTGTGTGTGTGTGAGTTCAGTGGTGTCGACTGTCAGGTCAGAGACTGACGGACAGATGTCTGCTGTCACCAGGGAAACTGCGACAGGGGAACTTGTCTGTCTCTCTTCTCTTCCTCTGGACCTCTAAGAATGTGTAATTAACTGATACTCTATCCTCTGAGTGTGTGTCAGTGTGTTTGTGTGTCCAGTGTCCTGTATTCAGAGAGTTTATATGTCAAGAAAAACCTTCCCCGCCTATATAAAATTACACAAATGTGCCAAAACGGCATTTTTGCAGAGTATTGTTAGGTCTTGAATTGGGTCTGACTCGACTGTGGGAGAAATCCAGTCATGAGAGTCCTCATAAGTTTATGCGATTGTTCTTAGATTGTCGATTGTTTAAATTTTTAGAGCTTTGTGTTACATTACAGGCTTTTACACTGCTGTTTCAAGGCAGGTTGTTTCTACATTTTGTTAGATAAGGCAACAGAGGTAAGATTTGGAGGAGGTTGGAATAGTCCTGTCAGGGTGCAGTGTGTTAGTAAAAAGGCATTATGATGGTGGAGCTTCATTTCAGAGCTGTTGTGGAGTTTTAGTTTGTAAGAAACTGCATGTTCAGTACAAGCAGTTCCAGGATTTACCAACAGAGGGGGTGCAATCCCATATGTGTATTGAAAATGTAGGGCGTTTGCTTGTGAAGTGTGCCAACTCTATTCACTTGTTTTATGCAATTTTACTGTATTTTGTCATTTTACCCCAGTGTCACATTCAGCTGTGTCTAGAATAAAAGCCAACCGCTCTAGTCTGTGTAACCTGCTGTTCTTGTGTGTGATTCAGAACAAGATGGGAGGTCGTCATCTGTCAAAGATCCAGGAGGAGACGGACAGCAGGGAGCACAGGTAACTGAAACACCTGAGACACTCATTGCTTGAGATAATAAAGTCAACTTGGTGTTGTCGTCTAGAAATTAATCAATATATTGATAAAAACGTTAGAATTAAGTTTTTTTTTTCTTTTTTGTAAATGTAAGGTAAGTTTTCTTACTGACGGTGACAATGTCAATGACAAATTTACTGAAACATCAAAAAAATATTAGTTTTAGTTAAACATTTTCAGATATACATATTGTTAAAAACTGAGACGGAAACTTTGACACTCTTTGCAGCGACATTGGAAACTCAGTCTGACCGACAATCTGATAACTGTGACTTTGTGTGTGTGTGTGTGTGTGTGTGTGTGTGTGTGTGTGTGTGTGTGTGTGTGTGTGTGTGTGTGTGTGTGTGTGTGTGTGATACTCTCAACCGAGGCACAACCTTGAATCAGGGATTCATTTCTGTGATCGGACCCGACTGTAAATAAATCTGAATGGAAACTGCCTTACATTACAATGCGTGTGTGTGTGTGTGTGTGTGTGTGTGTATTTGTGTGTGTGTGTATCAGCACATACATTCTGCTTGACTATATTACAACATAATGAAGTGAAATACGACCTCTCTCTCTCTCTCTGTCTCTCTCTCTCCACATCAGTACCTCTTTCCTTCCTCCTCTCATCCAGCAGCAGACAGGTGAGAAGGGTGAGGGAGGTGAGGCAGTTAAACCAGGTGAGAACAAGGCTGTGAGACAGGAAGTGAGCTGTGAGTCTGAACGGGCGACCTCGGCTCAGTGTGAGCATCAGGAGAAGCTGGAGAACAACAGGACTCTGCTGGAGGAGGTAACTTCAGTTTATTTAAACAGTTTTACTCAAAGACTCTGTAAAGAAAATCTGAAGATCAATCAAATGTTAAAACTTGATGTTTAATATTAGAAGTTATACAAAGGAGTCAATAATTTATAACATATGGAGCACATTTGACAATGCCAGGTAAAGACCAGGACCCCCCTCCATGATAAAAGTGTTGTCTTTTTGAGCTCACATTTTAAAGTTTTTTTAATATCTTAATTACTTTAAATCATAAAGATAACTATGTTTGAGTTTTGTTTTTACATCCATATTCAGGGTTTTACACTGTTATAAGTGAATCATTAAAGTAAACGCTGACAAACTAACCCACAGTGAAGTGGTGAAGACTGCTGCCTCACAATAAAGGGATCCTGGGCACACCCTGTGAGCCTAAGGAAACCTGAACTCACATCTATACTATCCTGTGGTGCTGAACTTGATGAGTCACAAAATACAAGTAAAAAGCACCTTCAAAAGCAACCACTATGTAGTGTTGTGGTGAAGGATACACCATTGTGGGCGTTGTGGGTTCAAATCCAGCACTGAGGTCGGAAACAAAATGGTTAAACTAAACTTCTACACCTGAGAAGGGTAGAGTGGGGTTGAGACCACTTACTGTAACATCTACTAACACCTGAGCCTGAGCGTTAACCATAATTATCCCAATACATGTGCACTCGAAACTTAACAGCGGCTGAGTTGACTGTGAGATAGTGTTGTGACGTTTGCAAACGATTCGTTCAAAAGAACCGAATCTTTTAAGTGAACATACTGAACCGAATCAATTCCTCAAGTGATTCGTTCATTTCTCACTTCAGTTGAGCTTAAGTGAGAAACAGCATTGCCAGGCAAGCAGCCAGCGAACAATTTTGGTGAACGAATCTTTTGAACAAATCTTTTTAGTGAACTGATTCTAGTGATTCAGTACATCTAAAAGAACTTCTGTGCCCATCACTACTGTGAGAAAACAAGGAGCGGTGGATTTGAATGCAGTTCACAGTAAAAATAGATTTCCCATAAGTTCCCATCTGTTAACATAGCAGAGACAGACCCTGTAACCTTTAGTCTACTGCAGCCAGCCACCAGGGGGAGCTCTAAAAGCTTTGCCTTCACTCTGCTGTTGCTCTGTCAATGATTTTAAACTGTCTATTATTTTTCCAGTTAAGTCGTATCGAGGCGGAGCTCCGAGAGTCTGTGCGTCTGGATGTGGAACGTCAACAGGAAGCTGAATTCCTTCGCCAACAGGAGAACAACTTGCTGAGGGCAGACCTGTGTTACCTGAGCCTCAGCCAGCGAGTTGCCAGGTAAACAAATGCATCACACACACTCAGATAGTTGGCCAACACCAGAATTAGTGTGTGAGAAGCTGCTGTAGCTTGGCAACTATGTAAAAGTGCTTTAAACCTTCAATAAAAGCTAACAGGTGTGGGAAAGTTATTACAGACAAAACACTACAACCGGTAGTTAAGGTATTTTATGTCTCCCTCAGGCCGTGGGTCAGCAGCTACTTCAGAAATTTTCCGATGCACATCTACTGCCTTCCTGTCACAGCCACCAATCACAAAGGCAGGAGGCGGGGCTTACAGAAGTGGAAATGAAAGAGTGGAGCTTCCCTTTGTCGCAATCTGAAATACTGTCTGTAACAATAATTCTTAACGTTTCTTTTTAAATAAATGTGTTATCACCTTTAACAAAAACGGAATACCTTTGTAATTTCTTTTTAAGACATGTACGGTGGCTCGGAATGTCAATTGTACAAATATTTCGGGAAGAATAGTTTCTATGATATAATTAAGAAAAATTATACATTTCAAGAATAAAATTGTGATGTCATGAAAAAAAGTTATTTTCCAACAATAAAAGTCATTGTTTTTGTTTTTTCAATCTAATGTTATTCTGTCTTTTTCTTTATCTATATTTTTTTTCATGCTGTTACTAACTTCACATGTATTATTGATAAAAATATGATTTGTTACAATTTTCTTACATTTTAATTCACATTTATTCTACACTGCTTGTCCTGAAAAAATCAATTAAATAAATTGAAATAAAACAAAATTGAATCAAGTTTGTGGCAGTGTCATGTTTCCATGCGGTGCCCGAACGCAGCATTTCGTTTTTGCGTAACTGCGTCATTCCCCTGCCCAGCCCTTCTTCTGTGTGCGTGCACAGCTTCATCCCTGAACCACAGTCATCATGGTGAGTTTTTACATTAAATTCTTGATTTATGAAGTAATAGAAACAGCTACAGCGTGTCATTTCATATACAAACGCATCGCAACCTATAGATTGTTCATCAAACCCTCTGAAGATGGAGCCTTTTGTCCTCAGCGTGTGATTAGCTCTCCGTTAGCCGGTGGTGCTAACCGGCGAGTAAGCACATGGGCATTATGAATACGCTAAAGGCTAAGCTAACCACTTCAAATACGTAGGTTGGCTGTTAAGTAGGCTTAGAAAGTGGCTCTGTTGTTGCGTAAAAGGATAAAAAGTTAGCTGATGTGATTTCAGGCGTAGTTATCAGTGTTCACTCTGGCTCTCTGTTCTCAGTAAACCTGTTAGCATGCTCGGTTAGCCTGTCAGTTCGGCTTTGTGGCTGTCATGATGGGACGTAATGAGTGATATTCACGAAACATGAAAATAAATTAAAATGATGAAAATACTTCCATAACTTTCAAAACCTAGCATTTTTACTTTATTTATTATTTTAGCAGTAAATTATGTGTTTTAAGTCCTTATTTGAACATTTTATAGAAAGCTTCTAGCGGTTTCCAGGAGGAAAGGGGCGGGGCTTCAGTGCCGCTGCGTTCAGTGACACTCGTTAAACCGAGTATCATCCACGCCTATGGTTTTCCTGACAATTATAGACGTTGTATTTTGTCACAAAGAAGAATTATTAGTAGAGGACATTACAGAGATCCTTCAAACCCACTATGTGTTTAATTGGAGTTGTTGAAATGCAGTGAGTTTGTAGATTTCAGTGTGTTGCAGATTATGTATTATTTATTTATTCTTTATTTCATTCCTTTATAAATAAAAAGAGAGAATTTAATTTAAATACAAACGTTCTCCTATCTAGAATGACAGGGAGCAGAAAGATGACTTATCTTATTTTATCTGCCCCTTTATCCCCAGAAATCAGTTTACAAAGAACAAACTTAAAACAATAAAATAGAATAAAATTTAAAAAAGCAACAACATAAACAAAACATTCAAAGAAAAATTTTACCAGTCAACATCCAATAATGACTTTAAAAAAAGAAAAAGTTGATTAATATGTCATGAAAGAGGAGCAGACTCTTTAAGATTTTTCTTCTTCCTGCTCCTTTTCATTCAGATCTTTCCTTGTTTGTATTGATTGTTTTAAACATTAACTGAATGAAATAAAGTATGAAAAAATAAAACAAAATGAAGTAAGGTAATATAAATTAACTTAAACTTATTAAACAAAATGTAAAGCAATAGTGTGAGGTGTCACAAAAGCCTTATACTCTTAATGAGTTGTTATTTTTTTGTGTTAAGTGAATTTTCTGACACAGGCAGACAAAACCGAGGAAGTTTGTTTTAGTTTCATAATATTTTGACTAAATAATCCAAGAAATGATGAGATACAGCACAGTTATAATAGTGTCTTTTAAGACAGTGCTTTTTTATGATAATGTGGTGCTCAAGTGTTTGTGATTTAAATCCTAAACGAGACCCCAAATTAACTCAAATTTCCTTACATTGATTTCATATGTGTAGTAGAGTCTCTTTATTTTCTGTAACTTTTACTGTGAGTCTGGCGATTTTGTTTAACTCTTGCCGTCTCTCTGCAGGCGTCCTTATCGATGGCCCCGGTCAACATCTTCAGACATGGAGCTGATGAAGAAAAAGCAGAAACTGCACGACTGGTGCGTTTGTTTACCCTACTCAGTGGTTAATTTCAGTTTTATTGTTCGATAAGAAATAGACTCTTTGAATTTATCTAAGCTGTCTCTTTTGTTTGCTTTGTCTGCAGTCGTCTTTTGTGGGCGCCATCGCTATCGGTGATCTGGTGAAGAGCACTCTGGGACCAAAGGGCATGGTAGGACATGTTTACAATCCTTTAAGTTTATTATCATTAGGATTATACGGCTCACATCTGGAGACAGCCATCGTTGTGATCTCAAAGATCTGCTGAAAATGCTTTTAAGATTGCCTCATTTTTTCTCTCTTTTAAGTTTCTTTGTTGGGTCTTAAATCTTTCACATGAAAGTGTCTCTAGCTAAACATCCTCCTCTTCTTCAGGATAAAATCTTGCTGGGTGGAGGAAAAGGTGGGTCAGTCACAGTGACGAACGATGGAGCCACCATCCTGAAAGCCATCGGAGTCGATAACCCAGCCGCCAAAGTCCTGGTTGGTGAGTAAAAACCTCTAATGTCAGGAAGAAAAACTTCATGAAACGCAGTAATGAAGCTGCAAATGTTAAAAAATGTCCTCTAATTTTGTTCCGTCTGGAGTAAACAGCATGTTTGTCCTTTTTAACATGTATTTAAAGGTTGTTCAAACAGTTTACAGAGAGTTTAAAAAGTTTGAACACAAAGACGATAACCAAAGAGTGATTTTTAAACTCTGTGTCTTCAGACATGTCAAAGGTTCAGGATGACGAAGTCGGAGACGGGACGACCTCCGTCACTGTCCTCGCTGCAGAGCTGCTGAGGGTAAAAAATCAACTTCTTTAAAGAATGAATCATCATTTCTTCACCTGCTGCTGCTTCTTAAACCCCAGTTTGTCCTTCTGTAGGAGGCGGAGCTTCTCATTGCCAAGAAGATTCACCCACAGACCATCATCTCAGGCTGGAGGAAGGCAACTCAGACAGCCCGGGAGGCCCTGAAGGAGGCTGCAGTGGACCACAGGTGATACTCAGACACATCAACCATCGCGTCTTCAAACCTCAAATGTCTCTCTTTTTGTTTCCTTCATCATCTTCTTTTTTTCCTGTTTCCATAGCAATGAACCCTCCCGCTTCCAGGAAGACCTGCTAAACATCGCTCGCACCACGCTCTCCTCCAAACTGCTGACTCACCACAAAGATCACTTCGCCCAGCTCGCCGTGGACGCCGTCATGAGGCTGAAGGGCTCCGGGAACCTCGAGGCCATCCACATCATCAAGAAGCTCGGGGGAGGGCTCACTGACTCGTACCTGGATGAAGGTGAGAGGGGGGCGTGAAGTTACAGCTACCAGACTGATCTCTGCACCCTGATTGGCTGCTGTAGAGTCACGCGTGTTTTTGATTCGTTTAGGATTCCTGTTGGACAAGAAGATTGGAGTAAACCAACCAAAGAGGATGGAGAACGTCAACATTCTGATCGCCAACACCGGCATGGACACAGACAAGATCAAGGTGAGCGCACAAGCATCTCACAACCCAGCTGTTTTAGTTTTAGTGAACCTGTTTCTGCAAATATTTCAGTTTCAAAGTTGGATTTGTGCAGATTTCTCTGTCATTACAGTTAAAATTTGATTTTTTGTAAACTTAGTGAGAGATTAAGGGCTCATTTTGACCTCTAAACTGAAGTTGTGCTTCTGAAAATCCACCAAATTCGATCTGTTTGTGTTTTCTTGTTCGTGTGTGTCAGATCTTTGGCTCCAGGGTTCGCGTCGACTCGACGGCGAAGGTCGCAGAGATCGAACTGGCAGAGAAAGAGAAGATGAAGGAGAAGGTCGAGCGGATCCTGAAACACGGAATCAACTGCTTCATCAACAGGTAGAGACTCATTTTCAGGTCATTTACTGAGTTACAGTGAAACATCATATTCAGGTGTAATCAGCAGGATGTCCAGCAGGGGGCGCTGCTGTTCTGTGCATATATCAGCAGTTAGTTTTCGATAACTGCTCACTTCTCTCCAAACTGTTCAAACCCAGTTTTCAAACTACATTCACTAAGTATTATTCAGGGGTAATCAAAATATCATAAAAAAGAAGGTGCTCAGTGACAGCAGTGTTAAATTTACATTTAGATTCATTTTTTTTATGTTTTGGTTTTTAATTTTCAATTTCGGTTTAGTTGTGGTCATCTTATTTGAGGTGAGACTAATGCTAGACTGAGCTTCGTTGGTTTAACTGTAGATTTTTGTGTTGTAGCAGCTGTCTTCCTTCTGTCTTCTCCACTGTGTTTGTTAGAAGTATAAATGTGCGTTTTCCTCCACAGACAGCTGATCTACAACTACCCAGAACAGCTCTTCGCTCAGGCTGGAGTCATGGCCATCGAACACGCCGACTTCGCCGGGGTGGAGCGCCTGGCTCTGGTCACAGGTACGAAAAACTGACACAGGACTTATTTAGAGCTCTGAAGGATGAAGGTTTTAACTGTTACTGTTTTGGAAGGACAGCAGGGCAGGTATTTTTTGGGATAGTTAAATTAAAAATATCACTTTTGGCCTTTTCTTGTTTGGTTTTGAAAGATTATTTTGTCTCTCTCTGAATCTAAGAGGATCTCTGTTAGCCTTCTCCCTGTTGTGAAAAGTAGCTCTGTAAGCGGTCAACAGCATGATTGATGTGTGTTTTCATGTGTTTGTGTGCGATCAGGAGGAGAGATCACCTCCACCTTCGATCACCCTGAACTGGTCAAACTGGGTCACTGCAAACTGATCGAGGAGGTGATGATCGGAGAGGACACGCTCATCCACTTCTCTGGAGTCGCGATGGGTAAAAATACTGTTTCCTGTCTCCTCAGTGGACTTGGTCTCTTCGACCCTGTCTTAAAAATGCAAGGAATAAAAATTTGTGCTGCAAGTTTGACATAAAACACGCCATTAAAACAAACTTTCTGATCATCTCTTCTGTCTGTCTCCCTCTCAGGCGAGGCGTGCACCGTCGTCCTGCGAGGAGCAACTCAGCAGATCCTGGACGAGGCTGAGCGCTCGCTGCACGATGCTCTGTGCGTGTTAGCTCAGACCGTGAAGGAGCCACGCACCGTCTACGGAGGAGGTGCGCAGCATTCATAAATCCGTGGAGATTATCTTGAAAACAGAGAATCTACGGAGAGATTTCACTTGTCTATCTTTGACCTCCTTTCCTCAGGTTGCTCTGAGATGCTGATGGCCAAAGTGGTGACTGATCTGGCCAACAGGACGCCAGGAAAGGAGGCGGTTGCCATGGAGTCATTCGCCAAAGCTCTGAGGATGGTATGGAGGAGCTTAAACGATGTCACATTTCCTGATTTCAGATTTCTTTACGGTGCTTTTTGTGCTCACATGAATCATCCATGAAGAATAAATAAAAGCAGCCTAATAAATTCAAACCATGACACATTTTTAGCTGTTTATCTTTCAACGTCACATGGTATTCCAGTTAAAATTTTCAACGTTTTCTCCTCCAGCTGCCGACCATCATCGCTGACAACGCCGGATACGACAGCGCCGACCTGGTGGCTCAGCTGAGAGCTTCACACCAGGAGAACAAGACCACATTTGGACTGAGTGAGTGACCTCTTTCTCTTAAAAATATGAATAAATCACAAATGAAACAATTTTGACAAGCTTTGAGTTTGGAATGAAAGATGTGGTTTTGTTAAAAAAAAAAAGCTTAAAATAGATATCTCACATTTATTTCAGTTTAACTTAAAGCTTTTGTGAGGAATTTTTGTTAGGTTTATGAAAATCAAGTCAGCAGGATGAGATTTCTTGTCAGATTACATGACTTATGTAGGTAAAACAGAAGATACGCCAAGTGTTTGTCCACAGGGGGCGCCAAACTGGCTTTTTTCTCACATTTAAATTCAGTTAAAAGCATTTTTTTTTACTTTAGAGTTAAATTGTCATTATCTTCACTTTCCATTGCAGTAGAAGCAGAACATAGCGTTGAATTTGAGTAACCGAGACTCTGTTCTCTCTAACGTAAGGCGTGGTGAAGTGTTTAAAGACACGTAAAGTCTCATTTTTAAGGTAATGGGGTCATCAAGAGTTCAAATCGAAGCTTACAAATTTGAAAAGTTTTTAAAATCTAAATGAGACGAATGATCTTGATCATAAAATGATAAAAAGCTACAATTTCCTAAGAGATTTTATTCAGCAGACCATGATTTTATCACCTTTGAGTGACTTTTCTGGACAATATTTGAAAATCTAGAATCAGCAAGCACCAGAATCTTATTTTACTGATTTCATCTGCATGTCAGGATACTCTATAGCCAGTAATTTACTTGTACACCATACTCACTTCATTTCTGCATTTACATCATCTCACCAAAAGCAAGGGAGTCTTTGGACCTCAAAAAGCTAAACTGCCCTGAGTTGAGAGCGGTTATTTATTATCACCTTCAGATGGCCAAAAGTCAGAAAAACTTGATTCAAACAGTCTTGTTCTGGTTTGGGGTCTTTACATTTGGAAATTGTTCCTGCACAAACGTTAAGAGTTTGTTTGTCTTCCTGCAGACATGTCTGAAGGCACAGTGGGAGACATGGCCGAGCTGGGAATCACTGAGTCGTTCCAGGTGAAGCGTCAGGTGTTGCTGAGCGCCTCTGAGGCCGCTGAGATGATCCTGAGGGTCGACAACATCATAAAAGCTGCACCCAGGTCAGTCAGACACAACCAGAACTCTGATTTCATAAAGTTTTATACTTTAAACTCTGTTTTTATTTTCCTGGAATGACAATAAACCAGCTTTTACAAACATTTTTACTGTTTTTAACTGTTTTTGTTGTTCTGTTTTGTAGGAAGAGAGTTCCCGACCATCACCCCTGCTAGAGGAAGAGGATGAAGATAAAACGGGGGAGGGGATCAGTTTTGTTATTTATCAACTCTGTGTAGCTCAAATTAAAGAAACGCTCCGTTGTGTTTTTTTTCTTTGTCAAACTCTCTGTGGAAGCACTGCACGGCTAGCTGGCTAACGCTAGCTTATCATTAAACACGGTAAACTTAAGTGAGTCTGCTAATGTTTAAAAGACAGAGGCTCGTCTCGCTGGATGATGGTTACGCTAACGTTGGCAGAGTTTATTAGGACACCGCTCAGAATGGAAGTTTGGATGTTTTGTTTACTGAATTAAAAGAAATAATCCTCATCAAACTCTTGATGTTCGTCTCTATTTTACCTCATTTTTACATGAAGAAATTAGCGCACTTCCGGCTTGATCGGTTCCCTCAGTAAACATTTTCCTAACGAGTTTATGGTCTCAATCCCAAAATGTAATCCTCCTTCAACATGGTATGATGTTCATTTTCTAAATTATGGTCCTATTCACAGTTCAAAATACCAAAAATCAGGGTGTGACTACATTCGCTTATCCAAAAACATCCCAAAGCCAATAGGTGGCGGCACCAAGTCAACGTCCATGTTCTTCACAGTCTTATGGATAAAATGCACTGAAAAATTTTAATGATTGTCTACAAACCCAAGGATGAAACCACGATGGCTTCATCCACTTTTATCTATCAGTCTGCGGTAATCCAGCTCTGGTTTGGTGTTTGCATCATCATCTGTTATGTGTGATCCGGTCAGAGTGACTGAGACCTCAAAGTGTAAACAAACCGAGGTTACCCAACCAGGCTGAGCCATCCACGTCCTAAACACTCCGACCCAGGATTTTTTCCACTCTCACGGATTTAACATCTGTGATATGAATCCAAGTATTTATAGAGCAGTAAATGGTTCCCTGTGGGTTTAAATGTTATGCATAGACAGCAAGTCCAAGATAGGGTGAAACAGCTTTTTCCAGTCTATTGTAGGAGCCATGTTTTCCCCACATAAAGGTATAATCATTCTTTCAAAGCATCACAAACCATTAAAATATCTCATCTGGAAATGCATGGCTTTACTAAAGAAGAACAAGAAAATCTGTACACCCGGAAAAGTCATGACAACTAATGTAAAGTTGTGGAAGTATAAACTAGAACAGGTTATTCAAGTGTTGCTCAGGTGTCCAAAATTTGTACTGAAGAAAATTGCTTGGGGAAATGTATACCTGTTGCCCTCAGTTTTTTGGGGACGGGTTTCCTGACTCAGATCCAATCAGAGCTGCAGTGACTCTTGATAAAGTCCTCCTCATCTGTCAACATCAGTCTGATACTCTGACAGACTCACAACCATGCTGAGGTTTGTGTTGGTGCTGCTTATTTGGACATGGACGAGCTCAGCGCTGGTCAGGTAAGACCCAGAACCTCAGTTTCAGTTCAGAGGAAACACTTTGACTCTTTATACCAGTGGGTGTTAGTGGTCAAAAGATCCTAAAATGCAATTTATTACAAACTAAGAGGGTACATTTTTATAGTTTTTAGCAATGCTTACTTTATCCAGGGTTTAAATCTTTTGAATCAGGCCATAGTTTCCTTTTGTCAGTTTCAGTTTTGGCTCAGAGGGTTTAGAGCTCAAGTCAAGATTGCTAGACATCAGTTAATTCAGGGTACAAAAATGTACAACTTGCACATTTTGATGATTTAATCCACAAGCACTAAAACCCTTCCCCAACAGGATCCCTCTGAGGAGGATGCCTACGATTCGTACCCAGCTGCGCACCCAAGGCCAGCTGTCGGAGTTCCTAAAGGATCACCGCCCTGACATGTTTAACAGGCGCTATGCCCAGTGCTATCCACCTGGCACGCCATCGCTTCGGCTCGGACGCTCCAGCGAGAAGATCTACAACTTCATGGATGTAAGAACGAACCAAAACGTTTTATGTGGCCTCTAAAAACTGCTTCAGATGGATCTCCTGGGCAAAAAGTGTCGACCACTTCTTTGGGATTCGTTTGGAATTCGTTGCAATGCTTAAAAAGTTTCTGGAGGTGTCAGTGTTGTCAATTCTACTCTGCTGTTGCAGGCTCAGTTTTACGGTGACATCAGTTTGGGGACACCAGAGCAGAACTTCTCTGTGGTGTTTGACACCGGATCATCCGACCTGTGGGTGCCGTCATCATACTGTGTCAGCCAAGCTTGTGGTACCAAGAGACAAACACACACACAACTTCAGCACATAATCACACTATAACTAAGCCAATAGTTCGAGTTTGTATCAGTATTTCTCGTTTCTGTTTTCTGGTCAGGGCAACATGACTGCATGATAAGAGGGTCAAGGGTTCTGTTTGCATGTGTGTGTTCACAGCACTGCACAGACGTTTCAAGGCATTTGAGTCCAGTACGTTCCACCATGATGGTCGGATGTTTGGGATTCACTACGGATCGGGACACCTCCTGGGAGTCATGGCCAGAGACACACTCAAGGTCCATTACAGCATATTCTACAAATTCATGAATAATATTTGTGGATCCATCCTGGTGAACAAATACAGAAGTATTCACCCGTATCATGGCAAGGTCCTTGTCCAGATCATGCCATTCCCTTTCCCTAATGATCTTCAAAAGATTTTACCCAAGAACAGCACCATATAGAGTCAAAAATTGTGTCAGATATTTTCTTGATTTCAACCAAAAGGAGCTGTTAATCTTTGCATGTTTCCATCCATAGTTGCTGTGCAACCAAAGTGAGTTGGTTTTAAAGATGGTTTTCCACTTGGTAAACCATTGGGAAACAAATTGGACAAAGGATCGATGACTTAATCCAATGAGTAAATCCAGTAAAACCTGAAAACTGAAACACTTTAAAAATCTTAAACTATGGGCCGTTGGTTTGTTTTTAGGTTGTGATGGTTTGAGGGTTGCTGAAGAATTTTGAAAAGAGACAATCAAAGGGGGAAACTCTCCTGATCTGCCAACCATAAAATATTGAGGATTTGTTTTGATTCCACATCACTGGAGAAACTGGAGGTGTGCTCTAATCCATGATGCCCTGGTGTGCTCTGTTCTTTGTTCCAGGTCGGGGCTCTGACTGCCCTCAATCAAGAGTTTGGGGAGTCAGTCTACGAGCCAGGCGCTGCATTTGTAATGGCCAAATTTGACGGTGTTCTCGGGTTGGGTTACCCTTCCTTGGCAGAGATCCTTGGAAATCCTGTTTTTGACAACATGTTGGCGCAGAAGACAGTGGAGGAGCCTGTCTTCTCTTTCTACCTCAGCAGGTGTGATTTCACCCAGGAGTTTGACAGCTCAAGGGCCCTTTCCAAAACCAACACTGACCCACAGGTCTAAATCTGGCATTAACTCTAAGAGTTCCCAAGAACATCAGTTTATTTTCTCAATCAGGGGTCATTGTTGTAAGAACAACTCTTCAGATTTCACTTGGCCTTTGTCAAAGGTCCTCTGGGCATTGCTTGTTCAAGATGAGGGATCAAAAGTGTCAAGGGGTTTTATGAAAGCTTTGTAACTTGATCAGAGAGATATGCAAGACCCGTTGGTGTGTTTCATGAGTGTACAAAGGTCCAAAAAGATCAAAGGATCTTCAGGGTTTTAAGGGGAATACAGATGTTTACACAAGTTTGACAAATCCCTTGTAATTTCAGTGGTTTTACTGGCCATCAGACACATCTATCTCAGGATCCAGATAAAAAAAACCACAATTGAGTCAAAGGCCAGGGGAAAGACTGAAATCCAAGAGATTCAGGTTCAGAGGTCCCTAGATCCCCAAAGAGTTGTTTGAGATGTTCCCATTCAAGGATTTTAAGTTGTAGTCTAATTTCTCAATTTCTTAGAAAGTGACCTCTAGATATGGTTTAGAGGTTTTACAGAGTTCACAGAGGTGCTGAGTATTAAGGTCTTGAGGACAGTGTGTATCCCTGGACCCAAAGTTTGAGGAATTTAAAAACATCTGGTGTTTAGGGGAACACTAGTTTTAGGCATGTGTGTACAAGAGGAATTTTAAAGGAATTTCAGGATTTAGAGGGTTTTTAGAGGTTTGCTGTGGTTAGAGGGTCACAGGGGGTTCTGGATAACTGAGAAACTTCAAAAGCCTCACTTGCACTTGGGTCCTAATTTAGTGCATTGACTAAAACAGATTTAAAATGCTTTTTGGTGACTGTATGATTTTTGCCCCCTGCAGGAAAGGTGGTGATAGAGACCCACAGGGTGAATTGTTGCTGGGTGGAACAGATGAGACGTTGTACACCGGGTCAATAAACTGGCTTCCAGTGACTGCGAAGGGATACTGGCAGATTAAAATGGACAGGTTTCACATGTTTTTCTTACATTTTGATTCTCATTTATTGTTGACTGCCGTCATTCCACCGATGTTTCAATATGTCTTTTAGTGTGGCGGTTCAGGGTATGAGCTCATTCTGTCCTCAAGGCTGTCAGGCGATTGTCGATACTGGAACGTCCCTCATTGCTGGACCGACCAATGACGTCCTCAGCCTCCAGCAGCTGATTGGAGCAAGTCCAACAAACATAGGAGAGGTTGTAAAACCCCAAGTTTCTCAAGGATGCATAAATGTCCTTGAAAATAGTATATTCAAAGCTCATTAGCATAGTCCATTACCACGTCTCTGTGTTTGTACAGTTCCTGATCGACTGTGCCAGATTGTCCAGTTTGCCTCATGTGACCTTCGTCCTCGGAGGAAAAGAGTACACACTCACTGCCGAGCACTACGTTAGGAAGGTTTGTCATACAGTTCCATCTTTGTCTTCTCTTGCTGGGTTTTGTTTAGTGATTGTGGGTGTCTGCTATAAGGACTATTAGTAGAGATGAGGTTATGTCTTTTTCATAACTTGACTGTCATTTCCGTCTTCTATCTGCAGGAAATGTTCGGGGACAGGGAGTTGTGTTTCAGTGGTTTCCAAGCTGTGGACATTGTGACCTCTGATGGCCCTCTGTGGATCCTGGGGGATGTATTTCTGACTGAGTTCTACAGCATATTTGATAGAGGGCAGGACCGTGTTGGCTTTGCTCTAGCGAAGCATCCAGCTGCAGAATAACCCCCATGGTCACCGATGATCGACAACTGTTTCATCAATAAAAACAGTCTGATGTAAAAGACACAAACAGGATTTTGTAATTCTTGCAAAAGCATGAAAACAAAGGGAAAAATGGAACAAGTTTGCAGGTACCTAGTAGCACAGAAGCACATTTTCCTAACTAGTCTCCAGTGCCCATTATAACTCATCTCTAAGTTACATCAGCACTGTTTGAGAACCACAAATTCAACTTGACCAAACTAACTTTGGGTGGATGGTTGACATTCAAGTCACACTTCCTTTTGAATAGTCCAGTTTTTGGTGTTTTTCAAAGGTAGCATGTGTATATAGCTTTGAGGCTGCAGATCCAGGACCAAATTTCTGGAACTGCAAATTTAAAACTGTTGATTGAGACAGCACCACCTTGTGCAGTGGATCACCAAGGACTGCAATTTCAGAGTCTAACATAATTCTTTTGGTGCTTTAAGTAGCATCCTTAACCCTTACAATTGAGTACCTGCAGTCTTGTTTGTTGGCATTGTCTTTTGCACTGTTCAGATACCAGGTAAGGTCCCTGACCCAAACCACAATTTTCAGACCCAGAGTTATGTTCGTGAAGCTGCAGTCTCAAGCTCTGCAGACATAAAACATTGGTGATGGTAGCAGTAACAGATAAAAAGTGTAACACAGAGATAGAACAGTTTTTGCCAGAACACAAGCTTTTAAAGTCCACTTCTTGTTCCTGAGTAAATTTTTCAATCAGTGGTCAGCATAGAAAGTTTTTGTCTGTACTGTGCTGTAGCATTGACTTTTTTTAGTTCAGATTTTTATATTTCATTCAAAAACACCCAAGTAAGAATACAATATATCAGACCACAGCTTTTATTTTAAAATAAAAGGCAGGTTGGCAGGTTTTTAGCTTTTGGCACACAGCTGTGGCACTTTTTTTGTTTGCGCCTCCCATCTTTGCTTACTGTTTCTTGAATTTTCTACACTCTTTGGTGTTTTTTGGTTTAGGTTCATTTTTTTTAATGACAACGTTGGAAACAACCAACTCTTCTCAGCACTCCTATAAGAGTGTTTTAAATCAACCTGGTCTTAGTTGCCCTTCCTTGTTAGACAATGTCAACACCAGCTTGCATACAGGCTCATTTTTTTGCAGAGTTCAGTCACTGTAAGAGGTTCTCATACATTTTCAGAGCTCTGTGATTGGGACTCTGGGTTTTTGATTTCTTGGCTTTCGTTGGTTCCTTCCTTGTTGTCATCCTCAGTTCCTGCCATTGCTTGGAAGTCTTGGTCAAACTCAGAGTCAGGGATTTGTAAAGTGTCAGAAGGGGGGCCAGGAGATCGCCTGGATTGGAATCGAGCCAGCATTCGTCTCCGCCTTCCCAGACCCTTAGGACTTGGTAGGCTCCGGATTGACCCTTTGGAGATCTGTCTTGAGAACTGGAGGGAGAACTGGCGTCCTCGTGGTCGAGTGGGTGGTGGATTGTGGACATTTTGTGTTGTCCAGCGAAATTCCTTGGGTCCCAGTTGTGTTGGGGAATAACAGACTGCAGAGCCAGCCCTGGGCAAATAAGGTCACAATTCAAATGAAATTAAGGGAATAGAAAGTAGACATTAAGAAACGTAAATGATAAACAAGAAGTACATTCCCAAAGAAGATACTGCCGATGACTGCTTGTGATTTTGGTAATTGGTTACATAGGGGGCAGGGTTGGACAAAAATGGAGTGTGAAGTTAATAAAGGCCAGTGAATCACCTTGTGGTTTCCAAGCCTGGAATCTCCTCAGTGGAAGAGGGGTCCAGTCCATTTTGAGGTCTCGCTGCTTCACCATTACCAGAAGAATCTGTGCCTTGCAAGATGTCCCCTGACAAAGGTGGGCTTATGACGAGCCGGGGGAAAACAGCAGAGGGTGAACCTTTGGGGGATGGGGGGTTGCTGCTGACCTCCTTCACAGTGGACAGAGTGTCCATGGCTGGAGGAGGCATGGCCAAAGATGATGGAGGGTGAACGTTAACTGGACCTGGGTGGACCCTGGGGACAAAAGTGGAATGACTTTAAACCAGGGTTGTCTTATATTTAGGTCGATATGATACTTAAAATACCGCACCTGAAGTCTGGGAAGAAGCTTCCAGTTGCATCACTGCTGTGTCGTTTGAAGGTGGGCCGAGGAGATCGAAGGTCAGGGGGCTCCTGAACACTCAGCAGCCGACGGACTCGTCCCAGAACCTGCAAATGTCAAAAACTGAAGGCTGAACATAACTGTGAAGAACAAAGAACCACAACAGCCGGAGCTCTCTACACCAAAAAGTAAAAGTGCATTGAAACATTGAAAACAGTAACATTACCGACTCTTGGCGCAAAGTCAAAATGGATTCTGGGTGTTGTGGTTGAATGTTGTTGACATCAACTTCCTCAAAATGCAGGATGTCAGAGAGTCTGGAAAACATATGGACAAAAGTTGTTTTAACAATTTGAACTTCTTGGAATCCAATATATTCACCTACAGCCAGTCATGAAAGAACTCTGCAACATTACTTGACTATGGTGCATCTTCAAGGGAATATCATTTACCATTGCAAATACCCAAGTGCTATCACCCCCAAAATGAATGCTAATGCTGATTTATGCGTAACAGCTGCAGTGAAATCAGACATTGCTGCACTTTTGGTCCCAACCAATCCACAACCATTAAATCTGCCAATGTGTGATAACTGAAAAATCACCCCATGTCAGTTGTGGAGCCGAGGAATGATGGGATGCAGTAGTCTGCAGCAGCCACAGTGTATGGTGGCCGGGCCTCAAGGTCGTTCCAGTAGATGTCTTTGGTCATATGAGGCAGGTTCATGTGCATTTCATCCACGGCCAGCAGAGAAACCTGCAAGGACAAAAAGTGATGAGTATAAGCTTTTGGGTTCAATGCAAACATAAGATACTTTTGGAAACCAGTATTATTGTTTGTTCTTGAAGAGTTGCCTACTCAGTTCTCAGTTTGACAAAGCTGCAAGATTTAAACATTGGAGTTTTTGAGACTCTTTGATTGGCTGCTGACCTGGAGGTTCCTGTCAATGATCCAGTTGGCTTCAAAGTCATCATCATCCTCTCCAAATGGGTTGATCAGCTGCTCCGCCACCTGATAGCAAGTCACAAATCTCACTTGAATTCTCTTTGATGACATGACTGTAAAAGTTGAACCTGTCTTGTTTGGTTTTTTTTTTTTTTTTGGATTGAGAAGAGAAGCAATCACTTTTCTCTGAGAGCAACACATGAGATAAACTTGAAACTGTTGGACTTGTGAGGCTTTTTTTTGCCAGTCTGGATCACGTCCATCAAGTTTGTTATTTATAACTTTATGAGGTCTTTTATTTTTCCAACACCACAAGGTTAAGAGTTGATACAAGGTCAACCCCACTCTTGTTTATGACTCAGTCAGAAAGGAAGCATCAAGGGAGAAAAAAAAATAAAGAAGCTGAAGATTGAAATCTTCAGTGAGAACCAAAGGACCTTTGGCTGTCAGCCATAGACAGGAGGTCAAAAAGTGTGAACTGTGGTCTTATTGTTTTTTATTGTGGGATTTCAGTGGCTACTGTGGAAAACAGCTTTGGGAATGCACGAGTACATGACTTCAGCCTGCACACACTGAAGGTTTTTGTCCTCAACAGGCTTAGTTTGTTATTTCAAGTATCTGACAGTTTAACAGAAGGAATCACTACAGAGACAGACCTTTGGTTGAAAATAACTTTTGCATTGTTTCCTTCAGTTAAACCAGGATCAGTTGCCCAAAATACTTGATTTTACTTCTCCTGACAGTGGATTTGTTGGTCTACTGATGCCTTAACTGGCTGGCATGTTTGTGACATTTTGCAACTTTGGCACTAGCAGCAACTTCAGGTGTTGAAAAATGGTGCTATGGTTTTCTTCTTTGCCAGTTAACTTAAAATGGTTGGGTCCAGGTTTGAAATATAATCAGTCTTTCTGTGGAAAGAGGAGTTTTTAGTACCTTCAGCCAGCCAGCATAGAAGAAGAACTGCAGCAGGGTGAAGACAGGAACGTAAATATCCAGGTCGTGGCCTGGGTAACCCCGGCCGGGGTCCAAGAACTGGCGGCCAATAAGACAAGCAAAGAAAAAGGTGTAGACAGCCAGAGTGACGACCTGTGGAGTGAAACAGAGACTGCGCTGAGCCTCCTCTTCCTCTGTGTGGGAGTCTGAGAGCTCTGATTGGGTTACAGTAATGACGAGCGATGATGTAATTATGTAATTAGATGAGCTGCAGTCACATCCATCTTAAACATGTTAGTGTGACAGATATACGACAAGGCAGAGGGACTGACCTGGGTGTAAACCAGAGGGATGCCGACCCAGTCGTACCCGAACAGAGTCGCACACCAAGTCCTGAAGACGTTCATCTCCTGCAGACACAAACGCAGAGTCAGTCAGCCAGGTCCAAGTTTGGCAGCAGATTTCAGCAACTCCACAACTTTCTGGCTGGGAGGACCGTCACCCTCTGGCCTGGGGTGTCGCATTACCAGCATGACTCGCTTGTGTGGTCACAGACAGATAGGGATTGAGACTTTGAAGTGGTTGCCTCATTGCCTTTTTCCATGTGACGGGGAAATGCAACGGGAACATCCTTGATTAATGTTTTGTGCTAACGTCACACCTGATGGATACTTCAGGCCAACGCTCCTTCTGTCGGCCCAGTCATGTTTGAATGCTCTGCCATGTTCGGAGATCGACTAACATTTATAACATCAGAGATATTTGAATGAATGAACGTCTGTTTAAGGTGGGGTAGGCAGGATAGGCAGGTAGGTAGGCATAGTCCATGTCCTCCAATAACGTGCATGAGCCTAAACAAATTTAGCGTGCTACAACATCGGACAGTAGAAACCAACCAGAAAGTACGGAAAACAAAAGCAAGAAAATGAAGTAAATACCGGAGACTCTGGCGGAATAACGGGCGCTTAAAATGGAGGTAAACCGGACATAGCACTGAATGTAAATGTTGATCGTTAGTGACCTGAAGGATGCTCTGCAGGTCGATGCTGTCCTGAATTCGACCCTCTTGCCGAGCTTTGGAGGCCAAGTTGGTGAACCAGACGACAGGGATCCAGTACTTAAGGTGAGGAGAGCGGACGTTCTCAAACACCTTCCTCTCCTCTGGGGTCATGAAACCTACATATGAGCAGATTCACCATGAAATGAGGCGCCCTGCAGAGATGGAGTTCAGCTTTTCTCTTTGAATCATGTGAATAGAAACCTTTTGTTCAGAGGGACACTGACTGCTTTACAGTGGAGGGCTAATAGTCTGGACAAACAGTCAAGAATCAGCAATAATCATCGAGGCTAGCTCTGTTCTCCTGCAGCTCTAATAGGCTGATAATGAGCCAATCCCTGGGGTCAAATTAGACAGTAACAGGAAGAGGAAGGACCAGCCAGGAGGGAGCCGAACTCCATCAGATGCAACATGAACAATACAGGAAAAAGACCATCTCAACTCCACATGTGCACAATCTTGAATCTGTCACCAAACCCAAACTCTCTGATTCTTACCTGCCTCCACCACGTGGTCCATGGTTGGGAAGCGTTTGCAGACGGCGGTGCTCACAGAGCGGAAAATGAGGAGTGAGGTCAGGTTGACGTAGCGCACCAGCGTCCGGCGCAGCAGGCGGCCATATTCGTCTTTACCCTGAACACAGCTGGAGGAACAAACAGTATAAATCACCGAGCACATCAACTTCTTCTGACACTTCTGAACACCAACACTTCTCCTGCTAACTATGTGGTCATGTAACTTTTATTGTTTGAGTCCAGGTGTAATAAGTCTCTGGATCCCCATCTAACCTTAGCGACATATTGGATGATGGAAAAACCAATGACTAGAATCAATGACTGATGAATTTCTATCACAGTTTGATCGTACCTGGAAATGAGGAACATCATCCGATCGGCCCAGGGCAGGTTAACAAACTGATTCCACCATCGATTCACCACCAGAGTCACATAAAAACCTGAGAAACGAGCAAAAGTGTCAGATTTATAAGTTATTTTTTTTTTATGTTAAGCCTCAGCGGTGTAGTTTTGAGGTTTTTTCTACATTAAACATGTATCCTCATTTGATTAATACATCTATTCTTATTATCTATAACTTTAATCTCATTACACTAGACTTAATCTTATTGTATTTTACCGTCATTTTGTGATACTGTGTCTCAATTTCATTATATGGTGACTTTAAACGTGAAAAAATACTTTTTTTCAGACAACTTTAATTAAATTTTTATATTTGTAACCTTATCACCTAAATTATGTACCGGCATGGCTATATTTTCATATTATCATGACTCAAATATCATTATATGACTATATTTTCATGACAATGTGACAATGTTAATATGTTTTTTTTGTATTTTAAAATATAGTGTTGTAGGCTATATATAGCTATATACAATCAGGTATGATTATTGCATTTTTCTGTTTCTGTTTAGCACTCTCTAACATAATATGGACGAGCAACTAGAAGAGGATAATGGCTTTAGTTTATCTGCGTACATCACAGGGTTTTTTTTTCCTTGAGTGTTCATGAGAAACCCTTGAGTGTGGATATTCACTGTTTTGTGAGCAGAGATCAGATCCACAAACACTCAGCCTGCTTTTAGTCCGTCTCTGCTCTTTAATGATCTGTTTCCATTAGCAGTCGGCTAATGAGGCAACCGAACACTCACAGGCAGGAAGCGGAGTTAGCATTTAGCGAGGATTTGGATGTTTTCTTTAAACTCAGATTTGTTTTCTGGACTTCAAAATTTTAATTCACTTCTATGATGGAAATCTTTGCATGAGAATAGTTGGTTAGTTGATTGTTTTTGCGTGTGTTTGCTGTAATAAGATGTAGTTTCAGAATATAAAGGGTAAAGTATTCTTAGCTGCGTTGTCTCTGTGTTTATTCAGCAGCTTTTTTCTACAGCTCACAATCCATCATACACTCTCTAAACAAAGCGCTCACATGTCTTATAAATCCGTGGTCTCAGAGGACTAATATTAGCATGGTTCCACCTGTGATTATTAATAACACCATACAGTCGCAGGGCACTTTGTTTGTGGATACCCGACACGTTAGTAAACGATTGAGTCTTCATCAGGGTGAAGTCTGGAATGATAATGGGCTGTAACTTGTCCTGGTTAAGTATTCCTTCAGTGGGTTAGTGTGTCAGGTCTGTGGGAGGTTTCAGTCATGCAGCGTCAGAGAAAACTGGAGACAAATCCAGATTTTTTTGTATCATGATGAAGAAAACAGAAGTTTTCCTGCAGCATGATTACAAACAGCAGATCTGATAGAAAAAAATTGTACTGGCAAGACTTGTTTATGTACAGGAATTAGCAGCAAATTGAAACAATTTAAACAAAACAGGCTTTAAAAGAGGTTTCTTCTTATCAACAGACTGAAGGAAACAGGGAGACGTACCAAGGACGAAGGTGACAGGGATCTGCTCTGCATATTTGTCACAGTACATCGAAAGTTTCTCAAACAACGTTTTCTGGTCACCAGTGAGAAAATATCTGCAACACAGTGGAAAAAAAAACATGTTAAAACCAACAACTAGAACACATCCACTCTGATACATAAGTACAAACATGATCTCCATCTTAGCATTAGTACTTGGCTTTAATGTCACTTTGTCATCATCGCAGCTATAGTAACTACCAATAATTTTTTCATAATTTAGAAGTTCGGACTGTTAAGGAACATAAACAGAATTAATTTTGAGGTTAGGTTTCACAGTTTTTAAAGCTCCTGTAAGGAACTTTCAGTTCGTGTCCACTTTGGTGCCCCCTGTGGACAAAGCAATATTTGTTGGTCTTATTCTCTAAAAGCTAAAAATCCTGTTCTGTTGACTTATCATTTCTGGTGAGCACTTTTGGTGGAATTCATAAAAACTGGACTTTTTCTTTAGCTGCTTTGCTGACACCTACCCCCTCGCACCGTTTTTAGGCATCAATATACATGATATTCAAATTGTCTTTTTTGCCCTTGATGGTCCTGGTTACTTTTAGATATCACAAACTAGCATTACTATCACTTTAAGATTATTTTATGAATATAAAAAAAAAACTTATTGGGGTAGCTTTAAAGACCAAACAACAAATACACAAAACAGTATAAACAGATTGATGTGTAGCTCATAAAAACATTCTACCATTTCAGACCATCTTGAATAATCTCAAACAGGTCGTAACAATTTAAAAATTGCATCTACTGAAAAAAATCCAGGCAGCACTTTTTAAGCTTTAAATAAACCTGAAGAGCGTCCAGAGAGCATTTCTTTTAGCTTTTCATAAACTGAACAGGCTTCCAGAAAACATTTTTGCCACATAATGAAAAATGAAACACCCACAGAGCACCTCTCAAACACTTTTTCTTATACTGCACAGGCATCCAGAAGGCTTTTTGCCATGTTTAATCTTGTAGACAAGCAGCCACTTTAACATTTCTAAGAAAACGGCACCAAAGAGAGCATTTTATACTGTTTTATCAACAACAAGAGCATTCAAGAGGGCACTTCTGCTGCATTTTTTGGACAGTAGGCCAATGATCTCTACTGTAGACGATTAAATCCAGTGATCACTTCCAATTCTACCCAGAGGAACATTATTCTGATTAGTTGCTCTTGCAGTTTTTCACAGCGTTGAATCTCTCCCAATCTTTCTTTCTGCAGTTGCCTTTTTACACCCAGTCGTGTAACTAACCTGTCGAAAATTAACCTGACGAAACTTTCTCGGGCTTGAGCATCTTTTATCTGCAACACCCTCAACTCTAGTCTTTTAGTGCCAACAGAGTATTTTGCAGTCACATGTACGTACCAGTATTTCTAAAAATATAAAAAGCTGTGTTTTATGAGTGTGTGTGTGACCTGTAGACAAGGCTGAGCAGTGTGTAGAGCAGAACAAACAGGATGAACTCTCGGTACAGCAGCTTGTAGATGCTTCCCCTCCAGCGCAGCAGCAGCCGGTGGAAACTCAAGAAGGTGGCATTTGCTACTTTGCTGGAATATGTCACCGTCATCCTTACACCACCTGTCAGACACAAACACACAGATTTAAAAAGTTGTCTTCTGCTGAAAGATAATTGTAGATCATAATTTTAGTGATTTTTAAGATCAGGTTTACTCACAGAAAGAGTCACAGACGTCTTTGTTTGTCCTCAGCGGCTCTTTCCATCAGGCTTCTTCTTTCCTGGTTTGTTTGTGCCAAATGCCAACAACCCACTCTCTCTCAACTCCCTCTCTATCTCTCGCTCTCTCTCTTTTCCTCAACCCCCCCCTCCTCTTTACATGAATCTCTCTCACCCCCCTCTCTCTATGATGCTGACTGGTTGCCCAGTAATGCCAGGCAGCACACACACACACATACACATACAGGTTCAGAGCTGCACTGATGATCCAGAGAGCTAAATGTAGTCAGGTTTCAGGCCTGTGTGTGTGTGTGTGTGTGTGTGTGTGTGCGTTGGCATAGATAGCAGTGAGGTAAACATGTATAAACAGAAACACTGATGTCACAGTAGTTGTAGCGTCGTTTCATCAAATAGGATATAGGAACATATTAAATCTGACACCTAAGGAAAGTCGGTCTTAGGAGCTTGACTCATGCAACAGGAAGGCTTTAAAATTATTTCACTCAATTAGTATGTATGAACTCAATAAAGAGAACTTAACCGCTTTACCTCAGTGCAGTTACAAAGTTGTATGCATGCACAAAACTTAAAAGAATTCCTTGAATTTTCTGGAAATATAGCATGCTAAAATACTAAGTCCAAATATTTGGGACTTTATCCTGCTGGTGTCCTGGTGAAAAAAAATCAACAAGTCAGGGTAAAAAAATTTGACTAGATAACTAAATTTTTATAAAAAAAAAAAAAAATTGTCAGGGATCCCAGCCCTTAATTTTTTTATTAAAGGATAATAATAATAATAATAATAATAATAATAATAATAATAATACATTTTATTATTATTATTATTATTATTATTATTATTATTATTATTATTATTATTTTATAATTTTGTGGTTGGCTACTACTTGATTTTTTTTCATTATCGTTGAATTTTTCATCCCTTTTAGACAGATTTGAGGTTGATTAATACTCAAACAAATCACCGCTTTTAGAAATAACACAGAGTGAGACGTCTTCATTTCCTCATTGCGGCTCTTACTTTTTTTGCTGAAGAAATAAAGCGGAGTGAGACGTCTTCTTCATAGACATAATAAAAGGGTAGACCCCGCTGGGGGTGCTGCGCAGCGAGAAATGCGGCCGCCATCTTGGTCAGGTCAAGCTTCCCATACGCTCCGGTCAATCATATTCATTCATTCATTCATTCAGCGATGCCGGAGCACTGTGCGGCGTATTCCTGTGCCAACAGGCGGACAGCAGAGAACAGGGCTCAAGAAATAACTTTTCACAGTTATGATTAAACGTTTTTTCAACATTACACTTGACTGTAGAGTCATTTGTAGGCCAAAGAGGAAGACTATCGGTCAACTCCAAAAAGGAAACAGCATTTGCAAACAGCTAGCTTATTCACAATAATAGCAACTTTGCTCTATTATCAACAGATTTGCATTAGATTGAAAAACTTTTGTTTGAGAGAGGTTCTAAGAAACGTTAAGAAACAAAATAGAAAGAAGAAGGAAGAAAGTGAGCTCTGTTTTATTAAAGATTTCTTTGTGGTGATCTCCTGTTTCATTTTAAAGATTTCCTAAGGACAAAAACTTGAGGAAGAAGTGGGAGATTGCTGTTAGAGGGAGAAATTCGCAGCAAGTGATTCCTCTGTGCTGTGTAGCCAACAAGCAAATTGATATGTAGTTTAGATGCTGTCCTGTCATGCTGTTCTTGTGTTTAAATTTTTTTGATATGTAGGCTATATATTTGTGTGTATTTCTTTGTGTGTATTTTCCAGTTATTAAAATAGTGCTTCTATATGACATTATTTGTGTGTGTCTACAAATGGATAAATAAAATTAAACTAAATAAAATAACATCAAATCAATATATATTGAATCGGCCTATTAAAACCGCCAGTTATTAATAATTATTGAGACATAGCAGGAACCTAGCTCTAAACCTAGATATATCCTTGATTAATTGTTATACTATAATACAGCCACTGCTGCCATGTTCTAAATTATCATTTTATTCATTCTGAGTATTTGAAAACGCCAAAAAAAAATAAAGCCTCTATTATGCCTCTTTGAATGGCGTTTGCAGAGAAGAAAATTACGTAGTATTGAGTGAACTATGATTCATTTAATGCGCTCAGACTTCATTCCGCCGGTTAAACAGCGGTGCAGAGTGAGGCGGATGACCGGACCAAGATGGCGGCCGCATTTCTCGACAGCGCCCATTCGTGGTAGCGGCCGATGCGGGGTCTATCTTTTATTATGTCTATGGTCTTCTTTGTCAGATTGATTTGTGCGCAGGCGCAGTTCGAGCCACTTCCTTCTTCCTGCATAGGCCTTCTGTTAAGGAGGCCCCCCTGCATGAATGTGGCGCCCCCGTGTATTCGCGCTGATCTGCGGTCGGTTTGTGAGCGTCTCTCCGCTCTCTGTGTGTTTCTTCAGCTGCTCTCAGACCGCCAACGTTGCTCCGCCCCTTAGGAAGAGTTTCGCGGCAAAATCAATCGCGTGTACACACACTCAGAGCAGCAACGACAACAGAAAAAGGAGGTAAGACAACATATTTACACCTGTTAGGACCACTTTTGCTTCACTGTGCTGCTGCTGATGGTTTTATTAGCTTTTCGTTATGTTTAATTCAGTGTTGGAGTCAGCTGCTGTCATTGGAGAATTAAGACAGACTATTTGAGAGGCAGTGTGTTAGCTTTCTGTGTATTCATTGAGCTTTGTATTTATGGTGATTTTACAGTAATTTACTTTGATCCTGTCCCTGCAACTGCAAAATGCAATCCTGTTTTCTATCTGCCTGTGAAGTGATGTATATTTAAGTACTAAACCCTTCCTCATGTATATAGTATATTACACAAAATACTCAAACAAAAATGGTTAAAGTGTCTGATTTTGTACATTTTTTGATCCTTCACTGGTTGAAATGTCTTTTTTGGTTATCAGAATTGTGAAAAATGTTAGTGTAATGTACAATTTTCTTCAAATTTTGTATTTTTTTAGATCTGTAGTAGGGCCAGACCGATATGGATTTTTTGGGGCCTATGCCGATACCGATTATTAGGGGGGGGGAATCGGATTACCGATTAATCGGCCGATTTTTAAAATCTTTTTTTTTCATGGTATAAAAAAAAATATATATACTGTAGATATGCCTTAGGTTACTGCTCTTCATGCTGACAGGAAGACCGACTGATCAAACTCAGACCAGAAAAACGTTTTCAACAAACCTCCGGTGATTGAGCTCACTACGTAGTCAGCTATATAGTGAAACCCCATATGGGGATTAGGAATTGAGTGATTCATTTCGCACACAACCAGAGTCTTCCTCCTCCCTCAGGGAAGCCACCCCAAGAACAGCACCCTCTGGTGACAGACTGCAGTATAGGTAGTAAATCCCTCCTCAGCCAGCCATCCTAATGGGGCTGTGGAGAAACTTTAGAAATTTATCTCTAGCATCATCACAACGACTCGGCTACTCTCCCGCTGAATACGCACAATGCTACTGCGCAAGTAGTGGAGTATGTATAACGCTACTGCGCAATGTTGGTTTCAGGAAGTGGAGAAAAAACGAGGAATTACCGAGAGCTTTTCGGCTTCAAATCTGTATACTGGTGGAAGGCAAAACCAAGTTGTCCATAGTATATACAGTCTATATTCCACACAAAATACCAATTTGAGTGTATCATATTAAAAAAAAAACATTATTAATGGGATTTTTAAGCAAGATCTTCTCTTTTCTGCTCATGCTCAGTAGAGTCATGCCGTCTAACGTGGAGATCAAAGCCAAAGTGAGCAACCCGACACAGTTTGCAGAGAAGGCGGCTGAGCTCAGCCAATCAGAGGGCACGATCATCAGACAACATGACACCTTCTTCAACTGCAGCCAGGGACGACTGAAGCTACGGGACTTCATGGTACAAAGATGATAAAGAACTGTGTGTGTGTGTGAGAGAAAGAGGGAGAGAGAGAGAGAGAGAGAGCTGAGGAAAAGTCTCCACCTAGTGGCCGTTAAGAGTAACAGCAAAAGGACCAAATGTGCAGAATTAGTTCTGAAAATAGTCTATTTTAAGTGGATGTCTGGGTTGAAATCGAGTTCAGATATAAATAAACAATTTTGAGGGAAAGATAAGATTTTTGCCTCACTGTTAAATCATTTTATTTGTTTATTTGTTAGAATAAATCAGGTCAGCTGATCTTCTACGAGCGCCCCGACACCGATGGACCCAAACTGTCCCGTTACTCCATCAGTCCGACCAGCGACCCGACCGGTCTGAGGGTAAAACACCAGCTTGTGTGTGTATGAGTGTGTTTGTGATTATCCTCCACATCATATTCAGGGCTAATAAGTGTGTGTCTGTGTGTGTTTCTTTGTGCAGACCGTGCTGTCAGACGCACTCGGGGTCAAAGGGGAGGTGAAAAAGGAGCGGAAACTGTTTCTCGTCGGTCAGACCAGAGTTCACCTGGACGCGGTGGAGGGACTGGGGAGCTACATGGAGCTGGAGGTAAGACACACACACACACACACACACACACACACACACACACACACACACACACACACCTCACACTCTTGAGTATATTGTGTTGGATTTTAGGCTGATAAATGTTGATCATGTGAAATAATCGCAGAGGAGAAAAGAGAGGTGACGTCTGGGGAGAAGGAGTATTACATGGCCTCTGAGGAAGAGGATGGAGAATGAGTTTGAAGAATTTTTTCACAGTTGTTAGTACTTTAAACACAAAAATAACAGACTCTTTCGAAGTATCAAAATATTTGTTATTTACACATTCAAAGTAAAGAGTCAGAACTGAAGAAACAAAAATCTGCTTCCACAAATGAAGATGAAGTTTGAGTGCATCACGGTCTTTGACAGCAGAGTGTTTAAGGTATTTTAAAGTTTCCCTGTGGAGCTCAGAGCACAGGCAGAAAGACAGAGAGAGAGGGAGAGAGAAGAGCAGGTTACTGAGCTGGAAATCTCCTCAGTGAGAAAATGGAGTCGTCCTGAAAGACAAACAGGTGCGAGTGAACACGTGATGAACGAAATGGATGTGGAGAGTCGATAATTAAACTCACAGAGTAAAAATAACATGTATTTGTTCGTGCAGGTGGTGATGCGTCCAGAGCAGACGGTGGAAGAAGGACAGCAGGTTTGTATTTTGTTTTTTTTCAAATTTGATTCAACATTTATCGCCTTTTCAGCTGCGTGACTCTGTGTTCTATAAAACTAAATCTGATTATTTTTGTGATATTTTAGATCGCTGAGGATCTGATGGAGAAGCTCGGCGTCTCAAAGGAGAGTCTGGTAACTGGAGCGTACATGGACCTTATAATTAATGGGCAGAAAGAGACTTAAAACAAACGCACATCTGGAGACGGAAAAAAGGAGTCAGACAAAAATACTAAAACATCAGTAGAGTAAACAATCTCTCCAAACTTTACTAATGTGTCGTTCTGCACTATTGTCAGTTTATCTGAATAGTTCACTCTGTATTTAGTTTCTATGAAATTTCTTTAACTTTCTCTCTATGTTTGAATTTGATTAACTGAAACAAAATGAAAACTTTAAATTGTTACTGTCTTTTCTAAATAAATGAACTCGGTGTGTTCAAACAAAACTAGTCATGTGTTTTTGTTAATGTATCTAATACAAAGTTTGGTGGGTCCTTAAAAAACAGGATAATTCAACAAAACCACTCTGGACTACACCACTGTGATGGTTTATTTCAGCTGTCCAAACCTTGAAAAGAAACATTTACAGAAATGAAAGAAGAACATCCCATATTTGATGGATTCATGAAGAATTTATTCCCGTAATTTACCGTCTTGTACTCCGGTTTCATCCCACCAGCTCCTGAGGTAAAGTGCGCTAATTACATTAGCTAAGAAGCTAATGTTATTCTTCAGTTATGTTTTGGTCACCTTTCCTTTTAAAATCACTTCAAGATTTCAGGCAGTAAACATTTCAAAGTTGTAGAAGTGATGTTTGAGGAGTACTTCAGATGAGAAAAGTGTTGGTAATGTATTTCTAAGAGGGTTAAGATTCAGTAAGTAGCCAGCCTGGGGGGAGAAGCTGAGAGATCCATTAGTCTGCAGCTGCAGCTTGTTCTCAGGGATTTCTGTGAAAGCTTGACACCTGAACACACTTCAGATAAACATGTTAAACAGGATGTAATCTCCCACAGGTGGATGGTCGCCATGGAAACTCGGCAGCTGGGCGTTCAATCTGGAATTAAAATGTAAATCCTGGGAAACAAATAGTTCGGCTTAGTGGGAAAACTTCCAGAGCGGCACAAATGATCCTCCAAAAATGAAAAAGAAGAAACAGGTTTGTGAATTGTCTTTTCGTCTGTGTTTATAATCTCAGTATGGGTTTGTAGAGTCACTCGGATGATGTGAACTTACTCAGATTTGGACAAACACACTTTATTTAGGCTTCAACCAGTCGATTATCAAATATTTTACCTGAAGATTGTAACCAGAAATATTTGATAGTTGGTGTTGTATACTCTCGCTTGCCTCTCTTAAGAAAACAAATTCAGAGTAGAGGCTCCTCCGTGCCAGCAGAGGGTGCTGCAGCTCTGCAACAGGTCTGTATTACCCTGATATTACCATAAGATAATATAGAAGGTATTTGATCCAAAAGAAATGCAAAAATGAATGAATAGATACACAAAATCTCAAGCATATGCATTTAAAATGATAAAAACTAGGATCTGTTTGGTTTAATCTTGTATTTTGATGGTAGGAGGATTAAAATGACTTGAAACACAGCTGTGATTTTCGTCTCATGCTGCTCACAGCATAAAAACTGGTGGTTTTATTCATCTGTGTGTGTCTGCTGTGACAGTCATCGAAGGAATTAGTCATCATGAAATAAATACTGCCAGACGTGTGAACTGGATTCAGAATTGTAAATGAGTAATAAAAACATGCTGGGATAAATGATCAGGCTTAAGTCAGAGCCAGCAGCAGCCCATTAGAGCCAGTCGACTAGAACAAATTCAAAGGGAGTCTTTGAAACCGTGACCTCCATCCTGAAAAATGAAGCAGAGGTGGAAAAGAGAAAAACTGCAGTACCTTAAGTGACCACTAGAGGCTATTTCTGAAAGTAAGTTAATCTCCCGAGAGTCCAATATTAAAATGCCTGACTTTGCAGCAGAAATAGTAGGGTTGGGACGATATGCTTTTCTCCCGATTCGATTCTGCTTCCTTTTTTTTTTTTGATACTGATTTGATTTAAATTTAAATTCTACGATATTGTCGATTTTTTCGATCTTAAGTCTGCACGTTTAACACCAATGAAACAGTTGAATGGTTAGGATTGTCTACTGACTATTCCAGGAACCATATTTCCCCCCTAAAAAATACACATCCCATGTAAGTCAGTTTTTAAGATTTATTGTTAAATTTGAAAAAAAAAAAATAAATTTCTGATCACAAAAATCAACTTAAAAATTGTAAAACAAAAAATCACAATACTTATGTGGATCGATTTTTTTCGTCCACCCCCAAGAAATAGACAGCTAAGAGTTCATTTCTTCATTTATGATAACTGCACAGGGCTGAATTATTAAATGATTCAAAGAGAAGTTTAACCCTTGGTTCCTGTAAGTCCATCCAGCCCACTTTGTCCCCAAAACAGACATAGCAGGAACCGACGGTTAAAGAGACTTGGCGCCATGTTGAATTGGGAGTGGTGGTTTTTAAAAGACAACAATAACTGAGTTGTTACCACCAAAATCCGACTTTGGAGGTTGTCTTTGCAACAGGGGGATACATTCATTTTGAAACTAATGTTTGTTTTTATTTGTAAGCTTGTACAGAACTGGATGAACCTCATCAAATCTGTTACTTAGAGTTAAATCCACCACCAAGTCGAGTTACAGAACATTAAATCACAGTTTATTCTGGCCCGTATTCCTCTTAAACTTATTCCAGTCTCCAACTGTTTTTCTCCCCCCCCATGTTTTAATACCTGCGTTTGAAAACCAGAAGTAACTGTATCACACACAATCTGCTTGTTGACTCCATGGATGACATCAGGACTCCATCTGTTCTCACTGTTAAATAAACAGATTTTACTCGGTGTTCTCAGTCACAGTGGGCGGCGACTGCAGCAGAGCTGTAGAGGAGGAAATCTTTAGATTAGAGGTTTATTTTCTGCTGATGCTTCATCCATCAAGTCTGATCACTCCCTCACAGTGTCGGGGCCATTGTTTGTTTCATACATACAGATACAGCGACTCTTCATATGATTATAGATTTGACAGCCCGCTGAACCTCTAGAGCTTCATGAATAACTGTAATACTGATGGTTTTGGTTCTGCTGAACACAAAAATTAAGGAAATATCTGGTGTTAACAGGCTCCCAGAGAAGGGATCACCTAAACATGTCTTTGTAGAGGAGGAATAATTCAGATCTTTCACTGTAGCAAAACTATGAGCAATTCTGACCCCCTTTTTACTTCTTTATTTCAATGACTAGCTGATGCTGAAGATCCTCCAAGACCCATACATCCACTCAAAATAGACCGGCCTATTGCGGGAGGACCTCAGACATAGTTTGTCTAACCTGACAGTCTCATCTTGCTTTACTTGAAAATCTACCAAAATGACTTGATTTTATTTGATTGTATATAATACATAGGCAGAGTCTTATATTGGTTCCTGAAAAGACGTTCTGAAGCTCAGCGATCCCTGGTTCGAACTCCTGAAAAGTGCGAATGCAGTTCCTTCAACCTGGAATCACCCGACAGCAGATAGTTATTATTATACTCATTCATTATAGTTATAATTATGCTATATTATATGAATATGCACACAATTATTTTTGGTGAAAAACATACAAGTTCATTTTTTTTAAGTTTCTTTGGGTTTAAAAAAAATTTATGTAGTTAATGTAAGTTTTTCAATGGGACTAAATAGGTGTTCTATGGCATTTCGACCAGCCTCTAGTGGACACTTGAAGAACTGCCTTTTTTTTTTCATTTTGCATTGACCATTACCTTTATCTTTCAACACCATAGTTTGCTCCTTGACCACCAAAGGCCATTTTGTTATCAGGAAAACTTCAGCCACATTGCTAGCACAGCCAGGCAAGACATTTCCTCCAGCTCACAAAGTTTCTGCAATTTTGCAAGAAAACAACGCTCAACTATTCCAACCAGAGATTTGCTTCTGGCTGAAATGATCTGGGCACAAAACGATCAGATTAATTTTACTACTTAGCATCTTTGTTGTAGAATTAAGTCAGCCGTAGGGGAATAAAGTGTGCTTATACCTCCCAAAATTTAAAGTGCACCCTACTTCAAATGTGAAGCTTGTTAGATGATGTTTTTCCAAAGCTTGGGTCTTAAACTTGTTTTACTAAGACATGCAACTACTTGGGACACTGATGGCAGATGCAAGATAAGATTGCTGATGCTTGAATGAAGAGGATAATGAATCTATGTACAGAAAAGCCAAACGGTGCAGTTTCCTTTAGCTGCAAACCAAGTCATCAAAGCTGTCAATGCTTGGCTCTTTTATCAGCATTGTTAGAAGAAATACCATCTGCCGGTGATAAAGAATTCAAAGAGGACTGAATCAAATCCTCCATTAGCAGTTCAACAAGCAAGCTGCATTCAAAATGGACATTGAATTTTGAGACGAGGCAGCTCAATGCAACCTGTAAGAAGACCTCAGTAAGGTTTTTCACACTCATTGAAACAACGCCTTAGCGATGTGCCTTACTTTAAGCATGCCAAACCAAGACCCATGATGGATGAGAAAGTCCTGCAAACCCTTTCGACTCAGAATCAAGTGCACGGGTCATTTTGTTAGGATATGTTGAAGGAGAACCAAATGTTCTGTCTTTTCTTTGTGGTCATTTCAGGTTTCAGAAAATCGGACCCCATCTCAGGTAGAGTGAATTCTCAAAAGTATTCAAAGGACTCAGAGGGGTGTAGAAAGTGCTCCATTTCGCAGTCTGTCAGAGAAAAGAAGAGGGTACTGTGAATACCCACGGCAGAGAGACTCATCATTTACCAAATGAGTGAAGTCTGAAGATTCAGATCATTAAGGAAGTGCTGATATCAGCGGCAGGTGCGGGATGGGAAGATTCTGTTGAACATGACGCAAGAAGGAGAAAGACTTGAGCTGTGAAAGGGAAGTTTCTCAGAGATAAAGTTGATGAATTGAGACTCGATCGTGACAGTTATTGGATAGATTTGAGACAGAACTTCCAAGTCTGGCAGATAAATCGATATGGCGGTTGACTTCCTTTCCTGTTTATTTGTCAAAAACAACAAAGAGATCAGAGTAAAATCTCAAAAGCTATTGGATCAGTAACTCTTATGTTCGGTTCAACTCTCCATCAGTCATCTTAAGTAGTCTTGGAGCCTTGTAAATGTAATTTGGACTACTCTGGAGATTCCTTAATGTAGGGTGACCATACTCTGAATCCCCCCAAAAAAGGCCACAAATACCCGGGAGCGGAATCCCAGAGTCACGCATAATAAATTTTGAGAGTTGTTCAGGTCGGGTCGAGTGTTTTTAACGCGCTTCTAACTCAGTAAGTCTACGTGACACAAACTCAGAACTTCCATACAAAACCCCGGACAGTTGAAGGACTTTATTAACTCCCCTGGACAAGGCTGGACAACCCCCCAAAAAGAGGACATGTCCGGGTAAAAGAGGAGGTATGGTCACCCTAGCAGCTTTGAATGTTCTTGAAGCAACAAGAAGAAAACACAGAAAATTGCAACTCTGGGACACAACAATCTTCCAGTAGAGTCAAACCTAGTCCTTTCTATTCTACTTTGCTGTGATTGGCCTGGAAATAAAGTAGGACAAATAACAAGGAGTCTGTTTATCAGGGGTGTGTCCACTCTTTCTTGAAGTTCCACTCTGATCTTTTTTTTTCTCCTTTAAGTATTATCATTTGTCTTTAAAATGCGATTATTAAGTTTTTAGCCAAAATCCCATTACCTGTGTCATTTTCAAGGACTTTTCTTCTGCAGAGCTCTAGTAGCTCATTAGCACTTCGCCTCTGAGTTGTGGGCCGAGAAAGCGCTGCTCTGCACACTCCTCGCCTAACATTGCTGGTGTAGTAGAAGAGGCAGGTAACATAGAAGCTATTCAGCTCTCGGACACTAATGTCTTTAGGGACATGATAAATGTTCTCATCATTATCAGTTTTCTTATGAGCATTGCAATTCGCTAATGCACACGCTTGTTCCGCGATCGTCCTCTCTAATTTCCAAGTGTGGCCTGCATAGCGGGGCTTTGGGGGTGGAGCTTGGATTTGTGACATATGAAATCTCACTGTATCTGAACATGCCGTTGGGGTCTGTGAGAGATTTACAGTGATTTGAATATTCAGAAAATGCAATTTCGCACTCATTTTTCGTCATGATATGTCCTGTAGCATCAGAAAAATGCCATATAAACATGTAGACAACAAGAAAAACACGATTTTCATTGGAGTGGGTCTTTAATGGGTGTAACACAATTAAATGGCAGAGCATCATTTTCTGACTTCTAGCTTCAAGACGACTCACCTTCTGGGCAATTTGACTTTTTTTATGCAACCTGGAATATTGCCCCCCTCTGGCCATCTGAAAAACTGCATGTTTAAGAAACTCCGATTCCCCATGTCTTTTAGATCCAATATTATTCACACTCATATCTGCTTGTTTAGAAACTGTAATTAAGTATAAAACAGTAAGATGCGGTTTTGCCTTTCTAAAATGCTTCTTATTGAATTTTTGCACAGAAAAGTATCTCGGGTTGCTCGATTCTGATGTGACACTGCATGAGATTTACATTTTAGCATGAATCAGAGCTCTGAATATCGACATATTCATTCTGTCAGTTATTGATTATCATGTACTGCGCTGTGTGGCATAAACTCAGAGAATTAAATGGAGCAGATAAATGGAGCTGATGACAGAGTGAACAGTCATCCTCTCCCTCTAACATCTCTGTGACTGACTGAGAGAGGGAGGGAGGGAGGGAGGGAGGAAGCTTCACATGTGGAAAACACCCTCTTCATCTCCTCAAGCAGGGGTCATGTGACTCTTTGCCATGTGTGCTGCGATTGGCCGAGCATCAAGAGCCTCAAGACGGCGAAACAACCTAAAACATCTAAAATGAAAAATCACATTCGTCCCTTTTTTTTTCTCCTTCCCTCTTTGATGCAACAGGGTTGACCGTGATCAGCCGCTGATGGTGCTCGGATGCTGATTCTGAATCCCCTTTTTTTTTTTTTTTGCTTTTGCATCGTTGCCATGACAACGGGGCCGCTCCTCCACACCCACGCTGCTTACCCCCTCTCTCTCTTTCTGACAGCAAGCGAGAGAGAGAGAGAGAAAGAGAGAGAGAGAAAGAGAAGGAGAGGGAGAGAGAGGTGTGTTTTCTAACCCACGCATTGGAGTGGGAGACAACGTGCGCACTCTCACGTGCACGCTCACACACACACACATACACACACACACATGCTCATAACACAGAGAGTGTGTGTCATGCTAGCAGTGTGTGGGCTGAACCGACCAGCCTTCCACTCATCCTGCCTCTCCCTCCCTCCCTCTCTCTCTCTCTCTTTCCCTCTCTCCCTCTCTTCTTCCTCTCTCTTTTCGTCTCCAGATACACCTCCTCCTCCTCTTTTTCTTCTTCTTCCTCTTCTTCTTCTTCTTTTTTTCCCATCCTCCATCATCTTTTTCTCCTCCACCTCTCTTCTCCCTCCTTCTTCTTCCTTCTCTCCTCTCTCCATTAGTCCCTTTTCTTTTCAGTTTATCATCATGGAGAACGAGTCGCTGATCTTTTGGGTGAGTCTCTTCCTGCAGCTCAGTGTGTTGGTGTGTGTGTGTGTTGGTGTGTGTGTGTGTATGTAAATTAAATGTGTGTTTCGATGAAATGTGTGTGTGTGTGTGTGTGTGTGTGTTCATGTGTGTGTGTGTCTGTCACTTGCAGCCGCTCTGTAACTTTAAAAGTCGTGACTCAATTTTCTTCTCCCACTTTTCCGTTTTTACCTTTTCTCATCCTTGCATCTCATTTCCTTTCCTTGCTTACTTTCCTTGACTCCTTTCCTACCTCCCTTTTCCATGTTCCCTCTTTTTCTCCCCCTGCGAGCATTCCTTATCTGTTGTCTCATTTGCTTCCTTGCCCTCTTCCCTTTTTTTTCCTTTTGTAGTTTCCTTCCCTTCTGTGCGTCTGCATTTCCTTCTGTTACTTGTCACCTTCTTCCCTTTCCTAGCCTCTGCCTGTGGCACTTCTCCTCTGTCTAGATTTATTTCATATTCCCCCTCCCCTTCTCCCTAATCCTACATATGCTTCCTTACCTTCTTCCTCCTATCTTCCTGTCCTGTCCCTCTCTACTATCTGCATTTCTTTCCACCCACTTGCTCTCCTTTTTCTGTTTTTTTCCTCTTATAGTGATCATTTTTTTCTTTCAATGAAATTCTTTCATTTCCTTTCTCTCTGGTTTTCTCTTTTCCTTTTTATTTTCATATTTCTCGCCACATATTTTTTGCTCTCCTCCTTCTCTTTTATTCCTTTTTCCTCATTTTGATTCACTTCCTTTTTTCTCCTCATTTTGATTCACTTCCTTTTTTCGTTTCCTAGTTCACTCATCGAATCCTTACTCGTCCTATTTTGCTTCCTTTCCTTACCGTTACTCTTTTATCAATCGTTTTGTCCTCCTATCATTATTTATTTGTGCACCTCCTCTTCTTTTCTGTCCTTACCTTTTTTGTCTTCCTCTCCTTACTTTTTTCCTTGTTTCCTTTCCTCGCCTATTCACCTCTTTTCTTTCTACCTCTTGTTTCCCCTCACCTGCATCTTTGAGGAAGTTTTCCTAATCTTGCCATCTGAATTTCCTTCTGCTCTCAGTTGTTTCCTTATTCTCCTCTTTTCTGTCTCCCCCTAGTGAGTATTTTTATTTTTATTTCTAACAATTCCCCCGTGCTTCCTCTCTTCCCTTTCTTTCTTTTACTTTATTCTTTTCTTCCTTCCCTTTGTTTTTATGCTTCCTTCACACCCTTATCTTTCCTTCACTTTCTCAGTTCCTTTCCTTTCCTTTCTACTCTCTCCTTACTTGCCTTAATCCTTTCCTTTCCTTGCTTCCTCTGTTCCCTTCCCTTTCTTTGCATCTTCTTTTGACTCTTTTCTTGCTTTGCGTCCTTACTCCCCTTCTCTTTTATTTCCTTCTTTGCTTCCCTCCCTCTTGGTTCCTACTGTTCCTTTCCTTTGCCTCCTTTCCTTATCTTTGCTTTCCTTTCTTTCCATCCATTTGCTTTCTTTTCTTTCCAGTGCTTTCATTCTTCCTTTCTCATCTTCTCTCATCTTCGTCTATTCTCTTCTTGACTATCCACTTATCTGAATTCATTCCTTTCTTACCCACTTCTGCATTTTCTACCTTCTTCCTGATCTCCTTTCTCCTTATCTAAGTATCCTTTTTTATCCTTTTTTCATTGCCTTTCCTTTTTTCTTGTATCATTTGTTCTTTTTTCAATCTTTACCTTCTTTTACATGAGATTTCTCCTCTTCTGTACTTCATTTTCCCTTTTTTCTTCTTTCTTTTCCTCTTGCTTTCTTACTCCAGAACCTAATTTACGTTCCTTTTATCTATTATTGTTGAACTGTCACTCATCTTCTATCCTTTTAGTCATTATCTTCTTTTTCTCTTTTGACATCTCCTTTCTTTTTGCTGTTTCCTTACCATAATGCCTTTCCCTCCTTGTCTCCCCCCCATCCTTTCCTCTCCCTCTCAACTTCCCTCCCTTTTCTTTCCCTCTGCTTCTTCCCTTACTTTTCAGTCCTATAAAGTTTCTCCCCCTCCTTCCTTGTCTTTTCCTCCTACTCATTTGCGTTCCTATTTTTCATTTCCTATATTGCTTCCTTTTCTGTGTTTCCATCCACCCTCAGACGCCTTCTTTCCTTCCTTTCTGTTATCTCCTTCTGCCCTTGCTGAGTATCTTTCTCCTCGTTCCTTTTTTAAGTCTTCCTTTCCCCCTCCTGAACCCGGCTCTCTCTCCTCCCTCTTCTCATCTTTTATTGATCTCGTCCTCATCTGATCTTTCCTTCTTTTCTTTCTTCCTTTGCTAATTTTTTTTCGCTGCTTTAATTTCATTCTCACTCGCTCTTCTCTCTCTCTCTTTCTTTCATTTCTTTCCCTTTTCTTTCCCTCCTCCTCAAGTGTTCATCCTCTTCCCTCTCTCTTGCACTCTCTCGCCTTTTGATTTCCTGTTTCGGTTTCCTCCAGCATCCCTGTACCATCCTGAGTGTGTGCGTGTGTGTGTGTGAGCGTGTGTGTGTGTGTGTGTGTGTGTGTGTTATGTAAGCAGCAGCAGTGAGAGTGTGTAGGCCGTACTCTCAGACCGTCTATCTAAAGAGATGATCTGCTCAAACACTTCAAACAGGAACTGGATCGGCTGCTTCTCCTCCTGCAGTGCTCACACTCTTTAACATCACCTGGTTGTCATGGCAACATACTGAGCCCCCCCCCCCCCCCCTTCCTCCTTCTGGCTCTGTGACAGCCAGCTGGTTCTCAGGTGACTTCACCTTCCAGCGCTGGTGGTCAGAGGTTAAACTGCCTCGCCACACGAGAAAACAAGACAGGTTTTCTGTCTAGCAGAGAAAAATACCGGTACAGGACTACATATCCCATGATGCACGGCGTGTGTTCAGACCATATGGAGAGAAATCATTCCAGCATGAAGAGCTGCAACAGATAAAAAGTATCTCTGCTGGTGTGACTGACTCAAGCTCAGTCAACTTTATGCATCTATCTGCATCTATCTGCGTCTGTCTGCTCGACCGCAGAGCGCCTACATCTCCGCTTCATGTAACAAGCCACTAAAATCCTCCAAAGCTGGCGAAAGATGGCGCCCAGCAGGCATTTCACAGCATTCAGCGGACCCTATTTTGGTGGTTGGGAATGACAAATAGCGAGCGTCTTGCTCATAGACTCTATATACGTAGATATAGCCGCTGTGTTGTCGCCCATTGATTCCTGTTGTCTGGTCTGAAGTTTCGAATTTTCCGTCATGGTTGTCTCGAGTTTCCTTTAGAGCCAGAAGTGACCATATTTGTGCAAGTGGGCGGAGCTTAAAAGAGCAAGGGTTTGATGCTTTACCTGGTATCCTTCCATTTGTTTCTCTTCATCCTCCCTCATGTGAATCCTTACCCTTCTTCCATCCTTTCCTCCTTTCCTTCATTACTATCTGCATTTCCCTCCTCTGTTAATTGATGCCCCCACTCTGTGGTCTTCTCTGCCATCAGGATTTGTTCCCCTTCCTTTCTTGTTTGGTGTATTTCCTATATTCCACTTCCTTATTTGCTTCCTTGCCCTCCTCCCCTCCATCTTTCTCTTCTATCTGCATTTCTTTCCTCTTGTCATATACTGCCGTCTTTCCTTTCCTAGCCTCTGGTAACCTTCTCTCGGAGTAGGATTTGTTGTCCTTTATGTATTTTTTATCACTTTCGGTTCTCCTCATTTTCTTTCATTCTTCTCTCCCATCCTTCTCTACTTTCTGCATTTCTTTCCTCTGTTACTTGTTGCTTTATTTCCTTCCTAGCCTCCGTGTAGCCTTCTTCCTTATTAAGATTTGTTTCCTTTGATTCTTTCCTTGTTTGGTCTCCTTACTCATATGTATTCCTAGCTCTACCCTCCACCTTTCATCCTTTGCTTCTGTCCTTTTCCTTTATCTGCATTTCTTTTCCTAGTTACTTGCGACCTTCTTTCCTTTCCTACCCTCCTTGTAGCCTCCACTTTGATCTGGATTAGTTGGAGTTTTTTTTTCCTTTGCTTGTTGGGTCTCTTTTATGCTTCATATTCCCTTATTTGTTTCCTTGTCCTCTTCTATCTGCATTTCTGTCCTCAGTTACTTCCTCCCTTCCTAAAGTCGTGTTTCTCGCTGTTGGTTCGCTTGTCTTTTATATTGAATATCAGGGGAACAATCAGTCTCCTAATCTGAATAGAGGAACCTAGAGTATCTAGTGAGATTGAATTTATATGAATAAAATGAGACCTCTGTTTCCTTAGCACGTCAGCAGCACAGTGTTCAGAATCTTTCTGGTTCTGAATCAGCTGTGTGAGAGTCTTTTTTGGACAAGGTCAGGCTGATGTCTCCTGTCTACGCCTCTGTAACAGCTGTTTCAAAACTTCAGTCCTTGGATTTGAGTTTATTCTCTGAAACTGACGGCTTTATTCGAGTCAGTGTGCAGCTTTTTCTCTTTTAACTTTATTCTCATTGAATTAAGACATTATACCCAGGAATGAACATTTTATTCTCACAAATCAAGACTTTATTTTTCGTGAATCACAACTTTATTCTCATTGGATTGCAGCCTTTTTACTCTTATGACTCTTTCAGTTCATTCTTCCAAATTTTACGACTTCTCCTTTCATAATTTTACAAGTTTCATCTTAAAAATTTACATTTCTTTTTGCAGATTTGAAACTTTCTCTATGAAATTTACAACTTGACTGTTACAACTTAAAAGTTGAAATGTACAAATTTATACTTATAAGTTTACATTTTGGGTTTTTTTCAAAACTTAAATCTCTTAAAATTATGAGTTCATGCTAATTTGCTTGTGTCTTTATGCTTTAGGATTTATTTTTGAAAAAAATAGAGTTTCTTCTTATCAATTTGAGTCTCATTTCTCATAATTAATTTTTTTTTTGTTTTTTTTTTAAGTCTTGCAATTCAAATCGCAAAGACCAGAGTGTTAAAATCTTAAATATTTTTAATCCCTGACGTGGCTCTAATCCTCTGTTGTTGGATTTAAATGTTGTCAAATGTAATTTCTTAAAAAAACATTGAATTAATTATTTATTGGAGAACTTTCAAGATGGAGATGAAACGGCCTGAAATGAAACTGTTGCCTCTTTTGGAGCTGTGAAAGCAAATGAAACCTTCAGCTTAAAGTTTAATGATTTCAACATAGTTTATATGCTTTGGGGAAGGTTGTGCTGTTAAATAGGTAACAACTGTTTACAAACTGCAGTCTGTTTTTGGGAGGAAAAGGGTCAAACTGTCCTCTTAAATTATGCAGTTTCCATTCAGATGTGTAGCACATCTGTTATGTGATGGTTGGGATGCATAGACTCAAGACCAGAGGATTTTTCACAGACCCTGATTTCATAAGAAGATGTTTATAATTTAGATCCAAACAAAGTTAACTCAAGGCTTGTTCGTTAGTGTTTGTTTTAACGGCTATAATGAATATTTCAGCCTCCAGGCGGCGCTTTCTCAGCCTTCAGTTCTTTGTACTTTTTCTACAGACAAATAAAGAGAAAGAAACTGCAGCAGATCAGTTATTAGGTTCCCAGTGATGTGAGAAACTTGACAAGATAAAAAGTGTGTGTGTCAGATAGAGAGAGAGAGAGATGAGAATACAGTGTGTATTATCTGCTCTCACCAATGGTTACCATGGTAATGGCCAAGGGAGCTACATTTCTAGGACACACACATCCTGTTCGCACCTAACAATGAAAAGCATCGTGGCAATCTGACCAGGACCGGACCGCTTTAACTGAGCATGGATTAAGAGTTCTGTCGGGATCAGGTTGTTCAGATTCAGAGAGGGAACATTATGTGAGGTTGATTTGAGGACTCATACATGAAGGGTGAAACAGCTTCAACCTCAGTGTGTGCAAAGAGGAAAACTTAACTGTGAGAAAAAGTGGTTGTTTAGGAAGTATTTGATCCTTTTCATGGACAAAAACTACACAGGAAATACTTTAAATTAAGTCTAAAACCACACATTCAAAACTAGGAGTGTAGGGATAGACAACTGAGCAATTAAAAGGCATTATAGTCGACATAACTTAATATTTTATTATTGTAGTCTTGAAATGTTGTTTATATCTGTAGATCCCACCCTCTATTGGCAGCAATGTCTGCTGCCCTAAAACTGTACCACTCTACTACTGGGATGTAAACAAGCACAGATGAGTGATGGCATCTTGTAGCTCAGTGTATTTTTTCACATTTTGATCTGAGAAAATGGAGATGTAGTTGTATGAAGGCTCTGTTAAACCATCTGGCTGGGGCAGACATATGGAGTTATAGTGAGGCGGGTATAATCAACATTTGCTCGATAGCGTTTGAAGTTTAAGTGCTATTGTGCGTCAGTGTTTTACTTTTATATTTAATGTTTTTGAGTTGAACACAATCTACAAAACTGTACACATCTGGTGTTGAGAAATGAAGCCAATTGTGAAATACAAAAAAAAAAAAAAAAAATGCAGTTCCTCAAGTGTCCACTTGGGGCTGGCTCCAAAAGTGAGTCGATCCCCATAGAATCCTATGTTAAAATGTGCAACTTTACAGCAGACAACAAACATGTTTTCTGCCTCGCACAAAAATATTTTTGGTCTCTGTAGATTATTTCTCTTGGTATAAAAACTGAGGAAGGTTTTGATTTCATGTGAAAAATATCAGTTTGATTACACTGAGCCTTAAAGTAATGGGGCGGAGTCAGTGTGAAGTTTTGACTGAACTAGCTTATTTAGTACAAAATAAATATGTTTTACTTTCAGCTTTTTGGTTTAGATATTTTTTTGGGTGAATAACCCCCTATCCTTTTCGAGCACCACTCTCTACTCTAAATTATTTCCCTTTGGCTCCAGGAAAGTAACTTGGTAGGTGAAACTCCAGTCTCAGGAACTAACATGTGATATCATGGTGGCCACTCACATTGTTATGCAATCTATGGTTGTACGCTGCATTTCTTTTAAGCTTTCTTTCAGAGAAAATACCGTTAAGTATGTATTTCTTGTTGCACCCCAGCCGGCAGGGTTTTTGTTGGTGTTAAACTCACATTGTTGCTCTGTAACTTTTATAGTATTACATATAGAAAATGAAAACAGCTGCTTTTCTATTTGATCTGAAAAACACATATTCACATATGTTGATATAAGACTTCAAAATAATCCTCCTTTTTTCCCATGTCTGTTCCTCTATGGTTAACACTCACTTTATCCACCTCTTAAAGTCCTCTATATCATTTCAAAAACACTTAAAAACTCTCAGTGGACCTTTGTTGAACTTCTTTAGACTCTGAAAGCTCCTCAAACGCTCTTAAATGTAGAACAGTAATGGTGTATTTGAAGAGGGTCACAGTTATCCAGCCTGTTACATTCTGATTCAGTTGGTTTAAATATAGAACAATATTAATGTAAATTTATATCACATAAATAGGACAGTGATGCTCTAATTTGTCGCTGTGGTCACACCTCCTTAAGTTTGAGTACAAAGTGTTGCTGTTATTTTGAGTGCAGAAGTGTTTTTCAAGCTTTCACAGCGATAATGCCCACACATAAAAAAAAAAAAAACACGGACCCACATCGTTGCAAACTGAATAATCCGCTTGGAAGCTCAGTGTTTGGTTATTAAATATTCAGATTCTGTCCTGATGAAGAGTTCAGACTTTTTGTTTTTGTCTTGTTTTTTTTCTGAACTTTGATGGAAATTCAAGCGAGCTCCAGAGAAAAACAGTTGCATGTGTAATGTACATTAATGTAATTTCTTTCAAACTCCCCATCCTGGAGAATGTTCTGGAGTTAACTCAGTAGGAAATGTCACTTTCAAAGCCTGGCGTGAACTGGAGTCGGTCTGAATCAGGTCTACAGACGGTCTGGATCGGCCTCAGTCAAAGTCACAGGACAGATCAGTGTTTGAAAAAACACACAAAGAGACACAGTTGGTGTGATTGTGCTAGTGCGTGTGTGTCTGCGCGGTAGTGTTGGGTTATCAGTGCCGTCCAGCCTCCCAGCTTTTCCTGCCAAACATCCGTTTCCCCGGCAACCCAGACGGGAAACAGGAAGTGTTAGTCACAGGAAGTGCTTCTAATCTTTGTCAAGTCTTTTTTTTTTTTTTTGCTATGTTCTTATCCCAACATGTCCTCCTGCTGTCTGAGTCGTCATGGCGACATCATGGTTTCATCAACCTGCAGGCGCATCATCTGGTTAGCATACTGGTTGCAATTAGCGGGCTATCAGCTGGTTGCCAGTATGCCACAGGCTGACTAAACATTTACTCACCATTTATTGAGAGTGGGTCAACAAATCGCCTCATAAAACTGACAAAGCCTTTGAAAAACTCGGCAAATGGCGATTTTTTTTTTTTAAGTGACCATCTGCCAATAAGTCAAAAGTTCCTCAACAGGCTGCTATCTATGCTAACAAGCAACAAATGCTACTCATCCACCTGTCATCTGTGCTTCTGTACATCCAGGTAGAAAAGAAATGGCAAGTGGTGGAAAGTTGCACCCCTAGCTTAGACCCATCATATGAAAAATAGTTTTCAATTTCCACCTTAAAGTTTTAAAAACAACTGTTAAAGGCATGGTTGACGATCTGAGAAGCAAATTGAGCCATTGAGCCGGTAGAAGATCCTATGCTAGCCTCAAATAGAATTCACCATATCGGATTGCTAGTGACTAGCGGCAGTAAACGCCAGCTCTGCTAGCGAGTACCGTGTGCAGCTGCCTGGACAGCTACCGTGTTGACATCGCAGCGACTAATAAGAGTTATGGGGCAAGCAGAAGTGTTTTGTTTTGAGTCCTTCTCCATCACAGCTCCTGTAGCTAAGCTGCTACGCTACTTTTAGCCGCTCAGAGCTCTGAGGAGAGCCGGGAGAGTGGGAGGGGAAGAGTCGGAAGCACAGGAGAGGGGTGTGGATGGAGAGGCGGAGCAGGAGATTAACCAATAGGAGTTGTCCCGGACGGATGGCTCCCATTGGTCAATATTCTGAAGGGTGAACAGATTTTTTTCCATTCTTTTTTTCTCTTCGCTTTGTGGAAATAGCACTATAGGACCATGATCACCATAGAAACGAGGTTCATAATAATGACCAATCTCTCCAATCATCAACCATGCCTTTAAGAGTATAATTAATTAAAAATGGTTTGAGCGGATTTCAAGTAGGGAGCGTTTTGATTCACGTGCAAAGCTCTGCTCTATTTCCTCTGACTCCCTCTACGATCCGTCTCTTCTGTTCTTTCAGCGAAGCCAAACAAAATATCCAGTCGTTATCACTGAGTCCGTATGACTTTGTGTTCCCAGACATAACAGGGGTATGAATGCTAACTGTGGCTAACACTACCTCTGAGCGTGCTGCACCGAGTCCCACCAGCTCATCTGAGAATAGAAACACGGATCAATATTTAAAACTTTACATAATACAACATCGCAGCAGTTAGAAACACGGTTTAGGGCTCTTTCTTTTGGGCCTTGTTGCCATGATAACTGATAAAACAGCTTCTGATTGTGTAACTGACTGAACCTGCAATGGCCTCCACAAAATGCAACTGTGTCTGACCCAATTCTGATTTCAACCGCACGCTCCGACATCTCCCTACACTCCTCTTCTGACATGTTTTTTTTTTCTCCCCCTCCGCCTCCTCCTCCCCTCCTTCATATCCTGGTCTCCCTCTCCTTTACCTCCCACTGCCTCCTCCCTATCTTCCTCTCGCTCTTCCTCCCCCTTTTCCTCCTTTTCTACAGGATGGGCAGGGCAGTGCCGAGAATACAATCTGAAACTCTGAGACCTCTCACTTTACTGCAGGATTACTCCAAAACAACTGAAGTAATACGACAAAAACTACTTCAAATTTCTCTGTAAGAGTTCTTCATCTACTGCGGACTCGGCTCGACCTACAAGAGGAACTAAAACACCATCGGAAAATACTCCATCTACTGCAGAAAGTACTCATTCTACCACAACTGATCAGAGGATTACAACAGTCCATCCACGAAAGCCAATCTGTTTAAGTCAGACCAATCAGAACCTGACATCAAACCAGTATCAGACCAGTAGAGTGGATCAAACCAGTCCAGAAAGACCAGAAGAGACCAGCAGGAACCAGTAAAGGCCATTGGAAAAGTTTGATGGGACTGCTGACGATAGGTAAGTCCACCTGCTGGAGACGAACCGGCTTATCTGATTTTTTAAAATCATTTTATTTTCAGTTTTTTTTTCTTTTTAACAGCTTGTGCTGACGAGTCAAAATACTCCGTTCTGATTGGTTCAGGCTTAGTTAGAAACATGGAATCCCCCATTTTTGAGGTCACGTGACTTGAGGACACCACGCCCACCTCAATTGCTTTCAGTATTTTTAGATTGATATATTTTATCACAGTTGTACAACATATTTTAATAGCTACAGTGTCCTGATGAGATCTCTTAAATTACGTCCTCTGAGGTTCGTATTTTGTCGTTGGGTAAAAATCAATACAACTAAGAATGGCGATCAATACCAGATCAGAACCGGGTCTGATAGAACAAATACTGACTTGTTGTAAAATCTACTCGCTCCGTGAGGCCGGCAGCTGTCTGTCGATAAACTCTGTGTTTCTGAGAGATTCAGGAGTTTTTCACCCCACAAAGAAGATCAGTGTAGAGATCCAATCCCTTAAAAACAGAAGTAATCTGTGATGACGTGTGCATTAGTTTCAATAAAGCAGCGTAATATCATTTTAAGCCAAACCCTCTAAAAAAGGTCAGACACGTTTTACACCTCCTTGTTGACGTTGAGGCAAAAGTGTTCAGTCTGACTCTTGAAATACACATCGATATTTTAATCCAACAACAGCATGACCCTCCAAAATATAACGTTTTTTTCTGTGTTGTAGCATCTTTATCTAGAGGAAACAAACACCTGATTTCAACTGGGTACAAGATGAATTTCTACCTAAAAACAATCACAGTCAATTTACGCTTAAGTGCATTTCCAGAGAAAAGGATGCAACAGCTTCCGAGCTACAGATTAAGTATAAAATCTGGCTCTGATGGGATTATATATGAGTGATATGGGGAAAAGCTTCGACTTAAGTAAAAGATCTGACGACGCTCTAAAGTGCTTCCAGACAGTCTCAGTGTTTCCATTGTTGTGCTCGTCGCCTCATTTAGGACCAAGTTTCTGCTGTTTAATTCTCCTCTTAGACCCTCACTCTGTTCACTCCGTTCACTCCGTTCCTGGGATGTTTGAGGTCGGTGTGCTTTAAATCTCAGCGACTGGAGAGTAGAAATGACTCCTCGCTGGCTGACTTTATAGAAACCTTGACTCATTTTATCTGCTTTAAAGAGAAAGAAGAAGAAGTGAATTAGCTTTTTTTTTTTCTCACTTCCATTGAAGGTGATTGAATAACTTACATCTATTCCTCGGAGCAGCAGCACAAAACTTTTCAGTCTGAACAATCCTCATGAATCTGTATTATGCTCTGATCCATCCTTAAATCTTTCTCTGTGATATTGTTTGGGTTAGCACCTTTAATGCTAACCCTAATGGGATTTTTTCTGCATATTCCTGAACATTTACTGTGTCTAAAGTCTGTCTGATATGCATGCATACATAAATGAAAAGCAGACATCCACTGGGTGCAGATGCTCACCTAAAGGCGGTAGGTTGTGTTGGTTCTTCGCACATGACCCTCAAGTAAACCAGGTTTGCAGTGGTGACATGAACACAGGAGTTTAAGTGCGAACTCTCACTCAAGCTCCTGTTCTGTGGGTTGATTGTATGTCAGTTTCACCATCAAACACCTTCATCCTCCTCCTCCTCCTCTTCCTCCTCCTCTTCTTCTTCTTCCTGCTGCTGCTGCTGGAGGATATCTCTCTCACTTCTTCTGTCTGTGAAACACACATTTGCATTTCACACCGTGAGGCTGATTTTCCTCCTGATCACCTCGTGTGTTCAGCAGACAGACTGTGATCATTGTCAGCTGCTAACACAGTCGCTCCGCTCGCTAAAAGGGACATTCTGTCTTTTTCAATTATGTAAGAAGACTGAGGGGAGACAAATCTAAGCTCTTTTATCATTTTCTCCAACATCAAGAGAAATTACACTCAAACAATATCGCACCTTTATAGACCGCGGTGACGGTTTTAATGCCTCTGGTCTAATTTGAAGCAGAATTTTAGTGTCAGATGGGGTTATTTTGATGCATATGATAAAACCTTACCTCAATTTTTTCCTTTCTAGTTTAATTAGACATTTCAACAGAAGCTCACAGTCTGATTCAGCCGCTCAATCATAATTTACCTCTGAAAAGACAAAGAGATGCGGTCAAAGGAGAAAGCTTCCAACGCTGGGTTCAGGCGACACAGTACTCAGTGTCGTGAACAGTAATTACTCTTAATTTCAGGGTAATTGTTTGTGCCGCCTGTTTCTGAACAAAAAGTGGACTCATAAGGTGTTAAACTCCATGCATTGGAAGTTTATTGATGTTCTGAGCTTTCTGCGAACAAATTGGCTCCGTGACGGCAAAGCAAAGTGCTGAAAAATGTCTCAGTGGAGTGCACACTTAAACCCAGATGAGTGCTCGGGTCAGAGTCTTCGAATTAGCGAAATTGCGAAGCAGAATCGACCCACAGAACTGCAGAGAATGGCGGCATACCTGTCCTAGTGGTTCTGCAGACACTTGCTCAATAAAGGAGCCGAGCTGACCGTGATGGTCGGCACCGTCTCACATGACCTTAAGTTTGAAGAGATGATCTCACTGGAGAGAAGGTCGATTACAGAGGAGTGTTTCTAATTGAGCCGGAGCAACATACTGGAGGCCAACAGATAGATTACAAAATCTAGATTCAGATTCTTGTTTTGTCGTGACTAGGGGTGTACCGATCACAATTTTCTGGCTTTCTTTTATAACTGATAACATAAACCTTCGATGCTCCAATCTTCTTTTAATGAAGAACATTAAACATGTTTTAACTGCACATGAGGTAGTTCTCTCCAATATTAATGAAAAGTTGAGAATATTTCTGTCCAAACTACTAAATTATATCACTTCCTTTAGTCTTTTATTTTCCACGTTTTAAAAATTAACAATACTTGTGCAACAGGTCAGACTGCAGGCCTGTTTTGAGCCTCTTACCAAAATTGAGTGCACAGCAGTATTTTGCTTTTACAAATAAATCACAAGGTTTAAAGAAGTTAGTGAAATAATAATCTACAGGACAAACTAAACTGGTGGGCAGGTCATTCTGGCAAAAGCAAAAAGCTACAACGGCTGACTTTCAGACCTTTGCTGAGGTGGATAAGATCGGTGGAAAAATCGGTTTTAGGTGTAAGGATCAGCCGATCACTGATCCCACAAAATTGAGGAAATCAGCGCCGATCGATCAGCCGGATGATTTATCGGTGCATGTTCAAGTCACCTTATAAACACGGTGTAACCTGTCTAATGCTAAGTTAGATTACTCATCATTTTTTAGGAGTGTTAAATTAGGGTGACCATACTCTGACTTCCCAAAAAGAGGACACGACTACGCGGGGGCAGAGTTACGGAGTCACATGAAGTTAATTTCGAGAGTTTTTCGGGTCAGATCGAGTGTCTTTTACACTCTTCTAACTCAGTAAGTCCTCACGACACAAACTCGAAACTTCCGTACAAAACCGCAGACATTTGAAGGATTTTATAAACTTCCCTGGACAAAGCCGTACAAGCCTGAACAGCCCCCCAAAAAGAGGACATGTCCAGGTAAAAGAGGACGTATGGTCACCCTAGGTTAGATCAAGTAAAGTTGGCTATGAAGTGAAGGGAATAATTCCAATTTTAAAGTCAGAGTTCCAACTGGGACTAAGGCTTTTACACAATGGTCCCAGGAACCTTACGGCGATATTGTCCTAAAAAAACAGTTAAGTAGAGGAAACTGAAGGAAAAGAAGAAAACCGCCTCTTAAATGGCTTGAACAGAAAATGGAAATACACCCCCTTTAATGGAGAAATGAAGATCTTGCTGGAGATGTGCTGTGCCTCAGAATCCTAACTTGTTCAGGATTTAAACTTTTGAAAAACAGTCCTACTTGAAATAAACAGCCTGACTCTTCAACATCAGGTATTTGAAGTTAAACCTGCTCAGACTGAATCAGTCCAGCTGCAAAAGGCCTTGACAGCATCTGAAGAGTCAGTGGACGAATGCGTTTGGTAAAACTAAAATCCTCCTGATCGTGGTTCTTATTTCCTGATGAACGTAGCTGCTGTATTGTTCAGGCTGTGTGGGAGGACAACGGCTCTGCTCAGGACAAACACGGGAAATGATCAAAACGGTGACCCCGAGTTATTTTCAGGATGAAACCTCCCGCTGCGGCAGCTGAACAAGAATTTCACCCCTGGATGAGACAATGATGTGGAGCCAAAATCACAGCGAACATCCTGATTCAGATCAGTCGAGGAGGAAACCTGCGAACCAACCTGAGGAGACGTTACATAACAGAGCACTCTGCAGAGAAGAGAGGAGGAAAACAACCACTGCGAGCTGCACAAAAGCTGCTTCTGCTCCCACTGAGCATTACCTGAAGGACCCATTCACATTAACAGGCGGAGAGATAACCAGGGACGCTGCATTTTCAAGGGAAATTATGCTATGATTGCTCATAGTTGAAGTGTTTAGCTTAATTAGGCGTGAGAGAAAGACTGTCAGACAAGGTCCAGGCTGGAAAGAGGGATGTAGATGGAAAAAGAAAGAAGGAAAAGATGATGGGAAGAAAGGCGGATGGGATGGGCTCGTGACCTAAGGGTTGAGTCAGCTGTTTTTAACCAGAACGTTTTGCTGCGCATGCATCCTTTGTTTCACTTTCTCTTCTCCACAATCTTTGCTGCCCTCGAAGAAGATTCTGGAGCAGCTTTAATTTGGCAGTTAGTTAGACTCAATAAAAAGTCATTACATTTAGCCAAAATATGCCCCGACTTCAAACTGATTCAATCAGCCGTTAAGAAATTGGTGTTCAGGTTGTGCAACGTGTTTCACTCCCCAAACAATTTGTTATATTTGGATTTCTAACCTTAGATAGATGATGATGATTCAGTTCACGCTCTACAAGGAAGGGGAATCAAAAACCAGTTTTAACTAGTTTAAGTCACTGACAGTTTTTGCTTTTGGGGTGAACAACTTCTTTACAAGTAGGGCTGTAATCAACCAAAGAAACCCTTGGTCGACTAAAACCCTGAAATTTTCCACCTGGGGGATTTTTCCGTGGGGATTAACACATCTCGGTGGAGCGCAGCTCAGCAGGGTGAAAATATATTGATATCAGCACAAGAATGCAGTTAAACACAAAAGGCAAGTTGAAACGCTCAAAATAAAAATAAATATTCAGCAAACCACCGGATGTGATTAACGTGGACGCTCTTCAATCTTCCCGTCTACAGCCGGTCTCCAGTGGGTTGGATGAATTCAAAATGGTGAAAACAAGGGGGGTGCTCTGAAAACACCCCCATTAGCATTTGGTACCTTCCTCCTGATGAACTTAACCATAGACTGTAAATTGACCTGGAAAAAATTTAGTCCACCAATGAGAATTTTGGTCGACTCAGCATGTATCGACCAATAAGTCGACTAGGACTTTACAGCCCTGCTTACAAATGCCTTCCTCCTGTTAGTTTTGCACGTTTTCCAAAGAGGCAGTCACCATTTAAGACATCTGAGGAAGTCAAAAAGAGTCCAAACCATCATTGTGCAAAACATGATATTCTTGAATTAACAATATCAGCTCTGGAAGTTGAGCAATGTGATGTACAAACTTACAGTAAAATCCACTCGCTTTGTTAGACCAACAGCTTTCTGTTTATTAGGTCCCGTTGATACGTACCCAGTTATTTTTAAAAATGGACACTGTAACCATTGTTTGCGGCCTTCGTTTAGACGCAAACAGAGAATTCGCCCCTGACCAGAGTGGAAATTTTGAAAAATGCTGATTGCATGTAAACAGAGAAAAACGGGGGAAAATGGAGATTTGGGTAGCCGACGGCAGATTGTGCGCAGGAAAGATGGAAGGGACGCTGTTGTTGTTGCTGCTATGTGGGATTCTGATTGGCTAACGTGGGCTTGAGCTTCTCGCTACATTGCCACCCACGTTTGATATGCTCTTGACGGCATATACACGGGTTAGTGGAAACAAAACCGCATTCAGTTTTTTTTTGTCAACGGAAAGGGTGAAATGTCCGTTTATAAAAATAGCCAGGCACATATAAACGTAGTCTAAGTTTATGGAGATGACTTATTCCCCACAGATGAGTGACTAAATTATTACCCTCAACTAGCTTTACCTGTTATAAGAATGATGTTAGCATGATATTATCCAAGTGGCATTTAATAATCACATTTTTCATCGTAAGTCCAAAGAGAGGCATCATTCATGTCTGATTTAAATAAACCAAAAACTCCAAACTGATCATTATCTCTCTTGTTTTAGTCATGCAGATAGGCTGATTAAAACATTCAGTGATCTTTTATCAAACCTGATCTAACCGTTCAGTTCTCCCTGACTAAAATTGTTCGTTTTTTCCACTTCCGTGAGTGCAGTCAGAAACTCTTGTGTCATCCGGCGCTTTGACAACAGTCTGTGACACAGATTTCTGTTTGAACAGCTGTCACAAAGTTGGCTCCCCTTTTGTTTTAGCTTCATTTTGAAGGTTAATCCATCAAACAAGCTCCTATTTAATGAGCTTTTATTCTCGGCGCTGATGCACGAAAACCACAAATTAAAAAGAGGTTCAGAAGTTTTTCAATTTCTGTGTTTCTCTTGTTCTGACAAAATGCAGTCTCAGTTCAGAGCTCAGAGCAGGTGAAGATTAAAAGGAAACCATACTAACAGGAGAAATCTCTCATCTTCGCTTGCTGGAATGATTAATTGAGTTTTCAGTGTTTGTTGGCTTATTAAACAAACAGCGAGGGAGGTTTTGAGCGCGCTGAACCTGCTCGTTAGACTCATCAGGGGTAATCATCAGTGGTTGATTTCTATCAGGACGTTGACTTGAGGAGTTTCCTGGACGCTTTGTTCCCTGTGTTCAGTCGACTGAGCAGGAGAGGTGTTGCTTCAAAGTTTAAATTGCAGGATTCAGAGTCCGTGAATGGAGGATCTGGAGTGTTTCTGAAGTGCAAAAAACCTGCTGAAGGCTGAAAATCAAACCTCAAATCTCAAAGCTGATTGCAGAGGAAGAAAAAGGACAGAATGGAGTCACGTGGACGCTTACACCGCCCTCGTATATCAGGCTGCATCCATATAATTTGAAAAGGCATGGATACTGTATAGTAATATTACATAAGCAGCTAATCGGCTGTTCAGACGCTGTGTTTACTGTTCGGATCTGTCAAAACAAATGTAGTGAACTGGGATGATAACGCTGCTCACAGCTTTTGTTCCTGTTACACAACACCATCAAAAGCAACAAACTGATAACAGAAACAGAGAGTGCTGGCTGGGTCAAAATGAAACCATTAAATGTTTTTTTTCTGCAGAAGAGAAACGGAAGAAAAATGAAAGGGAAAGAGTTACAACTGAACCACATCTGAAAACAGACATTTCTATTTTATGATCAGCAGCTCAGCACTGAGATTGAAAACATGTTTGAACACACCAGTCTGATAGTTACAACAGTCTAAAATCTGAACTTTTAAAAGGTTGTAGCGCTAACTTTTTGGGAAAATTATCACAATATTAGTTAATCGTTATAACTCCCATACAATTGTATTTTTAGCTGTTAATCTCCTTGTTGGATGATCTGCAGCCTCTCGGTTTCTAACCTCATGCAGTGATATGAGTAGGCATGATGCTGATTGGCTGCCTAAAAAAAACAACACAGAGGCGGAAAAACACCAAAACGAATATGGCGAGTGCTCCAGAAGAATCTTAACTTTTAAAAGGTTGTAGCGCTAACTTTTTGGAGAAATTTTCACAAGATTAGTTAATCGTTATAACTCCCATACAATAGTATTTTTAGCTGTTAATCTCCTTGTTAGATGATATGCAGCCTCTCAGTTTCTAACTTCATCATCCATGCAGTGATACGAGTAGGCATGATGCTGATTGGCTGCCTAAATGACAAATGCAGAGGCGGAAAAACACCAAAACGAATATGGCGAGTGCTCCAGAAGAACAAGTCCCAGTCCAAAGACACGTGGGCTCTGCAGTTAACCATATATTATCATAAAGGTCAATGTCCAAGCCATAGACTGTATATACCATGGACAACTTGGTTCCGCCTTCCGCTACTGTACTGATTTGAAGCCAAAAAGCTTTTGCTATTTTGTTTCTTTTCTTCACTTCCTGAAACCAACATTGCGCAGTAGCATTGTGCGCATTCAGTGTGAGAGTTGCTATAATGACGACACTCGGCTCAAACAGCGTATCCCCCGGGTCAGCTATGCAATCTTCGTACAACCATAGGCTGTATCAAGTGTCAATCATAGAAAACATGAACCCCTAATAACTTTTAAAAATTGAGCTGCACAGAAAAAAGAGGACTTGAGCACAAACCAGTCTTACTGTAACTACATGTCAACATCACAACCAGGGAGGAGAAAAATGTTTATTCTGTGTAATACATTTCTAAAGTTTGTCCACAGCTCCATAGGGATTGCTGGAGGAGGCGGGATTTATGACCTATACTGCAGCCCGTCACCAGAGGGTGCTGTTCTCGGAGTGGCAGACGGTGTCCATTCTATATACAGTCTATGGTCCAAACAAACCAGATTTGAAGTGATCTTCATTTTAGGACTTGGTGATTGATTGAACGTCAATTCCAATTATCATTATTGCTTCTTGTGATCAATAAAATACGATTATTGGGTGTAAAAGCACTCAAACACAAGTGAGAGTCAATCAAGAGTTATTATTAAAATTAAGCTGGTCCATGCTGCTTAAAGCTATTTTGATTTTATTGACCATATCTGGTTTGTTTCCTGTTTGCAGATTTCTACAGAGAAGAATAAAAAGCTGATTTCTCCTCTAGGACCATCTCGGGTTAAATCAAACCAGACCTTCCTATGTTCAGATTTCCTCGCTCTCCCACAGATTCTTCATTTATGCGCATATTTCTGTTTATAGAGATCAGACCGGAAGAAACACTCGGGTACAGTCTGAGGAAGTGTCGTCTGCCATCGCTGCGAACGCTAATTTAAGAAACGCTCCTGCGGGTCATTTTAAAAGGTTAGGAAAACGCAGTGTATGGAGACGCATTGGTCAGAGCCGCTGTTGGAATATGCAGATTTTTAGCGGCTATAATGTGAAGGAGCTGTGTTTTCATGTGTGTGTGGGAGTCGAGTCTTAACGAGACACTGTGTGACTCAACATGAAGGAAATACAGTAGAAGCAAAACAAGAGCAGAGATGAAACATTTCGAAGCCACTCCTCGCCGCTCTAGTAACACAGGTGTAAAAGTGAACGTTTGTAATTGAAGTCTCCAGTACCCCCTTCCAGTGCATGATGGGATACTCTGCAGTGTGCTCTGACCCTGAATTGCGGCGAGTCGTGATAGAAAAAGGAGTGAATGAGTCTGTAATTTCTCTTCCTCTGGTCCTCTAACATTTCAGAGATTGACACGCCGTCCTGTGCGGTGAGGATTCACGCGACACGTTAGCGTTAAATATCGCTGCAATTACCGGCCTTTTACTGAACTGAATAAAAGGAAGTGATTCATTTCACAGGGCCGCTCCTCAGTGTCCTGCCAGCTCCGCTTAGATACTGTGGCTGTCTTTGCTTCATTTCAGCACGCTGTGAAAATCAAATCCCAGAGAGTTAAAATGTGTCGGAGAAATCGACTTCTACGTCCAAATGAAATTATCATCTAGGGCGAACGCAGCGAAGAACAAGGACTGTTTTCAAAACTGTCTGACGGTGTGTTCAAGGACACTCACACATCAGAGATTTCAGAGAGGATTCTGCCTCACCGTAAAAACACCGCCAAATTCACATCATTATTTAGGAAATAAAACTTGATTCATGATCCTCCAAGGCTTCTTGATTCGCTATCATGAGAGAAAGTCGATTTCCACTTTATGAGAGTTTTAAAGTGTATTTTCTAAAAGCAGATGAGTGTTATGAGTTTAAGCTGTCTGCTTGTTTGTGTTTGATTCTGTCAGGTAGAGATAAATATTTATACTCATATTTTACTAAGCTGTCAGGATGGTGTTTTAACATGTGAACCAGCGGAGATGAACAAGGTCTCCATGAGCTCATTTTTTAGGGAGTAACACAGGATTTCTGATCAGAAATGGCGACGATTTTTGCCATCGGCCAATTCCTACTGGATCCGTTTGTGAGGCGAATTTTGTGGCGGATTATAGAGAGCAGGATTTGCGAGAACTCACAAGAACCCGCGGATTCACATGCAGTCGCACGATAACAAGTCGTCTTTCGCCACATAGGATAACCATATAAGCAGCAGATTGTGTCCTTCCAGCGGAGGAAATCTACTTCTAGACTTCTATAATCAGCATCTCCTCATCCATGGTGTCATCGGGGTGAAATACTGTCTGAAAATCTTTTACTTGTTCATCTCCGCCCGTTTGCCTGGTGTGAATAATATCCGCCTGAAACACGGAGTGTTTCATTTTGTGTGTTTGCCCGACTTCCTTTCCAGCACGGGTTAATCTGTGCTGAATTTATGTGGCATGCTCCGAAGTCTGGGAAAAAATAGAGCTTTTGCGATCAGCTGCAGAGTCCGGCGATCCGCAGCAGACCGGTATGAAGCTGGTGGAAATTGACACATTGACTTGAATGGTTACGATCAGGTACGATCGGCGGATACGGCCTTTTCGTAGCCGTTCCAGATGTGGTGGAAATTGCCTGTCACTCAGAAAAGTGGCCTGTGACCATAGACTGTATACAGAATGGACACTGTCTGCCTCCTTGCTGGGTGAAGCCACCGTGAGAACAGCACCCTCTGGTGACAGACTGCAGTATAGGTCATAAATCCGGCCTCTTCCAGCAATTCCTATGGAGTTTTGGACAAACTTTAGACATTTATTACACAGAGTACAATTTTTTCTCCTCCCTGGTTGTGATGTTGACATGTAGTCACAGTAAGACTGGTTTGTGCTCAAGTCCTCTTTTTTCTATACAGCTCCGTTTTTAAAAGTTATTAGGGGGTTCATGTTTTCTATGATTGACACTTGTTATAGCCTATGGGTGTACAAAGTTTGCATAGCTCACCCGGGGGATACGCTGTTTGAACCAAGCGTCATCACAGCAACTCTCCCGCTGAATGCTTACAACGCTACTGCGCAAGTGGTGGTTCCAGGAAGAGGAGAAAACCCCGAAAATACAGAGCAATTCGGCTTCAAATTCGTATAATGACCGAAGGCAGAGTCCAATTGTCCATAGTATATACAGTCTATGGCCTGTGATGAGAATTTTTTAAAGAACATGAGACTGCTACTGCTAAACTCTGCGGATTAGCAACATTTTACTCATGACTGACCCCGACCGTGAGGACATGCTCGTGTTTCTCAATAAGAACAAGCATGAAGAAAACCGGACACAGTGAGTCTGACATATTATCCTGCTCAGTTTGTTGACTCTGCTCCACATGTTGATATCTATCATGTTCAGCGACCTGTCCCCCTCTAAAGAGTTCTGCGAAACCATCAGTCATGTCAGTATCATTTGGGTAAAAAATATCTGATTTTGGGGGAAAAAAACGTTTGATGTTGAATTTGTCACAGGTACATTTTAAATTTCTTGTTTTGCTCTCAAATTAATTTTCATATATATTTAAAATGACAGGTTAATCTTATATATTGTCAGTATTTTACCTGCCATCTCACCTGACTTAAAGTAGTTTGAGTAACGCAAATGCACCGGGAATCTGAGATTATAATCATTTTTAGTTCACGTGTACATCGACTTCACTTCTCATGATTGGAGTTTGCTGCTTGATTGAAACAATCAAAGCTTGTGCAAACTTTGATATGTTAGTGAAGCATAATCTCTGCGATGAATTTAATAGAAGAGAAAAACCATTGCTCAGTTTTTCAGTTTAAATTCAGTGTGTAGGTTGTTCCTCACATTACAGCTTCCTTTGCCAGTTTCAGCTCTGACTTTAAAATCACACATTATTATTCCCTGGAGACAGATTTAATATCTCTGCAGCTGACCTGCTTTAGTGTGACTCAAAGAGTCTGTCCGTTAATATTTCATTAGGAATAAAGCAGCGTCTCTGTTTTTCATAAAGATAGTTCAAAAGAATATTCATCTTATGGAGGAACTTGTTCAGGATATATACAGAAAACAAAATAAAGACTACAAATGGAGATATAATCCAAATTATACAGATAATAGACGTGTTATCTGTGAGGATTATGGGCGTGAATGAGGAGTTAAAAGCAGTCTGGTGTTTGAGACATGCATGTGTCCGTGCAGAGCCGCTCAGCTCTGCAGTGAAATCCCACTTCAAACATTAGAGACTCTCCACATCTGAACTGTGTCTGAACTCAAACTGCAGCCCATCTGTCTCTCCCGCAGTCCGTCTAAACTGATCTTAATGTCAGAAATCGATAGCCAATAAAAGCTGCTTTGGCGTTGAACGCACTAAAGTGTCCCAAAGGCGTTTGAGTGTTTTATCCTGCTGCGAAGAGGCCGAGCGAGGCTGACAGGACACACAGATAGAGAGAGAGAGAGAGAGAGAGAGAGAGTCAGCAGGTAGGTTGTTAGTTTTTAAAACTGGAACTGCGAAAATTGTTCAACCGCGTTACCATGGTAACAACGAGCATGTAGATCAGGGTTTTTTTTGTAACACACACACACACACACACACGCACACACACACACACAGAGTGACACTGCGAGGTTAGCACAGGATTCCCTGCTATCCCAGTTTCTATGACAACTCACAACTCATCCTCCTCTCTCTCTCTCTCTCTCTCTCTCTCTCCGTCAGTGTCTCTCGGCCTCGCTCGCTCTCTTATCTTGAGCTGTTTCTGAAGCCGTCGTTAGGCTCTAACTCCAGTTCTTTTCTGCTTCATTGGCAGGGATGCTAATCAAGTGCTAATTAGCTCAAATGATGATAGATACAAAATGATAATTAAATGAGTAATAATGTCTTGCACCAAAGAGAAATCAGCAATCTGCAGCCACGCAGACAGACAGACAGACAAGGTTCTGTAGGAGAATTTCAGGTGCAAAATATGTTAAGTGTCGGCGGAGAAACTGAACTTTTTACTGACAGTTTAAAAATTTAAAAGCTGCCTGTTAAAAGCAAATTAAGAGCCAAGTTCTAAAAACAATTTGGATTTTCTTTTAGTGAATTTACAAAAAAAAGACTTGGAAGAAAATGCGAGGTTGTCTGTCTGCATCCAGTCTTGTTGAAGAATCTTTAAAGTACCTCAGTCTATTATAGAGCCATGCTATTTAGTCTGTATTTATTGTATATACTTAATATTTTTTGTCTGTATTGTACTTACTTCTTATTTTTAATTTTATTTTGTATTTTTTTGCTGCTGTAACGTGAATTTCCCAGTTTGGGATCAATAAAGTACATCTATCTATCTATCTATCTATCTATCTATCTATCTATCTATCTATCTATCTATCTATCTATCTATCTATCTATCTATCTATCTATCTATGCAACAATAGTCGATAAAGGTACTAAATAAAAAAAAAAGTACTTAAAACACACTTCATTTTTTTAATATAACATCACAGTATAAGATATATTGAAATACGTTTTATCATTGTTCTGCGTGCTGTTTGTGGGTCTTTTTTTTTTTTGTATGGCTTTATCAAACTAATCCAGCCTTTCCAAATGTTCATTTTAAAGTTTTTGCATTCTTTTAATCCATCTCTATGAAAAACAACAATCATTAGCAGTCTTTTTCTGGGATGATATGTTCAACACAAAGGCTTAAAGCACTGAATAGATGCTGGTAGCTTTATTATAAGTCTGGAAAAGTCTAGAAATGCACCACTGAGTAAATCTGTGTCTTTACACATAGATACAAAGAGTTCTACTTTGCAGAGTTGGACTAGCTGTCTTCTTACCAAACTACTAATCCTCTGCATACAATAAGATATGTTTGGTGGCTCTGTTCTGGGAGCTCCTTACACTTTCACACACATATGCAGAATGCCAATGCAGGGATAGTAGTCCTCTGGGTACAGAACAGAGCAGCATCAGTGACATTAGATATGACATTTTTAAAACCAGGTACAGCGTGAAGTGAAGGAGCTGGAGTGGAGGAAGCAGTCCTGCATGCTTTATGAGATAGACAGTTAAAGAGGGTGCAGGAGCTGTGCAGAAAGTGAATCTGGCTCATTGTAATTCCTGCACTGTGACCTCCAACATGCGTCAGAAGAGAAACTTGGAATACAACCATAAAAACAGGTTTTGCATCTTAACAAAATATTCAAAAAAATCTCTAATTTTCCAACTGATGTGCTCTTTTCCTTCCTCTCCAATATTTTCCATAAAGTTTTTCATCTGTCGTGAATCTGCTGGTTGAACTATCCCCCAGAACAATCGGACTCCTCTGTGTGTCGTGTGTCTCTATGTGTGTGTGTGTGTGTGAGCACATTTTGCACAGGGTGGAAAAAAACAGGATGTGATGTAATGTCCTTCAACCATTATTATTATTAGCATTGGAGAAGGTGGAGGTCAGAATCAGCAGACAGCCTGACTAAGATTCAGACCAAACACTCGAGACCAGAGCAGGTTAGAGACACGTCAGTCTGGTTTGGAGAGAATCAAGTCGCAGAAAGACCTTTGTCACGGTGTTCCTGGAAAATCACAAGTGTAATCCGTTATATTGACATGTCTGCGATACTTTTTTATTATGCAGTCATACACCTAAACAGAGAGCAGCCATCATGACTGTTATTACTTACACCTTTGAAACTGCAAAATGTCTGCAGTGAGAAGAGTCTGTGGGAGGCTGTCAGATTCATGCTAATTCATCTCTGTATCTCTCGAACACAGTCCTACCCAGCTGGTAATGTTTTAATTATGCAGGGATACCTCTAAATCAAATCAAAAGTTGAGTGTCTTTCAGAGGAATACCGGTTTGAGGACGTGCGCCACAGCAAAATAAACAACTCGAAAGCTGCTCTGTGAAAATTCGAAGGTGTCTGCCTCACAACTTTTGGGTCCATTGGCGTTTTTGTATCGCTTAGCCACTCCTTAAACGGTGCACAAGCCTCTATTTCGCATTTGTTTTCTTCGATTTGTTAGAAGTCTGGTTCGGTCTTTCATCCTCTCTTGCTGTCTCACACTGACACCTCCTGTCCTCTTGTCTCTGCGGGTAACTTGTTGGCTATTAACTACCAATTAGTGACACTGAGGAACTATGACACGATACAATATGATATAAAACAGTAAACAATATCAGTTAACATATATTTCAATTAAACCGTGTCTAATATAATATATATTTTTAAGTGTTTTGTATGTATTTCATTCTCGAGGTTTTCCTTGTCCTTTGTGTTTCAGCCACATGCCTCTGAGTCCGGCTGCTGACACCAAACATGAACGCCCGCGGCAACAAGCGGTTACAAACGGCAACCCCACGGGCTCTGCTGTTGCCAGGGATGACGACGAAGATGACACGCCCTCCGGAAACAGTATCGTTGTCCGCATTGGCATCCCAGACCTGCAGCAGACGGTAAAAACACTATTTTATACATAGATGATAAATTAAGTTTAAAACTGAAGTTCTTTACTGAGAGATTAAGAAGAGAATAAAGACAATGAATGAATCAGCAGGACAAAACTGTGTGTCTGTCTGTCCATGTCTGTCTCTTTCTCTGTCTGTCTGTCTCTGGCCCTCTCAGAAGTGTTTGCGGTTGGACCCAGAGTTACCAGTTTGGACCAGTAAGCAGAGGGTTCTGGTGACGTTGACTCAGTCTCTGTCGGATGTTTTGAACTATGGTCTCTTCCAGCCGGCGTTCAATGGCCGAGCCGGAAAGTTTCTGGATGAAGAGCGGCTGCTGAAGGAGTATCCTCTCCCTCCCATCACGCCCATCCCATACCTGGAGGTACAGTTTATCTGATTTCACAAATCTGTAGATTAAATCCTTGGTTAATCTCCTTTTTATTTAACGATATTAAAGTGTTATTTAAAGCAGCTCACATAATAGGTCATAATAATTATCCTTAAAGAAAGAGTAGATTAGCAGAGATCTCAAAAACTCCTGGGCAGATATACAGTCTGGTTAGTTACTTAAAGTCAAGGTTGACGATCTGAGAAACAGTTGAACAAAAACTGAGCCGTTGAGGCAGATTTGAAAAAAGCGTCCCACCCCCACACACAAACCTCTCCCCTCTGTGCTCCACGATAACTCCCCCCTGAACCTGTATCACCCTCCCCACGACACACCCCCGCTGGCAGAGTAAGAAGGCGGCCGGCAGAAGATCCTACGCTAGCTTCAAATAGGATTCAATATGTCGTATTGCTAGTGACTAGCAGCAGTAAACGCCTCCTCTGCTAGCGAGCAGCGTCTGCAGCTGCCTGGACAGCTACCGTGTTGACATTGAAAAGACTAATAAGATTTATTTATGTAACATGTGCCACGATAAAAGGCGATAAAAATTACCTGTTCAACAAAAACTCTGCTGTCTCGGCGTCTGTTTTCAGGCCCAAATCCTGGCAGAGCTTTCTCCGAAGGATGACCCGATGTTTATTCAAGTTAGATTCCTCACTTGGTCATGTTTCCTCTTCGTCTCTGCCCTTTCTTCTGTCGGCTTGCATTTTCCTCCCACTTTTGGCGTTAGGGCAAGCAAAAGTGGTTGTTTTGTGTCCTTCTCCATCACAGCTCCTCTAGCTAAGCTGCTACGCTACTTTTAGCCACTCAGACCTCCGAGGAGGGCCGAGTGGGAGGGGACAAGTCGGAAACACGGGAGAGAGGTGTGTCGAATACAGCGAGGTGATTGGATGGTGAGGCAGAGCAGGAGATTGACCAATAGGAGCTGTCCGGGACAGATGGCTCCTATTGGTCAATGTTTTTTGCAGCCCTGCACCTGCTAGGGTGAACATTCTTTTTTCTTTTCACTTTGTGGAGATCGCACTATTGGACCGAGATCGCCATAGAAACGAGGTTCATAATAATTACCAATCTCTCCAATCGTGAACCATGCCTTTAAATAGTAGTTCAAGGATGGATTCAAAGTCAGTGACGTGCAGGGATAAACCAGTGCCCTCAGTATTGATAAAGCATCTATCTATCTATCTATCTATCTATCTATCTATCTATCCATCCATCCATCCATCCATCCATCCATCCATCCATCCATCCATCCATCCATCTAACGACTAGTAGAGAGGATGCCTGCCTCCTGGACCCTCTTGAACATTTAACCTGTGCATCATTGAGGTTGATGCACGGGTATTTTGTGCTCTATAGTCAGGAAAAGAGGATAAACTAGACATTTTAGGGCTGTTTTTTTTTTTTTTAACATCCAGCGTATTTTTATTATCTTTTGTTTTTTTCTTGAGGTTGATTATGAAAAATCAAGTCCTTGATGACTTGAATATTTGAGCTTCGGTTCAAACCATCACCAACCTTTCCCTTATTTATTCACAGTTTCGTTACAAGCGGAGAGTTTACACGCAGAGCTACGTGGATGACAAACAGCTGGCTAAGCTTCACACAAAGGTACGCACACATAACAAATACACCTCTAGTGAATCACATTAAGTGCGGCTATAGACACAGGTATTGTCCTTTAAGCAGGTCTAGACAATAGAAAGCCTTTAAAGTGTGTAATTATGTATATTTACTCCCACTCGTCCTTAAAATAACAGCACCAATCACTTTTGTATTCAGTGTTTTGACAAATATCTCCTTTTTTTCTCCTCTGAATGCCCCATTGAAGATATTGTTGTACTTTGATGCCATTGTTTTACAGGCCAACCTTAAGCGCTTTATGGATTATGTTCATCAGAAAAATGTGGAAAAGGTTGCCAAATGGTTGGAAAAGGGCCTGGACCCAAACTTTCATGATTCTGACAGTGGAGGTAAGCTGGAAAAAACACACTGTAATATTAACATTTCAGTTTTTAATTTCTTTTTAAATTCATCTGTTTTACTGTATGTTCATTCTGCTGTGCATGTTTTAAAGGCTGTTTTATTCATGTTTTTAGTGCCAGGCACCAGAATAAACCTTAAAAAAGCCGTTATGTAAATTGTGTGTATAATTGACGACCTAAAACTCCTCCTCAAGTAATTAAAACCTCCACATTTCCAGAGCAAACACTGACGACATGACCCCTGTGTCCCCAGTCCCACATACTTATTTTATATCCTGTGATGTGCTCTCATTTTGGAACAATAATAACCTTCCTGTCTGGGCTGTTTGTGTCTCAGAGTGTCCTCTGACTCTGGCGGTCCAGCTGGAGGAGAGCTGTGATTTGATTAAAGTTCTCCGCAGTGGAGGAGCTCACCTTGACTTCAGGACCAGAGATGGCATCACCGCTCTGCACCGGGCCGTCCTCTGCAGGAACAGCACCTCCCTCACCGTGAGGAAAAAACACAACTCTGTGATGTTTCATATTTCTCAGGGACAAAAGACAGCAGTGGAAAGATTATAAATACATTTACTCAAGAAGAGCTGCGTCTAAAGGGAGTTCTTGTACAGAGCCAAACAATAAATTGCTGTTTCATTGCTGCTGCAGTCAGAGCAGTGGCAATAAACACATCGCTTAATATGAGCTTCTCTATAAATAAGAAAAATATTGAACGTAAGTGCAACGATTAAATGCAACCAGCATGAAGTCCAAACTATCTCATCGGCTTTATCATCCCACTATAACCAGTCGGATACTTCTCATTTAACAGTATTGTACAGCTATAGCTTTTAAATAGCTGTTCTTACATCATTTTTGCAGCGTTTTGTAATCTCTATCAGCAGTATGCAAGTCTGTGCATTTTCTGCGAGTGAACAGAAACTCCTCACAGAAGCTTTAAGCTTTAGTGTTGTTGTAAAATCAGTCTGGTGATGCTGCCTCTGATGCGACTACAACCATCACAGCAGCTGTTACTTGTACAACTGCAGCTTTTAAGTAGCTTCTCTTATGTTCACATTTTCAGCATCTCCACACAGGAAGAGCATTTTTTTCTGGTTTGAGTTTGTTTTTTTGTTTTAACCAATCAGATCTTCACACAAAAGCTTTAAATTTATGTTTGCACATGATTTTCTTCCTTTATTGTGCAGGCCTGTTCTTGGGTCCTATTTTTATGTATTTGGGGGTTTACATTACCTATAGGCAGGGCTCGACAGTGTGACCATTTCACTCGGATTTGTTACTAAAAATAGATGTGTGAGAATTATAAAATGTATTTAGGGGCACATGTGCACATAAAAAAAATTAGCTGAGGCAAAAAATGTTTTTTCATGTAAACAGAGCAGTGAAGTTAGTTTTAGGTTGGATATCCGACGGACATTCACTGCAGATGTTCCAGTGTCCTCTAACTCTCCATAATTGGGAATAGCAACAGCAGCACGGTTAAATCTACTTGGCACCCTCGCTGTCAACGTCAGATGTTGAATAAGGGACCATCAATAAATTACTGTTGATTTTCTCAAAAAAGGCTGTTTTCCTTCAATAGCTTCCATGTCATGTGACCAATTGACCTCAAATTGATTTCAAATAATAATACTAAGGTCGGACAGTAAGACACACCTCTTTATTTCCCTAATTTGTCCACTAAAAATTCTTAAATTTTCTTAAATTAAAAGGCAAATTTTGAACATTTTTCCTAAATAGCTTCTATGTCCTGTGACCAATTGACCTAAAATTGATTTCAAATAATAGTAGTAAAATCGGACAGTAAGACAAACATTATTTGATCAATTTTCAACGTGCCCCTAAAGTTCTTTGTGTGCTCCTTAGTTTTTTAGGAGCACATGTTGTCCTTGTGAAGAAAGTTTGTGTCAAGCCCTGCCTGTGGGTACAAAAGGTTTGGGAACAAATCTGGTTAACTTGTTCCAGCTTGTAGCAGTATACAAGATTGTTATAGCTACAACACAATCCTTGGTATTAATGACTCCACAGGAATTCTGTCTGCCCAAAGTTCTTGTTTTTGTCACAGAAAGGCTCAGATTGATAAAAGATTCTTACAGATTCAAACCTTTGAGATAAAGAGTCAGTTGTTTTCTGTTGTTTTACAGTCTTCTCATGCAGTTCTGAAACTTTTTTGTACACTTGAATCATTTAACCCTACAAATTTACTAAAAAAAATGGGCACAGGTTAAAAACAGTGGACTCTCCCTTTAAATTGAACCCTACCCTCTGCCTCCTCTCTGTCTCCAGACTCTCCTGGACCTCGGGGCGTCTCCAGACTACAAGGACAGTCGAGGTCTCACCCCGCTCTATCACTCTGCCATGGTTGGCGGCGCCCCCTACTGCTGCGAGCTGCTGCTGCAGGACCACGCCACCATCGGTACGGAGGCCCACAAGGGTCAAACCTGTGTTGCATCCAGATGTCTGTTATGAAACACCTACACCTGTGAGAGCTTGATGACATCACAGCTGACCTCTGAACTTTTCACTGTGGCTGCTTTTGTCTGTTAATGTTTGTTTGTGTCTGTCGTGAGAGAAAACACTTAACCAGTGAAAGCACCCTTGTTGTCATGGTTACAGGGATGACGGATGAGAACGGCTGGCAGGAAATCCACCAGGTGACACTCACACACACACTTCAGCACAAACACACACACATACACATACGTACAACCGGTTAATTACTCGCCCTGAACAATTATAATTCTGTGGGTGTTTGTGTGCGTGAATTCAGGCCTGTCGCTTTGGCAACGTGCAGCACTTAGAACACCTGCTGTTCTACGGGGCGGACATGAGTTCCCAGAACGCTTCGGGAAACACTGCACTGCACCTGTGTGCTCTGTACAACCAGGTAACGCAGCAAACTCACAATGAAAGTTTCAGTTTTCAAACATTTTTCACATTTCTATATAAACAATGTTCGTTTAACAGTTTTTTTAAGTTTTAACATCTAAAAGTTTAAAGTCGTAATAAAAATTTTGCTGTGGATTATTGCAGGACAGCTGTGCCAGAGTGCTGCTGTTCAGAGGAGCAAATAAAGACATCAAAAACTACAACAACCAAACTGCCTTCCAGGTAAAGACAGAAGAAAAACTACAAAATACAAATGTCCAGTCAGTAACATGACATACTGTAAAAACTGAGGTGAAGATACAGTGAACAAAACTGCATTTCAGGTTAGATAACAAAAAACTACAACTTCCATAAAGCTTGGAAGGTAAGCTTAGTGTTAAAAAGTTAAATAGATCGTTAATATTCAACCCATAAGTTGTGTCTAAGCTGTAAAAAGCTACAGCTCTGCCACTAGACGGTGCTACAGCTGCTGCCGTGATGATTTAATGGTCCACGACCTGGATGGAAACAAGCACAGATGACACCCGGCATCCGGCCTGTTTTGTCAGAATTTTTATCAAGAAAGTGTCAATAAAGTTGTCCGGTAAACTGACCAGCAACCACTTGACCACTTGACGGTCTTGCGAGGACCGAAGACTGTTGATGTTAGCTCCACTCTGCTAACCAATTTGACACCTCTTGTGCAAACTCTAAGTTTTAAGGTCCTTAAAACTTTTCCCGGGGAAAGTCCCGCCTCCTTCGCCTCTGATTGGCTTGAAAAGCTGGAAATGTCATCACATGCTCAAGCCAAACGGTCAGCACTTATAGCCAATCAAAGGCAATAAGATAAGCACATGAAACTATGGTAACAACCGTTAGCTTACGTTAGCACAGATGAAAGTTAAAACAAAGACGTTTAGCAAACTGTTAAAGCACACAAACCATCGTCATATGAGAGATCCGACGCTATGTTGTCCTTCAGGTCGTTATCTTTGTAATGTTTGTGTCTTTTATCAAAAAGCACTCTGTTCTCCGACATGTAAACAATCAGCCGGTCGGCCATGTTGGATATACTGGTGAATCCGACGTCGCAAAAACACGCAATCTGATTGGTTAGAAGTGGACACACAGTATGCAAAACTTTAGAAAAAGCGACCATGATAAGAAAAAATAAATGCCGCAATATCGCAGGACGGGAAAACGTCGCTGATGTGAACGCTTGTATTGACGTCCGAAATAATCGCATGACAAAAACAGTCCCGGTGTAAAAGGACCTTCAGAGACATATTTACATAGTCGATTCATACACCATCAGTATCTTTATGGTATCTAAAGGTAGTAAAATAAACTATCTTTGAGCTTATATAAGATGCATTTATAAAAATCTGAAACTCCTCTTCTTGAAGTAAAAATTAGGTCAAAGGAAATGGACCATCTTTCTTTGATTATTTGATTAAAACTTATCCTCCTGAAAAGCTCTTTAGAGGAAACTACTAAGCCCTTTCTAAAACCCTGAAATCTTTATATTTTTGTTCTGTTTGTAAAGACTTCAGTTGGAATTAAATGGGCTTTGGCCTGAAAACAGACGGCAAGGCCAGAAAGAACAGAAAGCTGGACTAAAACATGAAGAAAACACAATGAGAGACACATCTATAAGAAGGGCAGACTCTTCCTTTTAATGGATTTATATGAAAAACAACCGTCTGATCCATCTGTTGGTGTTGTGATACATAAGCTCTTTGTGCGTGTGTGTAGGTGGCGATAATTGCTGGAAACTTTGATCTCGCAGAAATCATCAAGATCCACAAAGCCTCTGACGTTGGTGAGTTTGCTCAGAGAGTGAACACATTAAGCGGTGTGTCTCAGTTTGAGCTCAGACGTAACGTTAGCTGGTTAAGTGAAATCTCTCTGTGTGTGTCTTTTCCGTGTCTAAGTAGTTCCCTTTAGAGAAACTCCATCCTACACGAAGCGCCGACGATTCGGCGGATCCAGGACGACGGCTGGGAACGGTCTTTCTTCTCCTCGCTCCCTGATTCGCTCAGCCAGCGACAATGCTCTGGAAAGCCCCGCCTCTTCTCCTGGCCCCTCCCTCCAAAGCCTGGAAACGCATCATGACACGCATACGCACTCTCTTCGACGACACACACGCCGCCTCAGGTACGAACAAGTAAACCACCAACATACAAACTTATTATTATTCACATTGTTTTTTTCTGCACAGCATCTGGTGCAGAAATCTGTTTTTTCTGCAGTTCTGGTGGATTTAGATATAAAGTTTGCTTCTCTACTAATTTAGATGGCCTTGCATCCATTATTATTAGAGTTTGTTTGAGATACCATCAGTTCTGTTAAGTTGTCAGTATCTGCGTTGGTGCAGAAGGTATTTCTGGTATAGATTAAGAACATACTGGTGTAGGTGTAGTAATGCTAAAGGACTGGGACTCCTGTATTAGTATTGATCAAGCCAGCACCAAGTATTATTCAGTTTGCATCTGATCAGCTGAGGATAGAGGGTTAGTGGTCCTAAGATGAAGCAAACAGCACTTTGGTTTGGTGGAGTTGGCGACACGGTAGACTGTTGTCCGACACTAACATGGAGGGTGTTGTACAGCCGCACTGCAGCAGGTGTAAACATCTAATCTTCCAAAACTTGCAGCATTTTGGCTAAACTTGACAATGAAGTGACTGAAAATAGTTAGTGTGACTGTAGCGAGTGTCATTACAGCTGTTGGACAAACATTGGACACGCTTTGTTTAAGATTGGCAGCCATGTTTCTCATGATGGCATCAGTTTGTTTTTGACATCTGGTATCATTGCCACTGTTGTCACCAGTAGTGTGAATGTAGTTGAACGCAGTACAGCTGTAGTTTGCAAATGAAAATGAACGTTTTGTCTGACCGTTGCTAGGGTGACCATACATCCTCTTTTACCTGGACATGTCCACTTTTTGGGGGGCTGTCTGGCCTTGTCTGGGGGAGTTCATAAAATTGTTTAAATGTCCAGGGTTTTGTATGGAAGTTTTGAGTTTGTGTCACATGGACTTACTGAGTTAGAAACACATAAAAAAACACTCAATCTGACCCCAAAAACTCTCAAAATTAACTATGCCCGATTCTGTGACTCCGCTAGCCTGGCTGGGCCATCCAGTTGTGTGAATCACTTGCCGTTCCTTCCCACAACAGTCTGGACTGCGGCCAATTGGGAGCGTGTATTACAAATCAGAAAATAATATCCAACGTTTTCTGTGGATGTAAACGATTTCTGCCAACTTTGCAAAGTCAACTGCAGAATTAACGGCGTTCTGAAAAGTCCTGCAGCATGTGTTAGACGTCACCATCTACACATGGACCAATCAGGGGCTGCCTTTCCCTGTTGTCCGGGGAACAGTGGAAACACAGTCACTGATTGGCCCGGTTATTTTCTGATTTCTAATACACGCTCCCAATTGGACGATGTCCAGACTGTTGTGGGAAGGAACGGCAAGTGATTCACACAACTGGATGGCCCAGCCAGGCTATGACTCCGCCCCCTCGTAGTTGTGTCCTCTTTTTGGGGATTCAGGATATGGCCACCTTAGTCAATACAACTGTTGAACAAATGCTGGGCACACTTTAAGATTGGCGACCATGTTTCTCATGATGGCATCAGTTTGTTTTTGATGTATCATTACCACCTAAAGTATGAATGTAGTTGGATGCAGTAAAGCTGTAATTTGCTAATGAAAACGGACCTTTTGACGCTGTCCAATCATTGCTGTATTTGCAAGGTGTTGAGCTTAAACTGGCAGCTGTTGTAAAGTGGCCAGATGTCTCTGATTTCCGGGGACAGTTCCCGTATTGGATGACCTGTCCCCGGCTAAAGCTGTCCCTGGAAATGTCCCCGATTTAAGCGTTTCATGAATGAAAACAAAAATGTTGCGTGTAGACTAGAACAATAGTTATTACGGTAGCCGAGTAGGTAGGAAGTGCGAGTAAGCATGTTGCGTGCAGTCCTGAACATTCATGGGGGGCGTGTGCTGCTACTCTCCAGAAGTATAGGCACCTCCACCCCCACAATGTTCCTGCATTTCATTACAGAAATCTTGTCACCTTTATCTGTAGGGCTGAAAGGACAGTTGCTTTACTTTGAAATTGTCCGTCTCATAAGATGGTAACTGCATGACTGTAGTGTGCAACAGTATGACTGTTCTTGACAACAGTTTGGCTGTTTTGGTAAGCATGGTGCATGTATCTCTCTATGGCATGGTGTACTGCTGTTTTTGGCGAGTATACAGTCCAGCTGGCACCAGTATTACCTTTCTTGGTAGCAGCACGACTGCGGTTGGCAACGGCATGGCTGTATCTGGCAGCAGTAAGACTGTTGTTTGACACATTCTGGATGAAATTTGGCTGTATTTTAAAACAGTGATGCTTTCATTGGCTGCTGTGCATCTGCAGATGGCAACAATTATGCTTCAGTTGGACACAGTATGGATTTACTTAGCAACAGAATCCCTTGATCTGGCAACACTAGACAGCAAAATGTACAGCGGCTCTTGAGATGGCAACAATACTATTGTAGATTCAGCAGTGGAGATTAAGTTGCAGCAATTCAGCTTATACAGGTCATAACATCTTTTGCTGTTGTAGGCAAGACAACAGCTTTAGTTGCTAACAATGTAGTTTGAATCATATTTCTGTGGCTGGATGTGGAATGACTGGTGTTCAACGGTAAAGCTCTGATCTGCAACTGAATTTCTTTAGATTTCCTCCGGTACAGTCGTAGTTGGCAGCAGTCGGACTGTACTTGGCAGCAGTTGCTGTAGTTGGCAGCAAAGAGAAAGTTGTTGGCAACAGTGATGCTGTATTTGGCAACAGTGCATGATGCAGTTGGCAACCTACCATCTTAAGCAACAGTGATGGGTTGTCCGTGTCATGCACAGAGTTTGGCTGCGGTCTGCAACAATTTGAAGATTTATGCAAAAAAAACTTTGGGTTTCGTTAGCAACAGCCTGACTGTAGTTGTGATAAATTGGCTGATGTTGGCAATAGCAACACTCAACTTGGACCCAGTATGGCTTTGGTCAGCAGGAGTGTTAGTTTAGTTGGCAGCATTTTATACTTACTTGGCTTCAGTGCAACTATTAAGAACGGTGTGACTGTAGTTGTGCATGAAGGCTGTGTTTCAAAACAAACTGTGGTTTGAGAAGCTGCAGGGCTGCAGGTTGCAAAAGTTTGACTGTTGTTCGCAGCAGTATGGGTACGGTATGGCTTTCTTTCAGGGAGTTAGTAGATTTCAGTGTGTTGCAGATTATGTATACAGCTCAAAGGAAAATGTTAACAGTCAACATCTAGAGCCGATTTGAAAAAAGAGATAAAGTTGTTATAATTTAGAAGGATTTGAAATATTTAAAAAGCCAAGATTCAGAACTAAACTGAAGGAGCGCTGTGTTACAGTGGGAGGAATAAGTTTGTGGAACAATCTGAACAAAGAAACCAAATTATATCTTTAAAAAAGTCTTAAAGCCAGTATGTTGAGTAAATACAGGGAAATATGTTAATCTAAGTCTTGGTATGTTCGTCTTTTCTGTTCGTTTTGTGGTTTGTTTTTGAAAATAGGAGATGAACTGTAAAAAGGCATGTTGTTTATTTTTATTATGTGTTTAGTTGATTAATATGTTGTGACAGAGGAGCAGACTCTTTAAGAGTTTTCTTCTTTCTGCTCCTTTTCATTCACGTTTTAGATTTTGAATGTTTTAACCCTTTCATGCCTTAAACCACAAATTATGGCCAGAAAATTCAAATTTTTTGGAGCTGAAATTTTTATTTAACTTACCACTGAAAACCCAAAAATTCAAAATGTCCTTCAAATTTAACAAAATTTTATTTATCTGGTTTGATACATTAGATATTTTTGGAAACTGATAAACCACAAGAGGACATTTTTATCATTTATCTGACTGTAATATGGTGTTTTTTAGTAATTTGTTTATCATATTGATTAGATAAAAGTATCATAAAAGTATGTGTCAAATATGATACAAAAAGCCCTAAAGGGTTAAATATTATCTGAATGAAATAAATTTGTAATAAATGGTACTGATTGAGTAGGCAACAGTGCAGCTGCAGTTGGTAACAATATGTCTGGAATCTTTTTTATTGAGGTAGCTGCAGCCAAAGTGGAGCAACATCGCAGCTGTGCTTGACAGAAGCTTTAACTGGCAACAGTTTGACTGTAGTTAGCATTAGCATAACTTTAACAACAAAACTGCTATTGATGACAACAGTAAGTTTGGAGCAACCCAACAAACAAGATCCATATATTTATGTATTTATAATAAATACTAATACTAGATACTTAGATTTTTCAAACTGAGTATACAAAGCAAACTATGTACTCAATCGCGCAGTGCGCAAGTTTTGAGGGTGCAGTGCTGTCCCAAATCGCATACTGCCGCACAACGCATACATATTAAACATTTGGAACTTGGTAACTAAAGATGAACTATTTACAAATTTAGCATTTAAAACTAGAAAGAAACTATTTACGAAAAAATTACTTTTGAAATGTTTTTATATAATATATCAAATATTAATACAAAACAAAATATAATATAAAATATAAAGGTAACTTATTACTAACACCTGTACAAAGCTCCCAAGTCGACTGTCGTCGACCCACTGGCACCACAGCCGTCTGCAGCCATTCTTACAGATGAAATGAGTGCGGGCGAGTGTCCACAGTCGCATACTCAAAATCTTGACCGATTTGAGTACGTCATCGGGGTACTTTTGCATACTCAATTTTCGCATACTATCCATACTTTTTTTCCATTTTGAGTCGAGTATACTCAAAATTTTAAGTACTTAGTATGGAAGTATGCAACAACTCCACAACTACACAGCCGTACCTCATCAACGACAATCCCCACCAGGTTTTCACGGTACACTTTAGGAAGGAGCATATTTCACCAGTAAATCTTCATAAAACTGCAGCTGGAGTTGAATTAGGGCTAATCTCACCGGCTGCCGTTGTTTTCAGAATCAACATATCTCCACTGATTGGTTCGGTCATTCTCTCACCAGTTTGATGTTTTGCGGGATCTGCTCGATGACAGTGTATGGACAAATAGCCGCCCTCGTAACTCTCCGTCTGTAAGTCCTTCCTGCTTCTTTCTGTCTGCAGCCCGAGCGGCGGAGGCCACGTTGAAACCAGTCCCCCTTCCTCCCCTCCCCTCACCCCCCAGATGAGGAAGAGGAGGCTCTACAGCGCTGTACCCGGACGCACCTTCATCGCCACTCGGTCCCACGTCCCCCAGGGAACCGGAGAGATTCAGCTGCACCGTGGGGAGAGGGTCAAAGGTCAGTCAGTGGTAATGACAGAATCCTGATCTCCTGATCTGAATGAAGTGAAAAGTTCTGATCTGACTCTGTGCGTTTTGGATTTTCAGTTCTGTCGATCGGTGAAGGAGGATTCTGGGAGGGAAGCGTTAAAGGAAGAACTGGATGGTTTCCCGCTGAGTGTGTTGAAGAAGTTCAGATGAGACAATATGACCCACGGCTGGGTAAATAAAAACCATTTAGACAAGATCACCATGAACAAACCTGCATGTGTGGATCATGAAGACTTTTTTGATGTAAAACGTCTCAGCATCCAAATATGTCTCCTCCACATGATTCCAGAAACAAGGGAGGACCGCACCAAGAGACTGTTCAGACATTATACTGTTGGATCCTATGACAACTACACCTCCTACAGGTAAAGTACAGTCATTACACCTCCTGCAGGTTATTTGTATTAACTCTAAACCTCCAACAGAAAATGTACTGATACTGTAGGTATGTACCGACTTTGGTCCGAGACTCTTTTTAGATTTTATTTTGATAATAATGGCTTATAGCTCAGGAAATTCAGAGATCCAAAGGCATTTCTATCTTTTGAAAAGCATGTTTATTGTAATAATTAGTTGGGGTTCCTTTACAGTGATTTCCAGCATCAATGCTTGATGTTCTGGAGCCTGAGTTGCTTCAACAGAGACCTTCAGCTAGTCTAATTTTTTGGGGGGTTGGCTGTTTCCCATCGTTCTCTTGAAAAATATCCCAATGTCCCAATCAAGCACAGTATTTTCATAGTCAGCAAACCATGTAGTAGAAATTGTGGCACTGTGGGCAGGTGCTTAGTCACATAATTTAAGGGAATTTGACATTTCTGCAGATGAAGCATGAAATGTTCTGAAGTCTGGACCTTGATTTCCAAATGAAATGCTAAATTGACAGTCCAGTTCTTTTTCTTCCTCTCAGGTAAGACTCATCTGATGCTGTCTCGATATCAGGAATGGGACACTTGTCTATTCCCTGGACATCTGTCAGTGTGGCGGCTCTTGATGCTCTGACTCTAGCCTCAATCCGCTCCTTGTGAAGCTCTCCATAGTTCTTGAGCTCATCACTGTTTCTCAGTCACCTTTTCCTCCCACACTTTTCCCTTTCAGTCGACTTTCCATGAATCTGCTTCCATACACACTCTGAACAGCCAGCCTTCTCAGCAATGACCTTCAGTGTCAATGATCATCTCCTGGACTATCTTCGAGTCAGCAATCTGCACCTCGATTGTGGTTGCATGTTCTGAACTAAACCAAGAGATACACTGTATTTATACTATACGATCTGTGATTTGCTTAAACTCAAAATTTATAGATTTAAATAGTTTAAGATTTACTTTTTGTGTATTTTTTGAGCTATAGGCCATGATTATCAATTTAAGATACATAAATGTTTGATAGTGAATCACTAGAATCAGTTCACTAAAAAGATTCGTTCAAAAGATTTGTTCACCAAATCACCAAATCATGCAGCGTTTGCGAGGGATGCACTACTTGTTACAAGCTGTGTCCTATTGTGTGTGAGTAGTGTGGTGGCAATTTAGCATGGAAAAAAAAAAAAGTAGTTTTGTCCGAAAAAATGATTCCAGAGAGTGTAGTTCAATGCGTGATTCGTTCACCAAGTGATTCAGGTGTCGGTGCATGTTGTCCCTCGTTCGCTAGCTGGTAGCCTGGCAATGCTGTTTCTCACTTCAGCTTAAGTGAGAAACGAACAAATCACTAGAGGAAGTGATTCGGTTCAGTACGTTCACTTGAAAGATTCGGTTCTTTTGAACGAATCGTTCGCGAACAACACAACACTAATGTTTGAAACATCATAGTTTAGATAAAGTAAGTCTAGAATAAACCAAAAAATTACTTTATTCAATTTCAGATCGAGAATATTGAACTCTATTGAATGTACCTTTAATGAAACCACAGAAGTGTCAGGATTAATTCACATGTTTGTGGGATTTTTTTCCCTTCCAGTGACTATGTGATCGAGGAGAAGACAGCAGTGCTGCAGAAGAGAGAGAGTGAAGGATTTGGCTTCGTCCTCAGAGGAGCTAAAGGTAGAGATGTGGATGGTTGGATGAATGGATGGATGGATTGACGGAGGGCTGGTGGGTGTTTGGAGGAGTTGGGTAAAGAAAAGAGAAAGATATTTAAGATGTGGTCAAATCTTCTGAGGGAGAGCAGAAAGCTTTAAAACTCCTCGCTGTAGAGTTTCATAAGAATCCTCCGGGTCTCACACTTTCCCTGAAAAGACGATCAGAGCGGCATCAGGCGGATTTTTATTTTAAAACTAGAAATGGGCTTTCTCTTGCTGAAGATGAATTTCTGTAGGTGTAAAGGAGTAAATGTGTGGGAGAACTCTCTGGTTCGGCAAGCACTCTGAAAATGTCTCTTAAATGATGTGCTTAGCAGAGAAACACGAGAGAAAGACGTTTAATCGAACGGTCCTGTGGAAAAGAAATCTAAATAACAGCGATCTTTGTTTGTCAAACTGTTGATGGGTTTAAATACTACTAACCCAAGCAACATGTTTACAGAAGGTTAAGACTGGCAATGAAACACTTAAGAGTTAGTAGTTAATAGTTGGCGCTCTCTTTTCATGTCATGTTTTAAGCTGAGACCCCCATTGAAGAGTTCGCCCCCACACCTGCGTTCCCTGCCCTGCAGTACCTTGAGTCAGTGGACCAGGGGGGTGTGGCCTGGAGGGCGGGGCTTAGGACTGGAGACTTTCTAATAGAGGTAAAACTGACTCATGTTTGCTTTTTTTTCCCCTTAAAGATGGATCATTCACTCTCATTACCATGTCTCTGTTGTGTCTCGTAATCTGCAGGTGAACGGGACTGACGTGGTGAAGGTGGGTCACCGCCAGGTGGTGTCTCTGATTCGCCAGGGAGGAAGCCGGCTGCTGATGAAGGTCGTCTCTGTTTCCAGAAAATCTGAAACCAACCTCATCAGGAAGAAAGGTGCAGCAGATGCTTTTCTGATTCTAACAATTTTCATTCTTTTATTTTGGATAATTTTCTTTTTTGCCGGTTCATCACTGTTTTTAAAATCAGGACTTTTAGTGAAGATTGAGCAGAACGATTTACTTGATGTACCCCAAAATTCAGACGACCAATTTATAGCTTGAGTTGTCATATCAGTCTCTATATCTCACTTTATAATACCTCTCATCTTTTATTTATCACTAAGCTCTCTGCAAAGCTCTGTCAAGTGCATTAAATGTTTCCCTTACAGCTATAATGAAGGTAATTATGATAATTATTAGTATCTGTTTGCTTTATGTTAATATTGCACCATGTAATTAAACTGAAAAGAGACATTGTGTCACTGCTTGTTTAAAACCTGTGATCTGCTGGGCAATTTTTCTTGTAGCTCCGCCCCCTCCAAAACGAGCCCCCAGCACCTCACTGACACTCCGGTCCAAGTCCATGACCGCTGACCTGGAGGAGATAGGTAAAGCAAACACACTCACTCACCCTCTCTCACACACACACACACACAGACCCACACACACACACAGACCAAGCACAGAGTATAGTCAAACTGTAGGAGTGTGTTGTTGACCTTTGCTTTGTCTGCAGCCAGGAGGAGACGCATCGGTGAGTCACATGACCTGATGGCGCTGATGGTGGACAGTGTTTTTGTGGCTTTTTTTTTTTTTTTTTTCAATGTGTTTCTATCGTTGTGATGTCAGACTGCGGGGATGACATGAAGTTTGCCTCATGGCATGATGTCGTAGTAACGTCACGATGTTGTAGTGGTGTCATGGTGTTTTTAAGTGGTGTTAGTGATGGTGCATTGTTGTAACTGTCAGGGCCGTAGCTGACGACACCGAACTGAGTAACAAAAGATGGAGGACGAGTCACCACCTCCTCCAGTGTCACAAAAGTGGAGCCAAAATAAAAGCAACATATACATTTCTTCCTTCAATGTCACTGCTTTACAGCGTGCTGCAGGAGCCTCATTTTTCAACACGGGTGTCAATCACTGTGTTGTGCTTTTTGTTATGGCATCAAATAACTTATTAAAATAAAGTTGCGAATACTTGGACACAATTCAGCATGATAAAAATAACTTAAGTGACTGAAAGCATGTCTGAGAACATCTATTTAATGTAGTTTTTGATTTCATGGTTTTACCCATGTTCCATCTGTTAACATGGAGGGGAGGAAGTGAGCCTTATGACCAAAACTGCAGCCAGTCAGGAGGGTCAGCTCTAAATCTTTTGGCTTCAATTTTGTGCGGCTGTTATGTATTCTGTGTTTATGTATTCTGATATTTTGTTTGGATACAATTCCACCCTTAATGAACGATTCTTTAAATGTTTTATAGAAAAATAGTTGCGTTTTATCAGGTGTTGTATGACTGAAGTGAAATGGATTTAAGTAAGTGAAGGAAAGTCTCAGGGGAGAATTTACTAGGAATGGATAACAGCTGTAGATAGCAAAGAAATTACCCCTCATTTGCTATCTGCTCAGACTACAGAGTTGAAAATCCCAGGGGACCACAGACATCAGGATCAGATTTTCGCGCTACAATCCTCTGAACACACAAACTAGACAATTCTATAAGACCATAAGAATAACATCCATGCTTTTTGGATGTTTGGGTGGCCATAAACCCGGCCTAAAATCATCTGGTGTGAGGCCAGCGTTTGCCCTAAGGTCCAATTTATAAAGTAGATATTTATTATATATTAGGATTGTCTAGAAGTGTAATTCTTGATCACCAAGAAGATTTAACATGGTGATACTTAGAATTGCTTCGGTGCAATTGCTAATTTCCACTTGGAATTTGGTTGATGGTTAGGATTTTGCTCCAACATTTCCATCATCTAATTTTTAAATAATTTTGACTCAGATGTTTTAAGTGGAATAGGCAAAATCAGCACTTTTATGATTTTCCATAGACCTCCTCAGTCTTGCTACGGCCCTGCTAACTGATGTTGTAATATTGCCATGGTGTCACGGTTAACACAGTTGGTGTCACGTTATTCTTGTGCTTGTATCGTGTTGCCATGAGTGAGTGTTTGAGCACTGTGTATCTTTTCATTGACATTGTCTGAATGTGTCTCCTCCTTGCAGAGAAACTGGACGAGATGTTGGCCGGAAGTCAACAGGAGGTAGTTCTGAGGGCCCGGCCGGCGGACGACTTCAGAGCAGCGACGGTGAAACAGAGACCGACGAGCCGCCGGATTACTCAGGCTGAGATTAACGTGAGACAAATCGTTTCAATTTGGTTCACTGACTTTACATTCCAGATAAGAACTCTCAGATTTAAACTTTCTTTGTGTTTGCAGTCGTTGTTTGAGCGTCAGGGTCTTGTGCCACCCACGGCTCCCGAGAAGAGCACCATGGCTTTACCTCGAGGAATGTCCAGAACCAAAAGCTTTGGTGAGGAATTACACAAGACTGACAAAACCATTTCATGAAACAGACTAATATCTATCTATGATCAATAGAAGCAAGCCAGACCACCAGGAACTAGATAGACTGTTTCAAAGGAGTTATTTAAACTCGTGAAACCGTTAATGTAGAGAAGATAGAGGGGGCACCTGAACAGACTTGGTTTGTAGAAGAACTTTGCCTTTTTTTAAATTACTACAATTGTCTGTTGTCAATTATTAACCCTGATAGGCACACCTGAGGATGATAGGATCACGGCTCTGATCAACGAAAGCCGGTTTCCACGGAGCTCATCACTGACAGACAGCTTCATCCCTCCTCCTCCTCAAACAGCTCCACCCCCACCTCCATCCGCCTCCTCCACCTCCTCGATTTTCCTCCTAGACTCTGGCCCTCCTCCCTCCTTCCTCCCCCCTCCTCCTCCAGCGAGAGGGGAGGGGCTTACCCGTTCCAGCTTCAAGCCAGGGACGGAACCAAGACTCCAGGAACTCTCCGACACACCATCAAGGAGTCACGCCCACGCTGAGCGGCAGAGGAAGGCGAGGTCAATGATCATCCTGCAGGATATGCCGCCACAGCTGCAAACTGATGGACACGGTGCCACGCACACGCTACACACTGCCACGCACACAGCCACGCACACGCTTCACACCGCCACACACACCTCCACCTTGTCCCTCCACAGCACTAGTCCCGCCCTCGGTCATTCACCGCTGTCACGTCGCCGGGGAAGACCAATAGAAAATCCTTATGCTAATGTTGGACAGCAAGCTGCGCCCTCCAAGCCACAGAGAAGGAAGTCACCCTTGTTGAAGCAGCTACCTGTTGAAGAGCAGGGTTAGAATCGCTCTGACCTGTTGCCTATATAAGTTCTACTGTTACAGATGTGTTACACTAGTAAAATGACTGTGTACATAATTGACTCTTGCTAGCATGATTCCACTGTTCTTTCTTGAAGCATCAATGTCTGGCTTTTCAGATATTTTGTGAGAATCGCATCCTTCATGTTAGTCTGACTCCTTTGTTTCTTTTCCCTTGTAGGACTTGGAATGAAGGATCACGATCCAACCAAATTAGACATTCCCAGTAGCCCCAGTAGGGCAGAGCTGTACCAGCAGCAGGTTCTTTCAGAGCGCGCTCGAGTTCAAGGCCGCAGGTCGTCTCTCTTTTTGTCCGTGGAGGGATCTGGTTCAGAAAATCAAGTACCACCCCTTCTGACTCAGAGCCACTCAATGGATGACCTTGGAGAGCTTCCCCCACCAGCCCCTGTCCTGTCGCCCTCACCAACACCTCACACCTTCCTCCATCCACTGACGGGGAAACCTCTGGGTCAGTCTGACAGCATGGCCACAAGTGACCTTTCCTTTGTCTTGTTTTCAAGAGTCTTGCCACGCTTCATTAAATGGTAACAATTAAGTTTCAACAACCAATTCTGGAAAATATCAACTAAATCTTCGGAAACTTGCCTGAGTAGAGGGTAACCCTTTACCTTGCCTGAGGTACCTGATAAGAAAAATAGGTGGACATTGGTCAGGGCCTTGAGGTACTGCACAACATTATCATGGACACAAGGTACACCCTTGAGTTGCACTGCAAGATAGAACAGGGTACCCTAGTTCGATGCCAGGGGTACTTAAGTGATAGACAAAGGGGGTCCTTGACCAAGGGGGTCCTTGACCAGATCCCAACTATTATCCACAAAGCATAAAAGAGGACCAAAGACAAAGCCCTGTGGTAATCAAGAAAGAGAGCTATGCAAGTGCCTTGTTACGCCATAAAGTGGGAAAGTATTGGGACTAATGCTGTGTTCCAGTTACCTCGGTACTCAGATGTCGGATTTGGGAATGATGCTACACCCCAGTTGACAGCGTTCCAGATAACAAGTTGGTAAACCAAGATGGACGCATGCAGTTACCCAGTTACCCGTGTTCACAGTTAGACGTTGGGCAGTACAACATATACCACTTATTTGATTTCACAAAAAAACAAGTGCTAATAAATACATTACGAGAGCTTTCACTGTTATGTTTTATTGTTGATGCAATGCGCTGCCATCTTGAATTATGATGTTGTCGCCAAGTCTGTGTTGGCGTGGATCATCCAACTTTTCGAGTCAGAAATCCAACTTCAGGGGGGCGTTCCAGCTGAATTTCCAACTCGGAGTTCAGAAATACTGACTTCCAAGTACGACTGGAACGCAGCAATAGTCCCCAGCCCAATACAGCCACTAATGAAGACAGAGGGTTGAGTACAGAGCCTTTATAATAAAAGCGGACATGCAAGTCCCTTGGCCAAACAGCATGCTCCTTTAACACAGTATGAACATGTGCTACTAAAGTGTTACTTCTGCTAGAATCCAGGAGTACTCTAAAATTTGTGCAGAGTCTTAGATAGAGCCTTGAGGTAGTCTACAAATTCCAGGAGCTTAGGTGCAGCATTGAGGTACCCTGCAAAATAGGATGGTACCTTGGAATTACCCCAGAATGGAGCCCAGGGTTACTTTCTACAGATTTGAAGGATCTGTATCCTCCTACTGTAGGTACTGCACAAAACAAGGGAGGACATATGATAAAGTCTTGATACACCCAAACAAGGTGTGCTTTACAAAAGAAAACAGTCAGCCAGGAGATACTTACACAAACGTGAAGGTTGAAGTTGTTTTTTTTTTATGGGAATCTAAAGCCTTGCACTCAATAAAATGGAAGGAGCTCAAGGTCAGGTTCCTGAAGTACATTAACACATAGTAAAGGAATAGTGACAAAGACTGGTGGTACTCCACACAGAAGAAGATCTATAGGAGGATCTAAGAGCTTTTAGGTCCTTCATTATATTGGGTAGGACCGAAGGTCTTTTGACTTAGCAAGGTTTAGGGGATGAGTTTATGATGTGAATTTACTGAGAGGTCAAGTTTATTGAGTAGGTCATACACTCGGTAGCAGTGCCTGCATCTTGAACAATGTGTTTGCACTTGAGAAACCTTTGCAACCCAAATGTCTGTCTGTGATCTTCTCTTCTCTCTGTAGACCCTTCGTCACCGCTTGCCCTGGCACTTGCTGCTCGAGAACGGGCGCTAACTGCCCGAACGCCAAGCCCAGAGCCACGACTTAAACATGTTTCTGCATCCACAACACCTATCCCCACCCCTGCTGCAAGCCCAGAGGGTAGACATAAGCGAACCCCTATTCCCACTCCACAGAGTAGCCCTGAGCCAAGATCCAAACGTACCACCCCTCAGACAAGCCCTGAGCAGCGGACCAAGCGCACTACCCCCCAGACTAGTCCTGAGATGAGGCATAAACGAATTACTCCACCTTTATTCCCTGAGGGACAGGTGGAGCGTCCAGAAACAGAGGGAGGTGTTACATCACCTGCAGTCCCATCTCCTGAACGCTGGAGACCCACCCCCTTACCTACCCTATCCAATGAGACTCATCCATCCCTGATTGACAGGCGGCGAAGCCTCACAGTGGGCAGCTCAGAGGAGGATGGTGGGACTTATACAGTTACACTTCCTCCAGCATTGTTGTCATCGAGTGATGAGGAGACAAGGGAGGAACTTCGTAGAATTGGCCTAGTAACTCCACCCCCAGCCTTTGCAAGCCCTACTGCCCCTCCACCTCCAACCTCCCTCACTTTATTCTCACGACGGGTTGGGGAGGGAGGGGGAGAGGGTCCTGACTCCTTGGGTAGACGTGGAGATGAAGATGATGGAAGTGAAGAACGGCTCATTGAGAGCACCTCCCCCAGCTCGCTCCCTCCCTCTATAACCTTGGCCTCTCCTCCTGCTCCATCCTCCCCCACCTCCCCTTCTGCTACACAACCGTCCCCCTCCTCTCCTGCAACCTCCCCAATTGCTCTAAAGCCACGCCTTCGTTCACCTATCGGTCGGGGACGCTCTGCGCTCCGAGACCCACTGCTTAAGCAATCATCAGACAGTGAGCTCCTCCCATCTGTTGCGTCTTCTTCCTCCCCTTCCTCCCCACTGTGTTCCTCCCCAACTGGCGGAGGCAGCAGACAGCCTCGATATCTGTTCCAGAGGAGGTCAAAGTTGTGGGGTGGTGGGGATGAACGTGGGGATGAGCGGCGAGGCCTAAGCCCGGAGGAAGGCCGTCCAGCAGCACTGGGAGGTCAGGGTTCAGGGTCAGCTGTGGATCTGTCGAACAGGTCGGCATCAGCACTGGAGCTGAGTGGCAGAGCAGGATCTGGGTTGGATCTTGCAAATCGGCTGCAGTTGCTCAACAAAGACAGTCACTCTCTTGGGGAAGAGCCAAGTCCCCTTGATCCAGGGCGGAGGTCACCAGTAGGAGGTGCCAGGTACATGAAACTACTTTCCTTTGCTGAATCCGTCATGTTTGTTCACTTGATAATCCATGTAGGTGCGTAAAGGTAATTGTGCCGTAACAGGATCTGTTGTTTGTGTTGTTCCAGATGTGTGAACAGTGGAGAGAGTAAATCGTAGGTTTTTGTCTCTGGTAATAATTTCTCGTTATTGCTAACAGATAATTCTCTGCTGCTAACAGCAAACTAACATCCACCCTCTTCACAGAAATCTTTGAACTTAATCTCTGAAATCTTTATCCAGTCAGTTTTGGATTAAAATCTGTGATTTGGCCATTTGGTGAAAATACCCCCCGTATGATTTATTTTTCTGGCTTCCTAACTCAATGAGACCTTTTAAGCTTTGTACTCCATAACATTTGGTAAGCATGGTGAGGTGAATGAAATTTGTGTCGCCTATTGGTGAATGTTTGTAAAAACCGAGACTGTCCACAGTCCGGAGTCTTCAAGAATACCTCAATCATACAGTCTGCTTTTGACATCTCGAGACCAAGTTTCAAAGTCTGCATGCGTCACAAGAGTGATTTATTAGAAACAATAACGACAGAGAGATGACAAATCGACGTCCAGTAGACGCTCTGGTAAGTTTCTCGATATTTGTTGGTTTTATTCATGTATTGTTTATTGTGTTATAGGTTGTTCTCCAGTCTGGGTGAACTCCACACTATTTCCCAGCGAGGATTTGGGGCCAGCTATACAGTCCGACCTGGGAGCCGCTACCCTGTCACTCGCCGGAGTCCTTCCCCTTCTCCCTCCCCCTCTGAAAGGCCACTGGGGCACACTTCCTCTGGTTCTGAAAGGCCAGACTTGAGCTCGGGTCGAGGTTTAACCATCCTGAAGTCGTCCAGTCTAAGTCTCCCCTCAGAACCGAAGGAAGTTCGTTTTGTGATGCGAAGTGCCAGCGCACGAACCAGGTCCCGTTCACCCTCACCCTCACCCCATGCCTCTCCCTGTCCCTCCCCAGTCCTTAGCGGGCCCTTGTTAGCCCTTCGACCATGGAGACAGCGACCCCTCAACCTGTGGAATAAATATGATGTAGGTGATTGGCTGGAGAGCATTGGCCTGGCCGAACACCGTCAGCGCTTCCAGGAGCACGAGATCGAAGGCTCCCATCTCCCTGCCCTCACCAAAGACGACTACGTGGAACTGGGCGTCACCAGATTGGGACACCGAATCAACATTGAGAGGGCACTTAGACAGCTGCTAGATGGTTCTACTTGACCCCTCACCTCTGATCCCTAGCTTCTAGACATCTTGAACTGTGACCTCATAACACTAGACCATCTCTCTGACTAGGATATCTTAGCACAGACTCTCTCTCTCTCTAGACCTTTTTACCAACGTGGAGCCCAGCTCTATGAGTGGTCTTGGTGACGTTTTGGCTTATCAGCTCTTTGATCAACTCAAATGTATTTGTAGCACCAAGGTCTGTATCCAGTTTTAGGTTTTAGTTTTGATTTAGACCCCCCCAAATATAATTAGGCCTTTGTTAATCTCAGATGTAATAGTTTAACCCAAAACTGTCTTCTCCGTCTTGATGTTGATGCCAATATTTTTTTTCCCCCTTATGCTACCTTAGGTTCCACAATGTTTCTTGGTGGTTTAATGGTTTTTGGTGTGAAAGAGTGGTTACTAGAGTACAAGTCTTTGAATGCCCAAGGAACGCCAATTATGCCCATTGAAGGAAGAACTGCAGTAACTTGAAGCCAGGTGTTTTACCCAACCTAAACTACAGTAACCTTTGCCTAGGCTCCTATAGCCTTGTCTTGAGAAATGGAGGTCACTGACCATGTTGATGATACCTGCAACTATCTAGTTTAGAACATCAGCATAATGTTAGCATACAGAGACTATGCTGGTTTCAGCTGGATACAGATCTGTACTGCTAATCTTATGGGAGATTGATCAAAGAGCTGGCAAACCAAATGAGACGGGTTCTTTTCCTCGTGCCATTCTGCTTCCCCAGACAAGTTTAGTGGGTCTTTGGCTAGCAGAGCTGAACAATTTGCGAGCTAAGTAACAACATAAGCTGAGGGTGTTTCTCCGTCCTTTCAAGAATGTTCTTTTTATTTCCAAATATTGAATTTGTGTTTATTTCTTAATACCGATCATTTAGAATTTATGAATAACCAGTAATAATAATGTGGTGGTGATGACTTACAGAGTTTATAATAGTTTGAATAATGATTTTGAGTTCCTTATGATTTGACAATGAGTTGAATTTCCAGGTCATGCGGTGGTGTTTTGGAATTCATAATGATTTGTCAATGAGTGACTTTGTGCTGATGTGCTGTGTGTTTCAGGGAGAGCTGCAGCAGAGCTCCAACTGTAAACCTCTCTGGTTTCTAACCTGCTTATCGAGGGCTTACTGTAGATGGTGCTACCTGTTTAAAGCCATCTGTACAGAAATTACCTATTTCCTTCCCCTTTCTATACTCTCACCACACTTGCGCCCAAAACTCTTAGGTTGATCCTACTAAAAGTTTAAATCAAGTGTTTTTTCTATCAAATTAATAGATGTAGTTTGGCTCTTACAGATATTACTGTCTTGCAGTAGGGGGTCACTTACCAAGAACAGGCCATATATGGGGTTTCCTCCTTGCCATATTTGGAACTCCTGTCCAGCCATATGTGGAGTTCCTCCAGTCCAAAATCTGAGTTTCCCTGAGGCCATAAATAGAGTTTAAAAACAAAGTTATCATAGTTATGGGGTTATAGATAGCACCAATTAAAATGCCATCATGACTAGCTAAAAATATTAGACTGTACAAAAAATGGATGTTGCATCTTTACCTCCTCCGATAGCACAAAACTGAAGCCTACTATCGCTCTAACGTTGCCCTTAATTGAGAATCCTGGATAGAAAGTTTGACCCATCTCTTAAAAAGAGGGAGGCTAGCCATGTGGCCTACACTGCAGCCAGCCAGTAGGGGGAGCTTTAAACATTTTGGCTTCACTCTTTCGAGCTGACATGCCATCCATCTTTTCATACAGTCCTCATGTCACAAAGCCTCACTTTATCGAAGCTTAGTAAAAACAAAGAGTTGAGTGGCTAGCCTATCAATCATGCTAGCCAACATACTTTGTTGAAACTGTACCCTTGCCAGCCTTTCTACGACCGTATGTAAATTATGATCAATACAAATAGGTTTTACTACACTTATGTTTATTAGGAGTGTTGGGCACACCTGACAGAAACTGACCCTCCTTCTGGCATTGCAGTCAAGACAAACAAGGACACTTACGTAAATACATGATGTTTTTAGAGTAGCTTGGCACCAAGACACAGCCGGGGAAATCTTTTTACTTGCCTAATCAAATTTGAAAAAAAACCACCATCCAACAGGTTACAAAGCAGTCTGATATATCTTCTAATCTTCTAATCTTCACTTTTGGAAGTTTTTAATGAGTTTGAAAAATTTTTAACTTCTCCCCTTTTTTAAACAATTTCAAATGGTAAATTTGTACAAAATTAACACGACTACCTAACCTACCTGACATGTGACCGTCTCTCTTTTCTTGACTCCCTTTTGAAGCACAATCAACATTACAGTGCCTGTTTCCACTGATATAAATTTACTGCATTTATCCAGAGTTTTCTCTGACTCAAGTACCTGAACATGAGCCGAGCCACAATCATGAATCCCAAAGTTGTACAAGTTTACGGTTCCCTTTTATGCGTAAAGTTTTATACCTGCTTCTGGCAGTGCACAATGGTAAAGAATGTAAAGTCTATGTACAGCACATTACAGTAGACTTGATAGTCTGTATAATATATATTATGGTAGAGTGATGTAGCTATAGTGTAATATATAAAGTATATTAAACAATAAAATGTATACAGTGATATTTTGTTAGACAGTAGTCTATAAATCTTTATCTTCATAGGTGATATTCACCCTTTGTTAACAGCTACACATCAGCTTTTTAATTTAACTGTTTATCAGGGACTTAATTTACTTTTGGGGTTGAAATTTCCCTCTAATCATTTATCGTTACTTTATTCCAGTCCCAGTGTAAAGTTTTCAGTTCAAGACTGCTCTGACTGACCCATTTAGATCGACTGATGAAAGCAGCCAGTGAATCTAGAATTTTTGTAAAGTATTATGTGTGATAACCTGTAAAAGTATACAGTAATGATAGTAATAAAGTAATCAAACAGTAAAATGCACTTAGAAATATTGCTCTTACAGACACTGTTTCGGTTTTAAACGTGTTACAGAAGCCTATTCAGGGAAATTCAAGACTTGATTTACCTTTAAATCTTGAACTGTAAATATGTCAACGAAAAACCGTCATGAACAGGCATGCAATAATCCAGCTTGTACCAAGTTTAAGAAAAATGATATTTTTGGCCACATGCAGACGTGGCGCCAAAAACTCTGTTTTCAACACAACCACAAATGGCGTGAATTTTAACAAAATTTCAGTAAATATGTAAAGAAAACGTGTTTGCATTCTGTGTCGTTAAGAAAGATGGCAGCTGCCATATTGGTTATGTTGACTCCAACTAACTTCAGGTAATTCTAGCAACGGGAAAAAGATGGAGTTAAGGCCATAGACTTGATACCTGTCAATCAAACCATTTATTTCAATTTAACCACTTCTTCTGGCACCTACCCCACTGTGGGTTAATAATTAAAATGTATTATATATAGAAATTCTCATTAAGGGTCTTGGTTGTTTTTGTTAGTCATAAAGAGTCATTAATGTTAAAATTAGTCTGTTTTCACACCAGGACACTCCGAACAGGTGTTTTAATACAGGTGCTAATCAGGTACCTCTCTTTTGGGACGAGCCCCCAGTGGACACTCGCAGAACTGCAGTTTTGCACTTCTACTTTGGCTCAATGTCACAACATCAGAGTGGTTGCTTACTTAAAGAAGACCAATAGTCAACACTGATTCTCCTGTTTGAACCTTTTTTCATAAACTGGATAGAAATGTCTCACCTGACCCAAAACTTGTTGAATTTTCCATATCAGAGTGTTAGTTTAAGAAGGTTCAGATAATAGTCAGAAAACTACGACACGAAAGGTTGGAGATGCTGCTAAATGAGTTTAAGGCAAAGTGATGCTTTAAAGACTAAGGGCTGATAAAACCAGGGAAAACTTTACACCTACCTACACCTGACCAAACGTTTCAAACATTTGATGATGAAGTGCCTGTGTAGCTGTTCTCACTGGGTGAATATCACATTTATCAGACTGTATGTATAGTATATATTATAAAGGACTATAGTCTACTGTACAGAGTCATCCACAGAATGAGACGTGGGTTGTCGGTCTCTCTGCAGTGTAAAAATGAAAGAGGTGTATTGGAGGAGTCATGTGACCCTCAAACTCTGACCTCAGGTCCCCAATGAGAATCTCTTTGATACAGACATGAGGTCATTCATTTGTTGATGGATTTCTCAGCCAATCAGAAACATTACCAGCAAAGGTCCTGTATCCGCCCATGGTTTTCAACTGTATTTTTAAAAATCTGCAACCTCTGATTAACCACTGAAATTAAAATAACAACATAACAATATTGCGTGAGAGTAAAGCTACAAAAAGAGTTAAAGGTGTAACTCTAGTCTGAAAATGCTATTGTGTCTCAAAGTGACAGGCCTTCAATCGAAACTGGTCTAGGATCAGCAAAACTAGATCATATTGCATTAGCATTTTTGTTAGATCAAGAAGCTAGCAAGTTAGTTCATCTGCTCGATAGCTTAGAGTATTGCAAGGCCAAAAACTAAATATTCAGTTTCAGCAGAGGAGTAAAACTTAATGTCCTGTACCACAAATGCTAGTCAACAGTGTAATAAGCTAACTAGATCAGGAAGTATTGCTAGCCATGCTTTAGCTGAGTTGTGAAGGACGAGTTTTGAAGTTTTAATTTCCTTTAAGTCATTATTTTAAGCTCAATTTGATCTTACATAAATTATGTTTAATACTTACAAACAGTAATAGCTAACATACAGTAAGACATACTGTACAGACATACAGTCAGCTAACACAGTAATGCTAGCTGATGCTAATGCTCACATAGCCCAGATTCTGTTGTTAAGCTAAGGTGTAAACATACGAAAATCAAAATCGTAACATGTATTTTTAAAAAGCTAAAAACTTTTTAATCTTACAATATCGTCTTTGTACCATTATTTCAAAAGTGTCGGCAAATTACTGTATTTTGTGTTTTGCATACTTCAGCAGTACTGAACTCTCTTCGTCAGGAATCAAGATCGCATTTTTCTACATCAGGACAATAGATTTTCCCCCAAAGACTTTACTACAAAGTTTAACTGAAGCTAGTTTTCTGCTGGCTATTACTGCTAGCGATTACACAACAATTATATTATTTTTAAGTGTTTATTTTATTGAATAAGTGATTATGCAAATTACAATCCAGATAGGGTGAAAAGTACGGCAACTCTAATTCGCATAACTACCTACTAAGGATACATTATCCCGCTCATTACCCAGCTAACAACTGGAGACCTAAACAAGTTGACTAAATATTAAACACTTATACAACAACTAAAAATAACAGTTTCTGTCTTTTCCACTCAAGATTCTTAGTGGCCTACTCATAGGTTGAATTCACAGTTGGTGCTTTTATCACTAGCGCCTCTGCTTTGGTTAGTTTTCCAATGTCAACTTAGAGATAAATTCACCAGCTCAGCTCTGCCCTGGATTAAAAAACAGGATGTTGCTCCATTTTTCCTGATCATATCACTGTCACGACTTCCTGACGGTCAAAACCAGCCTGCGACAACAACGAACATTTTTGCCACAGCTTCAACAGGCAACAGGCCTTGCTAACTGATTTGAAACAACGTGTGATCAGGCATCGCCTTTGCTTTTTGTAAATGAAGAATTCAGCACAGTTGTAAAGGGTCTTTGACCAATCATATTCAAGTATTTAACCCAGCCAGGTATCGTTGCTTTTACTGAAATCTAAACGCCTCAAATAGGACACTTTTGCTGCTGCTGCTAACCAGAAAGTGAAGTTTGAGAGACAGAAACCAAAATGGCGTTTCAGTCTGAGTATGACGAAGGCGAAAACAGCAACAGAGAAGAACCAAGACTGAAAGAAAAGATAGAATTAAGAGCCAAAATGGCTGCCACTGGATACCTGACAATATTGTTGTGATTAAAATGCCTTCATGGTAACGCCTCAGCTTCCTGCTGATTGGCTGAGAATCCTGTCCTTCTAACCTGCGTGTGAAACCGTCCTCCTCCTGATATTCACCTGGTTATAATGGTTTTATTGTTACCCTCCACCTACTCCTCCTCCTTCTCCTCCTCCTCCCTTTCTTCCTCCTTTCTAGCTTCCTCTTTTTACAGGATGTTTGTAGTTTCTTCTGGAGTGAGTGGTGTGTGTGTACTTGTAGTTTCTTTTCTTCCCTTTTCTAAAAACTGAAGAGCACACAATGACAACGGATGAGCTCTGAAACGCAACAAACAGATTGTAATCTTTATAATAAACCGTCATTTATTACAAAGTACACGCTCTGCCTTCATGTGTGTTTTTTTTACTTCTTCAGTCAACAGGTTTATGACCTCTGACCTTGTTTGGACCGAAGATCTTAAAGTGGAGTTAATGACTGACGAGTTTCACTTTGACTTAGAGATAAAATGAAATAAAAGTGACTGACCACATGTCTCTGAACGGACGTAAAACAGGTCAAGTTTCCCCACCTTTATTGGACATCCTTTTGGGAACAGTTGAAATCAAATTCAAAGTAATATATCTAGACGGAAGCATGCGTTTTGCTTTTGGAGTTTAATTAAGTATTTAAGATGTGCAAAAAGTTAAAAGTTTTTATTTTTAAAAAGTTAGAAAGAAAAACTTTAAGACACCCCGATCCTCCAAAATTTGGGACGTTGTATTAATCAGGTGACAATCAGGACTGCAGACAGGCAGGACTCTTCTACTACAGAGCCATGCTGTTGTAATCCCTGCAGATGTGGTTTGGCTGGAATATGATTGTCTTTCCTGAAAACGTCATTGTCTGGATGACAGTATATGTTGCTCTTAAACCTGCAGATGTTCTTCAGTGTTAATGGAGCCTTTCGCAGGTGTGGAAGCTGCCCATGATATGGACTCTGATGATCTCCATACCAACACAGATGCTGGATTTGGACCGTGAGCTGATAACACACTGGGAGGACCCTCTACTCTTTAAAGCAGGTATGTGGTGACCATGATTTTCAAAAAGAATGTCTAATGAGAACTTACAGCCAATTCTGGATCATATTTAAAGGGATATTCCGGCGTAAAATTAATTTTGGGTCATAACACCGAGTTAGACACCCCCTCGAGAGATGAATGTTGCCGACCGCTTACTTCTCTAGTTATACCAACTTTAGTAACAACCACATGATAGCAATACACAGTGGTCTGAGGAGCCATAAACAAACCTCAACCAAAACGCCACTCTATAGCCACAAATAATGCTCAGAACAGCACCTAACTTCATCAACAGTACATATAGGGTCCCAGCCATAGCGCTAGCCACCAAACATCTTTTTAGCTTTGCCTAATTTCTTTAGGAAAGAGACTAAACACAACTCACCTACTCTCTTCCAACAGCTGCTTGTTTGTAGCGAGACCTCAGGCCAGTCCATTATGGACTACAGTGGGGTGACGCAGCTCAAGGAACAACATTTACGATCATTACTTTATCATTTCCTTGAAGTAATAATCACCATATTAATCATTTTGCACTGCAGACGTGGTAGTTCTTCTGCCCTAGTGTCTCTGTCTGATTGCATTTCTATGTAGAAATGCTGCTAAAGAAATCAGGCAAATTTAAAAAGATGTTTGGTGGATAGTACTATGGCTGGGACCCTATATGTACTGTTGATGAAGTTAGGTGCTGTTCTGCGCATATCTGGAATATCCCTTAAGTTTTAACCTTCATTTGTGGATGCACTGACAGTCTGTAATCACAAACTGTCAGTGCAGTGCTATCTAAGGACCTGAAGATCAGGACTATCCAGTCTTGGTGTTGGTCCTTGTCCCTTTTGTGCTGCGATTTCTCCAGATTCTGGGCATACACAATAGTGAACACATGCTGAGGTGACACACTCTATAATCTAGGTGAGGCATTTTCTCTATAATTTAACACTCCATTTCTTACTTCATAATGCTTGTCAAAACTTGTGTTGTCATTCGAAACAGTCCCCTTCACAGGTAACTCAAACTAGAAAACAACTGACATGTTAGACCAAAAGTTAAAGCACAGACAATCAATACTTTCATTTTCATTTTTATAAACTATTGCAATAAAACTGGTAAAATATTTAAAATATTGACAGAGTTGTTATTGTTATAGAAACCAGTCACCAATGTTGAATCAACCTTCATATTTGAAAATTCCAATATTAAATGGATTTTAATGTCCTGGACTCAAATAGGAGCACTAAGGTGTGGAGAGCACTCTAAACCAACTGATCCTGTATGCAAGCGACAAGGATAAAGTAATTCACTGGAGTCAAAGAGCTGGGGGTGAACTTGAACTCGATCTGAGGGTTAAACTGAAACTTTTTAGGCTCTATAGAAACATTTTAACTAAAGATGAATTCTGATTGGTTGCTCCATCCACCTCCTCCTCTCTGTTTCCCCCCCATTGGCTAGTTAACCGTTGACCTGAGTTTACTTCACAATGAGCTGCAGGTCGATGCCACTTTGACTGGAAACCTCAGAGCAGGTAGGAGACTGTCAGCATCTTTTCTAGTAAATTTTTTCACTGAAATGTCCAACTTTGACTGAAGACATACAAGAGGTATTTGTACTCTATTTTAACTTTAATTTTAAGTAACTGCTTAAAGACTTCATCACAGCTGTGAATATTACACGGTTATTCTAATAATGTATCTGGCAGCTTTGAGTGCAAATGTGTTATTCTATTGACTCCTGACAATAAACAAAATTAGCACATTTTTCAAAGACTTTTTAAATCTTTAAATAAATGTGTGCACAAACCAAGAGAAGCTTAAATAAAATAAGACTGCTTTGAAATATATGCTTGAAACAAACTAGACTATTACCTGATAACCCGATTGAAGTGAACTCCAGTATTTACTCACCATATTTTCACATATTTGGGGTTTTAGTAAAAGATTAAAAGTCAACAAAAGTTTAAGAAAAGCTTCCTGCAGTTGCAAAGGTTGAAAGTTGATCTTTCGGAGCAGCCGCAGGTATCTGAAGTGTGTCCAAAAAATTCTTGTTTTGGCAAATGACATGTTTGACTACATTCTTTGTTTTAACGATCTGGTTTGGGGAGATGTCCATTTCAAGGCTTTAGTATCTGAGAGCTATTTATCTTTTTTTATATTTAGCTTTAAAATAATAAAAACATAAAGTAGTAAAATGATTGAAAGACATTAGGAGTGCTTGTTCTGCAGTTTCATGCTATGACAGAGAGTTTTATGCAATAAAAGAGTGTGTAACTTCTCTGGGGCTGTTTCTAATGTGAGTTAAGGCTGAAACTTAAAGGTGCAATCAGTGTGTTTTGTTGTTGTTGTTAAAAAAAATCTATTTGTTGTGTTAGTCCAACAAGACATTCTTTAAACGCCTTGTTTTGTCCTGCTTTAGCGTGCTGTAAAATGGTCATTTTTTGTGTTAAAACACGCTCAAAAACAACATTGTTTTCACATTTGGAGGCTAAAGGAAGTTTTTTTCAGTTTTGCTTAAAATTAAGAATATTTAAAATTTCTACTAGTTACATTTTACCAGAAGTTCCAACATTTTCAGATCGCGATTTTAGGTATTAATGTCTTGAGGTTCTCTGTTCTGTGAGAGACTGTGTGAGCTGGTATTATTGATAACTTTTGAACATATACGAAAAGTATTTTATAAACCAGTTTGTGAGTATTATATTACCTTCTAACTAGTTTTTCCTCCTGATGTCAAACATGTTTAGTGTGTACACTCTATTAAAAACTAATAAAACTATTTTAAAGGTTTTATTTAGAAAGTTTCAGATTATTATATTTGGAGATTATTTTTGCATCTTTTATTTAATCTAGTAAAGGTTTGATTTATCTTATTTCAATGTTCTGATGTAGATATATCTAATGATTGTCAATCTTAATATTTCTCTCTCTCTTTTTTTTAAGTCAATATGGAGTCGATCCCTGATCTGATCAGAAAGAAAAGAGACGGAGAAACGCTGAGTGATGAAGAAATCAAAACTTTCATCAAGGCCGTATCGGACGATTCAATACAGGATTGTCAAATCGGTATGAAAAAAGAAACAGAAAAACTATTAAAAAAAAAAAGTTCACATCATCACCTGCGTGTTCCTCCCAGGTGCGATGCTGATGGCGATCTGGATCAGAGGGATGGTCAACACAGAGACCACCACCCTGACTCAAGAAATGATGACATCAGGGGAGGTCATGTCATGGCCGAAGGAGTGGGCAGGGATGGTTGTTGATAAACACTCCACAGGAGGAGTGGGAGATAAAGTCAGTCTGGTGTTAGCGCCGGCGCTAGCTGCCTGTGGCTGTAAGGTACACAAATACACACACAATCATTAGTGCACTATGATTTAAAACCTTGAGTTCAACATTTTGGTTGTCTTCAACCTGTTTTTGCATGTTTTGAGTCAGATAACCATATCTGGAGGAAATGGAAGCTTGATTAACAACTGCTAGCTTATTATCTAGCAGTAGTGCAACCTTAGCAACAAAATTAGATGTGAGATTGATTCAGATGTTATTTTGGTTATTTAAACAAGGCAAAAACAAAATGTCTTTACTAAACAAGACATTTTCAGGCAGATGTAGAGTGAACGTTTGAATCACAGGAAGCCCCGCCCTCAACCCTTCCCCCCACTACATGGTGTATCTGTCTCTGGATTGGGGCCAGAACTTAGCAGACATTGTGCTGTGTTAATGAAGACTTATAGACTAATGACTAATACCATATATGTATTAGGATGACATTAACAAAAAGTATGCTCATTTTCTCACATACTTCTATGCAGTCAGACTTATATATGGCCCCCTGCTGGTTTGTAGAAATAATACACGTTTAAGCCTTTCTGCATGGACTTCATTTAAACCATGAGGCTGCATTTATTTCTTATACAGTCAACAGTATATGGTCTCTAAGTGTATAATGTCATAACTCCAGGTGTGTTTCTGGACAGGTGCCTATGATAAGTGGGCGGGGTTTAGCATTTACAGGAGGAACTTTGGACAAACTGGAATCAATTCCAGGTTACAGCGTCAACCAATCAGGAGCTCAGGTAACCAAATAGAACTGAGATGTTTTTTTCTTGTTTAAAAATGTCAAACCTCTTTCAGATTTAATAAACGAGACAGTTTAACTTGTATTTTATTAATTAATTATAGTTTTAATGTGCAGATTCGGGAGATCCTGGAATCGGTAGGCTGTTGCATCGTGGGCCAAACAAAGAAGTTGGTTCCTGCAGATCGAGTCCTGTATGCCCTGAGGGATGCCACTAGCACAGTGGACAGTCTACCTCTGATTACTGGTATTGAACCATTATTTTCTGAGATAGAATAATCATTGTGGTACTACAGTCAACTTTAACATGTTCCTGTTGGTGTTTCAGGCTCTATCATCTCAAAGAAAGGTGCAGAGTCTCTGAACGCTCTGGTTCTGGATGTGAAGTTTGGACGAGCTGCTTTGTACAAAAACCAGAAGAGCGCAAAAGAGCTGGCGCAGTCACTAGTAAGAGATAGAAATTGATGTTATATTAGAATTTCGCTGATTTAAGGGTCCTGTAAGAAGGTTAGGTTAAATAGAATTACATGGAATCAAATTTTATGTTTTTTTATGACTTGCAAAAGGAAACAAGATCATTGGCAACAAGATTATTGATATTTTAATGTTTTATATTTTTATAATAATTTGTTGTGTTTCAATTGATTTTATTACCTAAGGTTTATTCATGCACATTCATAAAAATTACATTTTTGAACACAAAATCATTTTTTATTTTTCTTTTCAGAGTTTCTTATTTTACATAAAATTTTTGATATTTTTTATCTTTTCATTTTTGTCGTTTTTGATTCAGTAATTTATAACATTTTTTTATTTATAAAGAGAGAATCAAAAATGCTCACAAAATTTAGCTTTCCAACGACAAAATTTTTGTATTTTTTTGTATAGATTTAGTTTAGAGATAGTTATATATAAAAATAGATATGGAAGAGAAATAAATGAACAGAACTGTAAAATTGATTTAAAGTGTTCAGCTGTTTATTGTCTGATTTATGATGTTGATGATGGTTGTGTGTCATTCCAGGTGAATGCAGGTAACAGTCTGGGTATGCGTACGGCGGCGGTGCTTAGCTTGATGCACACTGTGATTGGTCGATGTGTAGGAAATAGTCTGGAGGTCATCGAGTCTCTGGAGACGCTGAAGGGAAGAGGACCTGATGACCTGATGGAGCTTGTAACGACTTTGGGTAACGATGTGACACATCAGCAGATTTAGACTTAACAAAAAACAAACTAATAAATTACTGAAAGTTAACAAAATAAATAGAGTTGATTAAATAAATAAATCACGTATGAGTTTTATTGTTGTCTTGTAGGCGGTGTTTTACTGGTGATGATTGGCTTAGTATCAGACCAATCAGAAGGCCAAAAGAAGATTTCAGACGCTGTGATTGGTGGAGCTGCTCTTTCAAAGTTTCAGGCTATGATGGAGAAACAGGGCGTGGCCAAAGAGAAGGCTCTCTCACTTTGCTCCACCCAGACGGATTACTTCAGTGTCCTAAAGAAAGCCAAACATCAGGTGGAACTAAAGACTTCCACTAAGGGTAAAACTTTTATTTAACGTACACTTTTTAAATAACTTTTTAATTGAGTTTATAGAGAACGCAAGTCAAAACTTTAGAATGACATTTATTTTCCTTTTTTAAGTAAAAACTGTTTAACCTTTGTTTTACTTTTTACCTTTTACACACATAATCTGTTTTTTATTTGTTTACATTTACAGTGACAGTCTCATAATTCAAGTTTTTCATTACTTAAGTTCACAAATATTTTGTAAAAAAAAAAGGCCTCACTTTCATAACTTAAAGCTCCAGTGAGGAACTCTCAAGTAGTGTCAATTTTGGCGCCCCCTGTGGACAAAGTATTTCTGCTTAATTTTTCCTGTACATGTAAATTGAATCTTTTTTCCCACTAAATCAAACCCTCTTCTAACACCTAAATGTATTATTAAATTGGTTTTTCATCAAAGAAAATGTTGTGTTAGCAGTCTGCAGTTACTCACTTAGACTGACACCTATCCCCTGCCGATGTTTTGAGATCTTACAAATTATATTTTAATTATTTTTTGCATTTTTTGATGGTTTTGATTGAGGTCAGTGTAATTCTTAGTCTCTTAAATGACCAGATAAAATGTGCTTACAGGAGCTTCAAGTATTTTTGTGATGTAACATGGCTCTGTATCCTACAACGAAATATTCCAAACTTTAAATGCTTCCCTTTCTTTACTCCTGACACTGACTCAACACCAAAAACTGTGCATATATTTACGTATGTGGTATTTTTAGAGACACATTCTCTGACCAGGTTATCTAGTATCTTTGAAAAACTGTGAAGGACCTTAAAAATCTGAAAAATTTCCTCCTGCAGGTGTCATTGCAGACGTGGACGGTTTGGTGCTTGCGAAAATTCTCCAAAAATTGGGGGCGGGTCGATCGAAGGCTGGAGAGCCTATCAATCACAGTGTGGGGGCGGAGCTTCTGGTCTCACTTGGTCAGAAGGTTGAGAAAGGTGAGAAGTGGTAAAAATGTTAAGGATAGAGATAATGACGAGTCAGGGACAGTCATTAACTTTAAGTTTTGTATTTCTAGGCGTGTCTTGGCTGAGGCTGCACTACGACGATCTGGCTCCGACTTCAGACCAGATGAATCAACTGCAGAACATTCTGACTGTGGGGAAACATGAAGATGCAAAAATAAAAGAAAAAGAGACTCTAGTGAAAGAAATACTGCTACCACATTGACATGAGTTTAATACTTTAATTTATCAAATGATTAAAAAACAACAACAACAACATCTGATGTATTTCCAAAACCTCCTGCACTAATCAGTCAAAATACTTCTCAGTTGTTGGGAGTAGGAGTTTATTTTATTTACCAATTCCTCATTCCAAATCACATTTTAATATAGGCTAACATTTTTTAAAGCTGCTATAACTGAGTTGAATAAACACTTTGTAACATGTGGTTTTGTTGTACATGTAAATCCAATGAGACAAAGATACAGAAAGGGAAATTATGGAGGTGATACAGCGCGACAGAAACCGTTTACTGCATCTGAATAAAAGAAACCTAAACACTGTGGCCTCATGCACTACAACAGAAGAATGAATGGATTTGATTGGTTCCTGACTTCGTAGGAGACCCTGAAAACAGCATTTTTTTCACAAGCTTGTGACTAATTCCAGACGAAATAAACTTTATTGATCGCACATCATGGTGGAAGTTTGCATAAGAACTGAGATGTTGTGTAACAGAGCCGATCACTTTCACATCCCAACCCCCCAAAACAATATAAGGCTTACATCTGCCCACCAGAAACAAGATTTACCCCTTTAACACCAAATCACAATCCTTCTACAACCTCCTGTCTCTATACAAGATAACCAAATAAGCCTTCCCAAAACACAAACTTTCTATCCTTTCTACTTCAAAGAGACAAAGACAAGTGGTCCTGCAGCAGCATCACACCTTGACTGAGTTCATTCACGTTGTTTGATTTGTCTTTAACACCGTCTTAGTTCAATTTGTGAAACTTTAACTTTTTACACAGAGAATGTTTAACTATGCATTAATAAACCTGTATATTGGTATGAGTACATTTTTGCTGGACATTATTAATCACCTGATGTATTGTGTGCAGTGTGTAAGTTTATCATTTAGTTATATGATTGAATGTATTTATGTGTTTGATTTTTTAATTTGCTTGTTTGGTTATTTTATATTTTTGTTGCCTGTATTTTTTTCTTTTTACCAGCTGTTGCAGTTGCAGGAATATTTGCTTTAACGAAGACCAAAACTTTCCTTTTGAATTGCCTAAAGGTTGCTTGAAAGTTTTAAAACATTTATTCTTGAATGCTTTGGGAAAGTTTTATACCTGTGGCTCTGAAGCGAGATGGAGTGATGCAAAAAACCTGAAATTTTAAGGCTTTGTGGTCGAACTAAAAAACATTAAGCTGAGTGAGAAGCATGACAGTATCACCAGCAGGGAGCGCCAGAGGAGACTATGAGAATTAGGTGATGAGATTTTTCTGTTATTATTGTATAATTTTAGATTTCAGAAGGATTGTGATCATTTATTTCAGTGTTTTTAAACAGCCTCATACCTCAACATTCTCATCATGATGCTTTATTTTATTTGCACTTTTGTACTTCAGAATAAGATACAGTGTTTAATGGAACATAGTAATACCTGCTACAACACTCATGTAATCAACATATCTACATGACAATAGTTTTGATTCTGATTCAGAATTTTAGATTTTAAGTAATAATTCTGACTTGAATATCAGCAGTATGAGTTTAAAGTCAGAATTTGAAGGAACAAACATGGAAATTTGACTCAGAGATTAAAAAAAAAAACCCTCTGAACTCTTGGTTTAATCTCAAAATTATGGGGTTGAATACGAGTCAAAATTCAGACTTTTTACTTCAACAAGTCCAAATCCTGAATTTTAAGTCAGAATTTTTGACCTTTATCATAAAGTTACAAGTATGACACTCATCTCAGCATTCTGAAAAACAGTTATAATTCTGACTTTTGGAAAATTGTGACTTTTAACTCAGAGTTCTAATGTTGATGTGAGTTTTCTGGGATCAGAATTTTGTAATAAAATCTAGAATTTTGACTTAAATCTCAGAAATTTCAGAAAGGTCAGAAACATTCGACACATTAGATCTTTTTGTTTGAAAAAAAAGGGCAAGGAAGCTCTGATGTTTGAGCCATCCTTTCAAATTGTTGTCCTAATTTTTTGGGGCATAATATTTTACAAAATTAGCATCACATGAGGAGTTAGACTGATTTTTCCCAGTCTGTAACTATGTTTTCTGATGTGCCAATAACAGAAACCCCCAGCAGCACCGAGCGTTGTGACAGGCAGCCGACTCCGTCATCATGTGACGCCGCAGAGAGGAGGAATCAATAGAGAGGTCTCACTCCGTTGCGGATTTTGGTGCCACCTTACTGACGGATCGATGACTATAGCTTTGTGCTGGAATCACAAACAGGGGATGTCGTTGTTTTTTCACCTTTACAACGTGTGGATTAATCAATCTTGAGTGATAGTCTTCTTTTGGGGTCGATAACAGAACATTGGAAGGAAGTTTAAAAGGTTAAAATATCTCCTGATTACAAACAACTTATTAATCCATCTTTCGAAGTATAGACGATCTACGGTGGAGCTAGCCGGCTAACTACTAGCTCAAAGAGACGCCATTAGTTGGGAGAAAACCAGCCTTTCGTATTAGGTAAAAGGGGGAATTAGCTCACTGTTTATACCCAGTCCCCCCACACCAGTTCGTAGATATTTTTGAAAGTCAGCTTCGCTTATGCTGTCGAGGTGTTTAGTCCTCGTTTGGTGTGTTTTCCTAAAGTCGGAAGCTGATGTGAGCTGCGCAGGACTTCAGTTCTGACGGGGTTAGCATTAGCAGCGCTAGCTCGATATCGCTTGTTTAGATAAAAAAAAAACCCGAGGACTTCTTTATTTAACTGCCTGCTATGGCTGCCGGGGGGACGGGCGGCAAAACCTACTCGTTCAAGGTGGTGCTGTTGGGGGAAGGCTGTGTGGGGAAGACGTCTCTGGTGCTTCGATACTGCGAGAATAAATTCAACGACAAACACATCACAACTCTACAGGTAAGACACACAGGAAGCTAATGCTAACTCAGGTTAGCCTGATAAAAAAGCAGACCTGACACACCTGCCTCAGAAGGTGTGTCAGGTGGAGAACCTGTTAGCTTTTTTTTCAGTGGAAATGAAAGCTCAGGGTGGCAGGGATGCATCTAAGGGGGCGGCCAGAGGTGGCATGAGCCCCCCGTTGGAATTTGATTGGCTGTCCCAGGTGCCATTCTAAAAGCTTTAACTAGCTAAGTTGAAATTACAAGTACAAAAAGATGGGTTAAAGCAATAATTAGAAACTGCCTTAAAGTATTGTCTAAAATTCTCAGGTAACCACAAGTTACCTTCAGCGTATAAACTTAAACTCATTCCCCATTTTACTGGTATTGTTGTCAAAGTCCAGTATAACCTCACAATTGAACATGCTCTGCTGATAGTTGCATCAGTGCTGCAAGCTTGAATTGGAAAGTGGAAATCAATCCAGTGTGCAGTGAGGTTCAGCAGTGACGTGGGACAAATGTCAGAGCCAGAGATGTTTGTTTTGAAAGTACCAGCAGTCACATTAGGTTTTAAATTGCCTCTAAGTCACCAGGTTTAACAGCTCCTGTAAAGGGGAAGTGTCTAAAATGTTGTGTTGAGGTGGAAGGACTTACCGTACACACTAAAGACGACAAAGACCTCCATTCTGTTGTTTAGGGTGATGAATTTAACCACCTTCTCTGTTATCTCTCTGGCCTTTTTGCTCTTCAAAGATATTTATACTTCCTCTTTAGACCACAGAGAGGCCACAGTGAGAACACTTTATTCCGCTCCGAAATAATCACGTTAGACTGTTTTTACTCTGTACTTTAAAGTGTCTCCACACTGCTGACATTTTTGCCACAGGATTGCGAGTGCAGAGCTAGTTCTGCATTTACATTCAGCTGTAAATTGTACTCGGTATGACAGCTGACTTAAACGACTCGGGTGAGACGATTGTCCCAGATGGAGCTCAGCTCTGAGATAGTCAGCACCAACGACACTAACACTATCAGATCCAGAAACAATCCTGTGTGATGTACCGACTTACTGTAAAATCCACTCGCTTTGTGAGACCAGCAGCTTTCTGTCAATAAACTCTATATGTTTTTTCGTGGTGTCACCCAGCAGCTTTTCTTGGGGTTGGTTGATAGTGATTTTTCTGGGTCAATATTGATACTGGATATAAGTAGTTCAGGAGACTGAAAAATGATGTTTTGAACAGATGTGCATTTACAATATAAAAGTAAAAACTTCCCCACATTACAAAGTCATAGGAACAATCAAAATTTAGCCAATTAGAGAGTCTGAGGACGACCTAGAGAGAGAGAGAGTGAATTAGAGAGTGTTGTGGGCAGGACATAAGGTCATAGCAGAAGATCATTACAGGCAAGGAAACTGACCCAGACACTTAAAAGTTTCCCACTTTTTTAACTCATTTTATTGTCTATCCTGAAAATGAATGGCTGACACAGATAATCGACGCAATACTTTAATCAGCCCCAGAAAATCCGTGTATTCAGTGTTTCGAGACTGTCTGGATCCAATCTCTCAAAAACAAAGATAATCTGTGATAATGTTTTAATTTAAGTGATATTGTGTGATACCAGTTGTTAGCAGGCTATGCTTATGGGAGGCTGCTGTCTGCTGTGGTTCAGTAATTGTACCTGATGAGTCTACATTCTCAAACTACATTTGATTAGTGGAGAAAGTTAGAGTAAATAAATGAGACATTTGTCCACCCCTTGTGAGAGTCAGCGCTCCAGTTTGGCCGCCCCATCAAAATAAGACTTGACACACCTCTGTGAGGCGGTGGAGTTGTTGCGTCAGGGTGCGGGTGTTTTTGTTGCTGTCACTTGTGTGTGAGTGTTCCACGTCGTGCGTCCCGGGTTGCTCGGGGTCAGGGGCTTATTGCGAAACAGAGACGGTGTTGTGTCTGAAATAGAAGCTGACCACGTAGCTGTGATTCTCTGAGACGACAGAGGTGAAATGTAATCACACCTGCAGAGAAGTACAACCCCGATGTGAGTGAGAACAACACAGAGGAACAGCCACAAACTCTGTTAATAATCAATGTTTTCTTCATCAATAATTGAGCGTATTCCTCGGCCTGATTTTAAATAGTCAGAGAAACAGATTTCTGCAGCAGTGATGGAGTAAACAGCGCTGAGTTTCCCATCACAACATTATTTCTCCCCATTTGTTCTCCCCTTTAACTCGACATTTTACATCTGACACCATAAAAAGACTTCAGTTAAAATAAAAAACAGACATAGTTTCTCCTTTTCCTTGTTTGTATAATGGTAGAATTAAAGTAACTGTTAAACCTCTAAAGTACATGAACCATCAGACAAATAACCATGAAGTTTCAGTTACACTTCCTCATGCCTACCTGCAGTCTCCTCTCAGTTTCAGTTAGGTTTAATTTAACAAATGTAAAAACTCCCTGGTATTTTTTTGTTTTTTTTTAAAGAGGAGAGAGAATGTCTCTTTTGATTCGACCTACAGGAGATTAAAGATGGTCAGGTTGTTTTGTGTTATCCCGTGGACAGTGACCTTTTACAGAGAAAGTGGAGATATCAGACTTTCTCACAGCGAACTTAATTTTCATAATGAATCCGTATCGTCGTGACTCAGTGTTGTCGAGCCGATAACAAGCTTTCACAGTCTGTGTTTGTTTGCATATCTTATTTCAGTCTCTCTCACAGGCAGCTGCTCTGTGGATCTGTTTCTGTTTTGGTTGTTAATCTGCTGCGATCAGGTTTCAGATTCGTCTCTCTGACTCCAGAAGGGAGAAATCCAGGAAGTATGATGCAGCGTTTCCATGTGAGCATCCAATGATGGAGCGCCAGTAATGACTTGCAGCCTGAATCGATCACCCCGTCGTGTTTGCAGGGCAATGCTGCTGCTTGTTGTTGTTAGAGATGGTGTGACGTTTAAACGCCTCAGATCCTCTGACGTCCTCAGGTTTTTTTTTTTGTTGGCGCTTGGGGCTGAACTTTCCCAGAATTCCTTGTGTTGTGTTTGCTTTAAGGATGAAGTGGCTGCGGATGGAAAATGCTGGAAAAACAAACACTTTTGCTCATATGTTGTTGATTTTCGGCTGATCTGTTTCTGCTCTGTTGGAGTCAAGAGTGTAAAACTGGAATTAAACAGAGACATAGTTTTTATGGAATGATCTTTGTTCACAGAGATGTCACTAACTATGATGCTTTAAAGTCTCATAATTTTGGTGTTCAAACTTATACGCTGCTATAAACAAACAGATGACGTAATAAATGCCGCAATATCGCAGGTCGGGAAAACGTCGGTGATGTGAACGCTTGTATTGACAAAAAAAATATTGACGTCTGAAATAATCGCACGACAAAAACGGTCCCGGTGTGAAAGGACCTTTACTCTAACCTTAGCTTGCATATTACATGGTGCTGCCAATTACTGATTAGTCTCAAACAAGCAAAAATTGGCCGATATAATTGGCTCGCCGATAAATCGGTTGGGCCCTAGAAAACAGCCTCCTCTGAGAACATCAACTGGTAATTTATTGATGGTCCCTTATTCAACATCCGACGGTGACAGCGAGGATGCTGAGTAGATGTAACCGCGCTGCTGTTGCTATTCCCGGTTATAGAGAGTGAGAGGACACCAGTGGATCCACAATGAATGTCTGTCTGATATCCAACCTAAGACTAAATTCACTGCAGAATTTACACGAAAAAACATTTGTTGCCTCGGCTGATTTTTCTTTTTTTTTGTGCACATGTGCCCCTAAATACGTTTTACAATTCACACACATCTACTTATAGTGAAATGGTCGCACTGTCGAGCCTGTTACATCAGCGAGAGATCAAGTAAATAGTAATAACATGTCGGTCAGTTGTGTCTGATTAAACTGGTGTACAACTGCTGAACCAGAGTCATGAGAAATCAGCTCAAAGGAGGAGTGAAGGCTGGTGGTGCTACTTCTGCAGTTGGTAGCTACACCCTGCAAACCAGTTTAATTGTTTACTCAACTCTGTGAACCTGTGTTAGATAAGGTCAGATAAGTTCTGCTTGATTTTGTTAGATGTCTGAGTGAGTCTAATTGGAAAGGTGTAAAGGACGATGGGTGTGTCATCTCCTCAGGCATGTAGATGGAAGAAGTAAATACAATGCTGTGATGATGAAGTCCTCAGATGACTCGACTCAGCTATGTCTGAGACTGAAGCAGTTTCTAAAACCACATGATGCGTAGTATTTCTACAGGCCACAGATATCATGAATGCATTTGTATTTTTGACCTCCTGCCCAGAGGTGCATCCTTGGATCCCAAGATGTAGTTACTCTAAAAGCATTAGAAAAAATGAGTTTTTGTTGCCGTTTCTGCTCAGAGAGGACGCACAAATTCTCCAAAACTGAGCGGAGAGATCAGTCGCCTCACAGCACGAGCTCTGCGTCATTAAACTGTCAGTTTGTCATGAGATTATTCAGAGTGGAAAGTTTCTGTCTTTACATATTTTCCTCTCATGCAGATAACTTCTCTTGGCTTTTATAATACCTCAGATGTTTCCCATATTTCCCCAGTCAGTGTATTTTTATTCCAGGATTAGATAAAGCAATATTTCTGTCTCTAAAGATGCTCACTGTGTCAGGATTATGAGATCATAATGTCATTAAATTAAGCCCTGACTCAGCCAAGAGGCATGCAACTTTTTTCTCAAGGAGTACGTGGACTCCTCAAAACGATGACTTTGGAGCCAATAACCAACCTTTGTGTTTGCAAAATTTAAGCCAATTCAAATGCAAAGAAAACTGCAGTTTCGCAGCTGTCCACCAGACCAAAAGTGAGTCAACTCTCATTGAGCCCTATGGACATTTTTACGCATTCGACTCTGCTGCAGAAAAAAACACGTTCACAGCCGTGTATTCATAAGAACTGTACAGGGACAGGGACTGCGGCTTTGTTTTTGAAATTTAGTCACCAGCTACCAGCTGCAGCTACAAACATATTCGCAAAACTAGACTAGAGGTAGAGCAAATGTCTGCATAACTGTGAAGGTCCTTACACACTGGGACTGATGCAAATATACGATGTGAAATTATGAAATATTCGGCGGTGAATTCTGATGCGCCTGACTATAAACATCAAGCCCGATGCAATTTTGCGACTTTCCGGGGGGGAAAGAGAAGCATTCTGGGTGGAAGCGAGAAGCCTGCTGCAATATCGCAGGACAGGAAAGCGTCGCTGATGTGAACGCTTGTATTGACAGGATACGGGTTTGAAAAAAAATTATTGACGTCTGAAATAATCGCACGAAAAAAATGCTCCCGTTGTGAAAGGACCTTTAGCCTCGATAAAATCGAAACAAATACAAAAAAGTAAAGAACAGCCTCGACATTCTTAGCTAGTCGATTCATATTTGTTTTGCTATGAAAATCGGCATCTTACAACAGGACGTAATTGGTTTCCTTGGCATTTGTGTCAACCCCTTGTGGTTATTCAGCGAATTGCAATTTTTTGCACACTATGTATGACCCTTATTTTTTAATATACAGATAACAGCTTCAGGGATTCACCAAAACACCGCCCCATGACTCTTTTCTTTAGCTGTTTTTTCACGTCAATAAAAACCCTGATACTGTTTTATGTTGTAACCGCCTGCATGTTGGGCCTGGACCAAACATAATATGACATCTTTTATGACTTCCTTATCGTATAATGTGTTCATATCTCTGCATTAGTCGCTTTCTGCTGTCAGAGTCAGAGCTGAATGTGACACTTGTTTTCGCTGTCGTTTCATTCGCTGTTTATTTTCCAGAACAATCCATTTACTGTTTTATCTTAAACAATATCTGTCAGTTTTGTGTCGCGTGGTGTGACTCCTTCAGATGACTTTTTATTGTCTGACAAGCACAAAAAAAGAGAAATGTTAGAGCGTATCAGAAATGTCAGAGCGATCAAATTTACAGCTTTGAGGATGAATTTGAAAAATATATAATAAACCTTATAAACCTAATAATAATGCAACTTGTATTTCCAGTTTTATTGAATTGACCTACCTAATATACAGTTTACATGTAGTTTAATAGAGCAATGCATTTGTGTCTGCAGGATCCTCATTTGTTTATATTACTGTCTTTAAAAATGAGCATTTTAGCCGCTCAGAAATATTATCTTGATAACGTATTTCACTGTGGTCGAATAATTTTAGGTTTTTAATAATCAGTCGGCTAGTTTGCTGTAATCTGATGCAACATATCCCTAAAGATCAGTGTTTTTTAGTTACCTCCTTTAGATAATTCATTTTTGAGCAAAAATATGTCTCTAAAAAATGACTGTAATGTTTAAACTTTGGGAGACATTGCCAAACACATTGAGGAATTTTTACTCCTCGATTTTGTCATAAAAACTCAAAATAAAACCAAATTGGAGATTTTTCTAAAAGTTTAAACTTTGTAAATTTGTCAGACAGATTTTTAGAGTGAAAGTGCAAAGAATGAAAAAAAACAAACAAACCTCTTTTGACGTGTGTGCTCAGATTCTAACAATGCTGTGTTTTTTTCTTTTCTTTTGCGGTTGTGTAACACTTCACCTGTGTGATGACGCACTCTGACGATGATTCATGAGTCTGCAGACCACACAGTCAAGGATTGAGGGTTTTTTTCATGTGAAGAAAAACAATCTGAAATGAAACATTGACAATTACATTCAATGTGATCTGCAGTTTTTTTCCTTCTTTAATGGTTTTAAAAAGAATATATAAAGTTTTTAAATAGAGGGATGCACCATACCAATACCAATGATACCAATGAAACCAATGATATGTTACTGTATCCTTCATTTTAATAAATTATAGCCTGTTATTACAACGTTGTCCTAAAAATGTACAACTTTAATCTCCTGAAATAACAAGTTGATGCTTGTAAGTCTAAAAGTTTATTCTCATAAATGTAGGAGTTATGTATGTAGGTTTACTGCTTCATTTTCTCGATAATGTGGGACTGAGATTGTTCAGATTTCCAGCCTTATCTTCGACTTTAGTCTTGTGAGATTATGAATTTATGCTCTTTAAAAAAACATAAAACATAACTTGCATCTTGTAATATTACGACTCTGTCCTCTGGCGTCAGTTCTCTTTAGTTGTTGTAGGCTTTATTTTTTAAAATGAGAAAAACCAATACTTTATTTATTTTATTACCTGTGAGACTTAAATAAATTATATTCAATCTGTATTAAATGATAGTGAAAAACACGTTGATTCTTTCATATATTTTATTATTTTTAAGATGCAGCAGTTATAGCCCCAAGTAGTTGTCCAAAATATTATCTAATTGGTTTGCTCATTCACATAAAATTTAAATGTTCTTTAGTATTTTTTTAATTCTTTTTTTTGCTGAGACTTGAATTGTTTAGACCTTTTTGCTGCTTCTCGACCAAATGTGCACAGACTTAATCTCTGATAACCACCCATTAAAGTTTATGTTCATCTTTTATGTTCTTTAAAGGTGAAAATAGACTTTATTCCCCAGAAGAAATTCACAGAATGTTTAAAAACTACTATGAAACTTTATATTCACAGCCTGAGAAGGCTGACGAAGAGAAAATAAAACAATTCCTGTCTTCACTTGATCTCCCCTCAATAGGCTCAGAACAAAATGGATATCTGACCGCCCCGATCTCTAAAGACGAATTGGATAAAGCCATAGGTAGACTGGCGTCTAATAAGAGTCCTGGGAGCGACGGATATCCAAATGAATGGTACAAAAAATTCAAAGAAGTCCTAGCTCCGATATTACTGGAATCATTCAATTGGACTCTTGAGAAAGCTATAGCACCACCGTCCTGGAAGGATGCTGTGATAACCGTCATTCCCAAAGAGGGGAAAAACAAGGAATACTGTGAGTCATACCGCCCAATATCGATTTTGAATGTCGATTACAAATTGTTCACATCCATAATTACTAAAAGACTGGAATGTTTTCTGCCTGACCTGATACATGAAGATCAAACAGGCTTTGTTAAGGGACGCCAAACACAGGACAATATCAGGCGCACCCTCCATATTATAGATCACGTTAACAAACATCATACATGTGCTGCCCTGATCAGCTTAGACGCCGAAAAAGCGTTTGACAGGGTCAGCTGGGATTTTTTATATAAAGTATTAGAGAAATTGGGATTTAATGATAAATTCATTAAATGCATTAAGGCATTGTATACTGACCCATCAGCTAGAGTCAAAATTAATGGACACCTGACAGACACCTTTAAGCTGCACAGAGGGACACGACAAAGGTTGTTGTGCTAGCCCCGCCCTTTTCGCAATCTTCATAGAGCCACTCGCCCAAGCAATTAGACAGGAAGATGAGTTGACAGGAATCATGATAGCAAGAGATGAGCATAAAATAGGGTTATTCGCTGATGATATAATCACCTACCTTCAAAACCCAAATTCAACATTTACCAAACTAGTAAAAATAACAGAAGAATATGGATCAATGTCAGGCTACAAACTAAATATGTCTAAAACTCAGGTTTTAACTTTTAACTATAAGCCAAATAAAAAATTCAGGAAGAAATATAACTTAAATTGGAATGCTAGGTCAATTAAATACCTAGGAGTGATAATAACTCAGGAACTTGACAGAACTTATGAGACAAACTACAAGCTAATAAACAATAAAATTCAAAGAGATGTAGCAAAGTGGTCAACACTAATAATGGACTTCAGCTCAAGAATTGAGGTGGTCAAGATGAACCTCCTGCCTAGGTTGTTGTATCTTTTTCTGTCGCTCCCAGTTCGAATACCAGACGCACAATTCTCAGCATGGGATAAGCTAATATCCAGATTCATTTGGGCTGGAGCCAGACCGAGGATAAGACTCAAGACCCTTCAGCTAGACAAAGAAAATGGAGGATTGGCACTGCCAGACTTAAGAGGGTATTATTATGCAGCACAGTTAAGATATGTTGTGTATTGGTGCTCTCAGAATTATCAAGCCCGATGGAAGGACATTGAGATGAGCCAAGGCCAAGCCCCTCCACAGTCAAGGTTAAGTGGGAAAGAATACAGAGACCTTAAGGGAGAAAACTTGATCGTGAGAGGAACATTAGAAATATGGTATGAGGTGGTGAAAAAATATAAATTAACAGGAGATTGTAAACTGTTGATTTGGCCCTCTTGCACCTCTAGGTTCAGACCAGGAATGTTAGATAAGACCTTTGAAAAGTGGAGAGACAAAGGAATAACAGCCACATGTACACTTATAGATAAGCAACATTTCAAATCATTTACATCGCTGAAAAATGAGTTTGGATTAGAAAATGAAGATCTATATAGATATTTCCAATTAAGACACTTTTATGAGACAGAAGTTAAGAGGGAAATTTCTGTGGAGGGGAATGATGTGATCGAAATATTAACAGGCGCGTTCAAGCAAACCCCCTTAAGAATTGTCTCAAAGCTATACAAAGGTTTGTTGAAGCAACAGGGAAAAAACACAATGTATATAAAAGAGAAATGGGAAAAGGAACTCGGCATTGAATTATCTGAGAGTGATTGGCAGACCATGCTCAAGACCCAACATACATCAACAAGTTCTAAAACATGGAGGGAGTTCGGTTGGAAAAATTTGACACGTCTATTTATTACACCAAAAATCAAAAATAAACAATTAGGTCAACAACAGCACTGTTGGAGACAATGTGGGCAACTGAATGCCAACCACTCTCATATATTTTGGTCATGTACGAAAATACAGACATTTTGGGATGAGGTCCTGAGAGTCATGGGTAAAGTTTTTGGATATAATTTACCCAAAGATCCCCGGTTTATTTATCTTGGACTGATATTAGAAGATGTAATGGGTAAAGAGGACATATACCTGTTCAAGATCCTATCTCTTGCAGCTAAGAAAGCCATCACAAGAACTTGGCTAAGAACTGATCCACCTGAACTGAGTGACTGGCTGACCATTGTAGAGGAAATCCGATCAATGGAACAAATGACTTACAGACTACGAATTAAAGCTGAGCTATATGCTGTAAGATGGACTAAATGGCACCTGTATGTAACTGAGTAGTGTTTGCCCCCCTTGTTCTTGTTCTTGTCTTGTTTTGTTTTGTACAATATTTGCGTGTATGTTTGAAAGTTTGCCTTAAAAGATAAAAATAAAGTTAAAAAAAAAAAAGAAAATAGACTTTATTCATACATCAGTTTAGGATTTTGCATGACAGGACAAGGATGAAAACACTTCAGGGCTAGGTAGGAAAATAAATCTGGGCGTTATAAAATGAAAGAATTATATCAATAACTTCAACACCTAAAAAAGTGCTAAATGCAAATAACATTGTGCGGTTATGTTGAATGAAACAGCACTGAAGGATGATAAAACTGATGTAAAAAATAAAGTTATTTTAAAGAAGGAGACAAAACAAACAAGGCTTTAGCTAATAATCCTAAGAGAACAGAAATAACAGCGTAAATCTGTTTGGTTTGACCTTATTTAAGGGTCAGAGCACATGTTCAACAACACACCCGGTCAGCTGATGGAGCTCACACACATTCATACACTCCATCCTCCACATGAACACACTTCAATCCTGCTCACACACTCGCATAACTCTGTCTCTGTGAGTCTCTGAGCCCGCAGATATTTGAACCTTCCCACTGAACCGTCATATAAATCAGTACGAGGATGTATGATCGACCTTTGACCTAAAGGGACTTTGACCTAGTGGGAATTTATCAGAGCTGCATTCAAGAAACTCTCTCAGGTTTAGATAAAACTATAAAACACGCCGTAGTTTGATGTTAGTGTTTGTAAAATCACCTGAAAGAGTCGCAGACCTCAGCTGTGAAGAAACAGCATCATTTTCAGCGGACTGTAAATATTTACTGTGGCTGAAATTCAGTTTTTTATCACTGGGATTGTCTGTCTTTCCTCTTCACATGGTTATACAAATGATCAGACATCCTTGTTATCTTTAAAACCAGCTGAAGATAAGATAAAGCTGCATTTGAATGCCAAAATTACAAAGTTACAGTGAAGCCAAATCAGAGTTACGCCCAGGTACATTAAAATGAACTGTGCTGGTGATTATTTTACGCTTTTAAGCACATTTTAAAGGTTATTTTGATCAATAAATCTAATATTATGAGAATAACCACAACATGAAGAATTTCATTTGATCTGCCACCTAAGGAGAAGCAGAATTAACATTTTAAAGCACCAGAAAGTGAATCTTATTTCATATTTTGGTCAAAATATGAAAATGCTGATTATCAGGTGTGCTAGAAAATATTTTTATAATGTGTTTTTTATGATTAATGTTGCTTTGACGTGTTTAAAAAGCCCCTAAATTTCCTCATTAGTGTCCTCATACTTACTAAAAGAAGCGGCACAATCAATTATTTAATTAACAGATTGTTCAGGTGAGGTTTTAATTTGCGTGAATGTGCGTTTTGCAGGTGTCAGCTCATGGGTAATAATTTTTTTTTGATAATCCTGATATCAGCATCAATCAAAATAATCATAATTAGGATTTTTGCAACAGTGGAGCAGCCTCAGTGTGAGCGTAATGATTCAGTCCCCTGCAGGTCGATCTAAATTAGATACTTTGAAGTTAAACCCCCCTAATAAGCAGGAGAGACGTGAAGATTGTGTTCTGGCAATAAACATTTAAAAAAAGAATAAACCCACCATATTTTCTCTGTCATACTTTGGACGTTTCATTGATGACAATTTCATAAAAACATGTAAAACAGACGGTAAAATGTTGAGTCTGCTTCCTTCCTCTTTCCCTGTCAGTTCAGTAGGTCAGTGCTCATGTGCTGCATCATAGTGCATGATTATGTCAATAATTATATTAATGCATTTAAAAATTTAGTTTAATGTAATTTGTCGAGTTTTGTTGCTGGTTCATCGAGGTTATGCTGTTCAGAGTTCATGTCTGATCGCTGTTATTTCTGGTATTCTGTGCACGTCCCAAAACGCGTGAGCTGTACAGTTGCAGAGATTTAAACAGAGCCTCGTAATGACTCACATAATGACTCCTCACTCAATTTATTCCGTCTCTAAACCATAAAGATGATGATGATGATGGTGTCCTCTTCCTCCTCTGCAGGCGTCCTTCCTCACAAAGAAGCTCAACATCACAGGAAAGAGAGTTAACCTGGCCATATGGGTAAGATTTGTCGGCGCTGTCGCATCACAAACATGCAGTAAAAACAAAATACAAACAATTTTAATCATCTTTGTGCGTTTTTGTTCGTTTTCAGGACACAGCAGGTCAGGAGCGTTTTCATGCGTTAGGTCCAATCTACTACAGAGACTCCAACGGAGCGATTCTAGTCTACGACATCACAGACGAAGACTCCTTTCAGAAGGTAACGCCTTACCTCACACTCTGACTTTTCATTCATGCTAAACTTCAAAAGATTTAGGATCTTACTTTTGGTTTAAGTCCGGACTTAAGGTGTCTGTTTTTGTTGGCAGGTGAAGAACTGGGTGAAGGAGTTAAGGAAAATGTTGGGGAACGAGATTTGTTTATGTATAGTAGGTAAGTGGAAGTTCACTCTTGAAAAACACACCCTTGTTAACCCGTTAAGACCTGAACCCTGTCCGAGACACGCCTCTGCAAAGACAACATGCTAAATGTTTAAACTGAAACATTTAACTTTTTTAAATGAAAAATTTTGACCAATTTCAGAATAATGTTCCTAAGTGTAAAATGTCAAAGAATTAGTGGATCTCATTATCTACAGTGAATAACATCATTAAAAGATTCAGAGAATCTGGGGAAATTTCTGTACAAAAGAACCAAAACCACAACCAAAGTCAGAAACTCTATAATGGAAGTCCCCCTATGGGCTTTAAAGTATCACCACATCCAAAAATGCAGGTTAAAACTGTACCGCACAGAGGAAACAAGATATAAACACAATCCAGAAATGAAAATTTTACACATTTTTTAAAATCATGGATGTCTTGTCCTCTGAGAGAGAATGGGATGATCCAATATTTCATATCCTTTCCCAACTGCTTTGGAATTAGGTGGTTATAATAAGCTGTAAAAAGTTGTTGCTTGAGTTGTACAAAAGGAAAAAAAGGATAAAGATTTCCATTTTTTTGTCACCGTTTGTGTAGTCAGTGACAAATTAAACTTCATGCCGAGTTGAAATATGCTGAGAATGTGAAATTATGTGAGCAATTTGTCACTCAGAGCTGTTTTTTTGATCAAACTTCATGTCTTAATGTGACAAAATATCAAGAGTTTAAGTTTGGTAATCGTGTCTTCAATAAATTTTTGAGGTGAAATGACCAACAAAACTTTTTGAATTTAGTGTTACAGATTGTTGAGAAATAAAACATCAAGAATTAGGTTATTATACATAAATACACAAGAATAAATGCTGATTTTAGCCATAAAACCGGCTATTCACTCTTTAAAAAGAAGAAAGTTGTTTAAATACTGAATCTCTGAGAGTTAGAAGTTATTTTATCTTCGGCCTCAGCAGCCACCATTTTGGGAGGTGATTCTCGGTTTGATGTCTGAGCTTGTTTACATGTTTGTTCTGTTGCCGTGGCGTCTAAATATGTAGTTATTTATCTGTTTTGGTTTCACCAAGGAAAATCTGAAATGTTTTAAGTGGATTATCTTGTTTTGATGCCTATCTGCTCATCATGAGTTTTATCGTGGGCCAGACATAAATCGAGAATCTGCTGTTTGATAATGTGATTTTAGTGTTTTTCATACTGCAGTAAATCACATGAGGACATTTTTCAAAGAGATTTTATTACATTAAAATCTGAGTTTCTGTTTGAAGTCCTCTGAGCCGAACTGAGGATGACGACGTACCTGTTAAATCAACGATATGTGTGCTTCTTTCTTTCTCTCTGCAGGTAATAAAATTGATTTGGACAAAGACAGACATGTTTCAGTGGAAGAGGCCGAGAGGTAAAGTCTGAACAAACACAAAGAGGGTGATGAATTTATTTCTGGATGTGACTCGAGGTCATTATTCGCCTTTTATTCGCCTCTTTTTTCTTCCAGTTACGCCGAGTCAGTGGGAGCCAAACACTACCACACATCAGCCAAGTTAAATAAAGGCATCGAGGAGCTCTTTCTGGATCTCTGTAAAAGTGAGAAAAACACAAAAGCTGAAAGGTTGAAGAGTTTAGAGTGTGGAGCTTATTTATTTTTGTGTCTGAACCCGACAAAAGAAAATATCCGACGGACAGAAGAGAAGATAGATTTTGCTTTTAGTTTATTTATGAAGAAACAATCTCCAAACCGAAGTTCAACACAATACAGACAAACTTTATCAAAACCCAAAAGCAACAAGGCGTCAGGTTCAAGTCCCGGGCCAGGTGGAGTTTAAGTTTGGGAATAGGCTGAAATACTTAAAGGTGGGGTAGGCAGGATCTGAGGAAGTTCCAGTTTTTAGGAGAAATCTTGAATGTAAACTCTACCCCTCCCAACCAGTTTTCCCCTCAGCTCCTCCTCTCCCCTCCCTCTCCGCTCCAGCAAGCCCCGCCCACAAACAGACGCTCCTGCTCGCTCGTATCGTTCCAATTAAATTCAGATATAATATAGATAAATACTTCAGATCATTACAAATGGGGCCCAGTCAACATGAAAGTAAAAAGCATTGGTGCTACTGTAGATGCCAACAGACTACCAGCAAACACAATGTTTGTAGGACTTCTACAACTAGGATAAAGTGACATAGTCCAGGACCCGAGGGAGGACAGTTTAGCCAACTTTCTGGTTGGTTTCTACTGTCCGATATTGTAGCACGCTAACTTTGTTTGGGCTCCTGAACGACACGGGGGAGCAGCGTCTGCCTCACAACCAATCAGGTCGGGGGAGGCGAGGACTGGCTTTGTTTACAGAAAGAGCGGGCCACTCTGAAATTTTAAAATGTTGACCGTACAGACATTAAACTCAGCGATATCATTAAATAACCAAATGTCATCAATAACTAATAGCTATTGACTGATGTTAAAAGTTTTTTTGTATATATTCCTTCCTACCTCACCTTTAACAAGCTTGGATATAGTTTTTGTTTCTTTTGTTTTTCTGTCAGTAAAAGTGTTTTAATTTTAAAGCTCCTGTGAGGAACTTTCAGTTTGTGTCAATTATGGCGCCCCCTGTGGACAAAGCAGTCTTTATCATGTCTTTTACAATATGTTCTCTGGAAAAAAGATTAAATTCTGACGTCTTTTAATGGTGAAATGTATAATTTATTGTATATATTTAGAGCAAATGGTCTTGTTTGTTTTGTTTTCTCAAAAAAAACAACTTAATTTGAACTTAAGTCTATATTACAAATCCTAAAAGTCCTCACAGGAGCTTTAAAAGCAGATAAAATATCATTTAGTGGGTAAAAATGTAAATTAAAAGAGGTTTAAGTTTTTTTTTAATGTCCTTCTGTTTTCTTTTTTTGTGATCCAGGGATGATGGAAACGGCTCAGGCAGACGAAAGATTGAAGGGCAACGGAGCCAGCCAATCAGCATCAAGTAGGCGGGGCGTACAGATTGTCGACGACGAACCGCAAGCCACACCCGCTGGAGGTTGCTGCTCTTCTGGCTAACACACACACACACACACGTGCGCTTACACACACACACATTTCCACTCTCTCTCTCTCCGTCATACATGCTTGCAGACATATTCTCACAGTGTCGGCTCTAAAGTCTTTAAATTAATACTTTAAAATGTTTCTGTTCATTCAGCGCCGCCTCTGCTGCTAAGGAGCATGGGAAATCTATTTAAATGGTTTTATCTTTGTTCCCTTCAAAATAAAAGTAACTTATGATTAAAAGGAGTGTGCTGTCAGAGGTTGAAACTTGATGAAAATCACATTTTCAGCTCTTTGATTTCTGTAACTTTCAGTGTCGGAGACAGAAACGCTGACAGACGGTTTCTAACAGTTTTCATCTTTAGATACTAAAACAAAAATAAAAATAACCGAGGAGAGAAAGTAACGGCTCAGACTTCAGCAGAGATTTAGCTTTGTCCTTTATTTGTTCGGGGTAAACATGCATCCAGATACACAAACACAAACTGTATAAACTCATTAATCATCATATTTATCCCAAAATATTATCATGTTTGCTGTTTTCAAACCCAGAGGAGCAGCAGGCCCACAGTTTGTGATGCAGCGGCTCCACCTGCTGGAGGAAAGTCACACTGCAGGGAGGTTACACAATCTAAACTTCGTTCAATACTTCTGAGATTGACACATTTTGAGGAGTTTCAGGAAGCGTCAGCTGCTTTTGTTTCACTTTAATTCCTTATAACTTCTGATTAGATTAACAATGAACAGGAAATCGGTTGAGAAAAAACAAGAGAAATCAAGTCGGTGAGATCAGTTTTAGAGCTAAATTCATACGCAAGAATGAAAAATAACTCACTGCATACTAAAACGATTTTCAGCAAGTGCTAGATTTGCTTTACTGTTTTTTTTTTTTGTACAAATAATGATTAAAAATCCCTCATTAGGACAAAAAATACATAAATGGACTAACTGATTAACCTTTGAGCTGTATGACGTCTGTAAATATCAGAAAATGATCAACAACAATGTCAATCTTGTGTAAAAAGTGAAATATGCAAACTTTTTTTTTTCTTCTGAAAACTAAACCGAGGCAGAACATTTTGCAGTCTCATCAGATCATGGCAGCGGCACTTTTATTTGGTCATTGTTGTGGTTCAAGTCTAGCAGAAATATTTGATTTTTCAGTTTTTTTGTGCAAAACTCAAGTAGATAAACAAAAATGCAGAGAAGCACTGATTATATCGTGTGTTTATCAGTTTAAATACATCTAAAAAAAAGTTAAAGATCATCTTTAAAATTGTCGTTTTGTCTCTAAATTCAACAAATATTTGACTCAAAGTAAAATCAAGAATTAGACACAAAAAACTTTCACATTTTCTGCTTCAAAAATCACTAAAAACGAACTTAATCTTCAGCTCTGAGTTAAACGGCTGTGTCAGTGTGCAGCTGCTCCTTCATCCTCTTCATTCACACAAACCGACATAAACAGACACACACAGATGCACACACACACACACGACAGAGGAATAATACCGTGCATGTTGATTTCTGTAAAAGACTTGGTTTGATTTTCTTTTAAAATAAATAAAAAATTGAACAGCGATTATTTAATAAGTTATATTCATGTAGCGGTGATGGAAATCTGTACATGAACAAAGTTTTCTGTGTTCTCTCTAATGTGTACTTTTACTGTTTTTCCCCTCCGGGCCTGTCGCTTCATCACCCTCTCTGCTCACCCCAAAAATCTACAGTGACATTGTAATTAAAAAAAAAAAAGAAAACAGAAACAGACGGGACAATTTTCTGCCTTTTTGAGTAAAAAATCAGTGAACGTAGAAGTCGAAAAAGTAAACCATGCTGAGTCCTGTTCTTTATGGGTTAATGGAAAAACAACATGTGGCTTAAAAGAAATAAAAAGCAGTGCACTTTTTTGGAAATGTAATTTTTTTTAAACTGCTAGTGTCAAAGGTGTTTTTGTAATGGAAAAAAAAAAACAATTATAACAATTTACACAATGCACTGAAGGTGTCGCACACATTGTCGTTATTTCAAATGCACAAAAACATCTTAAATTATTCTTTCAGGTACAAATACTCCACCGAATACGATAGTTTCCGAATCCTTTCCTACCTTTATTCAGTTTAATACACTACAAAGATATTTAATGTTCAAACTAATAAACCTTTATTGTTTTTTTTTTTGCAAATATTCACTTATTATGAATTTGATGCTGCAACACGTTCCTAAAAAGCTGGTTCGGGGTCATGTTTCCTGCTGTGTTTCATCACCTTTCACTCGGTTTCTGGAGCAGTGTCTTACAGCCCATGAACTTCGTCGTCTTTTTCTTCCGCTTCATCCGGTCCGGGTCGCGGGGGCAGCAGCTTCAGGAGGGAAGCCCAGACGGATTCCCAGGCGCTCCGAGGCCAGGCGAGACATATCACCCCTCCACCTGGTCCTGGGCCGGCTACGAGGTCTCCTCCCAGTGGGACATGTCTGAAACACCTCTAAATGGAGGCGTCCAGAATGCGTCCTAACCAGATGCCCGAGCCACCTCAGCTGACTCCTCTCGACGTGGAGGAGCAGCAGTTTTACTCTGAGCGCCTCCCGAGGAAAACCATTTTGGCCACTTGTATGCGCGATATTGTCCTTTCGGTCATTACCCAAAGTTCATGGTAATAGGTGAGAGTCGGCACGTAGATCGACCGGTAAATCGAGAGTTTCACCTTACGGCTTACGGCCCATGAACTTCATCCACAAAAACAGTAATTAGAGGTTACAGAACTCAGGAGTTGCTAATCTACCTTTTAACTAGATCTTTAGAATTATCAGTTTATATATATAAATAAGATTTTGAATACTCCGTCATGATACAAAAGAACAAAAAAAGCACAGTAAAGAGTAATGGTTGGACTTCTTTATTTAGATATGTTGTCTTATTCCTTATTTTCAAACTTTATCCATATAGATGAAAGTTTAGAAACACAAAATTTATGTTTTGTGAACTTAGGAAGGATACTAACTGTTGAAGCTTTGGAGGTGAATTCTTTCACTTTTTTGCCTGACGTTCGACATGCGTTGCTCAACAGTTCGGGGTCTCTGTTGCGGTATTTTGTGCTTCATAATTCTCCACATCTGGACTGCAGGCAGGCCGGTCTAGTATCCAAACTCTTACTAAGAAGTCACGCTGTTGTTACACGTGCAGAATCTGTCTTGACATTGTCTCGCTGAAATGAGCAGGGACGTCCCTGAAAAAGTCGAGGTTTTGGATGGCAGCAGATGTTGCTCTTAAACTTGTATGTACCTTACAGCTTTGGGCTCTAACACAGATGCTGGCTATGATTTTCTGAAACCATCTTGAACGTGGACTCGTCAGACCACAGCAGACTTTTCCACTTTGCGTCAGTCCATCTCAGATGAGCTCAGGTCCAGAGAAGCCAGCGATGTTTCTGGCCGTCGTCGATACTTGTCTTTTATTGATGGGCACAGCAGATATTTTAGATGTACTGAATCACTAGAATCAGTTCACTAAAAAGATTTGTTCAAAGGATTCGTTCACCAAATCACCGAATCATTCAGTGCTTGGTGGAAGGAGCCTGCGACTTGGACCTCCTGAACTGATACACAGACGAGAGTGTTTGGCTGTGTTGCTTTGGCAAACAGGTTTGTAAAAATCACAATGTTTTAAGTGTACTGTCCTATGGTATGCTATTTATCTACTCTGTAAATTGGGCTTTGTGAGTGATTCGTCCGCTGAAGGTTCAGAAGAATTGAATGTGAACATGCGCCGTTCCCCTTGCAAACCGAAGCGGCGCTGCTGACGGCGCAACTGAAGTGAGAAACGAACAAATCACTTGAGGAAGTGATTCGGTTCAGTACGGACACTTAGAAGATTCGGTTCTTTTGAATGAATCGTTCTGGGACAACAAAACACTATTGTCTTTGGCTTTTCATGGTGGAGTTTGAACTTGTAGATGTAGAGACGAACTTCGTTAATTAATGATAGTTTTCTGAAGTCCTCCTGAGCCCGTGAGGTAGCACATGAGCTTTACAGAATGATCTGAGTCGAACGTCATGAGTGTTCAGTGTTGGTTTTGGGCCTTACTGCTTATGTGCAGAGATTTCTCTAGATCTTTGATGATATTTTGGACTGTAGATGATCAAATCCACAAATTCTTGCAGTTGTACATTGAGAAGCATAGTCCTTAAAATGTTGGAATGTTTGCTCACGCAGTTGTTGACAAAGTGCGGAGCTTGGCCTCATCTTTGCTTATGAAGGGCTGAGCGTTTCAGGAATGCTGCTTTTCTACCCAATGAACCTGATCACCTGAAGAGTGATCTAAAGAGGTGTTTCTGGAGCGGTGTCTTACAGCCCATGAACTTCATCCACAAAAACAGGAATTAAAGCTTACAAGACTCAGGAGTTGCTAATCTACCTTTAACTGGATCTTTAGAATTATCAGTTTATATATATTTTGGATAATTAGAATAAAAGACAATTTTTAAATTCTATACCTTAATTCAAGAGGTGGAAAATGAAAGATTTTGAATAGTCTGCCATGATACAAAACAACAAAAAAGCACAGTCAAGAGTAATGGTTGGACTTCTTTATTTAGATATGTGTCTTATTCCTTATTTTCAGACTTTATCCATATAGATGAAAGTTTAGAAACATAAAATTTGTTTTATTTGATTAACACTGTTATGACATAGTTTGTCCACCAGAGGGTGCTGCTAACTTAATTTTGACCCTGACGTTATCTGTTTTTCAACCACCATCATGCAACACTGCAGCTCAATGAAAAATTGAGTACCTTTGACCTCTTTCACACTTACAATGTGGAAAATTTCTATTTCTAAATTTCCGAAATGCAGAATTTTCAGCTATTTGAATTCGTCTTCGAAGAAGTCAGTGCTTTTTGAAATTGTCAACATTTTAGTTTCAAACTTACTTTTTCACAAATTGAACTTTCAACGTGAAATTATCTCAGTGTTTGAGATTTGGGAAAGTAGCGTCCAAGAAAAATCAATCAAAATTCGTTTCCAAACATCCTCTCCGGTCGCAGTGTGTAGTGTTGGACTCAATACAGCTTTGACTTGATAATGGTGCTCGAGACATCTTAAAACAGTTAAATCAGCACCTGTTGAGTTACAACAGACTACAGCTACAGACGTTTATTGCCGTGCTGCTGGCATAGCCAACTTAAGTGCATCTGAAAAATTCTCAAGATTGCCAAAAAGTTCATTATTTTTTTCATTGGATGTATAAAAAGTTCAAACTAATATGTTCTACACAATACCTAGACTCTTGATATTCATGACTTCCTTGAAAAATACCTTAAAATTTTGGGTATTTCATCCGTGGTTGCTCATTATTCTGAATCACTTATAAGTCCATTATTTTACTCAAGGATTCTTTAAATTTTTAAAGTGTTTTTAACGTGTGAAACAAAAAGTTCATACTTTCCCATGACACGTTAAGGGGGCGGTGACCCACTTTCACCCTTGCCCACTTCCCACACAGCTGTGGAAAGAAAACGCAGGTTACTTACAGTAAAGTTGCTTAAGACCCTTTGATGGTTTTTGATGTTTGTTCTTTTTCCACCCACAGACACAAGCAGAGTTTCTTTTATTTTTCTTTTAATCTGAAGGATTTACTGTATCAGCTCACAGCAAAAGAATCAAACATGATATAAACTTTGGATTAAAAAATTCCAGTTTCTCCCTTTTCTCCACTTTTACAGACATATTCGGGCTCCTCCTTCTATCAAAGCTAATTAAACATTCAGACTTTTACATTTTCTTTAAAAAAATAAATCCAACATGCCCATAAAACTCAAATAACAACATCCCGTCCTGTCGCAGCAGCGCTCAGATTTCCAAACTGAGCCTCCTCATTGTCAAAAACAGATTCACGGTTTTCCAGTTTTTATAGCCAATTGTGCATTTAAAGGGATATGATTCAAGTTTACTGAGGCGATGACAAAAACAGAAGAGAAATACTGTGACACTCATTATCAAACAGTACAGGATAAATATTTCTGTGAATCTTTTCTTCGACAGAAGTACAGTAAACAGAGGCGAGACTGGCGAATCCACACACACAGGCGGACTGATCGCAATCAATCCAAAAGATTCACCAAGATTTTAAAGCTCAGAAATAAGTATGGCTGTAAATATAACAATAACTTCGGTTTATTTAAGGCCATTTGCTAAGGTCTTTTTGCATTCACTGCACCAAATCAGAGATGAAGCACAAAAAAATGATTTTTTTGAGCATGTGTAACAAGTGGTGAGTGCAATTAGTTTTAGCAAAGTGCATTTAAAAAAAAAAAGAATTAAACACGAACTGCTCGAGTGGATTGTATGGCATGAGGTGACCAGAGAGGACATGAGACAGATTATTTTTCAAACATAAATGCAGACAAATTCAGAATAACCAAAAAAAAAATAAAAATCTGTGATGTAGAATTTTGATCTAAAGTTTTTAAAATGTAAAAATGTTAGTTTCAAATTGTATTTTAAATGTGAAACTAAGTTTTTTTAAGTCCTTTTTTAATCTTTCCCGACGTCCTCTCTGGTCGTGTGAAAGCAGCTGATTTTGTCATGATTAATGGTATAAGTAAGCCCCGCCCCTCACAGTTACACCTGATTGAGCTTTAACTAATAAAACATAAAGAGTGAAGTTGCTGCAGATATTTAAAGCTGCTAAGATTAGAAAAATAAAACCCAGTGGTTTTTTTGTTACAGTTTTTAGACATGTTTCAGGCCTCCATGGTGTCATAAGGCACTTTGGACCCTCAGTCCTCCAACGCCTCAAATTCGACCATAAACAAAGAGACCACGTATATGAGAAGACCCTGAACAGTAGAAGCTAATGTTAGGGCAGAGAGGTGGAGCCCTTCCTCTAGTAAGGTGGTGGATTGTGCAGCTCCTGGTATTTGGGAGGAGGGTACTGCAGCTCCTGGTATTTGGGAGTAGATGGCGTGAAGACGGCGGGGACGGACAGCAGGACGGTGGGCCTGTCGGGGTGACGGAGCTGGTGGATGATGATGGAGGACAGAATCATGCCCAGGATCTGGAGGGACGAACACAGAGAGGTCAGTTTCATTCAGTGTGAGAACTTGATTCGTAAGCTTAAGTACGATCTAAGCTTACAGATAAAAGTGTAACTGTTCAAGAAAACACAAAGTTTAAAGCGGATGCTCACCGCCAGAGAAGCCAGAGTGAAGGCGACTCCCATCACGACGTCCAACAGGAGCATGACGTAGTACATGATAATAGGGAAGCAGGTCTGCAGAAGAGAAAAGGTCCATATGATGTAAAACTTCATACAGTGAGAGTAAAATCTGTTTTCAGTGAAATTCATACTCTGCCAGAACTCACCTGAGAGTAGATGCTCTTCTTTGGGGTCATTGTGATCTGCAATGACAGACACGTGGGATCATTACTCTGAGGGTTTTTTTTTAATTTTATTTCTGTGCACGAAGCAGACGTTTGTGTGTGTTTACACTCACCCGGTAGCCGACTGACTGGCACAGGCCCTCTTCCTGCTCTTCCTCGTCACACATGCAGGAGTCAGGGATGTCGTTGCCCCAGTCGTTGTAGCTGAACAGACCGCAGCAGTGAGCCTGCACGCAAGAAAAGAGGCATGTCAGAGCGTGAACAGGAAGTGAGACGACAGTTGAACATTAGAGGAAAAGTCGAGGCTGCAGCATGATCTCACTGTTGACCTTACCCTCAATTTATTGATCAGTTATTTGGTGCTGAAAATTTGTCTTTAGTCTTTTAAAAAAATTCTGCATATGATTCTAAAGATCATAACTGGATTTATATTAGTCATATAGTCACAAAAAGACCCGATGTGTTTAGAAATCTACAGAGGAGAAAACTGATAATTACATTTTTTATGGACTTCTATTACAGTCAAAAAATTGGCTTCCATCTTCTTAACACCTGACTCACATGTTTGTCAAATGACCCTCTGTCACCTGCCTGTCCTCCACTTACTTCTGCCAAACAACACACCTGCCTGTCAGCGAGCCAATCAGGTAACTGAACCACACCTGGCTGCCCTTTGATAGCCCGGGGAGTGGAAACCGGTTTTAATAACCTTTAACAGCTGAGATAAAAAGTAAATACCAGCTACTTCCCTTTTTCAAACAATACCTGGTGTGTGTGTGTGTGTGTGTGTGTGTGTGTGTGTGTGTGTGTGTGTGTGTGTGTGTGTGCCTCTTACCATCGTCTGCAGGCCGTCTGCCATCGCTTTGGCCTCTTCTGGAGCTTCGTTCAGAGGCAGCAACTGTCTGAATTTTTCCTCCAGTTGTGGCTCCACCTGCAGACACAGACAGTTTTAGTTAAAACGACGAAACTGTACAGCCTAAAAAAATAATACTTAAAAGCTTTTAACTTCTTAAAAGTCTTTTTAAAGTCACATTTCAGATTTGGATAAATGAAATCCTCTCCTTTTGCATCTTTTTTTATATTTGTTCAGTCATGTTACAGTATGACAATTTGATTTTATTTTTTTTGTCATGTTTCCCCATCTGAAACTTTTAGATCCAAGAACTACATGGTCTGTGATTTTAAGGCAGATATAAAGTAAATTTGTTTTTTTACACACGTAAAAAGGTCATCTACTAAAACCATTCACCAATCAGGAACTCTTTTAGGGTGACAATAACCCCCCACCCGAGTCAAGCTAATTCTTCTGCCAGGTTTCTGATGGCTTAACTGTGAATATGTCTCATCTTCTAATCCTCGCTCAAAATTTTGTCATTTTAACTTTAACAAGTTGAACTTTCATTAGGACTTTTTAAACCTGAAATGTTGTTTGTCTCAAGTGTCAAACTTTTTTTTAATGAAAACTTCTATCCCATGATTTTTTTTTTCTGTACACTTACTTTAACCAGTTTTCTTTTTTTTTACTGTTCTTACAACACGATAATTTTTTTAACCTTTAAATCACATAACTTGTATCTGTATTTAAAACAAATTTACTTTCTAAAATCTTATGTTGTACTTATTTCTCATGGTTCCCATTTATTAACTTAATCTTTTGACCTTTCAGAGCATTTTCACAATTTTTAGCTCTTAATTTTACTGCTCAATTTTTCTATTTCTCACTTTTTGTTTTTTTTATTTCTTCATTTCTTATAACTTTTATTATTCTCTGACTTTATATCTAGTTTAACATTTTATAATCTTATTTATTCAAATGTCAACCCAACATCTCATGACTACGACTTCATCTCATTTTTACGTGTAACACCCCTGAAATGACTTGGCCATTTTCAATCATGGAGTTAAAAAATATAAAACTTTTTAAAAATAGTTATGACTCTTTATCTGACAGATAAACACCATCCCTAAAGACGAACCCCCTCATTAATCCTACTGCTGTCACTTTTTATTTTAATTCTAGTCCTCATCTCGTGATTCTGAGTTAGTTGTCCGCAGATTTTTTGTTCTCTATTTTTGACTACATGACTTTAACAAATAGAAAAATTTCACTTTATAAAATGATTTTTGTGTCAGTGTTTCAATCACACTCATATTAGAGTTCAAGTATGTCGCTTCACAAAATCATTGAATTATTATGAGGCAGAGGGACAGGATGTTACCAGAGGGCGGGCGGCAGTCGCTACAAAGCCAGCTCGGAGCATTGCCAGAGCTCCAACGATCATACACACCAGGAACTGCGGAGAGAGAGAAAAAGGGTTTATTTTAGAGTTTTTATTGAAGGAAAACAAGTCAGATAACTTTTTTGTTCCCTGTATTCAAAATCTCCTGAAATCTGAGCAAACTTTGGTATCTTAAAAGGCAGATTATGACTTTCAGATGTTTCTAGCCACTGAGAAGGGAGTCTTTGTTTGACATAAACAAGCCTGTTGCTCTCACCAAAAAAAAAAAAAAAAAAAAGAAGTGACAAAGAGGAAGAGAGAAACCACATATTTCACTTCTGTGCTGAGGTTTCTTGGTTTCACCCATGAACTGATGATCTCAAGTTTCTCAGAAGTGTCTCAATCAGGTCAGGATGTAAAGAAATTCACTTGAAATTATACGATTTGGTAATAATCTCCACCCTTGTTCCTTATTTCATTACAAAGTTTTGCCATCCTGTGCAGCCCCTGTGTGAAAACATAAGTTTATACTCACCACAATCAGGCACACTTTGTTCTCCTTGTTGGCTCCATAGGCTCCCAGAATGGCGACAATCATAGTGACAGTGCCTAGGATGTAGAGGGAGAGGAGGCTAGTGGTTCTGCCCTCCATCTAGTCACAGAGAAGATCAAGTTAATATGATGAGGAATATTTTTAGATATGAGATAGATATTTTGTGGTTAACTCGATGTTTGTCCTTACTTCGCTTCCACTGGTATTTGTGTAGACCTGAGACAGCAGGGCGAGCCCGATGATGGCACCGCCGACAATCTGAAACAGAAAAGAAACACTTAGCTGGCTCTGAAACCCAAACAACAAAATCAAAAGAAACCAGGAAATAATTCACAAGCAAAGTATGAGCAGAACATGTCAGTGTCTGGTTTTCTTGTGCGGTTTCTTTGCTATAAAAGAGCAGCCTCTATTTTCGTTACACCACTTCCTTCTTCTTCTGTCAGGGTCTTGTTTACTACCTGGTAACCAAAGCCTGACACGCAGCTGTAAAGCCTACACTGAACGTTCACGGCCATTTTAAGTCCGATAATACAGATAGTGTTATTGAAACAGCGACCATTTGGAAACAGGAACGCTCTTTAAATTTCTTTTGTCACATTAACACCAAATAGAACGAGCGATAATTATATTACTGCGTGACTTTATAATTCTAGTTACAGTTATCGGTTTCATAAACTACCTACATTTGGTATCAGTATCGGCCCCATATGAAGCAAATTTCTGTCAATAGAGATTACTCCGTTTAAACTTTATCTGGGCTTAACATCGAAGTACAACATCATATATCAGGATTTTTTTTGTTGGTTGAACACAATCCTCTTATCAAGAAAACAAATAAATAAAAAAGGGAAATAGACAATCAGTTATTTAAAGTTTAACTCACTTTTACAGACTTGCTTTTATGTGATGCCATCTTTTATCGTCGTTTACCTTTTTTCTTTTTCTCCTTTTTCTTTTACCTCTTTCTTATTTAGACTTACTGTCCTTTTAGCCTTTGTTTTACTTATAATCTTTTCTTATTTTATCTCTCAGGTCCTTCATTGATTTTAATGTTTTTTATTATATATGTATATATATCTATATATATATACATATATATATATATATTTTTTTTTTAAATTCCACTTTATCATTTATATTACCATCATTATTTTATTATGATTTTATTATTATTATTAATATCCTCTTTTATACTTACTAGCCTGTTTCCTGCCCTCCTTTTCTATTTCATTTTATGTTTTTATTTTGGTCCTCATGGTCCCATTTATTTTGTAGGGTTCTTGTATTGCCAAGGTTTCTTATGAAAAATGAAACAGGCCTACAATTCAGAGGCCTGTTTTTAACTGAGCTTTTGTTTTTATGTGTTTTTATTTTCATGTGCTGATGTTCTGTGCTTGCAACTGTTGTCAAAGCACCTTGTAAACTTCTGTTTTTTAAATGCTATATAAATAAAGTTATTATTATTATTAAAGTTAGTGTTAATTTTGGCGCCCCCTGTGGACAAAGCAGTCTTTGCTAAACTTGAGTTTGGAGTTTTGACCAAAATCTCTTTCTGCTGACTTTGTGTGATTTATCGAGAATATTTCATATATAGAAAAAAGGCTGTTTGTTCAACGCCTACCAGCTCTCACCGGCTTGTTAAAAATTACGATATAAAAATCTTGGATCTTGCTGCTGATATTCTTGTTTGCTTTTGAATATCATGAAATGGTATCAACATCATGATCCGTTTATTTTTAATTAGATAAGAAACCCTCATAGGGGCTTTAATTTACAGATAACTTCTTACGAATTGGGCGACTTTCAAACATCTGACATCTGAATGTTGTGAATGCCCAGAATTTCCCAACCATCTGGGGTGACGTCAACACAAAAAATTCTTTGTCCCTGGAACTGAAAGTAAACCCAGCCTCAGGGAAAGATTGAAGCCTGTAACCTAAAAGCTACAAAAAGAATAGTTTTGCATGCAAACTCATGGAGCAAACATATAACAACACTTTCTGCTTGTATACTTATAGTACAATTTTGCACAGTGGAGTTAAAATGGCAGAAATCTTTCCCAAGGTCAATTAAAAACCTTTGTAACCATTACACAACCAGAGAGGAATGACGAATAACCTTGTGAAATGTTGTTGTCAGAGAGCCGGATGATACACATTTTAATTGGCAGTTTATCAAATACCTGCTCCATAATTTAGTTATCTAATCTGATTATGAAGAACCAAAGGAAACTGCCAGGCGAACCAGAGGGGCATGTTTGGACTTGTGTTAGGGGAAGTATAATTTTGTTAAGCCTGGTTAAGTCAGGTAAATCTGGTTTCATGAGGACAATGTCCTCATGCTGCTTGGTGAAAGTGGGCTGTGGCTAAACAAATAAAAAAGGGTAATGACCTGTTAAAGAAAAGGCAACCAATTTATCCAATTAGAGGAAAAACTGCTGCAAAAATTAAATTAAATTACATTTTCATTTGTTTAACAGACCATCAAAGTTAAAGTAAAAAGCAGGATAACTCAAATTTAAACAGAGGGGCTGTAAAAGAAACACAAATTAATCTGTATAATTGACTGAATGATATTTAAATACAATTTTAAAGTAAAAAAAAAAAAAAAAAAACTTTTAACGTTAAAAGAAGACACAACAGCTGCTATGTAAGTCTAAACGCTGGTTACATATAGTTTAATACTTTTAATACTTAGGAGTTTTTTCTGAAAACATTACGATTAAGAAATCTTATATACTGTTTGTGTTTCTTTTATGTTAATAGAAACAAAAGAAAGTCGTGGTCGGGACGGGCCGAGCAGACTTCAGACGCCACTACGCACTTTTATTTTTAGACCTGTCGTTTAGAACGTTGGATAAACCGCCGCCATTTTACGCTAATTACGGTTTAAAACTCACCGCAAAGAAGATGTTGAAGCCGGTGAAGATGCATTTAAGGCAGCCGTTGACCTTCGCCATGTTTGCAGTGGAAGAAAAGAATATACAGTGAAGTCTTTGGTGAAGGGTAAAGTTTCGTGAGCAGTGCGGTACAGTGGAGACCGGAGAGGTGGGTGCGTTGCTTTTAAGTGACAGGACGGCGCAGTGGCACAGGGGGGCGGGGCTTCCTGCAACTGTAGAGGAGGAGATGCAGCATGGATAGCAGATATGGCAAATCCGGTGGTTGTTCATCACAGAGAAAGGGGGAGTCAGAGAGAGAAAGCCTCATTCCGGGAACCAAGGTGGAAAATTCCAGTCGTTCAACAGAGGAGAGCGGTGTCTGTTTGGGATTTCAGGGACAGGCGGAGCTGTGTCCAGACACGAACCCTTGAAAAACCCCAGATCCCGGAAATGACTGGCTTTGAGTTTCAGTTATGCAAGCTCATTTCAGCAGAAAACTGAATGAGAAGTTTTAGAGAAAAACAAAGCACAGCAAGGTTCAAATGTTCATCAGAAGAGACATAAGTTGAATGAGTATGACAAATCCAACACCTATAAATGCTTGACTCGTGATTTTGACCTTAAAGCTCCTGTGAGGAGTTTTTCTTATGTTTAGCAAAACAACTGAAATTCACACGGATGCCTTTCTGTGGTATCTTCAAGCTAAAAAGACCACAAACAACAAGACTGACTGGCTTTGTATCATACCCTGCGTTCCAGTTACCTGGGAAGTCGGATGTTGGGGCTGGGAATGATGTTCCAGGCTGTGTCCGAAAGGGATCCCTAACCCCTATATAGGCGACTATATGGGGGTTAGCGCCATTTTGAGGGGTGTCCGAAACCTGAGTGATCAATTCCGATGCCCCATATAGGCGACTCAAAATTTCCCATAGAGCATCGCAAAATGTAGCGACCATCCGATGGTCACTCACAGGTGGTGGGCATCCCATCATGCATTGCGTCTTGCCATCTAGTGTCCGAAACCTCAAGTCGGTAAACCAAGATGGATGCCTACAGTTGCACGTTGTTAGCTGTTGTGTACAAATGTCAGCTGTCGTTAGCCGTTGTCAGTTGTTGTTAGCGGTTGTCATCGGTTGTTTGTTGTTGTTAGCGATACCAGTTGTTAACAACGCATATCACGGTATTTTACTCTTACCAACACCATATCACCATGTTCAAAGTTAGACATTGGGCAGTACAACATATAACACTTATTTAATTTCACAAAAACAAAACAGAAGTGCTAATAAATAACAGATTATGAGAGCTTTCACTATTACTCTTTACTGGTGATGCACTCTGCTGCCATCTTGGAATATGACGTTGTCGTCAAGTCAGGGTTGGTGAGGATCGTCCGATTGTAAACCGACTTCAGGGGGGCATTCCAGATAAATTTCTGACTCAGAGCTCAGAAATTCCGACTTCCGAGTATAACCAGGAGTCAGCATAAATTTTTAATGCCTAAAAGTTGTTTCTTTCAGTTCAGTAACTTACGATCTACTGGTAGCACTATACCTCAAATTAAAAGCATATTTTAACCATTCAGGAAATGAAGCAAGACAGAAAAACCATCAAATAAGAGGAAGATGAGTGACTAAGTGAAAAGTCGACTAAGATAATGCGTCATCCCAGCGTGACACATGTGACACAAGTGGAAGTAAGGTACAGTTGAAAGAGGAGGTTAACGCTGAGGTCATCTCAGGCCCTTGTTCACACCCTAGAGGTAGAGAAGGATCCAGAAAGTCCCAAGATTAAGGCTGTTTTCGAATTGGCCTATTGCATACTCCTGCCGATCGCAGTATGCAGTAGATACTGAGTACTGTGTTTGATAGTGGTATGCAGTATGACTGCAAGTCTGCTGTTATCATGCAGTATGGTTCGTCTGGTTTAGCTGGTTTGCGGTAAAGGAAAATCTGATGTATAATCACCTAAATATGAATTTTGTTTTTGTTAACTAAGAGTAGGAAGCTGGATGTGATCTGATCCCCCTGAAAACGCATCTATGAATTACTCATTGATGTCCTGTAAACAAAGTAGGTCAATGAAATGGGAGCTGTTTCCATTCTCTCATGCTTGCACTGCATCAACCTGACCAGCAGAAGGCGCCATATTTCCATAGATCTCAACGTTTCACCTCCACTGCTCTTGCTGAACCAAAAAAACACTGATGGTATTTTTTTTTCTTCGTTTATAAGTCTTGGTACTTGAATTCATTTGCTCCAGACTTTCCAATATTGACAGCTTTCCTGCAATTTTCAAAAATAGATATGAAGAAATGCTCTTTTTTTTCCTTTTTTCTCCAATGTTTCACTCATTAAAAATCAATGTCATTCTGCTTTGCAACAACTTCAACTCAATGAGAAAGACAGTCAAGAAATCAAATTTATTTCACAAAAAGTCATAATTATGTCAAGGAAAAGCAAGATAATAAAGAAAACAGTAATTTTAAAATTACAAGGATTTTAGGTTTGGAGGTCATATCAGATATAAAGTCAATAATATTAGACACCAAGTCAAAAAGATAAGAGAATATGTCTTAATTTTGAGATGATTAAAAAGCCTAACAAAAAGACAAAAACATGGGAATACTAGTTGTGTGAGTTGAACAGTCATAATGATGAGAGAGAAATAGGAAGTATGTTAGATATATCAAATATGAAATTCAAACTATTTAACTCATATTTATGACTTTTTTTTGCATAATTTTGACATAATGATTCATATTTTGACTGTTTTTGTCATAATACTTTTTATCTGTTTCTTTGACTTTTAATCTCAAAATTATGAATGATCATATTACTACCACTTTTGATCTTACTTATGTTTTTAGCACAAATTATGATTTTGAAAATACATTTGACCTTTTTTTTATTTCATCACAACAACTGACTATCACATATTTATGATGAACATCTCATAATAATTCTTACTTTTTCTTAGAAATGTGACTCATTATTTCATAATTTTAACCTTTTCATCTCATAATTAATATTTAAATGATAAATCTAACTTGTCTAATCTCGTTTGACTTTATTCCAAAATGGTCTTTCTCAAAATATTGACATTTAAACTCAGTAAAAAGATTATTATTATTATTTTTTTGCCTCATAACTACACTGACTTGCTCATACTTTAGTCTTTTGCCTCATAATATTCACCTTATACGGAAGATTTTTTTTTTTTTAATGTATACCAAGTCTTAACTTTTTTTTTGTTCTCTGGCAGAAATGGGCTTCCATACATTAAATCCAAACGACTGAACTGAAACTCATAACAACAATCACCATCATTATTGTCATAAACATGCAACACAACACATTGTTGATCATTATTCAAGCTATCATGAATGTTTCGCCAAATTTGAAGCCTCGGTACTAAAAAAAAATGAATGACTAATGCTCCTCTTTCTCCCTCCTCTCCTCCACCACGCCCCCTCCTCCCCTCCCCTCCTCTTCCTCTCTCTCTCTCTCTTCCTCATCACTAGTCTCTACCTGCATCCTCATCTGAGCACACAGTCCTCGTCCGTCCTCCCTGTCATCACATGGAAGAAACCACAGCTTTCCCTGGAGCTGCTGCTGCTGCTGAGCGGCTCTTCCCTCTGTAGCCACGCCGCTGTAGGAGCCTGCAAAGCGGGGAAGGAGCGTCGCAGGGGGGCCGGCGGTTGGTGTCGCGGATCTCCGGAGCTCCTGCAGCAGCGTCTCCTCCCCTCATGCTGCATGCTGCGGACCTACAGATACATGCACAGGCATATACACCATCTGCTCCTCTTCATGTGTGATTCCTGCAGGAGGCGAATTATTTCAGTTTGAGCTGCAGAAAGGAAGGATGAGTCAAAGAAGAGGACAAGGAGGATTTCTCACCATGTTTCTTTTCTTGAGTCTCATGTGGACACAGCTGCTGATCACAGGTAAGCGTCTGCTGTGTGTTTACACGACCCATATACTCTAGCAGCAATGAAAACCAGAGTATAAGCTTATTTTAGTCATTTAACACCTTTATCTTCCATCTAGCTTGTTGAAATACTCCCAAACATCTTTTTTTTTTAATGCAGCATGTTCACGCTTGCAACCTAAACAGGCTCCCGTGAGAAATGAACAATTAAACATTTAAAACTCCTAAATAGTGATGCATGTATTGATATTTGATGTATTTTTGATTCATGCTGAGACAATTAATGTTAAATCTATCTGAAATCTGTTAATTTTCACTCACTAAAATCCCAATGGAGGAGTATTACCATTAGATCAAGAATATGATTTATACTCACGTAATAATTTACAATAGGAGATACAAAAACAAAGGTCACATTGTAGGGCCTCATTGCAGAGTCATTGAAAATACTGAATTTTTGTAAACCTGAGCAGCTGTATTGTTCTCAAAAGGATCATTAAGTGATATTGTAAGAATGTTGGCAATAAAATAGCTTCATATTGTTCAATCATTAATATTGGCGTCTATAAAGGTTGAATTGACCAGAACGTCCAATTTAATTCATAATTCTGTGTAGGGAAGGATTAATCTGTCATGTTTAAGGAGCTGAAATCATGTATGTGAGGGAACTGTTTGGATTTAAAGATGAATTTGATGCTCTTCCTTTCAGCCGTGGACAGGGATGATTCACTAAACTAAAATATGGATCAGTTTCAGCTGAAATGTCTGCAGTGGTATCTCCATAAATGGGTCAGACAGTCCTGACTCTCCACTGTTTTCTTCAATGGAGTCTGTTGACTTCAAAGTGAAAGACCACAGCTGTCTGGAAATAGATTCTTGCTTTCAAAAGAGAAAAACTATCTATAATATTATCTCCTAGAAACAGGAGTCGCTGGTCTACCACTGCATGGATTCGTAATCGTGCCACGGTGAACAACCAGTTAAACCTACACTGAGCAGAATTAAACAAACTGGTAGCCCACCATCTTGGTGTGTTGGTGATTGGCCCTCATCATGCTGTGATTGCTTGATTGTTCACCTACTTCCACAGTCGTGTAAATATACTTCCACAAAGACTCTGCAGCCTTTCTGCAGTTCTGCTCACACCTGTCATCGACATCTTTAGAAGTTCGCAGAGAACCTTGTAGGAACTCATTTTCACTGCGTCAGATGGAGTGATCTACAAACAGACCCTGGGGTGGTTTTACGCCATCTGAGCAACAGACGGCTATAAGACATCTAGTTTTTTTAGACCTAATTTCAACCAACTAGATTCTGTATTCTTTTAGACGGAATTTAGACATTGCACCTTAACTGATTATTCGATAACTACCCACTGAGCATTTTTTGGTCTAAAAGAGGTCTAATAGACGTCTAAATGTAGCCTAGATGACTGGTCTAAAATCAGGCTACTGCAAGTCTAAAAATGAAAGTTTTTTAGACGTCTAAATTTAGACCAAGTCTAAATCTGGGCTTTATCTATACTACACTGTTTATTGCACAATGGCTATCACAGTTGCTTTTTGAAATAAATGGTTATCAAATAATGGGTTAAAGTGCAACGTCTAAAATCCATCCAAAAATATACAGAATCAAGACGGTTGAAACTAGGTCTAAAAAAAAAACTGGACGTCTAATAGCCGTCTATTTCTCAGTGGGTATTTATTTCAAAAACCAACTGTGAGTTGCATAACTGATCTCCTAAGAACTTAACCAAAATAATTATGATAGCCGTTGAGCAAAATACAGTGTAGTATAGATATAGCCCAGATTTAGACTTGGTCTAAACTCGGTCTCAATTTAGACATCTAAAAAACTTTTATTTTTAGATCTGTGGTAGCCTGATTTTAGACCAGTCGTCTAGGCTACATTTAGACGTCTGTTAGGCCCCTTTTAAAATGCTCAGCGGGTTGTCTGTCTTCTCTTGAAAGTGTGAAAAGGCCTACATATGTCAACAACAACTGTTGTTAAAGTTTGTCAGCGATTTTCCAAATGTTTGTAGTTGAACAGGCTACGAAAAGCTACAAATAAACCTCAAAAAATAACAAAAATTAGTTTTTATTTTCAAAATGCAATCAGAAGTTATTTTTTTCAAAAGAAGAGGTGATTCTGATACAGATATTTGACATACTTTGTTAATTTGAATGAAGAACAAATGAAGATTAAACTGAAACTTAAACTAACTCTCAGCCTGAGCAGCCTTTTTAGGACAAAACTGTTCCTAAATACAGAAACACTGAGTCAAAATATCAGAGTAATGGATGTTCCTCAGCTACTAACCAGAAGACTTTCATTTCTACAACGTGTGATGAGGAGTGTGTCTCCCTATAGTCCCCATCTCCTCCTGTGATTGGCTGACAGCTCCCATGGAGGCCTGGCAGGGCTGACTCTTCTGTCCAATCAGGGCGCGGCTCAGCTGAGTTTCGTGCATAGCAACCAGGACGCTGTCGCCAGGGAAAAAAGAAGCCATAGAGAGGAGCTGTGTCAGCTTTCTCAGAGGGCTGATTCAGTCTGTTCAAAACTCCTTAAACTGCTCTTTTCTGGCTTTTTTTAATCCAACAAAGCAAAAATAAATCACATTGTTGTGTTCTTTATAAACAGCTGACTGTACGCTGCCTTTAAAATAATTTATGACCTCCAAAAAATACCAACAAAAGATCCAGACACCTCTAAATCGTCTAAATCACACTTTCTGTGGATTATATAACAGATTTCTGGCACAGAAACAGTCAAGACAAACAGTTGTGTCTCTGGCAGGCAGACAGGCAGGCAGACAGGAGTCAGAGGATGCTGTCAGGAATTTTCTCGTCTTTATTTCAGCAAAATTTTTCTGCCAGAAAACACAGCTGACTCCAACAGACGCCTGGACCGGTGCTGTGTCAGCTCTGCCAGCATCAGCTCTGCATCAGTCTCCACTTTAATCGCTTTCTGGACTGCTTACAGGTTTTCTTTTACCCTAATGAACACCTGCTGCATCTTTGGCGAACTGTTCAGCCACTCATAATAAAGAAAATTAGATAAAAGTGGATAATTTCTAATCACAAGATAAGGAACGTGCCATGTGAGATCGCTAGCTTTCCAAGGATAGAACTCCATCTTCTTTTAGAGACTGTTTGGATCTGATCCCTCAGAAATTAAGAGAATCTGTGATGATTTATGTATTAATTTTATTTAAAAAACAGTCAATTCTGTTATTGGAGGGCTATGTTGACCAATCAGAGGCTGTATCTATGATTAGCTGACCTTTAATGGTCCAGTTACAAACCAGTCTACTCACAGTATAGAAGTAGGTAATGTGATAATCATCATAATAATCATTTTGAACTGCAGACGCTGTAGTTCTTCTGTCTTAGCGTCTCAGTCTGATTGCATTTCCATGAAGAAATGATCATAAATGTTCTCCCTTGAGCTGCGTAACCCTGCAGCAGTCCATTATGGACTGGGGTGAGGTCTCGCTACAATCAAACGGCTGCTGGAAGAGAGTGGGTGAGTTGTGTTTAGTCTCTTTGCGAAAGAAATTAGGCAAAGTTAAAAAGATGTTTGGTGGCTAGTACTATGTCTGGGACCCTATATGTCCTGTTGATGAAGTTAGGTGCTGTTCTGAGCATTATTTGTGGCTATAGAGTGGCGTTTTGGTTTAGGTTTGTTTATGGCTCCTCAGACTGCTGTGTATTGCTATCATGTGGTCGTTACTAAAGTTGGTATAACTAGAGAAGTAAGCGGTCAGCAACATTCATCTTTTGAGGTGGTGTCTAACTCGCTGTTACGGTGTGTTTAACCCTAAATAAATTTTACGCCAGAATATCCCTTTAATCAGAGGGGAAGAGTTGGTAATTTAACAATGTCCAGTTCTTGCACAGATGTGTAGCTCTTTCTTCTACCATCTGTTTGTCCTCTCTTTCTAGGCTAACAAAATAATAGCCGCATAATGCCAGTTCTGAACTGAGATGGTGATCAGCAGAATCAGAGTTGGTCTCGTTTGGGTTTAAGATGCTTCATTTTGCTAATTATTCTCTTTGCTTTCTTAAATATCGACTTGATTAACTCAGATCTCAATCTTAAATCAGTCCTGAATCTGAAAATTTGATATTCTCAAGAATATTTCCCCTCTATGGACACAAACAAACACTGAAACTCGACAAACCCAGGTCCATCTGCTGTGGCTTCTGGTCTGAATGGTCTTTAAATAGACTGGAGGCTCTATCTCAGGCTCTTTCAGCTCACAGCATGAACGTCTGTAGATGTGACGGTGAAGCCGGATGCCGCCCTGCTAAGCGCTTTGCTCAGTTGATTTTTTTTCCTCTAAGGATAAATAAAGACCCAGGATGAATAATGCAGCATTCGTCTTCATCACGGCTGGGTGGGTTCAGTCGTTGTGCAGGGGTTTCCTCTCAGCCTGATGAAAGCTTCGCTCTGACCGAAGACGCTGTGACAGAAGAGACACAAACAGATGGGATCTCCTGCTTTCATCTCCTGCTGCTCGCTCTGACTGTGAGGGAGTCCTGCTGAAAGCGCCACGACGAAGCACTCCACTTTGAAAAGATTAAAGGAACGAGCACATCCTCTCTCTCTCTTTCTCAAGTCTTTAAAGTCGAGAAGTGACTGTCGGGAGATAAATCCCTCCACAGAGCTTCTTATCTGAAGTGTGCAGAGGGTTCGGGCGGTGTTTTCACCTTTGAATATCCAAAAAAACTGAGACAATCTGGAGGGCATGGACTGAACACTGCTCTGTTAGCTTTAAAAGTAACTTTGAGTGCATAAAAAGATGGATGACATGTCTCCAACTTGTCCTCACATACAAAAGTGACACCAAAACATCCCCTGCAAGTATAAAATCAAGGCCTGTGTGGTAGGAACTGATCGCTGGTTTAGTCATATCTTTATTTGTGTCTGATTTTGATAGCTGATAACTAAACCCCACATTTTTCTTCTTCTTCTTCTTCAGAATCGTCATCTGGTGACCACGAGCTCCATCTCTTCCCCTCCCGTCGCTCAAGCCGTCTTCCTCCACCTATACATTCTCAGTATGGCTCAAACTACCACCATGAGGAGGACCGTCCTCCAGAGTCCCGCCCCCACCACCTGCACCTCCACCTTCACCATCGCCTTCATCACCAGCACCACGCCAGGATAGCCAAAGTGATGCCGGCCGCCCTCCTAGAGTCCCGCTTTCGTCAGGAGCACGCCGAGCAGCGGAGCCTTAACCTGCTGGCAAGGCCGCATCATGAGGTGCAGCCGGAGCACGCCGTGGTGTCGGCACGCCATCTGGTTACCGTGGTGAGTAAACTGTCACCTAAGGGGTTAATAGTTGAGGGAAGCTTGGATTAAAACATTTGCCACGGTTTTGTTTGTTTAAAACAAAATCTGAAGATGTTTTAAGTTTGTTTTAGCGTGCTGTACACTTCCTGTTTGTATACTTAGTCCAGTTTGCGCAGCCCGTGCCATTCTTGTTAAAAATCGTAAATTGAGAATGGCAGTTTGCGTTTGTATTTATCAATACAGTGGCTCTAAAGGTCAACTGCAAAAACACATCTCGGTGGTTGGCAGAACATTTTTATTTATTTTACATTTCAAGGATATAAAACTATTTTTTTTCTCTCAAATTAGAAAACATTTTCATGGGATACCAAAACATATTGGCAAAAAAAAAATTCTTGCATATAAAAACATTTCTCATGAAGTTTGCCTACAAAACCAAACACATTTCATTATATATGTTTCACTAAAATATTTCATGATAGAAATAAATTTATTGTAGAACTTTTTTTTCACTAAAATATTAAAATATATTAATGAATTTGTATATTTTAATACTAAAAATATTTTGGGTAATGTAAAAAAAGTCACAATAAAGTAATGTCATTAAAAAACACTTCGGCAAAATGGAAAAATATTTTGCAGTATTTTATGAAAAACAAAATTTTTTAGAAAAACGAATGTAATCCATAAAATGCAGGAAACATATTTTAATAAAAAAAAAAATCAATTTATTTAATGGATTACGAAGGAAAAAAAATATCGGAAAATCGTTCTTCAAAAAAACAAACAAACAAAAAAAAATAACATGAAAAACAGCCCAGTCAATGCAATCAAATTTAACAGACCCAAAATATCCTTAAAACTTAAAAAAAAAAAAATTGGCAATTTTTTTTAGAATTTTAAAAAAATATATTTTTGGGAAAAATTTTAACTGTTTTTACATGTGATAATTTATTCTAGTGAATAATCGTGTATTTTTGGGGGGCAGAAACCTCTTTGCAGTGGACCTTTAGGGCCACCGTACATTGATAAGGTTACTCAGTATTTGAAGCTTTAAGGAATAAACATGTTTTAGATGTAGCATCTCATGTTCCCGTGTTTCAAACAGAGTGCTGTCTGAAGTCACTGAAGTGTTGAGGTTTGTTTTTACTGTATGATTGTCATTAGACATCTTTAACACCTGATATGAATGTCTGTGTCTCAGACGTCTGTTTGACAACCTGCTAAACTGCAGCCACAGCTGATCTGAAGGTTTGCAGATGAGAAATTTCCAGAAGCTGGCGTGTGTCAGCCCGCCCCTTTCTCCCTCCTCGACTCTCAGATATGAAGGTTTGATTAAATCAGGTGCTCTCCGTCCTCGCTGAGGTTACAGGAGGCTGATACAGAGGGGTCAGAGGTCAGAGCAAACAGACATTTACTGAATGATGGATGAGGAGCTGGCAGACTCTTTTGTTGCCACAGTGCCGCTGCTGCTGGAGGGATGCTGCACTCTCTGTTGCCATGGAAACACCGATCATGAGTATGTGTGAGAGAGACCCACTTACCTACACAATGGATGCTTACATAACCAAAAAAAAACAGCAGAGACCTTCACAGTGACATTGAGACAGAGACGCAGACAGTCAGGTGTGCCCGGGTTAATAATGAGACAGACAAGAGGTTCAAAAGGACAATACACACTTCTTACGGCAGTGTCAGTCAGTCTGTCACGGTCACCAGAAGATAAAATACAACTAATGGAGATGATCTTCAGATGTTTATAGCCACACAAAGAGCTTAAAATTTGTCAGTTTTGAGGCGATACCTCCTCAGCTGTCACATGAATCACTATGAGAGGCATTAAAGTCGTTCATGCTCTCCTGAGGATGAAGTTTGGTGACTTAATTGACTGTCTGGTGGCAGTTCGAACCTCTGTGATTGCTCACCAACTTCCTGAGAATCCCAGCAGTCAGCCACATTGTTGACAGTACAATTAATAACTTTAACGACTGCGTTTGGATCTAATGTGAAACAAAACTAATACTTCTGTCTGTATCTATGTATTTCTGGTGAGTCTCAGTTTCACTGTAAACAGTCAGTTCTTCAGAGGCTCCTTGTCATTAACAGGTCTTCTGTTTGCTGAAATAACATCACGATGCAGATGGGTAAACAATCAAGTTTCATCAAGTTTGTCCTGAGAAGAAAACAACTTTTTAGTTTTTGGCCTAAATCATCTCTAAATCATTTCAAGAGGTGATTCCGGTCAAAAAGTCATTTTCGTCAAAAAATGACTGGCCATTATTTTAATAGAATGACGAAATGTTAGTTTGTTGAATGGAGGTCACATCCATTCTTGATGATGCATTCAGGAAAGTCAGGAAATCTAGATGCTGATTGTCTTTAGTGACTCAGCATGAAAAGGTTTAGTGCCCCAATTTTCACAGCATCTGGAACGGCTCTATTCCGGAGCGGCAGCGATTTTCGCTGTACACCAATTCCTACCAGATCCATTTGTGAGGCGAATTTCGTGGCGGATTAAATGAAAGGGTTAAATGCTGTCTATAAACCTTTCACTTGTTAGTCTCCACCCGTTTGCATGATGTGAAATACGATCCGCCTAAAACACGGGGTGTTTTATTTTGAAAAGATGCCGGATGTTTTATTTTGAGACTGTGCCCAACTGCCTTTCCAGCATGAGTTAATCTGTGCTGAATTTATCCGGCATGCTCCAGCGTCCAGAAAAAAATAGAACTCTTGCGATCAGCTGCGGAACAGAAAGAAGCCGGTGGAAATTGACACCTTAACTTGAATGGTTACAATCGGCAGATACAGCCTCTTCGTAACCGTTCCGTATGCGGTTGAAATTGGGGGTTAGACTACTACCCTGTGAAATGATCATTTACTATTATGCTAAAAATGGAATATTCTGTGTTTTTATTTCGTCCCTTGAGAGGCTCCTGAAGTAACTGGTAGCACATTCAGGTTACCCGATTATGGATGATGTTTTTACTATTCCTTTAAATTTAGACTCCATATTAATTTTTCATCGCCCTCTTAGAGAGTGTGCGTGTGTGGAGTGAGTGTTTTATTTATCAGACACAGTGCAGAGTAACTTTAATCCAACTCCAGGAACCCCAGTGCCCAGTCTGCTCTGAACAACTGAACCACAAACAAATAAACAAACAAACAAACAAACAGGAAGTAACCATCTGCAGAACTCCTTTCACTGTCTGCTGGTTTCCAAAGGAGGTTTCTCCAGATTTCCTCTCCTCCTACTGTGCATCTGTGGCGTCAAAACCTCTGACTGCTTTTGCAAAGGACTGTGGGAGTATTGGCATTGTAACTAAGGAGCTAAAACATGCAGATATTCAGTTTAAAAATAAATATGCAACATTTCTCTATAAATATTAACCAACAGTGAATCACGCTGTATGTCTCACTGCATCATTACCACGGTGATGCTTCAGTTTCTTGATGATAACTGATTTAATCTTAATGTTTTGGTCGTAAAGACGGAAGTTTTACAGTACAACTGAGACTCACTGGGAAAAAAAAAGAGTGATTTATGACTCTTAGCTAATATTTAGAGATTTGAATCGGCTTACAGTTCTCACAACTCCATGATTTGACTTTTTTATTCGCCCTCTTCATCCTCTTTTTCTCCTTTCTGCTTTTATCAATGAGAAACAGCTCTGAGGCTAAACGCCGCATTACATAACCCTCCTCTGTGTTAATTGACTTCCTGGAAAAGTGGTCACATGACCTGTCCCCGCAGGCTGCTGCCGTTCCATCAAATCACTGTGACAACCAGTGGCGGACGGACGGACAGAATAAAGACGTTTGGTGGCAGAAATCAGCCTGAGAGGAAAAAAAAAGCAAATTCATGAATAAACATATAAAAACTGTTTGCATTCGAAAGATATGAAGTCAAAATAAAATACCGAACCTTTCCAACATCTGTATCAAAGTCTGAAGGGTGCAAATGTTGTTGTCCTCTCCAGCCACGTGGCAATAACATGTAAATGAGGCCAAAATAAGCTTTCTATAAATAGACACTGTGGTGTCCTGCCAGAAAAATAACAAAAGTGAGAATCTTGTGCCTTTAAAAGCTCGATAATATTCATATTTATGGAGTCAGATTTTAACTTGACAGAGAAGCTGGTTGCACCACCTTTCCTCTGTTTCCTCTTTAGCTTGAGAAACTCTTTAACCTCTTAAAGTCTCTTTCCTTCTTTTGGTTTCTCACCCCATGAGCTCTAAACTGCTCTGAGAAGAACTTATCTTTACAAAAATGTAGTTTTTTTGGGAAAAATTATTATAATCAAGTCACTAGAAGTACAACAGAGCATTAGGGCCACATTAAGAAAAGAAAAAAATTTAGACTTCGGAATTACAAGAATAAAGTCGTAATTAAATCATTATTCACGAGAATAAAGCCGTCAAGTAAATAAAGTCTTAAAGCTGCTTTTGTGGAGGAGGAAATGAAACGTCATCGTCCACGAAAACAACACTGCAGAATATATGTTTATCGTTTGACTGACGAAATGCTCATGAATTTTGCAACTCTGTTTGTCGTCCACCACTAACGTTTTTGTCTAGTCTCATCTTGTCAACGTAAACACACATTCGTCTCGTCACATTTTAGTCATATAAGACTTATGTTTAGCTACAGAAAATATTTCGGCAACAGAAACAACACTGATTCAGAGGCTTTTTATGGTTTCTCAAGAAACAATCCAACTGATGAACATTTGCGACTCAGAGGGAGTTGAGCTCCGACGAGCACCGCGTCTGTCTCTGACCTACTCCTGCAGAGGCACCAACACCTTATGGAAAATAGATTCATACGATCAACTAAAACCATATGCTGTTGCTATAAACGGCTGCATTGAGGGAATTAGCCTCTGCACAGACATTTCCCACCATTTCCCCCTCCTCAAAAACAGCGATTCTCTACAAGTCCGCCTGGTTCTTTCTGCGGAAAAGATGCATTTCTTGCATATGTCATGATACTTATGACAATGTGATGCTGAAACGCCAAACGATTTAGTATCTCCTTGTTTGTGAAACCACACTACTGAAGTTCAATTCATCTAAATGCTCCACAGCGCTCATTTAAACAACTAACAACAGGTTAGAATAGCTATTAGCTACGACTTTATTTTAGTAAGTAATTCCGAGGTCTAATTTTTTTTCTTTTCTTAATGTGGCCCTAGTACTCTGTCCTACTAGAAGCAACTTTTTCCACAAGTTAGTGTTTTAAAAATATGGCCACTGGTGTTCAAAGATTATTCTGAGAGTGGAGCAAAGTTTGGTGCTTAAGTCCCAGTAAGAAAAAAAGCGATTATGTTAAAAAGGACAATACAAGTGTTATGAATTATTGGCAGAATGTGTTTTAGCCAATTGCATTTACTGTGGCTCTTCAACAAGTAATGATGCTCCTCTGCAGGATTTGCTGTCATCCTCAATTAGCCATTTTAAGACCTCAGAAGCATTAAAGCGAAATGTATATAAATAATTACCACCACAAATTGTGTGCGCCCTCAAATTCCCCTCCTAAAATAACTACCCAATCTGCAAATATCATATACAGCTATAACGTTGCATTTTTCCAGAGTCAGTCTATGAATATAATTTAAGAGAGGGAAGCATGTCGAGATGGGAGCTGAGAGGCAGGGAGGTTGTGTAAGTCCCAGATGGAGCCCAGTCACCTCCCATCTCTGCATCACACCACATGCCTGCAAGACACCACAGTGTGTGTCTGTGCACGCATATGTGTGTGTGTGTGTGAGTGTTTGTGTGTTTGGCCTTTGCTCCCCTGCGAGCTCCTCTCAGCACGTGCAGGCTGGTTGTCACACAAACTCGGATGTGGTCGAGCTTGTTTGTCGGAGCGGAAAAAAAAAGAGAAGTGGAAACATGAAGCTTCCGAATTATAACATATAAACCACACGATTACACAAAGGTGCTAGCTGGCAGAGGTAGACCAACAATTTTGCATTTAAGGTTAAATCACCATTGTGTCAGGTGGCTTTTGGCAGAACAGTCCAAACTCCCTTTAAAAAACTAGTAATTCCAACTTGAACACAGGAGTTGTTGGGTGACCTCTGCCTTCATATGAGTGACTGTGCATTACACAATTTACAGTTTTGGATTCAAACAAACAGTTTTAAACGAAGATGGCATGGGAAAACTTGTTGGTTAAGGTGGGGGTCGACCAACAACTTTTGCATCTGAGGTTAAATTACCTTTTGTGTCAGGTGGCTTTGGAAAGAGTGGCAGAACAGTCCAAAGTCCCTTGCACAAAACTAGTATATCTATCTTGAACACAGGAGTTGTTGGTTGACCTCTGCCTTCATATGAGTGACTGTTTGTTACACAATTTATAGTTTTGGATTCAAACAAACGGTTTTAAATGAAGATGGCAGACAAACAACTGATATTAAAAGCAAAATTACTACTTTTGTAATTGACACAAAGCAGAGAAAGTTGGTTTTTATAGACAGCGTTCAATCGGCTAAAATTATCTCTGAATGTTTCGTTTGTACCTGATAATCCGTTAATGCGGCAACAAAACCCAGTTTTTAAAAATGCAAAATCAATTCACTGCGGGCGGGGTCAGTGTGTTCAAGTTTAGATTTCAGCCTACACACTGGAGAGTGTAAGTGTGTGTGTGTGTGTGTGTGTGTGTGTTGAAAACTGCTCAATAATTCATGTCAGCAGTGTGTGTTACATCTGCTTGTAAAGGGAACTTTGACGCCACTTCAAACCCACGGAGAGACACATGATTCATCCTGGAGTCTGTGAGCTCTGAACCTTTTTCTGTTTCTGTTTAAACTCGTTTCATGAGCGTTAACGTCCAGGGCAGAATGATTCTGGAAATGATATATTCCCATCATGATGACCGAAACAAACAAAAACAAAATTGTTTATAAAGAATAAAGAAAAAACTTGACCCTTGATTGTAAAAGTTGCAAACCACAACTTCTCTCTTATGCAGCATTACATTGCATGTTGGTTCCTCCTTCCTCCATGATGTGAAACATGCAAGTTAAACCCAGCCAAGATACAGGCATGTTTTTGCATTGTTTGTAAAACACTTAAATAGCCTGTACCTTACTCAGTGCATAATGCAAGGGGATTTGGGGCGTGTCTGTTGATTGTTGCTAGTTTATCGGTGCACAATCTGGGTGATAAATGAGGTGCAAGGCGCAAAAAAGCAGGATTAAGTTCCTTGATTATTCAGAGGTGTGTTATGAGTGTAAAATACATCAAGAGTCAGGTGCACCTGCAGGAAGGGGTGTTGCTTTTCCCACAGTGGATTTCAGCCTCTCTCTGTAAATACTTGGAGTATTTAACCTTTGCTGTGTTTGTACTGTGTGGATACTCTGCCACTTAATTACAGCAGTTTTGCTCAAGGAGTTGTTTAAAGAAAATCACTTTAGTTATTTGTGTCTGTGTGTTAGATCCAAGTCTAAAAGAGAGTGCCCATGGTGGAGAGTGCACATGATGGAGAGCTTGCTGACAGTCTTGGTCTGCAAAGTCGAGGTGAATCAGGTGTTGCAGGAAAAAAGGGATGAGGGTGTTCTCATCTTTTGGCATCCCTAGATCGGCACCAAACTGTGTCATAGTCGTGACATATCCAAGGCTGCTGTGAGCAGGGCTGGGCAATATGGCCTCAAATCAATATCACGTGATATTGAGCAGTTCACCTAATAACGATAAATGGACGATAACTACTCCACAAGTTGCTCACCCCCTCCCACATTAACTTCGTCTACTTCAGCCGCTACAACTTTTGAACCGTCCTCCATCTCCTCTCTTGTCTTTCCCTCTTTGTCACAGACTGGATGGGGCGGAGTCACGTCTCTGACGTAGGACAGTGTCTTAAAGAGACATGAGACCATAGCCTACCTACACACATCCAAAACCCAACTTTTATTTTTGTAGTTTTTTGACACAGAATATAGTGACATGGGGGAAATGACGTTGATTATTGTCGTAAATTTCAGTATCAATGAATTTTCGGTTTATCCCCCAGCCCTAGCTGTAAGTCTATATATATATATACACACCAGTATTTTCTTTAAAGTGGGATTGCTGCTGTCTGTCTTTGTATTAGTATATGAAGCAGAGACTCTTATCCCTGTCTTACTGTTTAGCTAATACACCCTCTAATTATCAAAAAATTACTACCCTCTGACTTCAGACATGAGGCCAGGTTTTTATTGGTATAAGCATCACACTACTTTTACACCGAGTCAGGTCAAGGATAGCACCTTATGCCAAGTGCAAAATGGGGTCCATTATGGCTCGGATACACTGATGTCCACTATCAAAGATGCGGGAGGACAGTGATTTGATCGATTGTTCATCTATAATATGAAGAGTTTGAGTTATAACCTCTGTAGTGCTCACAAAGACAGCCTCTGGACGCTGTAGCCGAGTCATTTGAATAGTGGTTCGCTGTGAGGAGAACTGCGATTTAAATTCAATATTAATTCAGTAAAATTTTCCACTCAGCCATTAAAAAAAGGAAAAAGTCCCTCTGTCGGATTCGTTATTCCTCTCTGCTCTGAACCGGAGCCATTTCTTCTCAAAGGAACCAACACAAGCGTGAATAATCATCTAACCTCACATCAACCCACTCATTCAGCTGCGTGTGTGTGTGTGCGTACTGTATGCATGTGTGTGTGTTTATGTGTGTGCGCGTGTGCGTGATCTCATTGAGCTGGATGTTGCACGTGGCGCTCACGTTTTAGCCGTCAGCGGTCAGAGGAGAAGCTGCAGAGCGAGCGCGCTGCAGAAAAATGACTTGCTTCTTTCATGGTGACTGCAGCTCAAACTCCCGGCTGTCTGCAGATATCAAATAGAAATCCTGTCATGGTTGATTTAATGAATAATTTGGGGGGATAGTAGTCTGGCTGTAATGCATGGTACCTTTCAGTAATAGTGCATATAACATCTGCAACATCTAGTTAGACAGACGTGCTGAAGTCAACAAAAACAGGTCAGCTTAACAGTAAGAAAGGCGTTTTTCCTCGTCATTGTCGTGGTTATAAACATTAAAAATTGCACTGTGATGTTGCTGCTGGTTTTTGACGCTTTTAAAGGCATCAACATAAATTTCAGCTTGTTAAAAACTCCACATAGTGCCTTTAATATCTAGCAGGGTCACATTTTGACCTTGAATTGATGTCAGGCTGTAAAAAATAAATTTAAAAGCATCACAGGAAGCAGTTTTATGAGGTTATTCCTTCTATAAGATTGAACATAAGCCATTTTACTTACTCTTTTGGTAAATCTGTGGAGAAACCCTTATTATTGTTGTTGCTCTGATTGTCCTAAACTCTTGAATTCAGGTTTGATATTTACTGATTTCAAATACTAAGATGTGGATTTTCTGTTTCCTCCCCTTCTCCTGAACACTTTTATTTATACCAGCAGTTTTCACCCTCTCTTCTGTCCAAATTGGATTCCCCGTGTACCTCCCCCAGGGGCTATCAGCTAATTAGCTGTTTTGACTCTGTGTTTGAGTGTGTGTGTGTGGGAGAGTGTGTGTGTGACATAAATAGCACCTGATCCTGACAGGAAGCGCAGCGGGTTAATGGCATTACCTGGACGACAGCCAATCAGGCTGCAGGTTTGAACTCAGTTCTCCTCTAAGCCAATCAGAGATCAGTGAATGACCAGATCAGGAAATGGAGCGAGAAGTCCCTGAGCTCTGACTGACAGGCAGGTCGCTCTGTGAATGTGTGGGTGTGTGGGTGTGCGTAGGTGAGTGTGTGGGTTCATTGAGCGAAAAGCTGCCTGTGGTCGGCAGGAGGATGTTTACTTGTTCACTCGGTAAGGTCACTCAGGTGTTTTTTCTACTTTTTTATCGACTGTTGTTGTTTACCTGTTTGTTTATTTTAAACCTGGGTTATTTATAGTTTGTTGAAGTTGGGTTTGGTTGTTTTGCTAGAATATATGATTTTTGGGGGTTTTCTTTGACCTAAAGCTTAAGATAATAAATCATTTTCTTCACAGAAACTAAATCTGTGAGCAAACTGGTGATTTATTGATAGTTTGAAGGATTTTCTTTGTTTTTTTCTGGCTGTTTATGACTGTAAAATCAATATTTTCATTAAAGTTATGTGCACAAACTGTAGAAACATTATGGCACAAGATGGAGTGGCTCGTTGTTGGTTAAAATCAAAGGGATTAAACTGTGTTACTGCCTTTATCGCGTTCAGCAATGTGCAGTTATGATGCAGGTGTGTAGCTCTTTTTCTCAAGTTTCATCACATACTGTTGTTGAGCTTAGAACGAGGTGTTAAAGGTGGGGTAGGCAGGAATCCGTTAAAGAAGCATCTTTTTTGTGGTGTATTTACAAAAAAAGCTTTTAATATCAGTTAATAGCTATTAGTCATTGACGACGTTTGGTAATATAACGATATCACTGTGTTTTTTTATGTCTGTGTAGTCAACATTTAAAAATTTTTGAGCAACCCGCTCTTTCTGACTGTAAACAAAGCCATTCTCCACCTTTCCTGATTGGTTGTGAGGCAGACGCTGCTCCGTTCACAAGCCCAAACAAAGTTAGCGTGCTACAATATCGGACAGTAGAACCCAACCAGATAGTACGGAAAATTGTCTGAATCCTCCTTTGGCCACGACTGCCGACACAAGCAAGAAAACAAAGTAAATACCGGAGACTCTGGTGGAATAACAGGCGTGTAAAACGGAGGTAGACCGGACAAGAGCTAGCATTAACGATGGGGAATGCTTCGGGATCTTACAGACCCTGTAACCTTTCTGCTGGACAGGTAAACCGCTTTAACAAAGTTAGCCAAGTGTCTGTAACAGAAGTGCTTCTTGTCAAACGGACCTGCTGTAGCATGTTGTAGCGCCATCGCTAAACTGTTTCCCTCGGGTCCTGGACTATGTCACTTTATCCTAGTTGTAGAAGTCGTCCGTTGGCATCTACAGTAGCACCAATGCTTTTTACTTTCACCTTGACTGGGCCCCATTTGTAATTATCTGAAGTATTTATCTGCATTATATCTGAATTTAATTGGAACGATACGAGCGAGCAGGAGCGTCAGTTTGTGGGCGGGGCTTGCTGGAGCAGAGAGGGAGGGGAGAGGAGGAGCTGAGGGGAAAACTGGTTCGGAGGGGTAGAGTTTACATTCAAGATTTCTCCTAAAAACTGGCACTAAATTGAAGAATCTTTCCAATCAAGTCACCACTCTACAAGGTTTACTAACTTTATAGTATATCACTGTTTTCCATAAATGTATGATTATGAGCCAATGAGGGGGAAAAGTGTTTTAAAATGGCTCCAAAAAGGGCATTAAGATACATCAATTTTGCAGTTTTCTGGACCTAAAGATTGAGCAGTAAATACTAACTCTGACTGAAATGGTCACCAACGTTGGGAATGATCTAAAATTGTCTATAAAGCTTCTGTTTTTGCTCCATTTTTATGATCGTGTTTAACCGAACAAACTGTAACCAGGGGCAGACTGATAATAGCATCTGCTGTGTGAGTGTAGAGTCTGTCTGGCTGTGTTTTATTGTTCCTGATATTGAATTAAGTAGCAGCAGAACATGTTGTTTTTTTAGCCATTAGCAAACAACCACCCACAGACACACACACACTCACACACGCACACACTCAGTGTTGTTTTAGGGCAGTGTCAGTCGGTGGGTTTGGAGCTGATGGACGTGGAGCTGCAGAGGTCAGATTCGATGTTTCTCTTCTTTTATTCTTACTTTAATGTGTCCTATAAATGTTTTTTTTCTCTTTGTGGCGTGAAAAAAGGTAATTCTTTTAGACTGAAAACAGCTTAGGTGTCGCTTTTGAAAAGCTACCGGACTCCATTCACAAAAACGCCGCTTTCAATGAGCAGGACATTGGATCTGCTGGTCTACTACTACCTTTATTAGTTAGTCTGAAGTGAACTCTTTTCGAATACTAAAGTTGGTAAAAGAGGTAAATTAGCAACTCCTGCATTACTCGTAGTGAAAATGACTATTTTTGTCAGTGGAGTCTGGTGGCTTTGAGGAGAGAGATTCAGGAAGAGAAGAGTTGACCAATCAGGTATCAGCAGGCTCTGGAGAGCAAAAGCAGGCAGAATACGATCCAGCATATTTACATCTTAGCTCTCATAGTTGGTGAACTCCCTATAAACAGAAATCTACATGAAGGTTAGCTAACAATCTGCTCTAGATCAAACACTGATACGGAGTCACTGGAGACAATTAGTGTTGTGTTGTTCGCGAACGATTCGTTCAAAAGAACCAAATCTTTTAAGTGAATGTACTGAACCGAATCACTTCCTCAAGTGATTTGTTCGTTTCTCACTTCAGTTGAGCTGTCAGCAGTGCAGCTGCCGTAGCACGCAGCATTAAGGGCGAGCAGCCAACGAGCGAGGGATTGCACACTCTGACACCTGAATCTAGTGAACGAATCACGCAGTGAACTACACTCTGGAGAATCATTTTCGTCTGCAGTATACACTTTAACTTGTTGTTCCCCATTATTTTAATAGCAGTAATGAGAGGAGAGCTGTAGCAAGCTCTCAATTGGAGCGACAGAGGGAGATAGGGATGTGTTGTGTTCAAGTGTACCTCAGAGAAAGCTAACTTTTTTTTAACTCTGCTAAATTGCCATCACAACAGCATACAGTAGGACACAGCATGGAACAAGTATTGTGAGAAATGCGTGACTGTTTGATCCTTTCATAGCGGAGATTTGCGAGGGAACGGTGCGTGTTCAGTGTGAATCCTTCACTGAATGTACTGTGGATCACTCACTGAGCCCACTTTCTCAAGTAGACCAGATATGTAGCATACCATAGGACGGTACACTTAAGACCTCATGATTCATAGACAAGTTCATTTTTGTCAAAGCAACACAGCCACAACACTCTCGTCTCCTGGTCCCAGGAGCCGTGAACTGAACTGAAACCTGAAGCGTTCAGCCATGTATCAGTTCAAGAAGTCAGAGTCGCAGACCTCTCCCGACAAGCGCTGAATGATTCGGTGATTTGGTGAACGAATCCTTTGAACAAATCTTTTTAGTGAACTGATTCTAGTGATTCAGTACATCTAGAACTGCCGTGCCCATCACTAAAGACAATCAGGGTCAAGATTTCCTGACTCCCCTGAATGCATCAGAAATGATGGATCTGACCTCCAATCAACAAATTCTGAAAGTTGTTTTCCTCTTCTCTTGAGGACAGACCTGACAAAGCGTGACTTTTTACTGATCTGCATCATGTTTTAAATAAGCCTCAGTGTAACCTACTATTTACAGTGAAACTCAGACTAACCACAAACAGACAAACAGGCACTTCTTTCGAGGGATGTACTGAACCAAAAGTTGGCGTTGGCACTTTTGTGTGTTTAATTCACGTTTTCATTGTACTCTTCTCCTTCCTCTTTCTTGTTTAGTATCTCCTCATGCAGCCTCAGCGCCTGTTGTCTGTTGTTGAATCTTTGTTGCTCTGACATGAGATAAATATTTGAAGAGGATGCAGACTAAAAATGTCAGAAATATAAATGAGGTTTTGACTGAAGAGAGACTGGGAAAGGTGTGGATCCTCTTTAGTGCAAAGAGGGCTTTCCTTTGTCTGCGTGTCTAAGAAGACAATCCAATCATCAAAATGTGTGTGTGTGTGTGTGTGTGTGTGTGTGTTTGTGTGTGTGTGTTTTGAAGCCCCCAGGGTCAGCTCTCCTGCTGCGTTTCCTGTTGTTTTCTCTCCACACAGGCTCTGATTGCGGTAAAATCCTGGATGAGTCATTAGTGCGAGTCTCACCTGCCTCATATCGCTGCTGCTGAAAGCCGAGAGACTGCAGGGAGAACCAGAGGAGTCACACACGAGACGGGGGGGGAGGGAGGGGGAGTCGGGATGGATGGGAGCACAGAGAGAGATAAAATAACAGCAGGAGACGCAGAGATGATGATATGATTCGATCTGTTTGGAGACGAGGCTGCAGAACAAAGAAAACAGCAGATGAACGTGGAGACGTACTCCTGATTTAGAGACCGAGTAAAAGCAGGACAGATTCAACATTAGGACTCCTTTAAGTTTAAATTTTAAACTGTGAGGCCAACGTTAAAAATGATTTATTTCATACAGTTTTGGTTGGCTCGATGTTCAAGGTGACTGACTGTAAATTTTTTTACTCTGGGCCATAAAAAAAATCAGAGGATTTCAGGTTTTCTACTGCTTATCACTAGGGTTGGGTATTGTTTGATTTTGAATGATTCCGGTTCCGATTCCAATTCCTCGTTTCAATTCTTTATTCCGATTCTTTTAAAAGGCAGGATATTAAATAAAAAATGCATGGTTTAAATAAGGATGCTAACCAGAGTTCTTCTTTTTGGATGAAATTTCTGAACTTCTCCATGAATTTTAAAATTATATAGTTAAAAGTTAGCCAAACTTTTGACCACAGCAGCTGTGGGTTGCAATACACTCTCTCTCTCTCTCTGTCACTCTTCTCTCTCTGTGTGGCGTCGTCTCATATGGTTTGTCCTCGTTGGTGTTCGGCGGCTTTTTCTTCTGGTCGGCAGACTCCGGCAGCAAAACTTGAAATCGAAGTTTTCAGTTTAAAATTTGAACGGTTCAGAGAGAATTGGAATGTTAGTCCTGGTTCCCATCGATACTCGAGACTTGTTGCCCAGCTCGACTTATCACAGACTGCAGGTCGAACAAATTATTCAGTTTTTCCAAGCTTTTATAAAACTTACAAAACTTACTACAAACCCGCTTCAGTCTCTCTTGTCGTTGTCACTCTGTCCCTCGGCTTTTCAGACATACAGGTAGACTCACCCGCCTCCTCCTCCTCCTGCTCTTCTCTCTGCTCTCCTCTCCCCACCTGTGGCTGCCTAACAGTCTGTACTCTTAGCAGAGCAGGACCTTCCCTGTGCTCTTAAACTTTGTTGATCCGAGCTGCTTATGATGAAGTAAGAGTGAGAGCTATTTTGAGGGCGGAGCCACGCCCACGCTCTCCTCTTAAGATAAATTTGGTTTCAGACTGAGAATTTAAAGGTGATGAAACCTCCACCACTGTGTTCACATTGTTGTGTCTATTTTATTAAAAACTGTGAAAATCCTGACTCTTGTTTATCTCTCTTTTCTCTCTCAGTACTTAGCTGTGGATGTGCGGAGGTTGAACGTCAGTCTTCTTCGCTGGTTTCGAGAAGGTGTAGCTGCAGCGCTCGGCGTCCCTGCAGGACACGTGCACATCAACCGCCTCAATGTAAGCGACACACACACTTTACTCCGTCATATCTACTCACTCAGTCCTTCACTCACCGCCTGGTTTGTTGACTGATTATTGCCGTCTTTAACAGGAGAAGAAGAACGGCATCGAGCTCTTCGTGTCCTCTGGTAGGCTGGGCGCCTCAGAGCCCCGCCCAGCTGAAGAAGTCATCCAATCACTGAACGTCAGAGTCCTCCACAGACACCTGGGACACTTCGGCATCACAGAGGTCTCCACTGAGGTGAGTGTGTTTTAAACCAGCTGCTGCGCCGTCTCCTAGGTAACCACGGCTCGTTAAGCGGCCTCGTTAGTCCCCGTGGAGACAGACGGGAGGATGGATTGGGATTATTAGAGAGCAGAGCGCTGCCGCTGAAAGTTTAATGGAAGAATTAAAGTCCCATCGCTCAGCCGGAGGAAGAAGAGAGCGGCTCCATGGATCAGATTAATATTATTACTGTGAGCGATGTGACGGCTCCTCCGAGATAATAACATCACTAAAAACAGTCAGAAACTCCCCGAGAGGAGCAAACCGAACAAAGACAGGACGCTCCGTCTGATTTAACGCGATACTCTGCTCAAAATCTGCTTTTCTGGTTTCGAATCACCAAATCTGTGAGGTGCTTTTCCTTCACTGTGAGCTGTTTTTAGCAGGTTTAGATAAAGTGGTTGTCCGTAAACTCCTTCAGGAGACATATTGTAATTTTGATATTTCAAGTTTCACCCTCCTGAATTAAGAACTTTGTTTATTTAAACAGTTGTGCACGTTGTCTTCGGAATTTGTGTTTTTTCTTTGAATTTTGGCGCTGTAAATGCATGTAAATTTATAAAATGCTGTAAAAATTGGTGTTCTAGTGACCGTCATTCATACTATAATTATGTCACATCAGACTCTCTATCTGAAAGGTTTATGGATGTGTCTCTGTGTTTTTTGTGCAGAAGAACGTGCTGCAGGGTGAGCAGAGGGATCACGTGTGGAGCCGGGAGGGTTTCTACGCTGTCGTCCTCTTCTTCACCGTCTTCATCATCGTCATCACCTGCTTAATGGTAACACACTGACACATGAAACCTCGAGTTTCATGAGTGATTTTGAGTGATTTAATTTAGTTTAAGTCAGTTTAATACATTTCTTTCTATTCTATTTGATCACATCTATCATTACTGTTATATCAGCTCTTTTCTATCACAATCTATTCTACTTAGTGTATCTTTTTCATTCTACTCTATTCTATATTAGATGTATATTTGGGGGGTATTCAAAGTTGCAATGGAACATTCATCCACAAGAGGGAGCCCTTGCACAAGCAAACCTTTGCTGGTTCAGATTAGTGTATTTGTCTTACCAGTTTGACCCCGCTTTAAAGATAGCGATCACTTTGTAAATTTTTGGTCCCAATCCAGTAAAAAATGTAAAAAAGCCAAAACAAAGTTTCACCAAAATATGCACCAAGAGTTTCATTATATTTAAATACAAATCATGTTTATCTGAAGTTTCTAATTTGCAGGTTTTATACCGACTGAAGGAGAAGGTTCAGGTTTCTGATAGACAGCTGAAAGCTCCGCCCCCTGACCTGCATTTGACCCCAACTGTCCTTCCAGACTCTGCCCAGAGGTCAAAGGGCACCAAAGTAAGCAACAAGTGATCTAGACATGAAAAATTAAGAGCTATGACTAATAATAGCTGAATCACCTGGTTAGTGTTTGAATGAACTGTTGTCTGTTTAATTAGGTTTAATTAGTTTGGGTAAATTTAAAGGAAATTCAGGGAATCCAAATAAAAGCGAAAAACAAGCATACGAATAAATGATCAGGATGGTTATTAATCCCTTTAATTTGCAGGTTTTGACGTCAGGAAGCATGGTCCAGGCTGAGCTCCCACCAACTGTAGCCACACCCATTCCCCTGCAGCAGCCAATCATAGCCTGCCGCCGACTCGCTCCACCTGTTGTCCCTCTGCCAAGGTACATCAACTAACATAACCAAAATACAAATGATTTTATGAGACACAGGTGGATGGAGTAAACCATAAATGTTTGTATTTCTCCTTTTAGCCCCGCCCCTGTACCTGTCTTCAGCAGCAACGACCAGGCCCCACTTGTCGGCGTTGCCCCGGTTGCAGCCAGTAACGAGCTTAAGCCTTGCCCCTCCCCTTTCAGGATGAAACCTGCAGCAGGACTACAAGAAAGGTAACCCACCTTTACTGAGACCCTCCTCTTTTAAAAGCACGCCCTCTTGACTCTACAGAGACTTCATTTTAGAGACAACTCTACAGTGGCCCTGAAGGTTGATTTTACAAATGTTTCAATAACAAGAAGAACATTTCAGTTAGCACCAAAAAAAAAATAAAAAAATCACGAAACACCAAAAAGGAATTCATAAAATTCCAAAATCTGTTACATAATTTTATAAAATCAAAGAAAATTGAATTTTAAAAGCCACAGATTAGATTTCCTAAAAATATTTTTGTTATCTTGAACATTTTTTACAAAAATTTAAATATTTGAGGTCTTATTTTTTGTGTCTTTTAAACAGTTTTTTGTTATGAATTGATTTTGTTCTGTATGTTTTTAAATATTTTGAGGTTTCATGAAATAATTTTGCATTTTATCATGGTTTTGATTATTGGGATATTTTTCAGTTTTGTTAAATGTTTTGTTTTTATAGTTTTTTTTTATATGCATGAGATATTTTTATATTTTATAATTTTCTTTGATTTCCCAATGTTTTGTTAGTGTTTACAGAAACATTTTGCATCTCTTGTGTTGTTTTTACATGAAATATTTTTGCATTAGATGCAATGGTTTTATGTTTCATGACACACTATTGCTTTTCATTTAAATATTTAATCTTTTTTTAAAAATTTCCGAGGGTTTTATAAAATATTTTTGAGTTTAGTAATCTCTTTTTGTATTTGGTGAAACATTTATGTATTATTTACACAGTTGACCTTTAGGACCAATGTCTAACTTTTTGATATTTTCTGTTTTCTTTTTGAGTCACCACCACAAAGGAAGGATATTTTTACACTGTGTTCAGAAAAAGAAAAAAAAAAGACTCTGGACGCGTGAAGAAGTCACACAGTTATAAATATCACAATTGAAACTTTAAAAAAATTTAATTAAGTTTGGATGTTAGCTGACCTGACGGGCACCCTCATTATCTAACATGTCTGAGAACAGTAAAACACAATGTGTGTGTGTGTTTATGTGTGTGTGTGTTTTGAGTACAGTCACCTTTAACCTGCGATTGTTGGCGGAGTCAGGTGTTGAACTGCCTACGTGCCGATGAAGACGCTTTAAACTGTGATGTGTGTATTTTTGTGTCCTCTGCACTCTGGGATTACATTCAGATATCCAGATAGTGAAGTAAGTTTCCTCTGTAAACAATGTATAGACAGACTATATAGGTGACCCGACAGTGGTGTTTATAGGGAGGCGTCCTTTTGAACATTTCCTCTGTAATGTTTTTCTTCATGTCAGGAAATTGTGCATTAGGCCCCCTAAGATTGCCTTTAAACTGAAAGATAAAGGATCCGTCCCATGTTACTTTTTAGCCCATTTCCTACAATTCTTATAATCTTAACATTGTTGCTGACAGGTTTACAAGGAGTGACCTCTTTACTTTGTTGCCCCCCTTCATTTTGTGGCTTCCCTGAGCTTTGGTGTGCCCCAAGGCTCCTTCTTTGGTCCTCCTCTTTTTCATTCAAACCTGGTCATTTTAACATTTTGATTTAATGCATTTGGTTGTTTAAAAATTTAAGGAAGTATCTAAAGAAGTGATTGGAGAACACTTTTCCTCTGAGTTGTTCTTCAAGTAGAAAAAACACATGATGTTCCATTTCTAAGAAAATGTGATGGCATTTCCTCAAAGCTATTTTTACAGTAGGAAAATGAGACAGGTGAAAACTCTCAAGGAAGCTTTTCCAGTGGAGAAAACATGAGAAAAAGACCCAAAGAGTGCACTTCTAGGAAAAAGAGACAAGTAAAACCTCTCAAGGAAGCGTTTCCAGTGGGGAAAACACAGGAAAATGACTCAAAGAGTGCACTTCTTGTGGAGAAATTGTGGTAAATGCCCTCCAGGGTTAATGAGACATGAAAAAAACACATTTGTGGTACCTTTTTAGTTGGAGAAAATTGACAACATGCCCTTTACATTGCTCCTCTAGCAGAGAAATGTGATTCAGTGAAATTTGGGGTGACCTGTTAGTAAGAAAACTTGGATTAGATGTATTACTAGAAGAGAAAATTGACAGTGTCCCCCATGTTAGTGGAGAAAACATGAGAAAAAGACCCAAAGAGTGCAATTTGAGTGTAGAAATTGTGGCAAAAAAGCCCTCTTCTAGCAAAGAAATATGATTCAGCAGGACTCGGGGTGACCTGTTAGTGAGAAAACAAGACCAGGGCCCCATTAGATGTATTTCTAGAAGAGAAAATTGACAGTGTCCCCCATGTGAGTGGAGAAAACATGATTAAAAAAACGTTGACACACCTTCCTAAATGAGAAAGTTGACACCATTCCTCATGAGGTGCCCTTTTAGTAGAAAAAGTGTTGTGCAGGGGACTCAGTGGTGGAGAAAATATAGCATAGAGTCTGTCCAGTGGAGAAAATATGACAACCTGTCTCTTTAGAGAGGAGAACATGATGAAATGCTTTCATGGGTGTTGTTTAGGTGGAGAAAACATGTTTGGAAGTTTCTAAGATGCCATCTAGAGTATAGAACATTATAGTTACCTGTGTTGGGTGTCGGAGTGGAGAAAACATGATCAAGTCAAGGTGATGCATTGCCAAATGGGCTGCCCCACATGCTGGGAAAGCACTTGGACATGTTCCACCTTAAACTGATTTCACCTTCCTGCAAACTGGAGCCCAACCACAAACAGTTTGTTCTTTTTTAAAGCCCACAGATCTGAAGCCACTTTTACTTTTAAGGTTTTTGAGTATGAGGTATGGGCGTGAGAATCCTGGATTTTTCTCGTTATGCAAGTCGGCCCTCATTTTTCTCGGGTGTCACCTCAGAGGAACGAGCCAACTGTGTTTCTGTGCAGCGATTGTTTCTCTAAGAGCTCTTTTAACATTTGGCCGTTGTTCTTTTCCCTCTTAAGAAGTGTCGTAACCATAAAAAAAACATTTTTATCTTCTTCTCAGCTCTGCGTCGAGCACTTTGGCCTTTATCTGCTCCTCATAACTCTTCCGCTGACTCAAAGTGCGTCCGCAGATTTGAACCTTGTAGGCCATTTTGTTCTGGTTACATCAGCGTTTAGCGCGAGGGTGTTACCGTGAGGGGGACTCTGTGTTTCTTCAGGTAAGACAGGGAAAGAAGATTTCAACCTCAGAATGAGAACAGGATGTTTTCCTTGGTGTCTGTGTCTCTTTGTGTGTATGTGTGTGTGTGTGTGACCTGCTCTGGAAAGCAGCCAATCAGCAATCAGACGAGTAGGAAGTAGCAGCATCCTGGAGAGGAAGCCGGCCGACACGTAGCCAGACAAAGAGAGTGCACCCACCCAGAGCCCATCAAAGCACACCTTGTCTTTTCATTTTGTTCATGATCTTCTTCTCTTATGAAAACAACCTCTCTTTTTCTCAAATGATACGCCCCGAGGTTTTGTTGGGAAAAAAACTGACAGTATTTACAGAAAAATTCCAACACATGATAAATAAAGAGAAGGAGAAAACCTCTCTAGCCTGTCTATTTCAAACCTCTTCTTTTTCCTCCCTCTCTTCCCTCAGACGGGGCTCAAACGTCTCTCTGGTGTTGGATATGTCGGCTCTGGGCTCTGTGGAGCCCCTGAATGTGTCCGTGGTCACCCCGAGAGAAGCAGCAGCCAGAGAGTATCTGCTGTCAGCCGGTCGGCCGCTGACACGACAGCAGCTCCGAGATATTGTCAACAACACGCACAAACTGCACGCAGAGTTTGCTGTAAGTGGAGAAACGTCGACTCAATATTGCAAAGCTGAAGAACCGACTCTCAGCGTCCAGTTTTCTGCATACATGTTCTTTTTGGCAAAAACAAGCATGTTCACAGTTCTGGTTGAGATGAATATGTGAGACACTGGATAGCGTACTTTAATAGGTTCATATTTGCTTTTAGACTTTTCTGATTCTTATTCTGGCGTAAATAATTTAGGGGCAAACACACGTAACGACACCCCCTTGAGAGATGAATGTCGCAGACCGCTTGCTTTTCTAGTTATTCCAACTTTAGTAACGACTGCAGGATAGTAATACACAGCAGTTTAAGGAGCCATAAACAAACCTCAACCAAAACGCCACTCTATAGACACAAATAATGCTCAGAACAGCACCTAACTTCATCAACAGGATATATAGGGTCCCAGCGACAGCACTAACCACCTAACATCTTTTTAGCTTTGCCTAGTTTCTTAAGCAAAGAGACTAAACACAACTCACCTACTCTCTTCCAGCAGCCGCTTGTTTGTAGTGAGTCTTCGGACCAGTCCATTACGGACTACAGTGGGGGGGACGCAGCTCAAGGAAGAACATTTGTGATCATTTCTTCAGGAAAATGCAATCAGACTGAGATGCTAAGGCAGAAGAACTACCGTGTCTGCAGTACAAAATGATTATTGTGGTGATTATTACTTCAAGGAAATGATAAAGAAATGATCATAATCAGGCAAAGTTAAAAAGATGTTTGGTGGCTAGTGCCTTAGCAAAGTTAAGTTATGGATGATTGTGAACTTCCTAAACCTTAATGAGTCTATGCTTTTTCCAGCTCCGTCTTTTAGCAAAGACTAAAAATTATTTCTTAAAGGCTGATCTTGAGAAAACTATTCATGCCTATATAACTTCACATATATACTATTTCAACTCCTTATATGCAGGCTTGGACAAGTCATCCATCAACCACCTTCAGCTCAATCAAAACGCTGCTGCTCGACTCCTCTCTGGCAAGAAAAAGCGCGACCACATGAGTCCTATTTTAGTGACCCTTCACTGGCTCCTAGTCCGCTTCCACATTGATATTAAAATTCTTTTAATCGTTCTTAAGGGGGTGTCTAACTTAGTGTTACAGTTTGTTTGACCATAACTTAATTTTATATCCCTTTAACGTCTCTTTTTGTCTCGCAGGAAATCCCAATGAATTTCATCGACCCCAAAGAGTTGGACATTCCAAACCACGGGACCAAGAACAGATACAAGACCATACTGCCCAGTGAGTGATGAGTGTGTGTGTGTGTGTGTGTGTGTGTGTGTCTGTGTGTGTTAAGAGTTATCTTAGTGTTGCTAAGAGACAGTAACAGCACCAGAGCGCCCATCTCTTATTTTAACCAGGAAGTTGTTTTATTATGTGGGTGGAGCCTGAGGTCGAAGGCCAACAACGCCAAGGACAGCTAATATCGCACCTCCCTCTTTCCTGGCTGCACATGCACTCCGCACAAACACATGAACACACACACACACACACAGTTTGGAACAATACATGTTCCTTAGCACAGTTTGTTCTCACACGGCTCTCAGCCTGATTAAGACGTTATGTAACTTAGACACACACAATGATGATGGATTTTGGTGTGTGCGCTCATATTTTGGAGAGGGGGAGGAGTTATCAATACAACAGAAAGGGAGGGGGCGCTCTTTCCTTCCTTCCTTCCTTCCGGCCAATCAAGGCTAAGGAATGCTCACCTAGGGCTCCTGTCGATCAAACTCCTTCCTGTGGTCCAGTTTTCTGAAGTGTTTGCAAAACTCTTTGGGGATGTCAAGTGTACTGTCCGGTTAAAATTCAAGTGTCAAAACTGAAGAGGGAGAGTCAAAATTAAGTTTAAAAAAAACCCTGAAAGACAGCCGAAACCGAGTTTAGTAAAAGCCCCAAAAAGTTTGAACTAGAGTCAAGACAGAGTCTGAAGGAGGCTGAATCTGAATCGAAACAAAGCGTAAAACAGACTTAAACACAAGTCAAGACTGATCATGTATTTAAAGGGCTTAAAAGAGCTCAAAACAAATCAAAACAGAGTCAACATGGGTGAGGTACTGCAACCGAAGAGACAAAACAGAGTCCCAGAGAGGATTTAGATCAGGACCAGACAGGGTCTCGAACATGACTGAAAGAGGGGATTTCAAAGTTTTAAAGGGCTCTAAAAAACATCAAAACAGAGTTTGATAAAGACAGAGTTAATAAAAGTTTGAAATCTATCAAAACAGTGCCCAAAGGAGTCTCAACAACAGTAGAAAGTAGAAGTAGTAGAAGTAGGGCTTAAAAAACCAACAACATGCAAATTAGGCTAAATTAAGAACAGTAAGAAAATAGAGTTGGAAAAAGGCTAAAAGCCGGACAAGTGAAACCAGACTTAGGAAGACTGGTAAAAACACTAGACTAATATGGTCTCAATAACGGCATAAATTTGTTAAAAAAATAATGCACAAGTTAAAATGAAGTCCAAAAGAGGCTCAAAAACCAGTCTCGAAAAGTCTTAAAACTAACACAGCAGCAGGTCCAAAAAGGCCAAAAAATAAAGTGTCTTAAAGTTTAAGAAGAGGCTTAAAATGGGTTTAAAAAAGTTTTGCGACAAGTGAAAATGTTCCAAAAGGACAGACATTTAAAAATGTTCAAAAGTAAAAATAAGATTGTAAAAAAGGCTTTAAGTCAAAGTGTAGTCTAAAAGAGGCAGAAAACAAGTCCTAAAAGAGTTTAAAACAGAAGGATTCAAGTTTGATAAACTACATTGTGAAATGTTGATGCACAAATATTAAAGCCTTATCCAAACCATCCTTTCTTTTCTTAACCTCCTCTCCTTACTGTCTTTCCTAGACCCTCACTCCAGAGTGATCCTGAAGTCCAAGAGCTGCAACGACCTGCTGGGCTCCTACATCAACGCGAACTACATACGGGTGAGTCGACTGGGAACGAAATAGACGATCTCAAAACGTATCAATACAAAGTGGAAAAACAAACTAACCATCAATGAGTGGACAGGCCGAATTATAAAACAATCTGATCAAATGTGATTGGGAGACCATATGAGATGATTTGTTTTGGTGTTATCTAGTTTGTTGGTGTATTTTCTTCACTGTGAAGTATCTTCTCCCAAAACGAAAACAGGTGGTGGCAGCAGGTCATTTAAACTTAGATCAGGTGTCTCACTGTAATGTCGTCACATATCTTCTGCCTTTGATTAAACTTTTACTCATTCCTGCCTTTGAATTCTGAACATTTTGAGATATTTACTAAATAAACCTGAGAACAAACACAGACACAATCACCTCACTCGTCTGGAATGTCAACAGTTCAGCCGTTTTTCCTCTGGTTTCCTTATTAACACACAAACACACACTCACAGACACGGAGTGACACAGTGGCAGTGAAAGTACACTCCTGCACAAGTGTGTAATGTCGCTCTCAGACTCCGATACAATAGACTCTCTTCCTGTCGGGAAAACTGTTTAAACCGGAGAGAGCAGAAGCTTTACACTACACTACATTAAACACTGAGAGAGTTTAATGAAAAAAAAAGGCATATTTACTTTAACAGAAAAACTTCAGGATAAATTAGGTTACTTGCATGACCCAAATTACATTTATCACAACTTTTTTACCAATCTTGTGAAATGAAATTGAGACATGAGACGTGAGACACTTTCCTTTCAAGACATGAAAAATGAGCTGACAGACAATTGAATTTGCCTTCGGGAATCAATAAAGTTATTTTTACTTTTATTCTTAAAAGAAAATATCAGAGCTTTACAGACACAGCTGAGAGTTTCCAGCCCAAAAGCCAATACGCAAAGAAAACAGAAATCACAAACTCTGTGTATTGTAAAAGTATTTGGTTTGTAATGATGTTTCAACTACCTTATAATACAACAAAAATGCTCTTTAAGTGCAAAGGTACACAATAAACAGGGCGGAGCCAAAGGGGAGCTATGGCCAACCCTGATATGTGATTGGCTACCCTAAAAGTCTAAACCATTATTAGTTACTTACTATCAAGGATTGATAGTGCGTACAACGCTACTGCGCAATGTTGGTTTCAGGATGTGGAGAGGAAACGCGGAATTACCAAGAGCTTTTCGGCTACCAAGTTGTCCATAATATATACATTCTATGGTACTAATAATCATGATTAACTCACATCATCATCAAATTTGCATTTCTGCATTTTTTTTTGTCTTCTGTCTGGGTTGCTATATTTTCTGCATAGTTACACCATGCTTTTATTTTGAAGGATAATACTTTTATAAGAGTAAAAAATAAAAGGTTTTTCCCAGTTTGGTCACCTCCGTTGAATAAAAATGTACAGTTGAAATATCTAAGGTTCTGTTTGTCTGACATTGCTTTGTGATTGGCTCTCGTCCCAGGGTTACCTTAGCGAAGACAAGGCTTTTATCGCCACTCAGGGTCCCATGGTGAACACGGTGAACGACTTCTGGCAGATGGCGTGGCAGGAAGAGTCGCCCGTCATAGTCATGATCACCAAACTGAAGGAGAAGAACGAGGCGAGTTTAAAATTACCTTCAGTAATTAAGAGAGGTGAACATGCAAATACAGTAAAGTGAGACACAAAGCTTGAAGTATTTACCCGTTCACTCTGTTTCTCTCTTTAGAAGTGTGTCCTTTATTGGCCAGAGAAGAGGGGGATCTACGGGAAGGTGGAAGTTTTGGTGAACAGCGTCAGAGAGAGTGAACATTACACCGCACGCAGCCTCACACTCAAGGTGCGCACACTTTCAAAATACTTCATCAAATTATCTGTGGGATGAAGAGAAAATGTCCTGAACTTTTTGGGTCGTAACTCCATGTGTTGTTGTTCAGTGTGGGAATCAAACCCGCACACTCCAGCATTACTGGTACACATCGTGGCCCGACCACAAAACACCCGACTCCACGATGCCACTGCTGCAGCTGACGACCGATGTAGAGACGGATAGACGGGCGGCTGCTACCACAGGGCCGGTTATCGTCCACTGCAGGTAAAAAGTCAAGAAAATTGTCTTTTTTACAAATAGTGACCTTTGACTATTGAATAACTCTTTTTCCCATGATCCTTGGCTCACAGTGCTGGGATTGGTCGGACGGGCTGTTTCATCGCCACAACGATAGGCTGTCGGCAACTGCAGCTTGAAGGAGTGGTTGATGTTCTGAGTATCACCTGCCAACTCAGAGCCGACAGGTAACATCAAAATTGAAAATAGTGCAAAGAGGACTTGCTGATTTATGTCAGCAACACGTCTCAGAAATGGCAGAGCAGTTTTTTTGTAGATATTGTTCAGCATTAATGGAGCCTTCACAGAGGTGGAAGCTACTCATCACATTAACATTTGTGATCCCCTTACCATCAGGGATGCTGGGTGGTCCCTCTACTCTTAAAAGAGGAGGATACAGCATCCATGATTTTCAAAAAGAATGCCAAATTTGATTAGTCTTACTGAGTCATGATAATAATCATTTGGAAATTAACCTCATTAGTTTGGTGATGTTCCTCCAGCTGTTTTTTTTTTTTTCATTACACAACTTTACGAAAATAAAGTCGTAATAAAATCTTTACTTATAGAATAAAGTTGTTATAAAATCATTTTTTTACGATAATAAAGTGGTAATAAAGTCATAACTTACAGGAATGAAGTCGTAACAAAATCTTTTCTCACAGTAATAAAGTCGTTATAAAATCATTACTTAAGAGTATAAAGTCGTAAAAAAAATCATTTCTTACGAGAATAAGCTACAACTTTATTTTTGTAAGTAATTATTTTATTACGACTGATTACTTAATTATGACTTTATTCTTGTAAGTAATTAGTTTATTACAACTTTCCTCTCGTAATTACTTTATTACAGCTTTACTCTCTTAAGTAATAAATTTATTCTGATTTTATTCTCGTTAGTAATTATTTTATTATGACTTTATTCTCCTAAGTAATTAGTTTTATTATGATTTTATTCTCATTAGTAATTACTTTATTACAACTTTGTTCTCGTAAGTAATTCCAAGGTCTTTTTTTTCCCCCTTAATGTGGCTCTAATACTCTGTTGAAAATATGAGCATATTTTAACGAAACAAACAAACAAACAAAAAATCAGCTTCAGTATTTGATGTGTTGCCGTAGAAATATTTTCATTTGAATATGGACTTAAAAGTTATTTGTAAACCATCAAAATCTGTTTTTGCAATATTTTGAACAGGATTTTTAACTCTCTTTCTCTCTGTCTGTGCAGAGGAGGTATGATCCAGACAGGGGAGCAATACGAGTTCGTCCATCACGCTTTGAGTCTGTATGAGACCCGCCTCTCTGCAGAAAGCGGCCAATGAGTGTGACCAACAAACCAAATACGAAGTGTCGACATTAACCGTAAAGTGTGCTGACAAAGCTCATCCTTGGATCTCTAAACTTTGGAAATCCTTGTGCTCTGTGGAAATACTTTAGAGGGGTTTTCTAGGGTTTAATGGACAACATGGACAACCAATGAAGCGTGTTGTGGGCGGAGCCTGTGGAGCGAGCGAGGAAAGCTAAATTTCTGAAAAGGGAATGTATCCGTTCTTCTTCTGCTGTTTTGTCTTTGTGTGGTGTTGGCGAGCGGTTCTTCAGAGAGACTCAAAGGACCCGCCCACTTAACTCCTTTTAATCAATGACTGTCGAGTCGTGTCGTTTGTATCTAACCAGACTGTTGTATTACCTCTTTTCTGTCACGCAGACGTAGAGATAGTTTGACTGGAATTGATGGTACTTTGTTCAATAACACTGTTGTGTTTCTGTGTCTTATAGGATTTTACAATTATTTTGTAACGTGGTGTTCTTATAGAAAACCTGAAATTCAAACATGACTGTTAGCTGGTTTCACATTTGGTAAGGCTGCTTTATTAATAATGAACCAAACCTAGCCGAGTTCCTTTGTGACTCCAGTACTCTGCATTTCCAACCTGAAATTATCCAGGAAAGACGGTAGTTTTTACATCTTTGTCGCAATCATTTTTACTGTAATTTTACAAATAAATCACATTTAAAACATCTCAAAAACATTTCAGTCACCTGTTAGATTGGCATGCTTACTAGCCAGCGAAATGATATCGCAAACTAATTTTTTTTCAGTGCACATAAGCCTACGCTACTTGCTACTTTTGCTTAATAAGCTAACGTCAATGCTAGCCAGATCACAAGCTGCCAAGAACCATCTGATAACAAATTAAAAGAAACTGAGTACAACTTTTTATTTAAAATAATAACAATAACAACAACAACAACAATTATAATAATAATAATAATAATCACAATACATTTCATATAAATGGATACATTTCAATAATAAATTTAATTCTTTTCATCTTTAGACATGTTTTCATTTTCCCACTGAAAACTTCCTTGTACTGGAGTCACAAACGGAGCTACCTCTAGCCATAGCTCACATGCTAAAGCTAACAAACCAATGTACGATGAATAAGCTCTTGCTAAGCTCTTTAATGTAGTACAGCAATCTAATAGAAGCTAATTCTAGCTTTACTTGTTCAGTGTTGCGTACATGTCAGTTAATAGGCGCTAACTTATAATAAAGCTAATGCTAATACTAGCTTGCCATACTTATGTCATTTTTAGCCAAATCCAGAGCTGATAAACTGATAATTGGATCCAAACTGTTGTTAGTTTTGTTTTCAACAAGTACAGCCCCGACGCCGTTTGAGACGGATGACAGTAGCTGTATTGTTTGAACACCAATAAAAGTAATTTATTTATATTTTGTTTAAGTTATGAAGGATATATAAATCATGTTACCACTGTCATATTTTACCTTTGAGAAAGATTTACAAATAAAAATTATTAAACACATAAAAATTTAAAAATGATGGAACTCAAACTAGCCCAAAAATGGCGTAGCACTTTGTCAACGAGGTGATGTAACTTCAATATCATTGGTTGATTGTTTTTTTATAATTACAAACCTTTTTAGCTGAGACTTGTTCAAATGTGAATCAAATTTCTCGCTGCTTGCGCTCAGAGTTTACACTCTGTACAAAATATTTTTTTTCTTGCTTCGACAATTCCCCTTTTGTCAAAACGTTGCTTTATACCAAAAATGTGAAATATTTTACGTCACAATGGTGCAGTCATCTCATCGTTGAGCTGTGTAAATTATGTTATCTAGTGAGTATGTTATATTGGTGTATCAAAGTAATAATAACTTTATTTTTATACAATTTTTACATGTTTTTTGATGTGTTGAACTACTACTAGATTTTTGTCAACTCGCATGAAAACTCCCGTATTGAAGCCTCTTATCTCTGAATCATCAACTGAATGGAGCTGGACAGGATAAAAAATTATGTTTTTATTGTTATATCTAAAATTGAAGTTTACAAAACTCGACTCCTAACAATTGGGGCCCCATTTTTCTAATAATGGATCATTTGAAAGGAATAAAATGAAAAATATCAGTAATGCAAAGTTGATTTTTTTGTGAACAACAAAGGAGTATAAGGGCACCATAAAACTAAACAAAAAAAAATTATTGATTGTAGTTGTGATGATACAAGAATTAAGTCTATTTCAAGAATAACACAATGAGATGAAAGAGCCAAGTTGTCAAACTACAAGAATAAGTATTTGTATCACGAGAAACAGCCGAAACAGAATAAAGTTATAACTTTACAAGAACGAGGTTGTGATATTATGGATTTTAGCTACTATTATTTTTGTTAGAGGAGTTGTAAAATTACAAATATTTATAGTATAAGCAGAATGATGCCGTAGATAACCCTGAACTCCTTATCTCATATCTTAAACCTGGATTCTTTATTTGATAAAGGTTGTAATTTTACAAGGACCAAGTTTTAATATTACAAGTGTTCGTCAGACTAAGTTGAAATATAAAATATGAACTGAATGACAACTCTCATAAAAATACGACTTTATTCTTATTTTTTACCTCATTTTTATATGAATTTATGTCTGAATTTATTTGTATTATTGTAACTTCAGTTTGTCAGTAGTGAAATTTAGCTTCTGCTGTATTACGACTTGTAATTTTAAGACCTTATCAGGACATTATTCTCTAAATTTACAATTTTTTATTGTTGTTATGTGGCCTTTATACTTTTCCTTGTAAACAAAACACACAGACGTGTCCTAAAATCTCCCGAAATGAAACCAAAGTGTGAATATTAACAGGAGTTTTGTCAGTTCCTGGTTTGTTGCCTGGTTTCAGAGATCTGATGTCTCTACATTGATGCCAGTAATGAAGAACATACATCTTTTCTGCTCTGTATGAACGAGAGAACATTGTGCAGTAAATGTCAAAGTGCTTTTACACAACACGTGGGCAGTAACATTTTAAATCATGGACCTCAAACTCGGAGCTCTTGCTGCTAAAAACAGGAACGTTGGGACTGAACTATAAACGAGAGAAACTTTGAAGACTCTTCTTTTTCTATGTACCAAATTATTTTTTATTTACTCCTCTTCTTGTGATACAATAGAAGGACGTCTCTCTGTGTCCGACATGCCTCCTGGGACAACATCAACCTGATCTACACCCGATTACTCACTCAAAGTAGTTAAAAATGCGACAAAATAAAGTGTGACAGAGACTTAATTTCCAGTTTGGACTGACTGAAGTGAACGTGTGTTCATCTCCGCCTCCAAACCCTCTGCAGCAGCGGGTACAACGACACACACTGCCTCTGACGTAGTATTGTGTCTGTACAGTGGGTGGTGGTTCATGTCCTGTACTTTATTGTTGTTGACAGCTGATGGAGGTTAAAGGGACGCTACACATTTCAACTTTGTAAAACTCCTGATATTTTAGCGCAACTTAAGAAATTTTAACATGCATCTCTATTTTTGAGTTTTTAGAGATAAACAGAAGCAGAATGGATGCCGGTCGACTCAGCCCAATAAATGAGAAACTGCTGGGAAAGCCGGCATCCAAGCTCGGCTACGGTTTTCTGCAGACAGGTCCAACTCTATTATGTGATTTAGCTAATATTGAGAGACTCTGGCCCAAGCACTTATCTCTGTTTAAGTGTCATTAAGATTATATGATATTTATTTGGCTAGGTTGAAGCTGCATATGAAATCAAACTTCTGAGATCAACAAATACCCCAAAACTGAAACAAACAACTTAAAATGATCTCAACTTCCCTCATAATTAGTGCCAAAATACAATTTTCCCCCCATGGTATAACCTTCAAATTTTCTTTTAAGGACAATAAAACTTTGGCTTTTAGAGTTGCACCCCTTTTAAATTCCTCCTTTAGTCTATGTGATCAATTTGAAGCTCAAATCAATAAAACTGGATATAGAAATGTTGGCGTCCCTTTAAACCTCTGCTGTTTGGGCTTCACAGCTCATCCAGAGTACACCTGATGCTAATAAGTGTACGTGGTTTTTATCTGTATTACTAATCAACTTGAATGTTGTAATAGTCCAGAACATTAGCCACTGAGTAGTCCTATAACCTCTTTATCTACTCTATATGGACAGATATACTGTTATCTATAATCTGTACATAAACACGAGACGTAAAACAAACTCTGACTCGTTGTTTTTATACTCTTACTGACTGATTCTTCGACGGGTTCAATCAGGAACTCTAACTGATCTTTAGGGGACGTTTTGTGGATCATTCATTTAGTGAAGTCACTTTGTATTTATAAATCAAACTTTGGTTCCTAGAAACATACTTTCATATAATAAGAGAGAGTGAGACAAAGAGAGAGAGAGAGGAGGGGAGCCGGAAGGAAGGAAAGAGGTGTGGATGACTAAAAGTAGCTCCAACCAGGCGAAACAAAAGCAGTTTGGCCTTTAAACTGAAAAAGCCACATAATAGACTTATTCAGACCTTTTGTGGGTCAAATTTAACCCCAGTGGATTATTATCAAGTAAGGTCACCTTGTACATTATAAGGGTGTAGTCTGAGTTTAATCGTTTTTCATTAAGATATAACTACAGTTTCATCTACATATAAAGACAAAATTCTTTTATCGCAAAACTGATCAGTAAACTTGTGCACGACACCAAATTTAGAAAGATTGTGACTGAAAGATGAAAAATAGAAAGTGTTAGAGCCTCAACTTTTTTTTTGCCAGATGCTGAGAAATTTTTTGTTGACTTCTGCAAGACACAGCGAAACTTTTGCAGGATCCTGAAATGCTTGTGCAAGCTCAGAGATTATGAGTTCCTCCCAAGATCGAGAGAAAAGGGTTTCTGAGAACTTGCAAAGGTTTCTGGGAATCTTGCAAAATTTTCTCATGATCTCACTTAAGTGTTTCAGCATCTTTCAAAACTTTCTTAAAGTCGTGCAAGATCTTCTCAGATCATCCCAGGTTTTTTGGGATCATGTAAAATTTCTTAAGATCTTGTGAAACTTTTAAAGTATCATCCAAAAGGTTCCTACATTCTATAAATTCTTTTGGAGATTCTAAAAAAAAAAATTCTCAAATTTTTGTTTATATTTTTGGTAAGAAAATATTTTTGGGGGGTTCTTGCTGAACTTTCTCAAGATCTTTCAAAGTTTTCACAGGGTCAAGCAACAATTACTCAGTTGCTCAAAGATCTTGCAAAACTTTCCAAGACTATGCAAAAAAGTAAGAATTGTGCAGAGGAGTCTCAGGATCTTTACAAAACTTCCCATGATTTTGTAATCCCCTCTCATGACCTTGCAAATACTGCTCAAGATCTTAAAATAGTTTCTCATAACCTTGTTAAATTGTTCTAGGATCTTACAAAAGTTTCTGGAAGTTTTTGCAAAAATTTCCTAGGATCTTGCAGAGTCTTTGGATCTTGTGAAATTTCCTGAGGGTCGAAGCCCACAGGGTCTTACAAAAGTTTCTTGGACAAAACTCTTCACAGTTGTTGGCTTGACTCTTGTAAAAGTTTTTGAGATCTTGACAATTTTTTTGTGAATCTGTCAAAGAGTTTCTTGAGTTCTTGATCATTTTGATGGAGATCTTGTGTGAATTTCAAAGAAATCATTACATTTCTTGGAGAAAAAGTCCCTGAAGAGTTCATTGTTCTCTAAAAAGTTTCTTCAAATCTTTGACCACAGTTATCAGGATCTTGACAAAGTTTGTAGGGAAGTTCCAGATTTTCAAACGTCTCTCTTTCTCAATCGTAAAGATTTTTAGGCTCTCGCTTCCGGATTAAAAAAAAAAAAAACTCTAATTATGTCTCTCGGGATTTTGCAGTTTTTTTTTCTTATTGAATTAATAGAATTAAAAACATTATTTTGAAAAAGTAACCACACTTTAAAAGTTTATAAAAGTAGTTTTGAACTTTCTCTCAGATCCTTTGTTAAAAATAAAATCTACAGTGTTTGTAAACAGGAAAATCTACAACCTTCAAAGCTCAAACCTCTCTTTCATTTTTGTGTTTTCTGCTAATTAACACAGCTAATTACCAGCAGCGGCGGCAGCAGAAACAAGGGCACACGAGGACCTCATTGTTGGAATGAGGACTAAATTTACACCCTGGAAACTGTGAAACCGCAGAAGGAGCCACATCAGAGGACAGCTCTGTCAGACTTGAAACTTCACGATGATGCCGTCTCTTTGGGAATTAATCAAACACTGGTTTCTATTTTTATCTTCTACCTGTGATGCTGGTGCAGATCGGTGAGCTGTTACTGTCACTGCGGGTTTATTTATATCCAGCATCCAGGCCCAGTTTGTAGTCGAGCCTTTGCAGCGACTCAGAGCTGTTGGCTTGATTGAGGAAGTCCGTTAGTGACTCCCAACCTCGACACTATAGACTCGACCGACAGACGGACAGAAAGACAGGCAGGAAGAGAGACAGACAGGAGGTGAGACAGGGGGGAGGAAAGTGAGGAAAGGCTGAGTTTGAAGTCTGGGAGGGTTGAGTCGAGGACTGACGAGAGCCGGGGAAGATCAGACGGACGAAGTGAAGACTCTTCTGGAAGAACTGGAGACTATTTTTGTTGAATCAGGGATTAATTCTGCTCCTCAGTTTGGGAAAAGAACATCAAATCAACCGTTTTTCATCCATTTTATGATTTTCAGGGACTTTTTCGTGTGCTGAAGGTCTCAAAGAGGACAGTATTGGGATATTCTCTGTGATCTGCCTGAATCAGGGAGTACAAACACACATCTTCTACCTCAGCCGCAGGATTATGTTGGTGCGTGGTCGCTCTGAGGATCTGAAGGAGGATCAAAATGCTGAAATGTAAAGTTCAAAGTTACCTCTGCTGCCTTTGCTTCACCTCGCTGCTGCTGCTCCAGGTGAGTCTCCTTTCTTTAATCGACCTTTTTTAAGATTTATGCAGAACTTAAGCTGCAAATCAGGTCAAGATACTTGATTTTAAAGGCACTTTACCTGAGCCTCATGCAATGTAACTTCATTTGTTCCATTTTTTGTCCATGTTTTGTCAATTTAAGCCAAAAAACTGCCTCCTATATGTAAATATCATCCTCTTTTTTTCTAAATTTACCAGGAAATAAACTTTAACCATTATAAAGCCACATCTTTCCCATTATATCTTACTGAATATTTCTGATAATTGACTTATTCTTACATTGTATATTCCATAATATATAAATGATGATGTTATCCTCTTAAATACATGCTTTTTTGCCTTTATTTAAGAGGATAGTTCAGTGTAAATGACATAAAATAGAGAGAGACATGCAGGAAAGGAGACACATACTGGTATCAAACCTGGGCACTTGAGGCATGATCTCCATATATAGGGTACACACTAAGACCGCGAGACTAGCAGTGCCCTAATCCAGACTTTCAAATCCACTTTTTCAGACCCTCCTCAGGGAATCCAGCTCCTTTATGTCCACATTTTAAAGAATTACTGGTTTTGATCAGCCTTACCCAGATACCAACTTAGTAAAGATCACCACATTTGGATGGGGCAACATACTGCATACTTTGTCCACAAGGGGCTAGCGTGGAAGCCTAGCTCTGTTCTGGGCTGTGGATCCTGTAAAGGTGTTGGAAGACAGGAGGTTGATGGCTAAGTTTCTCATCCACTATAGAGCTCTGTAACAGCACTGAGCAGCTCCGTCAGAGCGGTGCTTCTTCACTCGCCGTGTGTGACAGAGATACCGCCGGTCTTTCCTTCCTGCTGCAGTCAGACTGTTTAACCAGGCCTGCTCCCAGTAGTCCAGGTTTTTTTTTAGCACGACTAACAGACGATAACTCAGTGACCCCTGTGTGCAAAAAAGACAGGCCAGATATTTATTACGATGGCGAATATTTTCATTTTTCTCAGGTTTGATAATGTGCAATGAGAGGTCCAATTCTTGTTTGTTCACTGTTGAACCGTTTCAGTTTTTTGTTGTTTATAACAACATTTTTTGTAAAGGTCTGAGTTAACTTTTTATAATTCTCTGTACACTGTGTGCAGGATAAGTGTACTTATCCTTCTATGTTTTCTGTGCTGATCCTAAACTGCTGTTAACACTGCACCATGGGATTTATAAAGGTTGTTTGTATACATATATAGGCTGTGTCCGAAATGAACCATTCAATCCCTAATCCCTTCACTATATAGCTGACTATGTAGTGAGCTCAATTACCGGAGGTTTCTGACACGCAGTGCATGACGGGATGCCCACCACCTGTGAGTGATCATCGGATGGTCACTACATTTCACAATGCTCTATGGGAAATTTTGAGTCACCTATATGGGGCATTGGAATTGATCACTGAGGTTTCGGACACCCCTCAAAATGGTGCTAACCCGCGTAAAGTCGCCTATATAGGGGTTAGGGATCCATTTTGGACACAGCCATATATACATATAAAGAAGAACTTAATTAATTTAACTTGATCTCTTGGTATTTTTAAAAAACTCAAATGTCAACCTGCAATTGGCGAGACGAGTTTCAGGGTTATTCATCAGAGAGAAGAAACAAGTAAATATTTCCAGGTGTATTCTTTTGATAATAAAGTTGTGGTGAGTCATTTTGTTATTAGAATAAAATCCTTATGTATCATTAGGAGAATAAAATGATAATATAATAAGAATTTTGCTATCTTGTTATGCTACGAGAATAAACTTGTTGAGTTATTTGAGATGAATAAAGTCGTTATGTGAGGAGAGTAAAATCGTCATGTTAGTTTACATGAATAAAGTCGTTATGAGTTGTTATTTTACAAAAATAGTCGTTATGTTAGGAGAGGAACGTCGTTTCCTTACTTTACAAGAATAACGATGCACCAAAACTACGACTTTACCACCATTTTATTCTCAGAAGATGACAACTTTAATCTTGAAACATTCGAACTTGAAATTAAGTAAATTTACTTCAACTTTGTTCACGAAAAAAGTGACTTAAAACTTTTACTTTTCCTTGGATGCGGCCCTTTAACTTTGTTGTAAGTTGACATTGAAGTGTGATCTAGGTCTCTTGAATCACTGAGTTGTAATCTAGTTATTCAAGAACGATGACAAAAAAAAAACCACATTTTATTTAACATCAACAAAGCAATCTGTATTCTTGAAGAGAAATCATGCATAACTAAAGTCGGTACTCTTTTCAAACAGCGAGAGCGTAACTCTGTGATTTTCTTCGCCCTAAAGTAACTGAACTCAGATCCCTGATGTTTGCAGATCTCAGGGTTTAAACGGCGTCATTGTTCGTCTATGAACTCTTTAAACCTCATTATCAGTGACAAATAGTTTCATGTCCTGTTCTGCTTTCCAGGAGGAAGGTTACACAGTTCACTATTACTGTCGCCAACTGTATTATCACCCCCCGCATATGCACGGACATAAAAAAGGTCAAAGGTCAGGCGAGAATTTGAACCCAGAAAATGATAAAAACCCACAAATAGCAGCGAATGATTAAATACCGTACGCTCAGTCGGATGTTTCCTCAGAGAGAAACACAAAAAGGGTCATTGTTCACGGCTTTTGGAGATATTTCATTAAACAGAACTCAGATTAAAACAGTTTTACATTTCTAGACCTTTCTTGTTCTCAGCACATGATGGATTCAGAGTTAAAAACACTTAAAGTTCAGGGATTAAAATGTAAACAAAGGGGAAAAAAATGAATAAAATATAATAAAGTAAGAATATTACCCCCAAAAATCAGAAATTTCCAAAAACTGCTCTCTTTTTCTTTCTTTCTTTTTGGAAATATTTTAATTGCAAATCCAGTAACTATAGAAACAAACTTTCATGTTTTTTTTAATGCTTATAACTAACTTAGAGTCTGTTTTCCTATCAGGATCCATGCAGAGCAGCTCCGGCAGTGAACCAGTCCCTTCCATGTAGCATCTCTGTGTCTGGAACTGAATCCAGTCTGGACTCCATCTCTCTGACTGTCAGCACACCTGGACACACCTGCTCCTTCAGCGTCTCGTCTCCAGACGGTGGAGCAGACGGCGCCGAATGTCAGAAAAGACTAAAAACAGACGGACATGAGGCAACAGAGACCAATGAGATTAAAGAGAAGGAGCGAGGAGAGGAGAAGGAGAAGGAGGAGGAAGGAGGGGACTCTTTAGGGACTAATCAGTTAGGAGTGGAGGACAGAGGAGACAATGAGACAGGAAGTGTTTTCACCTGTGTGTTGGATCACCTGGAGCCGGGGACCGCCTACCTGCTGCAGGTTCAGTCCCAGAGAGACGAGGAGACGGCTAATGTGACTGTGCACACCCGTGAGTTCAAACATTTACTAAACTTTACTCAGAAACACGAACACCTCATTTACAGGCGGATATTTTCATACTTACTCTTTATGGGGTTATTTTTTGTCCTTTTAGTGCACATTTCAAAACAACAAACATTAGCAAACTAATTTATCTGTTTAACAATTAACTATTACACATGTGTAATAGTAGTTATAATGTGCTGTGCTTTACAAACATGCACAGCGAGAGGACGATATGACAATAAAGAGTCTGTATCACATCTGTAGTGAGCCAATGTCTGCCAGGCCAAAATCCAAAATTTGATCAAAATCAAAACAAAATTTTATAAGGGGTGGAAGAAAAAAATCAATTCACATAAGTATTGCAATTTATTTATTTATTTTTACTATTTTTAAATCAATTTTTTGTTTTTTGTTCAAAAATTGATTTTCTTTCAAGTTTAAGAAAAAAAATCTAATCTAATCTAATCTACAATCATAAAAACTGACTTAGATTTGATGTTTAATTTTTGGGGAAATATGGTTCCTGGAATAGTCAGTAGACAATCACAATCATTCTACAGTTTCATTGGTGTTACAAATGCAGACAAAAAGTTGAGAAAATCAACAATATCGTAATATCGCAATTTAAATTGAATTGGCATCCAAAAAATCGTAGTAGAATCGAATCGGGAGAAAAGCATATCGTCACAGCCCTTGTGTGTGTGTATATATATATATACAATAGCTACAATAAGATTTGACATTATATTATACATTATATGACATATATATATGACATTATTTAGTCAGATATGACACTATGAGACATTATAAAATTATCACCTCTGTTAAGAAGTTTCTTTAGGTTTGATTGTGCTGCACGAACAAACTGTTCCCTCTGAAGTACAAATGATTGAAAAATAGCAAAAACAACAAGCCCAAATGTTACTTATGATCCGAGTGTAAATAAAGACTCACAAACCAAAGATGACGAACAACAGTCTACAGACTTTCATCAAACTCAGATTGTTTTATGTTTCTGAACTTTCAGAGTGTAAAGGTCTGAGCTCAATATTTAGTCAAATATTCGATTGTTTTCTGTTCTGCTCAATTGTTTCCATCTCCTCTGACCCCTCGGCTTTTGAAGTACAAGAACACGACAAGACCTCCATGTTGTGTCAAGTCTTTGTGCGTTTTTTCATGTGTGTGTGTGTGTCTCAGAGTGAATGTGGTTTCGCTTCCCTCTCTGCAGCTCTGTGATTAGCTACAGGAACAGAAATCCTGCTGAGAGAGAGTGATAGAGCCCAAACCCTGCACATACATAGACATGTGTGTGTGTGTGCTTTGTGTTTTGTGTAAATGTGTGTGTGTGTATGTTGTGTCTCCACGCTGGAGGGCGTCCAGAACAGAAGTTGGACCCTCAGTGTGTATTTCCATCGTGGGCAGAGCTCCGGGTTCAGACATTTCCTGCCTCCATTGTTTCTTTGTTCAGTGGGAAGCACTGGGAAAGGGTGTGTGTGTGAGTGTGTGTGTGTGTGTGTGTGTGTGTGTACATATGTGTGTGATGGGAGGAAACAGGGTGTTGCTGCGCCCAGTCGGGTCCTGAAGGTAACCCTAACAGCAACACTTCTTCTTCTGTGGTTTCTTATCTCCTAACGCTCTTTGACCTGTCGTGGTCACATGACCTCTCAGGATTGTTTTTACCTGTTTTCTCTCTTTGTTGCCACCAAAGTTTCCTCAGAGATGAACTATAGAAATTACAATGTAAACTATTGCCTCAAAAAGTTTGACGGGTCAAATGCTGGACAACACTGCCTTGTATCTTCCTCCTTTTTTGCTCCGTTTTTGGTCTCCTCCACCTTCTTGTTCAAAACATAGTATTTTTAGCTCTTAATTTTTTGCAACATGAAAAAAAAATATTGAGACTGAACTTAAAGGAGACTGTTTATTTAAACTGTATATGTCTGGAACTGCATTTCGAAATCTGTAAATTATATTTTCTGTTTGGTTCGTCGCCTCGTGTTTCCTGTTTATAATCGTTCGGAGCTGGATTTTTCGGCATTTTGTGGTCTTAACTACAAAACTCTGTAATGGAATGATTTTGTGCTGATAATATCTTTGTTCAGTATCTTTAATTATTCTAAAAAAAAAGGATGTTTCGGTATTTTCAAAATGCGATTTTATGAGTTACAAGTCATAAGAAAGTGTCTTTGCCACCCCCTTTAATAAGAAACTTCCTGGAGGACCGACAAGCAAGCTAGGCTACAGTTTTCTACAGACACGTGATTTAATGGATATTATGAGACTTTGCTCCAAACACTCATCTTACTTTGAGTTTTCATTCTACCAAGGGAGTTTTGTCCTTGACATATTTCGATTTCGGTATCTCTGCACCTTAATTTGCATTATTTCAAACACCGTATTCCTAAGAAGACCACCAAATGGACAATGTGACCCCGCTTCAAAGACACCAAACATCCCCTCAAGGGTGTATAAACAATTTGGATTTTACTTACTCTGTGTAGTTTACATTACATTTGTGTAATTTAAAATAGTAACAAAACAGAGACTCTTAGGAGGATGACAGGCCCCGCCTTCAAACCATCATATTGAATTTTACATAATTAGGGATGTGGCTGATTTAATTGGACTCACTGTAGTTGTTATTCAGGAAGCTAAAAGCAGAAACTTTGTCACTTTGGCTTTGCTGGGTTGACCTGAGGTTGATTTTTGAACATGGTGACCAACATCATTGGGCACCAAAATATGAATTAGCAAAACTCACCAAAAATTAATTTTATGTACTAATACGAAATGATATTCAAGTTAAGATATCAAAAAGTAGACATATCAAACATCTCCACGCACAGCTTGGTGCCATATATAGATTTAAAATATCGTGTTTACTGATGAAGAAAACTAACAAACAAACTAATGTATTCAACCAGGCTTCAGAAAGACGTGAAGGTCTGCGTTTAACTTTAAAGAAACTCTTAATATTTCTGCCATTTTCTTCCTCCCCGGCGTCTTCTCTGTTAAAACTCAGCGAGTGTTGAAACTGGAGGATTGACAAACATCAACAGTCGGTCTAAAAGCTGCCTCAGACTCTCAGCGTTTGTTTGCCTCGCTCTGGCACTCAGAGCTGAGATGTCGCAGCCTGATAATATTGTTTGACCTCAGTTTGAAGCACCAGTGGCGACACAGAGGCACTAACACTCGACGAGGCATTGTGGGAAAATAAACCGGGGACGGCTTGAAGAGAAGCAGGGGAGTAGGAGTGTTTTTCAGCCGCAGCGTGTCAACAGGACTCCCACAGAGCTCCGCGTTTGATGACAAGGCCACAGTTTGAGGCGAGGGGTCGTTTTCCTGCTGAAACTTTCCTGCTGTTCCACTGAAGCTCACGCTAAAAACAGATAAATCACTTTAAAGGAACAGTTCAAAACTCAGGGGGTGGTTTTGACAGGCTGTGCGCTAAGTCGGGCTGACATGCATCCTCTGTCTGAGAGTGATGATCATTTTAAGACCAGTTTTTTTTGACGTTTGTGTGTGTTTTATTCTCAGGGCCGTCAGCTGTGAGCGACCTATCAGTGACCTCCAGGACCAGCAGCAGCCTGGGACTTTCCTGGCAGGCTGGCGAAGGAAGGACACAACGCTTCAGGCTACAGCTTCACGATCACACAGGTAAATCTGTCAAGTTTAATCCCCCGAATAAAGAAAAAACAAACCAGAACAGCAAGTTGTGATTTTAGATTTAATGTACCGATAAAAAGGAGGACAAGATGACAGCTCTCCTAAAGTGAAGCCAACAAGTTCAGAGCCCCCTGTTGGACAAAGGAGAGAGTGCAGGTTTCAGACATTGCTCTGTTTCTGTCCTCAGGTCTGCTGAGAAACGAGACGCTAGAAAGCACAACGACACAACACACACTCCTCAACCTGACACCTGGACGACTGTACAATGTTACCATGGTTACAGAGGCAGGTGGGCTGCGGAACAGCCTCACAATGGAGACTCAGACAGGTAAAAAAGAAAAGGGAAGAAGAGGATGAACACCGGAAAGGAGAGAATGAGGAAGTGAATAACTTTCAACTTCTCTTTTTTAGTCCCTGCTGCTGTTTCCAATCTCACCGTCAGCCGCAGTAACAGCACAAGTGTCCTGTTGTCATGGCAACAACCTCAGGGCGACCTGGACGAGCAGATCGTCACCCTCTCGCCCAATGACACAGACAGGAGAGAGATTACTCTCCCTTCAGACGCCACAGAGGTCACGGTTGATCAGCTGACTCCAGGCTCGGCCTATCAGGTCAAGGTGACGACCAGAAGCGGGAAACTGACCGACCAATCAGAAATCACTGCCAGGACAGGTGAGATGTTGGTCAGAGTGTTTTATTTTCCACCATCTTTTCCTTTTTGTTACTCAATTTTTTACTTATTTTACCCTTTTGGCAACATTTGTAAGTGTTTTAAGTCAAAAGAAAATTTTGTAAAACATTTTTTTTTACATTTTTCAACTCTTACTCTTCTGTCTTTTGTCTTTTTTATTTGTTGTCAGTCATTTTCTTTGTTTTTGTCTTTTTTCTGTATCAATTTTCTCCTTTTTCTTTTTTTTCTTCCTCTTTTTTTGGTTTTCCATTTTTCCTTTTTATTCTGTCAAACTTCATATCATGTCTTTAATTTGCTTTTCCATTTTCTCTTAAATTGTCTTTACCCTTTTCTCTAATTTTCACTTTTTTGCCTTTTTTTATTGTTTTCTCTCTTTTTCTTTAACTTTCTGTGACTTCATGTCTTTGGTTCTTTTTTTCTCATTGCTCTTGTTCTTTTTTTCTGCTTGTTTTTTTTTCCGTTTAATCAATATTTTTCTTTTTTTTAATTTTTGTCAGTGAAATTTGTGTTTTTGATTTTTCTTTAATATTGTCTTTTTGTCTTCTGTTTTTGTCTTTTCCTATGTCTTTCGTTGTTCTATTTTCTTTCCCTTATTTTTAAGATTTTTTAAATCTACTTTTTTTTAAATCTCTTTCTCCTCCAGCTCCAGCGGCAGCATCCTTCCTCTCCCTCTCTCCTTCCTCCTCTGATAGCGGCCTCCTCCTGTCTTGGACGCCCCCTGCAGGCCACTGGGAAAGCTACAGGGTGTTCCTGTTTGACGGTCTCCAGCAGTTAGTCAGCACCACCCTGGACAAAAAGGCAGTAAACTTCAGCTTTTCAGGGACAGGACTAATACCTGGAAAACTTTACAGAGCTGAGCTGAGGGTGGAGAGCGGAGGCCTGACAGCTGAGAGCAGCTGTGAGGGAATGACGGGTACGTCGGAAATTGAAGCTGAAGATTGAAATACAGAAAGAAATCATAGAAATATCCACACATGAAATATTCAGTAAGTCAATACAGATTTAACACATTTTTGAGAATGAAGTCCATCTTTTTTTTGCAGTTCCAGCCGCCGTGTCAAACCTCCACATTCGACACTCTGATGAAACTTCTCTCAGCGCCATGTGGAGCCACGCCCCCTCTGGGTTACGTGACAGCTACTTCCTGAGTCTAAGCCACGGTAACCAACGAGAAACACAAACGATCGTGTAGATTTTTTTAAACTTAATTCATTTGAATAAACTTTTTCTCTATGGATCTAGTAGGTAACGACACCGTTAAAACCAGGGAGGTGGAGCCGAACATGAGGGAGTGCACCTTTAATGTGCTCACACCTGGGAGGCGGTACAACATCACCGTGACAACCAGGAGCGGGAAACTGAACAGCTCAGTATCAGTGGAGGGAGCGACAGGTGGGATTGTATTTTTGTATCTTTGGGACTTTTTTTAAAGCTCCTGTGAGGAATTTTCAGTCCATTTCAGAAACGTCAAAAAACTCCTTACTGGAGCTTTAACTTTTACTTCTGATTCTGTGTGTCTGTGCTAAAATACAACAATTACAGTTTTAATCTCATGTACATTTCCAGTCACATATTGGTTGTTTTCATTATTATTTTTTCTGATTTGTTTAGTTCCCATGGCCCTGCGCAGTCTCACACTGAGGAGCTCTGGTGTCAACAGCCTAAAAGCATCATGGGAGAAACCACCAGGAGATGTAGATCTGTACACGCTGACGCTACTTAAGGACAGGTGAGATTAGAAGAAAAATACACAACTGTCCTCTACTTTAAATCCAAACTAGAAACACTTGTAAAGCTTTTACTTCTCTACCCAGACATCTTGACAAAACCTAGACCTCGCACAGGGTGTTTTTTTGTGATTAATCTCATGTAACAAGGTAAAAAGCTGACATAAATCACATTAAATTTGTGTTTTTTTTCCCCCATCATTAGTGCTGTGGTTAAAAACTACACTGTCCCTGTTGGATCTTCCTCTCTGCTGCTCGCTGGTTTGACTCCCGGCGCCCTTTATAAGCTACAGGCCGCTACCGTCAGCGGAGGGCTTCAGTCTAAATCTGTCAGTCTGGATGGACGAACCAGTGAGTAAATCTCTCTCAATTTAAGTGTTTATACCTGTTTGTGTTGTAAAATTAAGTTGGATATTAAGGAAACGTTTTTTTTCTTAAAGGAAACTATTATCCTAGCCTCGCACCCACCATGTCAAGGGTCAGTTTCGACCGTGTTTTAAATCAGCTGTAAGTTACACTAAAAATAATTCTCCATTCATCCAATCATCCAATTTGGTTCTCATCTCTAGGTTACCTTGTTAGGCTTCATTATCCATGAAAATATTCTTCTCTTTCAGAAAAAATACAACTTAAGATGTAAAAATACTTTTTGTTTCAAAGTCTTTAAGCCATTTTTGTGTGAAGTTTGAACTCAACCTGCTTCACTTTGTCGCTGCGGGCGGGAATTTTCCAAGTTTGTTCTCAGCACGACTTTGACGGTAGTTTTTGTTTACAGGGTCAAAGATGTCAGCGGTTATGTAACACAGTTTAATTGTTTGATCCGTGAGACTATGAAGGGACAATATTCCTGCTTCCTGTCCAACACATCCAGATTATGTTTACAGAGACATTCAGAGACTTTCTCAAACAGGGGAAAGTTACCAGTTTATAAAGACGTCAGCAGAGTGAATTACTGATCAATCATCAACTATACAGGCGTGTTTTTAGTATTCAATTGTTTATTGATCAAGATTTCTTCACCTTAAAATTTCAGAGATAGGTTTTAGGATGAGTAATTATTTATTATATTTTTTTAACACTAAGGACATTTTGTTTATCACGCTGATTTAATCCCAATTTGTCATTTAGAAATGAAGCCAAGGTAGAAAATTAAAGGTACGTGTTTAAAGGTCTTGAGGCTAAAATAAATGTGTGTGTGTGGGTGTGTGTGTGTGTGTGTGTGAATAGGAGTGCATTATATGATAACATTTTTTAGAACAATAGCTCAAATACCAAAAAGAAGGTCTGGAATGAAAACACATCGACACTCCCAGTTCTCTACTCAAAGGCTTCCTGTACACTTATACACACACACACACACACAAATACACGTATATTATACACACACACATACTTCCTGCTTTAAGCACCTATTGTGCTGCTGAAAAATGTCCCGGTTATTTTCGGCCCGTGCTGTGTTTATGTCCTTAACCTGCCAGCCAATCAGCACTCATCAGATCGCAAGATCTAATAACAAGCTCCGCCCCCAACCTCCTTAAATAACCTCTTAACTGGGCGACAAACATTCATATGTCGCACAGTACGGCATAGCAGTCAAAAAGATACTCTCAGATCACATTTCAGTATTCACAACTGAATTAACTGCAATACTTGTAGCCTTACAGTGGGTACAAGAAAATAAAGAAAGGAAAAATGTTATAATTACCTCAGACAGTCTTTCTGCGCTGGAAAGTCGTTATGCAGACAGGACGTTGTCTATGACATATTAAAACATCTTACAAGGACAAGATATCTCTTTCCTTTGGATCTCTGCTCATGTAGGAGTCAAAGGGAATGAAAAAAGTTGACTTGTTGGAAAAAACTGCAATGAAATCACAGGACATAGACAAAGTAGTAACACTTTATTAAGAATCACACTTTAAAAATATGGCAAGAAAACTGGAATATAGCTGACACAGGAAGACATCTGTACAAAATCCCAAAACATGTTGGCAGAATAGCTACGCAGAGCAGAAGCACAAAGGAAGAGACGGTATTTACCCGTCTAAGAATTGGGCACACAGGACTCAATCAGAGCCTGTATTTGACTTTGTGATGACTGTAAGACAGCAGAAACAGTAAAAAATGTACTTATTGATTGTGTTAAACACACACACAGAAAAGGCAACAGGTTAGTCACCAATTTGAGAAAGAAAATCTGGATCTCACTGGAGAGAATTTATTAAAGTTAGCATCTGAAAAAAGTATTCAAGGCATTAATGAAGTATTTGAGAGAGACTGGCTTATTGTACAGAGTTTAACTTTGGAGCTTAGTGAGTATATATATGTAGAGGCATATATCTTTCTTCTTAAAGGTGGGGTAGGCAGGAATCTGTTAAAGAAGCATCTATTTTTGTGGTGTATATACAAAAAATCCTAATAAGAAATAACTTTTAATTGGCCAACTTTCCAAACATCCCAGTTCTTCAGACTATCTCTGGAAATTTCCTGTTCCTAAAATTAGCAAAAAAGTAAAGTAACCCTATCAGCAGCACCAAACTTGCTGCAAATGAAAACAAGAATCGTTGTCACTAGTTTTCACTTTTCTAAAATGACCATCTTCCTCTTCTTTTCAGCCCCAGCGTCGGTCTCTGAGGTGACTGCTGCCAATGGCGGCAGGTCCGACGCTCTGCAGGTGTCATGGCGCCCAGCGGTGGGCGAGGTGGACAGCTACCTGGTGCGTCTTCAAGATGGTAGTCGAACCGTCCACACGCTTGCTGTGTCCCGCTCCTCGCCGCCTGAGTGCTCCTTCAGCTCACTGGTCGCCGGGAGACTGTACTCGGTAGTCATAGTAACACGGAGTGGCAGCCTGGAGAATACAACCATCGTTCAAGCTCGGACCCGTAAGATGAACTTACATGTTTCATCTACTTTTCTACATGTTTCATAGAATCAACCTCTGAGTTAATTTTGTCTATTTTTTCATGGATTTGTGTTGCAGAACCTGCGACTGTACAAAACCCGACAGCTATTCACTCTGCGAGAGACGACTTCCTCAAGGTTTGTTTGATGTTTCAACTGTTTAAAAACTCTGATTTTAAAAGTTTAGCGTTAACTTTTTTCAAATTAGTCTAACGCACGTTTTCTCACAGGGGTTTTATATAATATCTTTGACATTTACTCAAAATTTCAACTTTAAAAATGTCGATAAAAAATATTTTGTTTTCTTTGAAGCAACTTTTGTAGTTTTTCTTTCTTATATTGACATGCATTTCTTTCCAAAAGTTTTACGTAAAGTTTTAACAAAGTTTGGATCATCAACTATAAACTCTGAGTATTGGTAATATTTAATATTAAAAGTGTGTTTTGTTCAGGTGTACTGGCGTCACGCTGCAGGAGATATGGACCGCTACGTAGTTCTGATTCGTTACAACAACAGCGCTCTGCAGAATAAGAGCGTCTCAGCAGGACACAACGAGTGCGTCTTCTCATCTCTGACACCGGGGAGACTTTACACTGTTACCGTGGAAACCTGGAGCGGAGACTACGTCAGCAGCGTCTCCACTGATGGACGCACCTGTGAGTCGGAAACCAGAAGAAAAAAGTTCGATATGTTAGAATTTCGTCAATAATAATCTATGTATTTTTTCATAACAGTTCCAGCAGCTGTTAGAAACCTGTCGCTGAGCAATGCGGGAACAGGTGATCTGACCGTCACCTGGAGCCCCGCCCCTGGAGATGTGGACCACTATGAGGTGTGTTTGCACTTCTGGAGAATTAAGTTGGTTACATTTTAGAGAATGAAATGGTTGAAACTTTGGGTTGAGGACTTTAATGTGAGTAAAACCGCTCATTCCAGGTGACTCTGCTCTTCAACGACACTCGGGTTTTCCCTCCGGTCACGCTGAGCAGCGATGTGCGACATCATCAGCTCACCTCTCTGAACTCAGGGAGACTTTATAAGATCGTGGTGTCAACATTCAGTGGGCCTTACCAGAGAGCGCAGTTTATTGAAGGACGAACAGGTAAGACAGTCACGATGTTTTCGACATCTTTATTTTAAACACCTTGACGCTGGTTTTCCTGAACAAAGACTCTGCTCTTCAGTCCCCAGTACGGTTGGGAACCTCCGCCTGACTCCTCGACCAGGTGGGCTGTTGGTCACCTGGACGCCTGGAGGAGGAGACCTGGACATGTATATTGTCTCTTTGTCCACCACGGTGAGTCCAGCTGCAGAAATCCAACAATGAAACTAACGCAAAAGTGGAAAAATTGCAAATGAAAAGGGGCCTAGAATTGACCCTTGTGGGACACCCAAAATACAATATTGGCCTATTGATAGATAGTGATGGGCACGACAGTTCTTTTAGATTTACTGAATCACTAGAATCAGTTCACCAAAAAGATTCGTTCAAAAGATTCGTTCACCAAATCACCGAATCATTCAGCGCTTGGCAGGAGGAACCTGCGACTCCAACTGCTTGAACTGATACACAGCTGAACGGTTCAGGATTCAGTTCAGTTCTCTGCTTGTGGGACCAGAAAGCTCCATGCATGAAGAAACAAACGAATCACTTAATGAAGTGATTTGGTTCAGTACATTCATTTAAAAGATTCAGTTCTTTTGAACGAATCGTTTGCGAACTACACAACACTATTGATAGATATTAAAACTGTATGAAAAGTTGGGTAAATGGGTGGGAAATACAACATACAAATTGATAAATGTTTTAAGTATCCCTTTATCACTTTCTGTCTCCAGGATGGTGCCGTAGTTGAAACTCGGCCCGTCCCCAAATATGTCTCCTCCTTGGACTTCCTGGATCTGATCCCAGGAAATGCCTACACCATCACCGTCGAATCATTAAGCGGGAAACTGACCAATAGCAACAAAGCCACTGGAAGAACAGGTTTGAACCTGAACGAAGTGTCACTAATTAGTAGAAGATTTGAAAGTGGTGTTAATGATAATAATAATAACAGTTTTTGTGTCTGCGACCTCCAGCTCCGGCGAGTGTCACCGCCCTGCAGGCCGATAACGACCACACCACCCACAGCCTCACCGTCAGCTGGGAGAGGCCGGTGGGCGTGTACGACGGCTACAGTCTGCAGCTACTGGACGAGGCCGGCGTCGTTCAAGCCAACCGATCGATCTCTGCGGAGGCGCGGAGCGAGCGCCTGGAGGGTCTGACGTCTGGGAGGTGGTACAAAGTGAGGATGGTGACGCTCAGCGGGGGGGTGTCATCAGAGGAGGCCGACGCAGAGGGTCAAACCCGTGAGTTTTTAAATCACTGTGAATCAGTGGTCATGTAGTAACTCTTTTCATTAATATAATAATAATACAACACATGACATGATACCGTACAGTATAATAAAGTTTGACCACCGTCTGTCTCTGGGTGTTTCAGGTCCGTCTGCTGTCAGTAATCTCACCGTCACCTCCCTCAACACCTCCTCTCTCTCCTTCACGTGGAAACCCTCTGAAGGCCACGTCGACATCTACGACCTCTCGCTCTATAGTATCTCCGAGGCAACAACCAATCACAGACAGGACGCTGCAGGGGGCAGAAAGGAGCTTCACCAGGTGTGACGACACAAGATGAATCCAGTCAAAGAAAACTATCAATTTGCACATGATGAATTACATTTAGCAGTACAGCTCTGTTTGTGCATTCTTCCTGAATGAAATAAACTGTATGTGATCTGCAGGTTTTGGGGGAGCTGGTCGACCTGCAGAAAGTGGGTCCGACTGCAGACAGCTGTGTGTTCTCCGGACTGAAAGCAGGAAGTCTCTACAGACTGCAGGTGGTGAGCTGGAGCCGAGGCATGAACAGCGACTCGTCTGTACTCGCCCGAACCGGTCAGTCTACACTTTGATATGATGTTGTTTGTTTTAGATTTTTGCCATCTTTGAATCTTTTTTAAGTTGTCTCTCCTCCCCACACACATTTTTCTCCTCATTTATCATCTTTTTTAAAATGGTGTTCATTGTGTGCCCCCTTCCTTTCCTGCACCATGTTTGTTTTATCACCGAAATAATTTAATTTTTATTTATTTTCTATTTTCTGCATTTCTTTGCATTTTTGTCCTCTTTCTCTTTGACATCTCATGCAATAATTTTCATTTCTGCAGTCCCGTCTACGGTGAAGTCCCTTCGTGTTCGGAGTTCAGAGCTAACAGACCGACTGACTGTTACCTGGAAGCACGGCGAGGGAAGCAGGAGCAGTTATCAAGTAGGTTAAATGTCTGTTTTTACGATAACCATATAAAAGTCTACCTGAGATACTTTTAAACAAATATTTCAGTGCAAAAGTGCTGAAGTTATTGAACCCTATCAGAAACAAAAACCTGATCTGCTCCTAACCTTCTAAAATGTAATCTCTACAGTGATCTTGAATCAGATTCTCCTCCCAGAATCAAACTTAAACCTCTTCCTGTTGTTTGTTTCTTTGTGTTTTCAGGTGAATTTGTACGACGCCTCAGGATCCTCTCTGGGAGCTCAGACGCTGGGGGCGGATCACATAAGTCATGTGTTCTCTGGGCTGGTTCCTGGTAGGCTGTACCGAGCTGAGGTCATCACACACAGCGGGGAACTGGCCAATAATGTCTCAGCGCTTGGACGACCATGTAAGAGAAGTTAAAACCAAAAGTTAAGTAGAAAAAGAGAATTAGTTACTGTTTTTGTTCACTGTTTATTTTCCTCTCAGCTCCAGAACCACCGACCCACCTGTCCGTCAAACAGGGCCCGACCAATGACAGCATAGAGTTGTCCTGGTCCGGTCCGGCCCGCGGGGACTACCACAGCTTCAACCTGCAGTGGACTCCTCCGGACCAGCTGTCAATCACACAGACTCAACTAACGAGCCGCATTGTGGGCGGGATGTTTCCAGGGCGACTGTACAACTTCACCGTGGAGACCATCAGCGGGGGCGGAGCCAGGGGGTGGCCTACAGCCAAGAGTCAGCCAATCCAGAGGAACGTGAGGACAAGTGGGTAGAATCAAGTCTCTAAAGAAAGATGATTTTAAGTCTCGAAGTTTAAGTTTCAGAAACAGAAAAAGATGAGATATAAATATTCACTAAAATGAATGTTGGGCTTTAAATTAGTGTGGTATTCAAATATAAAATATTTCATGATTTATTTTCTATGACAAATAGACATTGTCAAAAAAAATATATAAATGCTATAAAACAAATTCTATGTTGAAATTCCCTCATAAATTACATTTGTTGCACTTTTCACTGTAACCACTAGATGGCAGCATAATAAAGGTCCTGCATGTGAAAGTAGAGCACAATCCAACGCACAGCACTCACTTTCTGTTTATCTTTGGGTTTTTGGCTGCAAGGATCAAATCTGACAGCCAGGAAAAGAGGAAAAAAATGACACACTTTAATCAAAGTTTGTTTATTTCTGTATTCATGAAGTGACCTGGTTTCTTTTTTATTTTTATTTCTATCAACCAAGGGCAACTGAAGAGGGGGTTCAGGATCAGCCAGATAGAGAATAATGACTTTTTACATGAAATTATGATTAATAACAACAACAATAAAAAAAATAAATCAATAAAAATAAAAAATAGAAAAGTTATAAAAAGTCCTTTCTGGTTTGTTTAAAAAGCAGAAGTTCACTTAAATAAAACTGTTGTTTAGAAAGCTAAAATAAAAAAAAATAATAAGTCCAAGTCATAAATGCAACTTAATGAAGTTGTAGGAGGTGGACTTTATTTTCCAAGTTAAGTGTTTTTTTTTTTTGTCTGTTAATTTTCTGATTTATTTAAATTACAGACTGGTCCTTTAAGAGTTAGATGTTATAGAAAAAAAACTTGTTCAAACTTTTATTTTCTTCTTTTAGTAGCATTTGTCTATAGTTTGGATTGTAGAATAACACAATAATCACAAGTAACAGCAAAAACTGTGTTAGAAGCGGCAGAAAAGTGTTTTTTTTTTTAAAGGTAACCTTCGCTTCGTTTTTAGCGCCTAAAGTCCTGAAAGGTTTTTATTTTTTAGTAAAAGTGACAGAAGATTAATTAGGTTTTACCATCAGCTCAGTGCGAGCCAGAAGAAGATAAATACGTCCTCTTTCACCTTTCTTTCTATCTTCTCGCACATTAATCATCCCTTTTAAGAAACGCTTTTATCGTCTCATCGCAACAAATAAACCTAACCTTTAAGAAAAGACTCGGGTTTATTATCGGCTCATACAATACAGAGAAGGAGGGAAATGATCAAGAAAACACATGAGAACAAAAGTATGTTTACAAAGAGGTCAGAGGAGAAAATGAACTGATAACTCACCTTTTCTCCTCCTCCCTTATCTCCTTTCCTACTCCCTACCAATCCTCTTTTTTTATGCCTGACCTTTCCTCTCCTCCTCCTCTTCATTACCATCTTCTCTCCTCTTTACTTTGAACATGACCTTTCTCTTTAACTTTACTTTTTCATTTTCTTTAACCGCTCTCTGCATCACTGTTTCAATATTTACTCCTCCTCCACTTTTATTCCTCCTTTTCTTCACTTAAACTTAACTTTAACCTAACTCCTCTCCTGCCTACCCTCCTTTCTTTCTCTCCTTGCTCTTCTTCTTCCCTTGTCTTCACCTCTTTTCTCTGTATCCTCCTTTTCCCTCCTTTCTCCTTGCAGGTCCATCTCCTCTCAGGTCCATCCACTGCTTCCCGGTCTCCTCCTCCTCCCTCTCCTGCTCCTGGTCGCCTCCATCCTCCGATTTCGATGCCTACGAGGTTGAGTGCCGGCGCCACGATGACGGGGAGCTGATCTCTGCCCTGAAGCTGGCTGGTGGCGTCACTGCGGTAACGCTGGGTGACCTGGAGGCATACAGGAAGTACTCTGTAACTGTCAGAGTGTCGTCGGCCGGGCAGACGAGTCTACCTGCGACACACACGACCGTCACCATGATAGACCGTGAGTTCACACACATGCACACAATCCCTCAGGTGATGTAGTTGACTCTGGTGTTTAAATAGGACGACTCACATGGGAGACACATAGAGACGCAGAGAGAGCAGAGCTGGGTTTATTTATACGTTTATAATAATTAATTTGTCATTTCAAATAAAAATAATCAAATCACAAAATCCACTTGAAGAAAGAAGCTGTTGCAGTTTGATGCAGCAGAAGGTTGTGGGTCAGGAGAGAAAAAAACTGTAAAATATTAAAAAAGTTACTCTGCTCCTGGATTTAGCTTAACTTGACAAACTCTACTATTATCGAACAATGGGAGAAACTTCGGTAGCAGGTGTTAGCGACTCCTGGCACTGAAATAAACCAAAAGAGGAACAGTTTTCCTCTCAGTTTACAGAAGCAAAAACAGCCCTCAATAAGAGACACTTTCTCTCACTGTGTCACTTTTAGCTCTTTCTTACTCTAGATAGTCGCTTTGACCCAAAATCCTCACAAACTTCCATCTTCACAACCCAATTTTCCCTTTTTTTTTTTTTTTTTTTACCCCCACAATCTCTGCCTTCCTTTCTCCAGCTGTGTTTGGCTATAAATCATCCTGACACAACTAGACTGTGAGACTGAATTAAAGCGAACTAGAGAAAGAGGGGAAAGGCTGCTGACAGAATAATACATAAATAAATAGATATATAAGTAAATAAATATCTAATTGAATAAAACATTTAATATAGATAAAAAACAAAAAAATAAATGAAAAAAATAGATTTTTATATATAATGTCAAAAAAAAGGTGAAAAGATGATAACAGAGACAGTAAAAAAAAATTTAAGAGGTTTTTATTGAAGTTAATTTTTTAACATGTATACAGAACAAAAAAAAGCAAATAAAATCTTAAAAAAATAAAATAAAACACTAATTTTACTGAAGCATATATTGCATGTATTGTATCAGAATAATTAATTTTTATATATATTTTTTTTTTTAATCAAATGAGATAACTATTTCATTAATACCAGAGAGAAAAATCTAATTTTTCTAAATTAATGATATAATTATTTTGTTAATTTAGAGAAACAAACTATTCACAATAAACATAATACGGTTTTACATTCACATAAGAATTAAAAAAAAAATCACTCTGTTACTCTGAATTTTAAGAAAATTATTGTAAAAATTTTTGGACACTTATCTCATCAGTTGGACAGAAATTTTTAATCCCAAAAAAATCTCTTATTTTGAAATCAGGGTTTTGTTAATTCTGAAAAAGAGAGAGTAATTTTTCCCCAAAGCAAATGCAATTTATTGGTATTCATTTTGCTGTTTTGTTTAATTTCTTTAATCGACATTTTGCTTGACCAATCCCGTTCCTTTCAGGCCCTCCTCTCCCGCCCCCTGCCGTACGCGTCAGTGAGAAGTCATCGAAGGTCACGTCGTCCTCTATCTTGTTCCGCTTCAACTGCTCCTGGTTCAGTGACGCCAACGGAGCCGTCAGATACTTTGCTGTGATCGTCGCCGAGTCTGATGGTACAACAAAAAGTCATCCTGTTATCATGTTTACGATTCTTAAAAAAAGATCTTCACAAGTTTTCAAACCAAAAGAAAAACTATAAAAATACGTATTTTTCTCTTTTCTGAAAGCAAATGAGATGCTGCAGCCAGAGCAGCGCCACCCTCTGCCTTCGTACCGCGACTATATCAGTAACTCCTCCGTCAGAGCCTATCAGAGCGCCTACTTCCCCAGTCGCTGCCCGCAGGACTCTGAGGCCTCACCTGGACAGGTAACACTTCAGCATCAACATGACAACACCATTAGTTTTTTCCAGAATGATAAAAAGTGAATGAAGTTTGATTTATTTTTCGGATGTTGATATTACACTCATGTTCCTTCAGGTGATTGAGGTGAACTTGGGCGCAGGAGGCGATCGTCTGGGTGGGACTTGTGATCACTACCATGACGACGACCTCTACCTGAGCGACAGTTACGGGGGCTTCTGCGACGGGCCGCTGAAACCCAAAACCTCGTACAGGCTGAGCGTGCGAGCGTTCACTAAACTCCTCGACGAAAACCACCGAGAGTTTCCTGAGCCGCTGTTCACCGACACGTACCTGTCCTCGCCACTCAGGACACACTCAGGTGAGTCACACACCCTTTTCCTCAGAATAATCCAGATATAGATCCCTGTAAATAAAAATCAACAATACTATAGTGTTACTTTAACACTTTGTTGCCTTGAAAAAGATTTTAAAATAATATTTTATTTACGCTAATGTTTTGGAAACGCGGTATTTTATACTTACATAGAAGTACCACAAGATGGCGGTAGTTACAGTCCCTGAATTATCCACGGAAATGTTTCAAAATAAAAGTCTTGAACTGAAATGTTTGCAGGTGCTTAATTTTAATCAGATACAGGAAGTTTAGATGGATGTAGTACAAAAATTTCAATCTCCACTGTGTGTTTGTGTGTGTCAGAGCCTCTAGGGGGCGTCGTCGAGGGTTTGAGCGCCGGGATGTTCCTGATCGGGATGATGGTGGCTGTCGTCTCATTGCTGGTTTACAGACAGAGGCTCCGCAAAGTGTGAGTGCACAAAAACAAACACTTAATCAGGACTTTAAAGATCCCATAAAACTATAAAACAGGAACTAATTTATCACAGCTGCAAACTGAAACTGTTGAAGCTTTTTAAACATCACGACGGCTAATAGAAACTGAAGAAACTTCCAGCAGTTTGTTTGGAGCAAACATTTTCTCATGTGTTAATTAGTGTGTATCTGTGTGCTTGTGTGTGTGTGTATGCATGTGTGCATGTTGTGTGTGTGTGTGTGTGTGTTTGCAGGGCTGTCCAGGAAAACCCGGTGGTGAGGATGAGTATGTGGAAGGAGGTTCCATCTTCAGGACTGTACGTGGGTGTCAGGAGGTAAGACCTGTGCATGTGTGCGCATGTGTGTGTGCATGTGTGTGTGAGTGTGTGTGTGTGTTCTGTATAATTGTTTATCTTCAGAGCGTGACAGAGAGAGAGATTAGATTCCAATACCTCCTCCGTCCAATATGTGAGTGTGTGAAGTATCAGTTTCCAATAAAACACTCTCTCCCTCTCTCTCTCTCTTTCTGATGCGCACATCGCTCACCCACCACACTCTGCAGAATCTGTTAATTACTGTGTGTGTGTGTGTGTGTGTGTGTGTGTGTGTGTGTGTGTGTGTGTGTGTGTGTGTGTGTGTGTGTATGTAATTTTGTGCTAGAGCAGGTATTTGTTTGTTGAGCGCTAATCACTTGCTGTTAGTTTGTGTTTCTTAAGTTACTTTTAGATCCACCCCTCATCAACTCTTTGATCTGCTCAGATACTAACAAAAACTGACCCTCGTTTTTTTCTCTCTTTTGCAGTAATCGGCGTGTCACCAGGTAAGATTGTTTCTTTTTTTGGTACTTTTTGTCCTTTTTATTTGATTTTTTTTTTAATATTTGTTACTCATTTCTATTTCTCTGTTTATTCAGTCCTATCAAAGCGTGCCACTTTGAGTCCCATCTGAGCAAACTGCAGGCCGACTCCAACTACTTGCTTTCTGAAGAGTTTGAGGTAAAAAGAAAATAAGAACAATGATTTATTAGCACATTCAGGTAAAGAGGGGACATAATGCTATTTGTTGGCGTATTATTTTGTCCCTTTGACAGCAACTTTATATGACTAATGGCTGTAAAGATTCTTTACAAATTTCAGGCTGTTGTCTTTGAAAACCCTATTTTTTTAGGCTAAATCAAGAAACAATTAATTTAAGCTACCGTCTCTTTAAGGCCATCCTAACATTCCAGAATCAGGCCAAGCATTCTAGAACCTAGTTTCCCAAAACAGAGCGTTCTAGAAACCAGCATTCCAGATCACAGCATTCTAGAACCCTAAATTCTAGAACCCAGCATTCTAGAACCTTGTTTCCCCAAAACAGAGCATTCTAGAAACCAGCATTCTAGAATCCAGCATCCAAAACCCAGCATTAAAGAAGATAGCATTATAGAACCCAACTCTGCGGAACCCAGTTTTCTAGAACCCTGCATTCTAGGATCTAGCATTCTAAAACAAAACAATCCTGGACCTTGAATTCAAGAACCCAACCCTCAGAAATAAAGCATTCCAAAACCCATGCATTTTAGACCTGATTAAAAATATACAGTACTTTTAATACACGGTTCATCAATGTTGCATCTTAATTTTTTTTTTTTTTTTGCATTTAGAAAACTGGGAAATTATTGACTTAAACATTTAATGCCCCATGACACGAATACTACTGTAGTTCCTCTAGTAAAAGCAGAATGATTAAGATGCTAACTAAGCAGCATAACACGTTTTTATAACATTTATTTAGCAAAATGAACAACAAAGTTGTAATTTTTGACATCATGTTCTTTTAAAAAGTTTTATTTTAATTGTTTTAACTTGTAATTGTCTTTAGTGGTAACACACATGTACCACAAGGTGGCAGCATCATAAATAAATCCGCTCCTGAGTTACGTCTTCTACATAATCGGATTCTGTTTGTGCAATGTTATCATGCTTTTGTGAGAGTGACTTTATCCTCTGGTGATTTTAGGATCTGAAAGATGTTGGACGCAACCAAACTATGGACGTCGCCCGAGTGCCAGAGAATCGAGGAAAGAATCGCTACAACAACATCCTACCATGTAAGTCCAGAAAGCAACTGTCGGGCAGTCAGATCTGACAGATCAGGTTAATCCCTTAGAATAAGATTAGATAACCCAGGTTTGTTCTGTTGTATTACTAAAACTTCTTCTTGACTATTCATATAATCCTAAATTTGTCATTTGGTGCCCTGTGGACAAAGTATGCAGCATAAAAAATCATAGCGAGCCTCAAATTTAGATTTTGTCATCTTCAAAGTCATGCATCTAGTTCAATCCAGGTACTTTTTGATAAAAAAGAGAAACTGGGACTCAAGTGAGCTGGATTTCCTGATCCTGGACATCAAAATGGGGAACTTTAAAACTTTTATTAAAGAAATAACTTGAGTTGAACATTGTTGCACGGATGGAAAAAGAAAAATTGAAACCAGAATCAGAGTTTGCACTGTAAAAGTTTCAGAAAGCCTCGGGCTACAGGATCCTTTAGCGGGAGAAATAAATAGATCAATGTGAAAATCATTATCATGACGACATCATTAAGAGCTTTAATTAAAGAGACAGCTCTTGTTCCCATGGCGACAGTGATGTAGAAGCGTGAGGGTCGAGGCTCCAGGTAATAAAAACATTAATAACTGCTCGACTTAACATGCAGAGGATGGTCAGAGCTGCAGCAGATCATGTACTGCATCATGTAGAGTTGTTTTGTTTTCAACCTAAACTCTGTGCTTCATTAACTTTATCGCACATTAAAAACATGCTCCATCTATTCCTCTATTTTTACGTCCTTCATTAGTTCACACTGTCAGTTTAATTATACCTTCATGATCAGACACACAGTGACTGATGGTGCGTTTTAAAACCACATTAGGAGTTTGCAGCTCACAGCAGAGAGCGTGTGTTTTGTTCTGTTGATTACGTGTCAGAATCAGAGTTAAAATAACATCATTAAGTTTCGGTCATGTGTTGCTGCAGCCGAACAGAGGATGTGATTTGTGAACAGAGGTGACGTGTTTACAACAGCAGCAGCTCTAATTACACACTCGTAGTAAAATGAATCATTTTTTTACTTGTAATGTGAAAGAGTTCAGCTGTGACTCATGAACCAGAGTCATTTAACATTTTTATTCATATTCTCACCCCGTAATAAAAGCCGGTAGAGCTTGGTGCCATTCAAAGAGAAAAAAATAAGCCTTGTGTGAATGTTCGAGCTGCAGGAGACGTGTCGATTTATTAAAAAGTGTTTCAGCTACTTCAGTTATTATTAGCGATATTTGAAGGTATTTTGGTCCTGTGGATTTTATGTGATCATAAGTGGAGTATCTTTGGGAAAATGCAGTCTGAAGCTTTGCAAAAATGTGAATACGAATTGGGATTCGATGACACAGCATTAGAGCCACGAAAGACCTTAGGACTTAAGTCATTATGAAAGAATAAAACTCAGAGGTTTAAAATTAAAGTTGTTTTATAACCAGGATAAAAGTTTCTTTTTATATTTATGTAAGTATCCTGAGTTAAAAGCTACACTGAGATAGCAGACTTTTGCTTTACTTTAATTCATATCATTAATTTCAATATTTTAATTGTCTATAGCCCCGTTTATATGGGTAATTTTCCTCAATCTGATTGAAATCAATCGGATTAAGTGAATCTGATTCCATCTGTATACATGAACTTTAAGTAAAGAGATCCACGTTCAGTCCGCGTTTGCATGGCCCCAGCTGAATCCAATTGTATTGTTTTTTTTACATGCGCAGAAGGTCACTCTGCCACTACATGCAAATGTGTAAGAGAAGAAGAGGTGCACTTCCTGCTTCCTGTTTACCTGTAGAAAGATGGATCAGCGTCGTGTTTTGTTGGGGACGGGTATTGTGTTGTGGTTACATTTATTTGCGGTACAAGTTTGTCTCCCCCACCGTCCAGTTTTTCTGTTTGTTCACCATGTTTGTTTTTGTTTGGGCGCGCTCGAACAAGCCTCTCTGTGAACCCAATCTGCGCCACTCAGCCGTATATATGGAGCATGGAGCAGATTATCAATAGATGTAGACTACCTCTTATAATCCGACCCGAAATACAATCAGATCCGAGTGAATCAGATTGGCTAAGGTGTTTATATGAGACATTTTGAATCTGATTGACCTTTCAATCTGATTGTAAATAGGATTTTTGGACCCATTTAAACAGGGCTTATGATATATGATTAAAAAATGTCAATAGGATAAGATTTGTGGTTTAAAAACACAACTTTTAAGTGTATAGGATGAAATTAGCAAAGATAGAAGAAGTACTTGTTTTGTCCACAGGGGGTGCCAAACTCCACTCACACAAAGTTCCTCACAAGAGCTTTAAAGTTGTGTTGTTTTCTTCCAGATGATTCCACCCGAGTGAAGCTGTCGTACCTGGAGGACGACCCCTGCTCGGACTACATCAACGCCAGCTACATGCCTGTAAGAGCGCTCATAAAAACACACTTAAATACACACTTAAAAACACTCTTAAAGGAAACTCACACACCATGGTACGTGTGTGCAGGGTAATAACTACCGCAGGGAGTACATCGCCACTCAGGGCCCGCTGCCCGGGACTAAAGACGATTTCTGGCGAATGGTGTGGGAGCACGGCGTCCATAATGTTGTCATGGTGACGCAATGTGTGGAGAAGGGACGGGTGAGTCAGTGGTGGTTTAAATTTAGGGTTTTAGTCAGGTGGGTAGGTAGATAAGTGTTCAAACGTTGTGTTTCTGTGCAACAGGTGAAGTGTGATCAGTACTGGCCTGCAGACAGAGAACCTCTGTACTACGGTGATCTGGTCATTCAGATGCTGTCCGAGTCCGTCCTGCCGGAGTGGACCATCAGAGAGTTCAAGATCACATCGGTACCTTTTCCATTCCTCTAACTCTGCATCCTGAAACTCTAAATTGGATCAAAACTCAGATTGTACATCTAATAATTTCTAAATCCCGACAGGAGAGCGGCTGCACTTATCCTCGGGTGCTGCGACACTTCCACTACACTGTGTGGCCTGACCATGGAGTCCCAGAGAGCACACAGTCCCTGATCCAGTTTGTCAGGACTGTTCGGGACTACGTGGACAGATCCCCGAGCACTGGAGCCACCGTAGTGCACTGCAGGTATGACAAGGGGCAAACCTGATTATGTTCAGTTTTAACAGACGTCCTGCAGAGTTACTTGATCATGTTGGAGCTTCCAAATTTCCTCATTCCATCAGAAACGATTCACAAATCAACTTTTTTTCTTATAATTTCAGTGATTTGTTCGAGAAGTTTTTCAGCCCACTGTATATAAATCTCACAGCTGATTTTGTGTGTTTTTTTTAGTGCTGGTGTGGGCCGTACAGGGACGTTTATCGCCTTGGATCGGGTTCTGCAGCAGCTGGACTCTAAAGGAACCATCGACCTTTACAGCTGTGTGTTTGACCTCCGCCTGCACCGCCAACACATGGTCCAGACTGAGGTACGCGCTCCATTAAAAGGCTAAAATGAAAGGCTCTGACCCTCATACGAATGTCCATCGATTAAAGGACCAAAACATTTCCACAAAAGCAGTAAATAATGGATCTAGTTAAGTCAGAATACCTGGAAAATAAGACTGAGCCAGTGTTGGAAAACCATTTAATACAGGGCCCAAAATTGACTAAAAGACAAATACTCAACCATCCTAAACTAAAGGTACAAATCAATGTTAAAACACCAGAAAATGTAAGACCAAATACAGGGTTGAGCCAGAGCTAAAAGACCAGTAAATAAAGATCTTATAGGAGTTAAATATCAGAAAATTGGTAACTTAATTCATGCTAGAAGACCACTAAATACAGGACCAACAAATCCAGGATGTTTTCACCGGATGAAGGATCAAACTAGTACTATTCTTAAAATCTGGTGAACATAAGATCTGATCAGGGCCTTAATATCAGGGAATTTACAACTGATCTTGGGCAAATAGATCACTATATTAAGACACAGTTGGGGCTATAACACCAGACCTCAATACCCCCAAATATTGGAACTGACTGGTGCTTAAAGTTGAGCATATATTACTAAAAAATCAGAACATTGGAGATTAAAAAAGCTCCAAAACAAAAAAATGGTCTGTATCAGGGTGTTTATTGTTTTTTGACCTTATGTCTTCATGTGTTTATGTTGCAGTGCCAGTATGCCTTCCTGCATCAATGTGTTCGAGACGTCCTGAGAGCCAGAAAACATCGCGGTGAACAGGAAAACCCTCTATACCCCATCTACGAAAACTTCAATCCTGAGTACTGCCGTGGTAAGACTAATGTGAAAAAATTATTTATAACACCAGAACTCAACAGACTGTGACTCTACTGCTCAGATTCAGCAGCTGAAACTCGTCCAGTTTATCACTGGCACAGAGTTTTTACAAATGTATTTTAAGACTTAACACTCCAAATTCTTTTCTTCTATTTTCTTCTTCTTTTCTATATATCTGTACTTATGTATACATATATGTATATTCAGCTTTTGATTAAAGTTGCCTTGTTTTGTCTGTTTTTCTCTCCTCAGATTTCATCTACACTGGGCGCTAAAATGAGGCGAAATTCAACAATCAAGAGAGAAGAAATGTTTCTAAATATGAGAAATCTGATATTCTGGCACCACATGTGACAAAACAAGGAACAATCAACATGTTATGAAAGTTCAGAAAAACTATTAAATGGTTTTAGAGATTCCTGGGTTAAGGCTAACTCCCAAAAATTCTTTGAACTATTTCTTTCCCATGTTTGAGAGCGAGCAAAGCGCATACTCAAATCAACGTCAAATTTTAAACATGACAAAGCTCCCTTTATGGACTTTGACCCAATTGAAATTGGTATTTTATTTCTATTATTATTTCTAATGAAACCCTGTAAAACGGAATTTTAAAACCTTTGTTTAACATGTTGCGATAAAATGTGTTTAAGGATGGAGTTTGGAGGGTAAAAGGGTTGATCTCAGGTTGTTGGTGGTTTTTAAAGACATGAGCTCAAGTGTGTTAGCTAGCAATGATAGCACACCTGCTAACCTCAACAATATATAAATAAGTTACAGGTAGGAGAAGAGCCATCATCTGTTTGTCAATTTTTTACTGTCTGTTTTCACTCACTGCTCATATAAGCTGTTTATTTAAAATGTTACACACATTGCTGTATGTAAATATTGATGTAATACTCCTTTTTAAAACATAATAATGCAGTTAGTCTGTTTATCAACTGTTTTGTAATATTGATTTTCTATAGCGATGTTAAGCTGCTGTATCTAGACTTTAGATATAACCTGCTTTTAAATTTGCATACCAGACTTTGTTTTATACATTAAGTTGTTGATAAATAATCTTAGAATATATTAGAAAAGTCTGAAGAGGAGCTCCATTTTATTTTCTATTCAACATATTAAGTGTCTTTGTCTAAATCTGAAATATTTTTATGATAGTCGAGGTGTCTGTTCTCAACCTGAATTATGTGAAATATTTAAAAGAGAACTTGATTATTAATAAATGTATATGATACAGCTTCTGTTATTTCTGATTCACATAACTGCTAAAAGCTTTTGTAATGGTTGATATTTGTGACTGCCTTTGATTGTTGTAGGTCATTTACTATGAAAAGATAAAACATGAAAACATATATAAGATTGAAAAAAAGAGTCATAGTATATCATGATAAATATGTAATAGTGTAGTACATCTAAAATATCATATTTTAGTATGAAAAAAAAAGTCATAGTATTGTATGACAAAAAATGTCATAGTATATTGTGTTAAAAATTTCATATTTTAGTATGAAAAAATATCATTGTATCGTATAATAAAAAATGCCATAGTATAGTAAGATGAAAAATGTCATAGTATGGCATGATGAATATGCCATAGTATAGTATGACAAAAACTTCATAGTAGAGTATGTTAAAATTTTCATATTTTAGTATGAAAAAAAATTCATAGTATTGTATGATAAAAAAATGTCATAGTATAGTATGACATAAATGTCATAGTATAGAGTGTCAAAAATTTCATATTTAAGTATGAAAAAATTATCATAGTATTGTATGATTAAAAAGTGTCAAAGTATAGTATGATAAAAATGTCATAGTATGGCATGATGAATATGTCAAAGTATAGTATGATAAAAAATGTCATAGTATAATGTGTTAAAAATTTCATATTTTAGTATGAAAAAAGTGTCAAAGTATAGTATAATAAAAAAATGCCATAGTAAAGGATGACAAAATGCCATAGTAAAGTAAGACAAAAATGCCATAGTATAGTATGACAAAAATGTCATAGTATAGTATGTCGGAAATTTCATGTTTGTATGAAAAAAGTGTGATAGTATAGTATGATAAAAAATGCCATAGTATAGTATGACAAAAACTTCATAGAAGAGTATGTTAAAATTTTCATATTTTAGTATGAAAAAAAATTCATAGTATTGTATGATAAAAAAATGTCATAGTATAGTATGACATAAATGTCATAGTATAGAGTGTCAAAAATTTCATATTTAAGTATGAAAAAAATATCATAGTATTGTATGATTAAAAAGTGTCAAAGTATTGTATGATAAAAATGTCAAAGTATAGTATGTTAAAAAAATTATGTATTTAAGTATGAAAAAAATGTCATAGTTAAGTATGATCAGAATGTTATAGTATAGTATGTTGTATGACAAAAACTTCATAGAAGAGTATGTTAAAATTTTCATATTTTAGTATGAAAAAAAATTCATAGTATTGTATGATAAAAAAATGTCATAGTATAATATGTGAGAAATTCCATGTTAGTATGAAAAAAGTGTCATTGTATAGTATGATGAAAAATGCCATAGTATAGTATGACAAAGATGTCATAGAATAGTATGATGTAAAATGCCTTAGTATGTGAAAAAATTTCATATTTTAGTACGGAAAAAATGTCATAGTATAGTATGATAAAAAAGTGTCACAGTAAAGTATGATGAAAAATGCTATAGTATAGGATGACAAAAATGTCACAGTATAGTATGTCAGAAATCCCATGTTAGTATGAAAAAAGTGTCATAGTATAGTATGATAAAAAATCAATGTGAGATAATTACCTGATATCTAAGCAAGCAAGGTAAATCAAGAAACACCACACAGTGCATGATTTTATCTTCAAACACCAGCTTCATTAGCCATTACACTGACCAGCTAATCAGCTGGAACGAACTCTTTGCTGCTTGGAAATGAACTTTTTTTGAAACAGGAGGCTTGTTCTCATTCTCATCAGCTCCCCTCTGCAGTAATGTATCACCTCCAGACGCCGGACAGGTCCCGTCTGTCTGCTTCTGTTTAATGGTGCTGCAGAAAATCTCTGAGCTGACCTTTTAAAACCTGGACTACCAGAGAGGCTGACATTTTACACATCTTCATTTTGTACTTTTTAAACTCACACAATACGGCAGAGACATTAAAAAAGATCATTAAGACCATGAGACAAAGACAGAGATAAAGATGGAGGAATAACTGTCTCCCCTTTTGCTCTTTAAAGGACTTCTTTGTTAAAAGCCAACAAAACCTGACATCCTAATAAAAAGAGTTCCTCTCAGACACACTCTTGACTTCGGCTCCAGAGCGCTGTAATTAGGATATATTGATTGTCAATAAAAACTTCTTGTGGTAATAAATTGCCGCAGTTCTGCTTCAGTGTGTCAGCTTTAAACTGTTGTATTGATTGAATGAAGAGACGCTCACATGATTTATCGTTGCTCTTACTCAAAGTCTAGGACAAAAGAGACACATTAGAGTCAGCTTTTACGTTTGTTACAAAGCGATTTGTCAGACGGTGAAACTAACACCAATTACAATTAGAGGAAAAAAAATGATACAGTAGTGTACAATATGACCCTGGTGGTTGTGCTTATTATGATACACCACACTTTGTTATTTATATCAGTATTCTAATAAACTATAATGTAAAAACTTCAGAAAACAAACAGTAGCAGCACATATATTCAACTGTTTCGATTCTCTTCTCTTCTATTTTCTTCCCCGACCCCTCAGATTTACGCAGCGACCCTTTTAGAGCCCTCGATGCCCAGCTTGAACCCCCCCTGCTGATGTCTGCACACTTGGAGACAGTTGAAGGTAGTCTGAGGTCCTTGTTTTCACTCTGACTGTCAGCACTGAAGGGAGCAGCTGATGCACCGCTCTCATTAGGTGGAGGTAGTGCTGATGGTGGTGTTGTTAATATTTATGGAGGGAGTGTGAAGTGTTGTCTAAACAGCAGAGGTGTTAATCGTCCGCAGAGGATCAGAGTCCGCAGCTTTCCGCTCTCACCCATGACTCTGCAAATGTTTGAGAAACAAGAGAGGTGAGGCTGATGGAGGAGGGAGAGAAAAACGGGAATAAGTAACAGGAAAATGAGACTGTTAAAAAGAATTATGAACAAATAAAAGCTCAGTTTTTGTTAAGTGTGCTGTAGGATGGCTTTAACTACCTACTATGTCTGCAATAATAAAACTTTATGTAATGGATTTCACAAAAACTTATAAAAAGAGATTTAAAGGATACTACAAAATGAAATAAATTGAAATACGAATGAAATAAGATCAAATAAACATAAGATAAAAAGAGGTTAATGAAATGAAATGAAATAAAAAATAAAGTATAAAAAATTAGATATAAAAAGCAAAATAAAGTACAATCATATTACAAAATGAAATACAAATCAGATAAATTGAAGTAAAAGAAATTAAATGAAATAAAAAAATAAAGTATAAAAAATTAAATATAAAATATTTCTTTCAACATGTAAACTATCATTTCTACTTCTATCATTTCTATAATCATTACAACTTTTTTGTAACATTAGAAATTTTATTTAAAAAAAAGGCTTTTTTTCTTAATAATTTCTTGCTTATTTATTTTCATAAAATTACAAGATTTTTTTTCTTCCAACATCTTCATTCTAATAGTGTTACAACTTTTTTTCTTGTAAAAATATATATATATATATATATATATATATATATATATATATATATATATATATATATATATATATATATATACATATATATTAATTTTTTAAAAACTAACTTTTTGCTTTTTTTCTGCTTTTTTGTTTTTCAATCTACTATGGTACAACTTTATGTGAAAAAAAAATAAATAAAAAACATTTTGGCAATATTTCAGTTTTTGTCCTTGTTCTTTTTTTTTTATAATAATCCTACTGTAATTTTATACTTTAATAAGATTATTGTCATAATCTCTCAACAGAATTATAAAAGCTCTCAGGACTTCGTTCTCATGATATTCCAGTCCTATTTATACACTGCTATGACCTTGGTTATGTAATATTATGACATAAGTCTCATAATATTAGGACTTTGTTCTTGTGATATTAACAAGATAATCTTGTTAGATAACGAGATATGCTTGTACATCTTTACTGCAGCTGTATTAATGTTCAGTTAAAATGTATAATGATGTTACAATGATAATGTCGTTACTCTGGTTACTCTTCAGACAGTATAATAACTGTGTGAGTGTGTATTTTTCTGTATGTCCGCTTGTTCTCAAGTACAAGGTCACTCCTCTCTGTTCATTTAAATGAGTTGTTCAGAATAAAAGCCTGAAGAGTTTCAGATGGAAGGACATAAGGACACTTAAATCTAAATAAACCTGAGTCTCTCTCTTGACCTTTAAAGGTACAATTCAGCCTTTTTTTCTACTCTGTTTCCTCTTAATAACCCTCTCCTCACGTTTTTCTCTCTGTGTTTTGTTCGGTGAATTCAAACCCGACAGTTTCCACCAGATTTTGTTCATTAGTTAAATTCATGGTATACAAATAAAAAATAAACTGGGTTTCGAAGATTAAAAGAAGCGAAAAACATAAAAAATCTTCATCACGACTTATTTTGAAGTAAAACTTTTTATTTAAATTTCTCTATCAGGCACTAAAGTCATCATTGTCATGGTTAAAACACGGCGAAGCAGCTACCTGGGTCACATGACACACAGCTGAGGTTCAGAGATGATGACGACAAATTATCTGCAGACGACACAGCGCAGAGTACAAAGATAGACTCGTTTTAACATCAACAATAATCAAATAATGATACAAAGAAGACTAACGGATATATTTACCTGCTTGTTACAGAGTGGATTAACCCAGAGGGAAATAAAATCTCATTAAATATTTAAAACCACAGCAGTGAAAAGATAATCAAACACCTCAGGTTTTTGTGGTGACGGATTGAAATACAGGTTTCATTGCTACTGCAGTTCACAGCTTAGCTTATGGCTTCAGATAGAAAATCTAACATTGTTAATCTCAGACAGAAAGACGACAACAGCTCATGAAGTCTCATAAAAACACACAAAAATGCTACTGTGGGGCTACAGTGTCTTTGGAAAGTACAAATGATCCAGAATAAATCCAGAAAACAATGTAAAACAAGGTGGATTTGGGCGTTTTTACCAGCTCAAACTTCATCTGAAACAACAAACTTCTCGTCCTGTTTTTGTGTCATTGAGTTGCAAAAAAAAGTGGTTAAAGAGAAGAATAAATAGTGATATAACGAAGGAGAACCTAACAGTCAGAAAGGATGTGGAAAAGTTAAAGCTACATCATGACGCTACATCATTAATCCCGTCTCGTTTCTCTACATTCATGGGGTCAAAAGTCGAGTCTGCACTCTTGTCTGGTCGGCACAGGTTTCCTGGCGCTGCTAATTGCACAACTTGTAGTAAAGTTCCTCAAAATGTTTGTGGCTAATTGAGCTTTGGGACACGATAGTTCAATAAGGGTCAATTGGCTTCTTTCTATCTTAATGAGGAGAAAATACAGAGGATCAAAAATGAGGTGAGCGAAAAGTTTGGGTGACTTACAGGTCATTAATTGCCTCTGGTCAACATTTTCAGAGTGTGTGGGTGTCTGCGAGGCAACTTTTAGGATAACACGCAGTAACTATCAGCAGCAGATAAGAAATTTTTAAGAGTTGGTGTGTAATTGGTTTAACGAGTGCTAGAAGAGTTCAGGTGAGTGTAAGATGAATTTAATGGGTGACAGTGAAAACTGTTTGTGCCACATTATTTTTCAAGTTCCGTTTGCACCAGATTGGTTTTGTTGCGCTCAAGAAAGCTTCCATGGTTGCCCACAATTTTTTAAAGTGCATCATACTGCTAGTTTTAGTTTAGTTTGAGTTGGAAAAAAGCAAAATCAGGGGTGGAAATGTTATTTTAGCGCTCCAAATATAACAAGGACAAGGCAAGTGCTAAAATAACTTTCATTGACGTAGACATCTTTTTTGTCAGATTTTGCTTTTTTCCGACTTGGTAACTTAAACGCTGGTAACTACGGTGTGACGTCATTTTCAGCTCCGACATCTGACTTCCGCAGAATTAATGTGCGCCAGATTATTCTTCGTACTTGTCTTTTAGTTTTCACGTGCCAGGTTTTTAGGCTATGTTCACACTGCAGGTCAATTCCGATTTTTTAAACAAATGTGACACATATCTGATTTTTTCATCTAAGTGTGAACAGTGCAATTCTGATTTTCTCAAATCCGATCCAGGGCTCTTTTGTATGTGGATATAAATCGGATACGTATCCGATGTGACTGCAGTGTGGACGCTCAGGTCGCGTTTATCCGACCTTTACGTCATCAACATGCGACAAACGTCACCATTGTTCGACAACACAAACAGGCGCGGAAAGCAATTTGTGCGCATGCCGGTCACTTCACGGACATATTCCGTTCACATTAGACGCCACATTCGTTGTTGTAAAGTGAATGACCACACAAACATCATAACCTGCAGTGTGAACGCAGCCTTAGTTCACTCTAGATTGTTTTTGTTGCACAGGAGCTTTTTTAAGAGCTCCAGATATTTTGCATAGGTGCCCAAACGTTTTGCATGTGCAACTTTGTTTTGCACCAGATTTGTCTTCTTGTGCAAATTTGTTTTTCATGTGCCTCAGATAGTTTTCTTGTCCACCAAAAAAAAAAAAAAACTTGTCGCATGAGGATAAGATAGTTTCATGACATGGTTTTTGCTCCTTTTACAGGCCATATAAGGTTTGTCTCCATCAATTGTTTGACACGTTTTTCCAAGTGCAGAAAATCTTTTCGGAGAAACTACAGACTAAATCGATGCTTCTCGTAATGCTATTCTTGCACGTTTTGGGGCAAACAATCAAAAATTCTTTACATTCAGATCAAATTTGACCAAAATCACCAACACAAATCAAAAACCTAAAAAAAACAGAGCTTACATTTTTTTTTTTCAGTGAGGAGCTGCTTTAAAAAAATGTGCTACAGCAGCGTACAGTGACATTCATGTTTACCACAAAACATGGTGATTAAAACATTTCCAAAGCTGAACCTGAGGAGGAAAAGATGTATTTACACCAACAGTCGATCACAGAGAGAAGAGGAGCAGCCGCAGATTCCAGTTTGGCTGTTTTAGCTTTTTCGTTTGGCAGCGACATCGCTCGGCCCTGTGGCTGTTTCTAAGCAACGTGTAGGTAATTTTTAGACAGTTGGAATGACGGTGGTAAGAATTTTGGAGAAAAGATATTCAGATTCAAAGATGAATCATGTTTGGTGATATTGTTAACTCGGTTTCATGGAAGAAAAGTTATTTAGTCTGAAAGTTAATGTTTCCAGAACTACATCCCGTCTTTTTAAGTCAGCCTGAGAGGAAATATCAAGGAAGAGAAAGACAAATTAACGGACAGAAACGAGAAACTGAAACCGGATTATTGGCCAAATTTTCCCACTCACTTCTGTCTATTTAAATCCTGATTATACAGTGTCACCAAAACTGGAAAATACTGCAGGATGATCTTTAAATGTCAGACTTCCTCCACTGTGAACTCAGTAGAAAAGGAGATTTTCATACCAGCACTGGAGATTTGAAGTGTCTGAGTATAAATGAGGTCAAAAGCAGATCCTGCTTTATTCATATGGTCTAGATTTTGTCCTCATTTCAGCCGTAGGCGACGTTTGAAAAGCCTCTGAGCATCGGCCATGTGTTGTTTTTATCTCTGAGCTTTCGTGTGTTTCTCCCCTGTGTTTACTGAGCAACAGCTCGACTATTTAACACCCACAGGTCAGGAGAAATCCTCCAACACAATTCGTCAATAATTGTCCAAGTAACAATTAGACTTTTTTTGAGCTCTCCCTGACTCAACAAGTCTGCTTGAGGTTTCGAAAGGCGTAAAAACAGACAACATTTACACGCTGGGAAATTTTTCAGCACTTCACTCTGCCATCGGAGAGTCTATTTGTTTGTATAGAATTTGCAGCTTTCAAAAACACTGAAATATCCCTTTATCAAAAATCTATGGAACGCAGTTGGCTTAGCATTTCACAGGGACTCTAATATCCTGGTTTTTCTGTAAACATCATATCCTGACTCCAGAAACTGGTAAACACTTTTTTTCTTATGTGCAAATCCGTCAAAGTGACAGATTCTTCCAATTTACAATCAGATTAAGTGCTCTGTGTCTGTGATTTTACCCCCAAATTGGCTGTTTCTGACTTCTTTCACAATCCAGTCTACTGTCGGTAAGATTTGTTGTTTTTCGACTGAGCAAAACCTTCTAAAACATCATAAAAATCGATGTTGTGGTTGTTAAAATTGGCAAATTTCCTTTTTAAGATGTTCTATCAGAAGACTGAATCCAAACTGTGTAAAGTCTGAATATTAATAGAGGAGAATCTTTGCACTCAAACCTCAGTCATTAACTCCTGCTGTCTGCAAACACCTCAGCGGTTCAAAGAGCTCCTCATCATTAAGCAGGAGGCGGTTTGGACTCTCAGAAGCAACAGGAGCCGCTAATGGGCCTCTGATGACTCTGCTCTGCTGTATTTGAATACATCAATAAATGATTAACCAGGTTCAATTATTGATCATATATATTAAACTCCAATCAAACACTATTTTTTACTATCTCACTTCTTCTCTCCATGCTCCTTGTTTTGGAAACTGAGTGATTTACATCTCGCTGAGTCAACAATGTAAACTTTTTGTGCGGCCGTGTACACCTCCTGGAGTGCTTGCCAAGTTTGTTTTGGTGTTTTTCCGCCTCTACATCCATCTGCAGAGGACACCATTTGGGCAGTTAGTTTATGCAGCGTCTCATTATCTTAGCATCCCGCCCACGCTGATCACTGCACGGAGGATGAGGTTAGAAACTGAGAGGCTGCAGATCCTCAACAGAAGCTAGTTTGAGATGTTGTTTTTCAAGCTTTCCTAAATGACAACTAAGTCGTTTTTTTATCAGTGAATTAAATCAAATAGCTTTTCTTCATACTGTTACTAAAGTTGAATCTTGACTTTATCTTGGGATACATTAAATTTCAATTCTGTTTAAATAATGAAATAAAATAACAACCCCAAAAAGTCATTAACAAACACTCCTGGACTGAAAGTACGCTTGTGAAAGATTTTGAAGCTTTCAGTTTGCAGTGATTTGTTGTGATGGGATTAAAAGGGATTTGAAAAAACAGAGACATCTTAGGTTAGGAAGTGTTAAGTGAAAGTAGATAGTAAAGATAATATTTTCAGACTGGAAGATGATGACTTTAGAGGTAAGAACTGGAGGATATAAAGTAGATGCATTAGTTCACTCAGGAAAAACAAAACACAAAATCAAACTTTTTTGTGATATAAATAAATAAACGACTTTTTGTTCAGCTTTTGAAAACTTACCCACGCTTCAAATTGTTCTGTTAAATTGAAAAAACACCCATTTAGAACGGGATATGTGACCCCGACCCTAAAAACTGTCTTTCCTTCACTGAGTGATAGCACTGTAAACCAGACGCTGAAGAAACTGCCTGAAGAGATTTCTGCACTTTGGCTCTTTGTTCATTTACAGTTATGGCTACTGGGACTCAAAGGGAAAGAAAACTACATTGATAGAGGAGCTACAGTTTGAGAAGTCAGTCCTTAAGTTTCCTGACATATAATTCTTTGTAACATCCATCACAGCACTGCTGTCAGAGTAATGACCCTTCATACCGAGTCCAGCCGAACATAATGAGGAGATCCATCATCCGCAGTCGCCTTTAATCCAGTTTGTTGAGTTAAATCAGAGGAAATGTTTCTCTGCAGGCAACAGGTTGGATTTCCCTCGTCTTGTTCTGGTCTCTGCTCATAAAAAACACTTTAGACAGCAGCAGGTTGCTGGTGGCGTCCTCTGAGAGGAACTAAACTCCACCTACCCGCTCTCCAGCTCCCTAAAGGATTACATTTCATCACCTGAAAGACCCATTTTTGTTTTGTCTTAATGTTCCCGATCCCGGCGTCGTATCGGCACCGCGAACAGCGGCAGGGTCCGTGTCGGCGACGACATCTCGGGCTCGGGGTCAGAGTTTGTTGCCAAGAGGTCGTCAGCCTTGGCGTCCAGATGCTCTGAGGGCAAAGACAGATCCTGACAAACCTCGTAGGAGCATTTCCGCTTCTGGAGAGCCTCTGCTCGAACGGCCAGAGAGCGCGCACAAACCGTCAGGAGGACGATGAGCGTGCCCAGAAGGAGGGACACCATGGGCCAGAGGACGCAGTGCAGCAGGACGCTAGTGTCATGGGAACGACGCCACAGCACGTCGTCTGGTCTGAAATCACAAAAAGGAAGAGTGAGAACTCCCTGCCCTTCCATGAGCATGTGTGGGATACCAAAGTATGAAGCCTGAGGTGGGGAGAGCATCAGCAAAGACCCCTGAGTTTAGAAAAAAGCAGGCAGTCTATATGTCTGTTTACATGTGTCCAAAAAATGAAATTATGGATTTAGTTTGACTGAAACTGGACTTTTAAAATGCTTGTAAAGATGTTAACCTGACAGAAATCATATTAAATTGAACTTCTTATAGTTTGACAAAAGCTGCCCTTGTGTCGAATGAAAAGTTCCCACAGTACAAAGCGAAGTTTGGCGCTATTTTGACTAAAGACTAGATTTCTGAATGGAGTTTTGTGTTCTAACCTTCAAAATACAGCGTCTCCATGTGATTACTGGTGTTTTCTTCCTTTTTATAAACCCTCAGTACTCCAGATCTTTATCTCGTAAAATAAAAAATCTAATCCGTAACATCGCCGAGCTCTCACAGGGCTCTCATTTGTGAAGCAGAGTTTCCACGTTCTGATCCCTCAGCTGCAGAGATAAAAATAAAACCAGCCAAGGTCACAGGTAAGCATCGTTTGTGAATAACAGGGGGATTAAGCTGACACACTAAAGGAGATCGCTGCTTTTCTTCCATCTCATCAATTTTCAATCATGGCATGAAGAAAGAGGCTGAGCTTTTTAACAAGGCCACATAACCAGAATGAAAAAAGAAGAACAGGAGAGCTTATTTTCTTTTTAAACGACCCTGAGCTGTGTCTCTGTAAACTTATAATTAAACATTCAATGATGTGTGCCTGTGGATGTGTGCCAGGATTTCTCTGAAGGACACCAACTTCAAGAGTTCTGATTCAGCTGTGGGGAGCGCCTGTCCATAAGTCTCTACTGAGTCTCAGGGCGCGTTCTCACCAACCCTCGTTTGGTCCGGTTGAACCGAACCCTGGAGCGTTTACCCCCTTGGTGCAGTTCGTTTGGGTCGGTGTGAACGCTGACCTCGAACTCTGGTGCGGACCAAATAAACGAACTCTGGTCCACGTGAAGAGGTGGTCTCGGACCGCTATCAAGTGAACTCTGGAGCGGTTCATTTCTGGTGTGAACGTCATCCACACCAGTCACAGGAAACGCACCACACACTAGGCTATATGACACCAGAGAGAAAACGCATCATGGTAGGCTCTCATTAATGCCTGACGCCGTCTCGTCTTTATCCGTCTGTTGTTTGCTGCACGTCTACTCCGGAATGTATTAATTAATGCTGCAGATTTAGGCGATCGACTAGCGTCTCTTGATACGCGCTCCAGATGAGTAGCAAAAGCAAAATCAGCCTACGATGCTCCATGATGGGTGAAGACAGCAGAGCGGGGTTTGTATTCCCGCATAAACTAATGACCAATAACCGAACGATATTCGCAGTCACGTGACTTCTGGTTCCGTTATCTGGAGCGATTGAGTTTGTCTTTTGTGAACGCAAACTGGACCAGTTAAACAATCAAAACAAATGTATCGTCTCGCCTTGGATTCGAATCAGGAAACGGACCTGTAGGTGTGAACACGACCTGAGTTTCACTGTATCTACAAAGTATCACTACAGACAGTTGAAATCTGTCTGACTTCGTCTCCAGAGACCAGAAATAAGAAGGTTTTACTAGTTTTAATGACAATAATTGGACAGAACAGATGCAGAACTAACTAGACAAGAAATCTGGATTTTTTTAGGTCTTTTTGCAGGACAAAAACACTTAAAATGTCTGATTTTATTAAGGGTCTAGATCCATGTTTCTGATGCTATGTCAATATGCCTGTAAAGGAGATGATCAGCAGGACTGGCCCTTCTTGCAATCTGATTAAACCTGAACTCTAACTTCTTCCACACATTCACTTCTGAAAAATTCCAGAATATTTCAGGAGTGTTTCCTTGCAGATTTCATCCATCCTGTCTGTTGCTCTTCTGGCTGCATAATATCAACATCACCACCAGATATTTCCTGCTGAAATTCTACCAGGAAGCAAGCGGGAAAAAGTCCGAGTAAAGTCAGGGTGACAATTTTAGCAGTTTGTATCCACTTTATTTGTGCATCTCAGCCTGAAAATTTCGGGAGTTTTGTGATGTGTGTAAGGTGAGGCTCAATATTGAATGTTTGAGGTGCTTTTTCAGGGGCTGCCTGTGGCTGTCTTTGCATGTTTAGTGCACTCTGGAAACACCTCCATACACATACAGCCACCCCTGCATGAGTAAATGTCCAAGTTGGGCCACCCCAGTTTTAAAAGTCTGGATCCACTCCTGCCCGGTGCAAGTCATTTTTTTGTCCTCAAATTGACTTAAAATTATGCAAAAAAAAAATGCTGTACTTTGCACTTAAAACACCCTCAAAGCCCCACTGTAATGTCCACAGGGGAAAACAGTAACCAGAGACAAAGACTTCATCTGATTATCACGACTTTGTGTCCTTCGTAGCAGCAGTTTGAGATGCTCTGCAGTTTTAAAAGTTTGTTTCATGACATGAACTGCTGAGATGCAGCCTAACAAAGTGAGGATATGAAGTAAAAGGTCAGGTATGTGATGGTTAAAGGTTACCGGCAGCAAATTGAGAAATGAAAAGGGTTTTGTGAAAAGACCATCTGTAATCATCTGCTGTAACAATCATGTGTCACCAAGGCCACATTCACAGCATCACACGTCTCCTGCTTTCAATTTATCAGAGTCATACCTGAAAATAAGCCACATGGTAACTCTGTGTGTGTGTGTGTGTGTGTGTGTGTGTGTGTGTGTGTGAACGTGAGTGAGCCTCACCTCCTCTGCTGGTTGAAGAAACAGGTGAAGGACTGACTGCTGACCTCTTTGGTGAAGTAATCTTCCCACAGCAGCACGCTGTCTTTGTTCTTCTGGTTATCTCTCTCGCAGGGAGGAACGAACGAACACTGAGAGACACAAATGCATCAATATACATCAGTGAGCATGTAGTACATCAGCTCAGTGTGAAATGAGACAAGGTGGTCTTTTCTTGACCTTTACTCGCTGTACGAGCAGAAATAGAACATACAGTGGTACAGAAAAAAATATATGGTGTCGTACTGTGATATGAACTTGGTGATACAACTTAAGATGAAGAAGGTTCGGATTTTGAATATTAAGTCAATAGTTATGCAGTAAACAGTTGTACATGTGGGAAAAACGTTGGAAATTCGTGAAAAAAAATCTACATTTACAGGTAAAAGTCTGATTTCTGAGGACAAATTGTAGTGGAGTGGAAAAAAGTCATGAAATCTCCATGAAAAAGTTACATTTCTGAAAAAAAGTCAAATAAAAACAATCTAAAAAGTCCAAAATTTATTGAAATAAGAAATAAATTATGCAAAAACCTAATAATCAAAGTTACATAAACAAATGTGTACAATGAGAAGTCTTATGGTAACATAAAATAGTTATTGATTTTTTAAGGTCAGAGTCTTAGACTTCTGGTAAAAAGGCCAATTTCTGAGAAAAGTCATATAAATACATAAAACAGTCGAAAGTCTTAAACTCTCAAGTCTTCAGGACAAAGTCAAAGTTTTTAGTAAAGGTTGTAATTTTACAAAGTTAAAAAAAAAAGTTAAAAATTTCTATATTAACTTAAAAAAGTCATAAATTTATGAGAAAAAAAGATCCTTAAATACCGGGAAAAAAACATAAATCGATACTGAAAACTAATCTGACTGCATAAAATAGTTGTAAATTTATAATATTATAAAAAAAAATGTATTAAACAAGACGTCAATTAGGCAGGAAGGTAGGCGGGAAAAAATGACAATGATAGGGAAATTATACATTTAGGAGAAAAATTGTTTAATTTCAAGGAGAAATACCAACTTAGATTTATCTCTATCTAAATTACCTAAATTTAGGCAATATCTCAGAACTGAAGTCAGCCGCCTCCACCAAAAAGAAAACTCTGGAACATGTTATGAAGTGAAGCTCAAAAGCTGACCTCTGCTATTTAAAATAACCCATTTCACTTTTTTCTTTCTTGAAATCTCATTTCTTTTTCTCTCCAGTGGGCCTCACACTCTGAAATAACAAACTATTACCTTTCCTATTATTTCTTCTTGAGCCGTGAATGACTTATACTGTATATAACTTCTTATAGCTGTTGGAGCAGAAAGCAGCAGACTGAGGTCCAGTGCTGAACTGAGTAGATTTTGTTTCGGCGTTTTTCTTTCTGATTGTTCGTAAATTTATCTGTTGTGACATTTTTCCATAAATAAAGACACTGTTTTCAGTTTTATTATCTTGTATTTCCATTCTGATTGAACAGGTCTTATTGTGTTAAGCTCCAAAGCAGTTTAGGTTGCCATCACCTCCTCCACCCCCTGTCAGTGTACCAATCACACCATCGTCATGGCAACCAGTTGATCCACAGTCAGCGGCCGGGCACCAATCAGCCTCCTACAACGAGACGCTGTGTGTATGTTTAGAGGCTGAAACTAAACTAAAGAGGAAGAGCGCAGCGAAGACCCCCTCTGAGCCAATCAGGATCAAACCAGTCACCTTGTTTTGACCTTATTACAGCGCCCCCTGCTGCGTGATCACCGTCAGCTCTGAAGAGATGAAACAAATCTCTAACTGCGGGGGAGAAAATCCGATAGAATACAAGAAGCTATACCTGAACAGAATCAGAGGTGAGGGAGGAAGTATCTTAGAGCTTTAACTTTAAAGGACTAATGCCACATTTATGAAATCCACATTTAAATTTTTGATTTTCAACTTTCCTTGGAGTTTTCTCTGATTTAAAACAGACATGTTAGAAAATAAAGAGAAGATTTGGTTTGGATTATAAAAAACAAAAGTGAAAATGCTCCTTTTTAATCTCTTCTATGTGTCTGAATAGCTGCGCAGTGCTATTGAAGCACACCACCGAGACTTAATACATCCACAGGTGTCTCAATAATGACCATGTAGAGAGAACAGAGTCCATAAATCTGTTCCTTCCCTTTCACATCAGGCCAATTTTTCTTTCTTTCGTGATTTTCCAGACGAATGTGACACCTTTAGTGCTGAACTCAGACGCTGTTTATCTCCGCTCAGCTGTAAACGATGTTGTCATGAGCTCACGTCTGATCACATCTTCACTGGATCTGTTTTTTTTCTGTCTGATTGAACCTTGTCCAGATTAGTGAAGGTAGAGCGAGCATGTCTTCCTCTCTCTTTCTGTCTCGTCCATTCATCCCTCAACACCATTCATCATCCCACCAATCACACACGCTTCGCCCCATGACTTCACAAACGGGTCGCGCTGATCGCCGAATGATTGCGGTTTCTATGCCAACAAGCCAAGGTTACAATTATAAGTGTGTGCGTGTGCACTGGTGTGTGTTTTGGTCCCTTATAAATGTCCTAAATGAGATCAGCGTGAGTGTTCGTATTGACATGTGCTGTCTGAACATGCTGCGGAAAAAAAAGCCATCAACCCTGATTTAAATTCAGCTCTCAGGTGTTTCTGTCACTTCAGGTGTTTGATATTCAGAGCAGGACACTCTGATGCTTTCCAAGGGATTTAGAGATTTGTTTTTACAACTCTGCTGTTCCTCCAAACCGAAATAAAGTCAGCAAGAAAAGGCACGACTTGTGATTTTGGCTGTCTTTTTGTTGGGCCACTGAGAGTGAAAGAGATTTACTGAAATCTTTTTACCTTCTGCCCAAGAGAGTCCAAATTTTTGAGTCTTAAATGACCCCAAAGTCACCAAACTTCTAATTTACATCAGCTCTGGTTAGGGCTGGGCGATAAATTTACCGATATCGAAATTTACGACAATAACCAACGTCATTTTGCCCATGTCAATATACTCTGTGTCAAAAAAATAAATTAATAAAAGTTGGTTTTGGATGTGTGTAGGTAGGCTATGGTCTCATGTCCCTTTAAGACGCTGTCCTACATCAGAGACGTGACTCCACCCCATCCAGTCCGTAACAAAGAGGGAAAGACAGGTGAGGAGATGGAGGACGGAGAGAAAGTTGTAGCGGCTGAAGTAGACGAAGTTAATGTGGGAGGGGGTGAGCAGCCTGTGGAGTAGTTGTCGTCCATTTATCGTTATCGAGGTGAACTGATCAATATATCATGATATTGATTTGAGGCCATATCGTCCAGCCCTAACTCTGGTTGATGAGTTTCATTCTACAAAACCAACAGGAAGCCTAAAAATTTGAGGTGAATCTTTGAATTATCATCTACATTTTGTCACAGTGTTACTGCCACCTATTGCTCACAAGTGGTATTAACGCCCATATGCACTACTGAGCGAGCCTTTAACCTTTACCCTTTTATTAATACAATGTTGGAAAGGTTCCTTAAGGAAAGCCAGTCAAAGTTAAAGCCCAACCAACTGGTGAAAGCCATTACCAAATAGTTCTTAAGTTAAAGGGATATTCCTGTGTAAAACTAAGTTGGGGTCAAACACACCGTAACACCGAGTTAAACACCCCCTCAAGAGATGAATGCTGCCAACCGCTTGCTTCTCTTGATATATCGACTTGAGTAACGACCACCCTCAACCTCAACCGTTACTTCATGGAAATATAATCAAACCGAGACACTAAGACAGAAGAACTACAGCGTCTGCAGTGCAAAATGAATAATATGATGATTATTACTTTAAAGAAATGATTAAGTAATCATCATAAATGTTCTTCCTTGAGCTGCGAAACCCCGCTGCAGTCGGTGATCAACTCGTCTGTGCTCTCCCTGCAAACATGCGGCTGCTGGAGGAGAATGGGTGAGTTGTGTATAGTCTCTTTGCTAAAGAAATCAGGCAAAGTTAAAAAGATGTTTGGTGGCTAGTACTGTCTCTGGGACCCTATATGTCCTGTTGATGAAGTTAGGTGCTGTTCTGAGCATTATTTGTAGCTATAGAGTGGCGTTTTGGTTGAGGTGTGTGTGTGGAGACCGCTGTGTATTGCTATAGTGCCGTCGTTGCTGAAGTTGGTGTAACTTGAGAAGCAAGCAGTCAGCAACATTCATCTCTCGAGGGGTGTCTAACTCGGTGTTATGGTGTGTTTGACCCTAAATTAATTTTACATCAGAATATCCCTTTAAGTGTGCATCATAGGGAGGGTGAGCACTGTTAAAGCTACTGCTGAAACACAGCTTCACCACACCTGATGGGTGGGACACACCCCTATATTCAAAGGTGTAAGGGCCTGTTCACACTGCAGGTTCAATTTTCTTCGCTTTTTCATAGACTTTTTTTCCCCCAGAGATTACAGAACAGACAGTTTTATATATTTTGGAAATATTTTCAAGTCATTTTTGAGTAATGTTAAAGCCACATATCGTATGGCTGTAAGAACTGTCTGTTTAGAGGAACACCAAGTGAGTTGACAAAGTAATCTTCCTAACATGGTGCTGTGTGTCAATCCAGCCCCTTTTATTATCTTTACACAACGAACTGGGTGACATTAATGACTCGATTCTGTAAATCTAAAGCCAGAACTTTGTCTCTGTAAACTCAAAGAGCTGCTGTCCCACAGGACAAAGACGTGCTGCTTGAACAAAACACAGACATAGGAAGCAATTAAGTGTGAGTGTAAGAGCATCAATCACATCTTGACAGGCTGACAGCAACTCAGCACATCTCGCCCTGACGGATCAGTGGAGGAGAAAAATGAAAACATGAACTTTGTGTTGCGAAAGTTCAGGAAGCAGTAGAGTGAGAGCGAAAAGAATGAAGTCAATGATAGAATTTTACCACCTAGAGAGACAAGAGATCTAAATGCTGACATGATACCAAACCAACACCATGCTAAGGTAAGGCTGGTTCCCTTATGAATCATTATTCGTACAAAAATAACACGTCAAGGTGCTTTAAAGAAGAAGTCATGATGTGTTCATACTAAGCCATACTAACCTCCAATTTCCACCGCATCTGGAACGGCCACGAAAAGGCTGTATCCGCTGATCGTAGCTGATCGTAACTATTCAAATTAATGTGTCAATTTCCACTGGGTTCTTTCCGTACCGCTGCGGATTGTCAGACTCCACAGCTGATCACCGGACACTGGAGCATGCCGGATAAATTCAGCACAGATTAACCCATGCTGGAAAGGAAGTCGGGCACAGACACAAAATAAAAGATCCAGCTTCTTTTCAAAATAAACCCTCCATGTTTTAGGTGGATCGTATTTCACACCATGCAAACGTGCGGAGACGAACAAGTGAAAGGTTTATAGACGTCATTTCATTCTGATGACACCATGGATGATGAGACGCTGATTTTATAAGTCTAGATGTAGATTTCCTCCTCTGGAAGGACACAATCTACTGCTTATACAGTTAGCCTATGTGGCTAAAGACAACTTGTTATCGGGCCATTGCACATGAATCCACAGGTTCTTGTGAGTTCTCGCGATTCCGTAATCGCCACGAATTTTGCCTCACGAACAAATCTGGTAGGAATTGGCGTACAGCGAAAATTGCCGCCATTCCCGGGTAAGAGCTGAACATGTGCTCTACCCCTCTGCTGAAACATTTCTCTCTTTCACTTTGCTGTTACAAGCTCAGATTAACATCTAGCCTACACGTTGGGGAGCGTGGGGAAGTTGCAGTTGAAGCTAACTTCACTGTATCTTCAACATGATGTACTGCAGCCGCATGGAGAGGGGAGGATGGAGGTGTATGTGTGCGTCTGAAAAGCCAAGGGACAGAATAATCCAATTCTTTTTTTTCCACATATTATCCAACTGTTACTCTTTCACATGTAATAAAAGCTATGAAGTCCTGATCTGGAGAGTGAGACTGATTCTAGTTACTGGAAGATGTCAGAGGTTTTAATTGAGAGAGAGAGGGACTGACGTAAGGGGGACAGAGAAGCTCCTAGCTGGGCAGAGACTCTCTGACGGCCCCCCTGATGTCCTGGAGCTCCAGAAGCTCTGCCTCATTAAAAGTAATTGGTTTAAATCATCAGCACACACACACACACACACGCTTATTACTGTCGTCAGTCCTCACTTATTACATTAAGAGTTTCCCCCTCTTGCTTCCATAAATTAATCGCTCTTTCTGCTGACCTTTTCCCGCTGATTTGTTGTTGTGTTTCGGCTCAAATGAGATCCAAATGTTCCCCAAAAGTATTAAAAGAAAGAAAATAAGACATCACAGTGAGGACATCTTAAATAATTTGTTTGATTCATTTTGGATAGTAAAATGGTGTAAGTCGGAGGAAACTGGAGTCTCAACCGCAGAGCAGCACTGCCCTGTGGTTACCGCCACTCCACTCATTTATATTTATAATATAATTAAGTCATAAATGAGGAAATTACTCAGCGAGTAATTGGCTGAGTGAAACCACCCACCTGCCTTCATGTCCTCCCTTCCTTCCTCTGACACTGTCTCTTTTCAGATGCTGGAGCGTCATTTCACAGCTGAGAACACATGATTTAAGAGCTGGAAGGAAGAGCTTAAATTAATCTGGTTTCAGTCAGGAAAACTTAAATTTGTCTTCTGCAGAACTCATTAGGAAAATCTGCAGGTAATCAATCAGGACCTGTGGACAAATGATCACTAAAAGTCCCACTCTTGCATGCTTATTTCATTTGTTCTTATTGATTCTGCAGCCAAAACCTTAAACTCCTATTTAACAATCACACCAGGATAAAGTGATGTTATTCTACTGCTTTTCCTGGAGTTCAGGTGATTGGTTAGTCCTACAACATCTGCAAACACTCACTGGTTAAGCAATATCTCTAAATGGGCTCTTTTTGTACGCTGTAGCACCCTCTTCTCACCCTTAAAATCAAATCAAGCAAAGGTGCAACTTTAGTTAAAGGCTAACTAGTTGCAGCATACGGTTTAGAGCGGACCTAGCACTTTCACTTAAAGCTCCAGTGAGGACTTTTTGATTGGATTTGACAGACTGAAATGAAGAGTGATGCACCCGTAAAAGCAAAAGGGACCTTTGCTGACAAATTGAAAAAAACTGAAACAACCACAAGTTACTGCTTTGTCCACAGGGGGCGCCAAAGTCAACACAAACAGAAGGTTCCTCAAAGGAGCTTTAAGACAAACTTATGCTGAGCTAGTGCAACCAGCTACATGATCTTAAAGGGAATAAGGGGTGCAACACTAAAAATGACGAACTATCATGCAATGCTGCTTCTCGCTTTGCTAGCAGACTGTGCAACGTGATATATGACGAACAGCAAAAAATGTCCAAATATAGAGGGAAGAAGACCAGAGATAATATTAAAACAGGCCTTATTGTTATGAAACGACATGTAGACACTGTGTGCTCTAACAGACTTAGAAACCAAACCTCTGAAACCTGACTATCAAACATCACAGCTGTAAAATCACGGGAAGTAATCCACATCATAACCATAACATCTGGAGAGCAGCGTGTGTGTGTGTGTGTGTGTGTGTGTGTGTGTGTGTGTGTGTGTGTGTGTGTGTATCTGTGCCTATTGGGAGATATTACTTTTAAAGCCAAAGCAGCTTTAGTGTTAAGACTTCAGCACTCATGAAATCACACACACTCTCTCACATTTACTTGCCTCAGGACGCCAACATTAGGTGCAGACAGAAAAGCACTCTGGGAAAATACAGCAAGGGTTGACCGGTGTGTGGTTTAGTAAAACACACACAAGCACACACTCACCATTCAATTCATTTCTGGTCTAATGGAGGCTGCCTGAAGGAGCTACATTAGTGTTGTAAGCAGAAACTCACAGAAAACATTATATAAATAACTATAACTATATATATATATATACAGTATATATACACACACATCTGATATACATAGGGCACTATTATCTGCAAAGGGTCGGATTTACCAACAGTCTCTTAGTGTAGATATACACTCACCGGCCACTTTATTAGGTACACCATGCTAGTAACGGGTTGGACCCCCTTTTGCCTTCAGAACTGCCTCAATTCTTCGTGGCATAGATTCAACAAGGTGCTGGAAGCATTCCTCAGAGAGCTTGGTCCATATTGACATGATGGCATCACACAGTTGCCGCAGATTTGTCGGCTGCACATCCATGATGCGAATCTCCCGTTCCACCACATCCCAAAGATGCTCTATTGGATTGAGATCTGGTGACTGTGGAGGCCATTTGAGTACAGTGAACTCATTGTCATGTTCAAGAAACCAGTCTGAGATGATTCCAGCTTTATGACATGGCGCATTATCCTGCTGAAAGTAGCCATCAGAAGTTGGGTACATTGTGGTCATAAAGGGATGGACATGGTCAGCAACAATACTCAGGTAGGCTGTGGCGTTGCAACAATGCTCAATTGGTACCAAGGGGCCCAAAGAGTGCCAAGAAAATATTCCCCACACCATGACACCACCACCACCAGCCTGAACCGTTGACACAAGGCAGGATGGATCCATGCTTTCATGTTGTTGACGCCAAATTCTGACCCTACCATCCGAAAGTCGCAGCAGAAATCGAGACTCATCAGACCAGGCAACGTTTTTCCAATCTTCTATTGTCCAATTTCGATGAGCTTGTGCAAATTGTAGCCTCAGTTTCCTGTTCTTAGCTGAAAGGAGTGGCACCCGGCGTGGTCTTCTGCTGCTGTAGCCCATCTGCCTCAAAGTTCAACGTACCTTGCGTTCAGAGATGCTCTTCTGCTTACCTTGGTTGTAACGGGTGGTTATTTGAGTCACTGTTGCCTTTCTATCAGCTCGAACCAGTCTGGCCATTCTCCTCTGACCTCTGGCATCAACAAGGCATTTCCGCCCACAGAACTGCCGCTCACTGGATATTTTTTCTTTTTCGGACCATTCTCTGTAAACCCTAGAGATGGTTGTGCGTGAAAATCCCAGTAGATCAGCAGTTTCTGAAATACTCAGACCAGCCCTTCTGGCACCAACAACCATGCCACATTCAAAGTCACTCAAATCACCTTTCTTCCCCATACTGATGCTCGGTTTGAACTGCAGGAGATTGTCTTGACCATGTCTACATGCCTAAATGCACTAAGTTGCCGCCATGTGATTGGCTGATTAGAAATTAAGTGTTAACGAGCAGTTGGACAGGTGTACCTAATAAAGTGGCCGGTGAGTGTAAATGTATAGATGAAAGATTAGACATTAGCAGGGATCGACAGTTCGACCGTTTCACTCACACATTTGCGATTAAAAAAAGATGTGTATTTCGGGGCACGCATGCACACATTAAAAATTAGCCGAGGCACCAAATTTTTTTATGTAAATACCACAGTGAAGTTAGTTTTTGGGTTGGATATTCGATGGACATTCAATGCGGATCTACCGATGTGTCTTCTCATTCTCCATAACCGGTAATAGCAACAGCAGTGCGGTGAAATCTACTCAGCACCCTCGCTGTCAACATCAGTGTTAAATAGGGGGCCGTCAATAAATTACCGGTTGATGTTCTCAAAAAAGGCTGTTTTTTTTTTCCAATAGCTTTTATGTCACGTGACCAATTGACCTAAAACTGGTTTCAAATAGTAGTACTAAAGTCGGACAATAAGACACACCTCTTTATTTTCCTAATTTGGCCTCTAAAAAAATGTTGTGTTAAATTTAAAGGCAAATTTTAAACATTTTCTTCAATAGCTTCCATGTCATGTGACCAGAAGACCTCAAATTGAATTTAAATAGTAGTACTTATGTCGACCAATAAGACAAACATTATTTGATCAATTTTCATAATGCCCCTAAAGTTCTTTGTGAAAAAAGTCAGTGTCAAGCCCTGGTTAGTCAAGTATCATAAAAAATAAACAAACAAAATAATTACAATTTTGTATTTTTGGTGTATATACTGTACATAATGAAGACATAACTTAAAGAAATATAAAGTAACTAAACACAATGTTACTTAACATTAAGTAAGAAGTAGTGAACCAAAGTAGCATATCGTGAAGTGATGAAATTAATGTTATGTCACCACTCAGTTATGAAACATGAAGTAATAGAAGATGAAGTCATGAAACATTAAATATTAAAACAAAAAAGTGAGCTAATGTAAAGTAATGAATTGTCAAATAAGAAAACATGAAGTAAAATAACAAAAAAGTTATTAAAAAGTGAAATGTAAAGTAACAAAGTAAGGAAAAATAAAACACAACAGAGTCAATCAGGCTATGTACAGTTACAGAGTCAACATTTACTATTGCTCAACCTGCTGCAGTCTTATTGGCCAGTCTTTACCCTTCTAGACCTTAGTCACACCTATCAGTAGAGATGATGAACCAAACTATAAAAGTGAGAATCTGTATTTTATACAACATCTTAACTTGTTGCTGAGGAACAGGAAACTCTGCCGAGTTCTGTGTCGTGTTGTGTTAGTGTTGAGTGTGGCGTGACCTTCAAAGATTCAAACAAGACAAAAGACAAATAGAAAAACATGTTCAGTCAGACACTCTCATATTTGCTTTCACACCCTGTGAATGCGAAGAGCACTCTACCGCATTCACACTCTGCAAACATAAACACAGGGACTAATGCACACCCTCTCTGAGCTCCATGTGTTTGTCAAATGTTAATTACAGCAGGGAGTCAGAGAGTCTATCAGATACAGCGGCTGATTTGTTTCTGTTCAGAGACCAGCAGAGTGTGAGGGACACACACACACACACACACACTCACTGCACACCATTTTTCCATTCTTCCAGCCATTTTCTCTCCTCTCGGCTCCACTTCTTTTCCCAGTGAAAATGAAATGAACTCCTGACCTCAATAAACCAGAGAGCTCAGAGGTGTATAATACTCTGTGTGTGTGTGTTACTCTGTGTGTCTTCCACAATACCATATTATCAATGTGACGATTTGATGCTGCTCATCTGTGTGGATCCGATCCTCTCTTAAACAGGACTTGACATTGTTCATTGAACACTCTCATATCTTGAAAATTACAAGAGCCCTAATAAAACATCCAATTGTTAAAAATGAAGCTGATGTCAAAGTGCTAAAAGCTGCAGTTCCTCGAGTGTCCACTTTAGGCTGGCTCCAAACACCATGAAAACCACATACACACTCATTCAAAATAATGCCATTTTGTAGTTGTCAGCGAGGAGTCTAATGGCTTGCCTTGACCCCGCCTCTCTCCCTTGTCCATCAAAAGTGAGTCCGCATTTCCAATATGGCGACCATCATCATTGAGCTTCATGACGTCTCCCCAAAAACCAATTAAACAAATCATGGTTATGGCCTGATTGAGTGATTTTTTGGGACTACTGTCCTTGTCCTCGTTTACAGGCACCAGGCAAGAATCTAATAACTTGCAGAATCACCTCCACTACAGTAGGTGGCGACATACCCCCTTTGAGCATGTAACTGCTGGGTTATAATAATCTAACTTGTAGTTTACGATAGTCAAACAACTGCGCTCTTGATAACAAAAACTAACCTAGCTTCAGATTCTGTCAGATACATAATAATGTGATATATTTAACTCGTGTTTTTGTCTTGATTTGTTTGTTTTTAATGAATGTGAGGTGATTTTAACTTTGTGTTTTTGTTTTTTGAACAGAAGTTAAACTTTGATTTTTAATATTATATACATTTGTTATTAAATGCATACTTTTATATGCCTCTAGTGAATCATTTCTTGATTTATCATGTCCAAAAATATTCCATTGTTTCAAAAGTGAATTTGTATTAAAATTGTATATTTTAATGTACATCCCCATGTATAATGTACTTAAATCTTTGCTGTATTTGTATTTGACATTTTATGTCTTCATATTTTATGTTTTATCAAATGACTTTTATAAGAACAGCAAGTACATCATTTACAGATGACATGCTAACATTTACAGATGTGTACGGTAGACACCGTAGGGATGTTTCTGTCGTCTCTTTTCAAAGTTTTGATAATCTCTTGCTGTGGTTTTCCTCTCTGCTGTTAAAGTTTTGGAATGTAATATCGCAAATATTGTAAACAAAACCAGAAAACAAAAAGTCGAATTCAAATAAAGACCATAAACACATGACACTATGGGATGTGTGTTGGAGAGTGTGTTAGAGTGTGTGTGTGAATGTCATGTCAGTCATCGGGTCCACAGGCGCTCCGTTAACTAATCGCCCCCTATAGACACAACGCCAATTAACTTCCTCTGTCTGCAGCCAGCTGTTAGAGAGAGAGCACAGATACTTCAGACACAACTGCAATTAGCTCTGACTGTGTGTGTGTGTGTGTGTGCAGTGTGTATCTTGTACTATGTTATAGCCAAAGGTCAGAGAGGTTTTAAGAGGAGACATATTTTCATTACTTTTACGACGTCAGCTAATCTCTCAGTATCCGTAATGATCACTTTTAATATATGATGGATTTAACAGGAGTTTTGGACATACTCTGATTTTTCATATAAAGCGAAGTAAAGGTAGTAATCCTAAATCTCTCTGAGAGTGAAATTAATCACTGAGCAGAAAATAAAGTATTGTAGTAAAATTCACTCTGCAGAGAATCGCCCATTTATAGATTCTGCCGAGTCTTAGTTTCAAAAAGAAATGACTGATTCAGTAAAGTACTTTCAGCTAAGACTTATTTTGGTCCATTCCTGTAAAAAACAAAAAACATAATTTCTTTGCTGGTTACATTCCTCGGAGAAGCATCTATTCATCTATTTATGGTGAGTCTCAGTTTCACTGTAAATAGAAAGTTATACAGAGGCTTCATTCTGCCTTACTTCAATATGTGAGACTGAAAAGGAGCTGATTTTCTCATAATTAACACATCTGCTGTTTGCTTAAATAAGCACATCATTATCAACAATTATTGATGCATTCAAGGAAGTCAGGAAATCTAAACGCTGATTGTCCCCAGTGACTCAGCATCAAGCAGATTAGTGTCTCAGTGTAAATGTTTTATCTAGAACAGATGAGATAGAGGGAAGTTTTTTTCTGGGACTTTATCCGAAGACTTCATGATGACCTTTCAGGATGTTTCATCCAAACGTCCTGGGTGAAAAATTAAACCCCAGCGTCTCTTCATGATTCTGTTTCCAAGCTTTTATTCTTTATTTTTTAATTTATTTTAACTTTTTTCCTGCAACCACAACCCTCAAGAGTAAAATGTTTTTTTATTACATGACTCATCCAGAGAGTACTGTATCACATTTTATTGCACCAGTGGACCTCTGGACAGGAAACTAGATCAAGTTTTATCTATTTCCAGGGAAAACGAAGAGGAGATTTTTTTCATTTTACTTTCACTTCCATCTCTGCGTTTGGGAGCGACGAAACCAAGCAATAAGATGACACTCCGGACCAGAAGAAGTGCAGGTCTGACCTTTGAGCAGCATGCTAATGATGTTTTCATTCTCAAAAATAACGGCTGTGGAGTGGGCGGAGCTTTAAATGTGCGATGCGTGACTCTAATTAGTTGTATTTAAAAGGTCACAGAGTTGACAGGAGACATGGTGTATCATCCTCATATTTAAACCTCTCTCTCCCTCTCTCTCTCTCTCCCTCTGTTTGGACGTTGAAGGATTTCTGAATGAAGCGTGACTCCTCTCTCTCTCTCCCTGTCTCTACACATCATCTCCACTGCAGTTGCCATGGTAACTGAGGGGCATGGATGACGCGCCGTCTCTCCCCTCTATATTTACTCGGTTGCTGTGGCGACGACCCAGACGTGCACCAAAGACCAGGGAGATTAGACGATGAAGACATCCCACAAACGGACACACGGATTGACATCGACTCTAATGTTACACGGCCAAAAGTGAGGGGACACCTACACGTGATACAGGAACTGAAGAACCACGACCTGTAGTGTGCAGCTGCGACAGATTTCAGTCTCCAGATGTCAAGCTCTGCATCAGGCTTTGCACCCTGGATGCAGGAATTTACTGTGTACAGCCCTGCTTTGTTCAATTCAAGGAGCTAAGGACTGGGACAGTTTGAAGAACAGATCCATAAGTTTGATCCAAAAAGTTCAACAATGGACACTGTGCCACCCGACCAAAACAGAAGCCAAAACATTTAGCACTCCCCCTGCTGGCTGGTTGCAGTGACAGCTATGTTAACAGATGGGACACAATTAAAATACACTCAACATGTCAGCCTAAAGTTTTTGCATCGCTTTTGTGCAACTAGAGGAGACGCCATGTGTAGTGACTATGCTGACCTGAATTTTAGTCACTGTCTGGGTACAGGGAATGAGGTGTTTTTGACACGCTTCTTTCTAGTAGGGCCTGACCGATTTATCGGCGAGCTGATTAAATCAGCCAATCTTAGCCCGTTTGGCCAAAACATGCGGATTTTCGCCGATATTTTCAGAAATAAAATGCGGAGAATAAGATTTGGTTTCACTTTGAAGATGTTCCGCCATTTGAAAAGTTCCCCGGCTTATCCTGTAGATGGCACAGCGACCTCATGACGATCTTCATCCACTAACTACCTCACAGCACAGCAGAGTGACGGATCTGAAGCAGGCAGCTCAGGGACGCACGGAGGAGAGTGGTCCGCCTCAACAGTGAATAAACCAGTTTGTGAAATACACAATAAGTCAACAAGTTTCAGTTCAACCCACTTCACCATGTTCCCCGCTGTGCTGGTCTCTGTCACGCCGAGTTAACGGTGAGGCACTGTGTAGTATGCAAGCTAAAGTTAGAGTTAGCCATCTGCTATTAGCCTTGCTACACTGTTAGCCGTGGAGAAGTAACAGTAGAATAAACAACAGTACACATTACGTGATCGAGCTACTTCTCTTACTGAGGCAATTGATGAGACCAGACCGGAAATGAGTAATCTGTATCAGCATCGACCCCAAAAAATCCATATCAGTCGGGCCCTAGCTTCTAGTAATATCCAATGTCCAATCCAAGGTTGTTGTTGAGTTATATTTTCGTTATTTATTGATTAAATGAAAAAAAAAAAAGACAGATACATCCAACTTACAACAATGGTGATGTTCGTGATGAGGGTGAGAGTGGTGTCGGAGATTAACCGTGGGCTCTTCCTGTTCCCCAGATCACTGCTTCACCTGTGTCCCTTTTGTAGCATTTACCTGCCCATTCACTCGAAGTGCCCCTTCTGGTGATTGTGCGAGTAACAAAACAAAAACCCCAAAAATAATATAGATAAAATGGTTCATACTCCATGTTTATTTTAACATATAATTGATGGTGCATAAATCCAGCTGCAGTATCCATTTCAGTCTAAGTTAAACTTGTTGTCTCCATTAAAGGAGCCTTTGAGTGGGCAGGATTTCTCAGCTAGCTTTGACTGTGCTAATGGCTCACTAAAAGAGTCACCTGATGAGGAGATAGCAGACTTTGAGTACCACTAGCCCTGAAAATCGATCATTTTATTCTGTGTTGTGTTACAGCTGATGACAATCAGACTGAAACTGGCCTGAGTGTTCTGAGCATGCTCCAGTAATGAATAGCATGAATGCGTTGCTAGGAAGCAGAGTAAACAAAACCTTGACGGACAAAGAAAGATGAAATGTTCCTATCATGAGAACAAACAGAAGATACAAGCAGCACTATGAAGTACAGGCATTTTGAAACTGCAGATAACCTGAACCTTCAAGATGATTCAATGAACATCAACATCAGCGCTGACTGTCTTCACAGGGCCATCTTTGTGTCACGTTGACTTAAGAGGCAAACAAATTATGACACGAAAAACGTCCTACACTGAAACCGAGACGCGAAATCCAAACCAGGACAAACAGATCAAGACAAACAGGACTGTATTCATAGTTGTGGTTGAGCAGCAGCTGACACACACACACACATACACACAGTCATTGCGTCAGCTGTGGTGTGTTTACTGTCAGCTGTTTGTTAATGGTGCTTTAAGTCCTTCATTCACACTGACACTCTTGTTTTGTCTCGTTCGATCTATTTCTGCTCCTGCAGCTGAGAGACAAAAACCCATCCGGGTGAAGCACTGCTGACGCTTATTCAATAAAAATAACATTTAATTCACAAGACTGATGCAGCACCCACAGTTTATTTCTGCTTATTCACACATTTAACACATTTAATTTTTGATTTTATGCATAAATTTAACCCGAACGCTCAGAAAAAGTCATGATAAAGCGGTGTAACCTGCTCAGCAGAGTTTACATTACCTCTCTCACTGCCCTGGATTTTATCAGTTTATCTATATACATGCGTGTGATTGCTTTCGGTCATTTCTTTCCATTTCTATTCAGGAAATCCATTAACTCTACTCTGATAAGCCACCATCAACTGTTGCCTTATCTAACGTTTCGATTTTCCAATGAATTGAACAAGCCTATTTCCCTATGACTGGTCAACTTCTTCCACTAATTATCATATAAATTCAGCATACGACATCTTAATCCCTCTTTGCATGAGGCATGTCTTAAGCCATAAATCAAATGAGCATTACTTTAATGTGAAATACTAAGTGGGAATCGTTTCTAGGATGAGAATACACACATCTTTTTCCCAGTGTTTCACTTTTATGTTACGGATTCATCTATCCTGTTAGTCCTGCAGGCTGAGACTAAGGGTCGACACCTAACTAAGGATGGGAATCATAGACTGGTTTTCGGTCAGAACAGGTTTAGCCTCGAGAAGAATTGACATTGTATGCCTTTTCTGGAAAGCAGAGGAAGTGACAGTTCAAACTAAAAAAGCTGAATCTGGTCGTATTGTTGTTGTTCCAGAAGCTGCCACTAGTGTCGCTGTAGAGCCTCATTCAGCCGATAGGACTTGTATGTCACGTTGTCAACATAATAAACAGAGTCGTCTTACCTTTGGGTTGAGGACCAGCTGCTGTTCGTCAAAGTGCAGCAGAGCGACAGAGTTCGACTCTGAGTTGTTGACGAAGATCTGCAGGCAGGGATAAAGAGACGTCCCCTTACAGTCCGTACCGCACGTAAACACACACTCGAACATCTCCTCTGGACGCAACACCGACACCACCTACAGGGGCAGAAGACGACGTTTCAGTCACATTAAAGCTCAATTAAAAACAGAAGAAAAAATGAACTATTTTCAATATAGTTAATACAAATATTTACCAACAGTTTATTTGATTTACTGTATATAATCTGTACTGTTTAGTTTTTTGTGAGTTTGTAGTGTTCTAAATGATTAATTTTGACATAAAGTTTCCATTCTTTACTGTCAATATATCATTTCCTAATATTTCCAGCTAATGGAGCAGTATCCCGACTGATCCGCTACATCAGAAACATAATTGCGACCACTGTTTCATTGAGTTGGTAAGTTTAGAATATTAATGCATGTTTGCTTACCCACAGGCAAGCATGAGCTTCTCATTTGTTCATATATGTAGCTGCTGTCTGACTCAATTCAGCTTATCTTTTTCAAATGTAGACAAAGAGTTATGGATTCATATCCTCTCGCTGCTCACTAAAGGACTGAACTATGCTACAGGCATGAACATAAATATCAATACACACTAACAAACCATCAATCGATGCAGATTTGATAAGACTGGGACATTTCTTCATCACTCAGGAGGTCAGACCGCAGCAATAAAGTCCTAATATTGTGATTTATGTTATATTAAGCTGTGGATTAGTGAATGACGGAGTAGACTCTCAAACCGCCACATGAGTATGGATGATTTAAAGCTAAAAAAAACAAAAGGCGTCCACTCTCTGTAATGCGCCGACATTATTCCAGGACGATGCAATAAGCTAACAGCCGAATAAATCACGCTGGTGGGAATTCATCATCAGCGGTAAGGAGCGAGGCAGGAGAGCTGCAGACTCTACAGGCGCCTCATGCCATGGAAGTCCCGATAGATCCAAAAGGCTGTGCAAACACTTTTAATAACCCACAAGGGAAAGTAATGCAGATGGAGGAAGCAAATGTCCTCCAGGTGGACAAACCTGCTTTGTATTGACAACCAGGAAGATTCATATAAATGATTCTGGTAATAAAAAATGGCCTGAAGCTTTTAACTTTCTGTCAAAGGGAGAATTTAGGATTCTATAATGCTACGTGAGGCGACAAATAAGAGCTACTTCACTGCGAACCAATACTGTTAGGCTTTTAATAGTACAATATGACCCACAGCATCCATCTGCCAGTGCACAGGAGGAAAAAGCAATGGTAACAGATCAAGAAAATTTATTTACTTTGGGAAATGTGCCAATTAAAAGAGTTTTAAATCAAGCCATAAGTTAGCGATGACCTTGTCACTTTTCTCCTGCTGTATTTCTGGCTCTAGTTCAGAGGGAAACTGATTGGATTGGTTGTGTTTTATCTAAATGGAAAACCAAAACATCAGACGTAATGAATCTGTAAATAAAATCATAGACGTGTGCAACATCTCAGACGCTTGTTGAGCTACATTTGTATATAAAGACGTTCTACATGAGATTAAATGACATGAAATGATCTAAAATAGGACACAACCCTGAAGGGAAAACCTTTTAACATTTCATATTTTAGAGGGGTACTCATTGACTTGTTTGGTGGGTCTCAGTTTTAGAGCAGCGGTGTCATTATAGTGGCTTGTGATCTGCCTGCTTTTGCTCTCCACGCAGACTGTTACATCCTGCAGATACCAAAGCCTGCTGACACCTAATCGTCTGTTACTACTCCTGACAGTCCATCTGATAATTCTCAGTTTTTTCCAGCCTTGATCAGAGTGAACTTTCCTCCTGTGAGTCAGACAGTTTCGTAAATCAGCAGAAAAATAAAGTGATGACACCTCCTGAGATAAAACCAGCTGAGATTTTCGGTTTCTCTGACAGTTTGACCGATGATTGACAACTGAGTGTGAGCAATCCTGTCAGATCATAAACCCTGATCACCGTCAGTGTCTGTCACACATACACCGATCTGTGTCAGCGATTGTATCACTTATCACCTCATTATGCATGGGAGGCAGCGGGAGATACACACAGATTATCACATTTTTAATCACGTCCTTCATGTCGTTTATGTGAAGTATAACTCTAATAATCTCTCTTAAACTTATAACTAGGGGCAGTTAGTATATACTTAGCTCATTATACTGCAAATGTTACTTTTGAGCACGAGTTTTGTGAATTTTGCTCAAATTCTTATCTTATGTTAAACTATATTTTGATGCTTTGTTGTGTTTGTATATTTTGTGCTTTAATTCTAGAGTACCTGAAATCATGCAATAGGGGTGGGAAAAAAAATCGATTCACATAAGTATCGCAGTTTTTTGTTTTATAATTTTTGAAAAAAAAAAATTGTTCAAAAATCTTTTTTTTTTTTCTTCAAATTTAAGAATAAATCTTAAAAACTGGCTTGCATGTGATGTGTATTTTTTGGGGAAATATTGCTCCTGGATTAGTCAGTAGACAATCATAATCATTCAACTGTTTCACTGGTGTTAGAAATGCAGACTAAAAATTGAGAAAACCGACAATATCGTAGAATCGCAATTTAAATCAAATCAGCATCCCAAAAATCATAGAAGAATCGAATCGAGAGAAAAGCATATCGTCCCAGCCCTATCATGTCATATCCATATTTCACAACATAAGCTCCTCTTTGTGTTGAATTTTTGTAAGATATATAAGAGCAAACATAATTATATTTTTTGGAACTGTGCTTGTATAACATTTTCAAGACCTTTTTTAAGAAATAACTTTTGGATGGACAATTTACAATTGTCATACATAATTATAATATTTTAACAACAAATACACTATTGTTACACTATTATATTGCTTATTATTTAACTTTTGATGCTAAACCTGGTTGTTCAAATCTTTCAGATAAATTAGAAGGGTCAAGAGAGCAAAATAATGTCTATAATATTAAAACCAATGCAAGTATTCATCTAAACTTTTTCAAAAAGTTACAGTAAAATATACTAAAAGTTTCTGTTGACAGCAGTGTCAACTTTCCACGAATTTGCTGCCACTTATAACAAACAGGAAACTATTTTTACATTCTCATTATATGAAAAAAAATGCACTTTTAATGACTCTTAACAACTTTTAATAGCCTATTAAAATAAGCCTATACTAAGTAAACCTGTGTACTTCCAACTATGAGCCTACTTCCTGGTGTTAGCATAAGTAACGGTCGCCCTTCGTCGTAAAAACACGCAAAAAATGTAATCTACTTTAGGTATTATTATTGACAAAAATGAACAAATTCCTACACAGTTGATTGAAAAATAGTTCTAAAAATACTCCTGATGACATCATAAACAAAAATCCGTTCCAAATGAAAGTTTAATTCCTTAAACGTCAAACTCGATAAAATATCAATAAAACTCGAATATTTCTCCAGTTTTAACAAACAAAAACTCAAAAAAATACAACTACTTGTGCCAGAATCGACTACTCATACTTTAAATCCAGTAAACTACCACACTTTGTTAAACTACAGCCGGTTAAACGAAGTACAGACACCAGCTACGGGGCTCCGGCAGCCAGCGGCGCTGCTCGGAGCTGGTGGCCGGGCTCACCGTGCAGTTCGCCGGCTTGCTCTGCAGACTCTGTAGGGTCGGGCTGAGCCAGCAGAAGCCGAGGATGAAGAGGCTGAGGATCCCACACGCGATCAGGAACAAGCCCAGCCGAATGCTCTTGTCCTCGGCCTCGGAGTACTCGTACGATACCCGGATCTTCGCCATGGCAGCCCCGAGGAGACCTCCGCCGGCATGGAGAGGAGCACCGGAGGAAGAGGAGCTGGAGAAAGAAAGAGGAGGATGGATGGCTGAATGATGATGGGTGAAGAGGAGGAGAAGGAGGCGCTGCTTGTTCCCACTGAGGAACTGTTGAGTTTAAACACCGGCTGCTTTCTGTCTCTGAATCTGTTTCATCTCCCTCAGGCATCATTTATCCTCCTCCTCCTCCTCCTCCTCCTCCCCCTCTTCCTCACTCTCTCCCCTCCTCTGCCTCTCTTTATTTAATACTCGCCTCACTCTATCCATCCTGCTTGCTCTTGTTATTCCTCACATTGTAAATTTAAATTATCTGCAGCAAGAGGTTGAAGTAATGGTAGACTACAGCTCAAGTACTCATAAAAATACTGCAGTATGTCTGCATATATACTCAACCAGATGAACAGAATTTTCTGCTTCTTCATACTTTTTTTCACAACTTCTTTTATGGTTAATTTTATACTTTTGGTCAGCAACATAATCTAGTTATTCAGTAATAAACAAAACTATTACAAACTTACAAACAATGCTGTGCTATCAATGTAAAATAAATAATCAGCAAAGATAGGGGGCAGCAAAATCAATACAGATGCTCTTAAATGTTGGTAGCTACCCATACATTTATTTTGATGATAATACTTTTGTGTTTTTACCATAGACTGTATGGACAACTTGGTTCCACCTTCCAGCAGGCAACATTTTTTTGTAGAATGGTAGGGGAAAGTCCTGCCTCCTTCGCCTCTGATTGGCTAGAAAAGCTGGAAACGTAATCACACGTTCAAGCCAAACGCGGGCTGTCGGCTCTGTATGTCGAACAGAACATTGTCGCACTTCTGAATCTCCTAACCCTAACCTGACAGACGATGACGTTTCACAGCCATAAGAAATAACCAATCGGAGCCCATCAGTTCTAGCCAATCAAATCGCTTCCGGCAGTATATGGATTTGAAGCCGAAAAACTCTTGGTAATTCTGTGTTTTTTCTCCATTTCCTGAAACCAACATTGCGCAGTAGCATTGTGCGCATTCAGCAGGAGAGTCACTGTGATGGCGCTCGGCTCAAACGGTGTATCCCCCTTGTCTTACAGTAACTACATGTCAACGTCCCAAGCAGGGGGGAAAAAAATGTATATTCTGTGCAATTAATTTCTAAAGTTTGTCCACAGCCCCATAAGCTTTGCTGGCGGAGGCGGGATTTATGACCTATACTGCAGCCCATCACCAGAGGGTGCTGTTCTCAGAGTGGCTTAACCCAGCAGACGGCGTCGATTCTATATACAGTCTATGGTTGGTAGCTACCCATATTTTTATTTTGATGCTAATACTTTCGTGTTTTTACTTGTTTTGGATGCAGCACTTTTACTCGTTCCATGCTAATCATACAAGTAACAGGTTGTTAAATTGAAACCAAAGGTGCAGTACATAGAAATGGAAAGAGTTTATAGTATCTAGAGGTCAAGTTCTATATTGGACTGCTCCCTTGCTCACCCCTGTCAGTAAAGCAATAGTGTTTTGAGGTTATGGATGTTTCTGTTTTGATTTTTTTAAACCAGAAGTGACTAAATTTGTAGGGATAGGTGGGAACAAGTAGCTGCATTTCTACCCTGGTTGGCGACTTGTCAATCACAGGTAGCCCCACCCCCAAAATCCTGCCTACCTTTCTAGCCAGTTTGACTCTAAATGAGATTTAGATCATAAACTCATTTGGGAAACATTTACTGAGGGAATCTATCAACTGACAGCTCTGACTTCTATATGATCAGACAAGTAGTGTCGCCCCCTACTGGAAATAATAGGTTTTGTTAATCCTTCAGCATACTCTTGCAGCATACTCATACCCTCCTCATCTCTCTGTCTTTCTCTCTCTTTCTCTCTTCAGGTTGAGAGATGCTCGCTCGCCCCGGTGGCCTCCTGACTCGATCCAGATTTGTGTTTTATTTCAGCTGGTTGTTCTCCGACCGTTACACGCTGCCGGAGATAATCCTCTTAACTCTCGCTCTCAGTCAGAGACGGACATCCTCTGATGCTCTGGACAAAAATAATATCACAGTTCGTTTCAGATACAGTGTCCATGTCCTGCTTACCTAAACCCAACAGGTAATCCTGCACAGCTGCATCACTACGAACTATCATAACTATATTTTACTGTGGCGCTGAATGAGGAACTTTACAACAGTGAGTGAAGCTCATTGGTAAAAAAAAAACACATTTCGGAAATGATAATGTGTGTAAAATTGATGCTCTTTTAAAAATTTGACACCAACAATATTCATTACTGCATCCATTTTAAAAAGCGTGAACTCTCCCTTTAAACACTCAGTTTTAATTGCCTCCCAAAGCATCACACGGCTCATCCCTAATGCTGCGAGATGCATGTTTTACTATTGTTATCGATCCTCCAGAACGATATCTTTAAACACATCATAGTTTTATATTCTGTCGCAGAAATTAAAAGTCTAACCGTGTAGAATATTTGTCTTTTTTATTATCTTCCTCATGGCCCTCATTCTTGTCTATAAACTGCATCGTCTATACTGTACCTTATTACTTTCATGGATCAATACCTCCATTTTATTCTCTCTTTCCCCCTGTAGGTGTGAGAGACTCTGATCACAGTTAAAGATGCGACCAGTCGTCCGAAAAATGGCCTCCGGGGATTCTTGATCAATGAGCTGACTGAGCTGTATTGATCTCGCCCCTGCCCATCCCGCAGTGGAGATTCCAGAGTGTGTGAATAAACAAAAGCACACACCTGTTGATGAGCTAAAGGATGGTGACACACCAAAAAGATAATGTTGATGCAACGGCTGCTCTAACTAAAACACACGCTGTTCCTGTGCTTAATGAAAGAGTCTCTCCAACCTAGACAGTGTCTCAAAGAGTGAGAAGTGAAACTCAACGGGTACCTGGGAAAAGACAAGGCTAACACATGATGAATACACCAGATTCTGACCTTTAAACAAACTCTAAGTGCATGTAAATACGGATAAAATCCACATTGACTCCATATTTGCCCTAAAAAAGATCAAGCTGGGTACCTTAAACACACTCATGTCAAGGTCACATTGGGGATCTTTTAATTTAACCAAACCAACATGAGAAAGTCTCCTTTTAACAAGAGACTAAGGGTACCTTGACACAGAGTCTTGGGGTAAGCTAAAGCAGACCAAACCAAAACAAGAAAGTCTGAAAACAGACCTTCATACCCATTATAAAGATTATCTTAAAATCTGTGCTGGAGGGCACCCCGAAACAGACCAACAGCAATTCTTAAGTGGTTTTCAAAAGAAACTCTAAATAAGATCAGCTTCATCTTGGAAAGAAATGCAAACAGCTTGAAGAACAAACTTTTGGATTAAAACAAAAACAGAAAAGGCACTTTATAGGGTATCTCAAACAGTCAGTGATGTTACTTTTTTCACATTAAAGGTGGGGTAGGCAGGAATCCGTTAAAGAAGCATCTTTTTTTGTGGTGTATAAACAAAAAAGCTTTTAATATCAGTCAATAGCTGTTAGCTATTGATGACATTTAGTAATATAATAATATCACTGTGTTTTGTTATGTCTGTGTAGTCAACATTTAAAAATTTTTGAGCGGTCCGCTCTTTCTGACTGTAAACGAAGCCATTCCCTGCCTTCCTCATCCTGATTGGTTGAGAGGCAGATGCTGCTCCCCCGTGTCGTTCAGGAGCCCAAACAAAGTTAGCGTGCTACAATATCGGACAGTAGAAACCAACCAGAAAGTTCGGAAAATTGTCTGAATCCTCCTTTGGCCACGACTGCCGACACAAGCAAGAAAACAAAGTAAATACCGGAGACTGGTGGAATAACGGGCGCTTAAAACGGAGGTAGACCTGACAAGAGCTAAAAAGCCGGGTCAACAATGATGGGGGATGCTTATGGACCCTGTAACCTTTCTGCTGGACAGGTAAACCGCTTTAACAAAGTAAGCCAAGTGTCTGTAACAGAAGTGTTTCTTGTCAAACGGACCTGCTGTAGCGTGTTGTAGCGCCATCGCTAAACTGTCCTCCCTCGGGTCCTGGACTATGTCACTTTATCCTCGTTGTAGAAGTCCTGCAAACATTGTGTTTGCTGGTAGACTGTTGGCAAAGTATTTATCTGCATTATATCTGAATTTAACTAGAACGATAGGAGCGAGCAGGAGCGTCTGTTTGTGGGCGGGGCTTGCTGGAGCGGAGAGGGAGCGGAGAGGAGGAGCTGAGGGGAAACTGGTTGGGAGGGGTAGAGTTTACATTCAAGATGTCTCCCAAAAACCGTCACTTCCTCAGATTCTGCCTACCCCACCTTTAAATCAGATCAAAGCAATGTAAAAAGTTTATCTTCAAGCTGTCGGTTAAGATTATCCTAAAACTGGTGATGCAGGGTTCCTCAAAACGGACAGCAAAGACCTCAAGAAAAAAACTCAGGAAAGACAGTCATTTAAAGACGTCACTCAATGTTCATGGGAAATGTTGGCGAGTGAATATTCTTACAATAATACACTTATCATCAATTATGAAACAAAACAGTCATCCAGGGTGAAATAAAGACATATTAAAAATGACCTTTGGAGGTAAATATGTAAAAAAAAGGCCACACATTAATGCTGCTTTGTTCTCAGCTAAAAATGATCAAATAATGGTAGAGTTCAAAAATCCTCCTAACACTGATCATCTTCAGCCTTTAGTGCTTCACTTTCTCTGTTGTGTTCTCCCTCAGCCTGTTGCATAAATGTAAAGGCTCCAGATAAAGGCTCAGCATTATGCATTGGTAATCAGGGAGGCATGTGGCAGGATTATTATCATCTCTGCAGATCAAAAGATTACAAATAATAACGGACATGAGCGCAGAGGAACACAGAGGCCACGTGTCCATGCAAAGCGCTCGCACACAGACACCAGAGATTTATCACCAGGCTGCACGCAAAAAATAAAAGAAAATAAGAAAATCTGAGGTTTGCAAAAGAGAAAAAAAAAAAGATTATTTGAATAACACGCTGCATCAACAGTTGGTTTCCTGCAGCTTTTAGTGGAAAAGATAGAAAAATAGATCATGTAGGGCACAGCCGGCCTCAAACCAGCATTCATGTGATGCGATTATGCTGCTCAATATTTGCTCCTGCTGTCCTGGAAAAACAGAAGTGGTGGTGGAACTGCAGAGGCAACATTTGGCTGAAAAATCCCAGCATCAACAGAGAAATACAGCCTGTAAAATCCCTCATTATGGAGGCGAGGCTGATGGAGCAGCACTCGGATGGAGGAAATGCAACAGAGTGATTCTGCAGCTTTTTTCTGCAGCATATCTGTGTTTTAGTCCGTAGGTTTAAAGCAACATTTTACTTTTTTAGACGCATTTTGTCTCCAAACAGAAACATAAAACAACAGGCTGCTGTCTTAACGTTAAAATCCTGCTGTTGGAATGTGACACATGTCCAGATTAGGACATATTTGAGAGGATTTTGGACATAAATATGCTTTCTATTACACTAATCATCTCTTAAACCATGTCTTATAACCTCTGAGGTATATTCTTTGTCTACAAAATTACATGTAATTGCTGTTTTTTATGATTTTGTTCTTGATTTCAGTTTTGTTGTTGTTTATGACGACACAGTCCTATATCCTGTCTCGTTGTTTTGCTGAGAAATAAACAAAAAGATCGATACCAAACATGCATGTTATTAAGATATGAAGCTATTGCTACTAGCTAAATGCCTTTGCTTAGCTTAACTTTTACGCTAACTTAAGCAAGGCTAACAGTTACTTAGCTGCAGTAAAATGAACTAACAACAAACGTGTCAACCCTGTCCTACAACTCAATTCATAAATGCAAAAAAGTGCTTCACTGAAGATGAAGCAATACTTTATGAGAAAGGTCACAACAGCAATCTGATTGGTTGGATTGTTGCCATCAAATTTCAAACAATGAAAATATTTGATTTGCTGTGTTTGCACTAGTTACAATTAAATATAAACTTGAAATGTTTTACAAACCATCAAATTCTGTTTAGAAGTAAAGTGTCTCAGCTGTTTGGGGCACTAAGTTAGAGATTTTATTCTATTTTAATATTTTATTGTTAAAATCTATTAAAGGACTCTGAACAGACCAAATTTTACACCCTAAGATTTCTTGTTTCATCCAAACAACAGTCTAAAGCTTGATACCTGTGCTTAATATTTAACTTCATATGTATGTTTCCAACAAGCTATGATTTGGAGCTTGTTACTAATTGTTACGTGAGTGTAAATAATTAATTTCAAAGTTGCTAGAGTTCTCTCAAGTTTTTAATTTTTGACACTTTTCATGTGCAAAAAAGTTCATAAATCAAGTGTGTTATTTCTGCTGTTGCTTCACCTCTTTACTCTTCCTCATTTAAATTCAGCTCCACTCTTGTTTTTGTTCAACAAATTTTTATCGCCACATAAAATCTTCACTGCTCTCACCTCAGAGCCGGATCGTGTTCCGGTATTTGTTTATAGTGTGGGTGTGTGAGTGTGTGTGTTTACCTCCATGCGACAAAAAGCCCTCCCTCTGCAACTTTGGTGCTTTACTTTCTCTCAGTCATCACATGCAGCTGCTGTGCTGTTGAAAAAGCTGAAATAAAAAGTCAGTGCATTGATATGTCTGATATATGCAAAGTTTCAGGAAAGAGAAAAAGCAAAATAAATAATGCGAAAGTGCTTAGAGCAGTTTTTTCACTATATCTGACTAAATTAAAAAGCAGAATATAAACTCACCTGACTATTAATTGGTCAAAATGTTCGAGGTATCATTGTGTTGTGGTCTGGTTTACCTTTTAGTCCGCCTTTGGAGCAATTTTTAGCAGCCAGCGCCCTCTCGTGGACAAACTCCTGAAACACGGCTGTGAAATCAAACATTACTGCCCCGATGAAGTGGCTTTTTTCAAACTCTAGACATCACCTCGGACTACAGTGGAGTGTTTTTACAGCTTAAGACAATTACTTTAAAACCACATGTTATTGGAAATAATTGTGTTTTTGTTTAACAAAGGTTTTTAAATTAGAAATCATGACTTTTTTCTAGTTTAAAAGGACATTTCTGTGAGAAATAATGTAAATAAGTTTGTCAGGTATTGTCATTTCACAAAGACGTGTCTGAAAATGAAGGAAAAAAAACAAGATTAAGAGACCAAATTTCTTAAGGAAATATATCAAGTGTTTCACAGTGTAAATAACTAAATTTGGCCAGTGTTAAACTTAAGGATTTCTTTGTGAAACTTAGTGACGAGGTACCTTTCTCTTAAATTTTCAGTCATGGGAAAGAAAAAACACTAACAATGAGGTAAAACATTAATTAAACAATAATTTGAAATAAAACTAAATAACCACATGGACTCCTGTCTCAGTTTCATTACCAGAATATTTATTATTTTATTCTTTTTCCTATTAAAACACTAGCTGCCATATTTAATAAAACAGCCAACGGCCAAGTGCCTCAGTCCTCATCCTCCAATCAAATCTCCTCCAGCGGGTCACATGGGTCTGGGGGCGTGTCCTTGGCTTTTGTTGCTAAAATGCGGTTGGTGATTTGTTGTTGTTGTCTTCCGGTAGAGTCAGCCGTGGTCCCCTGTTCACCGTCTCCATGTTGGTTTCCGTGGTAACGGGAAGTCAGAGTATTGCATCGTTTACTGGCGGCCAGCGGTGGGAACGTTACCTCGTCTAAAAGACATGTTTCTCTTTTTTGTTTTTCTCCTTTTTTCTTAAAAATCCTGCCTTGTATGTGTGTTAACATAATCAAATATAAACACACATGACTGTACATTGGTGCCTCCTGCTGGGATGCAAAACGTAAACTCAGAACAAATAATTTTAGATTCTGTGACTTTGAATTTGGGCTTTTTCTGCTTGATTTAGCGTTTTGTGGACATTCAAGAAAAAGAGTATCATATTTCAGGAGACAAACTGTCTTACTTTCTTGCTGAGAGATAGACAAGAAGATTGACACCAAACTTGCCTATAATTAAAATATGAAGCTATTGCTAGAAGCTGTGTAGCTAGCTTAGCTTAGCAATAAGCCTGGAAGTAGCCTACTTGAATCTGCTGAAAGAAATCTACGAAACAACTTTTCTTAAGATAAATAACCTCTGATGTATCTGATTTTCTTGATTGAAACAGACTTGTATATAAAAATAAACAAGTTACCTTTTTGCTAAGCTAAGCGAAGCTCACAATCCTCCTCGCTGTCACCTCGTACAAATTGAACAAACAACTAAAATGTGTCAATCCTCTCCCATAACTCGATTCAAGAAAGCAAGAAAGTGACTTCCTTAAAATGTAAAACGTCTTTGAGATAAGGGTCACCAGAGTAATCTGATTGGTTGGGCTGTTGCCAGGCAGAAAACAAATAAAGGTAAGGGGTAATAAAATTGTGGGAGAACTAAAGGGAAAGATAGAACGATTAAAAAATTAAACTGTAACCTTGTTGAAGAAAGTGGAGGGAAAAAACGGGAAAAAAAGATGATGAAGAAGAAATGGAGAACGATTTGGAAAGTTGTGCATTTGTTAAAATGAAGTGCTGATTTTTTTTTAAGTAATCAACTCCCGAAATGACAAAAAAGTGATGGTTTGGGTTTAAGAATCAGAACTTTTCCTATTTCTATGTTTCAAGGCAAAGTTGTTTTGAATAAGTAGTTTGATTTCATTTTTGAGGAGTAAGTGGCAATTGTTAAAAGTTACATTTTTAAAAAGTTATATGTAGATGACGTATGTATAGAGTTTTGGATAGTGCTCAGTTGAGTTTGTTTTCCCAATGTTAAAGGATTTAAAGTTTTTTTTTTTTTTTTTTTTTTAATGATTGCAAAAACCAAACTGTCCACACTTATTTTCTTAATTTCAACATTGATTTAGTTGATAAATTAATATTTCAGTTTTTACGCCTCCTTTTTCTGTTTCTCTCATTAAAAATTAGGCTTAATTTAGCTATTTCTTACTTTTGAGTTGAATTTCTTTCAATTATGGGCTTTTAGTTGGACATATTTTTGGAGGGTATTTTAGGAAATGACTTTCTTAAGATCTACAGAGAAGGGGTGAAAACTCAAAGGAAAAAAAAAAACAAAAAAAAGGTAGATCTTTCGGTTGGTTGTGGACAAACAGTGACAGATGATTGAAACTGCTTGGCTAAAAACTTACTTCAAAGTTGCCTGATTTATCTGGATTAAAAAGGAAAGTTTAGATTATACCCGGTGCGGCCACATTAACATCCAACGAACCAAAAAAAAAAAAAAAAAAAGGATATTTTTCTTCTTTTATTATGAAATAGTGCTACAATGTACATTGCATTTTCTCTCCTGACTCGGCTGTCTGCTGCTGATGTGTTCTGATCTGTGCTGCCGGAAAAAACAAATCTGGTAAAATAAAGAGATGAAGGATATTTCCTGCCAAAGGTCAAAGGTCGGAGAGGTGAGACACACGTGTGAAATAATTATCCATCCTGACTGGTGATTTAGTTCTGAGTTAAAATCTGGTTCTTCTTTAAAAGCTTCAAAAATAGTCAAATTCTTCAGTGATAGAAAGAGGAATCACCCCGTCAGATGGACACTTATTTACAGAGTGTGTGTCGCTGTCCGTCTTTCAGTGTGTGTGTGAGAAAGTGTGTGAGTGTGTGTGTGTTTGTGTGCTCCACAAAACTGAACCAAACTCATGGAGGGAGAAGGAAGGTCAAATAAAAAAAAAAAAAAATGAGGTAAGGAACAAACAGAAATCTGAAAAGTTAAAATCATAAAGTCTATCCAGTACAGAGGAGGAGGCGGGACATCCTCTCCCATCCCGAGTCCTGATTGGCCAGATTCACTTAGCGTGTGTGGAGGGGAAGAAAACCTAGAGGGTGATGATGATGATGAAGATGATGAGCCAGGAGGGCCAATGGCAGGCAGGCAGGAGGAGGTAGAGCCAATCAGAAGGCCTGCTGGGCAGGATTGTAGTTGAATGTGGAGGGAACGTGAGGTCGCTCTTCTAGCTTGTCGTACTCCAGATGAAACTCCTGAAAACAACAAAGAAATAACAGCGAGTCAGATTTATGACTGTTCACTTAACATCTATGAATGTTGGAATTGATCGACAAATGTGTGAAAAACTTCAAATGAATAAACGAGTTTCAAAAGGTGTACATGTTTACAAATGTGTACACACACGTTAGAGCATGACACAGAAGCGGATTTTCACTCCTGTCCCGTCCCACTCTCAGAGAAAAAATCCTGTCCCAATCCCGGACCGGAGTAAAAAGATTAATCCTGTCCTGTCCCACTCCCACTCAAAATTACTCCCACTCCTGTCCCGCTCCCGTTTGAATAAAACCAAACATGATGAAAAAAAGTTGCATTTTTTTATTTTAGTGCATATTATGCACTGCACTTTTACCTAAAATAAAAAATTTTAGGCAGCCGCTCCGAGTCGCTTTTCACTTCCGGTGGTGACAGGAAGTCAAACCACTGTTGTAGTTCTTTTGTGTTGCTAGCGCGGTCAAAAGTGTTGGCTCTCACTGAGCGATGACTTCAAAAATGGACGCATCTGTTCATCTGGTTGTTTAACACGGCTGAAAATGATCATCTTTTAATGTTGTTCCCGCTCCCATTGCTTTTTTTCCCGTCCCGTCCTGATCACGGGATTAATTAAAAAATGATTCCTGTGGGAATCACGTGACCCACGGGAATTCCTGAAAAATGTCATCCTCTAACACACGTCTCTCAGGGTTGACACTGCTGATGGCCAAAATGAGACAAGGATAAATGGATCAACTGTATTTTTCGCACTATAAGGCGCACTTAAAATCCTTTAATTTTCTCAAAAATCCTCAATGTGTCTTATAATCAGGTGCGCCTTATAAATGAACTCTGGTTGTACTTACTGACCTCAAACCAATTTTATGTGGTACACAGCGCTCAAAAATCTGTCAAAATGTTTTATTACGACTTCAGTAAGCTACAAAGACGCACATTCTGATGGCTTGTCGGAGCACTTTGTTTGGCTTAATGCGCTTTAAAATCTGGTGCGCTTTATGTATGAAAATAGACGCGAATAGACGCGTTCATTGATGGTGTGCCTTGTAATCAGGTGCTTCTTATAGTGCGAAAAATATGATTGAAAAATATGTGTGTGTGTGTGTGTGTGTGTGTTTTTTTCACCTTTGCCACCTTCCTCCAGTTGAGGCAGTCGAAGAAGTAGTAGGTCCCTCTCTCGTAGGCGTTGGTCTTCAGCGTGGGCTCCATCCCTGGAGCTCGAGTGATCCAAACCCGCTCCTCTTTATGGTACCTCCAGTCCCTGTTAAACCTGCAAATATAGAAATAAACATAAAAAAAAGATGAAGACATAAAGATGGAATAATAAAAAAAATTAAGTGTGTGTGAGTGTGTGTCGGTGTCTCACAGTTCTACTGCAGCCAGGAGTTGTAGTAGGTCTCCTCCGTTCATATAGTAGAGATAAAACAGCAGATCTTCACCATACCGAGACAGTTTGATAGCTGCTAACTGCAGACATGAAAAGATCGACAGTCAAACACTGAACCGATTCAAGAAGTCAGCTGATGTTTTGAGCATGGCTGTTGTTTTAAACGCTTAAGGGTTTCACAGGAGTACGTACCTTGTCCCTTATGTGGATGTTGGTTAAATACTCTGAGGGGACGTGGAAATCTGCAGGAAGAGAAGCGAGAAGACAGTGAAGTCTGTGCAGATGATACTCCAGGCCAGTAAAGGGAAATTATAAGACCGGTATAAGGTATAATAATCCAAAATAAGGATTTGGCACACTTGCCGTGCAGATTTTGAACTCACCTATATCCTGCGGTCGACACGGAGCCGACGCCCAGGGTGACGCAAACTTAGGATACAGATTCCTTAAAAAGAGAGAGAGGCAAGGAACAGTTTGAAGTTAGAAACTTAAAGAAAGAGTTTTTCTGGAGTGCTTTTAGAGTACTTTTTGAGGGCCGTTTTCCCCTCCTTTTGGGGAGCCCCACTGTGTGTTATGCTGAGTAAACCTGCACCGGTCTGAAGTTTGTGTTGGATGAATCTAGTGTTAGTGTGTGTGTGTGTGTGCGAGCGTGACTCACTCTGGCGAGTTGAGGTTGAGGCCGAGCGTCGTGAGGTCAGAGCCAAGTGCCAGGTGGACCATGCCGGGGTCCGTCTCTGCCGCCCGGATGAACGTCAGCAAGCCAATCATACCAAACTGGTCCGTTACCATGCCGACCGGGATGTTGGTCACTCGGCCTGGAATGGAGACGACACATGAGCTTATTTGGACTGAAATCTGTCTTCATCTGTTTATAAGTTTCGTTCATTTTTTAAATTCTTGTGTTTTTGGTTCGAGGTCTCACCGTCAGGAAGCACCTGAATCCCTTTCTTCTGCTGGTTGTTGTTGCTCGGTGCCGAGCTCTTATCGCCGGGAAACTTTGGACCATCTGAGTTCGAGGTGGGCTTTCCTGATGAGTTCAAATTCTGCTTGGACAAAATAAAGAGATGGTAAAGTTAAACGCTAGCGGCACAGAAACAAACAGTGAAAGAACGTAAACAAGGAAAGGCAAATCAAAGCTTCTGACCGTTTTGCTGTCCTCATTGGTGCTGGTGGGGTCTTTTGTTTGGTAATTTGGCCCGGGGAGAGCTGGGAAATCCTCGTTATGGATGGAGAAGTCCTGAGACTGCTCACTGGACGGCTTGGTTACCATGCCAACTGGAAAATAGAGGAGGGATTAGTGAACGCACTTTTCTACGCCCCAAACGTGAGATTCTGTTCACACTCACATTTCCAAAATAAAAACCAGAAATTCTCAAATTAGGCTGGAATATAACAGATTTGACATTTTACTTCAACATATCTGGGAAAATTACACACATGGATTTAAACCAAGCCCCCAAAAGTTTTTTGATATTTTGCAAGTAAGATGTTAACTTGTCTCTCACTCAAATTCTCCCAGCGCAAGTGAGTCCTTTGCTTCTCACAGTCTGATGATTAAAAATATAAAGTTTATTGTTACTTTTAACTCAGAAATTACTCATAATTACTCAGTGACTGTTGAGCCGGAGAATTTATTTTAGAAAGTTTGAATAAAGTGAAAATATATTTAAATGCCTGAAGAGTGAATCTTCACGTCACTGAAAACTGTGTTAAAACTGGATCTTAGTAATCACTGGACTATATTAGCTTTGTGTTTGGGAATTAAAAGTTTGTATTTAGGAATAGCAGAGTTGTTTTTACCATACGGAGCCCGACCGGCCAGCGGGTTGAGCAGCGGTGTTGGATTGGAGCCTCCGTCCCTCCGACTTCTGTCTGCTAACGCTGGAAAATCTGACAGGTCCAAACCCGTCACATTCTCACTGCCGTCTGAGAGAATAAACATTAAAAAATAAAAAAATACTGAATATAATTAAATTAAACAAAAGAGAATCTAAAACACTGACTCTGCGGGATCCATTTAAAAAATAAAAGTGTTTTTGTTTGGTACCTGTGCCGTTGAAGATGTTGTTGGAGAGGGAGTTGTTCATGTTGTAGCCTGGATTCCTGTTCACACCGAAACCTGACATACTGAGACACACACACACACACACACACACACACACACACACACACACACACACACACACACACACACACAGACTGTGTTATTTCAGAGTTCAACATGGTGAGTTCCTAAAAAGACAGAACTGAAATTTAATGCGAGTTTTTTTTCTTTCCTTTTTTAGTTGGAAAATGAAAAAACGAACAGACTTGTTTTGTAGTGAGGCACATTTTGTAAGATCAATAGACCACGAGTGTGTATATCAACCTCAGAACTATTACACAGATAAACTTTCAGACACTGACACTTCATGCCTCTTTACTGTAAAAAAAAAAAAAAGATTTATAAGAAGATGACAAATCAGTTATTCGCAAGAAACAAAAAGTGGAAGAGAAGTTTAACACTGAAACTAAAAAGGAGAACTCTGCTGAAGAGTCATCATACTGACATGGAGACGTCTGATTCAGATAAGGTTTTGCTGGGAACTCAGTCTCTATGTCACCACCACAACTCTAAAGACTTGGTGTATTTCAATTTACTGAATGTAAGTGTGGCATTATTGAAAATGAAAAAAAAAACAAAACCCTGAAGCACAAAGTAGAAGAGGCGTATCATCATGAAACCTAGTAAAAAATTATGTTGAAGTGATTAAACCGACACTGTACTGTAGTGATGTTCAGTTTTAAAGAGGACATGAAACACACCACATTGGCATCCTCACGTGGTAAAAAATATAAGTGTATATGCTAACAGGTGGATCCTGACACTCCATAGCTGCTAGCCAGCGTCGGAGAATCACCGGCCGTTTCGGCGGCAAATGTAAAAAATGCAACGTTTTTTATTTCTCACGTTGTAAAATTGGATGGAGCAGCCTGGCGCAAAACGAAATATCCCTCCTCTAGTGAGTTTACTCAGCCATCCAAAGTCGAGAGGCATTCTTAAAAATAATGATAACGTGGGTCAGTGTTTCATGTCCTCTTGAACTCAGTGGGCAAGACGGTCAAGACAAAGAGGAAAAAGAAGAAGTGACTGTTGTGGCTGTAGATACAGGAATATATTGGGCTTTCTTGCAGTCAGATTCTAAACTGAAGTGCTCCCTTTGCTCACCCCTCCTGTCAGTGGAGGTACGGTGGCCTTTGAGGACAAAAAGCTCCTGTGTTGCATGAGTATGATCATCTACTTCTCAAGTTTACCATCAGAAATGTCTATGGTCTTCTTTAAGGTTAATTTTCTAGCCAATGAACGACTATATTTGACGTGTGTGTGTGTATTTGTTACCTGTTGATGGTGAAGGGCTGCCGTGCTTGTTGTTGTTTGGGCATCCCAATAATGCTGGGTGACGACCTGCTGGGACTTCCCATACTGCTGCTCCTCCCCGCTCCGACTCCTCCGGCCCCACCCCTCTCCACGCCGACTCCTCCCACCATCCCTGCCGACTGACCCGTTGGACCACCCACCTGCTGACTGTGGTTCAAGACGCTGCGGCTGCTCATCGGGAGGATCCCCCTGAAAAGAGGAGGAAGAAGAAGGTTAAATTAAAAAAAAGGGATGAAAAGGAGGTAAGGGTTGAATAGATGGAAAGAAGACGGAAAGAGAGGAAAGATAGGAGAGGAAGGAGAGACAAAAAAGAAGTATGGGAGAAAGTTAAAAGTGGATGAGATGGAGAAAAGGGGAATGGAAAGGAAAGAGTAGAGGAGAAGGAAGAAGGGAAAGGAGAAGGAGGCAGAGAAGGTTGCAGGGTAGGAAAGATTAACTGAAAAAGTAAGAAAAAAAAAGAAGACAATAGGGTGGTGATGAGGAAGGAGAAGAAGGAAAAGAGATGAAGCGGAGGCTTAAAAAGTAAAAGAGAGGAAAGACAGGAAGGAAGAAAGCAGAGGAGAGGAGAGGAATATAAAATAGAGGAGGGAGGAGAAAGAGAAAAACACAGAAGCAGAGGAGAACAGTTTGAGGAAGACAAGGGGAGGATCGGAGGGAAAGGGAAGCAATGAGGAAAAGTAAAGGAGGTTAAAAGGAGAGAGGGAGGAAAATTAAAGAAGGAAGAGGGCGGAGAAAATAAATCTGGAAAAGGAAGGAAGGGGAAAGGATGGGAAACTGGAGAAAGGAATCAGACAGAAAAAAGGGGTAGAAAATATGGGATATGGATGAGAGGAACAGAAGAGGAGGAACAAGAGGAGACGTCTATCGGAATAGAAGAAGAGGGTGAAAGAGTGGTGGTAAATGAAGATGAAGGGTGTGTGTGTTGTACCTGCTCGGCGAGGGCGGCGTGTGCATGGTTCCAGTGTTGGGTGTGCTGGCGTGACTGGGGAGCTGACTGCCAGGCTGATTCAACCCGCTCCGACTCAACTGAGGGGCCGCGCTGCTGTTCATCCCCCGCATGGGAAACCCCAACGCACCTGAAACATCACACGCAGAGACGTCATCATCATCATCATCATCATCAACATCGTCATCACTAAAGAGCGTTTATGTCGGTGTATCACTCTAACAGATCCCTCCCCCATCTTACTCTGAGGACCGTATAAACTGGCCCCAAGCTGTGACAGTTGACCTGTTGAGGAAGCAGAGGAAGACGCCAGCATCTGAAGAAAGAAAGAAAAACACAAACACATTTTTGAAACTCTGACGAGAAAATCAGGTGACTCTTTTTATTTAAATTGCTGCTTTTCTACATTCTGCTCCTTAGTTTAACAGAAAACTCACGTCTTTGTCAGGGCGGTGAGGAGGGAACATGGACTGTTGGGTGTAGTAGAGGCTGGAGTCATCTGCGTAGTCGCTCTCTACCCCTCCCTCCATAAACTTCTTCCGGTTAGCACCAAACATACCGCGTGTCACCTGAAATCAGACATGGGGAGCGGTCAGGATTAAGCAGCAGCAACTCCAGACTCTGTTCAACATAAAAATGTCATCACAGCTACACACATGCTCTGGACTTATTTGGTTATAATACACTCACAATCATACATTTAGACAGCGGAGAGTCTGCTACCTTCCTATATTCTCAAGGTTTCTTATTCTGGGTTTCTAAAAGCATCGCTCATCTCTCAACAAATCAGGACTGACAGAAAACATAGAAAGTCTGCCACTGACAGTCATCACCGAGTCTCTACTTCACTCTCTCTTCATACCCCAATATTCTGAGATGCTGTCTGGACTTAAAATGTTCATATTTGGCAAAACTGTAAGCCTGAGCATACACTTTGTACTGGGGATGACTGCATTAAAGTGGACTCATTTTGACCCAGTTAGAAAAATATATATTTGTCTCCTTTACTGCTTTAATTACCCTCCCTCTGCTCTATCTCCTTTGCTGAGGAAAACTCCAGCTTTGGCTGACATGACGTGGAAGCTATTGAAGGAAAACAGCCTTTTCTGCGAACAACAACCGGTAATTTATTGATGGTCCCTTATTCAACACCAAACATCTTTTTAACTTTGCCTGATTTCTTTAGCAAAGAGTCTAAATACAACTCACCCACCCTCTTCCAGCAGCCGCTTATTTGTAGCGAGACCTCGGGCCAGTCCATTATGGACTACAGCGGCGTGACGCAGCTCAAGAAAGAACATTTATGATCATTTCTTTATCATTTCCTTGAAGTAATAATCACCATATGAATCATTTTGCACTGCGGACGCGGTAGTTCTTCTGCCTTAGCGTCTCAGTCTCATTGCATTTCCATGAAGAAATGATCATAAATGTTCTTCCTTGAGCTGCGCACCCCCGCCTCAGTCAATAATGGACTGGCCTGAGCTCTTGCTACAAACAAGTGGCTGCTGGAAGAGAGTAGGTGAGTTGTCTTTAGTCTCTTTGCTAAATAAATCTGGCCAAGCTAAGAAGATGTTTGATGGCTAGTACTATGGCTGGGACCCTATATGTCCTGTTGACATATAGGTGCTGTTCTGAGCATTATTTGTGGCTATAGAGTGGCGTTTTGGTTGATGTTTTTTTATGGCTCCTGGGACCGCTGTGTATTGCTATCTGTGGTCATTACTAAAGTTGGTATAACTAGAGAAGCAAGCAGTCGGCAACATTCATCTCTCGATGGGGTGTCTAACTCGGTGTTACGGTGTGTTTGACCCTAAATTAAAACATGCCGAGTAGATTTAACCACGCTGCTGTTGCTATCACCAGTTATGGAGTGTGAAAAGACACCGGTAGATCCGCAATGTGAATGTCCGTCGGATATCCAACCTAAAACTAACTTCACAGCGGTATTTACATGAAAAAACATTTGTTGCCTCGGCTGTTTTTTTTTTATTCGAACAGGTGCCCCTTAATAAATTTAACAATTCGCACACATCTAGTGAAACGGTCTCACTGTCGAGCCCTGCTCTTCCATCCAGGCGTAACAGGGCAACACAGCAGACGGGACAATATTGTTCAGTCTCAATTATTATGCATTTATGATATTGGGGGGCTGAAATCATTATTGAAATTGAAATACAATTTATCATCCAGCTCTAGGTAGCAGCAGCAGCCAATGCTTTTTATCTCATAATGCAACCTGATTAATCAGCCTGAATGTGTGTGCACTTCTTAAGGGTGGCTATACTAACACAACTTCTTAAAAATAAGCGTGCAGTTTCTTCAACAACTGCAGAATTTTCAGCTGAAAGTAAAAGTAGTATTTTAATCTTCAATATTCTCTTAATAATCTAAATAGTGGAGGATCTGTTGAATGCAACATGACAGTTACATGCTGCACCTGTGAGCAGAAAAATAAGGTGATGCACAGAGGAAGGAAGCAGACAGCAGTTTGATCTATTTTACTTTCGTTTACTGTGGAGGTTTGCACAGACAACAACAGAGTGGACTCTCACACTCCTGTAAGACCATGCACGGAATAAATTATTGTTCTGTTTAAACTTAAAGATCCCATTCAACTCCCAGAAATCTCCAACAGCAGCGAGTCTGTGAGCTGGTTTAAAGCTGCAGCACTGTCGTAAAAGACGAGCTGTTAGCACCTAACGCTAAAGCTACTTAAGATAACCTGCCATTTAGGACAGTTTAACTCCTCTGGCTTTTATAAAACACAGCAATAAATCAACACCACGTTTTAATCTAACTTCTGTTTTTGAACCCAACCACAAGTTTTGGCTATTAGCAGAAATTTACCCACTAACGGCGCTTCTAGTAGCCGACTAGCGCTTGTGAGCTAACAGCTGCTTCCATAGGAAAGCATGAAGACGTTAGCCTGTGAGCTAACCTCGGCTAACAGCAAAGAAAATGCCGCAAAGCTGGGTCCGTTTTCAAATTTAAAGCTATTTATAGCACGCACACAAAAGCGATTCACATGCTGGTACACGAACAGACCACTGGCTTGAGGATACAGGCGCACAGGTATGTTTTAGTCCGGGTTTGGGCCTGCTGCGCCTCCGTCCATTAGTCCCCAAAACAACAACAAAAAGATACAAAAACGGGATGCCGGTTTTAAATTCCGTTTGTCCGCCTGCTATCAAAATTTAGCTGCATGTGAACTATAATATGAGTTTTATATAATTTAAATGGGGTTATGGTCAGTCAGCAGTGAGAAAACAAATTAAACGACTAAAAAAGGAGCTTACCGCATCAATCTTTCTTCCCCGCTACAATCCAAGATGGCGGACATCTCTTCGCCAATCAACGAGGATGCTGGGATGTCTTTCGCCTCTGACCCCTGAGCCTCCATCACTACACTACACTATACCATACTATACTATATTAAATTACATTACAATATACTACATTACTTCACATTACACTACACTACACTACATTACACTAAACATTACATTACAATACACTATACTATACTATACTATACTACATTATACTACACTATACCATACTATATTATATTACATTACATTGCATTACATTACACTATACTACATTATACTATACTACACGTTACTATTCTATACTACACTATACTATACTATACCACACTATACTATACTATACTATATTATACTATACTACACTATACTATACTATACAATACTACACTACACTACACTACGTTACACTATACTATACTATACTACACTACACTACACTACACTACATTACATTACACTACATTACATTACAATACATTACATTAAACTACACTACTCTTTACTACACTACACTTTTGCTCTAATATATAAAAAAAAAAAAACTCTACTTAATTGTACCACTCTGTGAGCCTCCATCCATGCCCCTCCATTCTCCAGGCCATACTTGATATTTTACCCAACTACAAACCATTTTATTCTGTTGTATGATCTCCATTATACAGTGGCTGAGAACTGCCACTCCTGCACATAAAAGAGAATGAAAAAAAAAATATAAATAATAAATAAAAAACCACAACGAAAGTGACTGATGCAAAAAAATAAATAATAAAAAAAAAAAAGGAACCAAAAATCAAAGCCCGCTTAAAATAGGAAAAAAATGAAACGGTGCAGATTAAAAAAAAAGAATAAATTAAAATGAAAAAAACAGAAGTTTATCATGCAAAAAAGTGGTGATGCAATAAAAGAAAAAACGCCACTACTGCACATAAATAAGAATGCAAAAAAAAAGGAAAAAAAAAGAAAGAAACCACAATTAAAGTTATTGATGCAAAAAAAAAAAAAAGGGTACCGAAGCCAGCTGCAAATAAAAAAAGGAAGAGTACGGATAAGAAAAAAAAGCAGAATTTAATGATGCAAAAAAGTGGTGATGCAAAAAATAAATGAATAAAAATAAAAACACAACTGCTGCACATAAAAAAGAATGCAAAAAAAATAACAACGACGGACGGTACTGATGCAAAAAAATAGGAACCGAAACCTGCTGCAGATAATAATAAAAAAGAAACAGTGCAGACAAATAAAAACAAAACAAAACAAAAAACAACAGAAGTTAATGATGCAAAAAAGTGGTGATGCAAAAAAAAAAAAAAAGGATGCAAATAAAAAAGGATGGATCTGGAGGATGCCGGTGTAGAGTTAGCTTCAGTTCAACTTCATATCGACTCTGGTACAACATGGCCTAACCAAATAACACATTGGAAAGTTTATGAAGTGAAATTAAACAATAACCTTTCCACTAACTTCTTTGCTTGTCTTTTTGCTGTTGTCTTCTGTGCCTATATCATAAAACACCTGTGCATTATCATTATTGGTCCCTGGCAGCTCACTTCCATTGTGGCTTTTTTTATTTGCATACTTTCATTTTTGCAGTAATTACCTTTTTTTTTTCCATTGCCACTTTCTTTTGCATCGTTAACTTCTGTTGTGGCCTTTTTATCTGCACTGTTTCTTTTTTGTTTGCAGCGGGCTTCTGTTTCTTTTTTTTGTATCAGTAACTTTCATTGTGACTCCTTTTTTTTTTTTTGCATTCTTTTTTTATTTGCAGCAGTGGCGGTTCTCGGCCACCGTACCGTCAGACTCCTTTATTGCAATCAAGTATACACAGAATCCCTGAGCACACACTGATAATTTTGCCTCATCTTTCATTGCCTTCAAATGTGTTATGTTTACCGTGTTCATCATAAGAAAGCCTCTACTCAAATCAAAACATTTCAGAAATGGTGGTGCTCATGGAATCCAGTTTCGCATATTTATAATGTAGTGAACAGGATCTGTTGCAGCTTTTGCTAATTTTAATGATTGAGAGAGGAAAGCTGAGGGAGGAGCAGGAGGAGGCAGGTGCGTTTCTCTGTGCCTGAAGAGCCAAAGGACAGAATGAGCACAGCAAGAGACCAAGTACCATGACAGGAGCGTGCAGGTAACAGTGCAGACCCCTCACAACCAGGACAAGAACTGTTTAAACATCTCTCCTCAGATAGGCATCACAGATCACTTTACACCGAAACCAGACGACACAAACACAGTTTCTCCCCCTGGGCTTTTGGTCTGATGAGGTCCAAATGTTCAACGAGCCACAGAGAGACCACTGTGACTTTATAACTGTTAAACAGTTTATTTATAACTATTCTCTCATGGGACTCATACCTCCACACACGATTTTTAATTTTGATTTTAAATGTTAAGATTGATAAAACATACTGTATATTTACCTTCATGAAAGGACCATTTCTTGAAACAGATATAACATTCAAAGACATTGCCTGGAAAAAATGTACACAAATGTTGTCATATTTCATACAGGCACTTTTAAGAATCTGATTTATTTTTCATACCAAAACATGTTTCTGAAGCCTTGAGACTCTGAATTTGTTGAAGTACTTTTTTTAAGGATTTATGAAGCTGAAGATAAAGTACTAAAGTACAGTTTGATTTTTTTTTTGGCAATTATCCACAAAACCCTTTAAATGTGAGACCTCAATACTTTTTTTTTTTCCCTGTTCATTAAATGTCTTCGTTTTTTGTTATGTGGTTTTCAGTTTCATTTTCAGCTCATTTCTCATTCATTTTCAAAGAACAGTAAAACATGTTTGTGTTATCTGGCCGCATAATAACAGTACGTTTATTTAATTTCTTTTTAAATCCATTGCTCTTGACAAATTTTGTCAAACTTTGGATACGAAGAGAAATGAAATAATTGTTCATGTAATTAAAATAAATGAATCAATAAATAAATACTCAGCATAAAGTACTTGAACAAAAAGTGTATTTAGTATTAAATTATGAAGATGGTTTATTTTATTTTGTGCCTTTTATTCAATTTGATTTGATGTAATTTTATTGATTAATTTAAATAATGCATCGTTCTCATGCAATATATTTGAAAACGGCTCTTTTGTAATATTTCCGTTGGACATTATCTTGTTAGTCTTTCAGACAGTACTATCGGAGGATGTGGACCGTCTACAGTAGCGTCATAAGTCACTTCTGATTTCTGATTGGAGGATTTGAGTTAGACTCCTTCTGACCAATGAATGAGCAGCAAGGAGGAGCTACTTAGAATATATAAAGGATGGTTCGCGACAGAACAGCATCTCATCATCCTTCCTTCCTTCTTCGTTCTCTGAAGTAATCTACAAAAACCAATACAGTCATGTCTGGAAGAGGCAAAGGCGGAAAGGTGCGTGCTAAGGCCAAGACCCGTTCATCCCGTGCCGGACTCCAGTTTCCAGTTGGTCGTGTCCACAGGCATCTGAGGAAGGGGAACTACGCCCAGCGAGTGGGGGCCGGTGCCCCTGTCTACATGGCAGCAGTGCTCGAATATCTGACCGCTGAGATCCTGGAGCTCGCTGGGAACGCAGCCAGAGACAACAAGAAGACTAGGATCATCCCCCGTCACCTCCAGCTGGCCGTCAGAAATGATGAAGAGCTCAACAAACTTCTGGGAGGAGTGACCATCGCTCAGGGCGGAGTGCTGCCAAACATCCAGGCTGTCTTACTGCCAAAGAAGACAGAGAAGGCTGCAAAGTCAAAGTAATAAGTTTGTGTCAACGAACCACCAAAAAGGCTCTTTTCAGAGCCACCCACTTTCAACTTAAAGGCATCTTCCGGCCACAGTGAAACAGAACCCACATGAAAACAGAAACTTATGTCCATTATCAATAGTGTTCAATTTTTTAATAAAGACCACAAAAGGTTATCCGTAATATAGATCAACAGTTAACGGCTACAGTTTGTGTATTAGCATTAACAAAGTATTAAAATCAAACGAAAGCTGACACGTAGATTTTACCTGATCGCCAGAATAAAAACACAAGTAGGTAAAGAAAAGTGAAAATGAATAAATAAAAAAGGTGACACTACACGAGTTTAAATTAGTGTTTTGTCCAAATTAATCTACACTCAAAAGAAACGAGCGGTTTAATTGTTATTTGGATAAATAAGGGCAGTAATTTTGTAGCCTTCTGTTTATTTCAGAGGCTTTGAAAACAGGAAAAGCTAATAACCGTCTTGAATGCGGAAGACAAAAAAGGCGGGCTGGGCGCGAACTGTTGTTTTCTCTCACGTCCGCCGACAGGGTTTATAAAGGGAACGTCTCAGTATGCAATCTATCTGTTCAGCTTTGTCGAACAAACAATCAACATGTCTGGTCGCGGAAAGGGAGGCAAGGGACTCGGGAAAGGAGGCGCCAAGCGTCACCGTAAAGTTCTCCGTGATAACATCCAGGGAATCACTAAGCCCGCCATCCGCCGTCTGGCTCGCCGTGGCGGAGTCAAGCGTATCTCCGGTCTCATCTACGAGGAGACCCGCGGTGTGCTCAAGGTGTTCCTGGAGAACGTGATCCGTGATGCCGTCACCTACACCGAGCACGCTAAGAGAAAGACCGTCACCGCCATGGATGTGGTCTACGCTCTGAAGAGGCAGGGCCGCACTCTGTACGGCTTCGGCGGTTAAACTCTCTGATTCCCATCTTAATCAACCCAACGGCTCTTTTAAGAGCCACCCACTCAAACTTAAGGAGCATGTTCTTACAGTTGTATAATATGTTATGTGAAGTTACACACTATCAGGTTAATTAGGAAGGTTATCTATAAACGTCAATAAACGTTAGTTCTTATCTGATCACAAGACTGGCCCGGTGTTCCATTTACTATTATGTTCTGTTTATTAGGTCAATCAGGGGTAACCTTTCTTGTATGACTACACCGTCATCACAATATTACACAAATAAGTGGACACAATCACTGCTAACTGTCCATAAGATACAACATGAACCAGACAAGTACAAATTGAGACTCCAATTCATCCTCAATTCATATATACATATTTTGGATTTCCATACACCAATGTCTACATATGTGTAAATACATGATACGTGAAACATTGATGTACATGTTTTAGAATTATACTAAATGAATTTACCAGGGTAACGGCTGAAGATCTGTGTGATGTTCTCCATCATACTATTGCTAAGATATGGTGGAAACATGTACACTGAGGAAGGTAGAGGCCATTCTTAAAAATATGACCACTTCTGAACACCTTGTTTGACCATCAAAAAACAAACAAACAGAAAGTGTATCTCTCTTTGCAGCAGGAAAGAGAGATTCATAAGACCTTTGCTCTCACAGCCACCTGACTTTATTTTGTTATAAACAGAACAAAGGATGAGATTCCAGACAAATGGATTTCCCTCTGGGGATCAATAGTTTTTTCTATCGTGAGATATTAGATTACCTCATGAGTCTTTCTGATAGTCCTCTGATTAGTAGTTATTACTCTGAAACGTTGATCATAGTTACATATGGCTTGTGTTTTCATTGTATACAATTCATAATATGGTGCTTTATCTCTATGCTTTAACAATGAGTGAGTTGACTATTTTACAATATTCCACATGATAAAAACTACAGAGGCTACACTAACTGCCAGTGAAAACAGTGTTACTGTAAAATTTTCCAGACAATGACAGAACTTTTTGTAGGTTCAGCAGGAAGGTCTTTAGTCAGTCCTGCTCCTCTGCCCCCACCTTCGATCTCACACAGCAAGTTTGCTCAGGGCTTTTCTCCCTACTGCCGACCCACTCCAAGGAACAACACTGTTAAATCCTAATAGTTCACAGGCTAAACCTAAACACTCTCAGCCTTCTGCCATCCACCTCAAGGTTACAAAATATTAATGCTAACATGCTGGTTTTATCTGTTCCTGCCCCCTGCTGCTTCTCACTGCTTACCTCCTACACAGACTTTTGGAAAATGTTCCGCTCTTTCAAATCTAATTTCTAAAAGTATGTAAAAGTATTTGAAGATCCACTCCCTCTGATTGGGAGACAAAGAAAATGCAGCCCAACGTGCTGTCCATTCAAGACCACAAGTATACACATGTCAGGGGAAACATTCAGTGCACACAAAACTCACAAATCCATGCACAGGTTCACAAAAGGGCAAGAGGATCTTCTAAACTGCCACAAATAACTGGGGAAACGCTATCCTGAATTCAAAAAGAGGAAACACAGGGCCTCAGACTAAACAAATAAAACTATGATACAACATCATGAAACACAACACAGGGACTGCATTTATACCGAAAGGGAAACTCATTTGTCTGACATCTCATACAAAAAAAAACTCAAGCAGGACAGTCAACAACATGTGTACATGCCGTCAGGTTAGAGGACAGGGTGACATGATTTAAATCTCCTGGGATCTTTTAATGAGGTAAATTTCAGCACGACACTGACATAAAGCTGAAATCGATCATGTTTGTCTTGGTAGTTGGATATACGCAGGGAAAGGGCGGAACTGATGGGAAACAAACACCCTCGTCAAAGAAGTCGTTACATGTAAAGCAGTAATGAAAGTGACTCACTTTGGCGTGGGTGGAGTTAACCAGCAGGGAGAGGCGAAAAAAGTCTTGAGCAAGATGCTTCTTTTACGTCCGCAAAGAGGCTGTAAGACCTGAGCGCACTCAATCAGAACCCACACTTCGTTTGTTCAGTCAAAGAATCAGTAAACATGTCTGGCCGTGGAAAGGGAGGAAAGGGACTCGGAAAAGGAGGCGCCAAGCGTCACCGCAAAGTTCTCCGTGACAACATCCAGGGAATCACTAAGCCCGCCATCCGCCGTCTGGCTCGCCGTGGCGGAGTCAAGCGTATCTCTGGTCTCATCTATGAGGAGACCCGTGGTGTCCTCAAGGTGTTCCTGGAGAACGTGATCCGTGATGCCGTCACTTACACCGAGCACGCCAAGAGAAAGACCGTCACCGCCATGGATGTGGTCTACGCTCTGAAGAGACAGGGCCGCACTCTGTACGGCTTCGGCGGTTAAATTTACTGACCCCTAACCATCAATCCAACGGCTCTTTTAAGAGCCACCCACTCAAATTGACGAGCATGTACTTCCAGTTGTATAATCATTGGTCAGTTAAAGGGTAATAATCTAATACAATACAATACAGTCAAGACATAAAAAATATGCTGATGTATCACAATAAGTTGAAAGTACAACGACTAGATAAAATGGACATTGATCAATCTGACAATTAGCATTAGGTTAAAAATAGTGCTTCGTGTCTGTGGCCCTGTGGAGGAATAGCCAATTTTAGATTAACGCCAAGGTCACCCAACAAACACACCTTGAAACCCAGTTGCAAGCATGAATTCGGAAAAGGCTAACACAGGTTCGAAAGGGCAGAGACAGAGATGTTGTTAGGAGCAAATCAATATTATTTATAATATTAAAATATAATAATGCTTGTACCTGGAAGTGTCTGCTGACAGAAACAAAAAAGAGTTTGTGGGTAAATTGTTTGAGTCTGTTATGGAATAAGTTGATTGGAAAACTTTATTACAAATGATCCTTTTTACAATTGATAAATAAAACACTGCCAGATTGTAAGAAGTAACCAAAAGGGAAGGTGGCAGTGAGTGGGAACTAGCAAAAGGGAGGCAGTATACCAAAGGAAGTGTCTACCCACCACATGTGAACTTATTGCAAACAATACATACTGATGTAGACGATGGTGCCCCAGTGTGCCCACCTCTCCAACAGTATGTGTCTGCAGAGCCGGAGAGCCCTGCAGCTGCAGTTTTACACGCTGCAGTTCCACACGTGTTAGCGCCCCTGCTGGTAGGTCAGTGCTAATGCAGATGCTGTAGTTCTATACGTGATAGCGCCCCATGCTGGTAGGTCAGTGCTTATGCAGGTGCTGCAGTTCAGTAATTGGACTTCTTTACATGGATAAAATGTGTTTTATTTTGCTGAAAAAAAAAGAAAAGAAAAAAAACGGAATATGAGCTGACAGTCAATATTTAAGGTTTGGTTAACCCAAAACACCTTGTAGAATTTAGGTTTATTCCATCCAAAACAGTTAGGAGTAATCTAATTTCAATGTAATAAAAAAATATTTATTTCTGGACCCAGTGTTTTAAATGCCCGAGCCAAAGCAAGCTGTGCAGTGCTTGAAGCCCTGTAGGGACTAGCTTTGCCTTTTTATTATTTATTCATTACATTTGATGACAATTTGACCCCTTTGAGTGAGAATTTCATAGTATTGTCATTCCAGGTAATTCTTTGTGGTGATCAACAAAAAAAATATGATTGGCTCTTAATGTCTACAAAAAAATGTCTTCTATCAAGAACAAAGCTGTGCAAAAAGGCTGTTGCCATGGAGAAGCCTTTGATCATAAAGCCACCAAGAATTAGCCTTTTGTCAAAGTGGCTAAGTGTTTTAATCTTAAGGTAAAGAGCAGTTCTTTGTGACTTGAGTGGTTGTTGGGAGAAACAGGAGGAAGATGGAGCCATGTCTGAAAGGCAGCATCAGGAAATGGGAGACAACCATCACAAGAGTCTAAATTCATATGGAATGCAGGTTTGAAGTCCCTTGATGGGGGCAAGTTCTTTTCTCTCATTATTAGAGTAGTTAATTATCTTTCTACAGCATTGAATGGAGTCATGATGTTATCCTAATATCATAGAAACATGCTAAACCTTGTAAAATTGGTCAAAAACATACCATAATCACTTCAGAAACAAACAACACATCTTGTAGTAAACATATTTTTTTATTAACAAACAAACTTGTTGCAGGACTTGTGCAGCCTCATGTGAAATATCAGAATGGATGAGTCCTGAAAGAAAGATACATGATAGAAATAAAATGTTTGACATTTGACTTAGATATTTAAAGCCCAGATTGTGAAGTATGTAACAGCTCTACATACCATTCAGAGGTTTCCTTCCCTCTTCATTTTCTTTTCGATCGACCGACTGAATTCTTCCACTTCACTACAATAGGGAATGAAAATAATCACTGCTGGGTAAATTAATATTTGAAACTGAAAAACCTGAAAGAAAAAACTGAAAGACCTGAAATTGTAAATTGAAGAATTTACAATTTCTTAGTTATAGTAAGGATTTTAGCTAATTTGTGTTATGTTTTATTATTTTTTTACCTCTGATGAATTGGCAGACCAGAATGGAAGACCTCCTCAGCTTCCTGCATGGAGAGGTTGTGGAGTGCACAATTCCGACAAGCTAACAATAGCTTTAGCTGGCTTAACCAACATAAATATTCGACGTGTCTTCCAGACTATCATGGTAAATATCATTAACGTCCGCACAACCACACATTCATTTCTCATTCAAATCAAGTGAACGATTTTGGAGACGCTAAATAAATTGTGGGATTCACATTTAATACTCACGGTTCGATCAACAAACTCCGCTACAGACCATTGCATACTATTGACAACTCTTTTCCAAAGAACACGAAAACGAAGAGGAGAAAAAAAGGGGGCGGTTACATGATTTCGAGACTCCGCCTCCTGCAGTTTTACACGCGTAGAACTGCAGCTGCAGGGCTCTCCGGCTCTGCAGAGACACCCTTCTCCACCTCTCCAACAAAAAGGTGTGGAGAACCACCTGACATGCCAAGCTTCCACTGCTAGCCAGCCACCACTGCACTGTAGGGGATGACAAAAGAAAGAGTTATTTTTAAACTATGTAAAAAAAATAATATTGATTAATGATAACAATAATAATAATAATAGAAATTAATTAAAACAGTTCTGCTAGAATGTCATTTTAATCACAATCAGAATCCCTAATGTACTAACAGGACAAAACAAACTCTTAAAAAAAAAAGCAGGATCTAAAAGGCAAAAACAATCTGCCGATTTGAGTCTGCGAACAAGAGACAGAAGTTATTGCACTGTTGATAAAATGCAGCCACTCATACCTGTTTAGGTACATCTATCCAAGTTTCCTGTAACGGTGGATGCTGCCAGACAGGGCAAAGTGCAAACTGGAAGCAGCCAGGGAAGGCTGCAAACTGTAGTCAAACAATCTCAAAGAACACACAATTCAGCCACTGATAAAAGGACTCAAATAAATGTTCAATTACAATGAACCAGGCCTTATTAGCCCTGTTCCAGACCATGTGGCATCAAGCAGGCAGATAAAGAAAAAGGCAGCTCTCCTGCCACAGGTGCCTTAATTAGGCGGGAAAGGAAAAGAGGGGGAGCCGTTGACCTAGTTTTCAATCGAGGCTCCTACCTTCATGTTCTGAATCACTTAAAGACATTCTTATGTTCAGATGTTTTTTTACAAAACAGCTTTTTGTCAGTTTTATGCAATAATAAATAGGTTTTTGCACTAGTTGAATAGTGTTTAATAGATGAACATGAATGTGAAGAACTGACAGTTATCTGGGGAGAGAGAAGGGCACAAGTGAGAGGAGGGCAGTAGAGATACAGCTCAACTCACCCTGCTGCTATGGTCATCTTACCTCATGTGGGGTAAGTTGACCATTGGAGACCACTTTATTTGGCATGCTATATTATCAAGACAGTTCTGTTTACAATCATCCTGTTGGTTTGCAGGGATGCACAACAGCTAGAAATATGCGATTCATTAGTTGGAGACAAAACTATGATATTCTCGAGGTAATGACCAATATGAAGAATGTATCTTAGCACACTCTCCCTCATTGATGTTATAATTCATGTATAGTCAAGATCAACAACCCAAAGGCTTGTACAGAAAAAGTTGAGGTGTATTTATATAATATCAATGTGTAACTAGTGATCAGATAAATGAATGAAGGAACAGTTGCCTTTGTGTTTGTAGGTGGCTCTTAAAAGAGCCGTTGTTTTCTTGAACTTTGATCAAATCAGTTTATGCTCTCTCTCCACGGATACGGCGGGCCAGCTGGATGTCTTTGGGCATGATGGTCACCCTCTTGGCGTGGATGGCGCACAGGTTGGTGTCCTCGAACAGACCCACCAGGTAGGCCTCGCTAGACTCCTGCAGAGCCATGACGGCGGAGCTCTGGAAGCGCAGGTCGGTCTTGAAATCCTGGGCGATCTCCCTCACCAGACGCTGGAAGGGCAGCTTGCGGATCAGCAGCTCGGTGGACTTCTGGTAACGACGGATCTCTCTCAGAGCCACGGTTCCGGGCCTGTAACGATGGGGCTTCTTGACTCCGCCGGTGGCTGGGGCGCTCTTACGGGCAGCCTTGGTGGCCAGCTGCTTCCTGGGAGCTTTGCCTCCGGTGGATTTACGAGCGGTCTGCTTGGTTCTTGCCATTTCGCTAGAGTGAAAGTTCTCCTGTGCTGAAGGACAGTGTGTACTTTCTGCAGCGCGAGTGTGGTTTATATAGCCGGAGCCAGAGCGCGAACTACTGTGATTGGTCGAAGTAAGCACGTGGTACAGCTCAGTCAGGCACACATGGCTTTAGGGAAAAGGGGGCTGTTATACTCAATCATACCACACGATGTAATTCATGAATAAAATATACAAACACGTTAATTTAAAGATAAATGAATACATATATTGTGTCTATCTTTTTGTCATTCTAAATTAAGTGAATATTGACCGTGCAAACGTGTTATTGGTTAGATTGAGAGGAAAATATTTTTCCTTAACTTCTTTAAATTGTTAATTGCATGCTGTTTAGATAGATAGATAGATAGATAGATAGATAGATAGATAGATAGATAGATAGATAGATAGATAGATAGATAGATAGATAGATAGATAGATAGATAGATAGATAGATAGATAGAGTAATTTGCAATATAGAGAATTTTGTAGAATAGTCTTGTCTAATAGTCTAAGTTTTGTATCTTATATAGTTTTAATGGAACTCTCTTTAATATATAAATGACCTGCTAACATCCTTCTTTCTTCTCCCTGAGCTGACTGGATTTTTATTTTGAATGTAATGAATGGTACCACACTTTTATAGAGGATATTCCTTCCTACTACGATTCATTTGCTTTTGTTCAAACATTATTCGACTTTAAAATTCTCTCTGTCTCCACCAACATTGGCAGCGGCACATTTTTATAACACAAAACAATTGCTAACAAATTAAAATAACCTTTATCTTATAATAGGAGGTAAATGATCAGGACTTCTATGGCCTGATTCATCCTCCTCCATTACCTTCAGTCTTCTTCTACACAATAACTACAGCAGGGTATGCTTTTAAGAGGGAAAACGTTTAACAGTTGTCTTGGTAATTTATGGGATTATGTGTTTAAGTAGGCAGAGCACACCAGCAAGGATGATTACATAGAGAGGATAATGCTGTCACCTGTGTAACAGTGTTCAGGCTTCCTCCTGGAGAGGGATTTTTTATGCCCTATTTATGAAAAATTGGTCTGGTAGCTGCTCTTCTAAAGGGCGTGACTCATAAAAGTGCTTTACAACAAGTAAAATGTATAATTGTTGTTTTACTGTTTTTTTACTCCTATCAGTGCAGAAATGATGTAAGAATCATAATTTCTACTTCTTTTGACCCTTTTCAGCCACGTTCATCACAACCTGTACAAGAAGAGACAAACATCAGTCTGAATCAGAGACACTCGATAACACAAAGTGGACTCTGATTCACTGATCATACCTTTTGATTTTTAGTGGAAAAGAGTTTTCCCGCCAGGTCTGTGAAGCCTGGGAGTACATCCATGGGGGGTATCGAACTGAAAATATGACTGCCTTCTGTTCATGTTTATAGACAGTTTTTTTTAATCTATCTATCTTTAAAACAGGTTGCTCTGTATACCCTTTTCAAAAGTTATAAACCTACAACTGTGCATCGACTCTCTTTCGAGAAAACCTACTTTTACCCCAATGTCTTTTAATAGGGTAGCTATTGTTTGATGCCAGAAAACCAACAGAAAATCCAGGACTTTGCCCAGAAACAAGTCTTCCTTATTTTCACAGTGGACTAAAAGTTAATAAAAGTGAGAGAAAATTGGATCATTTGTATCACTGACAACATTAACCAGGAATTCCGCACTCCCAAAGAAAAAAATAACCCAAATATGCTCATTTGCAGACCTAAATATGTGTATGAGAGGAATGGGCTCTTAGTTTAGGATGTGGGTGGCTCTTAAAAGAGCCTTTGTGTTGATAATAAACTCGTTGAATTACTTCTTTGCCGCTTTTGTCTTCTTTGCTGCTGGTTTCTTGGCAGCTTTAGCCTTGGCGGGCTTGGCCGCCTTCTTCGCTGCTTTTTTCGGGGAGGCTGCCTTCTTCTTGGGGGCAGCTGCCTTCGCCTTCTTCGGGCTCTTAGCTGCGGTCTTCTTGGCTGCTGCTTTCTTTGCCGGGGCTTTCTTCGCTGCCTTCTTGGGGGTAGTCTTTGCTGCTTTAGGTTTCTTGACAGCTACCGGCTTCTTGGCTGCGGGTTTCTTTGCCGGTTTCTTGGGTTTAGCGGCGGGCTTGTCAGCCTTCTTCTTGGCCACCTTGGGTTTCGCGGCGGTCTTGGAGAGCTTGAAAGATCCAGATGCGCCGGTTCCCTTTGTCTGAACAATTACACCCTTTTCCACCAACCTGGCCAGGGACCGCTTGAACAAACCGGAGTTTTCGATACCCTTCGCAGCCAAAGCCTTCTTGATGGCTACCGCTGAGGCGCCTTTCCTCTCCTTGCAGTCGCCCACAAACTTCACGATCACATCACTGGCGCTTGGTCCGGTTTTCTTTGCGGGTTTCGGGGCCTTCTTCTTTGCGGACTTGGCGGCCTTGGGAGCTGGGGCAGCTGCGGGAGCTTCCGCGGGTGGAACTTCAGACATTTCGCTTTCCGTCGTTGTTCACTCTGCTTTCACTGAATGAATCCAAGATCCTGACAAAGAGAGGGACTTAAACACATCATGAGAACCGTAGAGACTCAACTCAGTCTGCTCCTCAGTAGCGTAGCAGTAAAAGTGTGTCACTTGTGTTTTCTCTCTGCAAATAACGTCAAAATATACACACAGCAAGAGTGTATAAAAGTGTGAACATGGCTTTTATTGTTAGCCGAGACGTTTTTCTTTATGTTCAAGTCGAACTGGACTCTAAAGATTTCTGTATTTGGCTTTATAGGACTTTAAACCTCCCCAAAGTGGAGTCACTCGAGCTTCTGCTTCGAGACTTTTCATAATAATTTCACATCTAAATGCTTAAAAACACATTGCAGATCCACTAAAAACACTGAAATCTTAAGAAGAGGAGTTGGTTTAACATTTTATCGTTAAAAATGTAACTTTTTGCGGGTATTTTTGTTGTAATCACAGGTTGAATTGGTACCTGCAAACACACTCAGACATGTGCTAGGACACTAATTTTACCATGATAGAGAGTCGCATTTTTAACCTTTAATACATTATGTTTCTGATTTTTGGGGTCATATAATATACAATAAAGATATTTTAAACCACAGTGTAATATCTGATCGAAATTGTCATTGTTTTTTACCTATTTTCTGAACTTTGTACAGCACTGTAATCTGCCTATAGTAATCTGCCCGTGTGGGCTGAGGTCTTTGTGTGAGACTGGAATGAAGTGGTACCACACTGTAAATCTCTGACAAGCTAAGCCAGCTGTGTTTTCTTGGCACATTAAAGCCATTTTATCATAAAAATATCATAGATGTTAATTCTATCAACACTTTTACCATCCAGTATGACAATATAGTGACATCTAATGGATTCTTAGGTAGTATAAGGAAAACTAGGTCATTTCATTTAGGGTTTACAGAACAGTTTGTTCCATTGACTAGAAGACCCGTAATAAAAATGTATGTGTGAACTGTAACCTGTTGAAGTGAAATAAAGACTTTTGTTTTTCAATTAAAACATTTTTTTTATACCTACTGCCTCACACCTGCTCCTCTATCCCACATAGACACACAGAACGTAGTATAACATGAACTGAACACCTTTGTGTACTTTATTGATTGACTTTACGCTATCTATTTATTTGTTCATGTATATATTATATATATATATATATATATATAATTTTTTATATATATATATATATATATATATATATATATATATATATATATATTATTCACTGTGTTGTTGCAGTTTGTTACTCGTGCCAATATGTTTAATGGTAATGTTATCTTTTAAAAACAGATTATAAGTAAATAATAGAATAGCCTTTATTTGTCATTATGCAAGGTTATTAATATAAATATGTTTGTCCAGTAAACAATCTTTAACATCAAAAGAACAATTGTTTTCAGATAACTAGTATAAAGATAACCATATCATTACAGAACAAGTATTAAGATAACTCAACATGATTTAACTTTTTAGTTGGTATGAAATTCTATTAGAATTATCTAGTAGTTATGTTGCTCTCTTCCAATGTAAATAGAAAAGAGTCACCATAAGCAAAGAGGTTTTTACTTCATTGAGTTATAACAAGTGAGTGTATGCATCTGACAAGGACAAAATATCCACATTTTAAATACGTAATGTCTGTGTAGTTGATTGGATAGGGCATTAGTGATTTGCACAGTAAGAGGTAACTTCAGTCTTTCTTTGATAAAACAGGTACAGGTATGGTTCAGGTATAAACTGGAAAAATAAATAAAATCCTCAATGGTTATGCACAATAATCCAAATCCAGGACACAGGGTTTGTTGGTTAACCTGGAGCTATTGGGAGCACCTGTAACCTCAGCTGGTAGCAGTAATGTGAGGCTGGGAGGCTGTATAAGGAGGTCAACAACTTATTCGTCTTTGTTTAATGTCTTTGGTTGATATTAGTTGTAAAAATGTTACAGTTGTTTCAAATAAGAGTTGTGTTTCAATGGTGCATTAAGCATATTATTTATTTCCTTCTAAATCCTAGAAACTGTCGCTTTACATTGCCCCTATTATTCTTGATTCTGGAATACTTTTTTCACACACAGTCAACAGCATCCTGAAGTGAACCTGCTGCTATTTAACACAACGGGCTCAGGCCTTCATGTAAACTGTAACTTAAACATTTCGATTACTGCATGACTGTCATAACTGCAAAGGTTGTTATCATTTGTAAAATATCTAATACTGTTTTTATTTCCATCTTTCATACTAATTTTTCTCATGTTTGCTGTACAGACAACTGAAATGCTTTGTCAGATCAAGTTTAATGAGATAAGCTACTTGTTCCAAACTGTGACTAACTCAATATTGAATTTCAAATCATGCAGTAAATACACATGTTGGGTTTCTGGGTACTAAACAAGAAAAGAACAGAGGTAAAGAGAAGGATAGGTGAAAGATCAGATAATCTGATCATTGAGTGCACTCTTTTTTTTATCGTTTGTTGTTTAATCATTGTACTTTTAGTGTCTAGTTTACCCTAATATAAGTTATTTCTCTTTTTTGGTGTGTGTTTCTAGCTTTCAGCCTATAGTACTTTGTTAAGGTTTTGTCTCAAATGTCTTTAAAATGTTTGATTTGACCCTATTTGATGTAGCATTTCAGTAAAACAGTATAAAAATAAATTAATTAATCCCCATAACGTTTAAATGTTTAAGTCTTGCTGAAGTGCAGATCAGACTTGTCTTGATTCACTGTTGCTAATTCAGCTTCATTGTAAGCTCTATTTCAGACTTAGCCTTCACAGAGACAGTGTACAGGTGCCCTTAGGCTATGGGTTGTTGTTACATGTATTTTCTTATAAAACCGTATAAATCAGTCAAACAAATCCATCATATATTTTTCTTTTTCATTAAAATGATTCACCAAAGGCTTTGAGGATGTCTTGGATTTAAGTTTATTTTAACTCGGGTGACTGCTCACCAAAACAAATGTACAGCTGCAGCACACTTCTCAGTGTGTTTGCAGGGGTCAATCTCAAAGCTGTTTAAAATTATGCAAACCCACAAAGATATCTGTTTTGGCATTTGATCTTCAGATGAAGATATTATCTTGTCATTTACTTAGTTTTTGTAAAGTTTTGACTCGGTTTTATGGATTTAGAGGAGAAATTAGAAAGAAACGTCGCGCTTTAATGCCTCGCACGGCTCGGGTTTGGGGAGGTTTACAGGCTCCTCAGTCAAAATACAATCAGATTTAAAGCTTTAATTCATCTTAATATAGAGAAAAACATCTTCGCTTTCAATATAAGTACAGTCTTTGTCTTTTGGTGTCCCCCAGATGTGTAATTTATGGCTTTATTCGTGGGGAGAAAACACAAGCTGACCTAGTTTTAGTGCCAGAGCGATGCACGAGACACTAGCTTGAGTCTATACGGTTCTCATGTTGCGTTTATGTCCCACTCTTTGCTCAGGCCTCGACAGACTCTTCCGTGACCTACTCACAGAACTCCGACAGAACGATGGCAGAACTTGCTCCAGCCGCCCCCGCCGAGGCAGCCCCCGCCCCGGCCAAAGCCCCCAAGAAGAAGGCCACCAAAACGGCCGCGAAGAAGAAGACCGGACCCACCGCCAGCGAGCTGGTTCTGAATGCTGTGGCCCTCTCCAAGGAGAGGAAAGGTATGTCATATCAGGCACTGAAGAAGGCTTTGGCTCTTCAAGGCTGCGATAATCCCGTTCAGGTGAAACGCGCAGTGAAATCCCTCTGTGCGAAGAACCTGCTACTCCAGACTAAAGGTACCGGAGCTTCTGGATCATTCAAGGCGGTGAAGAAGGCCGCTGAGAAGCCCAAGAAAGCAGCGAAGAAGCCCGCTGATAAAGTGAAGAAACCTGCAGCAAAGAAACCCGCTGCTAAGAAAACTTCAGCCGTTAAGAAGACCACCGCCGTGAAGAAACCCAAAGCAGCCAAGACTACGCCCAAGAAGGCGAAGCCAGCGTCGACCAAGAAGTCCGCAAAGAGCCCGAAGAAGGCGAAGGCAGCCGCCCCCAAGAAGAAGGCAGCCCCCGCGAAGAAAGCAGCGAAGGCCGCCAAACCTGCCAAGAAACCCGCAGCGAAGAAACCAGCAAAAGCAAAGAAGTAAATCGTGTTTACTATCAACAAAACGGCTCTTTTAAGAGCCACCCACATGTTAAACTATGAGCTGACTCCCTGCACTGTGTTTTTAAATGTATATGTTTATGTTGCGACATAATTCATCCACAGTCCACTTTACTTATGTTACAGTATATGAGGGTGACAGGAGAAGTCGTTCACTCTTTGACACAACCAACGCAGTATAGTGTCAGTATACTGAGGTAGAGGAGAGCAGGTAACATATGTTAAGGCACCAGCCTTAACAAGGTTATGGTACAGAAATTAGCAATAAATATATCAAAATTCTCTATAAAAGTACCAACTTCAACCATGTACAACTGGAAAGAGTTTCAACACGTACATGTACACAGTAGGCTACAGTGACTCCTGTGAAGCACACAATGTTCCCATTTACAACACAACACCGCTAGGGTGGGTTGTTGCATTCTGGGTCAACTAACAGCCAAAGAAGCACAAACAGGTAGACTGTGTACTGTCTTACTGTAAGAGGTTAATAGAATTAAGAGAGCAATTCAGAGCAATCCCCTGTTCTGTCAGCATCTAAAACCCAGATCCACCTTCTTCTCTAAGACGCTGCCTCTGCGAATTATCCAACTCCTTTTATATTGATAGTAAATCTCTGGTCCAACAATATTTATAACAATTGAGGCATAAAGGCCCTAAGTAATGAATTCTCATGACTGCAAGTAATGAAACATTTCACTCATTCCATATCTTGATGGCTGAAATAGCTTATTAACAAAAGAAAGCCCTCAGCTCTTAACAATTAAAGAAAATACTAACATTGCAAGGGAAGTGTTATGTAAGTCCATGCTTGCTTTATTGTGATGTATGAAGTATAAACGTATAAAATTTTTGAGATTTATTTTGAAAATGTAACAAAATTAGGGGCCAGAAGTCTTCCTGTCAAGACAGGTGTTGCGCAATGTTATACATTGTTGCTGATTGGGCAATCAGACTGTACTTCTGCCTAGCCAATGAAAGACTAGAGGGTTGAATACATAAACAAGACTTATCTTAGCTTTTGCTCATTGCATTCTTCACACAACACTTGATCTGCCGAAACAGAACAACATGTCAAGCCGAGGAAAGACTACAGGCAAGCTCCGGGCCAAGGCCAAATCCCGCTCTTCACGTGCCGGCCTCCAATTTCCAGTGGGTCGTGTCCACAGACATCTGAGGAAGGGAAACTACGCCCAGCGAGTGGGGGCCGGTGCCCCTGTCTACATGGCAGCTGTGCTCGAATACCTGACTGCTGAGATCCTGGAGCTTGCTGGAAACGCAGCCAGAGACAACAAGAAGACCAGGATCATCCCCCGTCACCTCCAACTGGCCATCAGAAATGATGAAGAGCTCAACAAACTGCTGGGAAAAGTGACCATCGCTCAGGGCGGAGTGCTGCCTAACATCCAGGCTGTCTTACTGCCAAAGAAGACTGAGAAGGCTGGAAAGACCAAGCAATAAATTTGTGTCAAAAAACCACCAAAAAGGCTCTTTTAAGAGCCACCCACAATTTTCTTAAGAGATATTCCTTATGTGTTTACAACATGCCAACAGGTCTCAATGTCCATTAACCGGTTAAGTTACAGGATTGCTGCTGAGAGATGCAACATAAATATTTTTAGAGACAAGAAATAAATAGATCAAATGTTGAACTGGAGAGCTATTTATGTTGGTATTGTATTGAACATTGTCCTGAGCCTGTAGGGGAGGACAAGTCACAACAGGATGAAACATACCTGTACTGAATCTTATCTATCTGTCCTTTTCACATGGGAGCATTTTGCCTGAGGCTGAAAGTGCAATGTAAAGTAGGTCATGCTATAAAAGAGAAAAAAAGAAAAATCACAAAGTAGTTTCTCAACACAGGATCACTTACAGCTATTGTCTTTGATTATATACAGTTTATGAAATGCCAACCTTTACCAGCTTTTTTTCTGGGCCTTCATCTGATTTTAAAAAATTAACCTTCCATATAGTATAAATTTCTCCCACATTAAGTTTTTCAATACTTGCTCATCAAGAGAAACATGCAAGACACCAGAGCCAAGAATGGAAACAAGCTGAAGGAGCCATCAGTGTTCACTTTACAGCAATGTCACACTGACACAGTAAATTCTGCAAAAGGAGCCCGAAATAAGTTCTGAGTGCATAATTGAACACATTTCTAGAAGGCAAACATATTTGTGTTTCATCCTGTCATATTTTCAAACCTTCCTCCTCCCATATACTTTCCCTTTTTCAGGCACACAAGTAAGACGATGATTGACTTTTATTGTTTAATAACTTACTAGTTATGTGATACTTCAACTCTTGAATCACCCCTTTATTATTGTTACTCTGCCAATTTGTCTAAAGATATTAATTCAAAAAACATGTGCTTTTGGAAGGTATGCATGATATACGAGACCATTTTTTAAATCAAACATGAGAATCAGTGTTAAGAACAAGATATCCTCCAATCAATATTTTTTTTAGGTAAACATACTTTTTTTATTTCCCTGAACGCCCTTTGTCAAAATTAGAGCATAAAACGTGTCATCTTTTCACTGCTTAGTGTATTTTGTTGACAAGAGCTGTTGTTGTGCTGAACCTGATAAACTCGTTGGAAAATAATGTAAAATAAGCAGCCAATTTGAGAGTTTGTTCGGAAATCATTGAAGTTTTGGTTGGGCTTTACTTTTATTTTGAAGGTTTTGCAAACAGGAAAGGCTTTCAACCGTCATTGTTGAATGCGGAAGAAAAAAAGGCGGGCCGAGGGTGGACCATTTGTTTGCTCTCACGTCCGCCGACAGGGTTTATAAAGAGGACGCCTCAGCATAACAGCATCTGTTCATCTTCGTACGACTAACAAACAGAAAACATGTCTGGCCGTGGAAAGGGAGGAAAGGGACTCGGAAAAGGAGGCGCCAAGCGTCACCGTAAAGTTCTTCGTGATAACATCCAGGGAATCACCAAGCCCGCCATTCGCCGCCTGGCTCGCCGTGGCGGAGTCAAGCGTATCTCCGGTCTCATCTATGAGGAGACTCGCGGTGTGCTCAAAGTGTTCCTGGAGAACGTGATCCGTGATGCCGTCACTTACACCGAGCACGCCAAGAGAAAGACCGTCACCGCCATGGATGTGGTCTACGCACTGAAGAGGCAGGGCCGCACTCTGTACGGTTTCGGCGGTTAAACTGTCTGATCTCGAGCTTCATCAACCCAACGGCTCTTTTAAGAGCCACACAAATCACCTATGAGAGCGTTTTCCATATAGTATTGATCGTGTATCATAATTAACCATGGTGTGATACTATAGTTCTCGAGGGTGTTATTCCAGTGATTGAAGATTTGATAAACCAGTTTCTTTTTAGTACAATCTATAGAAAATATTGCCTAGGAAAATGCCCTGTGATAATGTGTAGGTAGTAACCTTTATTTGAAGCATGAGTATTAATCATTCCCGTACCACATCTATACAAAACTGTTAAACAACCAGGATTAACGTTAAGTGGTAAATGTTCAAATCTATTGTCAAATGAGCCCAAAAGCAAGCACTCAAGAGGGTATGTTACAATGATTGGCACTTTCGTGCTCACACTTAAGGTGAAACAACTGCTATTTGAATGTTTGGATTTACCCGAAAAACCTGACTGTGTGATAAAACACAGACTATGATTTATACCTTGAATGGGTTTCTGATAAACATAGAAGTACTCACATTACAATAGTGCTTTTGTGGCAGCACATTTGAAAACTTATGTCTGGAACATGACATTTATCACACTTGGCATGGCAAGAGGAAAAGTGGAGATTTTACTCTATGTGTGCAATGTCACAAAGTGGTTGGACATAATTTCACTCATTTTAGCTTGTACCTTATTATTTTGCTGCAATGAGTAAAAAAAAATACACAATAATTGTTTGAAACATCATCTTCAATGTACGAGGGGCCACACTGCCTGTTAAAAGGGTCATTAACACGTATCCATGTGTTGAAATTAGGCAAATATACATGATACCACATACTACTGTGATATATGTATAATAACACAGTTGCAGGTAAATTTCTGTCCATTTTCTGTTTGATAACATGAAGTATATTACAAACAGTGACTCGTGTAGGTTTTGATTCCTCAAAGAGAAATATCTACCCGATACTCCACAAGTCAGTGCATGTTTCAGCAAAATGAGGAAGTAAACGTGACGTTTCGTTCAAACCTGCCAAAAGAAAACCACACACACCCAAAATTATTGTGAAACTTCTGCATTGTTATTACAGCTGTGTGAATCAACCAATTACAAAAAGGCGACAGCGCACTTTTTTTGCATGTAATAGGCTATAAAAACAGCCAGCAAATACAAATAGGCAAACTGTCATACAGATTCCTCTCAAAGTAGGCATGCCTGAACCATCAAAACCAGTGCCCAGGAAGGGCTCAAAGAAAGCAGCTAGCAAAACAGCCAGCAAGTCAGGCAAGAGGAGAAGAAAGAACAGGAAGGAGAGCTATGGCATCTACATCTACAAGGTCCTGAAACAGGTCCACCCTGACACCGGCATTTCTTCCAAAGCCATGAGCATCATGAACTCCTTTGTGAAAGACATCTTTGAGCGCATCGCAGGTGAGGCTTCTCGTCTGGCACAGTATAACAAACGCTCAACCATCAGCTCCAGGGAGATCCAGACTGCTGTCCGCCTGCTACTGCCTGGAGAGCTGGCCAAGCATGCTGTGTCTGAGGGAACCAAGGCTGTGACCAAATACACTAGCTCCAAGTAAACAACTTTGCTGTCCTCTTGGAAAAACCAAAGGCTCTTTTAAGAGCCACCCACAATAAATCAAAGAGTCAATGACCTCCCCAACCTGATATGAAATGCCTTTGTCGTTGATGCATGAGGTGGATAAATAAAACACCAAAGATTGCTTTTGCAAGCTAATGTTTGTTTGAACCATCATGAACCTAATCGAAACATCTTTGCCTCTCTAATAATTTGTCTTTGGACTTTTTTGTGCCTCACTTACAAAATATTCCATGTGCAGGAGTATCATGGATTAATCTCATTACAATTTCTGGTGATGTTTCCTCAGCGCAAAGTTTATCTCGATACAGACCCATGTGTGGGTCATGAAATAATTAACAGTCATGAATAATCTGTGTGCACAGTTCACAGGTCTCTATGTCATGGTTTGCAGTCTGTGGGTATGCATATACATCTAGGGTGCACAGGGTTAAATCTTCCTACACAGTGATAAAAATGTATGCAAGCAATTAGTTAATAATGAGGGTAGAAACAATGTTAGTGGTTTGTATCAGATATTCATATTGTTTTCACTGTGTATTGGTGTCACATAAGCCCTAAAATATCTGTTGTGATGTGATAATGAAATGTTTTTCTTCCTAAAACTGTCATAGATACACACATATTACTTAGGCCCCCATACATATTATCTAAATATGCAGCATTAATCAGCTGTAATTACCCCTGTTATACGATTCAGCTCTTTAAGATCCTAAGAAAAAATGGAGTTTAGTGATAGGAATAGAGGAATCCACATATTGTGATCACATGTTAAAGTTGAGTTGAAAAAAGAACAATATGCTCATCTGTGATGTTTATTAAATACATTTTAAAAAGTGTGCTCAGGTAATATTTTGTTCTGTGTTTTACTTAACTTTAATTTTCTGACTAATGAATAGAATAGAATATTTAACCTTATCTTATGTATTTCTGTTTCAAACTTGGCCAAACAACTTTATCTATGTATCTATCTATCTATCTATATATAGATATTGAATGTAAACTGGGGATTGTTTCTCTCTGAGGTACCTCACATAAACAAGTGGTCTGCGATTTTTTTCCCTCTTCTGATTAAAGAAGGTTAATTTTATTCATGAATATTGTTTGTGTAATTATATTAATTACTCTGCTGTCAGTTATAATGTTTAATTTCTACAGCAAGACCTGACCATACCTTTTACCATGTCTTTAAGTTGCTCTAGATAAATTTGTGTAAGAATTAGTAATAAGGTAAAATGGAATGGTTTGTATTATCATATCAAAAAGTACTGCTTTTTTAAGTGTTTTTTTTTCCATAGAACTCTCTGTCATTTCGTGCCACACTTTGTAAACGTGGCCAGTGTTCATAGCTTGCTTTGTCCTTTGAATGCCAGAGGACCGTTTTACACCCGCCTTCATGTCTGGGCGGGAAGTTTGAATTTTCAAATTCTCTTCATCTGATTGGCGCATAATCGGATCATGTGACCGTTCATTGCCCAATGACCGTTGTCAGGGCTGTTGCTCAGGATATATAAAGGACGTTGCCGCTGTGGTGAGGCAGTTCCATCCGTATCAGGAAAAAAAGAACAAACTTCGAAATGGCAAGAACCAAGCAGACCGCTCGTAAATCCACCGGAGGCAAAGCTCCCAGGAAGCAGCTGGCCACCAAGGCTGCCCGTAAGAGCGCCCCAGCCACCGGCGGAGTCAAGAAGCCCCATCGTTACAGGCCCGGAACCGTGGCTCTGAGAGAGATCCGTCGTTACCAGAAGTCCACCGAGCTGCTGATCCGCAAGCTGCCCTTCCAGCGACTGGTGAGGGAGATCGCCCAGGATTTCAAGACCGACCTGCGCTTCCAGAGCTCCGCCGTCATGGCTCTGCAGGAGTCTAGCGAGGCCTACCTGGTGGGTCTGTTCGAGGATACCAACCTGTGCGCCATCCACGCCAAGAGGGTGACCATCATGCCCAAAGACATTCAGCTGGCCCGCCGTATCCGTGGAGAGAGAGCTTAAGTCCCCCCTCTGACCCGTCAAAACAAAGGCTCTTTTAAGAGCCACACACTATCTCTAAGAGTCAATTTTCCCTCGAATTCGCTTCTGATCATACATGTTACATATTATTATATTGTACACCGCACATGGGTCAAGACGAAATTAAACATCAAACAAAATATTTAACTGTCCAACTGACGTTAAATATCACAAAACTGTCACATCATACATTGTGATTGTGTGTGGAAAGTAACCGCTTTTAGAAGGTGACTCCTTCAGTGAGTTTTGTTATTTGTGGTGCTTTTTCTCTTAACAGTCTGTGGTCCACATGACTCATAGGCTGTCCTTGATGGTTGATGGGAATTCAACACGAACATGCAGACTGACGGGGGACACTCATGGTGTTTACATCTACCGGTTGAAAGACGCGTTTTCCATGCTTGACACCCTGCGGTCTTCATTGACGAGAGTTGGATGCGTGGAGCATTGCAATGATCTCGGCGCCTTGAATCAACCTATGTATTAGACGGACGTGGTCTGATTTCCCTGTTACCCACGATTACAATACGAAACTGTCCAGGCAAGAGGACGCACATGTATGAAGCGATGCCTTAATAAGTGTTGAGTCGTTTGCGAACGATTTGTTCAAATGAACCGAATCTTGAAAGTGAAGGCACTGAACCGAATCACTTCCTTTAGCGAGTCGTTCGTTTTCTCACTAGATGGGCTAAAGTGAGAAACAGCATTGCCAGGCCAGCAGCCAGTGAACGGGGGTCCACATGCAACAAAGACTCAATCTCGATAAACGAATCTACATTGAACTATACTCTCTGAAATGGTTTAGGTCGCACAAAACTATCTTTCTTCACTTGTTAAATTGTCACCACAACAACTTGCATACAATGGGACACAGCATGTAACAAGTAGTGCAATAAACCCACAGCATCCTATCATTGCAGTAGTTTGAGAGGGAATGGTGCATGTGTTGTGTGAATCCTTTTAAACATTCAGTGAACAAATCACTCACTGACCCTGATTTACAGTGCAGAACTGATAAATAGCTTATCATAGGACATACTCTTAAAAAAAAAAAAACACATGGCCCATAAACAAGTTCATTTTGACAAACCTGTATGCTAAAGCAACACAGCCACTCTCATCCCCTGGTCCCAGAAGCTATAAACTGAACTGAATCCTGAACAGTTCAGGAGGTCGGAATAGCAGGCTTCTCTCATTAAATGATTCGGTGATATGGTGAACGATCTTATGAACGAATCTTTTTGGTGAAATGATTCTAGTGAGTCAGTATCCAAAAGAACTGCCGTGCCCATCACTAGCCTGAATCCATCTGTACATACCTTTATTCATGTGCAATTCAGGATGAACTTAACACCTAATTAACCATGCATGAGGTACAATAAAGACCCCAGGGTTGGGACTTAGAAGGTACTTTCAGAAGTATATATATATATATATATATATATATGTATTCAACCTGAAACTCACAAAGAAGCAATCAAGTGTAATTTCACTATACACTGCGTCAGTTACACTGCGTCAGTTTAGTGTTTATATATGTAGCAGCTGTGATATGGCCATTCACAGGCACACAGGGTTGAGGGGTTCATATTCAGTTTATTCTATAGGAGCAGCACAGGGGTAGTCAGTCCACATACACAGAGCATGTTACTCGCTATCTCTCCCATTCGGTAGTTATTGTGGGGTTTTTTGTGTGTGTTTAAACAATTTTTCAAATATCATCAGATTAAATAAAAATTATACATCCCAAAGAATGTATTTTCTTTGTCATTAGCTTCAAATGAATCACAGAGGAAACAAAATAAATTGTATAAATTGATCTGTCAATGTAATGTACAATCGTGAGCTGTCATTCACATAAAAATAAAAAATGAATTAAAAGTAAATTAAATATTGTGCTTATTTCCTGTTATTGCTACTCACTCAATGTAAACCTCTCAAAAAATGCATAAACCATAACAAACACCATCAAAACGCACCTATAGAAGCAGCACGGGTAGTCAGTCCACATACACAGAGCAGGTTGCTCGCTCTCTCTCCTGCAGTGGGTACACAATATGCAAATGAGCAATGCCACATTAAACTTAAGTTAGGCTTCTTAACACACAGGCAAAACTCGCTACCACTCACATAAAAGCATATTGTTTCAATGAAATGCAGTTTCAATTCAATAAATACGTTTTATGATGCTAGTTAGGCAGCTAAACACGGAGCATCACAACACACGTCTTACCCATTCGGTAGTTATTGTGGTTTTGCCGGGCATTTGCACAGACATCACACATGCGTCACTTGTGTGCCCCACTAATTAACTCCCCCATGCAACACAGGTGAAGAAGAACCATACAAACTATCAGAACTTACCAGTATAAAACAATGCATAACGGTTCTAACTTCATAATGAAGGGCTATTAATACTTGAATAACAGCTTGAGAATCATAATACCAAAAAATAAACAATATAATAAAAAATACTCGGTTACATATACATTATATATACTTATCATTATGTTATGGATTTAGTAGTTTAGTTTTAAGTCACCGCCAGTCTGCTTCTAATTACGGTTGTGGAATAGTGAGGCACAGAGTGTTTAAGGTCATTACTGTGATATAATATTTTCGGACGTGCATGAGAAATCTGCTCTCTCAGTACGAGTGGGTGGCTCTTAAAAGAGCCGTTGTGCTGTTTTCAGGGAGGTCTGTTGATTTAACCGCCGAAGCCGTACAGAGTGCGGCCCTGTCTCTTCAGAGCGTAGACCACATCCATGGCGGTGACGGTCTTTCTCTTGGCGTGCTCGGTGTAGGTGACGGCATCACGGATCACGTTCTCCAGGAACACTTTGAGCACACCGCGAGTCTCCTCATAGATGAGACCGGAGATACGCTTGACTCCGCCACGGCGAGCCAGACGGCGGATGGCGGGCTTGGTGATTCCCTGGATGTTATCACGAAGAACTTTTCGGTGACGCTTGGCGCCTCCTTTACCGAGTCCCTTTCCTCCCTTTCCACGGCCAGACATGTTTTCTGTTTGTCAGTCGTACGGAGATAAACGGATGCTCTCTGGGTGAGGCGTTCTCTTTATAAACCCTGTCGGCGGACGTGAGTGAAAACAAATGGTCCACCCTCGGCCCGCCTTTTTTGTCTTCCGCATTCAATACTGACGGTTGAAAGCTTTTCCTGTTTGCAAAAAACCTCCAAAATAGGAGCAGAGGGCGAGCTAAATTGCTTTTTTTCCCCCCTAAACAACATTCTGTAGTTTGTTAAGATACCGTTTGAGCTTATTCGTTTTTATCCGTTTAGTATATTCGGTTAATCTGATAATAAAAATAAAAATAAAACAAACTTTTTTTTCCTCTTCTCTGATCTAATATGTGTGTGATCTTAAACTTGCAAAAGACACTGAGTTCTTAACAAACTTATCAGCGTCTATTAGTGACTTTGTGATCACCACTCTACCTGAAGTTGCCCACATTGCTTGTATTCATGAACACTCCTATCAGTTGTAAACCCTGATAAAGCAGATGCGTTAGTACTGAACGGTTTACAATTAATATGTTCTTTGACAAGGGTTTGAGGAAAATATGTATATTAAAATGAAAATGGTAAGGATTGGAGGATATTTTATTGTTCTTAACGCCATTTAAGTGAAGAAAAAAATGTCATTACTATTGTCAGGATGCCTAGCCCATGTTCACACTTTCAAAAATTGAAGGTCCACATGAATGATCATTTTGACAAGCTTGACTGGTTGCAGATCTGGGTTACAGCTTCATCATGCAAGTGTAACACAAGTGTAACGTAAGTGTAACAAAGATTGGTCTGGGACTGTTCAAGTATATATAGTCGTCCAGGTTTCCAAACATTCTGCTTGCTTCTTGTTGATTGAAAGGAGAGTCCATGTAGGGTAATAACAAAGCACAACACATTTTGGCAGCCCGTATGACATAACATGGGCACAAGTTCCTTGTTAAGGATAGCTGTTAGAGGCCCTTGGCTCTAATAATCTAGCACCAACGTATCTGAGGCATTTGAGTGACACAGCTCCACCACCCTCAAGGATGACATGACTAGCTAAAGAAAATCACCCTAACAACTGTTATTATTACACAACCGTTATTGTGTTTTGCAAAAGGATAAAGCCTTACAATATATCTTTAGACAAAACTGTTTATAGACTAAGTTTATAAAATAAATTCCTTTACTCCATGCCCTGTCAGATGTATAAAGGGGAACTTAAGGACTCCTGTCAAGGAAGGATTTTGGTTACATTCGTTAAGCTCTGACTTAGTTGTTTGAAGCAACACGCAATACTGTCCTGTCTGACTGCAGAGGATGTGTCAAGTAAAACGCAATGACAAAGTATGGCAGTGAGTCATACTTCACAGCCTGGACTTTATCCACTGTGTCTGATCATTGTTACAAGTCAGGACATTGTCATCATGTCAAGCAGTACAATCAAAATTCTCTGAAGTCTTGATGAATATTCAGCGTTATAACCTGTGATTAATTCATAGGAAAAGGTTCTTAGTGTTTGTGGGTGGCTCTTAAAAGAGCCTTTGGTTTTTCTGGGTGAGTAGCGGATTTACTTGGAGCTGGTATATTTGGTCACGGCTTTGGTTCCCTCAGACACGGCGTGCTTGGCCAGCTCTCCGGGCAGCAGCAGGCGGACAGCGGTCTGGATCTCCCTGGAGCTGATGGTTGAGCGTTTGTTGTACATGGCCAGACGAGAAGCCTCGCCGGCAATGCGCTCAAAGATGTCACTCACGAAGGAATTCATTATGCCCATGGCCTTGGAAGAGATTCCGGTGTCGGGGTGGACCTGTTTCAGGACCTTGTAGACATAGATGGCATAGCTCTCCTTCCTGGGCCTTCTCCTCTTCTTGCCCTTGGTGCCCGCGCCGGCTTTGGAGGCGGCCTTCTTGGAACCCTTCTTCGGTGCAACTGCTGCTTTTCCAGACATCTCGTTGTTGTCGGGTTAGCTGAATGACCAGCACTCTGAACGCTTGGGTATTATAGAGGCTGAGGATGTAAATTGGGCTGCGCTGTCCCCGCTCCACAATTGGCCAATTTTGAACACGTGACTGAGTAACCGAAGTCGAAAGTCAAACTGAAGTCAGCCCGCTCTGCTGGCCAAGGTTTTGGCGGTTTTACTTACAGATAAACTGATATAGGAACATTTCTAATAAACTCAGATACTTATGAATATTTATTTTCTGTTGTATGCTTTCTTTTTAATGGTAAACATTCATCAGGCTTTAATAGTTCATCTAACTGAATAACACTAACAGTAAATAGTGTTGTATGGATATTTACAGAGAAGACAATTTTCAGTTATACAGTTACAAGGGCGTTTTTATTCCAAAACTGAACAGATGTGGATTTAGATATGTACACATAATAATAGTAATAATAATATGAGGAAAAGAAGAAGAGGGATGATGACGATTATTATTATTATTATTATTATTATTATTATTATTATTATTATTGTTTATTATTATTATACCCCTTTATTTAACCTGTTTTTTTTTTCCCATTGAGATTTAAAATCTGTTTTGCGAGAGAGACCTGGCAAAGAATGGCAGCAAGTACAGTTTCAATATATAATCACATTTAATCATATAGAATACTAATAATAATCGACTTTTCAAAATTAGTAAAAAGAATTTACAAGATGAGTCAAACATTTGCACTCAAATAAAACATTTGCACTCCTGAACAACAAGAAGATAAGAGCTGACATGTAAAACAATAGATAAGGAACAATCTTGTTTTGAGTTGGCTATAAAAAAAATATGTTTTTGAGACTGGAAGGTGAATCCAACTGGATCAGCATTTTATTATTTTGTTTTAATTTTACTGTCTCTAAAATGTTATGGTTGATTTGCATGATATTATTTCTGTTTGTGACAAACAAAGACAGATACTCTTAAGTTTGCTGAAACTTATGCGCATATTGCTCTACAAATCTTTTCATTGTTGCAGTTATTCTGCTGAATGAATTTCATTGGTGCTTGTCGTGTTTTTTGGGACTCTTTAATAGTGCAGCCCGTATAAACACTTGTTTAGGTTGTTGAAAAGTGCTTTAGGGATGCTTATCACTTAGCAATAATGAATCAGGATTTCACAGGGAAAGTAGGCCAGTATGTATGAGCAAAGGATAAATACACGTATTGAAGTTTCATGATAACAAATGCTAATGTTAACCTCAATCATGTAACTGTAATTAACACATCAAAGTACAATACAAAATGCGGGGTGTTAGATTCTTATTTCCAAGAGACATTAAGCTCTTACAGTATGTGTGGGCGGCTCTTAAAAGAGCCTTTGGGTTTTATGGGTGGGCAGCGGATTTACTTGGAGCTCGTGTATTTGGTCACAGCCTTGGTTCCTTCAGACACGGCGTGCTTAGCCAGCTCTCCGGGCAGCAGCAGGCGGACAGCGGTCTGAATCTCCCTGGAGGTGATGGTGGAGCGTTTGTTGTAGTGGGCCAGACGAGAGGCCTCACCGGCGATGCGCTCGAAAATATCACCGACAAAGGAGTTCATGATGCCCATAGCCTTGGAGGAGATTCCGGTGTCGGGGTGGACCTGTTTCAAGACCTTGTAGACGTAGATGGCGTAGCTCTCCTTCCTTGGCCTTCTCCTCTTCTTGCCCTTCGGGCCCGCGCCCTTGGATGCGGCCTTCTTGGAGCCTTTCTTCGGTGCTGGTGCTTTGCCTGACATGGTTGAGTCAGAGAATGTTGTATTCACCCAACTGCTGGTTGTATTTATATTCGTCACATGCAAAAATATATGCGCCATCGCCACTCGGTGATTGGCTGATGAGTTAGGTACGTGACTGAGTCGCAACACGGAAGTCAGCTTTCTCTTTTTTTTGAGCACCAGACCGGTCTGATAAGTTTTATTTCCTGAAGTTAAGGCGGTTAAACCGCGAACTAACCGTCACAGGAGACATCGAGAAAGATGTTTATGAAACCTAAGGAAGCGTGTTCAGCATAGAAAACGTATATTGCCTGCATTTATTCGTATGTTTAAAGAGTTTTCCATTCATATTAGCTCAACTTTACTGCTATGTAAGGTTTTTATTGTCATTCTCTAGAAAAGTAAGGTTTGGATTTACACGGTAAGTGACCTACGTTAGGCCCTTTTACCATTTGAAATGTATATATCTTAGACAAAACGTATATTCAATGTGTTAAAAAAATGTTACTAGTATCGATTTTATTTTTGTTAAAACATGAATGCACACTAGAGAAAAGTCAGATTATGATCGACATTGTCCTGTGTTCACAAAACCACTCAATCCCTGTTGTGTATTGGTGTATTCACTGATGAAGATTAGTATTATTATTAATTCTATTGGTTATTCTTTAAAAGTCTTGTAATAATAACTTTAAACTATCCTTTTGCTGTCATTTTATTTGAATACACTTGACCTGCCTTCACTTTATATCACATTATGCACCATTTATTGTTTAAATAAATAGGATATTTTCCAATTTCTATCTGGATTGTTACTCCATTTGTGCTTCTCATGACTACATTAAATTTAGAGCAGTATTATTTTGTCATAGTAATCTCTTTGCTGTAAATATCTGAAGTGAACCCAGTGGTTTAATCTGTGTTCTTGTTACACTGTTGTGGATCTTTCCTTTATACCTTATACCCAGTTTCCAGTCTAAAATCTAAAACCACATCCTGCTAATACAATAACTTTACCTGTTTAGATTTAACTCTTACATTTAAAAGAAGTTTAAACCTCAAGCTGCTGTTGGAAATACCTTTAAATTAGTATTTATAATATGTGTGCAGTGAAGTTTCTGGGCCTCCATGGCTGAAGATCCACAGCAGCATAAAAAAGCAAATGACCCCATCTAGTGGACAGAATATGTTATAGCAATGTTGAATTTCAACTGTGGATTTGACATGATGAGCCATGAATGAGTGAAAGTGTAAAAACAAATTTTATGACTTTTTGCATTAATAAGGACAGACCAGATAAACCCACCAGTCCATAAATGTAATTATTATTCTGGATTATCTCTGCATTGAATAATTAGAGGTTGTTAAAATCTTTTTTGGAAGTTTGTCTGAAGTTTTTTGGTGCTCTGCTGCAAATACAAGTGTTTTGATTTTAAATTTAAAGCATTATTAAAAAAATATTCTTTGTTTTCTAGCCATGAGGACTCATCTTAAAGCACCTTTGTAGACAAAACACAGTTTTAAGTTCACCAAATTATTTCCAAAAGGTCTAAGTATGTGTTTTACACCATATCTTCAAAATTCATGAAGTCGTTTGACTCAGAAATTAAAAAATAAAAGCATCCACAGCCGTGCCTGAGTTTGTTTCAGTTTATTTCATAACTCTTCTGCATATATTATCAACAATTTAACAAACAGGATTCATTTTGTTAAAAACACAATGTAACATTAACGGGATGAGGTTTAACGTGTTACACTTGAACCACTGAAACACAGAGAACGTCAGAAAAAAAATAATTTGGCTTTTCAGACCAATTTGGCAGCGTTGTTTTGGGGACGGGTGTCGGTAAAGGTACTTGACGGACGGAGGCAGCTTCACGGATGATTCACACTCACAGGCAGCAAAGTGTACGGACTCCACACAGAGGGAAACTACCTCCACTACTGCTGGCAGAACACAACAGCCCCGCTGGATATAAATGCGGGGCGGTATTCAATCCAAGTCATGCATTAAAAGTAAAGATACACTTTGCAGGTTCGCCTACAAACAGTCGCTTTTCAAGACATGGTTTTGTGAAATGTTGGGAAATGTGTGTGGGACTGACAGCTCCAGTTTGTGCTTTTGAGAGGATTTTTTAGCTTTTTACATTTGAGAGTTCATCAACAAAGAAAATACCAGACACAGTATACACTGAGGTATCTGAAAAGGCTAATATGTCTCGTTTAAAAATGATTATCAGTTACAGAAACTGGATAATGACACGTTTGTCTCACCATGCAGTCTCAGCAGATGACTGTCTAACATGAGTCTGGTTCTGCTCAAGATTTCTGCCTGATAAAAGAAGTTGTTCCTCTCCACTATAACTTGATAAATGCTGCAAAGTGCGTGACTTACTTTATATTCAGGTGGGATCATAGTGGGTCTGATTTGCAAGATGGGGCTCAACCTTATCCCATCGTTACATATCTATTAAACATCATGAGGAGTATGGTCTAGACCTGTTCTTTCTAGAATAACATGTGTTGTGAAATGCCAATATATAAATATAGATTGATAAATTGAAGTCAGGACCAAAGATGGATCCTCCCAATTAAAAATAATAATGAGAATAATTTGGATCTGATGGACTGTTACTACAATTTGTGTCAAAAGACAAAAACGAAATTTTGGTGGAAAACACGATCATCAGATGTGAAAAGGACATCTCCCTGAAAGCACAAACTGGATCGAGTCGACAGCAGATGTGTTGAATGTGAATAAATGCACAATGAGCCTGGATGTGTGTTTGTGTGTGTGTGATATGTGTGATGTTTGAACAGTGTACTGGAGGATGTTTGTAGGACTTCAGGATAAGGCTGGACATCTCCGATCTACACAGTACAGGGATAGCAGCTTTGAGGAAACACAGAACACATTTCACAACTGCAGAAAACAGGATTGAAACGATAAAACAGGAAATACTGTAAATTCTCAAACGCAGGCCCGAGTCTTCAGTAGAAAGAGGAGTTTATCTTGATTGTTTTTGCTCTTTTTTTGAGTAAATCTCCTTACTTTTTGATTCCCTCACTACATAAAGCATTGGTCTTTCTTTCACCAGTCTTATGCAGTTAAAATAGTCAAATATTTTTGTCATTAAGCTTTTATATTAATGTGGAATTTCTATAAAAATCTACAGAAACTTTCTGAGATTGGATGAATGTGTTTGTAGTAGCTGCAGAGACCGAAACTCACATCTTCCGTCCAAACTTTCTATTCCTATTATGTTTTCTCAAAGTCAAGAATGAATGACCTGATCAGCTTTTTATCGTTCTTAGTAGTTTGCGATCAGCTGCCAACATTAAAAGACCACACTATTAGTTATTTCTCAGCAAACTAAAACTGGCAAACAAGGCACACACCTAGTTTCAGAATGAAGGAACAGGCTCATGATGTTTTCTTATTGACCGTAACCTGCTTGTGGGAATATTTAACCTAGGATGATTGGAGGAGTTAGAATTGTTGGGTATGAATTGATCCAAAAGCACCTAAAACACTTTGGATTTCAACTGACATTAACAGTCTATATCGGTTTGACAAAGTTTGCCCCATTTAGAGTTTGATTTTCTCCTCAAATGTCTAAAAAATTCCCAAACTGACTTGCTTTAATGGAAAGATGGTTGCTGGATTTAATAAATTTGAAAGAAAATGATTGAAATGTGCAAAGAGGACAAACAAATGAGACTTTTTACTTTTAGGCAACTAATTAACAAGACTGAAACCCAGCACTCGATAACAACAGCTATGTCATGCTAGCATAGCTGTATCAGTGCTAAGCCGCCAACAATCCAATAGCAAATGGGGAAATCACATTTTTGGGCTACTAGGAACTTATTTCACAAACAATGTTGTTTGTGTCACAGCAGAAAAATGTGTGGACTTTATGTAATTTGAAGACACTTTATTGAGTTGTTTAGTTACAAACTACAAACAGGATGTAACACATGGAGATAACTTTATTGTATAACAGCAAAGTCATTAAAAAAGTTTTGTATTGATCAAAAAAGTCTGATGATATACAAGATCTGACATGAAATAAAAAGATTTTACTTCCCAGGGGATTTATTCTCTCATTCAGTCGGATGTTGGTCTCATTAGTACAATTTATCCAACACAGCTGAACACAGGATTGTAGAGTCTGCAGGTAATGATGCCGAATTGGTTTGTTAGGTGGGGTTTCCATTAGCAGAGCTAGCACCTCCTTCTAGATCAAAACACCAACAGTGTTATAGCGTCATAGCAGGAGCTACGTTAGCTTAGACACAACATATGACTGCTATTTGGACGCATATTAATAATAAAAATATGAATAACTTGTTCAACTGGAGCCAGCTTGTGCGAGTGACGATATTTTATGGTTCAGTTAAATAAACACTCACATCCCAGGTCTGAATCTTCCGTTAAATCTTCTTTATTACACCTTGATGCTAATTGCGTAAATTGGTCCCATGTTAAATCGTCAAATTGTGTCGATTCCTAAACCAGTGAGTATCTTTTTAAGGGGCTACATCTGCTTCTTCCATAAACCCATGATAATGACAGTTTTATATCTTCTAACTGACCAAACAGCCATCTTTTATTGGTATTTTTTTATTATTATCATTTTGACCTTTTTAATGTAAATCTGGTCCTTTCAGCAGCACTGACCTTTATTCAGCTTTTCATTTGAGAATTTACAGTATTTGACCTCCATTCTGGCGAACACACTCATTCATTTTCTCAGGTACACACATACTCATGCCACTTATAGTTGCTTGATTGATATGTAGGAGGAAGTACAAAATAACAGCAAGAAGAACAGGCCACACAAAGGTAGAGAATACTAAATACTTCAGATTCAAGCCCCTGAACAAACAGAAGAAACCAAAAAACATCGCTCAACGAATCCAACAGCCAAGACGAGCCGTCAAGACGAGCCTGTGGTGTCAGCCCCGCGCTGTGAGACCCTGAATGCATCGTGCTGTTAGGGACACCGGTGTGTTCAAATCACCGGTGTAATGTTTTCTGAGATAGGCTATGGCTTTTGGCCCTGGTGGGAGGGGGATGCAGTCAGGGAAACTAAACTTGGACAAATCATCCTCAGGAAAAACCAAACGTCCTCTCTCCTCTTAAAACAGATGATTTTTTTTTTTTTCTCCCCTCTCGTCTGTCTTTGCGCCGTCTTCAGTTTAGAAAAATAGAAATCAGGAAAACATCATTACAAAAATAAACCAAAAAAAGTTTGTCCAAAGTCTACATCCACATGACAACTTCACAAAAATATCGACTGATATTGCACAGCGAGGGATTTCTTCTGATAATGAAGTAAATCACTGACACGATTCGTAGAAAAAAAAGAACACGGTAGGACATTAAAATGATCAAAACTTGCATGTCCCGGTTCAGTGTGATCGTTTCTTTTGTGTTTGTTTTTTTCTCCAGAGAGACAAAGTGGGAGAGCAGATCCCAGGCCCTCCTACATCAGGCAGATAAATCCTTGGAGTCCTGCTCGAAAGAAAACGTAAAAACGAAAAAAAGCTTCAGAAGTATCACCGGTGAACTTTGGTTGAAGGCACAGAGTTCCAAAAAGGGTTTGTGGATGCTGTTCTTTTTTTTCTTCTTTTTTTAGTGCAGCAGCAGTTTGTGATGAGTTTGTCCTGGTGGAGGGGGTTCCTGCAGGCGGATCGACTCTCCCGATGATCGGAGGGCAGGGCTTCAACTCTGTGTAGAGACACAAATATGACAAAGACGTAAGAAAAACAAAAAGGTTAGAGTTTCTCTTCTTATTTTGAAAAAATGCAGCAAATGCATGACTGTGCATGTTCATGTGTGAATGCAACTTAACCATTCCACCAAAGAGTATTCCCAAAACCAGGTCCACAAACTAAAGGTCCTTACACACCGGGAGCATTTTTTTCATGCAATTATTTCAGACGTTAATATTTTTTTTCGAACCCGTATCCTGTCAATACAAGCGTTCACATCAGCGACGTTTTCCCGTCCTGCGATATTGCGGCATTTTTTTTGTCGCTTCGTCAATATTTTTAAGTTTCGCATTCTGTGTGTCCACTTCTGACCAATCAGATTTCATATTGTTGCAACGTCAGATTCAGCGGTATATTCAACATGGCCGACCGGCTGATTGTTTACGTGTCAGAGAACAGAGTGATTTTTGATAAAAAACACAAACATTACAAAGATAACGACCTGAAGGACAACTTGTGGAGAGTCATAGCGTCAGATTTCTCATATGACGATGGTTTGTGTGCTTTAACAGTTTGCTAAACGTCTTTGTTTTATGGATTATAGTTTAATGTGCTTATCTGGTACTGGCCCGACTCAGTACATGCTATCATGACAGACAGACATCTCAACACTAGAGTCGAATCCGAACTGAAAAACAGTCAGTCTGCTGTTGTGTCAGTCTTCTTGCTTCCACCTGGGGTGCGTCTTTTTCCCCCCTGGAAAGTCGCAAAGTCGCATCGCACTTGATGTGTATAGTCAGGCCGAGAGGCTGCAGGTTTTCTTTCCAACCCAAAACTCCACCAGGTGATTTCACTGATTACCTCCAAGCAGAGAGCAGGGACTAATCAGTGAAATCATCTGGTGGAGTTTTGGGTTGGAAAGAAAACCTACAGCCTCTCGGCCCTCCATGGCACATGGTTGTCCATCCTTGCCCTGGCAAACTGAGTCCATGAGCTCAACATGTGTTTGTTGACCGTCCAACAAATCCAACATTCAGTTTTTACACTCCATCAAATTCAAGTATTACTATCTTAAGTGTTAGCACTAATCAGCCAGTATCTGTTCCCCTCACGCAGAGCCGGCCCAAGGCATAAGTGAAGTGCCTGCTTAGGGCCCCGCGACCAAAAGGGGGCTCCCAAGAGCAAAAAAAAAAAGAAAAATTAAATATTTTTTTGCATGTATGAGTGATGCTTTCTGTATGATCAAATATGTATTTTTGTAAAAAATAGAATAAAGTAAAAACATTTTAGTGCTGCTGCTGATGTAGGCCTATGATTCTTACTGTCAATATGTCAAAGCTCCACTACCGTTATGTGCCTCCTGCTGTGCAATGTGCACTGAGCATCCAAAGCACAGGTAGTTGTGGGGCAAAACAATGTCGCAAAAAGGAGATATCCTTCAGGAGCAGAGAAAAGAAAGAGGAAGAAGAGAAAAAACACCAAGATAAAGGTATGTTTATCAAAAAGATTTGTGAAGCTGTGTGAATGATCAACAATCAGTATTATTGGCAGAACTAGAGGGCCCCAAAAACAAATTTTGCTTAGGGCCCCATTGAGGCTTGGGCCGGCTCTGCCCTTATGTGGGGGTCATAGTTCTTGTTAGCTCCGCCCATAAAGGCCCTTTTCAGTAAACTGGGTCACTTTATTGACCTGCGAACTCTCCCCCCCCCTTAAACATGTGTGCAGCTGCATCGCTGGTGTTCACTGTTCTTTGAGTCTCTGATAAATAAACGATTCCCGTCAGCTCCCACCACAAATAGAATCTAAATCTGTGGGCGAAGACAAACCTAATCCCAGAGCTCCACCTCTTTTCTAAATACAGTCACTTCTGGGTCAAAAGAAGACAACAAGATGGTTTCAGCCGTGACGCCAAACTCGAGGCTTCAAAGGGCGGTCCATTAACCGGCGTGTGACGCCACCTTCGCTCCATCCACTCCTTGTAAAGTCAGTTTAATCCATATTCATGTTAGTATGCTGAGGTCAAGGGCGATGCATTGTTCAAACAAACCCGACACGGATCAGTGCGTGTGCAGACTTTAGGGCTGAAAACTCAACCTGAGAGTGGACGCCATCACTCTGTGAGGTTATTCCAGAAACAGATTAAATTTGGACAAATATCTCACAGCTTTAAAACACATGAAGAGTGTGATGTGTTTGAAGTGAGTGTTTCCTCAGATTGTGTGCTCTCTGCAGCCTCTATATGCATCCGTGGTCGTCCCACCCCCACCTTTCACCATCTTCCTCGAAGTTAATCCTGCGTGCAGCGGCAGATGGAGCTCAGAGCATCCAGCGCTGCTGTGCCCTCCACAGCTCCTGTAGTTATGAATGATTGCATGGTCTTAGGCATTAAGTTGGATCAGTGTAATCCAGCGCAGCATATGCAGCCGCCTGCAGTGCCAAATCCAGCAGGCAGGAGAACCTCCCTCCTTCACTCTGGGGGAGGCCACGAGGTGTCAACAACATCCCAACATGATAACCTGCTGCTGCATTAATGATCCCAGAGTTGTTGTTCCAGAAACACCAGCTCCTGGTCTAATTTCGACATATATAAGGTTTTATTTTTCTATCACTTGACAATCCTCTGCACTACAGCCTAAAACAGTCCTGCATAAATTAAACCTTTAATGTCAGCTTGTGCGTATCTGTGTAATACTTCATATTAATGTTTGTGCAGAGAGAACAAAGTCGATCCCTTGCACATGTAAAATACTTCGCCAATACAGCTGATTCAGACTGAATTAGGGGTGGGCATTTCCAGTAATCCACATGTTTGAGTGATCGAATTAGCCAGTCACCAATTTCATTATCATCAGGCCAATTTTCTCCGCTTTGGTACCATGATATCAGTGTCTGCTAACAGGGCTGCCGAATGCTGTGATTTGACCCCCTATCATCATATCTGTATCTGCCATCTTCTTCCTATTTCTTTACACACATGTGGTTAAAGGGATATTCCGGCGTAAAATTAATTTGGGGTCAAACACACTCTCGAGAGATGAATGTTGGTGAGCACTCGCTTCTCTATTTATACCAACTTTAGTAACAACAGCACGGTAGCAATACACAGCGGTCTGAGGAGCCATAAACAAATCTCAACCAAAACGGCACTCTATAGCCACAAATAATGCTCAGAACAGCACCTAACTTAACAGGACATAAAGGGTCCAAGCCATAGTACTAGCCAACAAACATCTTTTAACTTTGCCTAATTTCTTTAGCAAAGAGACTAAACACAACTCACCTACTCTCTTCCAGCAGCCGCTTGTTTGTAGTCCATTACGGACTACAGCGGGGTGACGCAGCTCAAAGAGGAACATTTATGAACATTTCTCCATGGAAATACAATCAGAACGAGATGCTAAGGCAGAAGAACTATCGCATCTGCAGTGCAAAATGATGAATATGGTGATTATTACTTCAAGGAAATGATAAAGTAATGATGATTAATGTTCTTCCTTGAGCTGCGTAACTCCGCTGCAGTCTGTAATGGACTAGAAACAAGCGGCTGCTGGAAGAGAGTAGGTGAGTTGTGTTTAGTCTCTTTCCTAAAGAAATTAGGTAAAGCTAAAAAGATGTTTGGTGGCTAGTACTATGGCTGGGACCCTATATGTCCTGTTGATGAAGTTAGGTGCTGTTCTGAGCATTATTTGTGGCTATAGAGTGGCGTTTTGGTTGAGGTTTGTTTATGGCTCCTCAGACTGCTGTATATTACTATCCTGTGGTCGTTGCTAAAGTTGGTATAACTAGAAAAGCAAGCAGTCAGCAACATTTATCTCTCGAGGGGGTGTCTAACTCAGTGTTACAGTGTGTTTGACCCTAAATTAATTTTACGCCGGAATATCCCTTTAAGCAAAAACTGGTACTTCTATGATACACAAGTGTGACGCTGCATATCTTATCGTTTCTTTTGATGAAAGTTCTTCCACACATCCCTTTTCCTGGTTCCGTAAGACTCGATGTGGATCCATAAAACTTTTAAAAGCAGGAGCACAAAAGTATGAAGTCAAGTTCAAACATGGTTTAGCAGTAAGAGTCTTATATAAAGTTGATCTGCAGCTTCACATTTCATACAACAATCTTTTTGTTGATTCGATAAGACTCCAGGTTTGTCATTGACACGCACTCAGTCAGATAGATAATCATCAACCTGTGGTGGAGGACAGATCAGGACGATTGCAGGATCAGAGACGCAGGAGAAACAATGATTAAGCCATTCAGACAAATCCTCTGGACACGACACTGAGAGGTCACAGAGAGGTGACAGGGCGCTTTTATACTCTGAAAATAAAGAAATCACACATTAATAAACAGTCATTTCATGGTCACTGTTACACAGAAGATGTCACTGAACTTCTCCAGATTTTCTCATGAATTTTTGGGTCTTAAATTTGCTGAAACAACATCGTCATCCAGCCTCTTTCTCTGCCTCCTGTTCCTGTTAGGATCACGTGTGGACGGAGCTGTCACAGGGTGAGAGGTGTGTACACTCTGGACAGTTAACATACAGAGACAGTCACACCTACAGGCAGTTCAGAGTGACCGGCTGACCTGATGAGCCTGAACACACACATGCACATGGAGGACATGCAAACCTCCGTACTATGAGACCAAAGCACTAACATCTGCACTGATCCATTCAGAATAACGCAGGCTGGTAAAAGTCAAAAGTCACAATTTGTCAGGTTTAGAGACGGAGAGGAAAACTTTAAAAATGTTTGTTTGTTGAGTTGAGGTCAGACATGATTTCTGACGCATTCAAGGAAGTCTGGAAATCTAAACGCTGATTGTCTTTAGTGACTCAGCATCAAGCAGATTAGTGTCTCAGTGTAAATGTTTGATCAGGAACAGATTGTCAGCTGACCTTCACACAGATTTCTGCTCTAATCTAAACAAGAGACGGCACCTTTGATAAAGACTTTAAACACAAAGACAATGATAAAAAAATAAACTTTTCATTTGGAAATATGTGATAAAGACTGAGTGACTTTTGTATAGTTCTTGTTTAAAAAGCATAATAGATAACTCACAACACTGATTAGTCTCCTGTTTGTCCACTAGGTGGTGCTGCCGTATTGTCTACGTTCTCCTCTTCTTCGACAAAGGCGTTTTATTTATATTCTTCTGTTTTTTTCTGGTCAGTGGAGAAATGCTGCTGTGTTTTTGTTTACTTTTTAGTTTCCTCAAAATTCAGTGAAGACGTTTTTCTTTACTAGAAGGTTTTTCATTCAACTAAAAGGACAAAACTGTGTCAGTGGGAACCATCAGGAGTAACGCCTCCTGTTTTTAGTTCCATATCTCTGCAGATGTGACTTTCTGTTTGGATGTAAACACACACACACACTCTCGCTCTCTTTTTCTCTTGCTCTCTTGCTCCACTGCTCTGATTCTTCTCTCTATTTAAAGCTGAATGTGTCGTGCATTTGTCGATGCAAAGCAGATTAAACACTCTGCATGTGTGTGTGTGTGTGTGTGTGTGTGTGTGTGTGTGTGTGTGTGTGTGTGTTCAGTGCAGGCGGTATGGAGGAGTCTCCACTAAAGAACTAAAGATAAAGATGTGTTCTGCATGTCTGGCATTGCACAGTGTGAATATATGCACAGAGAAATCAGTGTGTGCGTTTGCGCATGTGTGTCTGTGTGTGTGTGTGTGTGTGATGATTCACTGCTGTGGTTGTGAAACATCACGCTAACCTGGGGGCTCTTCTTTATTTTATTTTTATTTTTCATCTGTCCGAATCAAAATGAGAAGAGATTTTATATCTTTTAGACTTCAGTACTGCTCATGTGTTTATTTCACGGTTGCCATGGTTATCATTTGTTTGTGTCTTTTCACCAGCATGTTTTGATCTGATCAACATTTGACTTTTTAAAACAATCAAAAGCAAAAATGATGAACGCTCAAAAATTGTGCTTCTGTTTTCCTTTTTTTTTTCAAACCTGTATTTGACTAGGTAAGAACCTCATGAGAGGTCAGCAGCACACATCACAATAATACATTATAGTGAAGAAGAAGAAAATGACCTCCAGAAACATAATTAAAAACACAGGCACATGGTCTCCCAAAGTCTGTCATGTAAGACTGAATGAAATGTTTTTGGTCATATTACCTGAAATTGATCTGTAGAGGAGTTTTATTACCCTGGCTGGGCCATTCAGTTGTGTGAATCACTTGCCGTTCCTTCCCACAACAGGGAAGGAACGGCAAGTGATTCACACAACTGGATGGCCCAGCCAGGCTAGCGTTTCATATCAGCGCTTCTTGAATGTTGTAACTTTACAAGAGTTGACAGAAAGCTGTACAGAGTCCAAGCCGTGACAAATATCACTGACACGACACTTCATTATAATATATGAAAATATATTCTTAGTGAGTCTTTCTCAATAACGGAGAAGAAATGTAAGTATTTTATTTTACTGGGGAAAAATAAAACTTCTAAGTGACACTCTGGTCAATGTATGATCCGTCCATTTAATTATTCCATTCAATCTAGTAAACAAAAAACAAAAAACGAGTCAATATTTTGTTTGTTTTTTCTGTTTAACCAAAAAGTAAAAAAAATGTTTGTTTTTGTATTTTCAGCTCAAAACAGAATATATAGTAGAGAATGAAACGAAAACAAAATAATAAATCTAATTTACAATTACTGATTTTGAGTGCGCCTGTTTTGACGTGCATGGAGGCTACATTAGCCTTCCTGGGATCCTCAGCAACAGTTACCACGGCGAAAGATGCGACAGAGCGGTTCGAGCGCCAAAATCTTACGTTGTAACAGAGCTCTGGTTGTAATTTTTTCTACAGTCAGATCTTCCTCCTTCAGCGTGACCCTCCTTGCAGCCTCCATGAGTCCATCTCCATGACAGCAGGTTAGCCTTTCTCGACTGCTCTGGCCTGGAGTTTTTGGTCCACGTTGTTGGCTACTTGCGAACAGTAGAAAGGCACCGTGGGAAATGGGGACATCAATAACCGGAAAACGAAAAGTAGATTTATTATTTTGTTTTCGTTTCCATCTCTATTACATATTCTGTTTTGAACTGAAAATACAAAAACAAATCTTTTATTTTTTGGTTATATAGGAAAACATATAAACAAAATATTGACTTGTTTTTTTCATTTACTAGATTGAATGGAATAATTGAATGGTCGGATAATACACAGACCCACTCCTTATCTTATCACATAAACAGCTGTGTGACATTTGCCCAGCCTCCACCTCTGAACAAAACCCCCTTTTTTACCATTATATCAAGAGCTCCTTGTTGTTTATCCTATTAAAGTTTAGTTTAGATGGATTTGCTGCTAGTTTGACATTTCCGGTTGTTTTGGCTCATCCGAGAAGATCTAGATGTTCGGTGCTGTGCGCTAAAACGAAAGCATCCATCGCACGTGATGGTATGTTGGTGTTACGGTAAAGTGAGCAGCTCATTTTGTTCTCATGAATGGAAACGTGAGCGTAGTTTACCCTGGAGTCTGACCGGCTGCTCACTTTCCGGGAGGATCTGAGAGGTCAGTGAACACAGTGTTTTACAGCAGCTGAAGTTTTACGGTTCACGGTCACCCGCTGCTTCCTGCTCCAGATTTCGCCCGTGTGTAATCAGTTTAAGACACTGAAGATGGGATTTTCTCTGATATTTTAATAAATAAAACAGTCAAAAAAACTTATAAAATCTCAACCAGATGTGACTGATTCTCTATCTATGTAGTATGTTGATAGTGTGGCATCTCTGTGTTGAAAAAACAAAAGTAAAAACTATATTTTGATGATTTAGGTTGTTGAATAATCCCTCTTATATTTGAGTATCTTTGCAGTCTTACAAACAGACAGAAACGTCTGAAAGTGTGTCTGTTGGGTCTGTGTTCCTGCAGAGACCCTCGCTGACCTCGGGCTGTGAAGATGGCCGGCGGATCACGGCGCGCGCTCAGCATTATGTACTTAATAACTGACACTACAAATCCCAGCGAGACGGGTCATATCAGACAGCACACGCAGCAGCCTGCACGACTTAACTTCAACCAAAGTGTTTGTGCAACTATCGCACAGACAGCACCGCAGCAACAAACACTAGAAAATACACACTTACACAGACACACAAACACGTCTTAAATCCACACACATAAATTGACCGTATCCCAAATCTGTTTTCACACCCAACCTACATAATCCAGGGACGGCCTGTCTGACACCAGCATGGATGAGAGTTATGTAAAATCTGACAGTAACAGAGACTGACGACGAGGCTGCAGCTGTTACACGACATATTTATGAAGATACATGTTATTATCTGTAATCATCAAAGTTAGCAAAGCCTTAAACTGAAAAAATCAGTTATTTAAAAAATGAAGCTGGAGGGTTTATGGGAGGGTGAAATTTATGTTCTGCCTCTGACATAACTGGATGTGGAATAAATCTTTTCTGCAAAATAAATTAAACAATAAATGATCTCAGAACATAAAGAGCTCAATTATTATTTGAAATATAAAAAAGCTCACATATTTTTTTTTTGTTTTGGCCCATTTTTGCTAAGCGGCCCCCAACTTTCCTGTAATTTCTCAGAGAAAAAAGTAAGTTAAAGATTAATTTTGCAAGAATACTATATGTCTGCGAACCATTAAGGGCATCATCTCAAGGTAAAAAGCAATATAGTACAATACATTATATGATATGATTCAATAAAACAAAACGTTGTAAAATATGGTACAATACAACACAAAGCCATAGCGGTATTATGATACACAATATGTTAAAAAATATGATACACCTTGATTAGGGCTGGACAGTTTGGGCTAAAAAATAAGATGTCCATCTTTTTTTTTTTTCTTTTAACAATTTTTCTTCTCTCTTTAAAACGAAACTACAAATGACAAATACATGACTCTAAACACTGAGATTTGTTTGAAAATGTTACTGTTGTGTGTGTGTCGGGGGGTGAAAATCTAGATTTTTCAAATCTTACCAAACCACAAATGCAGATTAATCAATTTAGTTGAATTACCATACAGTCCTACAATACGATTCAATACGATACGATGCAGTACAGTACGGTAAGGTACGATACGATCATTACTGGCTAAACCCACAGGATCCGGTACGGCTCTGTTCCGGACCTGCATGCGGATCAGATCTGCAAGCATAAAGCGCCCACTGGATCCAATCTGCCGCTACCATCGGAGGAGAAGCGCTCGTGAGATTACCGATATTTATCGCCAGACTGGACGAGATCTCACGAGCACTCACGTGTTTCCCCGTATATAAACGGCGGTGTATATAAACACCCACATCCCACTACCCTGGCCTTTCCTATTTTCAAGTTAAAAGCATTTTAATGTATTGACTTAATTTTATTTTGAAAATCAACAGGATATTTTTCTCTGTAACCGCGTAAAACTTCCACTGCTCATGGTGTGCTGCACTGAATTGATGCGCCGTGCTCCGGCGTCTGGCAAAAATAGAAGCCTTGGGTATCTGATCCGGCCGCTGGAACCGATCTGCAGCAGAGCCGGATGCCGGACGGATTCTGTGGAATCACACACATTGATTATAATGCTTGTGGATTGCGTGCTGGAGCGAAGTCGTTCTGGACCCTGTGGGTTTTGCCAGTTATGATACAAAACCGGATTTAATTTTGGGTCATCAACCAAACTCTTTAAAATGCGAAAATGTAGTCCTGATGACGGCGCTACCACGAACATTGCACATTTTGTCCTGAGGGGTAAATTAGTTTCTGAACTATACGGCCTTAAACTACAAAGACTACAGTGGTATTCCACTTAAAACCAAAAATATATACCTTGTTAAAGTCCCCAAACTCAGCATGAGTCATCCTCAGGAGAGCAGGAACATCTGCACCAATATCTGTCCTGCTATCACCCCGTCCAATAAGTGACGAGCTACTGCAGCTATGACCAAACCAACAGAGCATTTTGAGAGTTGGCATAAAGCACTGATGGCTAAAAATATCTAGAGTTAACAGAGCAAAGAAAATGCAAACCATCCTCAGGGAGCAGTCCAAACAATTAGATACCAAAGCCATCAACATAGAGGAGGAGGAGGAATGCAAAGTAAAACCGAAAAATATCCTTCACATGTGAGTGCAAAGGTCTAAGATCAACCTGGAGACACAGCACTCAAAGTGTTGAACTCACTTTTCCACTCAGTTGTGCTGAATTTTAAAGGAGTTTCCAAAGTCGTGTTCATAATTCATCGTTAACTTCACTCTAGTATGAAAGCACGCTCAGAAAACTGGATGAATGCTAACTGTTCCTGCGACGGTTCCTCGGCGAGCCTCTAAATTTCTGCTCTACTTCCCTTCTCTGGTTTCTCAAACAGTCTGAGAATGAATGAAGAACATTCGGCGCCGCTCGGCATCGACACAGCCCACGACTTCACACCCTCGTCTTCAGCGAGAGGGAGGTGTGATGGTGAGACTGTCTGCTAGAGAGACGTTCAACAGAACCGCAAATCAGACATGGGCTGATTCTATTTAACACACACACACACACACACACACATGCACTGCTGAAACAGACTCACATTTTCTGCGAGGGTCTGCAGCAGCAGTTACATCACAGAAATGACCAAATCGCAGTGTCGTGCCTCTCAGGAACAAGATTAGGTAACATTTTACAACATGCAAGCGGATGCACCGCAGGGGGTGGGACTGTTTGATTAAAGCATAAAGGATTCATACTCATAAAGCCTACCTGGGCCTTACTGTTACACATTTTTCAGAGCAAAAACAAAATATTTGGATCACTTATTGTTGGGATGGAATCACAGATCTAGCTGGGCGATAACTCAGATTTCAAAATAGCAGTTATGGCTCCCCCCAAAAAAGCTTTCACTTCAAATTCATCATCATGAGTTCAGATCGATGTGTAACGAAATTCTGGGAACCCGAGGAAGTTGCACATGCCTCTTGTAATAAACGCAGACTGCCATATCTCTAACCCCCAATTTCCACCACATCCAGAACGGCTACGAAAAGGTCGTATCTGCCGATCGTAACTGATCGTAACCATTCAAGTTAATGTGCCAATTTCCACCGGCTTCTTTCCATTCCGTTGCAATCGCTGGACTCTGCAGCTGATCGCAAAAGTTCTATTTTTCTCGACGCTGAAGCATGCCGGATAAATTCAGCACAGATTAACCCGTTCTGAAAAGGAAGTCGGGCACAGACACAAAATAAAACATCCGGCTTCTTTTCAAAATAAAAGACGTGTTTCAGGCGGATCATGTTTCACACCATGCAAGCAAGCGGGGACAAACAAGTGAAAGGTTTCTAGACGGCATTTCATCCCGATTTCCTCCTCTGGAAGGACACAATCTACTGCTTATATGGTTAGCCTATGTGGCTAAGAGACAACTCGCTACCGCACGATTGCATGTGAATCCACGGGTTCTCGTGAGTTCCTCGCGATTCCCACTGTCTGTAATACACCACAAAATGTTGCCTCAGAAACAGATCTGATAGGAATCAGCGTTCAGCGAAAGTCGCCACCAGTCCGGATCAGGGCTGTTCCGGTGGCAATCCCGGGTTACACGTTGTGCTGTAGTGATAAAAACAATCAAGCGGAGAGAGGAGAGCAGGGAGAGGAGCAGGAGGAGGCAGATTCACCAGCACGCATGAGTGCTAATGAGCTAACGACAAAGATGAAGATAAAGGCTCAGACAGTCTAAATGATAAGGTTGATCTGCATGTAAGTGGTGAAAAAGCTCTGATTTTTAAGTTAAATCATTTTATATTCATACTTCAACTATTGCTTTAAGCTTAAGTTTAAGTGTTTTCAGCTTAGCACACTTAAAACTTACAAAAATATATATTTTGGGGGGCTAACCAAGGCTCTTATAAAAGTAAAAATACCAAGAATATCACATTTCTTAGTTTGCTTTGTGTCTATTCATTGGTTAAGTCTACAGGATAAAGATTTAAAGTTGCATAAAATGTAAATATCTAAGTGAGATTCAGTTAAAATTCAGAACCTAATGAAACATTTTAAGTAACTCTTCATCCCTCAAGCTTCCCGCACTCCGTCATGTCTGCATCAGAGCTGACACACATCTGTGAGCACGCCGCAGGCTTTATTGGAAGCTGTGTCATTAACGGTGGCCGACTGATAGAAGTCAATCAAGCGAGCCAAGCCCTGATTTGACGGCCTGAGAGCACGTGACCCCTGCACCCGATGTCTGCAGTGACACCAACAGCAGCTCCGCTCTGATTACTACAAACACACACACTCACTAACACTCACATATGGTCTATTTATAACCGCAGTTAGACATGCTGAATATTATTACTGAGCAATCAAATCTGTGAGCTCATGCATGTCTGATGTGGCACATGCAGGCGAACGTGCCGCCGCCACCGCCACCGCTGCAGCCACTCAGCCGAAAAATAAAAAATAAAACTCAGAGTTACATGACGCAGTTGTGCCACCTCGTCTGTGGATAATGAAACAGGATTTTCCCTCCTTTAAACCCTAAAAATAGCTCCGGATTCAGAGAAGGGGCTGTCCAATCTCACAGGCAAACACAGGGTTCAGAAACAGCGGGTCTGCACATCATCACGTTGCATCACATAAAGGGCAATTATGCAGAATTAATCATACAACAGAATGTCATCCATCGAGTATATTTAGATTATAATTTCCTTCCTTTAATTCCTTTAGCTTTAAAACAGTCAGATCTGCAGTATCTTTACATTAGATAGTATCAAAAGTCACAAAAAGTCATGAACAATGCTAAAATACATTCACATTTTCACCCAAAGTCACTGCTGGAAAAATAGAGCTCCCCAGAGGTCAGTTAACGTAGAGATTAGGGGTGTCTCGATACAACTTTTTTTTTTTTTTTTACTTCTGGTACGATACTGATATTTTAGCCTTCAGTATCGGCCAATCCCGATATTGGAATAAACTTGTGCATGACAAATTTTGCACTCAGCAGCAACCTTTTTTTCCGACTTTGACGAGAAACACTGCCACACAGCCAACATCACTTCTACTCCTCTTTACTTTGTTGGTACCTTAGTACACACTGTTGTTGGGTTTACGTGAGCTCTGCTTGCTGGATCCGGATGCTGGAGCGGAGTCTGGAATGGACTGCTTGCAACAGAGTGCGGATATTGGAAATTTTAGATACAGGCTGATATAATCCAGTATATATAATTTTTTTGTCCTTTTTCTGCTGATATCGGATCGATAACCGATATCTATATCGGATCGGGACATCCCTAATAGAGATAACATGAAGAGATCGAGCACTGCTAATGAAAACAAAGCAGTAAAACAAAAAAAATGGGCATTATTTAAAATGCTCATCTCTGTTCAATCTCTTTTTCTGAACCAGCACTATTTGCAGTGCGGTTATAAAATAAGTTTAATCCCACTATGTGTGTTCAGGAGTTTCATTTTCAGGCTGCTCTTTAACTAAAGTCAAACACATGCAAAGAAATGAAACCAAACCCTTAACGGTTCCTCAAGGGAGGAAACAAATGCCAGTAAGGCAGGTTACAAAGAGATCAAATTAATCATAATTCACCATGATTTGCTGCATCGAACTTTGTTGTCAAACTCAGAGGAGTGGCGCTGAATCCAACTGACCCACCTGCGCACCGTCCCCAGGTTCTAGACAACAACTGGTTATTTGTCTCGTCACTAAGGTTGGGCATTCGAGTGCCGAGCATTGATGGGAAATAGGACCAATGCTGCGTTCGAGTTACCTCGGAAGTCAGATGTCGGAGCTGAAAATGACGTCACACCCGAGTTACCAGTGTTTCAGTTACCAAGTCGGAAAAAAGCAAAATCTGAGGCGGAAACAAGATGGCTACATCTACAAAAGTTATTTTAGCGATTGCCTTGTCCTTGTAATATTCAGACAACGTGAAGCAACTCAAACCTGCCAAAACATTCAGATTCTCCCAGAACTGTTCAAATTTTCACATTCTGATTCCAACTTTCAATGCCGAAGCGAAATAGCTGCCAGACACCAATGACGGAGAAATATGCAATGGCCTCAGCTGCAGGGCCAAGAATGCAACATTCATAAAGTAATCAGAAATTAGACATATGGAATAATTCATGGACTCTCATATTTGCCAAGGTTTACAGATGAGATGTTTCCTGCTGCAGACAGGAGAGACACGGCCTTTCGAGTCAGATCTGAGACGTTTGACGTTCATCAGGACAGACGGTGAGCTGGAAAAGATCCGCCTCAGTTTGACCTTTTGGTTCAAAGTGAATTCATTACGCAGCCCCGTTGAACACCACACAAATGAGGGGGGACGGCGATGACTCCCGGGGGGCGTCGCACCGGCCTCGGGGCGGGCTTCATGTGTCTGTCATCTTTGCAGTACAGAGAACACGTCTGAGAGGATAAACCTGCTCTGACCTGACGACAGAGAGGAAGGGGACCTGAGAGTTTATTGATGCATTTACAATGTCTGAAGTTTTTAACCAAAAACTGCTTTATACGTCTATTAAAGTACATCTCAGAGGGAAATACTGCTGGGTTACTTCAGGTACACCAGCAGTAAAATGCACCAAAAGCTTATAATAAAAAACATAATTTTTCTACCTATGCATTAAAAGTTTGGTCATCTTTAAGCTTAGAGAAAAAAAAAAGCCTCTACATTATTTCTGCAGACGAAACACAGTTTATACGATGATATTTGAACCAGCTCCTGTGGTGATGTCATGACAGGAGCAATTTGAATGGACATGCATGCAAAGAGTAGACAATCGCTCTGTTGTAGGATGCCAAAACCGACACAATTGTCAGTACGTCTTCCCACTACCAGAGGACCAAAGAAAACAGAGGTTTAATCTTATTTCTAACAACAACACGCCAACCATAGTTGATGATGACTTGTCTGTTTGTATTATCTACTTCACTTCCAAGTGCTTTAAATAAGGTCGGACCAAATCTGGGTTTCTGTAAACTAGTCTGAAAGGATCGTTACAAACAGTTCATGATTGAACATCAGCAGGTAAAAACACTCCTGAATGTTCTCCGGGAGAACTCGCCATGTTAACTTTTGTTTTTTTCTACTTCTGCACCTACATTGGTCCACACCTTCCACCCTCGGACAACATTAGCCAACCAACCAACCCAGCATCCCCCAGATCACTGAATGAACAATGAGGTTACGAACTGCAGGTCTGAATTTGTGATCATTTGTGAAGCTGATTCAACAATTCGGACAACACAGAAGCTTTACATATGGTGGATTTTAGTCTTATTAGTCTCAGTGATGTAACTCTTTGGTTAAGGAAGTCCACCAATGGACTTCTGACTCTACCAAACTTCCAAGAAAAAGGCAAAGAGTTGGAGGTGAGGCAGGCTCTCATATAAAAGTGGGTGTTAACGGGGCTTTACAGCAGCCCAATGTGGACACTTGAGGAAGTCACGACACATCGGCTCCATAATTCAGCTCTGGAGGTTGCCGGTTGCTCCAAACGTGGTCACCAGTGGCCTCAGGAAACTGCCAAACTCTAGACCTCACAAAAGTTTATAGGTAATTAGTTTTTGGTAGCATCTATGAAGACCCTTCAGAAATTTGAGTTTTCATTTTCAAGAAGACTCAGTGGCTAACTCAAGGTTTTATCAGCCTTACAGGAAGAAAACTGTGTTTGTTTTGGACAATTTTACAGGTGGATGAATCCAATGATTGTTCTAGTTGTTTGAACACAAAAACAAATCTTACTCGTATGCTTTTGCTGCTGGTATAAATCCCGGGAAACTAAATATTCTGGAAATGAAGACCTCAGAGATGGTTTTGAATCCACATTTTAGTTCATAAAAACACTGATGCAACCCACAAATATTAATTTCTGCTTTATTTCTCTATTTATTTGTAGTTGAACATATTTGTGTAGGTAACAGTGTTCTTCAAAGTGTTAATGAGAGTCTGCTCGGCTTGTAGCGACGCTGTGGGCTGTTAGACATAAAATAAGTCACAGTATGTTGGGCTGGAGTCTGTTTTAAGAGAGCAACACTAGAGTATCACCAACAAAAGTGCCAAAAAGAGAGGAGTCAGCTGATTCTCACCTACTACATGAACATGAAGGAAAGGATCCATATATGAAGATCGTTCGTAGTAGCAGAAAACCACAGAAACAAAGTAGACTCTTAAAATGCTGCAGTTTTGTTTTTGAGTCGTTTGCGCTCACATCTTCCTCTCCAGCCTCTCTCTCTCTCTCTCTCTCTCTCTTTCTGTTTCTCTGCCCACTGTCTTTTTTTCTCCATTCCCACATATTATTATTTAACAGTCCAAGCTGACCTCTGATCTGCCGGATAGACGGTCTGCAGCTCCATGTTCAGCCTCGCAGGCAGACGTGTTTCTGCAGAGCGAGCACACAGAGAGCTCAACAGCAGACAGCCAGAACATAGTGGTTTTCATGTTAATATGGAGGTATCTGGTTCAGTCAGGGAGAGACTAAGGCCCGGCAACAAATGAGCAGTTTTTGTATTCATGGGAAGGTAAACGCCGATGACACAAACTCGCCACGGTATTTAGGAGGGTTGTTTAGGTTTTGCTAACAAATATAAATCTGAATGAGTTCAATATTTAACGCCAGAAACTGGAGCAAGTGGCATTTTTGGTCAATTAGGAGCAAAAGGAAAAAAAATGGATCAAGAGAAACAAATGTTCAAATCCTTGTCTTAAAACTGCCAACATTGAGCTTCATAATTCTCTAAAAATAAAGTTTAACATCTTTGAGACTTAGGGTCCTTTCGTGCGATTATTTCGGACGTCAATATTTTTTTCGAACCCATATCCTGTCAATACAAGTGTTCACATCAGCAACGTTTTCCCGTCCTGCGATATTGTGGAATTTAATTTTTCAGATCACAGTCGATTTTTCTAAAGTTTCGCATACTGTGTGTCCACTTCTGACCAATCAGATTGCATGTTGTTGCGTTCCAATTCAGCGGTATATCAAACATGGATGACCGGCTCATTGTTTACATGTCGGAGAACAGAGTGATTTTTGATAAAAAACACAAACATTACAACCTGAAGGACAACTTGTGGAGAGTCATAGCGTTGGATTTCTCATATGACGATGGTTTGTGTGCTTTAACAGTTTGATAAACGTCTTTGTTTTAACTTTCATCTGTGCTAAGTAACTTTAGCTCGTAAGCTAACCTGTTCAGATACAACATACCATATGTATTTCACTGTCTCAAACTCAATCACAGCGTTGCTGTCACATCACCATTAGGTCTCTGTTGTTACCTTACGTTTATGGATTATAGTTTAATGTGCTTATCTGGTTCTGGCCCAGACTCAGTACATGCTATCATGACAGACAGACATCTCAACACTAGTGTCGAATCAGAACTGAAAAACAGTCAGTCTGCTGTTGTGTCAGTCTTCTCACTTCCACACGGGATGCGTCTTTTTTTCCCCCCGGAAGGTCGCAAAATCGCATCGGGCTTGATGTGTCAGACGACCTGCTGACGCTCACATTCAAAAAACTGGAACCACCATATTTGTTTATTTGCATAAACAGACCTTCCTTGTTTTTCAAGATGTGGTGTTGTTTCCTGATGTGATTATGAATGAATTAATCTCAGCAGTGTTTTTAACAATGTTTCCAATTATAGTCCCACATTTCTTATTAAAAAAAACAAGACAGCCGTGGGCGAAATGCAAAATTAAAGGTTTCAAAATAATAGCTAAATAATCCAATTTGAAAACCATGGTGGGTTTGTCTACTTCTTATATAAATTTGGAGGTTTTACAGCAGTAAGACTGGACCAAAACATTAAAGTTGAAAGCTGGGAGCATCACACATCATCAATAATAAATATGTCATGTCAACTCTTTTCCAGATGTGATCAAGTTTGAACATTTTTTCAGGATGTTTGGAGAAAATCAAACATGTTGAGGTAACAGCGGGTGGTTAGAGGAATTAAGCAGTCAGAAACCTATCTGTGATAAATGAATTGTGTGTAGGTGTTGAGATCTTATGTAACGGCATGAAAGCATCCCAGCAGCCTCCTCTTCATATAATCAAACAGCCTCTGGACAAACAGGCCTCGTCTTAATGCTGCTCTGCTCCTGGAGCTCTGACGTCTGATGGCCTGTAAGCTCCCTGAGGTGTCCCCACCATCATCTTCATCATCGTCTTCATCGTGAGTGGAGGTGCTGTTCAGCCCGTGGCGGCCCTCTGCGGTGCTGCTCTCGGGTCAGATGATGCAGAAGTGATGGCAGCAGTCGCTCATGTGGAAACGCTGCATTCAGTCGGTCTGGTTAGATAACGATCACGATGCCTCTTTGTTTGCTTGTTTTCTGCTTATTTGATTTTTTTTCTCTCTCTCTCTGCTTACAGAAACAACTGAGAGAGGAGTGACCCAAACTGATCTGATACTGAGATATAATCTGTACCAAAAAACTGCTTTTCATCCGTGACTTCAAAATGTGTTTAATCTGTGTGTTGAGATCACAGAGGATTTAGGTTATGTTTGCACGCTGCGAAACATAAAGAAAATACTGGATCTAGTGATTTTATACCTTCACAAGCTGATGGACAAAGAGGGAAACTTGGAGAGAAGGTTCAGAGCGACATTTTGTAAAGGGCTGCAGGCTGGATTTTAACACGGGCCGCCCACTGTTGTCTGTTTTCAAACAAAATTCCCTGAACTTCAAAATCTGTCATCCTGTCTCTTGAACAGGACAGCCATGAGTATGATGACTTTAGCTTTCCACTCAACAATGAAACCAAAACATTAACCCTAGAACACTATCGCTGGGTGATTTTCACCCGACCAAACATGTTTACATGATTTTCATCATGTTGCGTTTGTCTGAGTATCATGGGTCTCTGAGTAGCTTCATTATTACCTTTGAGATCTTTGAAGGCATATTTGTTTCCCTGATCCAAAACCTGCTTTTTCCTACAGGCAGGTGTTTGAGTGATTTTCACCCGTCAATAGTGATAGAGGGTAAAGTAGGTTTGGGTGGATTTGATCGCTGCATGTAGGCGAATAAGGTCAGTAAGAGTGGTCCTTGATTTTGCATGCTATCTTTATTTAGTGCAGTGGTTATGAATAACTATCACAAAGTTGTGATTTTCATATGGTGGTAAGAAATATTTTAGTCAGCTGGTCACTTTTACTCACTCAACATCTGCCATATTTTGGTTCTCTCTCCTGCAGCTGTTATTGTGCCAAGAACCCTGAGTCTTCACCAGGGAAAAATCACATGCCCTGGAAAATGGGTGGAAAAGAAACTAAATTTACAGGGGTTTTTTTTTTTTGTTTTGTTTTTTTAGGAATTTTTTGTTCATGAACGCCTAATTTCAGTTATTTTGTTGCATTTGTGGACATTGCACAGTTAGAAGTAAGAGAAAACTACTTTAATTTGTCATGTATTGTACAGTTTTATAATATCCAAAAGCAAACAAGACCATCAGCATCAAGTTTGACCAAATCTATATCCTAATTTTTAAGGCCTGAACCTGGTGTGAGGGGGTAGGTGTCAGTGGAGCGTCCAACAGTCCCCCAATACAATAATGCCTCTGTAAGAGCCACAGTATATTTGTTGAGAGAATGATTTCTACTAGGTACGTCACTTCCGGGGATCGACAGTGAGGGGTTTTGTTTTGGGATGTTTGGCGGATTATCTAAAAACAGCGGTGTAGTTGGAGACGATGGGTTTTGGTAAGCTCTGATAATTTTCTGTTGACCGTTTCACTCATCCCTCTACCCTCATTTTCATCATATCACTTTTTCATTTGAACGCAAAAGTTCTGGACCTGGATCAGTGTTAGGATGAGTTTCTTCAGCTAGTCATACTAGCCTCTAGAGTGTTGGAGCTGTGTCACTCAACTACCCCAGACACTTTGGTGTTAGATTGCTGGAGCCGGGGGGCCTCCTCCAACCATCCCTGAGCAAGGAACCCTGTACACATTATTTACACCATGTAGGTCCCCAAAATATGTTTGCCATGATATCTCCTTCTTGGGACCTTCCGTATGTTCATCTAAGGCTTTTGAAACATGTTGTCCTTTGTTTTGACCGTACATGGATTTCTCTTAGGGTCAGCTAAATACCAACAGTATGTTTAGAATTGTGAACCTCTATATATACTTGAATGGCCTTGGACCACTCTTTGTTACACTTGTAGCATGCTGAAGCTGTAACCCAGATCTGCAACCAGTAAAGCTTGTCAAACTGACCATTCGTGTGGACCTTCCATTCTTTCTGGTATGAACCTGGGCTAGGCATCCTTACAATCAGTGTGTTTTCTTTCTTTTTGGAACAATAAATCGCCTTTAACACTCAACCGGACGGATAAATCAATGAGTCGCAGATGCAAGTGCACCTAAACCCCAGCAGCCTTTTCGTTGAAGAAAAGCAGTCGCTACAGCCTCATTAACAAAAACTTAACCAATTATCATCATCATAGGTTTCTGTAATCAGTGATGTCCTTTAGCTTTGGAGGTCAGCTGCTTGTAAAGACTGTTGAAGGTGTGAAGAGGTCTAAAGTTTGTCATTAACTGTCTTCACCAGCAATTGAAGCTGTAGGAACATCATTTTTATCTCTTCCTGTCTTTTTCATTTTGTGATAAATATCATATCATGGACTTGGACTGGATTCCCTCCCTCAAATTACACACGAGATTCGATTTCCTCTCCTTTCTGCACCTTCAAATCCAAGCGCTTTTTCTCGTCTCCCTCTCAAATCATGTCTGAGTTTTATTCACGATCAGTGTTTTACATTTCTCACATCCTCTGTTTCTTCATCTCGTACGGCGAATGTTTGTCAGAATCAGATCAGTGTGTTATTAAGGTGCAGGTGATGTTAGCAATCAAACCTCCCCTCTGATTCATGAAGAGAAAACAGCAGCAGAGTGTACGCCGCCGATGTCAGTGAAGAGGCAGAAGCAGCGAGGGCGATTAATGAGCGCTCTCAGCACCGTTTCTATATATTTGATTAATTCAGGCCCCCACAACGCTCCCCGCTTTAAAGATAACTGCTCTTCTCGGAGGCTAAACAATTAGGTTACATAAGCTCATTGGAGTCTTACATTCCTGTGTCACAGACCTCGAGGCAGCTGAGCAGCTCGGCTGAAAACCCTTCATTATCACACGCCGACGAGGCCCTCGTTTTCTATTTACCCACTCGCTCGTTCGGCGCACACGGCTCCATTAACGACCCGCTGCAGCCCAGGTTTAAAATAACATACAGGAGGATATAATGAACTCCACCGTGCTGTTCTCAGCTGTTATCCTCTACATAATTGTAGGTGAGTATTTGTAGTGTGTTCAGGCACTATTGTAGTGTTTACAACATATTCAAGGGGAACGTAGTGACGGTTCAGGAGCTGTACTTGGACTAAGAAAAGCTCAGAGGTCTTAAAATCCTGGCCTCAATTTTTTGTTTTGTACTCATCCTTAAATCACAGAATCTTTTTGTAAATCTGTACCTGAGATTGTAAGTACAGAGTAAACAAAGGCAAACAAAATAGACAGCAGAGATGAAATAAATATGTAGTGTTCCTGAAGTAATCCCAGCATCCTGATAAATAATTATGCACTCTTGAGTTATTCCAATTTGTGGTCTTGAATTAAACATTTGCATCTGCAAAATATTATGATGGAAATTAAACACTGATCTGGTTGTAGCGTCTGCTCTAGGGGAGTTTAAGATGATGATGAAAAAATCAAAATGAAACCCAAAAAAGACATATTCTTCAATACTTTTCACTCGACAGAATTTGAAGCTACCGTTCACCATATTTTCTGGCACGCTTCCTTTATAAGTTACTTACAAAGTAGGTCTGATGCAGTATCAAAGTCTGGTCTAAAAATGGAGACAAGTACTAGATTTTGAAAAACTATCAAAGACAATTACAATCCAGGTCTCAGAACGATCAAATCCCAAAGCTAACATCAATCTACTCCATTTATCCAAAGAGTTATCTACCATCCGCCAATCCTCATAAAGAAATGCAAAACAATACAAGAAAACTGCCTCCTACTCAACACCTCAAAGACAAAGAAAATGATCATAGACGTCCACAGATCCAACTCCTTCTTCTTCAATCAGTGAATACCTGTGGCGTGGACATCGAGGTGCTGTCATCGTATAAATATCTAGGTGTACACCTCGATAATAAGTTGAACCGCTCTAAGAATATAGACTTCAAAAAGGGGCAGAGCCGCCTCTATTGCCTGAGAAGAGTGTGATTAATAGACATCCGTAGTAAGATCCTGCAGATGTTTTATCAGTCTGTGGTGTCTACAGCGTTCTGGTCTATGGGGAGGAAGTATCAAACACAAAGATGCAAGATATCTCAGCAGACTGGTGAAAAAAGCTGGAGGATGTGTTACACACTGAGAAAAGTGGAGGCTATTCTAAAGAACATGGATCATCCACTTCAATAAAACATTCATGGACCAAAAAAAAACAAAGATGGTGGATGGTTCATCTCACTTCGCTGAAGGACAGAAAGATCTTTTGTACCGACAGCCATCAAACTTTAAAATGCTTCCATAAATAGTAGATGAGAGTAGTCTTGGGATAAATGAATTTCCCTTTAAGGACAAATAAAGTACTTGTTTCAACATATACGACAACACCACCCCTGATGTATGCATCTTTGTTATATATTACATTTCTGTATGAGTGCATCTATTCATTACACATCCACCCATCTCCCATCTAGCCAGCCATTATCAACTCAACCAGCCATCCATGATCTATTCATCATTTATCTATTCATTCATCCATACCAACTATCTAACATCAATTCATCCATTAAACCATCTATTAAGCTCTTTCTTATCCATTCATCCATCTATTGTTTCACTCATCCATCCAGCCAACCATTATCCATACACCCGATTTTCCCTTTCTCTATGATCTATCAATCCATCTATTCATCCATCAACCATTTTACATCACTTCATCCATCCATCAGTCTTCCTTGGGCCCATCCATCCATCCACCCAGCTGTTGTTTAATCCATCCATCCATCCATCCATCACTTTATCCATCTATTCATCATCCACCCATCCATCCATCCATCCACTTTACATCACTTGATTCGTCCATCAGTCTTCCTTGGGCCCATCCATCCATCCATCCATCCATCCATCCATCCATTGCTATTGTTTAATCCATCCATCCATCCATCCATCTATTTATCCATTCATCATCCAACCAGCCATCTATCCATCCACTTTACATCACTTGATCCATCCATCAGTCTTCCGTGGGCCCGTCCATCCATCCATCCAGCTATTGTTTGATCCATCCATCCATCCATCACTCATCCATCCATCCAGCTATTGTTTGATCCATCCATCCATCCATCACTTCATCCATCCATCCATGCATTTATCCATCCATTCCTCGTCCACCCATCCATCCATCAAGCTATTGTTTAACCCATCCATCCATCCATCCATTTATTTTACATCGCTTTATCCATCCGTCAGTCTTCCTTTGGCCCATCCATCCATCCATCCATCCGCCCACCCATTATCGATCCACCTAATTTTCCCTTTCTCTATGATTTATCCATCCATCTGTTCATTCATCTTCTTACATTCATTCATCTATCAACAATCCATTGATTCATCCATCAACCATGTATCCATCTTTCCTCCTTTTTCATCAGAAGTTTGTTATTTACAAGTCTAATTTAGAAAACATTATTTCGGTGTGTATTTCCTCAGGTAATCAAGCAAGTTCACTTTAAAGACTCTGTTTTTTTGCATGTGAAGGTTTACCGGATGCTTAAATCTAACTACAAGAAGGAAGTTGCATGTATGGAGGACTGCTGTCAGTGTGGGCATGGCTTCAGTTCAACTGCTTTTAGTTTAAAGACACAAACTGACACTTAAAGAGCCTGCAGGGATTAAACTAAAATTAAACATTCACTCAGCTGCAACACGAATTTCCTTTCAGCTTTCGCAGCTCAACGAACGCCTCACAGTCTTTTCGCTTTATCCTCAACTCAAAATCCCAGACAATATTTAACTAGTGAAGAATTTATATGTTTAAAAAACCAGACGATTTTAATGTCTGCTGGAGAAAACGGCCTGACTCGACTTTAAAACCGAACACATGTGGCTGCATGTGAGGGTGAGTCACTGGGGGATAAAGCCGATTTTCAGCAGCAGGTAAATTCAAACTTTGCTCATGAACTGGAGCTGATGACTACCTGTGCTCCTCAGCCCACGATGTACCTCCACACACATACACACACATGCACACGCACACACACATACACACAGATCGCTTCTTATGCAACGGGAAGGCTTAAATCCATCAGCTCCCATCAGCAGAGATTACTGAGAGTAAATGTGGGGGGAGCACAGAGATCTGAGGGAGCGCTCTGAAATATACGCTAAGTACTTTTCAGACACGTTTCAGCTGCAAATCCAATCCTCCGCTTCACCCAACGAGTCCAGAGTTTAAAAACATCTTCAAATCCAATCAAACCCTCGATATTATCAATAAAAGCTGATCATTTCGTTTGATGATGGCTGATCAGGGTTTGTTTACACAATGACTCAGCTGTTGGTAAAAGTGACTCTAGAGAAACACTTCAACATGACAGAGAAATTTATCAGCTTACTGCAGTTTTTTTAGGTCAAAACGTAATCTTATTTTCCTGTGTTTAATCTTTTCTTTGTTGTGAATCAGATTAAGCTTAAAAATATGAAACGATTTGCTTCAAAAGACCCTGTTTGCCCCGAAACATTTGAAGACCTAGATCTACATTCAATCATTTTTTTGATAAGTTGTTTCGGGACATTATGGACCATGTATGAATGAGAATGGATGTCAGAAAGAAGCGGGAAACATTTGGGAAGGTTCACCTCGAGCATCTGGGAAAGAGTGATGACCTCTGTATCATGTGACAGGGGGAGAAAAAACACCTGAGGATGTAGGAGAGGCGTGTTTAGGGCAAGAACAATCAGAGGTTCAGCAAAAGGCCAAATCTGGACGGACAACTGCGTTATGTTGGGTCTTTTTATCTTTAATAACTTGCACAAAATACTCTAAATAATGCAAAAGCCAGCAAACACAACTGTTAAATGAGGAATATTACCAATAGGGGTGGCCCCACGATACGATATCATAATGATAGTTGGGCCACGATATGATACTATTGCGATTTTTAACTTTTTGCAATACAACGAGTATTGCGACACAATATATTGCAATTTATACAATTTCTTCAACTGTTTAGCTAATTTAGCATTTGGTTTTCCTTCATGTTTGTCTTATTTATGCTGTATTTTATTTTCATGTCGCACATCTTGCAAACCTTATATATTCTTTGTACTAACTTTCTCCTGCTCCAAGATATCACCTTTGCCAACCTTACTCTGACAAAAAGTTGATTTTATTTCCCATTATCATAGATTTGACTTCATATTAGCAATAAATTTGAAAAAAATCGACACTTACATGAGATGAAACGATATATCACCAGACAAAATATTGCAATGCTATGCGGTATCAACTTTTTCTCCCATCCCTAATTATCAATGACGTGCACAATGTGTAACTGCAACAAGCATCCCGTAATGTCCAAAAGACACTTCATTCAGAAGCAGCTCATGTTTAGGATTTTTTCAAATTACTTTTTTGAGCAGCTGCAAAGTTCCCAAACTTTTTGCGAACACAGCTCAAAAATCACAAATGAAATCCACTCATTTTATATGACCGACAGCTTTGAGGAGATAAAACCCTCAGGTAATATTAAGGAAAGGTTAATTTAGGTGTAGATTTCCACAGAAATGTCCTCAGTACTAGCAACTCTGGATTCATGAACACAGCAGAACATCTGGATTTGATCGTAGCATGTAAATTTATGAAAGCGCACTCCCCTAGTCACCAATCAGCAGAAATCACCACCCATGACGAGCCAAAAAAAAAAAAACACCATGTAAGGAGGTGTGGATATGTGCTTCCTGTGGACCTGAGCGAGAAAAAACTTTCAGATCAGAAAAAGACAAAATTTTAAGAATAAAACATTCTTGTCTTCAGAAAATGTTACTGTGCTCTATAACTCTCTGAGTCACTGTGTGGGATTCATTATGGACCAGCTCCTTCGGTCTGGTAGGACTTTTGCATGAAAGAAAAACATATATATATAAATATATATATATATATATATATATATATATATATATATAAATCCCTGAGGTGCAAATAGTGAAGAAAAAATAATTATATGCAAATCCATGAGTATCGATAACAATCTGCACATGCACAAATCTGCATGAGGCACCTGAGGGCTTCAAAAACACGCAAGGTAGCTACGTACAGATCAGAGCTACTAAAATGCTGATACAAACTCAACACAACCTAAAAGTTGTGAACAGGAATTAAAGACATCACAAAAAACAAACTACAGACAACATGAATGGCTGCACCCTCACTGTGGTTGATTCACATTCCTCCTGTCTGAGGAGGATTAGGAAGCTGGTGTATCAATGAAATTAAAGTGTGTATTTTTCATTATTTGCTTGCAGTCAATTTTCAAGCTTCAGAGAGCACGTGACACCAGAGACAGTCATTTCAATCCCGTCTCCGACCAGCTGAGTCAAACAGATTTACCAGACCTGAACACGGCAGGTTTGGGGATTAGACCAGGTGTTTTTTCAAGCTCCAGAAACTCTGTGTACCTCGTCGTTTCAAAGAAAATAAAAACCCTGAAGGTGTCTTTTTGACTCCTTCAGATTGGCTGAAAAATCCTCTGTAAATGTAGCGCGGCAGCGTTGCCTCCGCCTGTCATTCACAGAGTAAGCCAGGACGAGCTCAGCCTCATCTTTGCTCTCTCTCTGCTCCCTCACTTTTTCTCAACAGCACTGGAGGTTGCAGCTGAGGACTGCCACTGTGTGTGTGTGTGTGTGTGTGTATGTATGTGTGTGTGTGTTACATAACTTCCTCATCGCATTGTCTCTCCTGCTCCCAGCGCTTTCCCCAGCCTGTGCAGAGCCGAGCGGGGAGAGCGCGGGTTAGAGGAGTCAGGAGGTCTGCAGAAAGAAGCTCACGCTAATCACCTCATCCTAAGAAACCAACGAGGAAACGCTCCGCCGCCTCGTCTCTGCTGCGAGTTCCTCGGCTGCAGCCAGAATTAGAGCCCACAGCTTCACTCATGTGTCTCCTGCTGAGCTGCACAGTCACATATTTACTCATGACAGGCGTGTTTTAATAAAACTAATCATGTTTGAAGGCTTAGTGTGGGAACAGCTCTGTAATTAGTCCTGCTTCTGCGGCTCCTCCGTAATATTTCTTATGTTGCACTTCTGTCACGCAAAGCATGGTTCGCCCTTGGATTAAGTGCATCTCTGAGGGTAAAAATAGAAACATAATAATGCATGACATGTAAACACAGCACTCCTTCATGTGTGTATTTATTTATATGAATGGTGGAGAGCTCAGCAAGCCCAGATTACAGAGCCTCTGTGGATTAGTCAGGGATACATTTTGAGCGTCTCTGCGCCCCCAAGTAAAATGAGACGTCAATCAATCTGACAGCTGTGACCGCAGCGCTCTGTCAGCGCGCAAACTTTTTTAATCTCAGCCAAGTTTTCAGGACACGGCTCCAAGTTCAGGCTCGGATCCTGACAACACACAAACACGAGGCGCTCGAGGATGGACAGCTAATCATTAAGAAAACTTTTGTCGCGATAGTTACTGGATCAAGAGAGTGAGTGTCGCAGAAATGGACAGAGAATCGCAGTTTTCGATTAAAGCAAATGTAGAATTGATAGTAACTCATGAGGCGAGTCCATTTGTTGTGAAAAAGCAGTTTGATTGTGTGAAGGTCTGAAAGAAAGTTGATTTAAACAATTTCCTAATGAATCCATGCTCTAATGCAGTAGTTAACAGTCTTCTTCAATACCACATGATGTTAATAAAAATCTTTCACAGTCAGATTTTAGAATAAAAAATACGTCAGACGACAGGAGATAAGAGTTTCCAGCTGCTTAGCTTCCTGATGCATTCACTGTGACATTGATTTTTTTGAAACTCCTCCCCACGTCAGTTATGCTGCATTCTAGTTGTACTCGGAAGTCGGATTTCCGACTCGGAAAGTTGGACGATCCTCACCAACCCCGACTTGACGACAACGTCATTATCCAAGATGGCAGCAGAGTGCATCAACAGTAAGGAGTAACAGTGAAAGCTCTCGTAATGTATGATTTGTTAGCGCTTGTGTTTTGTATTTTTGTGAAATTAAATAAGTGGTATATGTTGTACTGTGCATCGTCTTATACTGCGTTCGAATGACCTCAGAAGCCAGAAGTCGGAGCTGAAAATAGCGTCACACCTGAGTTACCAGCATTTCAGTTACCAAGTCGGACAAGAGCAAATCAGTGGCCTGTGACAAAATGGCTACATCTATTAAAGTTATTTTAGCGCTTGCTTTACATTCTGACAAGGCAAGCGCTAAAATAACTGTAGATGTAGCTATTTTGTTTCTGTCTCCAATTTTGCTTTTTTCCAACTTGGTATCTGAAACGCTGGTAACTTGGGTGTGACGTCATTTTCAGCTCGGACTTCTGAGGTCATTCGAACGCAGCATAACTGTGAACACGGTGCTATGGTGTTTGTAAGAGTAAAATACTTTGTTAGCATTGTTTACAACTGGTATAGCTGACAACAGCTAACAACAACAGACAATCGCTAACAACAACTAACAATAGCTGACAATTGTAAACAACAGCTAACAACGACTAACTCTAGGCGTCCATCTTGGTTTTCCGACTTGTTTACTGGAACACCATCAACTTTGCTGTAGTGTCATTCCCAGCTCCGACTCTCGAAGTAACTGAAACGCAGCATTAGTATGTTGTGTTAACACTTGAACACTCACCATGTATCAACAAGTGGGTTCTACATTTCTCACGACTGTTGCCATGGTTGCCTTTCTTGTGTTTCCTTCTTCAGTCAGATGGCTTCCTGATTGGCTATTGTTTTATTCCACAAGAGACGGGCAGAGCTCATGCTCAGCCAGCTTGGTGGTTCTCCTTACGTTTAAAGATTTCTGATTGTGAATACTGAACATCATCCTCCATGCAGATCATCTTCCCTCACATTAAAGGCAGACCTTGCAAGATAATTTGCAGTATAAAAAAACAAAGTGTCTCAATTTACGGTACAGATGCAGAGGAGAGGAGTGAAATGATCTCTATACTATCTGACTTACAAAAAAAAAAAAAAATGGTTTACAACAATTTGGCCCCTTGTGATGTTGCTGTTTTTCTTAAGTTTTGTGCACAAGAGTTTTACATTTTTAATTAATTGTCAGAACTATCCGATAATCAGGTTGTTGCTGGTTTTTGTCAGAAAAGGAGAATTAGGTCCAAAATCTGTGTGACTGTCTTACAGTGTGTGCGCCAGCATGAGCCAGGTACACACTGTATGATAGTCAAACTGACTCTAAGTCCTCATCTGCAACAAAAGTCAGCAAAGGTGGTTTTAACTGCTCTACAGATTATCTTAATGTGACACTCTGACGCACTAACTGAAATAAAAGATTAGAAACATCACAAAGGGCCAAAATGTTGCAAATAAGTGTGTTTTGCAAGTTAGATAGTGCAGGAGTTTTCCTTATCTTAATTAGTTCACTCCTCCTCTTTACACTTGTATGCTGAATTAGACATGCAAAGCAGTTTTCTATTTTACTGTAAATAATCTCGGCTTATTTTTCTGTGGTGTGAAGGATGTTAAGAGTGATTTTACCTCCAGTGATCTGCACAGAAGACTGATCAGACTGTTCAACGTTTATAGCCAATCCCGTCCAGGTTTGAACACCAAAGCAGAGCACCATGCTACATCTGTGAGCATGTAATTCAGTGTTGTTACCAAGACTGTTGCTGGTTTAAACAATAGAAGAACAACGATGTTGCACCTCAAGTCAAAGTTTAACTCTGATTTGTCTGCACATATATCAAACAATCATGGTGCACCACTGTTGCTTAGCTAGCCTACCTTATCATCACAATGGGACCTGCTGCATAACAGACTGAAAAACAAAATGAGGCCAAACCTTGTTGGTTTAGACCATAGACTGTATGATAAATGGACATAGCATCAGTAAAATCACCCATTTGTTTCTGAAGCCGAGACATGAAACCTAACGATGGCGGTTGCCGTACTGAATATGCTGACTCAACCTAACTTTTAGTAAACATTCCAGAGGCGGGCCTTTAAGCTCCTCACAAACCGCCACTGTGTGATTGCCTGTCAGTCAAGTCAGCTTTGCTTCTGATTTGATAGTCTTGTATTATCTTCAAAACAATCATGTTACAAAGAACTCGCTCTCTTTATAGTGGTTGCCATGGGAGCACTAAGCTAATCAGACCTAAACCCTTTTTGAACCAGGCTGTAAACATTTTTGTTTTTGCTCTAAAAATAGACTCTTTTGAATTAGTGTGTATGTGGTTTGTGGTTCTTCTGCAGCCAGCCTCTAGTGGACACTCAGGGAACTGCAGTTCTTAGAACTACACCATCAGCTTTATTTCTCAAGACTGGAAAGTTGCCACTGCTTACCTGCTAAAAATTTGCCCCAAATCATCAAAAATCAAAGCCACAATGTTATGTGTCTGCAGAGCCGAAAGCTGCAGTTCCAGGACTGCAGCTCTGGGACCTCATTTCTAAAACTCTTACAACAGTTCAGGTAACATTTATGTCCTTGAAAGCCATTAAGTGACGCTGTTGCAAGCAACAAGGGTCCTAGAAATGCTGTGGTCATGAATCTGCAGTCTCCATGTCTGCAGACACACACGACTTACTGCACTGTCAACAAATAAACGAGAGTTACTCTCTAGTTTCTGTGAAAACTAATGTCTAAGTAGTGAATATAAACCTGTAAGAAACAAGAGTACACATACAGCACTATAAATTGTTCTCCTCCAAGTTTACGTCCTGCATTTAAACCCTAAAGCTGTAGAGGTGAGGATGCAGAGATTTGTTTTGAATTGTATATCTAAAGTGAACCGCCATCAGAGGACTGCTCGTCCTGACTGGCGTGATGCACCTACACCAAGCTCCCTGCTCGACTGTCACGAGAGGTGAGCCCGTTCTCTTTACAGACCTGACAGTCAAAGCCAATTAGTGCAGTTATTGTTCTGCCCCGCAGTCCCCTGAGCTAATCATCTGACGTATCCTTCATCTCTCGGGGTGCCGCGCTGTCACGACTCGTCGGTTCATCCCACTCAGGGTGAGATGGCTATCGGGGCTTTCCCAAAATGTTGGGCCGCTGCTTTTAGGCCTCTGTGATACAACAGTGAGAGGAGCCATGGTGCATTTACTCAACCGCTGTGCTCTGTATGTACAAATATGAGCAACTTTTGACATCCATGCCCACATCCATCTAAACCTACTAAAGATTCTTGAGAATTTCCAAATAATGATCCCGTATATTTTAATACATTCAGATGCCTGACTGGCTAATAGGTAGTTCTGTAAGTTTAAACTGCAACATGATCCAGACCCTGAGTATAAAATGACTCCCTCAAGTCAAATTTATAGAGATAAACACAGAGATGTTGTATCTAAATATCTTAAAATAAAATAGCTAGTTGTCTGTTCGCAGCGTGCACATACTGGCAAACAAAGAGAGGACAAATCTGGACAGGATAAGTTCTGTCATTTGACTTACAAAAGAAAATACTGTCATGCTCGTACCAACGACTACTACAGTTCATTAGTTTGAGGCTTCTCAGCATTTTTACTGCAGTCATGCTCTCCAAGACTGATTCGTCTACAGCTAAACCCTGACCAAGAGGACAGAGAGTATTTTTTTGTGTGTTTTTTTTTAGTGAGGCCATTCTGTATTAGTAACGCCATTAAGTAGCGGCATCACTTTATTCAGTAACTAATAATGTAACGTGTTTTTTTTTTTATTCAGTGACTCCGTTTCCGTTACCAAACGCTGCATCCCGTTCCGTTTGGTGAGGTTTTATAACGGCACACAGTTCCCATAACATTTTAGCTATCAATAAAGTCTAATTGAATTGGAAAAACTAAGCACTTGTCACCCTCTGGCGTCACACATGTAATCAAATATGCGCCATGAAGAGGACTGAACAGGTCAGGGAACGGCATGATGGCGAAGTTTCTCCTCATGGAGATACTCACATTATTTTCAACTCAAGAGCAAAGGGAAAAACAACATTTCGGTAACATGTAAACTGTGTCCCGGGTCAAAAATCCAGCAGACAACAGCAACAGCATTCTACTGAAGCATCTAGAGAAGCGGCATGCTTCGAAAAAGTTAGCAGCTAAGGTAACGCAGCATCTGCGACCAAGAGTCACAGCAGCAAGCGCACACCCACTCCACCCAAGCAGCAGCGGTTGGAGTTCGAAAGACAGACTCATAGCCAGACACAACTTGACAAAACAATAGCAAAGTATGTTTGTTTATTTGGATCTCTTTTAGCGATATCAAGAGTCCAATGATAAATTTTGGTTTCAAGTAACTGACTTTTAAAAAGTAACTGTAAATGTAACTAGTTACTATTTTTTCAGTAACTAGCACAACACTGGTATGAAGAGAGTCACATCTCTGCTGCTGGAAACCTGAACTTTGTGATCAGGCTTATGGATGCATGTTAGCGTCGCTGCTGTATTTTATTTCGACAGTTTAAGATCCTGTTAAGTTTCACACCTGCCCTCCAAAAATAACTGATGCAACACTGTAAAGCAGCTTTTTACTCTCCAAAGTGTTTCTTGGCGAGTAGATAAATGACAGCGGCTCAGTAAATACCTGAAAGCTGAATCAGACTTACTTCCAGGTTGTTTTCATGTATCAGTGAACGACACTGAGTCCCTCTTTGGCAGCATTGGTCGAACTGCAGTCGCCGGCCGCCAGCAGCATACGGCTTCCCCTAATTGGGATCTGCAGAGCGCCCGCCAGTCCACCAGATTACACAGCAGCCGTGGCGCTGCCAGAATTTATGACTATTGGACGGCGTCCCAGCGCTCGTGGATAGTCCTGTTTCATCTGGCTAATTAATGAGTCCAGCAGATAAACGAGGGATGTAGAGCAGTTTAGTCCGACAACAACAAACAGCAGGAGGGAAACAGGTGAAGCTGTGAGAGCAGCTCATTACAGCACATGTCCAAAAGTATACGGACAGCAGAGTCCAGCAGCCAAAACATCATTATATTCTGGAACGTCGAGGTTTTCCTGCCTCAGAGCAGGTAAAGAGCCTCAGACCAGTGCTACTCTTAACAGACTGCATGCAGACATGGACAGCTGAACAGTTTTGGCTGGAGAGAGATTATCATAAGTGGAATAAAGGATTTATGGGTTTTGTCAGTATTTGACTCAGACTTAAAGACTTAAAATCTGCAGGGGATCAAAGTTCAGTCTTGGCTGAGAAAACAATCCCACAACAAAGCCTGAAAAAGTGGTTCAGACATTCAAGTTTTCCTCCGGATTAAATAACTTCAGTGATCCTCTGACTCGTTTATCCAGTGCCACTGTCAGGTCAAGGTTAAAATGTGTCCAATCTTCAGTTTATGAGTTAATACCTGCAGAAATAACTTCATCACAATCATCCTTAGCTGCAGTTTGTGATCATAGTATGGGATGGGTGTCCTGTTTGAGTCTATACCACGGCTGTACGCTCTTGAATTACCAACAAATTATGCAGAATTCACACCCCTTTATCCTGTGCAAATGTGCCAAAAAGACATGAAGTTCACACAGCATGCACAAAAGGGTTAAATGCACCACAAACCGCTCTGCACAACTGCCGAGCAAGTACTGTCTGAGCGCATCTGTGTTGTTTGCGCAAACTGTAAAGAGCCATCATGCATTCATTTGGAGCAAAATGGGTCCCTTTCTATGCAAATGAAGTGAAGTTTCTGTCACATCTGTCATGAAGCAACTCAACAACAGACTGGTAAGTTTCATTTATTTGTTTATTTTCACTCTGCACTCAGCTTATTAAATATGCAGATATAATTTTGCACTGTCAGGATGGGAGTGCACAATGCAGCTCTGTGCAGCAGAGCGTGAAAATGCTGACAGCTCATCTCAAACACAAGAAAAACACAACAGTGAAGTAAACTGCAGAAAGCTGATGAACTTTGAGGAAAAGTCCAATTTGTTTTTGTAAATTTAACTCAAAGAGAAGAAATGATAATCAATTCTTAATGCTTTTAATGCCGCTCTCAGTCAGCGCGTTTACATGCACAGTTTAATCGGACTAAGCTCATAATTCGTTTTTATTTTTTCGCCGAATCGGAGAGCTGAGAAAATTGAATTATTGACCTGAACATGTTCTCCTCCCCAAAACTAGGGGGTGATATGGGTCTTGTCAGTGGTGTTGTTTCCGGTTGACCCCATACAACTGTCAACAACAACAACAGGTCCGTGCCAGACGTCAAAAGTGGCTAAAACTGATTCTGGGCATTTTCAAGCAAGAAGTTGGAGCATCGTACAGTGTTGTGTTTTGTCGTACATGAAGTACACGCTACTTTTTCAGTAGATGAGATGCACGCTACTCTTCTCTGGTGTTTTTGTTCCAAGGTTATAGGGGCGTGGCGCATGTGCACATGCATTATCCAATCATACTCCGGCTACGCTGATTACATGGTAGAGAAAATCGAATTACAATCGCATTATCTGGATGTCTTAATCAGAGTTTTCCAACTCCAATTGGAGTTTGAAAACTCCGATTACAGTCAGACTAAGATGTTAACATTAAATTCAGTTGTCTGGTCTTAATCGGAATAAGGCAATAATTCGATTTTCTCGAGTGCCATGTAAACATACTGAGTGAATGGACTGTTGTGGGGAATTTTTTAACCATTAAACCTGCTGAAGTAAACAGGAAATGCCCTAAGAGCCCTTTTATGGGGTATTCATGACCATATGATACTCAGATCCAATAAATGGCCCAATTAGAAAAACACAACCGGCTCTACAAAACTTTCAGAAAGATCATTTTTAATCTCAGGATATTGGAAACTATCAAAGGTTTTATCCTTTCATCCAACAACTAACATTTCTGAAACAGTGAAAAACTCAAATAAATATTTATAAATCGTAAATACTTGCATAAGCCTCACAGAAGCGCATGTTCTGGAGGTAACTAAATGAGAGTTCTGGAACATTATGTGATGTTTTAACGCCTGCATATATAGGTCTTCCATTTCATATACATGTGAGTTGTTTACTGTGAACATTTGGTGTTGTTGACTCACTTTGCCTGCAGCCTCTATTAACATACATACATTTTAACATCTGCCATCCCTTCAGATTCTTTTCAAGAATGGAAACTGGAGCATAAAATGTAAAAGGAGAGGAAAATGAACAATGTCTCACTGGTGTTTACAGATTTAACGGCCCCCCCGTGAGAGTGTTTTCAGCAGAAAGACGAAGTGGAGTCGGAGCTGACCGAGCAACCATGAGCAGGCACGATTCTGCAGCAGTGACACGAACAAGAGGGGACGGTGATGGAGGCTGTAATTACGGAGTGAAATGAGATGAGAGTAATAAAAGATGCAGGCTAACATGTCGTGTGCTTGACTGCATCCAGATGCTGCACTGCTGGCCGTGTGTCAGCGTAGGTGAGGCCACGTGGATCTGCAGGACAGATTTTTGTCCTGCAGCTCTGTGCTCGCTGACACAAGCTCAGCACAGCAGAGATGATGCTAAATGACTGTTTTCTTCATGCAAAAGCAACTGTTGTCATGGTTATACCATCCACATACTGTAGAGAGGGAGGGAAAAAAATGAATACATACGAGGTTATGTAATCTAACTGGATTCGGGCAGTGAAGGGGCCAGGATCGCTCACAAAAATCAACCGCAGAGTCGGAAATGATTAAAGGCTGGAGGGGACCGATGATGGATGATGAGGTCAGCGAAAGCCGGGCAAAGATGATTTAGCACAAAGCAAAACTGCAACATCACATTTTTGGAAGCCAGAAAGTTAATACGAAAAACACCAAAGTCACGCAATTTAATCACAGCTCTCTGAAAGGATTCATGAACCGAGGCGAGTTAAATATCTTTATAAACAAACAAGGGAGTCTGCTGTGTGGGCAAAAAGACACGGGAAGCCCTGTCCTTATTAGTGTGCATTTATTCTGCATAGTTTGGTCACATGATTCAATTTAAAATGTCTCAACCTTCTTTTTTTTTTTCAAATTTGGAGCTGAACAAAAAAGCATAATGATCCATTCAGCAGGAAGCCCCTGTGATGAAGAGTTTACTTTTCTGCAAATCTGAGGGAGAGCATGTCGGCACAGAAACCCTTCAACAGGACCTCTCACCTTTGCAGATCTTTATACTTTCTAGTCATGTTTGTTTGTTTGTTTTGGACTCAGCACCATGAGGGCTGTGAGTGTCTGAGTCTGATTTTCAGTTTTTGTGGCTAAAAGAATTTGCACTTTGAATTCAATCCATCAACCCATAAAAAAAGGGATGTACCAATCCAATATTTGGATTGGATTTTCACTCCGATATTGACGAATTATGGATCGAATGTCTGATAAATGCAGCCGATCCAGCATTCCAATCCAGTCTTTTTTTTAAATTTTAATTAATATCGTACACAGCAACTCAGCGATTCAATTCGATCTATATTCTATGTCTGTCTATCCTTTTGCACTAAATGTTTACATGGAAGTCTTACTTCTTTTTGCTGTGTGCTAATGTGCAATTTGTTATTTGTTAATAAATAATAATCAAGTAAATTTATATCAGTGTTAATTCGTTACCTTTTTTTTTCATAAAAGGCTAATGTCAAGCCCGATGCCTTCACTCACAGGGCAAGGTATACAGTTCATTCATTCAGCAGTAGTATTGGACCGGTATCAGATCTCGGCCGATACGCTCTGCCCAAGTATCGGTATCGGACTGGATCAGAAAAAAAATTGATCTGTGCATCTCTAAAAAACACCTTGAATGAAAACTATCTATGTCAAATTTTAAGCTCTTTGACTTCCTCAAGGTTTTTTTTTTTTTTTTTTTTTTCTTTGGATCCTTAGATACATTAAGGAAGTATGGGTATGCCAATAACTAACTCTGACTGTCTGAATGCGAGCGTATTGAAACAAAGGACGCTCCCATAGACACATCTCTTATCCACTGCTTTTTTCTCTCGCTTTACTTCATAAATAGTCTTAAAACTACCTACTTAACTGTCTTCTGCTTCATCGTCTTGTGCTCGTGCCGACCAAGAAAAAAAGTTATGAATGAACTTTGTTGGGTTTTTGTCTCCCAGCTGCTTGTCTTCAGGCTCAGCTTCATATCTCTTGCAGCAGCCTTTGACCCTGCTGGCAGATCTCCAGTCCGCTACCAACAAACACTTATCCTGATGTAATAAAGATCACATCGCCTGCAGAACACTGAGTCAGCCTCTATCATTATCCTCTACACTGCCACAATGTATTGCCACTGTCTATCTAACAACGTATGCAATAATGACAGTGCAGACAAGGGGTATTGTAGCCTGATAGATGCAAATATGTTTGTTGACTTTCTCAGTTACAGGCGGATTTTATTTTGTTTGCTTATACAATATTGCTGCACTGACAAAATCAAAATATAAGCTTATCATGGACATAAAGTGTTTGACTCTACACCCAATCTTAATCTCCTCTCAGAACATCTCATTTTGCATGAGTGCTGTAACATACTTTGCAGACAGAGTTTCGGTCTGGTCTGAGTCACAGCGAGCAAATCGTGACTATTTATCTAATTCACGGTGGGTTTTCAAGAACAAATAAGACGTTGTCACTAGTGTGGAGGGCTCTTCATGGGTTTTCATGCCAGTATCTGTAGGACTGGGCAGTAGTTTGAGTTATTAGTGGGAGGTTTGGCTACTTCAAAATGTCATGAAAAACAAAGGCGACTGATGTTCAGCTGGAAACCATTAGATTTAGATGTTTAAAGTGGGCACCCATCCTAGCAGATCACACATTGTTGCTCCAAATAGTTTTACCCCCAAATTTCCACCACATCCAGAACGGCAGCGATTTCTGCCGTCCGCCAATTCCTACTGGGTCCACTTGTGAGGCGAATTTCATGGCGGATTATAGACAGCAGGAATCATGAGAACTCACAAGAACCCGCAGATTCAAGCAGTAGATTGCGTCCCTCCAGAGGAGGAAATCCACTTCCAGACTTTGAGAATCAGCATCTTCTCATCCATGGTGTCATCGGGGTGAAAGTGAGAGGTTTTCACTTGTTTGTTCCCGCCTGTTTGAATGGTGTAAAATACGATCTGCCTGAAACACGTTGTATTTATTTTGAAAAGAAGCCAGATGTTTTATTTTGTGTCTGTGCCCGACTTCCTTTCCAGCACGGACTAATCTGGGTGGAATTTATGCGGCATGCTGTGGCGTCCAAAAAAAAATAGAACTCTTGCAATCGGCTGTGGAGTTCGCTGATCCACAGCGCAACAGAAAGAAGCCGGTGGAGATTGACTTGAATGGTTAAGATCAGTTGCGGTTGGCGGATATGGCCTTTTCGTAGCCGTTCCAGATGCGGTGGAAATTGGGGGTTAGCCTCCAAAGGCATTGTGGTCTTCAGTGCTTATGATGCGTTCGAGTTACCTCGGAAGTCAGAAGTCCGAGCTGAAAATGACGTCACACCCGCGTTCCCAGCGTTTTAGTCACCAAGTCGGACAGAAGAAAAATCGGAGGCGGAAACAAGATGGCTACATCAACGAAAGTTATTTTAGCGCTTGTCTTGTCCGAATATAAGGCAAGTCCTAAAATAACTTTCATAGATATAGTAATCTTGTTTCAGGCCTGTGATTTTGCTTTTTTCCGACTTGGTAACTGAAACACTGGGAACTCAGGTGTGACGTCATTTTTAGCTCCAACATTCGACTTTTGAAGTAACTCAAACGCAGCATTATATCACCTCTTGAATAAAGTTGAATCCAGCAGAATGTGAGTTAGATTTTTAAAACTAAGCAGCCATAACAATAACAGCCACTACTGAAGGTTCTTGGGTTTGACAAACGTTGTGATAGCTCTGACCTGCCCAGAGATATTTTTGTTTTTAATACACCTAACTTTTGGAAAAGCATCTTTATTCCGTTCTTTGAAAGAAGCTTATAAAACGGTCAAAATGCAGGAGGATTTGTGTTCGGAAGAAGACCAATGACAATGCTCCGTTTTCATTTCCATTCAGAGGCGGATATAAATCATTATTGTCATCGTACCGTTTAAGCGCTGGATAAAAAGTCTGTATTCAATAACCCCCCTCCACTACACACACTCACACAGCTACACTAACACAGACACACATCCATCTGTAATGGCACGCTGCAAAGCTCGCTGTAATCTGCTTTGAAAGACTTCCAACTTGTCCTCCAGTCAAACGGGTCAGACTCAGCGTTCATTTTGTTCTACCATAGAGTTCTGAACACAGCCTGCTCCCACAGTCTGTCGGAAACATGCAGAGGTCGAAGGACAGACCATACGACCTGAAAACAACCAAACCCACCATGAGCGGGATTAATCTTTAGCCTGGGGATGGTAAACTTTGTCTAATCCATCAGTCACTTTGGACTGTGGGCTGCAACTAAAGCGCGATGATTCAGAAATCTCCCCTCCGGCAGGAGACTCATCAGACGTGGCTTGAACTGGTGCTTATTCAGAGGACGCATGACGACGCTCAAGATACCCTGACCTCTAAAATTTCACAAACACGTTCTCAAACCCAAACTACAGAAAGTGTCTGAAGCACATGACTCCCAAAAGTTTGTCTACAGTTTAAGAAAGATTGTGGTTTGACTTTAAATCAGCGTGTTTGTTACGGACATAGAGTTGTATTTGAAATTAAAGCTCCTGTGAGTTTTTTTAATGTTGGCTGAAATTCATATTGATGCTTTTCTATGATATCTGAAAGCAAACAAGACCGTCTGCAATAAGATCGATCATTTTTACGGTATAATTTTAATGACTCAGACTGAAGTGAGAGGGTAGGTGCCAGCAAAGCAGCTAAAGAAACAGCTCTCCTTTTAAAAATTTCTACATGACAAATTTTGACTTCTTTTGTAAGAAGACAATACTTAAGCATGTATTGCTAGGACTGTTTTTTTGTTCTTTGAAAAGTTTCTCACTGTAGTTTTTATTTACTATATTGTTTGTCTTTTGCCTTTTCAACAAAGTCTTACATTGATCCATTCATCCACCCTGGCTATGAGTCATTATGAACTACTTGTGCATACTATATATGGACTTTAACTGGTGTTGGACTGTCTTAAAACAAAGAGATTGTCTACGCACACAATATTGTGTTCTGAGAATTACACTGACATACAATTACAGTTTCTACCTCTCACATCATGGCACTTTTTTTCATTTGACTGTGTCTAAAGTGTTCTTATACTAAATAACCCCTATCTGTAGATCAGTTACAGCAACAAAATCACTTTAGTTTAGGTTATGGATATCAGCAATCTGAAAATTACTGCATTAGTTTTGATTTACTACCCTAACACATACCTCAAATATGAAGCTGATTCTGATTCAGTTCACCAACAAGCACAAAAATGGGCACAAACAGAACCAAACAAAGCCTGACAGTACAGATGTCTATGAACAAAAATACTGTCTACCTTGTCAAAAAAGAGAACAATTATGTCTATAGAAAGTGGCAACCGCTGGTCTTTAAAAAGATGAAGCCGATTCTAAGGAATCTAAAAACTGTAGTTCCCTTAGTGACCACTAGAGGCTGGCTGCAGAAGCACCAGAAACCACACACACACTAATCCCAAAAAGCTCATCTTTAAAGGCAGAATAAACACTTTTGCAGCCTGGTTCCTACATTGGTTTAGGTTCATGGCACACACTTTACAGGAAGTGGAATTATTTGTAAAGTATTTGTTTAAAAGAAATCAAGGTTACAATTTTGGCAAATCAGAGGCACAGCAGACTTGACTGACACCACAGCTGTTAGGAAAAAGGTGAAAGGCCTCAACTCCGTCTCTTTGCCTCAAGGTAAGTTGACCAAAAGTTGGGCTGAGCCAGCATTTCCAATATGGCAACCATCGCTGACTGTCTGGAAACTCCACCTCAGACAGAAATGGGTGACACCAACGAGATTCGGTCCCTGTTTTATAGTCTAAAGTCCATACTCATTAGTTTACACGCACTGTTAATAAGATGATAAAACTCAAACTGATGTATTTAGTCAGACTTGTTCTTGAGTCATGCCGTAGGACCTTTAAGATGTTATCAAGTCCGCAGTAAACTCCTGTCCAATGGCTGGACATCTTCAGAGACCGCCTCCCAACATTGCCTAACATCAGTTTACAGGGGGTGGAGTCTGTGTGATGATTTCCCTAACTTTCCCAAACTGATGATATGACATCACACCCCCCTTACGCTGTGATTGGACGCCTGTTCGGAGACAAGTCTCCCTCTCAGTCTGTTATTTCAGCCTTCAAACAAACACATCTCTCCAATCCTTTGTAAGTAATTGGACAAAACATATAAATAATAATGTTCACTGCTAGCTCAGTGCTTCCCTCATTCATTTTTCAAACAGTTTTCTATTTACATCACCTACAAGTTTGATCATATACCTCATTGTCTTAAACGTAGAATAAACTTCAACACAAGGTCTGGATTTTGACATTAATGTTGCCCCGTACATGAGGCGCTGTCATTTCAGCACCACATACATGTACGGGGCAACATTTGTGCCAAAACTCACTGCACATGCAAACAGAATCGTATTAATTTAAAGTGATTTTTCTCATATACTCACCTGGTTTCCGTGCTGCTTGAGCTCTCCAGATGGTCTCTGCGCCGTCCTCTTTCTTAACTATCGTGAAGTACTTCCATATTTTGTCCTTTTCCTCTTAAAAAAAAAAAATCTAAAATGTTCTTAAGTTTAAAATGATCTTAAGTCAAGGCTAAAAATTCCTCTCTTGAGACGTATTTAGAAAAAGGAATGATCTCACTTTACAGACAGAACCTGAGTGGACCGACACAGGTCTCTGCTTTTCAAAAATATATCTGTTGTCTTTTTTTTTTCTCATGGAATCTAAAATAACACCATAATCTGATTCAGAAACAGCAGGCCTGCGGGACATATGTACAGATTTGCTGCAGAATTTCAGCGTAAACATAATAACTAATGTAGGGAAGGTACGAAAAATAAAATTTGGCTTTTTCTCGTGGTTGCACTACTGAGCATGGACTGCCTCCTACATTATGTACAGAGTCTGGTTGTCCTTGTTAATCCTCTCAACATGTCAAGTAATTATTCCCAGTCCTGCATGTCCTTGATTATCTGCAGCATAGACAACATGTCCTATTTTCCACACTCTGTGTCCTTTAGGTGCTCCTGCTTTAAAGGGGCGCTGTGTTGCATGGCTCTGTTCATAACTCCTCAGTTTTATCTCCACACGAGGAGGATTAAAATGTGCTTTTTATAAACCACCCCTCTCTCTCTTTTACTCTAAAAACTTTTCAGGATTTCAAAGTGTTGATCCTGCAGACTGCTGTGTGCAAAGAGCCCATTAAGAGGGGTTTATTCTACACGACTATGGGCTTGTGAGAGTTTGTTAAAGGAGAGGAGGCTGCAGCTGCAGGACTACAGGTCTGTCTCCCGTGTGTCCAAGCAGAAAGCGTAAAGGGATCTCTTGAAGTCCATGCTGCTGTTCGCTTTAATGTTCGCTTTCTCCACCGAAGCGGCAGACGCGTCGTTGTTCTCCGCGTCCTGCGACTTGGTGGAGGACTTACTCCCCTTGCGTTTCAGTTCGGGGCTATCCCGGCCGCTGTTCGGCTCATCCTTCAGAGAGGACTGGTCCTGGTCCGTCTCTCGGTGGTAGAAGTAGTTAAAGTTTGACACGATGACAGGGACAGGTAGCGCGATGGTGAGCACGCCGGCGATGGCGCACAGAGAGCCCACTATCTTTCCCCCTACCGTCACCGGCCTCATGTCGCCGTAGCCCACGGTTGTCATGGTGACCACGGCCCACCAGAAGGCATCCGGGATGCTGGAAAAGTGCGACTCCGGCTCGTCCGCTTCAGCGAAGAACACCGCGCTCGAAAAGAGGATGACTCCGATGAAGAGGAAGAAGATAAGGAGACCGAGCTCGCGCATGCTGGCTTTCAGAGTCTGACCCAGGATCTGGAGCCCCTTTGAGTGTCTGGAGAGCTTAAAGATCCGGAAGACTCGGACCAGGCGGATGACCCTGAGGATGGCCAGAGACATGGCCTGCTGTCCGTTCTGGTGCTCTTGACCCTGCTGCTCCGCGAGCTCCGTGCCCACTGTGATGAAGTAAGGCATGATGGACATGATGTCGATGATGTTCATGATGGTTTTGGAGAACTCGGACTTGCTGGGACACGCGAAGAAGCGCACGAACAGCTCGAAAGTGAACCAGATGACGCATGTGGTCTCGATGATGAAGAAGGGATCCGTGAAGGTGAGGGACGGCCGGGGAGCGGTGCTGTTGTCCAGCCGACTCGTCACCGCCAGCTCCCTCTCGTCCCTGAACTCCGGCAGCGTCTCCAGGCAAAAGGTGATGATGGATATGGTGATAACGATGACGGACACGATGGCGATGCCCCGCGCCGGGCTGGAGCTCTCCGGGTACTCGAAAATGAGCCAAACCTGCTTCTGGAACTCGTTCTGAGGCAGCGGCTTCTCCTCCTCTTTAATGAAGCCTTCATCCTCCCTGAACCTCTCCATGGCCTCCTCTCCCAGCTGGTAAAACCTAATCTCATCCGCGAACACATCTATGGACACGTTCACTGGTCTCCGGATCTTTCCCCCGGACTGATAGAAATAGAGAATCCCGTCAAAGCTCGGCCTGTTCCGGTCGAAAAAGTACTCGTTCCGGAGCGGGTCGAAGTATTTTATCCTCTTTGCGGGATCTCCAAGCAAAGTGTCCGGGAACTGGTTCAAGGTGCCCAGCTGGGTCTCGTACCTAAGCCCGGCTATGTTGATGAGCACCCTTTCGTTGCTCTCCGTGTCCATGTCCATGTCCAGCAGGTCCTCATCGAACAGATGGGGACTGTGGTCCGCGCGTAAAAGCGCATCCATGGCGTTCTCGCTGCAGCTGAAAGTGTTGTTCATGTCGTTGATTTTCCACGAGCTCTGGTGGAGGTTCTGCTGCTGATGATGATGATGAGGAGGAGAAGTCCCCCGGGTGTTCAGCTCTTTACCGTAGTCCTCTCCGAGTCCACTTTGAACGAAACCCGACTGAGGGACGTCCAGCGCGTTCCGGCAGCTCTCCTCGGCATTATTGCCTCCACCACCACCACCACCGCTCCCTTTGGCGCCGCCGTTCTCAAAACTCACCAAGGCTATCTCCATTCCGCAGCCATCCACAGTTACTGCGTGAAGAAAGAGGGGGACTTGTTGATCCGGAACGCAAACATCCTCTCTGATGATGCAGGAAGGGAAAAGTTGAGGAGTAAATAGCAGCAGCAGATGGAGAGATGGAGCCGAGTGTGGATCAGTGCTCCTCCAGCAGCCGCGGCTCCTCGTTACATGGATGCATAAGTGTTTGTGTTGTTGTTAAGGCTGTAAGCCCCCGCTGCTGCCGCTGCTGCTGCTGCTGCTGAGGATGGAGTAAATATTAAAACCTGAAGAGGAGGAAAAGACCCGGATGAGAGAGTAGGATATAATGATAATTCCTGACGTCAAAAGTGCTGCTCAGACCGTTTAGCTGCCTCTGAAAATGTCTGTGGATGTGAGACAAGCTGTCAACCCAGCTCTCTCTCTCTCTCTCTCTCTCTCTCCCTCTCTCTCTCTCTAGGGGGGCGGGGTCACGCGCTGTGGCCACCAATTGCGCGCACTGCATGACCAGAAAGGATTGTTTTAAATTGTATTTTTTAAAATTTTGTTTTATTACAAGAAAATAAGAAAATAAACTTTACTTTCATGCAACCTGAAAAAGTAGAAATAATTATTTTACAAAAAACTGTAGAAACTTAAGACTACTTTAGAGAAAGTTTAAAATAGGGGAGACTGGGGACTGATGCAACGTTTGATTATTTTTAGTTTCTGTCATTCATACAAAGGGTTGGGCATCGAGTCCCGAGCATCGATGGGGACCAGGACTAACATTCCGAGTCTCCTGGAACCGTTCAAATTTAAAAATTTCAATTCCAAGTTTCGACGCCGGAGTCCGCCGACCGGAAGAAATAGCCACCGAACACCAATGAGTAAGACGCCGCTAAACACCAACGAAGAAGAAGCCCCCAAAACACCAGTGAGAGAGACAGAGAGAGAGAGTGCATTGCAACCCACAGGGAACGACGCAAATATATTTTTCTGTTTAAACATTTTGTTTTTTCTGAACAATTTACAATTTACAATTTACAATTATTTTACACAGGGTCACTGCTCTTTTGGAATTGGGGTTTTTAAACTAAATTTTCAAACATCCTTCAGTAAAAGTGATACTTAAAGTTAGCTTACAGGGTTAGCTTTTTTTCCACAAATGTTTCCTGAAATGCTCATAGTTGTTGATTTTACTCATCATGGCTTTAAATACCGAGTAGTTGGATTTGGCTTCACATTTTCTCCCTCCTGACAGTTTTTTTATGTTTCTTCTTCCCTTTTGAATCTTATATAACTCCTCCCTTCACATGTGAGCTGTGTCACATTCAAACACCCTTAATGCACACAAATCCATTTCCTTACAGCTGAGCACAAAGACCTGCGTCCACAGGATGACTCCACGCACTCTCCTCTTTCATGTCTCTTCTTTTTGTTGCCTTTGTGTCCGAGTCTCTTCAGCTCTCTGTCGCCGGACAGATGGATGGAGGGTCGGGCCCCGGGGCCACACTCTGCACTCTGCTCTGTGTCCGGATACTTCCTTTGCTGCCTTTGAAGGAGATGGACCGGCCTTTTCTTTGGCCCCGCGCAAACACGAACATGTTTGTGCAGAGCAGATGTTTTCTGCTCTCTGGTCCTGCTCATGAAAGCAGAAACACCAGCTTTTTTTTCTGTAATTTATCACGACACTAAATGCAGAATTAACCTTTCCGTTGATAGTGAATTAAGTCGTGAAAATAAACAAAAGTGGAGGTGTTACCTCTTGAATTATGGTGGAAAAATGCTGCTGTATTTTAGCTGTTCTCAGTGCACTCTCTGGCAGAGTATGGTGTCATGAACGGCACTTGCATTTGCTGCCTGTTTTCATTAATAAACTGTGTTCACAACGCAACACAACACTAAGTAAACATCATCCAATTTCAATCCCTTAAAAATAGTACAAGTAAATGTAAATAGAAGCAGTGCACTATTTAGTCAGTAGAAAAATTTCTGAATTGGTTTAAAAAGGGACGAATCATTGCTGAGGAGTATTAAAAAAAACAAGCAAAACAAAAGCCTGAAAATATTCCACTAATACGGCTCCAGTTGTTACGTGGGAGTTTTAAGTCAATCAGTAACATCAAGATTGAAAAAGTTAAAGAACATTTGATGTGACCGCACGAGTCATTTGCAGTTTTTTACAGACTTGGAACAAACCTCCAAATTCAGCACCATGGAGAGAGGCAACATGCTGCAGGGAGAGGGTCAGCTTCACACGATCTGTTTGTCTCCAAGAGTACACAAAGATCCAGCTATCGACCTCAGATATTAACTGTTAACTCCCATGTATGATGTTGATTAATCATTTTCTAAAGGCATTTAAGATAAGTTTAATGTTAGTTTGTTGTATTTTAAACTCTAAATTTTGACAGAAAGTTTCTCTTTTTTTTTTTTGTAAAAGTATACTGGCCTAAAATATCTATTATCAGTCTTGTAACTTACCGTTTTTCCGGACTAAGTCGTACGTTTTGTCATAGATTGGCTGGGTTAGCGACTTACACTCAGGCGCGACTTATATATATATGAAAATATATAATTTCACATGTTTGTTATTTTCACACTGACAGCCACTATAGGGCACTCTTGGATAGTGCACCTGTATCTGCTACTCCTGTGCCACTGAAAATTTAAAAATTAACGTTAACTCATATCGACAATAGAGAAAGACTTAGAACAAAAGCTACCAAAAAGAAAGTCGCAGATTACTAGCTGCAAGTAGTGAAATAAACGTTGGCACACCGTACACCTATTCAGCCTGTTGTTCTCTATTCTATTGTTATTATTATAACTTGCCTTTCAAGATGAAATGTCTGTTCTTGGTCTTGGATTTTGTAAAATAAATTTCCCCCCAAAAATGCAACTTTTTTTCTTCTTCATTATGCATTTTTAGGCTGGTGCAACTTAGACTCTGGTGTGACTTACAGTCCAGAAAATACGGTACTAATAATCAGTATCAGAACCGATCCAGAGAGACCAATATTGGTCAACCCCTAAAGGTCTCACCTCCGGCTTGAAAGAGTTCTAAGACATCAGACAAAATGAGAGTTTAATTTGCCGCGTGTTCAGCCTAGCTTGGCTTTAATCAAACGGCTCGGCTGACGCACAAACACACAAACACCTCCAGCCTTTTATTCTGTATAAAATGAGTCATTGCGCGGAGACAGAGTGAACTGACCCTTTAACAGACGAGCGTCCAAAATGCAGTCACTCTGAACATCACAAACTCTAACTGGCTTGTTCAAAAGGACACACTCACTCACACACACACACACTCACTCACACACACTCACGTGCACGTTCGCTCAGAGCCAGTGGACACACAGAGGCTGAGTGCGTCGGGTTCTAAAAGCAGAGAAGGTGACCTATTTAAAAGGTTAGTTTCTTCGCCCCGTGGGTGGAATAGGAAAACAAAGCACAAGCACTATATTTATCCTTTTCCTTATCTAATGCTGCAGCCTCATCATGATAAGAACAGTGTGCATCTCCCCGCCCCTGGATTAGTGCACTGTCCTCAGACTGCAGCCATGAATAATAACTCACCAACATCCATCTCTCTCTGTGGGACTGGCCACTGGCTACGCTGCAATTTCACGCACTGGATACAGCCATTAGGATGTTTTTACAATAAACTTCTGAATGTTTGTCATGCGGATGACAGGAAACATGAATCTGTAGCTTCCTGCGGAGAGAGGAGAGACAAGGACAGAGACCGACATGAGAACATGAGAAAGGAACAAAAATCTGATCAGAGATTATTTGTAATCTGTGTTCACATGTATGTTTCCTAATCCAAATGCTGTGTTCATGCAGATATTTTTGGGAAAGATTCCTTCTGTTGGAAATAATCACATTCGGTTCAGGATGTGTTCATGTGCGGTGGAAAAACTAAGAAATCAGAGCTACACGTCAATCCTAAAAATATCATCTGGATTAGACGCAACATTTTAAAATACCCTGACATTTTCTGCAACCAAAGGTCGATTAATTATCTACATGTTTGAGAAATTCAAAGCACTTGTTTGATTATGAAGAGTCTAAATCCTTATGCTTCTGGGACCAGCAGATTTCTAGTAATTCATTATATTGAGGAAATCATCTGACGACCTAATCCTGCACAAATCTGCCCTATCTGAATTTTTTACGGTGAACTTTCCAGCAAATACACGACCGTATTACACGTAGCAAAGAGGCCATAGTAATATTAATCCCATGTAAAGAGGCATCGCTGTGATTTGATGTCATACTTATTTATTTTATTTTTTTTGTCATGCATTTGGTGTTTTGCAAACTGTTTTTCTGTCCAAGATCACAGCGAGTAAGCTGTGAGTTGTGAGGTCAATCATTTAGGAGGATGCTACTTGGAAGTGAAGTGCAAATAAGGTTATTTTTGAAGGAAATGAACCGGCCTTTTCGTTGACGTTTATACAGAGATTTCGCCAGACTCTCTCAATCTTTCAATGATATTATGAACTAGGGCTGGGCGATAAACCAAAAATTACTTCTTTATTGAAATGCAATCAGACCGAGACACTAAGGTAGAAGAACTACCGTGTCTGCAAAATGATTAATATGGTGATTATTACTTCAAGGAAATGATAAAGAAATGATCATAAATGTTCTATAAATGTGTAGTCCGTAATGGACTGGCCTGAGGTCTCGCTACAAACAAGTGGCTGCTGGAAGAGAGTAGGTGAGTTGTGTTTAGTCTCTTTGCTAAATAAATTAGGGAAAGTTAAAAAGATGTTTGGTGGCTAGCACTATGGCTGTGACCCTATATGTCCTGTTGATGAAGTTAGGTGCTGTTCTGAGCATTATTTGTGGCTATAGAGTGGCGTTTGGGTTGAGGTTTGTTAATGGCTCCTCAGATTGCTGTGTATTGCTTTTGTGTGGTCGTTACTAAAGTTGATATAACTAGAGAAGCAAGCGGTCGGCAACATTCATCTCTCAAGGGGGTATCTAACTTGCTGTTTCGGTGTATTTGACCCTAAATTAATTTTATGCCAGAATATCCCTTTAAGACGCTGTCCTACATCAGAGACGTGACTCTACCCCATCCAGTCCATAACAAAGAGGGAAAGACAGGTGAGGAGATGGAGGACGGTTCAAAAGTTGTAGCGGCTGAAGTAGATGAAGTTAATGTGGGAGGGGGTGAGCAGCTTGTGGAGTAGTTATCGTCATTCACGATATCAAGGTGAACTGCTCAATATATCGTAATATTTGAGGTCATATTGCCCAGCCCTATTATGAACTGTAGATGATAAAATCCACTTTTTTGTTTTAAGTATTACACAAACTTTTTAAAGTTTTCTTGTTCCTGTAAAAACTCATTCTGAAACATGGTGCTGGCATCAAGTTAATAAGAGTGTAAATTTAACTT